CTTGTGATCCTCTTCGGGGACAACCCCACAACGCTCACGGGTCTCGCGGCCCCACCATCCGGCTCCGACGACCCACGAGCTGGCCACGATGTACCGAGACGCGATCGACTTTAGCGTGCCCTCGTTTACTGCTCTGTCCGCAGACGGGCGTCTCTCAACGGGACGCGAGGGAATAGGCGTACCACGGTCCAGAGAAGGCTCGATCTTGAATGGTCTCAGACCCAGTTGGTTCACCACCTTTTCTTCCCTTCCCCACTTAGGGCCGGGACCGCCGACGGTGGGGGAAGTTTATCGCCCCATTCCCTCATGACCTATCGAAGGATCAGTGTGCTCCGGCATGTGCTGGACAGCTTCGCCAAAAGCACCAAAGCCATGCCGAACATGTACCTCTGTTCCCTTCCCAGTGCTGTCCCGGGCTACAAAAGGGATGGGGGGGGGACGGAAAATTCATGCTTCATGTCAGATCTGATCCGCTTTGACCGACTCGTCGCTGTCTTGTCGGGCTGCTTGGGACACGGCGGTATGCACACCGATACTTTTTGACGACAAACTCCAAGCGGATTATCAAACCCAGTGTGAGCCATCCAGCGCCAGTCCGGCGTTAACCTGCAGCAGCGGGCACAGTAGCGTGTCGCGTGGCCGGAGCGAGTCACTTGTTTCAGAATCTCCAGCCCGATGCCAAATAAGAAAAAGGAAAAGAAAAAGCGAACCGGGAGAAGGGAGGGCCGCATCACAGACGCGAAAGGGCAAATCCAACGGCTGATCGCTGCAGCTCGACGATGGGGCCCGGCCCCCCGCTAGCCACACCGTTCCTCTTTGACGTTGTCCTCCAGTCTCTGTACGCAGTGTCGAGGCCGCTCCTCGGGTCCCTCGAAGCTGTTCTTCGAGCCCAGCCAACCTTTCCGTGTGACACGGGCTAACGGGTCAACGGGCCAACGGACCAACAGTGATTGTTCGAGGAGCAACCGTATACGAGGTCCCTTCTTCCAATCCCCCATCCTATCTCTCTTGTACCGAGGAAATTGCCTCTTGTGTAGGACTCTCCTTCCTGTCCCTGGTAAATATACAATTCCTTCACTCTGCGCCCCCTTCCATTGTCTGTTTCAAGGGCTCCCGCGGTTCTGGAGCTCGAGACTCCGTATAATTGGCGGTGGCCTCGCCTGGTTTCGCAACCAAAGTCAAATTAGATTAGCGTGAGCTTCGTCTATTCATTGCTCCACCGCTCCCTCGCGATGCCGATAGTAGCACACGATTCCACTGTGGGCTCCCGACAGACCAAAAGCAGGAGTCAATTTTTCCTTCAAAGAAAAAGAACAGAACGAAAAGTCTAAAAAATAAAAATAGAAAATAAAAAATAATTGAAACCCGCCCGGCCACGTCAAAAGAGCGGACGCAGGGGGGAGGAGAGGGAGGAGAGGAGAATTTAGCGCCCAAGAAACTCCAGCATCCAATAACCCCAGGCAAGCGGACGCCATGTGCGTCGACTGCCCGACGTTTCCGAACTCGCCACAACCCGGCCCATGCCAGAACCTGAGTCCGATTTGCCGCGGGACTTACTATATTCTGTCCCTGGATGAGGTTGGAGTGTTGGATGATGAGTGATGTGACACGAGACCCTACTCTATGAAGTTTTTCCCCCCCCATTTCTGGGGCTAATCAAGAAAGAAACAGCGCCTCCTGGACGAAGCCAAGCGGGAGGGAGGGGAGAGGGGAAGGGAAACTATTTTGAATGGCGGATGAGGCTTCCTACGAATTGCAATTTATCCGCTCGCCTTTCAAACAGGAACTTGCAATTTATATTGCACGTCACTGATTTCAAGGTTCTTGGTTTTTTTTTTTTTTTTTTTTTTTTTGGGGGGGGTAGTGATAGGCATTGCCCCCCGTTATTCTTTTGAGGGATTCTTTTGTTGGTTTCCGCCGGGGGGGGACTGTGGAGTGGGAGCTCGGGAAGAGTGATTTCCAGTAATACCGGCGTTCTCGACAAGCACAGTCCAAAGTCTGGTGGGGATGCAAAGAGGAGAGAGGTGTAGATAAACCGGGGAGCTAAAGAGACTCCCCGCGAACACGAAGACGTAAGTGGTGTTCGGCGAAGAGAGGGAGTTGCGCAATGCGCTAGTCCCGTGGCCTGATCTATGACATCGATACTACGTCCTATATGAGAGGATTCTATACTTGACCCGTGTCCTACTATGTATATACTCCGTACGTGTTGGGATTGATCAGTCACCAACCCAGCCAGGCGAGCAACAGCAGTGCCAATATTTCAATCGGTGCGTGGCAAGAGACATTCTCGTAATTGACGGTTCTGTGACTGCAAACTGCAACCTTGGGGCCGAGGGAAGAAGGATCGACTTGGGTACTTGACCACTGTCAAGGTGCTCTGTCTTGTTGCATAAAGAACTGGCTTGAGACGAAGCGGCCGATAAGCATGCTTCTGGGCGTGTTGTCATATCATTGATCGTTGACTAGATAGACTAGATGAACATAGCCCTGGACCGGGCGCTGGCTTTCGAATCTCGGAAAAAGGAAAGCGCCTGCCTCTTCCTCCAGCATGCCGTGTGAGTTTTGCCTCAGTTCAGCGTATCGCTGGCTTGAGGGGCGCAGATGGTACCACAGGGCACAGGTCGTTTACGTCGATGTTCCTCGATAGGCGGCATGAGACATGAGACATGCTCGCAAAAAAGGAAGAAAAATTGGCAAGAAACAGAAAAGAGGGGTTGCGTGGATTCTACTCTCCATCTTTGCACCGCGGTCTTTTGTTTGAGGGGCGCAGCTGGTTCTTTGTTCTTGGGAAATGAGATCCAATGATCGCCAGGACACTAGCTATTGTGGTTACATGGTTGGGTCAAGAAACGTGATGGCGTTAACTCGTTCGATGTGAGTGGTTTTGCATGATATGCGGGGGCTTTGATCCATGTTTCTTTTTTGGTGATAATAGTGGCGGAGAAAACTTGCATTAGAGAATATACTCCGTTCTTTGAGTATCACATTGCAGGCTGTGCTTCACGGCAGATGACGAAACGCAGAGACCTTGCTCATGCTCTGGATTAATTGGGTATTCTGCCTTGCGCTAATGCTGCTTGACAGTCATAAGGATAGATGACTTTCAAAAAGATGGCGAAAAGTGAATACAGAGCTGGGGGCATAATGACGTGTTGATAGCCTCAGTCCAATAGACTCTGCATTCGATATACTCTGCATTTCCGTGCATTACCCATAGCAAACTAGACTTGGATTTGAAATTGATGAGAATAGACCTTATACTCTCAGCAGTATGACAGTGTACCTGATAAAACGCCTCTTGAAGATTAATAATCATCATCATCAACAACACATTCACGAGATCCAGAACACAACGCAAAAGGCCCGCTGAAGGTCCGAGGCCAAAATTACATGGGTGCAATGGAAAAAAAACATGCCAACAAGCGCCAGGGCGGATTATCATCCATTTCAATTCTAGCAGTCTACGCTAGCAGGGTCTAGCTTCCTCCATTTGCTATCTCGTTCTCTCTGCCCCGTCTGTATCTCTGAGCCTCGACTCGCTTTTGAGATATTACCCCCTGCCAAAAGCAGACTTGATCGTATAATCAGCTTGGTAAGCTCAATCCTTCCGCATTCTCTCCTTCTTCTCACCGGAGCCTGGCTAGCAGTCCTCAGCTCGTTACCCCCTCCCTTCCTACAATATGGACACCCGACCCAGTCGATCATGTTGAGATTCCGACCACCGATGAACCCAAGCCTGTTCCGACCCAGAGGAAATGTTTGCTGGGACGTCTGTGGCGCCATCATTGCGCTTTCCCCTCATCGGGCCATTTACAATGGATGTACGGAGTACAGTTACCATCCTTCAGTCCTAGGTGGATTAATTAGATTAAATCCCATGTCAGTACATCCGGACAGTATTTGGAATATGGAAATTTTCACCCATAGTCCCCCTTATTCTCCTCGGCGTTCCCAATCCACCCTATTTTTTTTGTTTGCGGGCCATTTTCTGCTTTTTTGGCCCCCCGCATATTATGCCCATCCAATCTCGTAGTCTTGCTCCCTGTATGGAACTCGTGCCGTAGACTGTGCCCACTTGCATCTGGCCCCTCCCCCTAAACCCTTTCCAATGCATTTCCTGCTACCAATAGTCCCAGCCAAACCACCTTCTTCTTAAGGAATTCAGGCCAGGCGGTGCATCGTTGGCTCCAATTCTGGAGAGCGATTATGCAAGTGGGCGCAGTCAATGGGGCGTTTGGGAACGGTGGTTTAAACACCGAGGCAATTTCCGACAGGTAGGAGGCACAAAAATATAGTATGCCATACGTTGGACGAGATTGTTTCGTTGAAGTCTATACTCGTGTGTATGCGGTCAGCGACTTGTCTTGTATCTGTATACATTAAGTCATTGAGTCAGCATACTGTTGTGGAGATGAGGCAGAGCGACGAGTCACGTCAGATGAGAACAGTGGGTGCCGTAGGCAGATTTACAAGATAAGAGGGCGGAAACCTGAAAGAATACAGTAAAGGGAAAGCAATATAGAAACATCGGAAGGTTCCACTATAATTTGTGAACGAATATGCAGTCGTGTTGGCTCGGGAAGGCTCCCTCATTTGCTCGCATCCTTCAAGGCCGGATCGCAGGCGTGCCAAATGAGAAAATAACGGAGCTGTAGCTAGATGGTCTATCATACATGTCGAAGGAAACCCGAGGGAAATTGACGGGAAATAACAACAAAAGTACACATGGTCCCGCAGCGAGGGATCGAGGTGAGAGACACAGCTCTGGCTTTGAATGGGCAAAACGCTCGACTGCAGCATAGTCTCGCAGAGCATGGGAATCCAGATGACAGCCAACAGCCAACCCAGCAACCAACACCCAACACCAGCAAAGCCCTTTGGGCATACCTGAAAGAACAGATGGACCATGCCGCTCCTGCCCTCGCGTCCGCCGGATTCGGGGTTTCCCGGGGGGCCGCTATCTTGAAGGCCTCCCTCCCATTTTCAGAGCCAATTCACTACGCCGGCGCAGCAAAATGGTTCGCTTTGGGCCGTTCGGGCAATGGAGGGGAGTTGCTTGACGGGCGAGGTCGCATCGGCAGAGAACTGTTAGGCACTGGGAAAGGTGGCGGCTCAATCTTCTTCGGAGGCAACTGCTCGCGCGGGTACTCGCTCTGCCTCTTCTCTTTCTCTTCATCCTCTTCCTCATCTTCATCGTCACTAGAAGATTCTTCGCCGCGGTGACCATGTCGCTGGCTATCTTCAATGCGTTGACGCTTTTCGCGCATTTGCTCCTTGTGACGGATGTCTAAAGCAACATTGAGTGAGTCAATTGTGCCTTGATACCCAGCTTTCTCGATCTCCGGGTTGTTAGAATGCTTACCTCGTATCTCTTGTGTCTTTTCAGCGTATGCCTGGATTTCCTCCTTGTTCAAGACCCTCAAAACGATCACATAGTCCGACCGCTCCTCGTACCGCTCGTTCCCTGCATCCAAAGCCTCCGGGTTGACCAGCCGCCGGTCAATCTTGGTCCATCGTGCCCCCGGCGGGATGCCATTCTTGTTGGCATCTTTGAGAGGAGCCACGCCCTCTCGGATCGGGTTGGGCTCCTCCGGGAAGCTCTTGCGAGGAGGCTTGAGAATACTCTTCGGGGCTGCCTCGGGCTCCTTGGGAGCGGCGGGCTCAACAGCAACGGGTTTGCGCACGTCTTCTTTCATGTCAACAGGAGGAGAACGACGCTTGTCGGTGGAATGGCTATCTTCTAGCATCCTTTGGGAGCGAGAGCGGTGGTGTGAGCGATCGCGTGGGCGCCTTGATACGTGATCATCAGTGCTGCTGGTATCCGTACTGCTGTGTCGGCTCCGACGAGGTGCTGCGGACGGTTCACGCCGATATTTGCGAAGGTCATCATCATCCGAGTAGCTGTCATCATCACTCTCAGAGCGTCGCCCGCCATGTCGTCGTCGTGAACGGCTGCGGTGGCGGTGGGCATCGGCAGGTTCCAGATATAGCTGTTTGCTTCTTTCGGGGCCAGAGACAGCGCTGTCTGGGTTCTCACGAGAGAGCGGCTGAGCAGAATCATAGTCCCTATCATCCTCACGTGGGCGTCTCCGGTGGCGTCGGGTCGGTTGGTGATCGTAGTCTGACACATCAGAGTAACCACTGCCCAGAGCCGCGGTTCCGAGGCCTCCGAGAGCGAGAGCCCGCTCGCTCATCCCATTATGTCGTCGTGGGGACTGATCATCCGGATGGCGACGGTCTCCCTCTCGTCGGGGTCTACGGTGATGGCGGCGGCGGCGATGGTGAGCGTCGCTGTAGGAATCATAGCCATCTTCAGATTCACGGGGCAATGGCACTAGGGCACGATCATGTCCTCCTCGCGGTCGAGATGCATCCCGACGGTCATCGGCGTTGCGAGGAGGGACTCGAGGTCGACCTTCGCGATCCAGCTTGTCTAATCCTCTCGAAGTTGGAGGCGGCCCATGGTGGCGAGGATCTTTAGAGCGCCCCATCCACTGTGGAAGATCCTCCGCCAAGTTCATGCTCATGGGTCTCTCGATCGACGATCGGATTCCTGAATGACGTGGCTGGACGGGGTAGTCTCGATCAAACTGTTCTCGCGGAGTAGTGTAAGAATAGGCATCATAGTCATCAATATCGCCACCCTTCTTAAGCCCATCATATGGCGGGTATCGCCGCCGACCTGGCGGAGGATGAACGCGGTCCGCGCCGTGATGACGGCTCGTCCGGCGTCTCGCACCGTCCCGCGAATCCCGATGACCTGTGTCACTGGCGTAGTCGGTGCTGAATCCACGACGATGGTGGGAGCCAGAGTGCGCCGAGGCTGGCATGAGGTAGTGGTTCGAATCCGAGGGGAGGGGACTCGGAGAACGATTGCCTCGAGGGGAGCTGATCACTGGGCGCAAATGTGAAGAAGAGGAGGAAGCCACATTAATTACTGGGGGAGATCCGTATAAGTCCGTGCCAGAGGCAGTGTGGCTGCGATGTCTTGATTGAGGCTGGATAGCATATTCGGTCCTCTTTTTGGGCAAATGGCGCGAATCATGATACTTTTGTGTGGAAATAGGCTGGGCATCAATCGTGGAGCGGTGCCGGGGATGGTGGCGGTAGGTGCTGGAGTATCCAACATCCGAGGGGTAGTAATAAGGGTCGTCATATTCATGACGAAATCGTGGTGCCTCGTAAGGGTCGACTGATGATGCCAACTGCACCATCCCGGTCGACGCTCGTGGGCCAGCCACGAGATGTCGTCCACCAGTAGGCGATAAGTTGCGGTGGTGACTTGAGAAGCCCATCATGCCTGGATGATTTCACAACGCACCAACGGTGGGCGTCAGCGTCCAACGTCGAGGTAGACGTTGGGAGCGAGAGGTTCGACGAAGGCGCTGTACGGTCGCAAGTGTAAGGAGGGGCAGCACTTCAAGGAGATCCGGCGCGATCAGTAAGGGGATGACCCACCAAGCGTGGCAGCTATTGAAGTGGTTTGTAAATTTTTTGCCCGTGGGATTTTCTAGAGTATATCCCTTGATTCCAGAAGTTAAAAAGAAAAAAAAGTTCGAGTCCACACGGAATCAAGAAACAAACACGGCTGAAGCCAAGGAAATTGGAGGGGTTTGATTGATCAATTCGACACCGGCGAAGTGAGGCCAGTGGGGATGCGGAACCCAACTGGATGCCCAAAGGTCGCAAGCAGTTGAAACAAAAGACGCGAAGGAGAGGAAGTGTGGATGGAGAGTGGATGGGATGTGGATGGAGGGAATGACGCAAAAGTGGGCACTCACGATGACAAAGGCGGAGGGTCCTGATTATGTACGATTATGCCGGTGATTATGTGTCGAGGATTCAGCCTGAGGCGAGGGTGGAATCCCCAGCGCGCTGGACTGCTGGACGAGGCCTGCCTCCTCCGCTCTCTCCCGCTCACACCCCCTCGACCTGACACCCTCCACCTGCGACTGTCTATGATCGCCTATTTCCCGGTCTATCCGTGGGTCTCTTGACCCGTGTTCCAACTCTTGCTCATGCATCGAATCCCGTGTTCCCCTCCATGGGCGCTCCGTCGGGCGGCACGACCCGTGGACCAGCAATGTCTGGAACATCTGGAGCCGTGATTGAAACCGTGGATCGGAGATGCTCTCTTTCAACGTCCGGAAACTGCAATGGATTTGATATCCACCATGGACAAACGTGCCATGCAACTACAACATGGGATGTCTGAATTCCCGGGGCCGATGCGGAGCAGAATGGCCACGCTTGGCAGCTTGAGGATGCCGCTCATCCTTGATGCCCGATATAGTAGACAGTCTAGACAAAACTCAATGGCCTGAGTGAGAGAAACAGTCTCATGATCCGATCTTCGTCTCTTACCGGCTTCTCACTACGGCCATCCCCTCGTCCGTCATAGTTAAGCCCATTCGCTCGGCGGTCAGCCCTTGCGGCTCCAGGGCGCAGAGGGCGTCGAGAGGGGCCCCACTTGCCCTTGACTACTTGCGCCCGGGTGCGCACCAACTGGGGAAAGTTCCGCCGGGGCGTGACCTCGCCGTTAGCATTTCCATCTCGCTTCAGGCAAGGTTTATCCCCTACGCACTATCTTCAGCTTCATCCGACATTAACACAGGTGGATTAGGGCGGATCCCGTCGTGATTCATCCGATCTGAAGCATGCAACTCGGATAGCTGTTCAAAACATCATAGCATCATACGGTGGGATTCTACTGTCGATTGTTTGAGCCATTTGGGACAGTCGTCAAACATGCTAAATGAATCCCAAGTCAAGATGGAGGGGCAATCGAGGGGCAGGGGCAGGGGCAGGATGATTGGATCGCTCGAACAGCATCTTCCGCGGCCCTAAGGTCCCCGCGTCTTGTGATGGCCTCAATACTCCGGACCGCAGTGCTCCATGGCTCATGGTCCATGCTCTGCTCCCGTCATCCGAGCGCCGTCGATTTGGAAACCAACGAACAACAATGTACCTAGGGAATATGAAAACATGGACACACGAGAAAACCCCGGCCTATTATCTAGAAACCCACAGTCGAGGCGGCTTTTGCCTTCCTTTGCACCATCGATTGACTTGCACAGCCGCAGAAAACAGGGCGTGGCAATCCTTCCACAGATCTTCTCCCCCTCCTTCTAGCGTACGATCTAGATCTATCAATATTTTTCAAATGCACCTCAATTGGTTACAATGCTATTGCATCCCCCTTGTCCCAGCCTACCTAGGGGGACCCCTTCGCATGCTTCTGATACCCGATACCCTGGTTAGGACCCGGGCTTCCGCGTGCCAGGGTACCGATAACCCCTTGCACATACTTCGGCAATTCACTAATCCAGATCATCAAGATACCACCCGCTCTCGACACAATTTCTGGCGACGTCAGTGGAGGTTTTTCCCTCCGTTTACACCCCCACTAACGCCCGCTGTTCCACAGTTGCCCACCCCGCTTTCAATACTACAGTATTTGACTCCATCCGCAGTCCTGGTTTTGTATCATCATCGTCGCCAGACACCCGGAACACCGGGAGGCACCTCCCGACGACCCACAATGCACCGCAATTCATACCCCACCAGGCTTCCAGAAGGGTTAACCAGATGGAGAGCAAAGTCAGACAGGTAGGGAGGGCGCGTGGCCTCTCGCCCTCCCGCCAGCCCGCGCCCCATTCCCTTGCCAAAAGCCCCGTACCTGCGCCCCCAGCAGAACCACCCATCAGCCTACCAGAAGCCCTACATTCCCCCAAGAATCGCACCCGTGCTTCATCTCCTCGACGACGTTCTGTCCTCGTTTCAACCGATCTATGCTAATCAGCCCCTCATTCGCCCTTTCCATTCGCCGTGCATTTCCCCTCCCCTCTCTCCCGCCCCGGGCCACTAAACCCCCTTTAGCCCAGTCCCTAGCCCTGCACCCGACCCGCGCGGCTCGCTCACGGGGGGCGCCGGTGCATCGCATGCACGCATGCAACAGGACCTTGCTCTACATAGCTCGACCCGAGACAGTGAGCGCCGGACGGGCCCGTGATTGGCCGTCCGATTTGAGGCCGCGATCAACCAGCCAGGAAAGCAGCAATCCTCCATCCATATGGGCAAAGCGCAAAGTAGCTGCTGTGCAGCCCGGATCTGCCCGATCAAACTGTCATGCCTTGATGCTCGCAACTCCCTCCTATTCCGGGTTTGCACCCAGGTGATGCCGCCCGTTACCCCCGCGAAAAACTTTGCGCGACATCTATTGAATGTCCTCGCCGCCCTGGGTGCGGAGCCTGGTGCCGGGTGGAATCTCGCTATACAGGTTGCGGTATTTTTTTTCTTTCTAGAAGGCGTCTGGCTGGTTCCAACTGGCTGGATGGATGTTCGTGCCGCCGCTTCGGTGGTCCGAAAGGCTGATTATGAAGAGGGCGTGATCGTTCCTGGTTAATTTTTAATTCCAAATCTGGTTCTTAACCTCGCCCTTCGCCCTGTTAGGGATCGAATTGCCTGGTATGCTGTGGCTATGATATGGGTGTGGTCAATTGATATTGGCTCTCAATTTGATTTGTGCCCGAGGAGGGTGAATGAGGGTTAGAGGCATATGTATCGACGTGGGAGAAAGAAAGACGTCGATGTCGTCGACGGCCTCTATAAAGCCTCGACTACGGTACAGTTCTCCGACTTTTTCTTCGGCAGATCCAGAATTCAAGTTAAAGACGCGCCGAATAAACAGTCCAGAGTTGATTCTGTCTTCAAGTGACAATTAATAACGACGAGTTTGCCTCACATTCAGTGCGCATCGAATCCCAGACGCTACAGTCTTATATATCCATATCAAAACAAATCGTCTCTTCTTCTCCAAAGGAAGCATACATTCCATTTGCAGCTTCCAGCCCTCTATACAGAAAGATGTCTCTTGGTCCAATCTCCCCTGCAGGAACCGTTTTCGCGCGGCCAGAAGCCTCGCTTCGCCCCTTCGCCAACTCGCAGCATGACCAGGCCATCGAAATTATCGATGTCAAAATGTCGAACGAACATCAAGTTCACTCCAACGCATCGCCTCCGGTCTACAGCGCTACGCCTCTGGGCTTTGGCGCGAGCGGTACACCGGTCCAGAGCTCAGTGTGGTGGGTGTGCTGCCACTGTTCAAATATGGTCAATCCCATACTAGCCGACGAACGATGCCCGATCTGCGGACACTGTCGGGGTGCCTGCTGCGGCACAGTTACTGTTTAGTTTGCGGTGCCCTTGCTGCTTCATTTTGAGGATTCTTTTTTTGATTCTCTGCATGCGCTGCGTAGAGAAGCAAGGTGCTTGGCTGTTTCTTGATTCGGCTTTGGGCATCTTGGGAGTTTGGCTTGCAGGGTTATTGGCTCCCGGGGCGTTGGTATTTGATATTACCAACATGGCACTAGGTGTTTATTGCGGGTGTCTCGAGGCGTGGAGCTTGGATTACTTCTGGGAAATACCTGGGTTGGAGCACAGATATATATCTCGGGCTAAATTTTGTTTTCGGGAGATTGCCCCCGTAATTTTTTTTTTGGTTTCAATATAACTAGCTTTAAATTATGTTGCGCTTCGAATTACTCGGTAAGCTCTTTTGTATAAGTCCCTTAGATATGACGCATGACCTTTCAGGCGCTGTGCTACAGTAATGGATGAGTGTGAGATCGTGATTTTTGATGGGTTCTATCGTTGAAATAACCTCACAGCCTAGGCATTATATAACCCCTTGGATAAGGAATTGCTCACAGATTGACATTATTGAGCGAATCTACGAATATATCTACTTCCCAGTTTATTTACTCGACACCTGCCCATATTTCTCCCTCTCGCCCCCCCCCCCTGCAGAATGGAATGAAACATATCTCTGTTTCTTCTGTATAAAAGAGGAAAGAATATCATCTCAATTTAAGCTTCAATTAGTGATGAGTCGTGCCACGTGGTGCACCCAAGTCGCGTGCTTTTAGCACGAGAGAAGTGAGAGAAAACAACGGAGGATCTTCTGAAACATACCACCGAGGAAGGGTCCATTGATCATATTGTCTTGAAGGCCTTGCAATGAAGCTCTGTTGAATTAGCTAAGTGAGGGTGAATTTATCCCCTATGAGAAATTACTTGCAGATCCCGTCTTCGGTGCTATCTCAGTGGGCAAATATGCCGTAAAATGAATGGCCTCAACGCGCCTCCAAGTACCTTGACTGCCACGACTAAGAGCCAGAGGCTGGTCTATTTGGCTGTCGTTAGGTATTATAGGCGACTTCAAAGGACTCACGAGAACACTCAGGATATCTTTTTCAGCAATTAAGGTAAATGTGATTTCGCTTAGACTCGAGGTGTGTGGGTGGTTCAAGGAACCCCGAAATGAGAGGAAGTATAGACTATTGCAGGATGACAGATTTCAGGTCTGCTATATTTAGTATTACATAGTCATTCTTCATAGAAAGACTTCCTACTTGACATTTTTACAAATTGACCTTTGGCTGGTGTCCATTGAAACTTCGGAGCGTTGATGCTCCACGGGCAGATGCCATCTAACATATAATCATTATCATAGTATCATCTCAGCGCCCGAGATGATATGATCACGCCTTCGTGGTCTAGTTGGTTATGACGTCGGTCTCATATTCACTTATGACGTCCCTGGTAAACAGGGTTGCTATCCGAAGGTCTCCAGTTCGAACCTGGACGAGGGCATATTTTTTTTCTCCTAGTCTTGGCCTTGTTTATACAAGGCCATCCAAGGGGTTAACCTGGGCGATAACGATATCTTTTTTTCTTTTCTTTTCTTTTCTTGCTTTTTCTTTTCTTTCTTCCATGTCATTCAGCGCTGATTTTCGATCTGGCTAGGCTGCGTGGAGATGCATGGCCAGAATGTGGGGTCCGGATAGGAATAGTAATCCGACCATAATCATAATAATTAATGTCGACCACAATTTCTCGTGTTGCTTGTCTCACTCTGTTTCCAAGACATCGGCCCGTAAGATGGCCATTCTTGGACTTCGTCCGATACGAGGTACAATCGGTATTCTGATGATAGAATGCATTGTTGGCAGAAGCAGTGTTCCTCGCCCGGTTCTATTCTTGTCGAGTTGGTATGGCCCCAATCTGGACAGGTCCACTCAAGAGTCGATCGTCCGGCGCTTCCAAGCTTGTACATAAACATGTTGCATTCTGTGCCACTCCCAACCCCTGGCCAACTCTCAGCCCTACGCATGGGGCGCAAGCGTGATGATCTGCATGGCGCTGGCAAGCCCCCATCACAAACAAGGATACGAGACGAAGATCAAGAGGAGAGGGGGGCCAACTCTTTGACAAGAATAATGGACTGAATATCATCTAATGCATTTCTGGAAATATTTGGGGGCGTTTATTTCTATTTCTGGACCCATCATCTGCACGGGTTCATCGGCCCCCAAGGGTGTTATCTTCCATGGTTCCCGCCGCGGCTATGCCGTGCAGACTGGGGCCGGGACGCCGATCCATTTTGTGGCTCGGGGGTCGGTGCCAAGCCGGCCTCCTGCTTCAACCGGGTCACTACAGGACCCAGGGAGAAAGCGCTTTCTGCGCTTCTGTGATCGGCACACGGGCTTTGCTTGAATGGGAGGAGCCACTCGCCAACAGTGTAGCCCATGACCTGCTGGAGGTTTTTGAGGCCGCTACCGAGGCTGAAGGGGTTCTCGCCGGGAAGAGTATGGAGGATGGCGAAGACGTGACGCTCCTCCGTGGACGGGTCGGTGGTTTGGGGTTGATCAGCAGGCGCGGGTGGCTGTGGTGGGAAGGACACCATGCGAAAAGTAGGAGCCCAGGGGGAATCTGTTGCCCAGAGTCGGTCCAACATATGCTCGGGGACTCGGATGGCGAGCGTCCAGACGACGGATCGGCGGTTAAGATTTTCAATGGTGGTGAGATTAAGTATAGCCAATTGAATGGAACTTAGAGTCATGCCAGAAGAGAAAAATCCAAACAAGGCGCTCCTGGTAAAGAGTTAGACAACCGAGGCCATTTCCACCGTGAAACAGATAGCACACTTACAGCCCAATGCAAACACACCAGTGGGGACTGATTTTGCCATTCTATAGGAGGATCGGTCAGAGACTTCGGTTGTTGAATTCAATCCCAATCATCGGCTTTTACTCACATGGCGATTTGCCTCGGCCGTGACATATGCCGCAACGATCAAGCTGTATGTACAGAAAATCATTGTATAGGTGACAAACTGTATGAAGAATTTGAATGAGGTCTCTGACACCACACCTCCAACCCTAAATCCAGTCAGCTAACTCAGGTTCCCTGAATTTCTTGCATTGAGCCCACGTACCAAGGACAAAAATGGTCCATCTTGCGCACACAGCGATCAACCTCACGGCAGTGGTGCGCGCGATCAGTCTTAAATTGACAACAGGTAGAGCAATATGCTGGACGGCCATCTTCCTGGCACACAAAAACATCCTTGGTATAGAAGCTTTCCAGCCCTGCTGAGTCTAGCTGAAAGGCTCCTCCTCCCGCACGGCTATCCACCCCCATTTCAAGGTCAGCTTCCAACTGACCGGCCTTTTCTGCCTCCTTTTTTGTGCGGCTCATCCGGCGACGGCGTTTTCCATGCTTGTGCTCGGGGTCCTGCGAAGCGGCATCGGCCTGGGCACGTTGGGCACCGAGAGGGAGATATCCAGGGTTCCATAGAACATTATAGAGAAGTCGAGCATAAGTCACAAATAATGGAATTAGGAGAAGGTAATAGATGGTGAGAATTGCGGCGCCAGCGCCGACTCGCGGGCTCCGTTGGTAGGAAGGGAGCGGGTGAATGAGATAGTCAACTGGGACGGGCCGGGCATGGCAAAGTCAATATTGAGAATGACGGGGCCAGAGTAGCAACAACCAAAGGACCCAATAGGAAAAATCACTCACTGCATATTGGTTTTGTAACCGCATAAGATGCGTAGAAGACGACGCCGAGCAAGACGGGCGGGATGACCCTGGAGACGGCGAGGTTGACGCGCTTCTGCGCGTTGGTCGCCATGAAAGGACCAAAGAATAGTTCTGCCTCACCAGACGCCTAATATTGAATACATGAAGGCAGCGTAGAAATGTCACAAAGCCGAATAATACTGGAAGTGAGTAGGCAGCGTCAATCCCAAGAAGCAAGTTGGTGGTGACGGGCGGGAGAGTTCCCAGTGCTGTCCTGACGTAATCTGCAATCTGCCCGCGCCGGGCGACGCGCTTTCCCAACTGTTGGTTGTTCACCAGCTCCCCTATTGGCTTGACTGGGCCTCACGGGGTTTAACGGGTGCTCAGGGGGCTTTGATGTGCTCCCCGTCAACAAGGCCCTCGGGCACTACTACATCTTCACAACCTCAAAACAGGCGGGGCACCTTGGATGGAATTCGTTCCTGTTGCCTGTGTATAATTCAGAACTTTCATTTGAAAGAAAATTAATTATTATTATATTTGAGGGGGAAAAAGTGAAAAAAAAAAAAAATAATAATAATAAAAACTCATAATGGGTTAGTGAGCGGTAGATAGAGAGAATCACGGTCGGATCGCTCTGGCTGAATAATGATGACATCTCTGATTGCACACTGGTGATGGCGGTGGAGTGGGCGGAAGAAGTCCTCAAGTGAGGCTGTAGAGGCTAGGATGGATCGGAAATGTGGATTGGCTGCAAGGCAGTTTGCTTAGAAATGAACGATGGGGGCTCTTAGAAATCCAAAGGTAAAACGACTATGAAACCAACACGAACGCGTTGCATGGCAGGGGAGGAGATAGTGGTAATCCACTGTTCAGCTCGTCCTCAGGAGCGAATGTTAAGATAGCTAGCCCGGACCACCAGGGTGAAACGAGGGATCGCCCAGAGGGTGAAAGGGAGGGTGACCGACATGCAAGTGGTTTCCAGCGCATCATCTCAGCCGATGCTTCAGCTCGATGACCCTGGTGAACTGGATCCCAGTTCTTCAAGGAGAGCTGCAGTCAGTCTTCAGTAGGAGTTTAGCAAGCCGGAACTAGAAGAATTAAAGCCCAAGAAGTGTCAGATTACTATGAAATTTCACAATCTTTCATAATGACAGAAATATGATGCATAACCGAACAGGAGAATCATTGCAAGTTCTCGGTAGGTTCCTTATGGAATCTCCTCTTGGGCGGCTTTGAGTAGGTCTTTGTCTTTGGTTAGATCACGGTAAAAGAACTATAGATCTATATAATCAGCATATTCTTGGATGGGAAACCGGGAAGAACTGAAACTGTAGTTATGAATTGACCAGGTTGCAATCAGAAAGAGAGTCATGAGGAAACATAACAAGGCTTCGATGATCAGACTCGAAAGAGGGCAAGGAGGTATCAAGAAACCAACATTTTTCCAGAGAACAGATTAGGTCGAACCACGAACCGTGATCGCAGATTCACAGATCACGTTTGGACTCGATGACTGAAAGCCCAGGCAACAGTGGGCTTGGCGCGGGCACCTGACGACCGATGACTCCTTCCATGGAGTCACTGCCTGCACGAAGTGGAGATTCTTTCCTTCCTCAGGGCGCAAGGCATCACCGGGGTGAAATGCGAAGTGCAGCGATTCGCGAATAATGGCGGGCACAAAACGCGTCTCGACATGTCGACCGTGAACGGTGACCGCCGGTTGGCACGCCCGAGAACCTGCCAAAGCCTCCGAACACCTCTGATCAACCCGGGTAAGACGACGACAGAAAACGGTGTGCAAGCTGGGCCAGCCTGGCTTGACCAGCCCAAAATCGATCCGAAAGGGAAGGAGAGTGGGTCCCTCACACGCTCGACTTCGACCAGAAAATGAAGAAAAAGAAAAGAAAGCGAACGGCCTGAGTCAAACGAAGTACCGCAATGATTCATCCTCGAGTTCCTGGCCGCGATTTGCTCGACTAGGCCTAGCTGGGCGTAGCCCGCTAGGCTCCGGCTGCGAAGCCACTGCTCTGGAGCGCTGGGAGCCCATCACCCCGGGTTAAGGGCGTCTAGTGCTTTGGGGTCCGCCCCAAAAGTCCCCATTTTTAATTCTGATTTTCTGGCATTTCGAGGCTCCAACCCGGGTAGCCTCTATACCCGATATGGAAGGGAAAGGGTGCCTGGCTGATACTGGGCTCGCAGAAGCCACAATTGATGCCTGCTACTTCAGTCCAGAACGTCACTGGTCCTGCTTTGTTCCAGTCGCGCTGCAAATACAAATAGATCGGTGTCAGGCTCTTTGGGATTCTTCAATTCACAGCCATCCAGACTTTCAATCACTGTCTATCCAAGTTAAACCCTGTTACATATCCACTAGATCCTGATCTCGCTCACGGTCTAAACACTCATCAAGCTCGTCTGAAGATTATTCGGATCTTCGCTTGCACATCCCCTCTCGCTATTGCTAGATAGCAACCCCCCTCCGCACAATCTTACCTCGACTGCCACCTCTCCAGCTCTCTTACCACCTCGCAACCATGTCGTCAACTGTCTGGTACTGCTGCGAGTGCAACTTCGGACCCCACAACTCTGACCTCTACGACGCCTGCATCAGCTGCGGAAGAGAGCACTGCTATCGATGCGTTGAGGAAAAGGTCATCGGCAGCAACTACGCCCACTCCCACAGCAACGCCCACGCCAGTCATGGCACCTCGGCGTACCCATCTGCCGTCGCCGGCCACACTGCAGGCATGCTCTCTCTCGAGGCCACCCCCGAGGCCATCACGCCCGTGAAGCCCATGAGCCTGGGAACCGATCTCGCCAGTATCCGCAACCTATCCCGACCTAAGCAGGCGACCTCTGCCTCGCCGTTCAATGGCCCAGTGCCAGTATACGGGCACACCTACATGTACATCTGTTGCAGGTGCAATGATGGCCCCAAGGTCTTCGAAGTGCAACCAAAATGCATCGTCTGTGATCACCAGGCCTGCGGTACATGCACCCATATCAAATGAGTTTTTTCTCTGTGTTTCCACGTCTTGCGGGCCGAGACAGGAACTGAGAAGTTGCCACGAACTGCAATGATACACTATCGAGACCTCTTTTTTTTTCCTTTTTGCGCAGTCTGCGTTCCTGATCTGTTCTTTTTTTTGGATTGGATCGTCTATTGGGCTCTGATATTTCCTTGATACATGGGAAGCGGGTATAATGATGCATAGCGCCAGGGTGTATTTCTTATTTTTTTTTGTCTTTTTCTTGCTCTTCTTTCATCTGCTTTTTTCTCATCTCCATTTTCTGCTGTTTAACGTGCTTTGATGATTAGATGATTTTTAGAGACGCGAGTTGTATACTTCCTGTTGCTTAATTTAGTTAGTCTGCTGAGCTAAGCCGGGGCGGGTCTCTGGAAGTCTGCCTTGCGCCATGCCAGTCACAATCGAATTGGATCATTCTACATTCTCACCATTGGGCCCTTCGTATTCCCTCCTTTCTATTTTCTCTACAGTCTCTAATCTTGTAATCTTGTTTCCAATCATCAGCCTTGTCGCGTAATCCTTCAGGAAGAAAGTAGGGGGGGGCCGGAGACTCTTCACAGGCGGTTACTCCTTGCGGTCTCCGAACAGCCTGAGGATCCAGGGCAACCAACGCACCCACGCATGGCGGGATACGAAACAGGTCTCCGAGTGATCACCATGGATTCCTCGTCGATCCATCGAGTCCGCGGAGCACCGTGGTGCGCCCATGTTGGCTGCTAATGCACCCCCCAAGCCCGCCAACCCCTATGCCCCGAGAGCGGGTCATCCTGTTCGTGAGGTTCCCGTTGAGCCTCCCGGGGCTCTTGGGGGGGCAAGTCCCCGCCAATGGGGGCTCGGGCTGTGACGCGCGGGGCGTCTGCACCTTGCGCCCGGCTTTGGCGACTTGGTTGGACCCAAAGACTGGTTCCACTCCAAGACCGCTACTTGGCCCTGCATTTTGTACTGGCTAGCCCTATGTGCCTGAGTAAAGAAGCGGTGCGACAAGGTTAAAGCCTAGCCCTAGCGGTCCTTGTTTGCATGGTGACTCAACGTCTTGAATGCTGCCGAGCCCTCCTCCATTGATTCATACGTAGATCCATACATCTGCGGATCCTGACTCGACATCAGGGTTCTCCGGACGAAGTACAGCATCTACTTTAGCACCCCTTGACCAAATTACAATAGAGTCGTAACCCACTTGACAATCAATAGAACCCTTTTCTCACAGAGAGAGCGAGGATCGTCTTGGTAAATTTTATTCAAAAAATAAATCAAATATCACAAATCAAAAACCATCAATCAAAAACGAGTGACTCTGCACGATTACACGCATCCATCCAATCGAAACCCGTCCTGCTGGTTCGTTCGATGCGATTCTTTCTCTCCGCCCCCAATTTCACCCAGACAAACCAACACGATCAGCTATCCAGGTCTTGAGAATCCAGAATACGCATTCTCAGCCCCGCCCGCATTCTCGAAAGTAGCGGGGACCTAAAACGATCCCGCAAGCCCACTTCGTGTGCGGGGCCCAGGGCCAACAAGTAGGCAGTGCGGCTGTGCTCCGAGGCTGGGACACAACACCAGAAACCACGGTGAACTAGTGTTCTAGTCGCTTGCTAGTCGTTTCTTGTCTCTCGAGAACCGTTGATACGATGCGACTGGCTTGTGACGGCCGAGTAGTTTCTCCGGGTCCTGCGCCCCGGCCGTTCACTGTTCGCCAATTCCACCCTCCGATCTATCCGAGACTGGCGATATCCCGCAGAGACACGGTGACGTCGGTGTCCAGACGAGCCAGCTGGACGCGAGCTTTCCTCTCAAGCTCCGGGATCAAACTGGTTACGCTTCCCCAATCCCACCGAGGCTAATCTCCCATTTCACCCGGGTCTGTCGGGCGCGACCACGAGACCGACTATCCCCGTTTCTTCGTATGGGGCCCTCCTTCCGCGCGATGAGCCCCGAGTCTCCTCGCGACATCGCAGAAAGTGAGGCGTGGCCGGTTGGTGTTCCCCGACCCAATCCTGGCTTCGATCGCGATCGACCGAGATCGAACATCCCTGTTGAAGGTCATGCTCTCTCTCTCGTCTCTCTCTCTGTCGTCTCTGTCCGGAATCCTCATCCGCCAGTCTGCCTCGTGCTGTCTTGACTCATAGCGACTTACTTTCTCCCTTCCTTCACGGTCGGTACGACTACCAAGTACACGCTAGCTTGCTTCGATGTCGTACCGGTGGCCCTATTGACAAGATATCACATGGCTGCCGGGCAAGAGTCATCCAATGCGCCCGCTCCCTGGTTGGTGGGTGCATGGACCAGGAACCTGACGCGAAATATATCGGGTCCCTGCACGGCCCTTGCACGCCCTGCGCGAATATTCTGGAAAGGACAGCTGACGCCGTTGCGTCCTGGCACGGAGGGGCTCCTTACATGACAGCCCATAGATAACCCATGGCTATGTAGACCGCTCGTAGATTTTCGTGCTTTTTCATTTTCCCGTTCATTTTTCTTTTTTCGGAATTCTCGATTGACGCCCTCCGAAACAAAGGACGCGATGGTCGTACCAACTTCTGCCCCCGTGGCCCCCAATCGGTTTCCTCGTACTCTGATCGCGCTGACCACAACTATACTTAGATACTTAGCCACCCTTCTAACTATAGACCCTGCACTATATACACAATGCTTGTGATTCATCGCCCGGGCCGGAAACATGGAGGTAGATGATTTATTTTGGTTTGGCCGGATTATGGACAGGGTTCTGGGCTCTATATTGCTTATCTTCTGACAGTTCAGTTTCGGCCTAGGAGCTTCCCGTATATGTTTATTTTGTGACGGATAGATACGAGGCTCCGCGTTGTCCTCGTTCTAGAACCGGGAGGGCCTCCGGGGAAGGGGAAGGGGGGGAATGGAAGGAGTGATCATGCACAGGTGCCAGGGTGATGCCTGTCAATCAGACTTGAGGGCCTGACACATTTGCCCTGCATCCTGCCATTCCGGCTTCTACGCATGCAGGCGTCCCAAGCGGCCATGTGCGCTGGGCATATCGAGCTTCGATCCTGTTTCTCGAACGCCGATCCGTTGGGAGGCTTTGTCTAACTTTCAATCTACTTTGGCGATGAAGAGGGCGAAGAATCGAAAAAGGCCTTTTTCTTTTTCTATTTTTTTTTTTTTTTTTAAAGAGAGAGAAAATAAAAAACGTAGAAAAATACGACTGATATTCACGGTAGCTATGTGTACTGCGGAAAGCCTTGACCAGGCGCATCAATGATCATACAGCCTCCCTATTTCAGCACAAAAGAAAGAAGCGAGAGTAGTGTCCTCGTATCCGTGCAAGGGAACAATTCTCGAGGCCAGATCGCCTGGTGGGGGGGTTTTTTTTCCTTCTGATTATTCCAAGCTGAACTGCAAGTTACGACCAGCACCGGATAAACATGGAGATGCCCCAATGCCGGATTGCCTTTTGTGTTTTCAATGGGCCAAAAGCTAACCGCAATGCGAGAGAGGAATCAGAGATCCGGTCCAAGAATTTCAAGACTGCCTTGGTTAAAAGTGGGATCTTGAAATCGAAGGACGAAATGTGCAAATGCAGGAAAACGCCGCGCTGGCTAATGATGCATGCATAGGGAAAGATGGGGGAAAAGAGAATAATACCTCGACATCCAGGGGAAGACCGGGTGCGGGAGGGGTATCATAAAAGAGAGAGAGAAACGTAGAGGTGATGCGTGCTGAAAATAAAACTGCGACGGTCCTCGCCAGTCGAGATGATGTTCAAATCACACTATGTGTGATGCCAACTCACCTTGTGAGGATGTGAAGGGGGTTGGTTGATGGTTGCAAAAATTTACAGGGGCAAGACACGCGATGGGTCTTGGAGAAAGCGCCTACGGTATGCGGCTATCTCGGCGGCCACAGTGCTGAAATCTTTCACCTTGTCACGCCGCATCTCGTTGATAATTTCCTTCAACCCAGCGAGATAGGTTTCTTTTTCTTCTTCAGTCTGCCCTTCCCGGACAGCTCCCATTTGAATCAAGATCTTGTCATCTGCCATGGTCAACAACCTGTGGTCAGCATTTGGACAGGGCAGAGAAAACGAAAGGAGGGAAAGACGAAAGAGAAATGGGCATTTTTCGGGACGTAGGTAGCAAAAAAGATCAGAAAAAGGCACAACAGTCGGGAGTAAAAGTAGAGCAGGGTTCGAGAAAAGAACCCATGTGAGAGAGGTTGCACGGCTATTAGTTCGTCGACGCACCGCTTAGAGTCATGTCCCGGAAATGCTGGAATTCGCAGGACCGATCGTTGCATACACCACCGGCCAGTTCGTATGGACAGAAATATTTCATCGAGTCAATGTCATGGCTAAATGTTAGCGAACGGTAGCCGTCCGAAACATCCTCGGTATAACCGGGGTGGTAGCGATATGCCTTGAAATATCGTAAGGGGCTAACGTATGGAGAATATTTGTTGTCCAGCTTTGTGGATGCAGATGTTTTCTGAGATGATGGGGTCAGTGTGAGATCACCACTTATGCTCCTCCGGAAAGGTGTTGTTCATACACCAAGAATTTCGGCCTCAGAACCTAGATAAAGAGGACGGGCCTCCAACGTTGATATCTGAGGCGGACCGGCTGGAGGGTCATTGGGCTGGGATAGATCAAGCAATGGCTCTAGTCCTGCTTCATCTTCTATTGGCGCTGCGGGAGCAGGGCTGAATGGAGGGCTGTAGGCGGAATTATCAGATTCTGCGCCTGCATCGGGCTCGGGAGGCTCATAAGCTTCTGAATCTTCATCGGACTCGTGATCGGACATGTCATGCTCATGATCTGGACTGTGGATAGTATCATCCATGGCAATATCTTCGGTAGCAGGCGCTGGGCGCTCGGGAAGGGGATGATTTAGAGAATCGGTGTTCGTTTGCTCGTTACAGATGACAGGAGCAGGGGCAGGAGCAGGTACTTCAGGGGTGGGAATAGTGACCGGCACTTCAGTCTCAACTCCATCGACGTCCAGTCCTGGCTCATTGATAGGGGCTTGGTCTGAACCAGCGCTGTCAACAGAAGCATCCATGGCTGATCCAATAGAGCAAATTTTAGACAGACTAGCTGGTGATGCAGCACCATCAACAAGATCAGTTTCTGCTGTCCCGTCACCATAGAAGTCTGATTCGGAGATTTCGGGCCCCGAAGCATCTGCCATAGCTACTGGATCGGTCGCGGTGGCATCGAGAATATCTCCGTTCTGGGGGCTCTCGAGTATTTCATCATTAGAGGATCCTGGAAAATCAATGGATTAGCCTGGACCACCAGAATTTCGAGTTGAATCAACTGTAGTAGAACTGTCAGATCGGAAATGATTATTTTACCTTGTGTTGAGGCAAGGTGCAGTTTCTTGGATCCGGCCTGGTGACGAATGTGATCAAGATCATCTTGTGAAAGAGAGATACCCTTGTTGCTTATCGCTCTCAGTTCTTCAATTAGCTGATCCTTACTCCCCTTCCCAATGGATATATCAGATAGCAGCTTTTCAGCTTCCTGGATGCAAGCAGAAACTTCATTATCTGAGGGTGGGATGCTAGTCTCCGCCGCTTTCAATCGAAAAATCGTGGACACAAGGCTCCCCAGCTGTGTAGAGGTCATTGAAGCCAATACCACCACAGAGGAATCACTGAAAAAGTCCATTGGATTTTGTTGAGGAACCTCATTGTTCACAGCAAATCCCGTTGAGGTGGGAAATTTGTCGGCGACGGTGACCGGGGCGGACGGGGTCTCAGCAACATCAGCTTCGGCAGCGCTGGATTGTGTAGCCGAAGATGATACTCCGGAATCCTCCAGATTACGTGGTGATTGAGTTCGGCTTGCTGCAAGTTTTGCTTTTCGCCGCTCCTCCATCTCTGCAATCTTTCGATGCAGCGCCTGAATTTCCAGGTCTCTTTGACGAATATTTTCTTGGTCACTAGGCCGGGCAGATCCTTGTGGAGTCGAGGTGGATGTTCTTGTTGCAGAAGGATACTTTTGGAGAGGAGGCCTGGCAGTATCGAGGGCCGAGGTGACGGTAGTAGGCAAGGAGTCCCGCTCAGGGCTTGCATCAACATCCATGTTTTCACCTTCATCGTCGCCATATAGAGACTCGTCATCGCTGATATCGATGATAAGCTTTTCAGATTTTGAGTAATGACCTATTGCATGGCTTGAGTGCTTCTTAGAAGCAGTGGCAGGCTCATCAAAATCACAGGCCCGGGGCCTTTTGCGCTGAGTCGCTCGGGAAACCGGCGTTGGATCAACAGAAATGCCAGGTGTGCCTGCAGTGGAGCCTTGAGATTCAACGTCGGGCTTCGAATCAGTCATGAAAAGTCCGGGTATTCCGCTAGGCTCGGCAGCTTGAGGGATCGGAGGGCGAACTGGAAGTGGATGTTGAACGACTGGTGCAGGAGGTGTTGGAAGGGCTAAGGCCTGATCATCTTGTGCGGGTTGACTGAGTTGTTGGGCTTTTTGCTGACTCTTTAATAATGCTTGTTTCTTGAGCTCTTCAATTCGTTGCCTTGCCAATTCCGTTTGGGCCTTGTTCTTCTCGCGAGTGGGCATTCCAGTTCCATTCTCTTTGATTGAAGGGGTGACAGCAGGGGTAACCAACGGTGATTGTTTTTCTTTCGAAGGCTCCTTGGGCAGAGAGGGCTGAGAAGCTTTGGCAGCTTTAGCAGCTAGCATTCTTGCTATCAGCTCTTTTCGCTCTATAGGTTTTTCTGAACCTGTCGTCACTGCAGTGGCAGGTGGTTGGGGAGTTAGGAGCGGGGGCTTTGGTGCAATATTGGTCTTCTCAGGCGCAACTGGTTTTGTCGTCTTTGATTGTCGACTAGAGGTGGTTGAAGACTGCACATTCTTGTCCGTACCAACCAGTTTGGGATGAACAGGTGGCTTTTCGGCTGTGGGTGTGCCCACCCTGATGCCAACATCTTCATATAGCTGTCTCAGAATTGCGGGATTGATACCTTCCGCTACCAAGTCATCGAACCGGATATTATGAGGGGCCAATCTGAGAAGGGCGCCCTGTGCCTGAACCCGGAGTTGTGTGGCTGATCGAGCAGGTTGCGAATATTCTGATGCCACCGTTCTCGCATCCCTGTTTTGTCGCTCTATGGCACGATTGACAACCTCCGGGTCAGGGGAGACGGAAAGTGGAGGATTGTACGCTAGACCAGTATTAGCATGTTTGAAAAAAAAATAGACAAAGGATGGATTCGTACGTGAACTGCTTCTACTCGAAGAAGGAGAGGGAGAAGAGATAGTCTCTCCTTCCTCGAGATCCGACCGTTGAGCAGCTGAGATATGGCGCGATGCAATTCTTGCATCTTTCTTCGACCTGGCAGATGTTTGGCTATCTTTCTGGTTCACCTCGCCCTCTTCAAGATTAGAGTCCGCTGAACTCGAGGCATCTGCGATTTTAGGTTGAGTCGGTAAGGGTCTATTGACGTTCGCGCTGTACGCGTTGAGAGGCCCCGGTGGAATGTTGGAGAATCCCGGAGGAATTGGTATTGGTGGGTACCCGAATGATGGCAGAGGTATAGGAGGAAAGGAGGGATTTGACAATTGAGATGGATCGAACGGAGCCATATATGGAAACTGAGAAGGGAAAAAAACCCCCGGGCCACCGGTGGCGCCCGCTACTGGAACCTGGGAATTCGCGTCGATAGCGTTCATATTGAACTCGAAGTGTTGTTGAGAGGCAACCGGCGGCGGAGGGATTGTAGAAGTATTTTCTGGATTGGGGTGATAGTTGGGAGGGATCATCGAAGGAAATGCCGGAGCCCATTGCTGTGTGTAATTGGAGTGGCCGCCGAGCGGAGGAGGCGGATGGTTTGCCATTCTAGCAAGCGTGGTTGTACAAAGGCGTGGAAAGGCTCTGTAGTGTAAGCTCGCCGCAGACAGATCAGTTTAGAGGAGCCAAAGTGAAGTCAGAGTGGCCATGTCATGGTGATGGATGTCATGAAAGAAAGCGCAAGTTTGGGGAGAAGCTTGATGCGATCGCCGAAGCAGAGCCACTCGTAGAAGTGTCACGGAATACTCCAAATGCTGCGTGAAGCTCCTCGCCGACAACCCACAGTGTCTCAGAAGCGAAAGACAAAGAGCACCGGTGTCAAATGGGAGAATGGAAGACGAGAACAAAGAACTCGGCCTCAGCGACGCGCAAGGTTGGCGGATGATCGCTTAGCAAGTCGTCACCTGGTCACCTGGTCTAAGCGCGAAAAAAAGGACTCGAGTCACGTGCGGCGAACGGACCAACGATCGGCGGGAGCCCGAGGAACGCAGTGTAAACAAACAGCGTCAGCTCTCTCCGCTTTACATCACACCTAGTTCCTCACAGTCACACCCGCCATTGAGGTCACCTCTTTCTTGTACTGTTCTTTGTTCCTTTCCTTCTTCTTTCACTTTCGTCACTTGTCTTCCGATTCCTCCTTTTTTTGCTATGAGAAGTACCTCCAACCTCGAATAATGCGCTACTAAACTCTCCGACATGCTCCCTTCCCAACTGAACGGCTCGCCGAAGCGGGCCAACCCGTTTGCGCGGTCCTCACCCTCCCCAGCACCCCAGTCCCAACCGCGTCCCAAGTCTGCTATCATAACACCGTCAAATGGGATAGAATCAGCACGGGGTCATCTGCGCAACTCATCTGTTTCTCAAATTTCCACCACACTGTCTCCAGCCTTGGCCAATCGGGAACGGTCCAACTCGGTCCGGAAAGATGCGTCATCAGGAACATTCGCGCCCAGCTTTATCAAGTCCGAAGAGTTACGACGCGGCGCAGATCAAATTCGAGGCCTAGAAGGCGACAATGACTTCTCAGGCAATAAATATGTCTGGCTAAGGGACCCCCAAAAGGCCTTTGTGCGGGGTCTAGTGCTGGAAGAATTGGAAGGAGATCAATTACTGGTGCAGACAGACGATGGGGATGTAAGAAAGTCTTCCCATTATGAATTGCCTAGCCGAGCTGATATGGTGAACAGCAACGAGAAGTGGATGCCGATCAAGTTGACAAAGTTAATCCCGCCAAGTTCGACAAGGCTGATGACATGGCCGAATTAACACACTTGAACGAGGCGTCCGTGGTTCATAACCTCCACACCAGGTATCAGTCAGATTTGATCTATGTGAGTCGCATTTGCAGGCCATCAGTAGCTAGGATACAAGCTGATTGGATGTATCTGCCAGACATATTCCGGGCTGTTTTTGGTAACAATCAACCCATATTGCCCACTTCCAATCTATACAAATGAATATGTGAAGATGTATAAAGGCCGCGGGAGGGAGGAGACCCGACCGCATATCTTCGCTATGGCAGATGAAGCGTTCAGAAACCTGGTGGAGGAAGGTGAAAACCAAAGTATTCTCGTAACGTGAGTCTCAGTCTATTTTGACTTCAACAGAGCAAAATCAAGCTGATCGCTATGATACAGTGGTGAATCTGGTGCTGGTAAAACCGAAAACACCAAAAAGGTTATTCAATATCTCGCAGCAGTTGCGACCTCCGATACACCCTATGGCCGGTCAGGCACGAAGCAGCTGTCTAATCTCTCCCAACAAATCCTCCGCGCCAATCCCATCCTTGAAGCCTTCGGAAACGCACAAACCGTTCGTAACAACAATTCATCTCGATTCGGAAAATTTATCCGGATTGAATTCTCACGGTCGGGCCAAATCTGCGGAGCATGGATTGATTGGTACCTGCTTGAGAAATCACGAGTTGTGAAACCCAACCGCAACGAGCGGAACTACCATATTTTCTATCAGCTGCTGCAAGGTGCCGACAGGAAGACGCGGGATAAGCTCCTACTAAATGGCCTTCAAATAGAGGACTTTGCCTACACCAGGGATGGTAATGACTCTATCGTCGGTGTTTCTGACGAGGACGAGTGGAACTCTCTGATTGAAGCTTTTCATGTCATGAACTTCTCGGAGGAAGATCAGCTGTGTATCTTACGTACTATTGCAGCTGTGCTCCATTTAGGCAATGTCACGATTGCCAAGGAGAGCGTACGTGCTGATCAGGCTGCTCTGGGACCCAATGGATATGCTAGTGTCGAGAAGGCCTGTCAATTGTTAGGGATTCCTGCAGAACCTTTCGTGAAAGGGCTATTGCATCCGAAAGTCAAAGCTGGACGTGAGTGGGTCGAAAAAGTGCAAACTCCTGAACAAGTTCGCCTTGCACTGGATGCCCTATCTAAGGGTATTTATGAGCGTGGCTTTGGAGATCTAGTTACTCGCATCAACAACCAGCTTGGTCGGTCCATGGCTGATGATAATTACTTTATTGGGGTTCTCGATATTGCTGGATTCGAAATCTTCGAAAACAACAGCTTTGAGCAGCTCTGCATCAATTACACCAACGAAAAGCTCCAGCAATTTTTCAACCATCACATGTTTGTCTTAGAACAAGAGGAATATGCCCGCGAACAAATTGAGTGGCAGTTCATTGACTTCGGAAAGGATCTCCAGCCGACTATTGATTTGATTGAATTGACCAATCCGATCGGTATTTTCTCCTGCCTCGATGAGGATTGTGTGATGCCGAAGGCAACAGATAAAACGTTCACCGAGAAGCTGCATTCCCTTTGGGATCGGAAAACTCCTAAATATCGCTCGTCTCGTTTGAATCAAGGTTTCATTCTTACTCATTATGCTGCGGAGGTCGAATACACGACTCACGACTGGCTTGAGAAGAACAAGGATCCCATGAATGATAATATTACTCGTCTCCTGGCGGCATCAGAGGAGCCACACGTGGCTAATCTATTCTCGGACTGCGCTGAATCCGAGGATGGAGGCGACAATCCTCGAAACCGGGTGAAGAAAGGTTTGTTCCGGACTGTCGCCCAAAGACACAAGGAGCAGCTGTCCAGTCTCATGACCCAGCTCCATTCGACTCATCCTCATTTCGTTCGTTGTATTTTGCCCAACCATAAGAAGCGACCAAAGATGTTGCATGCTCCATTGGTCCTAGACCAATTGCGTTGCAATGGTGTGCTGGAAGGTATTCGAATTGCTCGAACTGGATTCCCGAACCGTCTGTCTTTCGCTGAGTTCCGACAACGCTACGAAGTACTGTGCCAGAACATGCCTAAGGGGTATGTTGAAGGACAAAGTGCGGCTCGCATCATGTTAGAGAAGCTCGGTATGGATCGGGCCTGGTATCGTGTTGGTAGGACCAAGGTTTTCTTCAGGGCTGGTGTTCTGGCAGACCTGGAGGAAAAGCGAGACCAGCTCATCCGAAGCATCATGACTCGGTTCCAATCCTTGGCTAGGGGATTTGTCCAACGCCGCATCTCCAACAAGCGTCTTTATCGTGCTGAAGCTACCCGCATCATTCAGCAAAACTTCCATGCCTATTTGGAACTCAAGGGCAGCCCGTGGTGGGGACTGTTTTCCAGAATGAAGCCTATGTTGGGAGATACTCGGACCGCGAAAGAGGTCAAGAAAAGAGATGACAAGATAAAAGAATTGGAGATGAAGATGAAGCAGGAACTCTCTGACCGACAAAAGCTTGATGAGGAGAGGCGGCGAACTGAGATGGAAATTCACAAGATCCAGCAGACGTTGGAAAGCGAGCGTGCCCTCGCTCTTGACAAGGAAGAGATTTTCAAACGTCTCCAACTCCGTGAAGGAGAGCTTGCCGAGAAGCTGTCAGAGGCTATCGCCGACCAAGAGAAGCTTGAGGAGCAATTAGATGAGCTTGTGGATGCGAAGAAGAAAACCGACGAGCAATTGCAACTTCGAATCACTCAGCTTGAGCAGGCAGGCCTAATTATCCAGCAACTCGAAGCCGAGAAGAATGATTTGCAAGCGCGCCTGGAGAACCTGGCTTCCCAATTAGCCGAGACGGAGGGAAGGTTCTCCGGAAAGGACAACCAGATCCAGGAGCTCACCCAAGAGATCAAGATGCTCCAGAGTCATTTGAATCTGAAGGACCGTAAGCTTCAGGACCTCGAAGCGAAGCTGTTGAAGACCGATCAGGATTTGGATATTAAGCTTGCCAATACCTCAAAAGAACTCGACAAATCTAAGAAGCAGCTCCGTGACGCAGTCAATGAGAACCAATCTATCCGCCTCCAAATTACGGAGCTATCCTCCACGACTACTAGCTACGAGGACCTTCTCCGACGCAAGGAAAGTGAATTGGCCGTTCTTCGGAACGATGTCCAAAAGCACGGTGAAGACAGCAGGGCTATGGAGGCCGAAAGGAAATCTCTCTCAACACGACACGACGATATGCAGCGACGTCTTCGCGAAGTGCAGGCAGAGCGAGATGCCATGCGGTCAGAAAAAGCTCAACTAGAGCGAGAGGCTGCTGACGTCAAACGGTTGCTGGAGGAGAAGCGGTCAGAGGATGCAGAAGCAGGTGAAAGCAGAAAACTCTTGGAGCAGCAGGTCCACAACCTGAAGGAACAGCTCTTCAAAGCCGAGGCAGATCTTAGTAGGGAGCGCCAATCTCGAGATGACGTCCAGATGCTCGCTGAGCACAACTTCGCCGAGTTGACCACTAAGTACAACTCCCTCAATGATTCTAAAATCGAGATCGAGAAAGAGATGTACATTCAGCAGGATAGCCTTCGCCGTGCTACTGAGGCTCGTGTTTCAGCCGAGAGTTCTCGGAAAAATCTCCAGTCTGAGTTGATCAAGCTTCGTGAGCGGTTCACTGAACTTGAAAACGCCCGTCTAAACGCGGAGGCCGATATTGAGCGCAATATCAAACGACAGGCCGAGGATCGTATCGTTAGCATTCGAGCAGATCTCGAGGAAAAAGTGCAGCTGTTGGAAGATATCGAATCAGAGCGCTACAACCTCTCAATTCGTGTACAGCAGCTCGAACAGGCGATTTCAGAATCTGACAACTTCCGCATTCGTCACGATCAGCATAAAGAGCGTCTTGAGAGAGAACTCGTCACTCTCCGAGGTCGATTGACAGCGTCCGAGAACGATAACCGATCGCTCCTTACCAAGATTCAACAAAAGAATCTTGACATTGCACGGTCGAATTCAAAGGCTAGCGATAACAATCGCCTTAGATTAGCTTCTCTGCAAAAGGAAAAGACCAAGCTGGAAGATGAGAATAAGAAGCTTGAGAAACAGCTCGGCGAGTCGCAGCTAACGATCAACTCCCTCGAGAAGCAAAAGGAGAAGCTGTCTTTAAGCTTGGAAGATCTCAACCATGAGGTTACTCGGGAGCACAAGACCAGCCGGAATGCTGAAAAGGCTGCCTCAACTGCCAACATCCAGCTTTCGGAGGCCAATCGAAATCTTGAAAACGAACGACAGCTGCGAAGTCAGGCTCAAGCAAACACACGGCAGGTGCAGGGCACGCTGGATCGAGCCAACAAAGAGATCGAGGACTTACATCGCCAACTGATTCTCTTGCATCGAGTCTTCGAGCCGGAGGCGTCCGAGGCTGCCAAGTCATGGGAGGCTGTTCAGCCACACCTTTCTAAACAGGTTGACCTAGCGCAAATCCTTGACACCGTTCAGCATAAGCTTCAGGTAACGGAGGAAAAATACTCAAGAGCTGAAAGCCAGCTTTCAGAGATGCGTCGTCGCCACGCTGATGAAATGAAGGAGCTTGATTTGAAATATTCATCCTCCAAACGGGCATTACTCGAAGAAATCGATCAGAATGAAGTTGCGAACAACCGTGCTCCTGCTCACTTCCGAAAGAACTCTGAAAATGCTTTGAAGCGGATCTCGAACCCATCTACTCCGAATCGTCGGTACAACAATGTTTACGAAGGTGCCAACGACTCAGCACGTTCGGATAGAACAGTTGACACCGTGGGTTATCAACGACGGATGGACACTGCAGCTGAGATTGAAGAGCTGCAGAACAGACTTCAGATGACCGAGATGCAAAATAAACACCTACAGAGCCAACTTGAACAATCCACACCATCTCGGGACATCTGGCAGGATGAGAGCCCCTCGATGCGTCGCATGCAACTTCTCGAGCGTGAGAATGGCCGTCTTCATGGCCAACTTGATGACTCTGCCAAGAAATGTTCGGCCTTAGAGCGTAGCATTCGCTCTGGGGAGTTGTCGCTCCGCGACGTGCAAGCCAAATCTCATGAAGAACTGTACGACCTGATCAACTCCCAAGAGCAGTCTCGGCGATCTTTGCTCAAGGTTCATAACGACGCTCTGGCTGAGTTTGGCGAGGCTAAATCACACAACGAAAAGCTCAAACGCAGCAAGGCTGCCGTGGAAGTTGAACTTCGTGATGCACGTTCCGAGGCTCAAGAACTGCAATCTGTCCGCGATCAGGATATCGCTAGCCGGAACCAGCTTCTCCAGGAGTTCTCAGATTTGCAAATTCGCCTTGACGCCGAGACATCCCGAACTGCCGATCTGGAATCTAGTCTGAGCTTGTACAAGAGCCGCTCCGACGAGTACTTCAGCAAACTTGAGCAAGCTGAGATTGCCGTGCTCAAAGCCAGCCGGGCTGAACAATTTGCGAAGTCGCGATGCCAAGAGGCTGAAGATACATATGCTCAGATCTTATCTGAGCGGAAGGAGATGGACGCCCTTGTCGAGGACTTGCAACGACAGACCCAATCTCTGGAAGCTCGGATGGAGGACCAAGCGGCAGAGCTCCAAGGTGCTTTGCAGGCCAAACAGCGCCTTCAAAATGAGCTCGAGGATTACCGAAACCAGCGCGCCATTGATCTTGAAGACAAAGAGACTTCAATGGAACAAACGCGGCAGAAGTACCAGCGCGAGTTCTCGACCATTAATGGTGAGCTCGAGATGGAGCGTGAGCGATTGCTTAACGTCCGTGGCGAGAATTCTCGACTGCGCGAAGAATTAGAGGATCTTCGCAGCAAGTGGGACAATGAAGTGCTCAATAGTTCCACCTGGGCCAAGGAGAAAGCTCGAATGGATCTTGTCATGCAAGATATCACGAACTCCCGTGACGAGGCTGCCAAGGCTCATAGCGAAGCACAAGGAAAGGTCGTGTCCCTTTTGTCCAGGGTGCGGACTCTCCAGACATCGATCGACGATTTTACGGCCGAACGTGACCTGCTTCTGAAGGATAAGAAGATGTTGGAGGGTCGTCTGGCCGAGGCGGGGGAGCGGCTCGAGGACCTTGCTAAGGGCGAAAGCCCCTCTATGCGCAATGCTGCAAGCATGGATCGAGAGCTCCTGGAACTCAAGTCCAAGTTAGCTCAGCAGGAAGATGTTTCATCTGCGGCAGTTGGCAAGATGCGCCGTGCTGATGCCCTGGCCACTGAAATGCAGAAAGAGCTCACAGCCGAGCGCGAAACCAACACTGGACTCTTCAAGGAGAAGGCAGCATTGGAGAAACAACTAAAGGAGGTGCAACTCCGATGCGTGGATCTTGAGACTAAGAGCTACTCTTCGGGTAGCCAGGACGTAAGATTCTTGCACAAGCGGATCAAGGAGGTAAGTTACACCCAGCTCAGCTCTTTAAAATACTTTCTAACAAAAGCTACAGCTCGAAGCCCATCTCGAAGAGCAGGAGAGCAAGCACACTGCTGAGCAGCGCTCTCTCCGGAACGTCGATCGCACTGTCAAAGACCTCCAGTCCCAGATCGAACGTCGGGATAAGACAAATGCCCAGCTCAATGATGATATTAACAAGGCTCGGGACAAGATTGAGAGGCTCCTTCACAATATCGAGGAGCTTCAGCAAGGCGATACCGAGACACAGCTCCAAGCGCGTCGTGCAGAACGGGAACTTCGTGAAGAACGTGAGAAGGCACTATATCTGGAACGCGAGCTGGAAGGATACAAGGCGGTACGTGTTGACTGGAATAACACTCGCCAGCCGATGGCCCCGCTTAGCGATGCGGGCAGTCGTCGTGGTAGTGCAGCATATGGGTACAATGAAACGGCTCTCCAACGCAAGCCTAGCAACACCAAAGGCTTCTTGTGAATAAGGACGATAAGATGTGTATTACGTTGATACAGGAGTTATCATCACGGGGGTGATTTTTTTTTCTAATTTTTGTTCTCCTGTTTCGCGGTTGGCGTACATGTGCATTTCGGAGAGAGGGATGCCGGGGCTTTTTTGCTGACCCCAGGCCTTGTTCATATTGCCTGAATGACCCTATGTCTTATCTGTTCTTTGGGGTGTATGTATTGGATGGCTGTTTGCCCTTTTCGCCTTCGCATTTGATTTTAGGGAGTAAATAAGCCGATTGGGGGAGGAATTAGGCCATTTGCAACATCAGAAGAAATTCCAAATTGAATCGCTTTTAACTGATAATAGCTACCATTCCGCCATTCACCATTCCATAGACCTGTAGGTTAGTGCACATATCGGAAAGACACAACCCCATCTGCCTGAAGTCCAGTCTTTGATCCTGCAATCGCCGAGCCTACGAAAGTCCCTTCCTCCAATTCAGCTTTCTCTATCCTGGAATTCTCACGCTTCAGGTGCCACTTGATACCGAGAGCCATTATAGCGCAGAATAGGCAAGCACCGCTCATAACCCCACCGCCAGCATAGTACCGGGGCTTCTGGGAATCCGGAAACATATATGAAGTATAGAAATGGGCGACACCAGCCCCCATTAAATTGACAAATGCCAGTGAGGTAGCGCGTTTTGTTTTAGGCCGTGGCAGTGAAGAGCTCAACCAAGAAACACATAGGTTATATGGTGAATATGAGCCAGCCGTCATAAGGAACATGCTGAAGTATCTGCCCCCAGTGGTTGGTATGAACATAGCCTATAATATCAGTCAGAATGTGGTCTTGGTGAGATTTTAGGTAATATTTTCTCGAATGTATGTACCATTAAATTACCCAGGAGTGCAAAAAGCAAGGGAACTGCAATGTGAAATCCTCTTTCTTGCTTGTGAGCCGCATGGAATGAGATTGCCAATGAACATAAAAATGCAAAGGCATATGGTGGGGACGTGAGTAGGAGTGTGATTGTATCATTGTACCCTAGAGTGCCGACGATGGAAGGGAAGAAGTTATTGAAGGATTGTGCCGTAATAAGAGCCATTTGAAGACCAACGAACATGTACAGCTTAGGATCCATGAATGCTTGTTTAACACCCCACAGAGTGGAATCCGGGTCATCGTCGATAAGACCTGCATTTTCATTCCGTAGCCGCCAGTCCTGCCTCATAGTTAGCCTTTTGTAAAGAATTGGTGCATAATTAGGATAAGTGGTCTATAGAATCACTGACGGCAAGAAGTTGATGTTGATGCGTAATCCACCGCCGCTTTGTAGATCCTGGGTAATCGGGAATGAATGGAATGACGAGTAATGCAATTGCAATAGTCATAGACCCTTCAATAATAAAAAGCCATTCCTGCAGCCTGTCAGAACATTGAAAATACAAGGAATCATGCTAAATATAGACTTACCCATGCCGGTCTTCCCATTTTGCCTTCCATGCGCGCAACGATCCCTGCCGCAATAAGGCCGCCAAAAGCGCTGGCCAGCATATTCGCACCATAAAGAAGAGCAATTCGCGGAGGTAATTCTGATCTTTTATACCAACATGACATCAAGAAGAAAACTCCCGGCAGGAACGGTCCTTCTACCAACCCTAGAATAAATCGACAAATGAAGAGCCCAGTGAAGTTTTGTGTGAAAGCCTGGCACATGGAGACCACACCCCATCCTGCGGTAACAACGCCAATGTACACCGATGGTTGAACTCGAGTAATCACAAGATTTGACGGAAGCTGAGTGATAATATCTATAACTGATTAGACTTGATAGTTCGATCGCCTTACTGGAAGTGGCTCTTACATCCGACATAGAAAATCATGAGACAAGTGTTGTATTGAGTGTTTGATATGCCAAGAGTATCGGGTAACCCAGCAACTTTGGCATTCGCAATATTGTTTCTGGAAAAGAAGATAAGCCGGGAACTCTCCTATTATGAAATTGAATCCTGACCGATCAAGTATGTTCATCAAGAAGAGTATAATCACAGCAGGTAGTAAGCAAATGTCAAGTCTGCAAACAAGTCCCCTCTCAAGCGCCTCGAGAGCATGATTTTCCCAAGGTGCGAGTTCGGGTGGGAGAGGAAGCTGTTGTAACGGGCCTCCCTTGATAAATTCCATTTTTCCAGGATCCGAGTTTGCCTGTGATATCTGCTCCATCTTATGCATTCGAGTGATTCGGCAGGAATTTCAGTATTTGAGAATCCAGGATTTCTGGGCTCGAGAAGGGGGTCACTCGCGGAACCCATCCCTCTTTATTACTTGTAAGCCCCACTGATATTATACTTATCCTAGAGAGATAGGAATAGACGTTCTTCTGCATCCTCGGGGTTATAGCCGCAATCCGGGGTAAACGCGGGGAAGTCATGCGGGGGAGGCATGCAAGATGTGTGCAGAGCTAGAAATTAGCGTGATAGGAAGGTGAGAAATCAAAAAATCCGGAGAGAAAGCCGTCACTAGCGACATGACGCCGAGCACACGATATATCGATCAGAAACTCAATACATTGACATATAAATGATCTTACTAGAATGACGATACAGTGCGACGGCACTCGTAAGAGGACAACTTTTTGAGCCTCGGAGGTAGCTCCTTGCAAGCCGCCATGTTGGTTGCCCGTATCAAACTGGAGTACACTGTCGAGGTGACAGCAGTCATGGTGCATGAGGCAATCTCATTGGCTGATATGTCCCGTTACATCGAGTTCGGGGGTGTTAAAGTACACGATCCAAGCTTCACACAACCGAGCTTATCGCGAAGATATTGACTTCTATCAATCCCTGAATCTGCGGCCACAGTTCCCCTGATTGGTATTCACCTTATGAAGGCTGCATTTCCCTCACATGAGCTACAGTATTGGCCGGTGCTTTTACTCTCCAAAAGCTTCTCACACTGCCAGAGGTCACCTCTGTCGTATGTCTTGTCCGAGGTCGGAATGACGAGGACGCTCGGGCCTGCGTACTAAGCGTCCAGGACCAAATACGGATTCCGCGTCAGTGGAGTCGCATACAGCAAGCTCGTAGTTCTTGCCAGGAGCTTGGAAGAACGGACACTCGGACTTGGCGAAGATCTAATTCAGCAACTTGGATACTGGGCTTCATGCATTTTCCACATTGCCGCTCATGTGAATTACGCACAACCATACAACACTCACCGCGATGCTAATGTCGTTGAAACGGCCAATATCCTCCGCTTCCAGGCTAGCGGTCGCCCCAGGCCTCTCTCCCTCACTTTTTATCTCTCTAAGAAGGGGCTTACGGCTCAAAGGTACCAAGGTCAAAATGTGAGATGCGAGGAGGACAAAACTAAAAACTAAAAGACGAGAGCTGAGGGTATGGTCACGAAGGTCACCTGATCTAACATTCTCTTCTTACTTTCTTTTTAATTTCCCGATAGGCAATACATTTTCAATATTGATACGTGTCTTAAGTACACGCGACCAATTGAGTGACTCGTTTGCTCGACTTACCTTTCAAATCCTTGTTGGATTGATTTTCCCAGGCATGAATTTATACCTCAACCTTAGGATGCCTACATGCCAGCGTCGGCCTTCTGATATGGAAGATTCAATTGCCGTTACCAAGTCCTTACCTCGGATCTGTGCATACTTTGGCGTACCGTTCGCTTGTTGCACCCCTGGTGCCTGGGCAGCACGAAACCTAGTCGGCGTGATGAATGTCGTGGTAGGAATATCTGGTTGGTGGCATCTGTGGACTTTTAGAGCGACGGAAGGCATGCCTTCCTCTTATTTCCCTTGATTTTTTTGGTACTAATCGATAAGCGAAAATGTGTATGTGGGCTGGGTCCAAACTAATATTGAACGAAAATAGCAGAGACTAAGACTTTGATGATTGTGAGAATGTATTCAATTGTGTTGTTCAATCGGAATCTCGGTGAGACATCGACTGTACCAAAATCGAGATACATACGGGGACACCCAAGACTAGATTACCCAAGATCTAGTATTTCTAGCATATTACCCGTCGAAATTAGTGTCAAATTGTATATCACCTCATAGAAAGGTATTTACTCTTGTATTATATATATTATACATAATTAAGACATCGTTATATCCAAAAATTGAATATTGTTTTCGCGGACCCTTAGTCTCGTGGGTTATGAACAAACCAGAGAATTATGGAAACGTGGGCTTCTCATCAGTCGCGGGAACTTCCACAAATAATGGACAATCAAGATATAGAAGTATGATCCCTTTTGTTCTCTATTTCATCTATATCAATGACCGTGAAAAGAAAAAAATTGGATAAAAACGGCCCAGCACTAAGGAGCGGCGCACGTGATAACCGCGCGGCAAGCGGCAATTTGACGCCGAACCTCATCCGCAGCTCTGAAGCTTCAGATTCCTCTCCGGACTTCTCCCACGATTCCCGTCAACCCTGCTTAGGTCGCCGACCTAGTCAATTTCTCAAAATGGTAAGCGTTGCTTCACTTTAGCCAATATTCCGCAAATACACTCCCCTTTTGCGTTGTGGACTGAATTTGCTGACCCCAAACCCCCCCACTCTGATAGGCTCGCAACAGCGAAAAGGCCCAGTCCATGCTGTTCCGCTTCCGGGCGCAACAGGCAGCGGATATGGGAATCATTGATATCGGACGCGCTCGACGGCCGAAGGCCATTACGAGTATCGACTCAGTACCCACGTGCGAACGCTGGCGGGGCCAGGTCCTCAAAGAAGTCTCCCGCAAGGTGACGCGCATCCAAGACCAAAGCCTGAGTGACTACCAAATTCGCGATCTCAACGACGAAATAAACAAGCTCATGCGGGAGAAATGGGCCTGGGAGATGCAAATCCGCAATCTGGGCGGTCCCAACTACATGCGAGGAACGGGTCGGGTCTACGACGATGAAGGGCGCGAGATTCCGGGCGGCGGCAAGGGTTATCGATATTTTGGCCGTGCAAAGGAATTGCCGGGTGTGAAGGAGATGTTTGAGGCCGCGGTTCGTCGTGCGAAGGGACCGGAGGAAGAAGAGGGATCTGGGACTGGTCGGGGTGGAGACATCGCGACCAAGAAGGTTGATGCCAATTACTTCGGATATGGTCTCGACGAGGAGGATGGCACGTTGCTGGCTTATGAGAAGCAAAAGGAGAAAGAAGCAGCTGAGAATCTGCGCAGTCCGGGCGATGACGATGCCGAGGATGGCTGGCAGTCGTTACCCGGAGATGCGGGCGACGGGGTGGAATGGCGACTTCCCACGTTGGAAGAGGTTCAAGAGGAACTTGTCAACCGGCGACGAGAACGGCTTCTGCAAAAGATCTCTTGAGCACCATTCTCTCTTCTGTGCACCCGAGGCTTCTCGTTCCATCTCCTTCTATTTTCTTCTCTTCCTTTTTTTGGCGTTACGGATACTGTTGCAAAATATTCACCTCTCGAGCATTGTCTTACTATTTTTTTCCAGGAACATCGTTTGATCGTTCGACTGATATGCAATGATTATATCACATTCATTTATTCTCATTATTGTATACATACATCAAGAGGGACTTTTTACATCTCCCTTGTTCTTTCGAGATACTCTCTCGACTTTCAAGGCCTGAGACATGCTCAGACGAACTGGCTGATCCGGGTCATCCCGTCGTCGCTGCTCTTGATTCAGATCATCGAGAATAAAGCGGCCAAGGCTCCCTGATCGCCATTTCTGAATGAAATGATGGGCCGCAGATTCCAGATTGGGAATTCCGCCTTTCCCTAGAAGTCCAGTTTGGCGTGCGAATGATTCAAGCAGTGGAACAACTTCGTTCGTCGGCTCAGACCACCGCTCGTACGCCTGCATATCGTGCAGGTTGATCTGATATAATAAGTAGTCCACAAGGGTGACTGGTGAGATAACTGCATCCTTGACACAGCCACACAAAGCCAGCTTGAGCATGTTTTCTGCATCCGGGACGTACGGCATGAAAACACCCGGAGTGTCGAGCACGTAGACATGCGATCCATTCTCTCGATCAATGATTTTTACAGGGGTGGCGATTTTGCGCGTGATCCCGGGCTGACCTCCAGTTTTCAGCGCCTTCGCTTTGCCCACGCCGTGATTCCGTAGATGGTTGATCAATGTTGATTTCCCAATATTGGGCATGCCGACTACTAGAACACGGCATCCGACCAGTTTATCGGGAGCCTCAGCGTCATCTCGAAGGTGTTTGATGATCTGAGTAACATCCGCGCGGGATGATGAACTCACGAAAAAGACGGCACTTTTGGAATCGAAGCTCCGGACCTTTTTCTCAATCTGTAAAGTCTTTGCATTAGTTTATTGTTACTGTGGTCCATGATTCCTCGGCTTGCACTGTACCAGCTTCTGTGTAGGCGACTGAGGAATACTACCAAGATCTCTCTTGGTGTAAACAATGAGTCGCCTTGTCTTGCCCAATGCTTCTTCAAACATCGGATTTATGGAAGTCACTGGAGCTCGGTAGTCGCGACATTCAACAACGTAGTCAATTGACGAGAGCATATTCTTCATCTTGGTCAATCCAGCCCGGTGGTGGCCCAGGAAGTAAGACCTCGGAATGGCCCCATAATGGGGGAAAATTTGGCGAGGAATAAAATGTGTCATGTTTGAAAACAACCAAAGGTCAAATGGGTGAAAACATAGTCATGATTGCCTTCCGCGTTGCAGTCGCGAGAATACCAAAGAAGATGAATCTCAACATCACGGCAATTTTTTGCCGTTTTGTCCGAGGCGGTATCGAAGGCGGTGGATACGAAGTCTTCTATGACGTTTGCTACCTCAGAGTGGATATCGAAATGTATACTGTACCATGGGCTGTTCTTGGCATTCTATGCATGTATCCCCCCGAATTTTATCCTAGGTCATCCTGATACCTGACTGAATGTTTTCATGTCGTTGATAAGAGATAGAAACACGAACAAATACAACTTGATTTTTTTTTGGAATTTAGTATCGATATATATCTTTGAAGATGTCGGGTTTGAGATGATACTAGAGAGCATCTTACAGGGTATCAATTCAAGTCTTAGAAGTCAAGAAATTGATAGTACAACAAACTCAAGGTAAGATCCTCTAATTTTTACGTAAAGGCGACGCGGCTGGAGGGCAGAAACTCATCTCATCAGATTATGATACTAAATACTAGTCACCCCTTGGAAATTTAGTCGAGTATGTTCAAAAGGATATTGTTGTATCACGCAAGTATATCATTGAGATTTTGTTTCATGGATTAGCTCACTCAAATGATCGTAGTGCTTCCTCCTGGATTCTGGCCAATTATAATCATCCAGGTAGCGGGCAATCTGTTGACGCTGTGAGCCCTGAAAGGCGATCATGTCATCGATCGCTTTCTGATGTTTAAGAGTAGAGCATTCAGGCTCCGAAAGAGCTCTGAAAGTCCCGTACGAGATATTCTGATGCCGACTGACATTGCCCGAGTCAAATGGCAGCATTTTAGAGGCGAAGTTCCATGGCAATATGTTGAAAGAGTCTAGTGGGACGGTTTGGGCCCACTCCCAGTCTATAACACCGATAATTTTGCATTCATCATCGAAGAGTAAATTCTGCCAATGCATATCGGCATGTTGAAGGAAAAAAGGCCCAGTGTCTAAGGATTCTTTACCAGCATGTTCCGCGGCCCGGACATGTAGTGCAGCAGAGTCCATGCCGTCCGAAACGTCGGAGGACCCTTCAGCCTCCTGCCGGCCTTTCTCAAAGTTATATACTATCTGTGCGCGTTTCCTATAGAATGATCTTGATGACTCAAACGGGCCATAGATACGATCTTTGCGGTCGATAATGGGCCCAACGGTCACTTTTCCTGGTTCTGAAGCAAAACGAAGCTGCCCAATGCTGTTGAATGGCTTCTCAGCTAGCTGCCAAGCAAATTTCGTCAGCTGGCGATGTATTTCCAGCAAGTCCCTGTCCTTGATACGGCGTTGATCGTTAAAAGGAAAAGGGTAAGGTTTTCCAGGTATATACTCCATGAAGATATAGGGTGTTCCAAGTGCGTTGGTGTAAGTGAGATCATATTCATATACGCCTGGAACCGGGATTTGTGTATTTTCCTTTACGAATATCATGGTTGCGACCTCACTCTCCAAGAGGAATAGGCGATTTGCCACGCGCTGTGTATAATCTGGGTCAGTAGGTTTGATATTCAGAGGGTTGTGCAGTCGGGCCATCCAAAGAGTGTTGTCTGGCATCCGGAGTCGATATAAGACGTTGCGTTTTCCGTACTGGGGTTCCGAGTTGTCGAGCTTTGCGATTTGCCCAGCGCCATCTAGCCAAGGATGCAAGTCAGTCCAACGCCTTGAGGCGAGATCACATATCCTTTCCTCAAGCCCTGATTCCCGAATCTGAGCGGCAAACGTTTTGCCTATGAAGCCAGGGTCATCCTGAAATGGACGGGGCGTAATCCAGTTTTTATATTCTCGCATGTTATTTTAGCCACCAGATATTGTTAGGCAATGACAGATACAGGGGTCGGATGCCAGAGAAATTATTAAAGAGCAGACGGGTTTTTTGGGGGCAAAGAGGCCGATCCTTTCAGCCGCATTTTGTATCACTTTTCTCCTGCCTGCGCGCTTACACACGTGGATTCCCCACATTCTATTTGCGTATCACATCACGTGCGGCGCCGCTGCTAATGCAAGATTCAAGCAAGTGCTGGCTACAACTGTTCTTGGTGACGAGTTCATATCAAACAAATGATTGAGTACGATCTTGTTTCTCGAACAGGAATCATCGAGTCCACTGTATCCGGCAAGACCGCTGATCTTCGTCAAAGTCAGACCCATGGGTGCTTCTGGAAGTGCGTTTGGAATAAATGATTCTAGAAATCACGACCCGAACGTTCATGTTTGCCGAGACTCTGCATCCATTCCTTTGATTCATTATTCGCCATGGACAGTCGCTTCACAATGTCGACCGTAGCTATCCTCATCGCGACCCTCCTCTAACAGACTTAGGTCATTAAACTACAAAGCAGATTACGGTCCTCGCTATCCCAGATCTCATTGTGATTTCGCCTATGACCCGAACCATTCAAACTGCCATCAATTTATTTCCATGGATTCTCGGGTCGGCTCCCTTCAACGTCGACGTGCAGATCTGGCCCGATCTCCGAGAAGCTCACGATGCCATCTGCAATCAAGGCATTTCTCAAGCTGAGATGGCAAGGAAGTTCCCGGCATTCAATCTTACAGAATGTTCAGAGGAGTGGGATTACCCTCCCTACACTATTGAAGATGCCACGGCTCGCGCGGAGTCGGTCCGACATCGTCTTAAAGAAGCCTCCAAACGCTACAGAAACATCTTGATTATCACACATCGAGGGTTTCTTGTATTCCTTGTCCAAGGAGATAGATACGAGGTCTGTGAAACACGTTCGTATAGATTTTGTGAGGCGACCGAAACGGAAATAGAGTCAAAAAGAATGGGGTTCCACATTGAGACGAACGACCCGCAGGATTTTGGACCGACCGTTCTTCTGCCATACCAGGCTCATTCGGAGCCTGATGAGACCCTCGAAATTTCTGTTGAGTGACCCCGCATGAACGAAGAAAGCTGAAAGGGAAAAATGCAACAATAAAACATTGATTGGTAGGCAGACCTGTTGTGCCAGGTCTGATATACGCTAGACTGTCAACGGTACTACGCCTGAGGGGAGCTTACCAGTCCCATCGAGACTACAATCAGTGCTTTTAAACCTCTTCTGCTTATAACGGCGGCGGTCACCATAACTGCGATAGCCGTGACTAGAGTACTCAAAATACTAAGACCGAGACTACATCTTCGAGAATTACACCGGTCAGTTCAACTACGATGATTTCCTCTTGTCAGTCTCTCGTCTCGTCCTCGACCGCTGTTCGTACTATTCAGTCGCCGTCGATAACCCCTACTTCAACACCCATTATTCCAAGCTCGACCAGTTCACAAGTCCACCAGCTTTACGACAGAGTCCGAAAGCTGGATTTTGACTACAAGTGGTTTGGCCGCTCCTGTCTATGCTGATACTGCCGGGGGCGCCGGATCAAACCCCATATGGGGGCTAGCTTGGCCCTTTGCATTCTTATGGTAGCATTTAAGCCGCTATTCTGATAAATTGGTCATGCATGATAGATTACAAGAACAGGACGCGGTCATTCTGCCGGTCCGGATCACCTCACTCAAATTGCCCTTGAGGCTGTTTTTGAAGAAGTTCTGTAAGGAGAACATGTATATACTACCTCATTCATGTCCATGAGTATCAAAAAATTACTAATGATCATTAATCATCAATTAATCAATCAATGAACCGAAGAAGAGCCTTTTCAAAAGATTGTTGGATTCTAAGCCATTTTTGTTGTCATATGAGGAGAAAATATCCGATTAGAAATTGCCCCACACAAGGAGGCCAGAGGAAGATCGTTCTTCGGACCTGATGATTTGCATAATTACTTAACTAATCCCGTCCGATAGGATTTACTGCGTTGGAGGGCGCATTGAAAACTTGTCATTTTCACTAGGCGGTCTGAAAGGCGGCCATGGCGCCAATGTGACGCAACAAGCGTGGACTTCTAGCGGGCCCTAATTCGATGCAGTTGGCGCCGGGTTTGCATGTTGGTATTTGAGTTTTGCTTGTTGAAAAGTCTCGTTCTTTTCTCCTGGTCTCTTACATCGTTTATCATGTTAAATTTATTAGCATCTCTTTGCACAATAAATACTCTCTAATCTACAATGCCGCTGATGTCAGCCTTCCGCCCTCCATCTACCCGTGTTTCATCAATCCGTCGCACCTCACGACCACGTCGTCGAAGAAGGACAAGCAGACATGAACCTAGAGATCTTGACTCAGAAGGTCACGTCCAGGATTCCGATGCACATTCAAGCATCACACCTTCCAAGCATACACCGCGAGCCTTTCGAAAGCTACGGGGCTCGGTGGCAGCTGGTGGCCCGCTTCGACCATTCAGACTAGTGAAGCAGGATATTGTGAACCTGCGCCGACGATGGGTTTCCGACTGGACGGTTTTCAACCAACTGATCTTTGCAAGCGCCGTCTACGTGTTCTTCACTAATCTCCTACCTGGCATCACCTTCGCCAGCGACTTGTATGTCTTGACTGGCAAGAGTTGGGGCACAATCGAGGTGGTATTTAGCACGGGTCTTTGTGGAATCATATTTTCCCTGTAAATGCCTCGCTTCTATTACTATTAAAGCAAATTCTACAGTGACTCATGCCTCTGAACAGGTTCTCAATCCAACCCCTCACTATTCTCGGCGTTACGGGGCCTTTTTCTGTCTTGGCAGAGAACATTTATTCGCTCTGCCAAGATGTTTTCCAGGTATGCCATGGGCTATGCTATTCTTGGCTTACTTTACCATTTCGGATGATAATGTTGGGTAGATTCCATTTCTTCCATTTATGGCCTGGTCCTTGATCCACTCCGCCTGGCTGCATTACGTCCTGGCTATCATCAATGCTCACGACTGGACGATGCGCTATGTGACTACTTTCGCTACAGAGATATTCTCCCTCCTGAACAGTATTATCTATTTTCACAAAGCTATTCAGGAGCTTGAGAGAGCCCACGAAAATCTCTCCTTTGCAGCATTTCTCTACGCCATTATCGGTGCGGTCGGCACAATGCTTCTTGCTATCTTCCTGTCCACGGCTGAGAATTGGCGACCGCTATTCCATCGTTATATTCGCCTAGGCTTAACGGAATATGCAGCTGCCATATCGATTATCATCTTCATTGGCCTACCCTATGTGGGCGAGCTCGCCAACCTGGATAAAATGACACTCAACGTGAGCACCTCATTTCGGCCAACGTCTCCGGACCGAGATATATTTTTCGTCAAATTTTGGGAATTGCCCATACAATGGATATTTGGTGCCATTATACCGGGTCTTATCATCACCATGCTGTTCTTCTTTGACCACGAGGTCAGCTCCATTATCTGCACGATTGATCGATATGGGACTCGCAAGCCAGGAGGGTTTGCTTGGGATATCGTTTTGCTTGGAACCACGACAGCTTTGTGTGGAATTCTGGGCATCCCGCCTGCCAACGGCCTCCTCCCACAAGCACCACTGCACTCGGAGTCTTTGATGCATTCAGCGAAAGAGGAAAGGACCATCATCGTGGACGGTGAAGAGAAAACGGAACTTCACGAAGTTCGACGTGTCTACGAGCAACGTTGGTCTGCGTTCCTCCACTCGGGTGCTATCCTGGTTTTCATAAGTCCTCCATTTATGAAAGTGCTCGGTTTGACTCCGACTAGCGTCTTGGCTGGCCTCTTTCTCTTCATGGGAGAGCAGAGCTTATCAGTTAAGTAAGCCACCCCCCTCCTCTCTGCATGGCTCCAAATTGAAATTGACCTTTACGCAGCCCTATACTATATCGAACATTCTACCTCCTCACTCCACCATCAGAGCTGCCACCGCTGCCGCAAGCTCTATTGCAACGCACTGAGCCAAGAGCCGTCGGTGACGACAACCCCCCTCGCAATCCGTCATATCTTCCAATCCATCTCTATACATTCCTCCAAATCGTCATCACTGTTATAATCTTCATTTTAACCCTTACGCGCGGTGCACCTGCATTCCCGATCTTGATTATCGCCTTGGTGCCGTTCCGACTATGTGTCATGAACAGATGGTGGCCGCGTGAGGTGCTTCGTTTTGTCGACGCCTGGGCATGTCGTGAGGGCACACCGGAGGATGATGAAGACGCATTGACGAAATCTCAACAAGCTGATCAACAAAGCCCAGGCAGGGAAAGGTGTGAATTCGTCCAAGACGGTGTTTTCCAGCGCGGGGCCGAGGCCGATAGTAGTGTCCACGCTTCCGTCCCTGGCCCAAGTGAGATAAAGCACCAGATAGGAAGTTCCCAGATCGATGTCGCAGACAGGGAAATATGGGGAACGACTAAAGAAGATATGAATCATGAATGGGTTGAGCTTGGACATAGAGGCCGTTCCGATGAGGAGCTAGGCCACAAATGATAGATTCCTTTCCCGTCCTCTCCGATGAGAGCGGTGCGACGGTGAAGAAGGATACCTGTCCGCAAGCTGATTTTAGCCATTTGAATGAGTGCAACAAGATTGACACGGATTGATAAATTCAGTATCATTAGACTGCACTATTGGGTATCCTGTTTCTGTACATAATCGCCGTGCGCCAGTTCTATGAAGATACATATCACATCAGAATTCCTTAACTCCTAGCAACCTTCTTGTCTAAAATAAGAGGAATAAATGCCCTAGTCACATCATTAGCATGGCGTTGCCGTAAGTGCAGCTCGATGACGAAAGGCTAGGCCCTCCAGCCTTGCACAAACTCATGCAAGCGATCGATGACCACGCCGAATATAGCATTGACACTGTCTGCGATCAATTGCTCGAAATGACGAATGGCTTCCTCTTCCGTCATCTCCAGATGGAAGCGCTCTTTGACCTTCAAGACAGCCTTGTCAGGTTCAACACGGATATCTGGAATGTTCGCATCGACCATCAAGCTGAAGAGATTCAGAATCAAATTGGCAGACTTCCGTAATGTGGTATACGCAGTATAGCAATATTGCTTGAACTGCAGGTAGTGCGGGGAAGTGGTCCCACCCATACCCTCGACCATCTCCTGGCAGAGCTTCATCATTGGAGCAAATGGCTTGGGATCCCGCCCGAGAATGAAACCGAAGTCGGCATGGAAAAAGTGACCGTCTGGTGCAAGGAGAAGGTTTTCCAGATGCCGATCACCGACTCCAAGAAGGTAGGTGATCACGCAGTAGCCTGCACAGGACTTTATATAAGTATCCATGGCTTCTTTGCGAACACCCAGGGGCTCATTCTCGTCCGGGTTGTGCTCTTTAAGATACGCCAGAATAGATTTGTATTTTGCGGATGCGGCAGAAAGTGAAGTGGATGGGATGAATTGAGCAGCACCGGCCGTGGAGCTCGTAGCAAGGATCCGGTACGGTGTTAACTTCAAGTCAAGGTTCTCTTTCTGCAAGAGACGATCCATTAGGCTGATAATTTGAATGACCAATTGGTCCTGACGAAGATCGTCTCCAACTTTAAACAAAATGGGGTAAGGGCGACCCTCGGCCGTCTTGAACGTGATATGAAGAGGAGATAATGTTGATTTAAAGACATTAGACTGATCAGGATAACACCCAATGACCGAGACATCTGGGTCCAACGGCAGGGGCAGTGGTGGATCGATCTGAATCAAATCATGCTTCGGGTCACGAAGAGACTTCTTCAACTTCTCGATCTTCAGGGGTCGACTCTCACGGGAGAAACGAATATCTTTCGCAATCTTCGAGAGCACGGCAATCATTTCACCTTGGCGCAAGAGGATTTTTCGATGCTCTGCGTGGACCTTTTCCAATTCGGCCATGAAGTAATATTCAACCCGGGCAAAGAGTCGACGCTGGTTGGACAAAGTTCCAGGGCCGGCATCGTCACATTCAACCATGAGATACCAATGAAGGTAGTTTCCAAACTTGAAGTTTTCCGTGGCCCGTGTGATAATAAAGTTAGCAAGGGAAGAGTCGTGCGCAGCTTCATCTACATCATTTTCGGAGTTTTCCTCATACTTCAGCGCCTGCACAAGTTGAAGAAGATAGAGGAGGAGCTCTTCATCATCTGCTTTGCGAAGTCTTGCGACCGCATAAGAACGCACAGCCGGGTTATCGAATGTGGGACCCAGAAGCTCCAAAGCATCATCAACATCAATCTCGGTCCACTTGGGAAGAATTTCCACTGCTTGTCGGGATTCTCCCTCATCCCGCCAATTGACCGATTTGACAAACTTGGTTAAGGCTCTCTTTTCTCGGGTAAGGTAGTACCTGAATCTCCATATGAGGTCCTTTTCTTCGGCGGTAAGATCCTGTGTCGGCTCGTAAGACAATATGACATTCAATTCATCACGATTCTTCGGGTTAGGTCGTAAGTCTCGATCCATGAATCCGGTCCTGTGACTGCGAATCAATCGCCGGTGTTTGTCTTCACAAGGATTTCCTGTCTGCCCGACCTCCGGGTCATAGATCTTGACAACCTCAGTACCATCACCTCCATCGATTCCGGGACCGAAGCGAACCTCGGGTACGGGCTTCAATGCAGAATTAGGGTGAATGGGCGCGTTCTGGGGATAGGACGAGATAGGTGGAGGGGGATACTGATGATCAGCCCAAACGATTGGATGGTCAAAACGTGGGAAATCCACATAGAGAACAAAACCCTCATCATCTAATTCTTGATCGTCCGAACTACCGGCATCATCCACATCATCTGCGGCCTTTTGTTTGAGTGTCTTGAGATGGAGTGCTCGCTTCCGGGCGGCTTCTTCCGCTTGCATCTTGAGCTTCTCCAATTGACGGAATACCATTTGGTCCATCCAATCAATGCGAGTAATGTCACCCATCTCGTGCTTTTTGATCAAAACTTCTATCCGCTCCAACTCAGCCTCTTCTGGAGAAGGTCCCAGTAAGTCGCGTGCATTGTGCTTCCGTCGTTTTGGGGCCGGAATAGACGGCGTCGTTGTAGAAGAGCATCCGTCCGCTGCTTTGTGTCGGTAGATCTTGCATTTCTGCCGTCCCATTTTCAGCTTGCCCTCATTGTCAAATAAAGAGATGGTTGTCCCGCCAAAGGGAACATCATGATCTTGTGAGCCATCGCCAGCCAGTGGAGACAGGTCCCAGACTGTGATTGCTATTTGAGAGTTAAATGGAGCGTCCTTTAGGACCATGGGCATCTGTAGCCATTCATTCCACACTCGACTAGTTTTGAACACTCGGTATGCGGTTTGCAGGGGAACACCGAGAGGCTTCGAGTCCGACCATAGCTGGGCTGTAACGAAGAGGTCGGAGGCAGGATTTTGGGAGGACCCAAGATATCGTAGTTCCGGGTTCTGGACCAGTTGCGAGAATGGAATCTGCTTCTGTTTGCCTTCCAGTGTACCGCTGTGGATTCATTAGCAACCTTTGAAGTCGAGTAAGATTCTCTGGAGCCTACATCTTGATGTACACAGGTAGGTCCACCTGAGTGGAGAGTGCAAAGGTGAATGCCTCCATGCTCATGGAACCCCAACAACGCAGCTCAGCGAAGCTCCGGGGATGAGAGCTCCTGCGGGGACTGAGTCAGCTATCATCACGTGTACTTCACCCACTCACATCATGTGACTGAGATTCCACCGCAACGCGATCACGTGCGTTGGCGACGCGACGGATGCTGATAGTTATCAGAAATGCAGAATACAAGATCCCTTTCATAAGCGTGCAGGTTGCGGTTTGCGCGCTTCGATTATTAAGAATCTTCTCTGTGTATTTTCTGAATCTTCCACGTTCTGTTTACAAGCAGTGGGTGCTTGTCTTGTCTGTGTTTGCAGCCTGAAACTACCTTCGGGTTAGATAGCGCTGTTTGAGCATGGCGCGTATCCCACTATCTCAGCTGGGCCAAGGGACCTCCCACGGCTCCAACATTTCGACATCTCCTAGATCATCTTCGGATAAAGAAAACCGCCGACAGAGCGTCACTAAACGAACCAGTGCTCAGATGGCGCGTACACCACAAGCCAGCAAACGGCGCCGACTAACCGATCGCACATCAAGTATTCAGTCGCAAGTACCCTCCTCGCAGCGCAACAATGGCACCAAATTCTATGATCCCGATCAACCCGAAGCAGAGCGACGCGCTGTTCGGAGAGGACTGAGAGACCTCTCAAGCAATCTCAATGGTAGTTACCTTCCACACCCCGCGCCATGAGCATGTTTAACAGTCTCTATAATAGACTCGCACGCCGAGTTCATGCAGTCAGGAAACGATGGCCTCTACAGAACTGTTTTACAAGCGAATGAACTCTTCACTCAAGTCAAGCAAACCTCTGATGCCACCCTCGACTCACGCCTCCTCGTCCAAGCCGCGGATGCCTCGCACAAGAAAACCGCGCAACTTGCGCTCGGAGATTCCACCGCCGGTATCGACATTGATGAGTTTGTCTCCAAGTGCATCTCATATATGCGCAGTGGCCCCGATCTTTCTGAAGGCTCAGCCGAAGATACTATGCGAGGCCGATCGCGTAACCATCGAAGCCAACGGGACCCGAATGACAGCGATGAAGAAAATCACGGCGATGCAATGAATTGGGACTGGCTTGGCCGATCCGCATGCTTTCCATTCAGCGCTAGGCCCGTGGTATCGGGATGGCTACTTGGTCCATTGTCCGTGCAAAAACGCACGAGGCAGCTGACCCAACGAACTGGGCGTGAGCGCTTCGACCAGACAGAAGCCGTCCAGCCACAGGAACTCCGGCAAGCAGATCTTGGGCAGCAAGAAAGCGCAAATCTTACAGAGATCTGTTCCAAGATCAACAAACTGCTAGCCGATACCCAGAAAAATGCCGAAAGCAAAGTCAACTGGATCCTGAGCCAGGAAGAAGATCCCTCCGAGGAGAGATTGCAGGAAGTCATGGATGAGAACTGTATTGCCGACGATGGCGGGATTCCCCTATTCCGCTTCTGTGTTAATCCTCGGTCGTTTGGACAAAGCGTCGAAAATCTGTTTTATATCAGCTTCCTGGTACGAGACGGCCATGTGGCTCTAAACACGGATACTCGTGGGTTACCGACTTTAAGTGAGACACCCTTCTTACCAATAGCCAATGTGTTATCGAGATACTGACAATTTGATCATTGCATAGTAAGCACGGCCCCCTTCGCGCCTAATGAAGCCCAGCGAATGGGTATTCAAAAGCATCAGGCTATCTTTACTTTAGACTTTGACACTTGGCGAGACATGATTGAAACATTCAACATTAAAGAGTGTATTATCCCCCATCGCGAGGAAGTGCAGGAGGAAACAGGCCAGACCTGGTATGGCTAGGAGCTGTCCACGTGATGTCCCGTATACGATTGTTTCTTTCTGTAGGCTGAAATGATACCCTGGAGGCGGTGTTTTGGTGCTGTGTACTCATGGATCATATTATTCCAAGTTATTTCATAATCATTTGCATAAATCATAATTATGAATTGTCTTCTGAGAGGCATCGAAATTGTTTCCGAACGGTTTGTCATGGGAATCGCCGGAATAGCGGCGAATGGCTGTCTAGACCATTCCGTTGTATAAGCAGTCGAGCTTAAAGTGGAGACGGCCCGAGCTCGTCGATAAGCAGCCACCCTCACGTCATCGAAGCTGCTCCCATCGATCCTGCCCTTGTTAAATCCAAGCCTACCTCTTCACATGCACCTTCTTCGAAATTTCATTGCTCTCATTTCCCGTTAACCACTCAACTTGTCTCTCTCAACTTCTTCAAGATATATTCCAAGACCTGAAAGCACGGTTGACTGCCGAGGGATCCAAACAACAGATATCAGCTGTCGCTGGCCATTGCATAAGGAAAAATATAAGAAAAAAAAAAGCAGAGCAAGCAGACCGGACACCTTCTCGATGCCGCAACTCTTCCCATCTAATCCGTCGGCAACGATGGTCATTCGCTCGGTGACCCCCAACATCGTCACTTTCAGCCTGCCATTCGCACGTTTTGGGATTATGCGATTTGGCGGCCGAGGAACCTTGGGTAAGTAGCTTCCCCAACACCGTGAACAGACTGGCACATAACGCTGGGTCATGTGCAGTATGACAACGGATAGTATTGTTTGATGAAGGTCCATATGCTAATCAATGTCGCCTTTTTTCCTGTATCACAGTCAAGCTCGCCACAGGTTCCCTCGCTGTATTCTCGCCCGTGAGTCTCACCGCGGAAGTACGCGAGAAGGTTGAATCGCTGGGTGGCAATGTGAAATACATTGCCGCGCCGGATTTGCAGCACCATTTACACATCACGGCCTGGAAGAAGGCCTACCCACAGGCCGAGATCATCGCGCCCGAAGGCCTATGGGAGAAACGCCAGTCGAACAAGGATTTCTGCGATACTCCGTTCCAGCACGTGTTCAAAAAGGACAGCCCCCGGCCGTCCATCTCCGAAGAGTTCGACGCCGAGTTTGAGACTGAGTACGTGCACGGACATGCCTCGCGTGAGCTGGTTTTCCTGCACCGGCCATCGCGCACTGTTATCGAGGCCGATATGTTGTTCAACCTGCCCGCCAAAGAGCAGTACTCGAAGACCAATGATGGTAATCCACTGAACTTCTGCACCAAACTGGTGTTGTCGGCCCTGACCACCGTTATCCCTGCCACTGGCCAGCGACGCTTCGCCTGGTATATTCTATCATCCCATGACCGGGCCTCGTTCACCGAGTCTGTGAAGCGGATTATTCGTTGGGACTTCGATCGGTTGATTCCATGCCACGGTGATGTGATCGAGACGGATGCCAAGGCGGTGTTCCAGAATGTTATGGCGTGGTTTCTGCAGGATGAAAAGAAGCATGTCTAAAATGATTGCGTGATTCGCGACGGAGAGATTGAGAATCTGGAGGGGCGAGTTTAATTCCGTGTATTGATTTTGTTTTCTTTTTTTGAGGATTACGGCTTTTGGGAGTTATCTGATACCCTGCAGGTGTTGAGGCGGTTGACACTGGATTACCTGCATTCTTAGTATAACCTCACTAATAAATATATGTAATTCAGGTCATAGCTCCTTCAGGCTCATTGTATCTTTTATGCTGACTTGGAACGTATGGAATTGAAGCAAGAGAAAACGTAGGTCAGAATATGTAACTTTAGGCTTTAAGAAGACCTCTCTATACATTTTGACAAGACCTCTGTATCTTCTGTACGAAGCTAACCAACAATAGGAGGATGTTCAGTAGTCAAAAGAGGATGACTACGATAACGTCAAATGAGATCCTCAAAATAATGTTCCACCACCTTCCCAGCGAGCGGAAGCCGCAGATTTAATAGTAGACCCGTAGGCGCAAGTTCCTTCTAGTTCTGAGGAAAAGGCAATGAGGGCTGGAGAAATCAAAACCAGAGGTGAAGATCCTCTTTGATCTGCCAGATCAACTGTAGAACCACCGGCAACCCAAGCACGTGGCGGGCACAACAAGTCGCTTACCTAGGGCGGACACGGTAGAGGGGCCACGACCCTGTCTACATCTCTAGCAGCCCGAGGACTCGGACAGCCTCGAACTTCTCCTCGCTCGACACCCTGACGTCTCATTAAAACCAGATTCTGGATTTTGACAACAGCAAGCGCTGAGATCATGTAAAATAGGAAAAATGACACGCAGGCGACTACCACGCTACAGCGATCGCCCCGCGGTGGAGCGCCAATCGATATCTGAAGATCGCCCCCATGTCCAACAGTGGGTGCCTCACAGATGGCGTCAAGGCATAGAGATACGCGTGTGCCCGCTAGACATGAGACAAGACAGTTTTGTAGTGAGCTATATAGCTCCACAGGGTCCGTTTTGTCTTCAGACTCGCTAAAAAAAGACGAGGCCGTGAGCTTCTAGCCGCGGGAGCGGACCAACACCACACCAACCAACCCCCTGTGGTCCCTACCTCCCGCTGTAATGTGGGAGTCATACCCACTCGTGTTTCACGAGAGTGGCCTGCCACATTATACAGCGTTTTGCCATGGTAAGGGGTGTCGATGTGCAACAGAGAAAGCATAGCCCGAGACAAGCGAAGAAAACCAGGATTGAGCGGCCAGCGTGCTCCCGGGTCCTCAGGGACACAAGACAGAGAGAAGGAGAGCAAATATTGAAGAATAGAGGATAAAATTTCCATGTTCATCAATGATTCAGAGCGTCAGACGCCTTTGAACCGCTTGTTCCAGCTATTTTAGTGCTGGTTTGCCGATATTCTCCGCTTGGCTTGACACTAGTACGCTGCAGACGAACCTTCTATCTTTTTTTGGCGTGTTGGTTCCGTTTGACAGATTTGAAACCCCGGGATGTTGGTCTCTTTAAAAAGCTGTACACCCCCGAGTTTCGCGCGGCCTGCTATTCCTGCGAGACTTCTTTCTCGCTCTACATCGGCCTGGACCCCCGGAAGGGTCATTTACGTTCTTTACAGGAAGCGAACAACATATCTCCGGACGCCTTGGGTAGCGTCTTCTGTGAGCGGTGGTCTTCTTCCACCGGCAGCCCAAAGATTGTGTAGCTCATCATGTTTGTCCATGTGTTCCTGATAGCTTTTCAGATCACGCGACTCATTTTGCGAGCCACAGAGGCTGCTGTTGGCTCGGTATGTGACTCTCTACCTTGACGATGCTACTGGATATATCACTGATCCCTTTCTTATCTTCTAGATTGCTGTCGGAGTGGTCGTGCTGTATCTCGTTTCGTATGGCAGTTTCAAGTTATCTATACAGTGGCGCCTGCTTCCGCCTGCGGTTCTGGGATTAATGACGGCCTTGACAGCTCTAATCATGGGCTTGATATCCTGTTTCTCCAGGGCCGAGAAAGAGCGGGCTAGTCAAGCCTTCAGTATGTCTTCTTGTTCTCTGTTTCCCTGTCATTTTAACAAAAACAGGTCTAACCTAAATGCTAGCTGACTTCATATTCGCGCACTGTTGGTTTGTGTCTTTCGCCTGGGCGTGGTATAATTTTCACTCAGCGCCAACTTGTGGGAATGCTCTGCAAAATGTGTCCATAAAAGGTTTTGATAATTCCAAAGAATCAACATGCGATCTCTGGGACTATCTCATGGTAATAGGTGTCGCATCCTTCCTGTTCTGGAGCGTTACTTGTCTTTTGGTATGTGCTATATTACCCACTGCGTTGGGACGATTACTAAGAGCTAAATCTTTCTTTCCAGACACTCTGCATTTCCAAGCTGAAACGAAAGAAGAAGTAGTAAGTGGTCCATATGCTGCCTGGTGGCTCATCTTTGCCTTCGTCTTGGTCGAGATTCTTTAAAGAACATCAACCCCCTTCCCCCGCCCTCCTTCCAAACTCTCTGTCCTACGGTCATAATTTGTGCTATGAGCCCATGCTAACGCATAATTAATAGTCATGAGCGTGAAACACGCGCTCGGCATAAACAGAGGAAAGCAATGAAGAAAGCCCAGCCGTCGAGAGCTGCTTTGGGTGGATTCAGACAAAAGCCGAGAGGGGTCAAAAATCCGAGATACCGGCCACTCGTTCCAGGTATGCCGTGGTTGGGATATAAAGATATGAGAGTGGGTTACCGGATGGTTGAAGTTGAGAGAGGGCGCATCTGGAAGACTTTGGCGGGGTTAACAAAGTCAATAAAACGTCAAGAGGCACAGAGCATGGCAGAGAGGCGGGAGCGCCGCCAAGGGCAAGTTTTCACTCTTCCCGATCGTCCTACCCCGGGCTCGACCGCTCGGACGAGAACGGAAATGGAGAGGCCCGTGGCGAGAGAGGAGGTGGAGAGGTCTGTGACGAGCTCAGGGGAGGAGATTGCTGCTACAACAAGGAGAAGACGGGGGAGAAGACGGGGGAGAAGAAGAGGAGGAAGAGGAGGAAGAAGGAGAAGGAGGAGGGAGGAAGGAGGAACAGCAGGAACAGGAGTAGGAGAAAGTGAAGAAGAATTGGAACAAGGATTGGAAGGAGAAAGAAGACAAGGAACAGGGCATACAAGGGAGGGGAGGCGGAGAGGGAGAGGTAGAAGGAGGCGGAGGAGGGGAGGGAGGAGAACGGAGGGAGTGTATGTCGAGGGGGATAACTCGGATCCCCAAACGGATGATTACGACGATCTCTCGGGCTATGATACAAGTTCAGGTTCTGATGAATCATACTATGATAGCTCGGATTCTGAGAGATCCAGACATCGTGATTCTGATTCCGATTCTGAGCTACTCAGGGATGAGTCCGTTACCCGCCCTCCTCCGGCTGTCAAGAGAAACCGCTGGGGATGGATGAATGTCCCCAAGAACGAGCATCACCGTGGAGTTGAGGAAGGTGATAACCAAGTTTAACGACCTTTGACTATCTTGTCTATCATCGCTATACAGCATACCATTCTCAGCTTGGTCATTCGGCACCGAGACAGGTGGGAATCGAAGACTAAGCATGTTGAGGCCTTGTTATATCTCGAGGACCTCGCGACGCGATTGCTCTCGCTCGCTTACACCAAGAATCACTCTACAACGCTCTGGTGATTCTCTACAACAATACGCACTCAACTCTGTTTCTGATCGGGGGTGCTCAAAGTCACTTGGCCCTTCATACTAATAGAATTTCCCGATGGCTCTCAAGAGCTTTTGGAAAATCTGGATTGTACTATCATACTTGTCTTGTTCTTTTTTCGTCGCATTTTGCTCGTGGTGTTTGAGAGGGAGGGATTACGACTTGCATTGATACCCTGGATGAATATCGGTTTAGCGTCTTTTTTTGTGTTGCATGTATATATTTCCACTTCATCCGCCTCAGGTGCGGTGCATCCGCACTAAATATAAAATACGTCTGTAATCTCGGTGATGATTTACATGCTGCCCCAAGAAGTGATCGGCTCATGTAGCACACAGTAAATCTAAACCCAAGTGCTTTGGAAAACAGACCTGGAACGATGGATCAGCGGCCATCTTGGTTTTTATACTACACGGACGGAGACATATCAGAATACTGTCAAAATTAGTACATAGAAACACGGGTAAGCTATCTAACCAAAAACACTAGAATAGCTCATGACTCAATACTTCTTCACTATTCTTGTAAATAAAAACGTGTGCTCCTTGTAGCCGTCTAGAGCTGTTACTAGCTTCTATCAAGGAAGAGAAGCATTTAGTATTTGCTGACTCGAACTGCTCGAGTGAGTTACTTTCCAATGATTGTCTTGAACCAGTAATCGGACTTTGTTCTTGTCCGGCATATCGAAGTGGATTCATATCATACTTCGTCGGTTCGGCTCAGCGTCAGGCTGCCGAATAAATCTCCGACGTCTGTAGCCCGTTTACACGACAGACCAGGGCACATGACGGGAAATCCTACCTTCATAGATGCATAAAATGCCGGCCTTGTATCCCAGTTACAATTCCCGTATCTCATTTTCTTAACTCTGCCTTGATTTTTCTCGTAGATCTGCAACTACGATGATCCCCGATTGCACCACTGTTTCAAGATGACTAATATCACAGCGGAGCCCCCGACGGGCCAGCGTATCTTGGCAAAATAGGACCATCTACATGTAGCATTCTGGCAGACGGTTATTCTGTATCTTCTTCCTGGTGCCTGCAGAAGGAATGCATTCACAGCCGGGGACACTAGGTACCAATGAGGCCGGGCAATCTCCATTGCCAGAGCCGCCTGCCAACCCGACTTACTCGCTTGACGATCTGAGCCCGGCCCGCTATAAGGATGAAGAAGACCCTGAAACCTTCAAAACCCCTCGGCATGGCGACCGGTACGCGGACCTTGAACTGGGTAGTGTCCCCTTACTTCCAGCCGGAGCTGATGAACATGGCTTTGGTGACTCCGATTCCGATTTCGCTGCCTCGGAGTTTGACTTTCAACGGGACGAGCCCAGGCACAACCCGCCGTTTTCCTGCACGTTCGCCGGGCTCCTTGCATGGCTTCGCGGGCCGGCGCCACCCTATATCTATCACATCAACCCCTGGTTCCCCCAATGGCAGGCTGCGCCGGCGCGTCTGATTGATCGATGGGTGCCACGACGGGGAATGAAGATGGCGCTGCTGGTCAGCGGGCTAATCTTTTGGATCGTGGTGTTTTTCTTGTCCCTTCAGGCTTCCCTGGCGGGCCAGGAGGTCCTAGGGTATGGGCAGCCTGTCAAGCTGTCGTGTCACCATCAGTTGTGGTACGTATCTTGAGCCGCGTGGCGCTTGGGACGGATCAATGATGTTTTTCCACCCCCAAAGTATGGCCGGATACAGGAGCGAGCTGACCGTGCGACGTTAGGAACAATGCCACGGACTGTGGTCTCAATGGCGAATTATGCCTTCCATTCGACGAGCAGTCATTCGCGTTCCGCTGTCCTTCCGGCTGCGCGGCTGCCATTCTCCTGGAGCCTTACAATGTCGGCGACCAGGAGCTGAATTACCAGCCGCTGGTGATCGGAGGCAAGCCCTTCCGAGCAGACGGCAAAAGCAGTGGCGTCTATCGCGGAGACTCGTCGATCTGCGCGTCCGCACTGCATGCAGGGCTCATCAACGATGCTAAAGGTGGCTGCGGTATTCTCCACCGTCGAGGCGAGCGAGACAAATTCGAGGCCTCTACCCAAAATGACGTCGAGAGCATTGAGTTCCTCCCGCATTTCCCTATGTCGTTCGTGCTCACTCGCGAGGCCTCTTCGCCCGGGTCCAGTGAAACAAAGCCTGTTGAATGCTTTGATATTCGATGGTCACTATTCGCGTTCACGGTGAGTATCACAGCGATCTTTTCGATGACTGTCATATCGGCACCGGTCTTCTACAGCGTTATTTTCTTCATCGTGTGGTTCCAAGTCGCCATGGCATCTGATCCGCCAGGCTCTTCGAGTTTCTATGGCCTGCTATCTGTCGGCCTGGGTCGATTTCTTCCCGGCGCATTCGTCGGGTTCGCCATATACTATTTCTGTATCCGACATACTCTCTCGAGCCTCGAAGCACATGTCGATAAAACCCTCCTCTGGCTGGGCGGCTGCTGGGTTGGCGCCCTCAACACAGACACCTTCGACCGAATTCCCATCTCGCGCCTCACTCCCCATGACCTCCAACAGCAACCCGGCGCCATCACCGCCCTCATCACCATCATCGGAGTCCTCGTCGTGATCACCGTGATCCAAGCCCACGCGTTCCGCCAGGAGGGCCGTCTGCTTTCCCAGCTGCGCCTCTATGGCATCCTCGCAGCCGGCATTCTTATCCTCGTCTTCGTTCCCGGCATGAACCTCCGCATTCACCACTACATTCTCGCCCTCCTCCTGCTCCCCGGTACCACTCTGCAAACCCGGCCCAGCCTTTTGTTCCAGGGCATCCTGCTCGGCCTCTTCATCAATGGTATCGCACGGTGGGGCTTCGACTCCATCCTTCAAACGCCCGCGGCCCTCCTCGATGGAGGCCGCCTCGGCACTATTCCACCCCCCGCCAGTCCACCACACATCGAGGACGCGCACCATCTCTCGTTCTCCTTCCCCGACCTGCCCGCGCATGTCGACGGCATCAGCGTGATCGTCAACGACGTGCTGCGCTACCAGCAGCTGAAGCCGAAGAGCGGCGGCTCCGTCCCGGACTTTGCCTGGGCGCGCACCCACACCACTCAGCCCGAGTATTTTCGCTTTGGGTACGTCCATGCCAACGCGCTGGGTGGCGTGTGGTACGAAGATTTCTCGGCAGCATCGACGTGGGCGGTTAATGGGACCTTTTCTTATCCGGCATAAGAAACTTGGTCTTGATTGGACTGGCTATCTGTTGCTTTCTTGTGCTTCTTTTTGTTGACTTAGCTCTTGTACTACTAGAATAGACAGCATTGGTGATATTGCGAGTAATTTTGAACGTGTTTTTGCGCAGATTCTAGATATCCGTGCTTGGATTACATGGTCATGCCAAAAAAAAGACTGGTAACTAGCGCGACATAGATTATTTGTAAGTCGCCAAAATCATTTTTACCTGGCCGCTATGCAGATCTAGCCAGACGAGTTCACGACCGCTATGAATTTTTCTGTTCCAAATTGCAATGGAGCGAAGCGAAATCTCCATAAACCCCTGCCCCCTGATGCCGCTAAAATGATAAGAATATGCGTATGACACAGACCGTGAGTTGCACGGTAGAAACCAAATTACATAAACCCCAGTCAACTTGAAGAAAAAGTAACTCCCGCTCTATACATTGCATGCCGTGACGCCAAAACAAAAACAAAACTCCGAGCTTGCAAATGCGATGACCAATGCAGAAATAATATAAGCGCAATAAACGCAACCGAAGATGATGCCGGAAATCTCAGGTTTTAAGAATAGTCACGGCAACGCACTTGCACTAGGCTCTGCTTACCGCCGCCTTCGATGACGAGTGCAGTCAGCTTGCCGCCCTTGACGCAGCCGGAGTCGAGGCCCTTTGTATGGGTGCGGATCTTGAGGCCTGTTTTGGCGTCGTGACCGTAGATAACTGTCATGGTTTGGGAACGCGGGTCTGCGTGGGAGGACTTGAGACTCGAGTAGAGGAGGGACTGGTGCTTGTCGAACATCTAGCCATGGTGAATGAGGGTTAGCTAAAGCATTCTAAAGGAAGTCTCGACTAGAATTGAAGATGGTACGAGGAGTGTCGCTTACCTTGGCCCAATTCAGACCCTTGCTTGACGAGCTGGGCACATGGGTATCCAAATGGATGGTCCGCATGGTCATTGCCGTTGACGGATCCTGCTTCTCAAGATCCACGCCAGGTACTAGACCCGCATGCACAACAACGACCTGGCCCATGCTCGGAATCGGACCGACGTTGAGGATCACCGGACAACTATTCAGCCAGTCAGCCTGATCGTCATTGAGCGAGCGGGCCAGTGCGCGCTCCAGCGCCTCTTTCTCCGAGATATCGTGCATCTTGACATCATGCACGTCCTCTCCAGTAAGTGAATTCGCCTCAACCATCTGATGCCGTAGAAGCAAGACGCGGTCCTCGTGGTTGCCGCGCACACACGAAGCGCCCATTTCGCGCGCAATGTCAATCACGCCGCTGCTGTCGGGACCCTTGTTGATCATGTCGCCCGCAAAGACCAGGTGGTCACCGCCCGTGGTCGAGAAATCGATTTTCGCCAGCAATTCAAGCACTAGTAGAGAATGCGGAGTAAGCAATCGAGCACATCGACAAATCCATCGGTGCTGCGAGAGAGAGAGAAGGGGGATCAAACATACACTCTTCTTTACAACCATGCACATCTCCGACGATCACCAATCGCTTCTCGCTCCCAGCACCTTCGCCCTCCAGCGGAGCCACGGGAAGCAGTGCTGGATCCAGGGTACGGAGCTGGATAAGGTCGTCAAATCGGGGCAGCGAATTGCTCCCGAACCAACCACCAGTTTCCGTTTTCGAAGTCGGATCAAGTGAGTGCAGCAACTGACTGCGCTCCTGTAGACGTGGGTATAGAATCAAACCCCAGCCAGCCCAGCCGAGGAGAAAGAGGCCGAAATAGACAAGGACATAGCGGCGGAAGCGCGGCGCGGAGATTATGGACAGAGCGATCTCGAGCCATCGAGGGGTTTTGACGTTGTCAGGAGAGACGGAGAGGGGGTGATAGGATGCGGTGGTCTGCCAGCCGTTGCGAACTGAATCGATAAGGGGCCGGGAGAAGCGCGAGATGCCACCCGTTGAGGAGTGGCGACGGTGGGCGTTGTGGTTGGGAGGCTTGTAACCGTCATCGCCGTCGAGATCGATGTCGGAGTCATAGGAGGGCATGCTGGTCGAATGGGATCTTGCACCTCGAGAGTCGAAATGAAGAGAGAAGAGGTGAGCGAAGAAGTCAGCAAGACCCTGGGCTGAGACAGCGAGCTTGGCAAAGAACCCCGAGCCTCCGGAGGAAGTGGATGGATTGATCGTGGCTGATCCCCAGACCCACTTAGGCTTGGTTTCGGTCGCTTGGCTGGTGGCCCGACTCCGGACTCCGTTCCAGAGCACGTCAAAGCCGATCCACCGAGTTGCCAAATATAGGATCGCTAGGTTGGAGTATTTGGATGGCTTCCTTGAGAAGAAGTGCTATAATATGGGGGAAAAGGGGTAATTTAGGGCATCATGAAAGAGCGATGTATACAAATCCATCGAGCCAAGTGTATTACAGGAATTTGAGTCCCCCCCCAAGTATCAAAAAGATCGTCGTAAAACGTAAGGAGAATTCAATTGATGCAAGACTTTATTTTCAATGGGGTCATATGGCGCGTGCACATTTGGCATGGTACGTTACATACTGTGAGGTTTTCAAACCCCTCGGAATGGTCGTGGTTCATGAGTTACATTCATACTACATCTTTTTTTATGGCACATACACAACTTGTACTCTACCGGTACTGTTGATAGGCCTCTATCTCCTTCTTTCGCAGGGTCACTCGCTGCAGAGCTGCCTCGTCATATACATCTTCAGGCCTTCGGCTCCCGCGGATGACCTCGCGCTCATGGAGGGTCGCTTCGTCCTTGGTCATACAAACCAAGTCCGTCAGTTCGAGCCGGATGACCTTCTGTCCATCTTTTTCTCCCTCCCAAGTCCGGTCCATGCCAAATCCTTGTGCTGGGGTCTCCCAGGGGATCAAAACCAGACGGTTGGACAATCCAGTGATCGCACTTCTACCCCTCCAGACCTCTTCCACCAGGAATGCGAGATCATCTTTTGTGATTGGAAGGCGGAGCCCAACGGGATCTTCTCCCGCGACCTGCCGCACTTGCCTTTCCATAAAACCCTGCAAGAAAGCCAGAGCGCTATCATATAGCTTCTCGCGACCTTTGGCAGACACACAGTAGTCAATTGGATATCCAGACACAGAGCAGATAACGTGGTTGGCGACAGTGTAGCCAAAAACTGCAGGCATAGTGCCCAGCACGGGGAGGATACGGACGCGGAAATCAGGGAGAACACCTAGTTCGCCAACTTGGCCCTTGGCAAACTCTTCATCGGGCAGAGGCAGCAAGCTCGCTTTGCCCGGACCAGGTTTCTCAGTTGAGAAAACAGCGGCGATGCCGGAGCTCACTCCCAACGCCTTCAATCGGCGCCGTGTGCTGCGGGCGAGGGGATCATCGATGGTGTTGGAGATATCTCCAACCACCACCCGAGTCGGGTCCGACTTGCAACCGGCGCCCATAGACGAGATCACTGGAAGCGAGTTCGTATGGCAGTAGTGAAGCAGATCAACCTTGGAGGTAATATTATCGATACAGTCCAGCACGAAGTCTGGTCGTCGGCCTTCTCCGTCGTGTGTCAATGTCCATGGGCCGAGGAGATCATCAGCCGCGGATTTGCCAAAGAGCTCGTTGCGACAATCGAACATCACCCAGGGCGCAATCTGCTCCAGCCGCCTCCGAATACAGTGGACCTTCGGTGTACCAACGTCTGCCAGAGTAGCCAATGCGTGTCTGTTGAGCGAGGACAACGTAACTTGGTCGAAGTCAATGAGACGGATCTTCGCGACGCCGGATCTCGCCAATGATGCCGCGGCATGAGAGCCCACACCACCACAGCCAACAACGATAATAAATGATGACCGAAGCTTCGCAAGACCCTCATCGGTGAGAAACACACGGTTGCGGGCGAGTTGTTCCAGAATGAGATCTGTTGATTGCGTTGCGACCCATTAGCTAATTTCACCGCCAAAAGCATATACGAGAGATTCGCACCATCATCATAGTCCCCCTGCTGCGCGCGTCGAGCAAGAGCTGCGCTGCGCTCATCCTCCTTGCTCATTGGAATCCCATTGTCCGCCACGCCAAAAGTCGTAAGCTTCAGACCGCAAGTCAGCCTTCTGTCCTCTACCTTACACAACTAGCTGTCCAAAGCTCTTTTGGGGGTTTGGCCTAGTGGTAGCGAGCCTTTCGAGCTTACCTTTCCCTCACGGTGTTCCTCACCAACCGCCGGAATAGAAGCTTTCAGATCATTGACCGCTTCCTTTCTCTTATATGCTTGATAGCCAAAAACCGCAGCCGCAGCCGCAGCGCCCGACAGCACAGCCGTCGTAGCAAGCTGGGAATTATGTGAACCAGCTTGGCGCTGGAACCAAGCCGACATATTTCTAAGTACTCCTCCCTCACCGTCTGCTTCCTGTTCTCGCGCTTCTCGTTCGCTTTCTTGTCGGGTCAACGGCCGCCGGTGCGAGTAATTCCGAACAGGTTCGGCGAATCTAGTGTCGAGATCGTCAGACTCGAATCCGTAATCGAGGTCGGCATCGTCGGGGGCTTGCCACCACTTGGAAGCTGAGGGAGCCATGGTATGAAGCAATTTCAAACAAACAAAACTTACTCTGATAGACAGAACGGGGCGTCAACGTCCTCTTATGAGAAATGCGTTTCTGCAAGCCATGCGTTCATCAGTGGAACCACGATTGTATCACGTGATATATCGCGGCCTTCGAGCGCCAAAAACCACCGACACGTCGCGGCGTGAGTTACTAGTTCCATCTCGCGCATACCGCGCAGTAGGTACGTATTTCAAGGCTCATTTTGTCAACTAAAATGGTGTATAAGTCGGCTAATTCTCCGGTGAAGATTTGAGAGAACTATTTGTTTTCTAGTCTCGATGATGAGATCACACACATATCAAGAGCTTCTCACGACACGTCCAGGAGACTGGGTTGGGCATGGGACCTCATCCCTCGGCGGCCTGGCCGTTGCTTATGTGGAAGAGGCCGAGAGTCCTGCTGTGGATGACTGAGAAAATGAACAGAGATCTAAGAGACCATTCCCCACACAAGATGTTCCTCGAGGCTGGGTGTGACCCGTCGTTGCTGTCTGTTTTTTCGAGTCTGCTGGTGATATGCTCACTCGCTCTCGACATGTCTTAACTGTATATACTTCTAGATTACCGAAAATGCCACTCTGCAGTTCCCGCCATCCATTCTATATCGCAGTCTCCAGGGTTCCAACCTGTGCATCACCAGACTGGCCTGACGCTCCTGTTTGGGGCCCTTTCCCCCTCTTCATAACAAGCCCTGCTTCTAGCACCTCCAAGTACCTCGGTTCAAGCCCACCCGATGACGAAAATACCCTGTCGCACCACTCCGAGGCATATTCCACGCTCCGTCTGTACACCTTCTAATAGGCAACGGCGTCGAGCACGCCAGTGACGAGTGACAAAAAAGGTAGTTTTCAATCCGAGGGTGTCCGCTACTCCGAGAAAAAAAAGAAGAAAAAAAAACCCCCTCTCCTTGTACGTACATCTATTTAACCAACAGGCCAAAAACAATGCATCATCATCATTTTATTTCAACCCATCCGTGTCTTTTTTTTGTCGTCCGCAGTCCCCTTTCCTCGTTTCTATCTGAAGTCCCCGTTTCACCTGTTTGCATCTCATTTTCATACTTGAGATCACCCTCTTTGTTTACTGTCTGCTGTGCCCGGTGATGAAGCAAAGCCAATTCTGCAGGCAACCGACGTCCTTGGACGATGGATGTCCGCCGGACCTCTCCGCATTCTGGTAGCCAGTGAATATTATTGGGAGCTTTACTGAGGGCGCGCACCCCTCCCCCTTGTCTGCACTTGAAAGAAAGGTATTGACCATTGTATCTTGATGCAAGATTCTACACAAAACAATGGGTTGAATCCCTCTTTAAATTCTCAACATAAAAGCTTATTTATAGAACATTCGAAGCTCAGTGTATATTAAAAAAAAAAAAGTTCACGACGGCTTGGAGAAGAGAGATGATACTAGTTCGGAGTATATAAAAACGCCAGCTAATGCATTATTTTGAACCGTTGCCAATATACAGATATGTCATGGGTTGTAGGAATCAAGAGATCGCTCAATCCGCACGGAGAAGGAGAGGTTGAAGGGGAGGCAGTGTCTACTTCAGGAAGCGGCCCAGCGCACCGCCAATGTTCTTCAGGTCCAGAAGGAAGGTGTCGTGGCCGAAAAGCGAGAGGTCCTCGCCGAGCTCAATGTGTTCCACGGTCTGGTTCCCACCAGCGCGCAACGTCTCGGCAATCTCGCGCTGCTGCCATGCCGGGAAGAGGATGTCGCTAGCAACGCCCATGACGAGAACAGGGTGGTTCTTCAATGGTGCAAGGCCGGCTACCAGGTCGCGTGGCGGTCCATCGAGCTCGCAAGAAGAGACGGACTCGTTCGAGGGTGGCACAGACGCAGCGGCTTCGGGTTGCTCCTCGTATGGCTTGTCTGGGAGAGTCAAGCTGCAGGAGGTGTCGATGTTGGAGGAAGTATCACCGCGGGCGATGCGGGACTCAGCCTCGGCGCGACGGCGATGGGTTTCCGTCTGATGAGCGTGGCCGAGGTCGAACAGGTCCATGGCCTTTGAGACATACAAGAGGCTGTTAGGATCGTACTCAAGGCAGAACTTCTCCCCGGCATGATCGAGATAAGTCTCGATCAGGAAGTCGGGGCACAGGGCAGGTTGCTTGCTTGGATCAGCGCGGCGGCGGCCAAACCGCTGCTCCCACTCGGGCCCGCTGCGGTACGTGACAGTAGCGATCTCACGAGCCAGCTTCATGCCCGAGTGCGGCGGAATGGCATCATAGTAGAAGCCGCGGGCCCACTTAGGATCCATCATGAGCACCTGCCGTTGCGTGTGCCGCATGGCAATGCTGTACGGATGGCTGCGGGCGCAGCCGCTGATGCTGACGATCTTGCCCACGCGCTCAGGAAACAGAACGCCGGCAGCCAGACTCTGCATGCCGCCCATGCTCGAGCCGACAGAGGCTGCGAGCTTCTGGATACCCAAAGCGTCCAGGAGACGAAACTGCGCACGCACCATATCGTCCAGCGTGAGGATAGGGAAGCGGGTTGCATACCGCTTGCCGTCGGATGGGTCCATCGAGGACGGACCGGTGCTGCCATAGCAGCCACCGAGAACATTCGTACATATAACAAAATACTTATTCGTATCCAGTGGCAGGCCAGGGCCGATAAACTTCTCCCACCAGCCAGGCTTCGGGTTCGACGCAGTGCTATGTGCATGACTCGACGCCGACAACCCCGTATGTAAAAGAATTGCATTACTCTTGTCCCCATTCAACTGGCCCCACGACTCATATGCAATATCAAACTCCGGCAGCACGCCGCCCCAATCAAGGAGCAGCGGCTCCTCACAGTGGAAACGTTCATGCGATCCAGTCGTATACGATGGCTCAGGTCCTGATTCCAAAGACCGTGCGGAGAGAAGCGCTGATTTGGCGTCCTGGGCATCGAGGCAGGGAAATGACATGGCCGGATTCGATGAGTCCTTTGCTGTCGCCGTTGCTGAGGACTTGCGTGGGGGTGCGGCGTGCAGCGATCTTGAATGCGCCGATAACGGCCGACTGGAGCTAGATAGAATAGTCAGACGTTCGCTAGCTCGCCATTGTGAAGCTCGCAGGATACGCGAGACAGAACCCGCAGTGCTCTGGAATGAACGCATGGCGAACAGACAGACAGACTGCCGAATAGAACTGAGGTGAAGCGGAGGACTATAATTGTCAGCTATCGGGGAATGGAAGCATATTAAATTTCCCGATTGCGCAGGCGGAGAGCCGAGGGTCATGCCTCAGGCTGTAAGTCATATATCGCGTCATCTGGTCTCGCGTTGATTGGTGGGGCCGTACTGGTTTCCCGCGGACCTTCTTATGCCGCGAACTATAAAACCAGCGTCAAACGGATAGCGCATACAGAAAAACAGTGCACCAATGAATCGGTAAATCTTGGAATTTTATGATGTCTATTTCATTGAATGTTGAAGTCGCTTCTCCAGTAACGAATGCAATGCCTATGGACCATCATACGGGTATCATCGGTTCCATAGTGTAGAAATCAGGAATGCTCAGAACGCTAATGCAAGGTGAATGCTAACACAGGGAAAACGTTACAGGAAAAAGGGTCATGAAAGGGAGAGCTGAGACAGAGTGGTCTTAATGGATGAGGGGGGTTCATGAGGAACTCGTGGTCGAATTGGTGGAGTTTGAACCTGAAACTTCCAGGTTGAGTGCAGTCAGAACCACAGTATGGTTATTGGATCGAATGTCAATGCCTCCGGCATACATACATCGCCAACCGTCACAATTGGCATGAAATACGATCTTGCTTCCATCTTGCGATATCGTTGCACCACCAGGGGCCAGGAGCCCAAAATCGTGTGTTTGTAACAGGGGTCGTGCCACACGAATATAAGGGCCCTTGACGGAGGCTGCATGGGCGTACTTCACGTTGTAACCCAAAGAAGTAAAGCAGTGCGACGAGAAGAAGAGGTAATAGAAGCCGTCACTGGATCGGACAATATTCGGGGCTTCAATGAGCGGACCATCAGTGTCGTTTATGTCGAGGATAATCTCCGGGTCACCCACCGGGGTGACACCATCATTTTCCATTTCCTGGAGAATGAGAGGGACAGAGACTAATGGTTTCCTGCTGTTGCCGCAATACCCACCATGCCCGACGCTATTCCCATCTCCTTTGTAGACTATATATAGCTTGCCATCTGCGTCACGAAAGGGCGATGGATCAATGGCCCCACCGTATTTGTGCGGACAGGCTATGGATTCGTTCAGAGGTATATAGGGTCCAAGGGGATCTTTACCAGCCGAGACTGCAGCACCAATGCAGTGGTGCCGATTGAAATCCTTGGTCTCGCCCGCATAGTAGAGCACAAATTTGCCGTCGTTCTGAAAGTTCATGTTAGAGATACCTGGGATAAATACTTTTCTGGTAGAGCCAGATCATTCCACTTACTCGTTGAATAACATCGGGGGCCCAGTGATTGATCGTCCGTTCCCAGTTACCAATCGTAGGCATGGCATCGTAGCCCTCATGAAGTGTCCAATTCACAAAGTTGGTCGAGGTTGCAACAGGAATATGAATTGTTTCCGGGTTATTCTTTCTCGGATTAGTCCCAAAGGCATACCATGTGCCATTAAGCTGAATCAGGCCCGGATCGGGAAAATTATGAATGGCAAAGACAGGCTTATTTTCCGTGATGCGGTAGCTCGGGTCCTCGTGGGTGGTCGGATATAGCGTATACGTGTCTCCCATATTCGGCCCATAATGATCTCGCGTGAGAACAATGGGCAAGGCGATGACGAGAGCGACAAGGACCGCCACCAAAAGCCCTAGGCCGCTGACGATTGCGATTCTTCGCCGTGTCCAAGGGCGAGCAAAAAAGCCCAATTTCTTTCCACTTTCGGGGTCGGCCAATCCTTTTTGTTCCAAAGCATTCTGGTTGTCTTCACTCCCGGATAGTTCACTTTCGCGGAGAGACTGGATCGAGATGGTGGGCTTGAAAGCCTTGGAGCGCACTGTTGCCAAAAAGTCGCGCATCTTGATTGTTGCAGAGGCTTCTCTGCGCAATGCGAACCTCGACACCTATATGTTTTGTCTTATTCTCCGGGCTTAGGTGAGATCAGCCATTGACATTGTGTCGAGACCGGAGTACAAATAATTAAGACAAGTCAGCTTGCTGCAGGCATGAGGTGGACGAGACTCGGCACCGCGGAGAAATAGATATTTGGGGCGAGTTGTTGAGGTGCGAGCTGTCCATCCACGCCTTTCCCCCGTCGGACTACTAGACCGTTGATCTTTGAGGCTGAACCAACAGAAAGACCAACAATAGTCCCTCGCACACGGAATTGTGCGAGTGATTTGGCCCTTAAATGGACTCCTATCGCTGGGTTGAAAGGGGCGCAGCGAGCCAATTAAGTGCGGGGGTGCCAAGTAGCCAAAGTAAAACGGGGGTTAAAAAGCCGACACATGAGCAATCAATTGGCTACCGGGGCTGCCTGCCAGGCAACACCGGTCGCACCAACAGAGTCTCGATGGAGAACATCCGCGGATGCAGGCCACTCACGAGAAACGGGTTCGGTGCGGACCTTGGGGAGCCGGAACCTTCATTTCTGGGGACTAGACTTTGATCACACAAGCGCCGGTCAAAATGAGCCCACGAAACTCAATTTCGGGGAGGGGCTTCGCGCGCGACAGTGGCTGCATCTTGCGTGGATTTCCGCTGTTCGAGATCATCTCGATGGATCACGACATCTGTCGATCCGTGGACCCTGAGAATCCCTCATCTTTCCACGAGGCTAGACCCCCGTCACATGATATGGCCCTGCTCCCTCGTGGAGAGTAATCTTGGAGTCGCGCGTATCGATATCATGCCTTCCCCTCCCTTCAGACATTCAGAATTCTGACTATTATCTTCTATTCTCATTCCTCAGGACCTGACTTCTTCCTTAACTAGCTCTTACTTCTCTCTTACTTACAGTCGTTCTCGAAACCGGCTTGACTGGTACACACTGAGAAAGTCTTTCCCACCGAATAGTGCAAGCCTCAACAATTATCATTCACCCTTAGTCTGTCGTTACCGTAGCCCCAAGAAAATGACTGCTAGTTCTCTCGTTAGCCATGATGACTGTGGCGTTTAGCATTTTGTGTCGAGAAGGAAGACTGCATAATACGGGCGAGACCCACATATCTCCATGCGCGTCAGGATATTACAGGGATACTCGATTTGCTACATGTTTTGTATGGTATCCCGGGTATACTCGGAACCTAGCGCCGTAACACGCTAGACAGCAAGGTAGGGGATATTCAACATTCCCCGCCCATACACTTAGATAGTTCAGTTCACTCAGTAATCACCATATTGAGCATCATCTTCCATTGGATCCCGCCTTTCCTAGCCTATACCGTATCCTACCATATTGACATTTTGACCAGTGGGTCGATACATCGTAATATGCACACTGACCCACTTTGATCCTGGGACGCACATGTGTAATGCTTCTTATTGGTTGCACGTGACTCCTGTAGTGTGTCGTCTGTCTTGCGGGTTTGGTTGGCTGTCGTTATCTCCCGCGGGTTTCTGACGGTAGATATGAGGTTTCACGATATGCAGGGGACGCATTTTACTATGCTAAATAAGGATTATGTAGTAAGGTTTACGGCTAAGCTACACTAAGGGAAAGTGATCTGTTGTAATCCTTACAAAATATTCTGCTTGTAGGAAGAGAAACGGGATGTTTGAATCACTGTTCCTGGGAAAAGTAGTAAATCTGCGAAAAAAAAAACAACCATACCAGTGACCAGAAGACAAATCTCCGGATTACTGGATATAAAACAAAACCGAGCGCCCGGAGGAATAGTTAAGTGGTACAAGCCTGATTTGTTTCCCACTCTTTGTCGTCTTCTTGAGCTCCTCCTGGGACTTCTGATTCTCGAAGCGACCCCCATGGTACTCTGGATGTAGCTTGATTGAAGTATCGGAAACCCCTAGATCAACCTGAAGATCACACCACAGTTCGCGAGCCTCGTTGAACCCTACAACCACGGTGAAGAAATCTCCATCAGTGATTTTGAACCTAAGTAGGCCTGAGCCACCGAGATCCGTGGTAATTTGGTGCACTTCGGGTCTTGCTACTATCCATTCGCCGCCCTGATCATTGTGCCAGACAGTCTTCTCAATAAGTTGCACTTCGTGACTGTTAAAAAGCGGAACTTCGATAGAGACCATCTACGAGAAAAGTGAGTGTGGATTTTTCGCGAGGATTAGAGGACTAACCGTAACTGAAGGAATGCAGTTCGCAGTCTGCTTTCGAGGGAAATATATGAATAGAGACTTAAGACGATAAAATATCAAGACAGAAAATATTTGACGAGGGTGTGGGGGGGGGGGGGGGGGGGTTAAGTATTCTATCTAATTGTGGCGCGAAAAGGAACAGCTGAGATGTGTTGTTGCTTCTACACCTAATCGCTAGTAATGTACAATTTCGTTTTAGGTGGATTTAGTGGCTTAGCTGGACGGTTCACTTCTGCCCGCACGAACCCCATACGTAACAAGTTTAGACCAACGAACCCATAATGATGGGTAGACATCAGGAAAAGAGCGTGGCTAAAAGTATAACCAGGATTGCTCACCTCGGAGACTTATATGTGTGGGTAGGAAGACTCGCGTGCTCGGGAAAGGCAGGAAATACGTTAAGCGTTCGGCGAGATTTTAGTGAGCACTCATTTAGACCTCACTAGTTATCACGTGATGGCACTGAGCAGCTAAGTAGTCTGATTCCTGGACTGTGATCAGTGAGTCTGACTCCGAGTCCCACCCGGCAAAGAAAAAATGTTATGTATAGTGGCATACCGGTGGCCGATAAGTTGTACCAGCGAGCACTGGTAGGCTATGAGGAGGCCTTAATTCTCGATCATAATGGGACGCAACAGGTTATGCAGAGATTGAATGCGTTAAGTATCGCGAGTTGAGAATAGATAGTCTATTACTGTACTGCGCCCCGCCTTAACTGTACTGTAACGTACATACTTTGGTCCAGTGGGTCCCGCCAAACAAGTAGTTGGTCGAGTACATGGTCTCCCCTCGATTGAGGCGCAACCCCATTTAACACGTAGAGAATTTCTAAGGAGGCTTACATGCTAATTTGTCTAATCTCTAACTACTCGAAACGATAGCTGAAAAGGGTCTTGAGACGACCTAATATTGTGAAATAACGGTCGCAGTTGTGTATACTAACAAATATTTCAGGTACACATCGTGCAACCAAACACATTCAGAGCTAATGCTATCAAGCGGATCTTCTCGAAACAAGGCAACGGAGGATCCCTAGTTATATTTGCAGAAATGGACTGTGTGGTTCCATGGAATTCCATGGAGAGTTCTTACGTATAGCGTATTACAGAACTCAGAACAGTAACATGCAAAGCACCTTTTACTTAGCCCCTCTATTTAAAGCGGCCGGCGAAATAAATGATTTGCGCTAAAGCCTTGGCGGTGGGGCCGAGAAAGAGAGTGTAAGTGTGTATTGGTGAAGCCGGTTTCGAGAATGACTGTAGCTCTTACTACCTTCTTACTTATAATAATCTAACCTCTCCATTTTCTTGGAAGACCCCCTAGATCCTTCTAGGGCTATAGATATAGTCTATACTAAATTATCTCAATCTCCTACTGCTAAGGCACTTGTGACTGGCCTTCTTGCTTCTCTTCTTCCGCCTCATCTCCCCCCTTTCGTTGTTGTCACGATTCCCGCGTGACCGCTTGGTTATGTTATCTAGCTTAGCTTATCATGGCTCGTCCCCAAGAATCAAACATCATCTTTACCGCAATCCAACTTCGCATAGTTACAAATTGGTAACAAACCCAGCTTTTCGTCCAGAGGGCCCATCCCTGGGGGTCTTTTTGTTCTGCATCAAATACATCGACCCATCCTTCTCCTTGTCATCCCATCCGCATTTGCTCATCCCATCTGCGCTGACAGGCCGCGTTCACAGTGAGGGCATTCAAGCACTCAGCCCGGAGGAATTCCAGAGTCACTGCAGAAGATTACATTTCTTTTAGCCAAACTTAATATTTGCGGACCCGACATGTTTCTTCTATTCAATTTAGCTTACCATTTGCATGTCGCACGTCTTGAATCTTCCCAGCGGAACGATTGCAACTCCTGAGGTGGCATATGTTACCGTTGCCGCGTGATCTCACATCACCCTTGACCCAAGCCGAGCAATCCACGATAGGCTCAACAGCGTCTGTTCTGCGGCATTGGTCAATGGGGCTCGTGTCTCGTTTGGAGTTGCGCGGGACGCAGCCTGGATTTGGGCTGGCGGCTGAGAACCGGGAAAAGGTTGCGCTTGCGCTTGCGGGTCAGAGCCTTGGAATCGCCAATATTGCGGCCGTGGGGCAAGGTACGATCTATTCCATGTCGGACTCGGTGTCCACTCGGGATGGCGGGGGTTAGCCGGCATGTACGGCGCCCGAGTTCCTGGGAGCGCTCGATTACCTTGATATAGGCGCATCGGTAGGCGCTGCTGCACTTGGCGCTGGGGGTTTATGCGGGGCTGGTCTCGGTTACAGGACATTCCTGCCCATTGGCCGTAGCGTTGGTCTAGCTCCGCCATGAAGGAGAATACGGTTGTAGATAGCGACGGTTCGCGAATGTCTCTCTGGAGCGACGCGTCTAGCCGCATCCAGACGAAACGGAGGAGAACGGCCGTGTCGGTTACTTCATACTACCAGGATGTGACGTACAATAAGATTGGATTGGTAAAAGGTGTCCATTGAGATACGTAGGGGCTACTGCATATGAGCCAAAAGCTAAGTATGGGTGTACCCAACAGTCAACCAGTTAACTATATCATCTAGCTTAGCTATCATGACTTCTTCCCTAAAAATGAAACATCACCTTTACCATAATCCAACTTCGCATAGTTACCAGCTCTACGCCCGTATAGAGCCAACAGGTTGTTTCCGCCATTCTCTACAGTTTCCTCCTAGCTGCAACGGAGGTCGACTCAGCGAAGTCTCCCGTACAACCTACGACCTCACTTAGCAGCCAAAGAGATTTTCGTTACTTTGAGCAATCTTGAGAATGCTTCACTAGAGCTAGTATTTGAATCTGTGATCCGCCGCCTCCAGCCCCTAACATACGAGAAGGAAACATCAAAACATTCCGAGACTACACAAAAAAGGAAGCGAAGCTTGCCTTGACAGATATCCCAGAAGTGTACTGCATCCCTTATTCGACCTTGGCATGGACGGATGATGTGGATGCATGACAGAAACACTTGCAAATCGACGGCCTAAAATGGACTCACTTACCGTCTGCTAATTTCAGGAAGTATACATCACGACGGCTAGCTGGGGCAAAGGAGGATACCCGAAGAAGGCGAACCCAAGGCTAGTCCCATTTTGTTCACAGGTATCATGGGTTCATGTTGCCACAGACACTGTTTTCCAGAAGCAGAACGGAAAGGAACCGGGGGGGGGGGGGACCGCTCGAGCATTTTGTCCCAGGAGATTGGAAGAGGGAGCATGCAGCTAGGTACTCGGGCTAGAGGTATCGATCTTGCCACAGTCTTCCCCTCTCCCAATCTGGCAAATGATCGAGATTGATAATTTCTCTTAAGCGATCTATGTATTGGCATAGCATAATGTATGACCATCGAACCATCTTTCATAATGCAGTCATCCGAGTTACATCTTACACTAGTAGTAGTACAGCAACAGAGGAACTCAGGGTAGGCCACTCAATAGAACTGACTCTTTATTCATCATGACTCTCGAAAAACATTCGATGTGTACCATTGAGCGGGACTCGTGAACCAGGTGGCAAACGCAGACCTGCTCCTTTTCTCATCCTGGGATCGGATCTACGGCTCGATCATGCGGGCTTCTCCCATCGATGCCCAGAGTGCACGGATATTAGCTTACATTTGCTTACTTTTAGCCCCAGAGGCTTAAAGCCATGCTTGGAGCTGACATTAGCTTCATCTCATTCTTGAGTCCGTGTATCGCCAGGTAATTTCCCTCGCGAAAAGCTCTCTGCCAGTGAGGTATCATTCTGTCTAGGACGACCATCGACACGCCCGAGGAAATAGACATTGGAAATTGGCAGCGACGCGGTGTTTTTCGCCGTGTGTCCCCTGGACACGTGATATGGTCTGACACCCCCAATCCGTTTTGGTCTGGGGTTCCCCTTGTTCTCCGTTCTTGCAGCAACGCCGAGCGATGATCCGTGGCATTTCTGGGCAGAAGGAGCCTTTGGGGCCGCACTCCACATTCTGGCGGCCACTTACAGGCCGTTCCCCAGCGCCCACGCTAACGCTATTTTGTGGGGGACTCCAGGCCGTTTCGGATATGGATGCTGACTTGCTTCCTGGCCCTGTTGAATGAGAACCGATGCGGCCCGATTTGCCGGTCTCGAGACTAACACCAGGGAGGCGAGCCTTGGCGAAATGGAATGGCGCGAACGATGCAAGGCTTCACGGAGGCACATAAAGGCCCTGGTTCCCGCTGTCTACTGGCGACTCGACAGAGGGAACAATCATCTGTGCGACGCAGCTCACCATGACCAAAGAAAAGAGCGACATCAGCGAGGTGGCCCACATCCCCATTGTAGCTGAGGGGACAGGCAAGACGGCTGAAAATGCGGGGGCCAAGCAGAAGGAGGTGTACAATGTATGTTTGGAAATGACCCAGTTTCGCGAATAACCGTGCAAAACACTGACGAGGCCAGGCCGAGCTCTATGCTGCAATTCAGGAGTCCAATATTCCCCGCTGGGGACGGTCGACCATCCATCTATACTGTACGTTGACTCCACCGAGAGGCTTTGGACGCCCCTGCTAACCCATGCAGATTGCGTGTTTGTTGCTTTCTGCTGCGCTTGTGCCAATGGATACGACGGCTCGCTGATCGGTTCTATCACGGTGATGCCCTACTTCAAGGAGACCATGCACAGCCAAAACTCAGGCTGGCAGGTCTCGGTCGTCTCCTCGCTCTACAGTGTGTACGTGGCCCCTCAATCTGGTATCTCACATGCATAATCTGACCGGACTAGTGGCTCAATCATCACCACCCCATTTGCCGCCCTCGTGAGTGACCGCTGGGGTCGCAAGGTGGGTATGATATTTGGCTCGATTGGTATCATCCTCGGCTCGATCATCGCAGCGAGCTCGTTTAGCTTGGCTCAGGTGACAGTCGGCCGTCTGGTGCTCGGTTGTGGTATCCAGTTTATGACGGTCGCAGCGCCTGCGTACTCGATGGAAATCGCGCCGCCGCAATGGCGTGGTCGATGCACCGGATTTTACAACTGTGGATGGTTTGGAGGCTCGATCCCCGCGGCGCTGGTGTGCTTCGGCACCCAATATATCAACAACAACTGGTCGTGGCGAATCCCATTCATCTGCCAGTGCTTTGCGTGCTTTGTTGTGCTCGGCTCCGTTTGGTTCATCCCCGAATCCCCCCGATGGCTGTTTGCGCACGGCCGTGAAGAAGAGGCGATTGCTTTCCTCGTCAAGTATCACGGCAATGGCAGCGCGGACTCCCGCCTGGTGAGACTGGAAGTTGAAGAAATCCAGGAAAGTATTCGACAGGAGCTGCGAGACAAAGAAATTGCATGGTGGGACTTCCGGTGCCTGTTCGATACGCACGAGGGCCGCTGGCGGTCGTCGCAGGTGCTGATGATGGGTGTCTTTGGCCAATTCTCCGGCAACGGACTAGGATATTTCAATGCGGAGATTTTCGATGAGCTGGGTATTAAATCCACCGCCCAGCAGCTCGGATACAATGTGCTCAACTCCGTGCTATCGGCCATTGGTGCAGGCACAGCGGTGACTCTCACGGATCGAATGCCACGCCGTAAAGTTCTGGTGTTCGGTACGTTTGCCTGCGCGGTGATGCTGGCAATCAACGGAGCAGCGAACCACGTTTTCGGTCAAGACGAGAACAACAAGTCGGCTGCCAACGCCGCCTTGGCCTTCTACTTCCTGTTTAATGTCGTCAACTCGTTCTCCTACACTCCCCTTCAGGGTGTGCTGCCCGTTGAGGCGCTCGATACGAAGCGCCGTGCCAAGGGATTGGCTTTCTATGGCTTCCTGACTGGCTGCTTGGGTTTCATCAACACCTTCTGTACCCCCATTGCTAATAAAAATATCGGCCTCAACTATATTTGGGTCTTTGTCGGTTGGGATTGTGTGGAAGCCGTCCTGTGGTATTTCTTCTGGTATGCATTCTCCTCTTGATCCAATAACCAATGCCTGCTAACCCTTTCTAGTGTCGAAGCACAGGGTCGTACTCTCGAAGAGCTCGAGTGGGTGTACAAGCAGCCCAACCCGGTCAAGGCCTCCCAGCAGGTTGACCACGTCGTCCAGCAAGCCGATGGCACCGTTTCGGAGAAGATTGTCCAGCACGTGGAGTAGGCGGGCTGGTGTCAGGTTTCAAGGACATGATGCGGGCTATACTGTGTATATTGGTGTACTGGATAACAATAAGTTCATCCTTTAATCTCGATAACCATTCTGAAATAATACTGTTATTTTATATCCATCACACAGGGAAAGTCTTTGATAGCTAAAAGTAGGCATTGATACATCTAGTGGATTGAAACTTTGAGTTCATCTTCACTCTTTCGAAACTCCCAAAATCGGGACTTTGACTATCTATTGTCAGCGTAGTATTTCGTCTGTCTATAAAATCATCCCTGATGGCTGCTGTTAGGCCAAGCAATTAAAAAAGGGAGAATTTTCAGTTGGTTTCAATGAGAGGATATTATCGCAATTCTTCCTCAAAGTGACCGATAACTATTAGACTCTCACGTCATTATAGTATCTCTGGCAACACTTTCCAAAGGAAAATCAAGATGACATTGCTAGCAACAATAGGCCGAGTCTGAAGCACTACCAGAAAATACCGTAAAAAATTCCCTCTCCAACCAGACGTGAATAAAAAAGCATGAAATATTTATTACTACTGTCCAAAATCGATGGCTGAATAAAGCAACTACTCTCCTTTCTTGGAGTGGGTAGAGGGAACTCGCTTCATGAGGAGCTCCATTCACTCAACTCAGTAAATATATATTAAAACTCAAGTAGGATGCCAGTCTGGACAATGTGTGCACCTGACTTCTATTGTAATTATAAATTTATGATCAACGCAGAATTTGGGAGCGGAAATAGCCTCTACGCGATCCCAGCGACACTCAAACATTTAACATACTCAACTGGGGCATGTATGAAAGACTGGCAAATCCACACATTCTCTAGTAAGGTATAACCGAAAAGTCTTTGGCATCAGTAAGCCTATCGGTGGGTATTTCGGCTCAATTAAGGTAGCCGACTGTTCTCACCTCGAACCTTTGTCCCCCTAGAAATTGTTTTTACATGGTCTGTCTGAGATATCAGGGGAAGTTTGCTCAAATGGTTACCATTCAATTGTAACAAAGGGCCACATTTGCAGAGAAATATTGAAAATAGATTTATACAGGTAATTAAAAATTGGAAGATTTCTACTGACAACCAAAACAGCCTGGGGCTACTTGCCAGAAATCCAATATATAAGATATGAAAGAATAAACTAAATACATTCTTGATCCTGGGTTTGTGTTTTGAAGGTCTTCCCCACCTATTCGCGCATGTGTTCAAAAAGGGACCTAAAGCCCTACTGCTACCTAAGCACTGCGGGGCCAAGGACAGAAGGACATATGCAGTCACTCCCGATAGTCCGTTGCTTCAGCTCTCAGGGTATATATGCACAGCAAACAGGTGACATTGTTCTACACGCTAGTTGCACCGAAACGTCAGAGATATTTTTTGAGAGGACCTATATTTTCAGCATCTGTTAAGACTCCCCCGCTAGATGTTCCTCATCCTGCGACACATCCCGGCAATTTTCAATCTGAACAAAGGCTAGACACTGACGACATTGAGGATAAAAGGTAAAAGTGTGTTACATCGTAGCAGTGGCAAGAGGGAATTTTATAGACAGGATGACTACGTAATGGATAGATGCATGGTACTAAATTGTAAGGAGTACGCTAAACCGCATTGCGTAATCAATTGTCACCGGATGATGAATTACTCCGTACAGTACAGTATAGGAAAGCTTGTTTAAGCAGCCCCTAGAAAGTATTTTCACGATTTATGAAGCCTATCTACCCTCCACAGGGGTAATAATCACACATAATGCCCAGGGCTTTGATCCTCTTACCAGCGGGACATCTTAGTCTGTCTGCTTCTTAGAAGAGCACGAATACATTCGCTCAGGGGTAAGTATTAGATGAAACTGAGAGTGGACAAGGGGCGGGCGCATCACAATTACAATAGACTGGGGTCGCCCAATATATTGCTGTCCAGTAAGATAGGCAAACAAGCCTGTGCTGAGTTACTGGCACATGCAGGGCTTCCCAGGGTGATTAATGATGACAAGTGGCGTCAACGAAGAAAAGTGTTCCCGCGCATACCCCTTGAGATTTTTTAAGTGTTGTTTCAGCTCTTGAATATGGCCGATCATATCCTATTAAGGAAGTTAGCTAAAGCACACTGACGAAGCCAGTCGCTGTTAAAGTTGATAGGTGGATAAAAAACAGCACTTCAGGAAGAAGATATTTAAATCTTGAAGTGGCACATATGATTATACGATATGTATGTATCGAAGTTCTCATGGTGGGAATAAAATGGTTCCCCTTGAGCGCCCTGTACCCCTATACAAGGCTTTAACTAGCATCCCCTGTCGGCCCGAAGCTAATAAGGTCCAAGTCGCATGATAATCAACCCAGAGATACGGATACCCTGAGTTGTATTCCTTTTCAGTAAAGTTCTTCCACAACCTTCTTGTTCCATGGAAGATGATTTACCGGCAATGGTCATCCGGGAAATAGAGAGGAGCTCGGGATCTGATGGCAAGTAAATAAATGCATGGATCGAGGACTACGGGCCACGTGAGCGGCTCCACCTCAAACGGACGCCGTTGACGGCAGCATACGCAATCCTTTTCTTCTCCCATAAAACTGCAGGCAGGCCCGGATTTTGTCGCTGCTAGTCAGCGAAGATTGAAAATACCCCTTCTTATTCTCTCCTTCAAGACCTTCTTCGCCATTTCGCTCTCATTCGGCCCGAATTGGCGTTCCGTCTCGGCGCGCGCCTCCTTCTCTGTTTGCGGTACCACCTACCTCCGCGGGACCTACTTACGACCGGGGCCGTATTGTCAGTTACGCATTGGGCTTATCCAACAGCCCATTAAAATCGAAATGTCATTTTCCGGATTCCGTCGCGCTTGAACCTCCCCGACACTTGTACGCGAAATTGTCTTCCGCTGTCAATTCGTCTCGCCCATCAACATTCTAGTATCCTCACCTCCGAGACAAGCTTGCTCATTCCCTAATCCGCTCTCAGAGGGCGTGACTGCTCTGTCGCACCCCTGCGCGTGGCCCCCGCAACCTTGACAGGGGGCCTTGAACCCGATTGTGCCGATCGCTTCCCGCCCATCATGCCGACGTTCCGCAAGTCCGTACTTGCGGCTCTGTTCCTCCTCACTTTCATTTTCGTCATCCACTCGAGTCGATCGACCGACGTCCGCGGCGCTCCTGGGTATAAGACCGTTCCCGATATCTTCGATGAGGAACAAGAGGTGCTTGCACAACCTAAGAAGAAGACCAAGAGCCGGCAACAAGAACCCCTCGGCGCTCTCTCCACCTCGCCGTTGATTGATCGTCTTCGATACCAATTCCCTTACGACTTTCAAAGTAAATTCCCGGCATATATCTGGCAGACATGGAAGTACGCTCCGTCGTCCGTTTGGTTTAACGAGGGCCTTCGCGGTCCCGAGTCCAGCTGGACAAATTTACACCCAGGATTCACACATGAAGTGATTGGCGATGATACGCAGCGGCATTTGATTAAGTATCTGTATGGATCGGTTCCAGATGTGTTCGAGGCCTATGACGCTCTTCCACTGGCAGTGATGAAAGCAGATTTCTTCCGATACCTGGTGCTCCTGGCACGCGGCGGTATCTATAGCGATATCGATACTATCGCGTTGAAACCGGTTTCATACTGGCTCCCCGATGAGATCGATCGATCAAAAGTGGGCTTCATTGTTGGAATTGAAGCTGATCCTGACCGGCCTGATTGGCATGACTGGTACTCGCGTCGCCTTCAATTTTGCCAATGGACCATAGTCTCAAAGCCGGGCCACCCGATCCTGCGCGACATGGTCGCTCATATTACTAAGGAGACGATCCGTATGAAGAAGGCTGGTATTCTTAGGGTGGGCAAAATGGACAAAACGGTGATGGAGTTTACGGGCCCAGGTGCCTGGACAGATGCTGTCTTTCGCTATTTCAACAACCCAGAGTATTTCCACATCTCACCTGGAGCGAAGAATATCACGTATGAGGATTTCAGTGGTCAGACTGAACACCGCAAAGTGGGCGATGTGGTCGTTCTACCCATCACTAGCTTCAGCCCCGGCGTTGGGCAAATGGGTGCTATGGAGACTGACCATCCAATGGCCTTTGTGAAGCATAATTTCGATGGTAAGTCCCACCTTGTACTTGATTCTCAGTAGAGGATGCCAAGCTCACTGTTGTGGTATTTTGAAGGTACTTGGAAAACCGATCCTTCGCTTTGAAGTCAGCCCAGGCTCAATATTGCCCCCGAATATGTGCCTGATTAATCTGCAGCGCCACCAATGTCTCTCTTGCTCGCGAGAGTCGCTTGCTATCCACGCTCAGCCTTGCATGAAGATCTCTTGACTCTCAAAGCAATTACTCTCTGCTAGTCCGCTCTTCCCTGCTATCCATTTCCCACTACGCGCAGGGCTTCTCTCAGAGGTTTGCCTCGTGGGAACTCTCAGCTAGACGACTCGGCAAAATTGCCCAGCTCACTGTCATTATCATTTTCCGTGCAGGCCCAGCGGTCTCTTTCTACATTTTCATATCCCCTATTCAAGGGGAAGTTTACCTGCGCAAGGACACCTCTTGTGCTATACCCTTGATGTTTCATGATTCTCTGCAAATATGATTCCCATAGTTCTTTTCATGTGATATACCTTTATTTCTGTTTCTCTCTATTTGTTGTTTAGACCTTCCAAGTGACTTAACTTGTTGAGACCATAGACAGGATTGATATACCTTTTACTGTTCACGTGTTTACTGGGAATTTAACCAGAACTATCGAGTGATTCAACCCCTTTTTTGCTAAACAGATAGCACATTCATTGGTAGTACGTAGAAACTAAAATCCTCAAACGACATAACCGCCAAAGTCCAGGGTTCTCTGACTTGATTCGGTTGCTGACATCAAGCATCTACTTCGATTGTGAAAGGCCACCATTTACTTCTACCAGTAATGAAGGTTGAAAGTCACACAAGACAGCCTCAAGGAGGTTAATCGCCCTGTGTCGCTTAGGCTTTTTACAGTGCCGGCTTCGATCCCAAAGGCGCTCCAGGCAGCCAGTAAGCCCGCTGACCATTCCGGTTTATCACCGTAATCGTCTATCCGTTCAGCCCCGCCCCATAAGATACGTCAGAGCTGGCAGAACTTCCTTTCACCTCTCTCTGCCCCGCGCTTGCTGGTCAACTCCCCGTCTTCACTGGGGATTCTCTTAGCAGATGTATCTTGTTTTGGCCTGAAACCCCCCGGATCTCAGCTGGGTGGTCGATGCGATTGGTGGCGCGCTAACCGGGCGGGCTTTGAACGCTTTTTTTTCCCGTTTCACCACGCCGCAGCAAGAGATATGCTCTCTTGCTATTCCAATGGCGACCGGAACTCTCAAGCAATCGAACCCAAGTGAGGTACAGGAAAGCCCTGCAGCCTCTAGAGCCAGTAACATGCGCTCCAAAGATCCCAACGAGCGAGAGAAACACTTTCTCCCGTCTATTCGTCACTCTCCGCAACGAGCCGCGAACCCATTCCTCATCACCAAGCGCCAGGATGAGAAACAACTTTGTGTCTCCTCAAGATACCTACATGTAAATGACTTTCACCTGACCAAGACCCTTGGAACCGGTACAAATTCTCAATTTCTCTTTCTCATGTTGCGCAGCCATTTCTGACCGTTTCTCTTTGCGCTAGGCACATTCGCTCGAGTATGGCTTGCACGGTTGAAGGATCAGCAGGATAAGAACAAAGTGTATGCGCTGAAGATTCTGCGCAAGGCTGATGGTACGAATGGCCTGCTATGTCTCAACGGCCTACCTTCTTGGGCTAACCTACAGTTTTCCCCATGGGATAGTCATCAAGCTCAAGCAGGTCGAACATGTGCGCAACGAGCGCAAGACACTTGCTGCAGTCGTCGGACATCCTTTCATCACGACCCTTGTCGCTTCATTTTCGGATGAACAATGCTTGTACATGCTGGTAGGAGCCTCCTGGTCGAATTCCTAGAGACTCTAATGTCTCCGGGTTCCTGCGGAACGCTAATTAGGCTTAGTTGGAATATTGCCCCGGAGGTGAGATCTTCAGTTATCTTCGACGAGCACGACGGTTCGATGAAGCAACGTCAAGGTTCTATGCGGCGGAGATCACAATGACAATTGAGTATCTACATGATGTTCAAGGGGTAGCCTACCGTGATCTCAAACCGGAAAACATTCTACTCGACGCCGATGGTCATATTAAATTGGTGGACTTCGGATTTGCAAAACAAGTTGGTAATCGTGAAACCTATACCCTCTGCGGAACCCCAGAGTACCTGGCTCCGGAGGTCATCCATAACAGTGGTCATGGACTTGCGGTCGACTGGTGGGCACTTGGGATTCTCATTTATGAATTCTTGGTCGGGCAACCTCCTTTCTGGGATCAAAATCCGATGCGAATCTATGAGCAAATTGTGGAGGGTCGGCTGCGCTTCCCCCCAAATATGCCTGCAGCAGCACAGAATATTGTCTCACTGCTCTGCAAAACAAGCCCGACAGAACGGCTGGGCTATATCTCTGGTGGTTCGGCGCGAGTGAAGGCACACCCTTTCTTTCAAGATGTGATTTGGGATGATCTGTTTTATCGACGCGTTAAGGGTCCAATTGTTCCGCGAGTATCACACCCGGCGGACACTGGTAACTTCGAGGACTATCCGGACTCCGATCATCGAAACCAGAACATCTACACCGACGATCTGAAAAAGAAATATGAAGCTCTCTTCAGTGATTTTTGAGGAACGAGTGATTCTCGTTACGAATATGGCTTGTTTCAACAACCGTCTTCCCACAAATCTATATTCCGCTATAGGAACTACGGCTCTCTCCCTCTGGCTTCAACCATCAATTCTCCCCGCCAGTCAAAAGGGGCTTTCCGCCTGTAGATCTCGTCCTTTCGTTGATTGGAGCCATCGAGAAGGCTCTTTGGGATTTGAATGTCCCATGTGGATGTGGCAATTGCTAGTCTGGCCTATCCGTTCAAGGTTTAGTCTTAGCAACTATCCCTTTCACGTCAACTCACTTTTGCACGACATACCAGTGATTTATTGTCTCAAAACCTGGCTTTCCATCCAATGCTGGAAAATGTCTCGTCCAAGGGCCCCTCCGGGCTATTCTCCGTTTGATATCCGCTCTCCTTATCTCTTCATCCTCGATAACGACAGCATCGCCTCTTAACTATCGGGATTGCAAATGATTTCAGATGCATTGCGCCTTGGCGGAAATCTGTCTTGATATAATGGCTGTGGATTTACTTGCTCCTTGCTCTTCATTGCGCTTCTGCCCCTTTCGGCTGATTTGGAAGACATGTGCATGACATAGCAACTTTATCCATGCTACGATTACGAATTAATCAGTACATACTTTTGTTTTAGTTTGAACATACCCATTCATTAACTCTGAACACGCGAAATTATATCGACCATTTGGAATCTGTAAAAAGCAATCCTGGGATTTGAGCCGTATGGCCCCAGTTGAGTTCGCGTTTTTATCTTCCTAATTTTTTGCCAGTCGTGACGTTACGGAGTCCGGGCTGGTTGATATCAAACTAAAGCAATGAATTGAAATTATCATGGGGCTACAGGCCCGTAAGTGGTTCCATTCGAACAGAGTCTATATGCGAAACAAGACCCCTTATAATACATCCCGAAAACAACACAATAACAAGAGACCATTCGATGGCGCGGGGGCAGCCCAGATCTCAATTTCCAAATGTCTGCCTTATCAATCAAAGGCCTTGGGCCAGCATCAACAAGTAGGAGTGGCCAAGTGAAGAATCTCCGAGTCAAGAAAATGGGGGTGGAATATGCGCCAGAAAGCGAGTGCGTAGTAGCAGTGGTAAACAGAAAGAGCGCGCTCAAGACTTCGAGTTCAAGATCAGGCCGACAATCAAGCTGGTGTCCATGTTAACAATGTGCTTTTCAACCCCTCGGTGGTCATATGTGCCCGTTTACTTACCCATAAAGACCGAGAACTTCTCCGAAGATCAGAATCAAAATCATGCCGACATAGACGCGAGATTGTTGCATGTAAGCCCGAACACCCTGTAAGAGCCCGTTAGACGAGCATGTCGTTGACACATTGCAGGCAAAGGAATTCTTACCGCGTCACCAACAACTCCAATAGTATATCCTGCAGCGATACCTGAAAGGCCAACGGAAAGGCCAGCTGCAAGATGCATGAATCCTCTGTGATCCCTTTGTCAGCCCACCGACCCTCAAGACATCCACACTTTCCTCCGCGGGTCTGACATACGTGTACAAACTCTGTGTCGAGCTCGGGTTGACGGCTCCTGCGATGAGCACGGAAACAACGAGACCGTAAACTGCGATGATACCGGACATGACGACGGGAATAAGGGACTGGAGGAGCAAGTTGATCAGCAACCTGACATGTCCAGCTCAGGACGACAGGAACTCTCTGGATCTCACTTTCATGATCAGATCCGGTCTGAAGGTGCCCACGCCCGCGATCCCGATGCCCGACTTGGCTGTTCCGTAGGCCGCTCCTCCCGCTGTGACGTTGTCAGCTATAGGTGTCCGATTCCCCAAGTCCACCATCCCAGCCAGTGGGCCAACATACCGCCAAAGACCATCTTCAAGTGCAAGTGGTTAGTACAATATGGTATCCGGTGTTGACATTCTGAGTTGACTTACTGCAGCTGCAATGCCGGCCTAATTGTAGAGCACATTAGCAGTATACCTTGGAACTGGAAGCTCAGCGCACTTACAAAGGAAAAGAACGGCGCAAATTTAGGCGCCAGTTCGCTGTCTGCCATTATGAAGGAAGACCCGAGAGTCGGTAGAATGGTGAGATCTGAATGATAGATGAGAGAGCTCGTCAAGGCGAGACTGGCAGACTGACGGGAGAGGTTGGAAAGGCCCGCGCTCTCCTGGTGTTGCAGCGGATCACTTGGCCCGCCGTAGCGCAGTACCGCGCTTCCCCTCGGTGACCATACCGTACCGCCCCCAGGCAACCCCCTCACAGAGTTTCCGTCGCAGTGGCTCCCCGGTGTGGTCACTGGATTACCGCCAATACCGGGCAGCCCGTCACCTCGCCTCATCCTCGTTCCTCGTCTCCTGGTCCCCCCAAGTCTATTGCATTTTCAACATTCACGCCTCCCCCCCTCCCACCTCCCTACCCCCCTCCACCCTTGTCAGCTCTTGGTGCTCTTCTCTTTCGGAGGAATGCTGAGGGTATGAACTGGCAAGGAGCCCTGACTTTGTTGCGCTCACGGCTCCTAGCGCTCGGTTACGACTTTTGAACCCGCTAACCCCCCCCCCCCCAAAAGGTCACCCGGAGGGGAACTTGGGTTATATCGAGATCGGCTTTGGCACATAAACGATTATTCTTTCGACTTTCCAGAACTGGTTCCCGCGGGATCGCTTCTTTCATTCTTCCTTTCCTCTCGTTGCCCACGATTCTGAACAAACCTCTTGCGACGCCGTGCACGCTCTCCACGATCGACTCGGATACCCCCCTCACTCACCCCCACCCCTTTTTGATCCCTCTTCCGACTTCCGGCATAGCAACCTCTCTTCATACCTAACGACCTCGCTCCTTCCTGTCGATCGCGGAGCTTATGAACATGGCAGACCTGGGGAGTCAGCGTAACCGGAATTACCGGCCTTATGGTGGACCGGCCTCGTCCGAGCAGCGAGATGCTGCATACTCGGACATCTTTGGCAGCACACCACCCCCGGGACGCTCCCAAACCATGACCTCACAGACAGTTCCGTTCTCCCAGGGCCGTGCCCATACTATGTCGTCGCACACGGTCCAGCCCCAATTTCAGAGGATGCCGCCGCCGCCAACTCGCCAACCTGTTGTCAACGGCTACGGACCACCGCCCTCTGCACCTCCAAATGGTTACCCTCCACCGCCACCTTCAGGTCAATACCAGGCATATAACCCAGCCGGGGGAGCCGCGACAATGTCTTCGCATCCACCATCTCTGCGACAGTACCCTCCTCGAGCGGGGCGCTCCGCCTACCCCCAACCCCAACGCCTGGATAGACCCGGTCCGCCGCCCCAGTACCCAGATCCACGCGATTTAGGCCGGCCAGCACCTCCAATGCCTCCCCCTGCCTTGAATTCCGATCCGAACAGATCACAATCAATGGCAAAATTGCCATCCTATCACAACCAAATGCCTCCACATAGCACTTTCAACCACGGATCTTCTGCAACCGTGCGGCAGCAGCAATACTATCCAGGCGCCACGACGATGACGCAGCTTGGACGACCGCTTCCAGAAAGGCATTTCAACGAGCGAGCCATGTCGATGACCACCTATGCGGCGGATGTAAACCATGCCCGCATTATGAACAGCGGGAGACATATCCCGGCTCCCAGGCCCCCGTCCGGGCATGAACAGGTTATACCACAAAGATTCGACTCCATGCCTGCCAACGCGGCCGAAAGCTACGCCAAGCCCCGCCCGCCCAGCGAGACTTCTCAGCGATCTCGTACCATGTCTATGGCATCGACTATTGCTCCTGACCGCACTATGAGTGTTCAAAGTCAAGCAACACAGAAATCTAACGGTCAATCGACACTTGTGTCTAGCGATTCGCGCCGCAAGGTGCCTGTTGTATACCCTGCTCTCCTTGCGCGTGTTGCCGATGTTTTCCGAGAGAAGATCTCGCTCGGTGAACGCCAAAAGAACGGGCTATCTTACCAGAATGCCTTTTCGGGCTCTGATGCCGTGGATTTGATCGCCAACATTATTCGAACAAATGACCGAAATCTCGCACTATTGTTGGGTCGTGCCCTAGATGCCCAGAAATTTTTCCACGATGTCACCTATGATCATCGCCTTCGAGATGCCCCTGGCGAGGTCTATCAATTCAAGGAAACCATGGGCGAGGAGACGCTTACCTCGGAGGTCAATGGCGTTTTCACTCTCCTGACTGAATGCTACTCTCCTACTTGCACCCGGGACAGCCTCTGCTACTCCATTGCCTGTCCGCGACGATTGGAACAGCAAGCACGCTTGAATCTGAAGCCTCAGCCGGTTCTGAGAACGTCTGGATCTAAGGGCAGCCTTCACATCGACGACGATGAAGATAATGACAATCAAAAGCTGTGGATCAACATGGTTCCAAAGGAAATTTCGGAGGCTGTGGATGACCGCGAGAAGAAGAGACAGGAGATCATCTTTGAGATCATGTACACGGAGCGAGATTTCGTCAAGGATTTGGAGTACCTACGGGATTTCTGGATGCGACCGTTACGCGCGGCAGGCACTAATACTCACTCTCCCATCCCGGAGCACCGGCGAGAGAAGTTCATTCGGACGGTGTTTGGAAACTGTTTGGAGGTGCTGAAGGTCAACAGTGGCCTTTGTGAAGCCCTGAACACTCGACAAAAAGAAAGTCATGTTGTTAAGACCGTTGGTGATATTTTCCTCCAGCATGTGCCACGGTTCGACCCTTTTATCAAGTACGGTGCCAACCAGCTCTACGGCAAGTACGAGTTTGAAAAGGAGAAGGCGTCAAATCCGGGCTTTGCCAAGTTCGTTGAAGACACCGAACGTCTCAAAGAATCCCGGAAACTAGAGCTGAACGGTTATCTTACGAAACCTACAACTCGGCTTGCCCGATACCCATTGCTGCTTGAATCCGTCCTAAAACACACTGCTGATGACAATCCTGACAAGGAGGATATCCCGAAGGCAGTTAAGCTCATCAAAAATTTCTTGTCGCGTGTCAACACAGAAAGTGGAAAGGCTGAGAATCATTTCAACTTGGTGCAGCTAAATGCTGCATTGAAATTCAATCCCGGTGACTATGTGGATCTGAAGCTCACGGAGGAGAATCGACAAATGCTCACGAAGATGGCATTCAAGAAGACCACCGCTGAAAGCTCCGAAGTGACTGCCTACCTCTTCGATCACGCAGTGCTCTTAGTTCGTATCAAAGTGGTGAATAAACGCGAAGAGTACCGTGTCTACAAGAAGCCAATTCCCCTGGAACTTTTGGTGATTGCTCAGATGGACGAGGTGATTCCGCGCTTGGGAATTTCGAAGCGTCCTTCTTCCAGTCTATTGTCCAACAAAGTGGCTCCCAATCCTCCTCCCGCAAAAGACGGACAGCTTCCGATCACATTCCGACATCTTGGTAAAGGAGGCTACGAGCAGACCCTCTATGCCACCTCCCCAACTCAGCGACGCAAGTTTATTGAAATGGTCGAGGAACAACAACGGAAGCTATGGGAACGAAATAGCAACTTCTATAACAAGACAGTCCTTTGCGAAAGCTTCTTTTCTGCTATCAACCGTGTCAATTGCTGTGTCCCTGTTGGTAAGTTAGCTACTTTCTTTCGGGTGATTAATTTAGTTTTTGCATATTAACAACTATCTAGATGGCGGACGGAAGTTGGTCTATGGCACTGACAGTGGAATCTACTTATCCGAGCGATGGCCTAAGGACAAATCCGCCAAGCCGAGAAGAGTCTTGGAGGCTAGTCAGGTTACTCAAATCGACACTTTGGAGGAGTACCAATTACTTCTGGTTTTGGCAAACAAAACACTATCGTCATATCCAATTGAGGCTCTTGAGATAGGAGAGGGTCAGAACGCTGTTGCCAAGCGTCCAAAGAAGATTCAAGGCCATGCAAACTTCTTCAAGGCAGGAATTGGTCTCGGTCGACACCTGGTATGCTCTGTCAAGACATCCGCTCTGTCGAGTACCATCAAGGTCTACGAACCAATGGACAACCTGGCGAAGGGGAAGAAGAAGTCGGCCGTAAGTAAGATGTTCCAAAGTGGCCAAGAAACTCTCAAACCATTCAAGGAGTACTACATTCCTGCCGAATCTTCTTCGATCCACTTCCTACGGTCGACGCTTTGTGTCGGTTGTGCCCGTGGCTTTGAGGTCGTCAGCTTGGAAACCACCGAGACCCAATCTCTGCTCGATCAAGCCGATACCTCTCTTGACTTTGTTGCCCGGAAAGAAAATGTCAAGCCGATTCACATCGAACGAATGAATGGAGAATTCCTTTTGAATTACAGCGATTTCTCATTCTTCGTCAACCGCAATGGCTGGCGGGCTCGTCCAGACTGGAAAATATCCTGGGAGGGCAATCCGAACGCTTTTGCTCTCTCCTATCCATACATTCTCGCATTTGAGCCTAATTTCATCGAAATCCGTCATGTTGAGACAAGTGAATTGATTCACATCATGACCGGAAAGAACATTCGAATGCTCCATTCTTCCACACGGGAGATCATCTATGCCTATGAAGATGAGTCGGGAGAGGATGTTGTCGCAAGTCTAGATTTCTGGAACAAGCCCCAGCAAATTTGATTGGTCTTTGGATGCATGGCAATTTCCAACCCCATCACCAACCCACCCGCTAACTATCCTCCACTATATCTCCCGCCCTCTCCCGTCCAGCTTCGAAAGGTCTTCTATATGCCTTGGAGCTTGTACAAGTCGACAGTCCAGTGTCGCGGGAGTGTTGCCCGTGGCAATCTACGAGCGTCAAAGATGATCAAGGGCCACCCCAAACCTGTTCTCCTGGTCTGCAACGACATACAGCATCAGTTCCTCGCACCATCTCCTCCTACCCCATCCTCCTACCTTCCTATTCATGTCAGTACGTCTTGTGACTTCTCGCATGTCCGATTCAAGAACTCTCCTCCCACCTCCACTTTTTTTTCTATTTCCCCACATAAAACTTTGAGGTTTTTCATGCCATCTCGTTTCTGTGTGTACAATGGATCGCAAAATACCACTTCTTGCGTGTTTGCTTGCCTTGTTTTCCACACTCCCAGTTGCACCGCTTTCATCGTGCGTCTTTCGATTGCCGATCTTAAAATTTTCTATTGACTTTATTTCACCCTTTCTTTTCTTGTTTCTTCTTTTGTTCCTCCGCATGGCCTGCGAAGTGATGACCATGTTTTGAACCTCGTCTTTAGCTTTTTTTCATTTTCTATTTTTCTATCTTTTGCCCTTTATTTCCTGTACTGTTGAATTCGAGGAATCTTCCCTACGTTCCAATACTATTGATGTGGAATGCTTCGAATGCGCTTTTGCCATGGTAGAGACCTGTAACAACCATTTGAAGTTCTAGCATTCTAGAATACATGTGGTAAATGGAATACATATATCATCAGACAACGAACGCCCTTTCATCATAAGTCTAAAAATCAATTGGAGATCCAGACTTGAGTTCAATTTAGAAATTCGGTGAAGTACACCCTACGATGAGTCTTTTTTTACAGCAACAGACTTAAACAAGGAGAGACAAGAGGCCAAGATACTTTTTCTTCCTCATTTACTATCGGGCTAGGAAGACAGCGGAAAAGGATAGACACAAGACATGGACGACAAACACGAAACACAAAAGAGAAGAGGGAATCTTGCTGCGCTGCGGACTTTGGACAAGGTGCCAGGGACGAAAACAGGATGAGAAAGCCCGGGGACATGGGAGGAGAGGGAGTGGACAGGGAATAAAAAAAGGATATGCAAAAATAGAAGCTCCCCGGGGCAAATCGAGCAATTAAAGAGAACAATGAAGGGGGCGAGGAGACTGTTTATGTCTCTGGGCCGAGCTTGAGGGAAACATAGAAGCAGCGGGAACATAGAAACAGCAGATTGGCATCGAGGAGGGTAACGCAGGGACAGCAAGAAAATCCCCATCTGTTGACACGTGCTCTTTCTTCCATCGAGAAGCAGGAAGGGAAATTGTTGCCCGTCATCGAAAACCGGAGGGTTGCATTCTATGTTGGGATCTTGTCCATCTCCGTAGAGACACCAGGTAAAAAAAGGAAGCAAAAGAAGAAAAAAAAAGCTATTAACGTGAATAAACAGTCAATATTATCCCCATAAACAGAAACCAACTTCGTGCCGCGAAGTCCATGATGATGGCACAAACGGTATCACATTGCGAACCGGCGCCCCGCTGAATGAGCCGCATCGTCGATAGGGTATATCTAGGCCTCTCCATTGGCTTCGCTGACATTGCCCTGGCTGGCCTCGCGCGCCATGCGGGCCTCGATCTCTCTGAGCTGGCTTTCGCGAGCCAATAGCTCCTGCCGCTTCTCGGCGATCTCGCGCTGCACCTTGAGTTCGATTTCGCGCAGCTTCTCCTCCTCGCGGCGGAGCTGCTCCTCCTTGAGGCGGACAGACTGAGAGGCAAGGTCCTCGGGGTTCATGCTGGAATCTTGGCCGCTGTTTGATTTATTAGTATGATGCATTTCGTGATTAGCCACAAGAGGGTCGAAGGAATGACATACGATACAGCACCATCCACGCTCTTGCTGAGCTTCTCGGTACGGTAGTTTTCATAAAGGAAGTCGTGAGTGATTTCCTTCAGGTCTGCCAAGTGGCTGTGGAGCAGAGCGCTGCGGATTGCCAGGAAGTCGGAGTGTCGGGGGTTCTCAACCTCGACTACACCCCACGGATACTGTCGGGCGCGCACTTTCCGGTTATCGATCTCGACGAAGTCCTCGGAGCCAACAATGGCGAAGGGCATCAGTCCACGCAGTTCAGCGTTCTCCTCCACAGTGTCTTCATCATCCTCCTCAATATCGTAGGGGAAGTTGTAGACGGGAATGCGATAGTGCTCAATATCCTCCATAATCAGCTTCTTCGACTCGGCCAGTTCGGCAGGAGTAAGGGAATCCGCCTTTCCGATGACGGGAATGACGTTGACACGAGGAGACAGACGCTTCATCAATTCAATGTCAAGTTCGCGAAGGCCGTGACCGGTGGGTGTGATGAAGTACAGCAGCACGTGCACACGGTTGTCCCTGAAACGGGGATTACGCTTGATTCGCGACTCCTCCGCAAGAATGTCATCGTATTGGCGCTCAAGGTAGCCAACAATCTCGCCAAAGCTGTTTAGGGGGTGTTAGCGGGGGTCGATCCGCGCTCGTTTTGAAACGGGGCTGATTAGATATGGGAGAGTTGAACATGCCTCGCCTCGTTGTCAATCTGGTCACCGAAACCGGGGGTATCGACGATGGTCAGGGAGATCCGGGTGCCCTCCTCATCCAGCTCGAGCTCTGTGGTATCCGAGAAGTCAGTCTTGGCCGGGTCTTTACGCGACGGAAGGTTTGTTGGTCGGCTGGGGAGATGATGGTCCACTCACCGACTGTGACGGGCTTGATGCGGACGCCCTCCTCAATGTGGGCATGCTCTGCATCGTCGGCATCCTTTCCCTCCAGCACTTGCTTGCCGCAAAGGGTGTTCACAAAAGTGGTGCGCCCTGAGTCGCAATCATGGTTAATGACAATTGGCAAGGTCTGGGGCCGCACTCGAGCTTACCAGTTCCGCTGGCACCGCAAACCATCAGACAAAACTGAATTCCCTTCTTGACATTCTTCTTGCGGCGAATCTTGATCTGCCCACAACGGGGACAAGAGTTAGCTCCGGTGACATTTTTTTCGGGAAGTATGGGGCAGGAGCTGCTTGGGGAGGGGGAAACAAATAAAGGGGAACATACCGCGTTGAGAGCCGACGACATGGTGGGCTATGAAAGGGAAAAGAAAGGAAACAAGATGCAAAGAAGGAGATTCCACGCAGCAAGGAATCAGCAAAGATGAGAGTGAGGGTGAAACTCTCCTGAGGTTCGTTCTGGAGAACGGAGAGAGTAGGGGGGGAGGAAAGACAGTTCGTTTCTCCCCCTTTCCCTCACCACGGGCCAATCACGGGACGTTGCTCTTCTCCAGCTCTACTCCTCTACTTGCTCCTCCACGGCTTCTGGAAACTCCACTCGTGGGCTCAATGGCAGTGGTTTCCCGATCGATGAAGCAAAATTGCGTCTAAATCTACAATGCCCGCTCTTGATTGCCAATTCTGCTCTCCAACCTCTCTCTTTGGAGGTTCCCCGGCCAGCACTCAGGGGTTGAATGTTCGGTGGGTCGCTCCTGGCCGCCGGAGGATTAGGTAACGGGGGTTATGGCCTGGGGCACCAACCGTGGATCCCTGAGCTTCGCCCGCATTTCCCTCTTATCGCCGATCCGCCTTGCACCATGTTGATCTGCGCCACCTCGCACTCTGCTAGACGCTGACTTCTGCAATTCAATGGGATACAGATGGTTGGACAACCCGCGACTATCTTCCACTTGAAGTTCCCCGCATTTCCTGACCACTGAACCTCCCCGGATCGACCCCGGTCCAAGCGTGCTTGACCCACGTCATGCTCCGCGACCATGAATACCCGCCAAGTCATCGATGAATCCCTCGGGCCATATTCGCTTTCAGCAGCCTTCAATAATGACAGCAGCTGTTTCTCTGTGGGACTGGACACTGGATTTTGTGGTAGGTGTGCTATGTTAGGCGGTGGAGCTGCCTAGGTGCTTGAAGGCGAGGGAGAGCCGAGCTAAGACAACAGCCATCTAGTCTTCAATACCAACCCTTGTGAGCTAAAGGTGTCTCGAGGTAAGCTTGAAGGAGATATTCTAGGTGCGGACAAGCATCGTACTCATGCAATCCTGGTTTCCATGCAGACTTCAATGCAGGCATCGGGGTGGTGGAAATGCTGGGCCAGTCCAACTACCTGGCTATTGTTGGCGGAGGACGAAACCCCAAATTTCCACAGAACAAGGTGTGCTTAAATTCTTCACTTCACAAAACCAGCATAAATCAGACCCGAAACTAAACGTTGTCTTCCTTTTAGCTAGTCATCTGGGATGATGCAAAACAAAAAGCTGCTATCACCCTCGAGTTCCGCACGTCCGTCCTCGGCGTCCGTCTCTCCAAATCTCGAATCGTTGTCGCGCTTCTGAACAGCATCCATGTATTCGCATTTTCTACGCCGCCTCAGAAGCTGTCGGTCTTTGAGACATCAGATAACCCGTTGGGACTAGCCTGCTTGGGACGGAAACTGCTCGCTTTCCCCGGCCGATCACCAGGACAAGTGCAGGTCATAGAGCTGGAGACAGGCAATATTAGCATTATACCTGCTCATAGCTCACCTCTTCGAGCCATGGCCTTAAGTCCCGATGGAGAGATTCTCGCGACTGCAAGCGAAGCTGTAAGATCCCTTGTCCTTCTAAATCGACGGTTACTGACATTTCTATTAGGGGACCTTGATCCGCATATTCTCTTCGGCCAACTGCACGAAACTGGCAGAGCTACGTCGTGGGGTGGATCATGCAATAATATTTTCGCTTTCATTTTCTCCATCTAATACCCTGCTGGCAGTAACATCCGACAAGTCCACCCTTCATATCTTCGACGTACCCCATCCGCACCATATCGCACGGCACCGAAGTCAATCTCCGGTTTCCGCAACGGAAGAAGGGACAAATCAAAAATGGGGCATTCTGGGTAAACTGCCTTTGCTTCCACGGGTATTTTCAGACGTGTATTCTTGTGCCAGTGCACATTTTGAGATCGGTGAGGAGGCTGGCCCTGGGTCATCCTATCTGCCATCTGGTTCCCCAGTGGGACGACCTCAGAAAGGTATCATCGGCTGGATGGATGATCAGACCATTTTAGTGATTGGATCTGGCAGGGATGGACGCTGGGAGAAGTTCATCCTTCGAGATGGTGACGAGGGAAAGCGATACTGCATGCGTGATGGTTGGAAACGTTATCTCGGCGGCTGAACCATACCTGTCATGGTGATCTAACTGCCAGAATCGATCAATGTGTAGCGGATGTATGGACTGCAATAGCCAAACCAGTCATTGTAAATAAAAACCGCCATTTCATGCACTGTGTTTGATATGATGCGAGCCATACGGTAATGGTAGGAACGAATACTCCCAACATTCAGCGGCGACGATCGCGTCGGTCTCGATCGCCGCGGTCGTCTCGCTCTCGGTCACTCCGACGTCTTCGAGAGTCAGGAGATCGAGACATATCCTTGGACCGGTTCCTGTCCCTCCTTGACGGTTCGATCCTCTCCGTGGACCTATCTCTCCGTGATCGTTGTTCTCGTTCTGTAGACCGGCGCCGAGATGTTCTCTCTTCACCCTGAGAACGATCATCCCGATGTCTACGTTCGCGAGACCTCGTTCGATGACGGCGGTGGTGTCGGCTGGATTTCTCTCTGCTACTATCCCGTCGCCGGGAGGATCTCTTGTCGTTTTTGTACTTCTCCAGGGCGAGTACAATCTCTTCCTTCTTCTCTTCAATGAGGAATTCCTTCATTGGATCTTCCTCGTCGTGATTCTGAATGAGCTCCTCCAGCTCTCTTTCTTCCTTCAGCATAGGCCGCGGTTCTTCTTTATCGTTTCTCTTCCTGCGGCCGTGTCGATCTCTGTCCTCGTCCGTTCTGTTGTTCGGAGGCGCTACATCGCCCATGATTTTACCAACATTGTCTCCTTCTTCCTCGTCGTCGCGTCGCTTGTACCGTGCATGGTCGACCCGCAACATGCGTCCTAGGACTGTTGCACCTCCGAGGTTGTCGACTGCGAGGTCTGTGCTGCGCTGGTCCTCATATTTGAGCCACGCAAACCCGCGGCTTTTGCCTGTTTCCTTGTCGCGCGCAAGGTTCACATGGACAGGCTCTCCATATTGCGAAAAGATCGTCACGATATCGCCCTCTGAGAGATCGAAAGGAAGGCCGCCGATGTAGATGTATGCGGTGTCCCGGTAGTCTGCATGCCAGGACGCCTCCGGGGGTCTGGATAAAGTGCAAGCGGATTAGCGGAGAGGATTCAAGACCAAATAGACAGAGCGGAGTAAAGAAAACCAGCACTTACACAGCATTCTCGAGCTCACGCTTGTTGAGCGCCTGGAGCTGGCGGATTTGGTTCATGGCGATATTGCGGATGCAAGGTCGGGGTCGGGGAGGGCGGAAGGAAGAAGCTGGGAAGAGGAAGGGTCCCACCCGGAGCATCTGCGGAACCGTAAAATCGCCAATTGTTTACTCAACCCCGAAACAAGCCCCCTGCTCTATCTTCCGTGACGTCGTTGGATACAAAGCTTCCGCACCTGGTGTCGGCTGCCTGCGAAGCTTTTTGCCTTCCCGCGGCCCAGTTGTAGCTACCTCCATCTCCGCCCGCTTTTCTCCAGATTCCCCTGACCGCGCGCGACTTTGGTTCCAACCTCCCCTCCACCACGATCTCCGATACGGCACTTCCGCACGCCACAGCCTCCTGCGGTATTTTCTGTCTTTTGATCCGAGTGCTTGGAATGGTGCATGCCTTTTAAGGCATGGTGGGACTAGATCAGACGATGTCCTCCAGTCCAACTCGCGGCACTAAGGCCCCCGGTGCCAACAGCCGACCTACCAGTAAGGACGGCTCAAAGAAGAATATCTGGTCGTCACTGCTAGATGGCGTCGCCAATGGAAAACGTTTGCCAGAGAAGAACCTTTTGATTCTAGGTTGGTGTTTGATCTATCGTTTATGGAGAGAACATTCCTTCCGAGGCTTGGACTTGTCCCGCTTTATTCCTGACCGTATGAGACTGATTCTTTGCGCTTAGGGGGCACACCGGAAAGCCAGAGAGAATTCCTGGAAACTTTCTCTGCAGATACGTCCGCCGATCCTGGCTTAGTGAATGAGAAGCGAAAGGGGAAGGCTCCCCCAATTGCGAACCAGTTTGCGTTGGGCTACACATACCGAGACGTGCTTGATGCAGATCAAGAAGGTACCATGCCCATGTCGCTCACCTCCATATCAAACAAGACTAATTCTCTTATTCTGTTCAAGATACACTGGCGCGTGTCTCGGCCTATCTCCTGTCCGAACCCTCTCTCTCCTTTGCGCCGCTTCTCAAACCTCTCCTGACCCCTCAATCTGTGCCTGAAACGCTCGTTGTCATTCTTTTGGACTGGTCCGACCCATGGACCTGGGTTCGTCGACTGAGAGAATGGGTTCGCCTTCTCCGATCCGTCCTTGTTTCTCTTGATGATGACACAAAAATCATAATGGAGGAAACCATGACAGAGTGGCGTGACCGCAAAAGAGGCGTCGATGCCAGCTCCGGAACTACCACGGGCATGTCAAATTCCAGTGGTTCAGTCACAATACCTCTGGGGCCTGGCGAGTGGGATGAGGGCTTGGGAATCCCGATGTGTGTTGTTTGTCAAGGCGTATGTTGATCTGAGGAGAAGCACAATATTAGAGAAGCTTTGCTAACAAAATAAATCGGTAGGCCGACAAGATTGAGAAACTGGAAAAAGAGCACGGGTGGCACGAAGAGGAATTTGACTTCATTTTGCAATTCTTGCGGACAATCTTGCTAAAGCGTGAGTTTTCTCTTTTCGATCATCGGTGGAAAGTCTCTAAATTTAACAGACGGCGCATCGCTCATTTATACTACACCTTTTCTTGCAAGCTCTCTCCAGGGACTGATTCACTCCTCGTTGGGTATACACTCTCTTCTGAAGCGGCAATCATTAAAACATAATGTCATCGATCGGGACAAGATTTTCGTCCCCGCCAACTGGGACTCCTGGGGCAAAATCCGCATTATTCGAGAAGGATTCGACATGGAAGGCGTTTCTACCGCCTGGTCCATTGAAATCCAGGATGCCCCTGAACCGCTCGAACAGCCCGCAGATGCCGGTCATCAAGAGGAGAAAGCCGATGATGGTACCAGTGCCGTAATGGTGTTCGAGCAGACCATCAAAGACCCCAAGCGCGATCCTAGTATCGCCCACCCCAATAGTACCGGAAATGGAAATAGCATTGAAATCGAAACGTCCGACATGCAATCCTTCCTTTCTGAACAACTTGTACACCTGGAGAAGCTCCAACTCGAGGATGTCAAGCATGTTGTGAACGCCCCTCCGCAACTGGAAAGATCTCCCATTGACGACGAGGGAAAGGTCAACGAGCACATTGGCCCTGTTCAATTCAACATGGGCGGTATCCAGGTTGACGCTGACGATATGTTGAAGAAGCTTCGGGTAAGTCCCTACGCTGACATTCATGCCAGGCATCTCAATTCTGTTACTAACATGTCCCTGATTAGGATCGCGAAGCTAGCAGAGCTCAAAGGAAAGATGGAAACCCAACGAATCCTGCCGATGAGAAGGCTCACAACCAGGCCCTGGCAAGCTTCTTCGCTGGTCTCGTGAAGAAGCCCAACAGTAGTCCTCGAGGCAGCCCGTCCTCTTGATCATCCCGTCTTGTCTCTTCCATCTTGGACTGTATTCTAGTTCTCTGAGCGTACATATTGTGGACCGTCGAGCCCAGACCTTGTGGTCAGCCTTTTCCACGCTGAGGGCGAGTATTTGAGGACGGCAACGGCCTGTGCATAAATTTTCCTTTTTCCCTAGTGAGAGATTTCTGGCTTTTTGCGGGGTGTTAGATAATGATACCAATATGGATTGTCTTTCTGATTCAACATGTCGAGTCCATGTGAACCAGGGAGGATCTGAAATTAGTGAATCCTATGAGCGTATTTGACTCATGCCAATGCTGGACCACCCGTTTCCTCAGGTATCCTTTGTGAGTAGATTCCTTCGTCAAATGCCAGATAATTGTTTCCAAGGGCTTTCAAAGAATCCGGATCTACGAACTACTTCTGAGCGTCAGCTGGTATGATATTTGCTAATCTTTCTCTTACAAGCCTGCATCACTATCACTTGTACGCTGAGCTTCGGCCTCCTCTCGGGCTTGACCTCGATATAATCATTTGGGTTGATTACACTAATAAATGCAATGGAATAAATCCAACTCTATTGTTTGTATTGGAGTTGACTAATACATCGCGACCAGCAGGTTCAATAAATAGTATTATTAAATTTCATGTGTGCTACAGACTTAGCAATGGCCCAGTCCTTGCGCTACTAAGCAGATAAAGTCGGTGTTCTGCATGTGTTGGTGATCGCATATCACCCTTCAGCTCACCAATGAAGTGCTGTTCCTTCTTATGCTCATGGCCTGGACTTGCAAGCTGATATACAAATACAAAGAAAAAAAAAAAGAGACGCCTCTTCGTCGTAGCGGTCGGTCAAGAGATCACCAGTTCTCCCAAACAGCATCGGGAATAACCTTCCGCATGATTTCCCAGTGTTCCAGAGCCCCGCGGTCCTGGAACTTGTGCAATCTCCGGGCCTCCTTTGCAACGAGGACGTGTCTTCCTTTCTTGGGAATTGTCGCAAAAATGACGGGGTCGAGCTCATGCTTCGGGAGGAGATAGTTCTCACGAGTCTTGCTGCGTAAGAAGTCCGAAGGCACAGGCTCTCGGAACTGTAGAGGGGAAGAATTCTTCTTACAGAAGAATACCATGTTGGTGAAATTGTTGTTTTCGTTGTCCTCGCTCGGCGCATCTTCGCGGAAGATGCGGCAAGTCGGGAAGACGGCCTGGATGGTGCGAGCAATCAGGCCGGTTGGGTAGAGCTCAAGATCACCAGCATAGTTCTAAGGGGAAACTTGTCAGTAAACAGATAATAGCTGATTTTTAACAAATCGATTAGCTTGACACTCACAATCGCAATGACACCGTCATCTCTCAGCAAAGAGCTCAAGCCTTTCAGAAATTCCATCGTGAACAGCTCCGCAGGCTCAGCACCACCGGTGAAGACATCATGGATGATATAATCGTACTGGGACGGCAACTTTTGCGCACGCTCAACAAACTTGGTGGCGTCTTCGATAACGGGAAGATGGTTAGATGGGAGGTTGAAGTACTGAGTGGCAAGCTTATGCACGACAGGGTCAATTTCAACCACGGTAGTGTCGATGCCATGCTTCATCAGTGCAGCGGGAGTCGTGCCAACCCCAAGGCCACTATTAGTTGTCAGCTATATATCAACCTAACGTCTTTGGTATACAACCCTTACATGACCAGTGCCTTGCTGTTCGCATCAACGCGCTCGCTGCCGTGGTCTGGCTCGACCAGGCGAACAGCCTCAAGCATAGCAAAGACTGCATAAATAGGGTCCTCCACCTCTGGGTGGTAACCTGGCGATGATTTGGTCCATTGTCCACCGAGGAGGCTGTGATCACATCGCATCACTCTGAATCCGTCGTGATTGTTCTCCAAGACAGAGATATATCCGGTGTAAGACTCTTGCCGTGTCAACAGAGTATATCCCTCGTGCTTGAGCGCAGAGTTAACACCGCTGATGCCACCCAGATGAACATCAGAGGTGATTGAGAAAAGCAGAGACGGGATGGCCAGGACCAATAGCTTGGACGGAATAACGGCAGCGTAGAGAACCGCAATGAGAAATTGCAGGCCTGCGCGGGAGAAGACAATGGTGAAGCCAATGGCATGGGAGAGAACAGCCTTAGCGAAGTGTTCGCCGATCGAATACACGACGTACGAACCCAGCAGGGGCACATGCTCCGCGGCTATATCACCCTGCGATTCAAGGTGAAGGGCAAATTGAATTTGCTTTCCGGCGACAGCCACAGTGAGCATCACTAGCGGATAATAACCGAAGAGCTCAGTGATGACTGGGCCAGCCGGGTTGCCCAGCTTGGAACTTTGCTGCATAATGAAGTACTGCAGAGTCGGGGTCCAAAAAGCCAGGACAGGCAGAATAATCGCAGCGAGACGACCAATACGCTTTTGAATTTGGTCCTTCAAGAACCATCCAGCTCCGGCGAAGATGGCCACTCCATAGCTATGGAAGATATGCGATGGCAAAGAACCGTAGACCGGGGACAGCACCAACACCATCACTGGGGAGTAAAAGGCCAGAAGACATAGCAATGCAATGCCCGAGCCAAGCCGCTTGAAATCGGCTCGTGCCAGGAAATCTTCGACAGACGACATGATTTCGATTTCCACTCTTTCTCTATCTGGGGGTCTGCGGGCAGCTCGCGCGGAATATCAGCCCTTGGCAAAGCACAACTGCAGGGGGCGTGTTAGCATCCGATTGAGCTCGATTTACAAGCTTCAGTACTGTCTCAACATGACCGGGTAATCTTTAAACAGGTTCAATGCACGCGAGGACTTACAAGCTCAGCTCAAAAGCATATCAAAAATGCGGGAGAAAAAAGACCTCCGAAGTGGCAGAAAGAAGTGCTTTTGCCGCCCACTTCCGCGTTCCCTACTTCACATCCTCCCCACCACTCTGAAACCACCCCAAGATGCCACATTTCCCCATGAATACAGGATTCGAGTCAAGCCAAGATGCCTCCGAGGACGTGCATCACCCCTCAATCAAAGTCAAGAACCGTCGAAAGAAGTACCTGGACTTGCACCCAGAGTACTTTTCGGCGGATCTCGAGCTAGCCGGTCCGCTTGCTCTTTCCTTGCTGCCAAGTCGAAGCCTGAGCCTGTGACTGTTTGAAACGGGCGCCAGCGCGAAGAGACCACAGCGAAGATCGATGTGTCAAGCTAACTCATACTGAATCACTTTTCTAGACCCCTTGTTGTACGATCGCCTCATTCGCCGATTTCAAACACCGCAAGAAAGAGAAGCGCAGGGACGCGCGAAGGGGTTCTCGGGTGTTCTACAGGCAGATCTGTTACGTTCCGAGGCAAAAATCGACGCGCTTGCACATCCAGATCCTAACGCAATGCTGAGCTACACGCGTGGCCCGAACGGCGAGATCCTTGCCGAGGATCGCGACGATATCCCCGCCAGTAAAGAAGAGGGCGAAAAGGCTTGGCAGTGGGAGATGGGGCTACGATTCATGCGAGGCGATGATGCCGACTTTGACTACACAAATGTCGATGAGAACGAGGATTATGACGATTGGACTGAACAGCAAGAAAAATACTTCGAAGAGGAGGATCCCGAGTGGGTGGTTGATGGTGTTCGCGGTGAGGTTGCTCGGGAGAGACTCCAGGGCGAGACCGGTATTCAGGATTTCTGAAGAGCGAAAACGTTGAGGCATCACCACAATTCTCTGCACAAGACTTGTGCATGTTGCTTTTTCTTCTTTAAACCCTGAGGCTTGTCACCTCATGCCCATTTTCGGGTAATTCCAGTGGTAGTATATCGACTCGCTGGCATTACTGAACCGTCCCCTGGGCCGGATACTGCAAGCGCGTTTCTTACTTCTATATAATAGCTGGCGAGAACTCTAGTCTCACCTTTGACTCGTCGACAAAACTTCTGACTTTGTCGCATTGCGATGATATTTCCAGCCCTATGGATGCTCATTGCCCTGTGGTTGAACTGACTAATTCCTTTGGTTGCCTCATCCAAGACGAACATAGATTTTGCTCTCCTGGACTACAAAAAGGTTCGATGTTTCATGAACAGCGCTCGTGCACCCTTATGGACACGGTATCACGCAACTTCTCGTACCTTTTGGATAGGTAGACAAACGCGCAACTCGAAACAGAATATGGTGACCGGCAAAGTGACGTCGAACCACATCGGATTGTATCTAAGGGCATCAAAGAAAAAATTATTGTCAAGTTACAAGACTCTATTCTTATACGTACACTCTATATAGCATGGGAGTTTATAATGTATGCTTCAATTACATTCGGATCCGATAAAAGGCAGTATCAACTAATGCTAACACCAAGAGCCTTTTGGACCTAAACCTCAGCATGCAAAGCCCAACTTTCAGCTGCTGGCATACATTTCTTGCCGATCAGCTAAAAGTTGAATAGCCTTGTCTCTGAGCTTAAATTTCTGGATCTTTCCACTTGCTGTTTTAGGGAATGCCTCATTCTGTCCAAGGAAGAAAATATGTTTGGGAACTAACATCAAAGGACTTAGCCATGAATGTACAGTATACTTTGTAGGACAACTTACCGAGATGATGGCTCAGCCTCTCGCGCACCCACTGCCGGATCTCTTCAGCTGTTATGGACGTGGAGCCCAGCTCTCGAGGAACAACAAATGCCGCCACGGCCTCACCATATCGGTCGTCCGGGACACCGACGATAGAAACGTTCATGACACCTGCATTTGCCAGCAGGCAATTCTCAATCTCTAAAGGATGAATATTTTCACCTCCACGAATGATCAAATCTTTGATCCGCCCCGTGATGGTTATGTAGCCATCTTCTGACATGGATGCCTCATCTCCAGTCTGGAGAAACGCGTTAGCCAATGTCAATTATCAGTAGATTAGACTAAACTCACGTGCATCCAAACCTTCCCTGTTTCGTCCGTAAGCATCACTTCGGCTGTTTTTCCAGGATCATCCCAGTACTTTTTCATAAGCAGGTATCCGCTAACGGCCAATTCACCGCGTTTTCCAATGGGGAGAATTTGAGTTTTGTTTTCTGGATCCACGACCTTGGCCTCTACATGGGGCATAAGTCTCCCAACTGAATTGATTCTCTTGTCAATCGGGTCGTCTGTCGTTGTCATAGCAGAGACAGGACTCGTCTCAGTCATGCCATAACAAATGGTAAGTTCAGTGAGGTTCAATATTCTGTGAAGTCTCTTCATCAACTCTGAAGGAATACTACTGCCAGCGGCAATACCAGTTCGAAGATATTGGAAGCCCTCTCTCGAGACTTCGCCATCCTCAATCAGACCAAGCTCATCGAGGAACATCGTTGGAACACCATAAAGGGCTGTGCACTTTTCTTCTTGGACCGCTTTGAGGGCAGCTCGGGCGTTGAAAGACTCTGTTGGAAAGACAATGGCGGAGCCGTGAGTTGCAGTCGCCATGTAACCTAGAATAGAGCCGAAACAATGAAATAATGGGGGTGGGCAGCAGACGATGTCATTCGGCGTCAATAACATGCGATCACCTATTTGAGATCCATTATTTAGAATAGAGCGGTGGCTCAAGCAAGCTGCCTTTGGCATGGCAGTAGTTCCGGATGTAAATTGTATGTTCACAATCTCGTCGGGTGAGATGTCCTGTGGAGGCAAGGGGTGACCATCGGAGTGTATATCGGACGTGATCGACGCGAATGTTGTAAGGCTCTTATATGACGAAGTATCTATGCCACCAGAGGAGTTATCAACGACAACAATTTGCCTCAACGAAGGCACTGACGTGGATTCCAAGGTGATGGATGCAGGGTCTGCGATCAAATCTTCGAGAAGGGGAACATTGCTGCGGGGATCTTTCCGGGGAAGATTGGATTCGGTGCTGATGATCAAGTGGCTGGCTTGGAGGTGGCCCAAGGCAGCCACCACTTGCATAGCATTAAAAGAAGGATTGAGAGGCACCTAACCATGGGCCTATAAGTTAGTGGTATGTTTTACAGAGGCGCCCGACAGTTCTTACCAAGATAGCTCCGAGTTTAAACAATGCGTATGTTGCCTGTAATCGATCAACACCCCATTCTTCAAGTTATACACGCTGGGACGCCTCACATACCACAGCATATTCCATTGAATTCCCGAGCATGACCCCAACACGCTCCCCTTTCTTCACCCCGATGGATTTTAGCCCTCGAGCAAGGGCATTGCTTCTGAAGTCGAGGGTGGCGTAAGAAACACGATCATTTTGGTGCTTTGAGATGACACTAAGAAGCTGTCAGCGCGGTGACTTCTATTACCTCTGAGCTCTAGCGGATACTCACGCTGTTCTATCCCCATAATCTGCCACAATCTTCGCAAAATGGTCGCCGACCGTCGATTCAATCAATGGAGGCTGTGAGTTGCGAGACCGACCAGGTTAGCGTTGTGTCTGACTCCAGAGTTTCACACCACAGGATGCTGGTCGACAAAGGCTCACAAGAGAAGATCCACAGGCATAACTTTCCGTCAAGAAGCTTCTTCGGAGCCCTTTGGCAGCCAAATACAGTTGTTTTCTCGAGAGAAGACCAGAGATGTGAGGGCCCTGTATGCGTAGACCTCTGAGAGCTCCCCTGCAAGGACGCATGATTGTGTTTCGGGCTCAATGTCGCGTATTAAAGCTCATATTTGGGGGTTAAGATGAGAGAAAATACTATGAAAACGAGGGCAAAGAGCCCAAATCGCGATGCAAGGGAGTGTGGAAGACAAGGTCACAGCCGAGCATGCACAAATGGCTTGGAGCTTCCCCGCACGCGGACTGCAGAGTGCGGGGTTGAGCGGATCCGAGGTTCGTTCCCACGTCATTTTTTATATCAATGAGCTGTTAAGGGAACGAAATACGGGGTGCCCAGTAGATTGAAAATTAGCAGATTAAATGAACATTCGCATGAAATTCACCTACATGAATAAGAGTCTGATATGAATATATTTTACGAGTTCTAAGGTCCTGAGGTCAAATAGAGTTCGCCTATTGAGTGAGAGGCTTAGCGAGGTAACGTAAAGAAGCATGTGAGTCGTATTGCAAGTCAACGCTCCACCTGATGTCGTACATAGATCGAGTATCACCTTCTACCTGATTATAATTTGAATGATCATAACGTGAGACAGCTTGTCAGCTTCCCCGTGATTTACTACCCGAGATGCGAATCTATAAACTAAATTGTTGTGCGAACACCAGTGAAAAATAGTTCATTTGTGAATTTAATCATAGAAGTACCTCAAACGCCTTCCCTCAATTTCTCATCATTATTTAGAGTAAGACTTCGATGCTTCTATATCAATGGCACTCCATGGACACACAAGAAGGAGAAAAGGAAAAAAAAGCCCGAGGACGGAAGAAACGTGGACCGTCATTAAATCCTCTTGTTAGTTGTGCCTATGCCGCTATTTGGGGGGAGCGATACATGCGTTACTGCCACAGAGACAACGTCTGGTATTCCAATACCGAGGGCCGTAGTGGATCGTAATCTCTTCGAAGATAGAGATGTCTCGACAAGCAATGATGTAAGTCGTATAACGGTCACCTACCAGTGCGCCAGAAAATTGGCAATTTGACTCACAATGATGGTTAATATAACGGGTCCAATTACCGAATCGAGCTGAACTGACCTGACCAAGCCATTGCGAGTTTTGATTCTGGGTCTGCGTCCAGCTTTGCTTTCTGGCACCCCCGGGCAACTTTTGCTGGGCTCTCCTTGCTTGCTCATAAGACTTTGCTGTCTTTTGGATAGACGACTGCTCCAGATTGTATACAATGTCGGGGCATTCCACAGGGTGGGGATAGATTTCTCCCAGATATTCACCCAAGATGTCACCTTTCCGAAAGTTGGCGAGGGCCCTTACACCGATCCCCTTACCTGGATATTCTACAAGCTCAACCAGATCCCCTGACTTGGAGATAATCTGGCAGTCACAGGTTACAGCACTACCACAAATCAGACAACAGGTCCAATTTCGTAAAATACATTGGCAAACCTCGGGGCATTCACAATCTGGGCAACTGGACATTCCCCCTGTCAACTTATGGCAAGCGCAAGGCACCTGGCATATGCAGCCAGCACAGGGTCCAGGCAATTCCTGGCGCTGAAATGGGTGACTGCGAAGACGGCAGCTAAAGCGCTCTGGCTTCCAGTATTGCTCGTTGATATTGATCTGGGCCTGACCTTCGTAAATAGGACGCTTTAGATGGCCATCGTTTAACTGAACGACATGATGCGGATGCTCTTTCGCCAAATTGATTTCTGGTTGCAGGGCCAGTCCAATACCCGGGATATCAAGGTTCGAGTAAGGGAGGAGTGGACCTCGCCAGTCTATATTGCGGGATCGAGCAAATATATCGATGCTGCGTTCATTGAGTTTGATCAGCTTTCTCATCAGGTCAAAGGTCAGATCGCTTTCTTTCAGGTAGGCCTCTCTGAATGCTTCGGATTGGGCACAGATTGCAAACATCCTCCATCCGCTTTCAAACAGGAAAGAGCGAATTCGATTGATGCTAGGGCTTGTCAGAGACGGCTGCATACCCATCAGGCATAGATCTCGTACAGTATAATCTAGAAATTCCTGGATATCACTGGCCAACTTGTTAAAGATAGCCCGATCTTTCTGGGTGGGCACCTTGTTATCAAGATTTTGGAGATACCACACAGAATTCAAGTCCCAATAGATAGCTGCGACAATGTCGCGAGCCAAATCGGCCGAGTAATTGATTTGATCAGACATATTGGGGCAGTGAAAAGAAATGAGGCTGGGAAAATTGCAAGGAAACAAAACATTATGGGAAATCAGGCTTTATATACTTGAATGCGACTCTTGTTGATTGAAAGAGATGCGATACTCACACATTAATTAGGTGAATGCTCTTTACTGATCGTCATTTTGTGAACCACGTTTTGTTTGACTGGAACAAGAGGTCTTGGGTGGTTCTTTGAAAATGTTGACCTGGGAATGGAGTGGGTATTTCAGAACAAAGGACTTGTAACGTGAAGAGGAGATATGAAAGCAAAAAAGTCTCCGAAAATAGAAAAGAAGTTTGCACATATTGCTCTGTCTACACCAAACCCGCATTGTTCACTCTCTAACATGTGTGGTGAATCCACTAGCACTGAATTGAATTTGGAGGTGAAGAAAGACTGGTAAAATATATAGTGAGATGAGTTCTTCAAAATAGGGATTGCAAATGGAGGCCAAAATACCTATCTGGCTCAATATTAGACAATAGAATATTCCAGAGCTGGACTTTTTTGTTCCCTCTATACAATCTGTAGGATGGGCGACAGGGGCAAAACCGGGTATGGGAAGGAAGACGTGGATGAGGGGACAAAGCGGAGCGGCTGGGCGTCATGTGGTGGGGAACGAGCTCCCCGATGCGACAAGCCGTCCTCCGCTCTCCGTCCTCCGTCCTTCATCCTCCCCTTCTTTCAGTGTCCCGACTTCCTGATATGTCCGTGCCTTGACTGACACCGTCTGATTTGGCTCATTTGGCCCAGAAGCCTCCACTTTCAGACCATGGCGTCCGAACCGCCAGAGGACGCTATTGCGAACTTCGTCAGCTTCACCAGCACGACGCGCGAGCAAGCTATCAGCTTCCTCAAGGTCCGAATAACCTTTCTTCTGATTTTCTGGAATGAAAACTAATCCCTTTTTGCCTGATAGGCTAATAACCTGGACTCTCAAAAAGCTATCAACGCCTACTTCGAAGACCCGACAGGTCCCCGGACAAAGGTGAAGCGCTGAAATGGCCGATGTTGGCTGTGTTGGACCAGAAACTAACCAGAGCTCACATAATAGACAACTGGCCTTTACAATGAAAGTAGTGGTTCTTGTATGACTTCTCTTTTCAAGGTCTACCAATTCAGTAACTGATCTTCCCCGCTTTAGCGTTCGGATATGGACAGCAAGACAATGCGCCCAAAATCCCTGCGACAGCACCTCCCTCACGCCCTCCTTCCCGAGTCAACATGCATGAAACAAGTCAAGGCGCTAGAACAGATGACCCAGTCTCTGTGGCAGTACAGAGCAATACGGGTAAGGATCATCTCTGAATTAAGGGATAGTCTGTGTGAATACTGATCATTTGTGAGAAAAAGGCACATCGGGCTCGGGGCAAGGACTAAGTTTGGCGGAGCGTGAAGAACAAGAATTACAACAAGCAGTGGCCATGTCACTGAACCAAGGCATGGGACAGCAGGAGTCTGGAGTGACGGCAATCAATCAACAACCCCACTTTGGGAAGGCAACACGCGATCACTACGACGAAGGGGCATGGGCAATGACCTTGTTCAATGCAACCTCACAGGAAGTTGTTATCAGCCCCAATCCTGAAGATCGCAAAAGGATTGACGGTGAGCCTGCGTTCATTCGACCGACTCAGGATAGCCTCTACCTGGGAGGATTTCTCACCATTCTCCACGAGATTCCCCTTGCGCGAGAAGCTTTGCTGCTTCGAAACAAAGTTCTTTTTGACTATGGGAATGACGCCCAGTGGTGGAATGGGCAACCAATCAATCTTCCTAAAATCGTGACAATTCACGATGGAGCAAGCGGGGATAGCGACTGGGACGATATTATTCATGAGACACAGCGACTGATGGTCTTTCTGGACAAAACACAACGTGCCTTTGGGAGCAGTGATGCGCTGACAAACCTCAAAAGCATGAACGCCCTTTCATCCGACTCAGAAGAAGCGATCGCGAGATTCTTGGAGACATGGCATGCTGCTGCGATTCGGGCCGATCCCGAGAACCCCTTGGCGACCGTTTTCATGACCCAAGCGTATAAAACATCCCCATTCGACGAGGGAGATGAGGCGATTTCGAAAGATCTCTTTCTCTTTGAGCCTCTTGTGGAAGGAGACCACGGACAGACCCTCTACGATGTTTTGGACAATGCCATCTGGAGTGACCGGCCTGGGGAAAGTCTGGATGATGTCTGGCTCGAGCATGTGGGCGATGTGGTCATCATGAAACTCGACGCTTTCGATAATGGCAAGTCTGTGGATGTGAAAGCACCGGCTGTTTTCTACCCAGATCGTTACATGAGCAGTTGTCGAGAACTTGCCATTGAGCTCCGGACAAAAAGACTTCGTGTGCAGGAGGAAGTTCAAGAATTGGAAAGATTGATTCAACGATACACCAAAACACAGGCGACAAAAGGTAGTGCTACGATGAAAGATCTCCTAGACAAGGCAGCAGCGGCAGTGACCTCGGTTCTGTCAAAGAACCCAGCTACTGGAGCGGATTCTATGAGCTCGGAAATGGCAAATCAAAAGTCCGAACGAATTATCAAGGAGTTACAAGCGGTCTCTGCGAGGATTGAGATCAAGGTCAAAGGTGATTGTCGAACTTTGCTTCTACATGTTGAATTTGCTAATGACATAATGAAACACAGAGCTGGAGAGCAGAAAACAGAGCGCCATGGAAACCTTACGCAGCTATTCTAGAGCACTCACAGAACAATCTGAATCTCCCAACGAGCCTCCGCTCCGCAGGTATTCACTCCGCGGAGTCTGCACAGAGCCACATGTAACCTACGTCTTGAAACGGAATGATAACAGCGATCCGAAAGACGTAATGGAAGTCGATGGGGAGAATAACAGTGGTTATCAATGGTGGAGACTCAGCTTCTCCACCGAAGATGGTAGGACCCGTCAGGCTGCGAAGAGAGAGGCACAAGGTGATTCTGCGGCGACGCAAGACGGTGATGTCGTTGGTTATACAGCTCGCAAAGTACGCGAGATCGAAGTGCTCCGAGCGGCCCGCGAAGAGTGGAGGTCTGTCCTTCTTGTATATGCGAGCGACACCGCTATGAGTGGGCAACTTGAGCTTGCGCCCACATCGCTTCAGGTATGATTGGCGGTCTTTTGTGTCTTGATCTCAAGCTGACTCCGAAACAGGCCTTCGTCACCAAGGATAACGAGGCATTCGCCGCCGAGTGCGAACAAAGCACTGCCAATGCGGCTGCAGAGAACCCCCAGGACTCGTCCCCAAAGGCCTCTCAACCGCGACAATCCACTACCCACCAGGGCCAGCAGGTAAATGTTTTTGACTATCAGGTTTCCGACTTCGATAATGACACCGACTCTGAGCAGGAAATGAAAGAGAGGAAAGGATCTAAGCTCGTACCTGGCACTGCGGTGAACCAAGCACCGATGTCTCGCGCGTTGGATGATGATTCGGAATGGCACGCAGGAGACGACACAGAGATGATTGATCACGTGGAGCACGCCTAGGTACCTTGCCTCCTTGGCTTGCATGAGTGATGAAATGAATGAAATGACTTGTAGAGCTACACGCGGCATACTTGCAGTATAGTATATAGCATTGTGGGGAGGGAATGAACCATGTCGTATTACACTTCTTCAAGAGAGCTTCTACATGTAAAAAATTAGCCCGTAGAATGTGCTTTGGTCAGCGATTGTCTATCGAAGGAAATTGAATAATGGAAGTCGAGGCCGGCGGCGGCCTTCAGCCCGGCGGGCTTTGTCTCCACGTTTGCCGTGTTTGCAGTCACCGAGCTCTCGAACGCGAAGTAAACGAAGCAGCCTCCCAACGCGATAATTCCCATCCGCCCCTCAAAAGATGACTCTCGAAAGCGACGCGGTGGCCGGGGCGACCATTGAGCTGCTCGAAGCCCGTTTGCGCCGCCTCACCTATCTCCTCACCGGCGCCACCGACTGGAAAGGAGTTCCGTCCACCCCCGACAAGCCGGCCACCCTCGACGAAACAGTCTCGCGCCGACTCTCCCGTCTTGAGCGGGAACTGGGGAAGCTCAGCCGAGCAGTACCTGCGGTGCGGGATGTGATTCAGCTCCGTATGTGTTTCCTGCTATGGAACCGTTTCCACGCCTCATCTTGCCATGTCCTGTCCGAGCTAACTTGAACCAATTCCCCTCCCTCCAGACGACCAATTCCCCGACCTTTTCCAACCTCAGTCCGCTCATGACATCCCTGAAGGCCTAACGTCTCGAACCCTCGCCTCCATCGTACTCTCCTACGCTACTACCTTCCCCGAGACGGCCTCGCGCCTGACTTCCCTCAATGACCTGCCCGTCCCGGAGGCCGAGTCCTCCGCCGCGCTGATCGCCCTGCAGCCCCAGCTGGACCGGCTGGCGCAGACACAGACCGAACAGGCCGCGATCATCTCCGAGCTGCGTATCCGCACGGCACGTGTGCTGCAGCGCTGGTATGAAGTCGGTCTTGTGGGCAGCGGCGAGTGCTGGGCGGAGTGGGAGGGCAGACTAGAGGACGTGGAGCGCGAGGTCCGTCGCAGAGAGGTGATCAAGGAACGAAGGGAGAATGAGATCTAGAGAGGAAAGCCTTGATCAGAGGGGGTTTTGCCTTGGTGACGGTTGCTGCTGTGGGTATACATTGTGTCTGGTCTTACCCTTCTGCTTATGATATCCTTGATTCGTTTCTTTCTTTCTTTTTCTTGTTGGATCCGATTGAGACCTTTCCATTTGTCTTTCTTTTCGATCGATCCAGGTGCATGGCGTTGGGGGCGTTTTCTTTTCTGTTTGCGTGGATTGCGCATGAGATCTACTCCGGAGAATGGAAGGCCATTTCCAGATTCATTCTCCCGGCAGCTAAAAGCCCGAGCAAAATACCATATGACTTCAATCCTACGTGGTGTGTGCAACCTGAAATCTCTACCTTAAAATCACGATGACTACATCAACGAACTCGTACGAGCTGCACAACCTTGTTCGCCTGGCAGGCCCCGTCGGACTCCCGGTTCAATAGCGCGCCTGTCCCCTGTCGTCGCGACTCAATCATATATTCTGTAGAGAGCACTCGAGCATTGATGCAAAGAAAAAGAGAAAGGAGGTGGAAATGTGATTACCTCCAGTCCCCATGCGCATTCCATCTGAAGTCAGGTGGAATGTAAGGTCCAAGTCCATGCGCGCGATACCCCGGATTGTTCGTCGTCACGAACCCCGGCGGGCCTCGTAGCCGACAGGGGGGTGTGGCGCTTGGAATGGACTTGTGGACCGAGGTCTTGTATTATTGCCGGTCTTATTATCTAAAAAAGGGGGGAGGCGAAGAATAGAAGACTGGGATGTCTGTGCTTTGTCTGTAGTATACACAGGGCGGTGGCAGGGCAAAGCACGGCGTCAGCGACGAGATGAAGTATGAAGTGCTTCTCAACGGTGTCGATCGCTGCGGTAGGAGGCGGAGGATGTACGGAGTACACGTGCGAGGATGGCAAGTCGATCACAAGTACGCGATCCGATCGAAGCCTCTGGGGTGGGGCGCGACGAAGAGGGATCAGGTCGGAGGTCTAATGATCTATAGAATGTGTCGGGAGGTGTACAAAACAAAAACCATATACTCTACATGGCGGTATCCAGAATCGGAGTGAGATGATCGGTATGTTGCGCTTGGCTGTCGGCAAAAGGGACCTTGTTTGGGGTGTAGTTACATTGTTGAGATTCACCATAGAGGAGAAGCGGGATGTGTTTGGCCTAATAACCCATTAGGCCGCGGGAAGGACCTCTCGCCATGCCTGTAGGGTTTCTACTGTTTCTCTCTCTGGGCAGATGTTATTATAGGGGGCTCAACGCCACCAACAGTGCTAGCAGTGGCACAGTTGGTACCGTAGCCATCCTCTTACGACAGCAACAACACACAGTAACTATAAAAATAAAAATAACAACACTCTGTTATCTACCGAGCCTCGTCCACACAGACGAAGCAGCCCGCGTCAGCAGTGTCGGAAAAGCGGAGCCTCGGGCATCGGTGACGAAGGTTTTTAGCCCCCGTATTTATAGATCGCTTGCGCTGCTCGCGAGGACATAGGGTGTATACCAACACAACAAAGGATCTTTTGCGAGCCCGCATCACACTTATTACAGGATCACAAGAATGTAGAATTTCCATGACATGATTTCTGTACGGGTCTTAGGGCGTTACTGAAGAAAAGAGACACACCCAAACCCCCTACAAATTCGGACATGGGGAAATGAAAACCCACCCAAGTCGGAGCATCATTCCAAACCGGATGACAGAATGCCTTGGGAAGCCGCTGAAGTAATCTTAACTAGCCATTTGTGCATTTTTTTTTTTTCAATTTTCATTTTCAACCGTCAAGGTCGAGATCCATTGCAGGATCCCGATCGAAGTTTGGTCCTATCATACGCGGTCTCCTGCTCTCCGTTCATTTCCCGGATTCCACTCTGGTCTCGATTCCAGGGGCGCATCTGTGTGTTTTGGGGCGGGACTCCACTTGGGCCCGGCCCCGTCCTGGGGTGTGATAGGTGGTGCCTGGTGCCTGGTATCGACCGCGTATTGACAATACAGACTTGGTCGCGGAGTGGCCATAGAAAACGGGCCCCGGAATCACCGAAGCGTGCCCGCGAGGGACAGAGGGTGGAGGGCGACCTCGTCGCACGCCGTAAGCCCACGGTAAATACCGAGTATGACGGCCGTCCTGGCCGGGTTACGGGCGTAATCAGAGCTGGCATGCCCCATGCACCAGAACGACCGACACGACGGAATCAACGGGCCTCCCTTTCCTGCTGGTCTGGTCACTGCCACTCTCGTTTTGCTTGTCCACAACTCCTCCTTCCTTCCCTCTTCCACTCATTCCGTCCCTCTTTTCCATCCCACCCTTCGCCTTTCCTTTTTTCAGCCTGGTGCTGTGTCATTCTGCCTCGCTTCACAAGCGGTCCTGCCATCCTTTTCTCTCCTGCGTTTCATCCATCCTCGCCCCCTTGGGTTTTCCCCGCGAACCTTTACGCCAGAAGCCCACACACGCCTTTGTCTCAAACCCACTGAGGTACGAAACCACCACACCACCACCCTTATAAGCGCCCATGCGATCACAATTAGATGGCTTTTTCTGTCCAATGCAATCGTTCAGAGCGTTTCCCTGTCATTGTCAATCCACCTCAGGAGATCGTTCTTGGTGTCCATCGACCCCACGCGATTTGTTTCAGCCCTGATACCTAACAACGCTCTCTTTTCAGGTCGTTTCTCATCGATCCAGCCCTACCGACGTTTCAGTTTGGAGCGCCTGACCATCACAACTTGAAACTGGCAACGCATCCTATATACTACTATACATCGAATCCATCTCGATTCGTCGTGTTCGTGGGATCCCCTCCCTGCAGACATCGTCCAATCCCCTCATCGACTCGACATCCCTTGGCCGTTAGCGCATAAGGATACTGCACCCTCTTCATCACTTCGTCACCCCGCGTCCCTTTGAACGCCCGCCCATCATGTCGAAGTTCCGCCCCAGTAATATCCTCGGCGACCCGTTCGCGCTCGCAACCCTCTCTATCTCGATCCTGGCATGGCTGATCGCCTTCATCTCGTCCATTATCGCGGACATCCAGGCAGATTACCCCAACTACTCCTGGTGGGCTAACTGCTATATGTTCTGCGTGATCGTGGGCCTGGTGGTGACCTTTGGTACTGACACTTGCAATGTTTATGGCGTCGCGGTATGATTGGCCTCTCCTTTCCCCTCTTCCCACGTTCGATATGCGCGTGGGAGTCGAGAAATGAATACAGTACTGATTGTGTGACTAGATTGTGGGATACCTCGCCTGTGGTCTTGTTCTGACCTCCCTCAGTGCGAACAATCTGGTCTATGCCAACCAGGGTTCCATGCAGGCTGCGGGTGCCGGCTTCATCCTCCTTTCAATGATCATTGTTGGTGCCCTTGTCGTCCCCCGTACTTATCGCTACATTGGCTAACTCGACCTCCCATAGATCATCTGGATCTTTTACTTCGGTTCTTCCCCCCAGGCCTCTCATCGCGGATTCATCGACTCCTTCGCCCTGAACAAGGAACAGCCCGGATCCTTCCGTGGCAGCCGCCCCATGTCGAGCGCATTCGGCGGTCGCCCTGAAACCATGGCTACCAGCAACACTCCACAGATGTACACCTCCGCCCAACTGAACGGTTTCGAGACATCTTCCCCCGTATCCGGGTATCCTGGCGGCGCCCCAGGCGCCGAACGCAATTCCTCCCAGCCTCGCTTTGGTGCTCCTAGCGGTAGCCCTGCCCCGGGACCCGCCACTGAGGGACAAGACAATAGCGAAATCCCACAGCCCAGCGAATACCCCTATCGGGCGAAGGCCATCTATTCGTACGACGCGAACCCAGAAGACGCCAACGAGATTAGCTTCAGCAAGCATGAGATCCTCGAAGTGTCCGATGTCAGTGGCCGATGGTGGCAGGCTCGGAAATCGAACGGAGAGACGGGCATCGCACCCTCCAATTACTTGATCCTATTGTGATCGCGTTTTATGTGATGTCTGCTCTCTGTTATTGTTTTCCTGAATTCCTTGCCTTTTTCCCTATCGTGTCGCAAATCTTTACTTCCTTTTGATACCCTCCGGATCTTCTCTCGACATGTGTGTATTTTTTTCCTGGTCTCCTCTTAACGTGATGTCTTGATGGCCTCCCTTTCTTTCTACCCGCTCTTGTGTTTTGTCTCTGTAGGTGACTAGCGTCGGCTGTACTCCATTCTCTTTTTATTGCCTGCTTCGGCAACTCTCATTGTCTTGGGTTGGTCGACTTTGGCGGATTGTTTCCCCGCAAATTTTCTTTTCCCATTCTTTTGTGCGTTATGGTTCAGGTGCACTCATTTGCTTTTTCCTTTATTTTTTTCTGTCTCGCTCTGTTCTACCTGGAAAAATCGGCTCTGGGCCGGGGGTTCATGTTTCGAGAACCCTGATCGAGGTGCTTGATTCTGTCTAGAAAAATCGCAGATTAGTCAGATCTGCGTGTTAGCCATCAACAGTTAAAACCAGCTATTAAATGTTGTACAAGAGCCTAAGATGTTGGCCAAAATGCAATTTGATACTTCTGCTCATCAATCTACCTATTGTTGTAGAGCGCTTGGAAGACTTGTCATACAAACGAGGTTGTTAAGCATCCTCTTTGAGAAGACTCGTGACTTAGAAACTTTATTGATGCCTTGATGGAAATAGTCGTGAAACTTCAGTTGTTCCTGATATGCTCCAAGCCATTGACCTCATAAACAAGCGTATACATGATCCATGTCATTTAGTCAAAATGTCGTCCAGATGTCGCCAGAGCAGTCGAAGAGGTTGCACAACTAATCAAATCCAAGAAGCCGGCCTCAGGGAATTCAATGAAAATGGAGTGCATGATCTATCTATTTTGACATGTGCCTGCAGTGTTGGGCCCCTCGTGCGCCTCATTCATTTTGGAGAGGCAGTCTTGAGGGTTGCGCCACGTGGTGCACGGCATGTGGCAGATTCACGAACAATACCCATTATCCCCATCACCGTCATGCTTATCGTCCACACTATCAAATCCCCCTCTTGCCTCCCCTGCAACATGATTCCTTACAAAACAAGCGCTTCCTGCAGATCTAACAGACAGGGACCAGCCTCCAGCCTACTAAATCTCCAACACCATGCTCCAAGCTCCTCGTCCAAGCCGGTGGCAACACTCCCCACCCAGGCCCGTGGAAAGGGCCCACCACGCCGAAGCGTAGAAAATAGACCAAGTCCAGCCCATCATTGGCCATCCAGAAGAAAAAAGAAGGGTCATCTCCAGGAGGAAGACAAGAACCCGCAGCCTCTCGAAGATGGGTTCTCTCGCTGCAGTAGAATCAGCCAGGCTCGGTGCCTCTTACCCGGTATACTTGCAGAAACGCTAATACGCTTCCCCGCTTATCTGCTACCCATTCTCCAGCTATTAACCTATCTCGTCCTAGTCTCTGGCCAACCAGGACAAGGAACCGCCACGGAGAAGCCCGGAGAAAACGAGCGGGTTCGGCGCTCGTTCATGTATCTGTGATCTCATTGCCCAGAGGCACGTCCCAAGCGCTGGCCAGGTCGGTGCCGGTCTGCGAGCTGTGGTGCTGATCGAGGGTTAGCGGCGCGCTAGACGGTGGACAAGTTTGCTGGACTGGGGTTCTTTTCATCACCGCTACATTGTGTGCTGCGACTTGGTCGTGGACCCTTATTCTGGAGGTGGAATTTCTCGTTTCCTTTTTTTTTCCTGTTTTCATTTTGAGATCGTTTTCTTTTGCAAATTTGAGTCTGCGAGAGACAAAAGACTCGAGGGGAATTGGCTCTAGCTCTGGTTATCCGCTGCGCTGTCTTCGGACTTTCTCTCCTGCTGCTACATGACGGCTGCATCATCTGCGGTGCTCTTGCGTGTTCATTGCTGCAGCGTGACTAGAATAGCAGCGAAGGCCGGTAGACGTGTCGTTAGTATACCCGGATATCAAGGCTCTTCTATGTGGCCACAGGGTCGTGCCAAATATTGCGATCTCAGTGAAGGTTAAAATCCTGAGGTCGCGGTCTTCGATACAACGCCTGATTATCTGGTGAATGTGTTGAAGAGTCTTGTCTCTCTTGCAGCTTCCGCCATGTCCGATGGAAATGTCACTGTGGCATCCAACGTGCTCGGCACGATTGGGACGGTGCTGTGGTGCATCCAGCTGATTCCTCAAATCTGGTACAATTACCGACGAAAGAAGACGGATGGGTTTCCGGCGGCGATGATGTTCTTATGGGCGAGCTGTAAGTCTGCGAGTAGCGCCGTGGGGGTTTGGACGGGGAGATGCTGATAGTGGTATGCTGTGCAGGCTCGGTCCCGATGGGCGCGTATTTGATTTTACAGGTCAGTTGATTGTGAAAAAATGTGGAAGAGAAATGGTGCATACTGACCTTCTTACAGGAAGTGAATATCCCGTTACAGATCCAGCCACAGATTTTCGGGTTTTTCTCTGTGGTCAGCTGGAGCCAGATTCTTTACTATAACCAGTAAGTCACTCACATTCTGCAAGTGGTTCGAATTCTGATATTTCTGTTCTCTAGCAACTTCAGTCGATTGAAAGCATGCCTGGTGTGCTTCAGCGTAGTCCTTCTCTTCGGGGGTATAGAAGCCCTTCTGATTCTGACCTTGCGAGTAAGTGCAGATATCACTCACATCCATACGAGAAAAACCTCTGACTGGAATATAGATTCCCTATAAGAAAGGAGTCACCTGGCCAGACCTTGTCGTTGGAGTGGTTGCGGCCATCCTGTTGAGTGCAGGTCTATTACCACCGTACTTTGAGCTGTGGAAGCGAGATGGTCGTGTCATAGGGTTCAGTAAGTTGCTGCTCCATTGGCATCATACTAACAGCATTAACGTTGTGTATTGCAGACTGGGTCTTCTTGTCAATCGACACCCTGGGAGGGTTGTTTTCACTCTTTGCATTGGGTATGATTCCATCCTGGTCTGTGGCGGTGAAGCCAGACGGATTCCAACTCACACATTCCCAGCTGCACAAGGATCTTTTGATATCTTGGGAGGAATTATGTATATATTGGTGTAAGTATATATTGTCACACCATACTTGCCTCCTGCTTTGTGGAGCAGTGTTTCTGATGTGGTCAAACAACAGGGTTGTTCTTGAGTCGGGTATCTACGTGAGCCATATTATCTGGCGCATTCGATACCGCAAGCTCCGCAAAGAGGCCAAAGCAACTGGGAAGAGCATTGACGATCTGTTGGACTTGGAGAGAAATGACACTGAAGAAACCAATGACCCCCAAACCAGTGTGCTGGCCATGCCAGGTGAGAAGACCGATCCTCTGCAATCTACCGAACAACCTTCTCGCGATATCTCGGATGTGGAGCGTGGTATCGCAAGCGAAAAGTTCTAAATCCCGCCTGTTGGATATTATGATCGACGATCTCTATTTTCGGGTATTCCTCTTTGAAGAATTGGGCTGGGCTCGATGGATAGGAATGGTGTGCTGGCAATCTACGTACATAGTCTTACGTGCACATAGTAATTCGAGGTCGAGTCCATCATGGACTCCGAGCCGAATAACGTCGAAAACCAAGAGTATTAGATATTGAATGGAATATGACTAGTCTTCAAAAATGGAAAGAAGAAGAAGCAGAAGCTTAAAAAAGGGAAAATCGAAACTTAAATCTAGAACTAGGAGCAAACTAAAAGCTCTGTGGACTTCCCTCCGCCTGGTCAATGCAGATGGGCTTAGCGTGGGATTCCACAGCTCTTGCCCAACTATCGGGAGATCAGCACTGGAGCTGCGAAACGCTTGTGTGATGCCCCCTCATTCCGGCCCGTTTTCTTATCCTGAGCTTGTCCTTCAAACGTGCACTGTCGACTGTGGCGGCCTCGCTGGACGCATAGTTAGCACTACCCTACTGGAGCTAGGCCAAAGCCCAGCCCCATCCGGAACAACAGTGCCGCCCATCCCCCCCCCTGTTTCGTGCTTTCTTCCCTCTCCAGCTGATCGTTGACCATGCCTGGCATGCTGTGAACCCCTCTGGCAACAGTCACGATGCCAGAGAGACGCCTGTCACGTCTGCTGAAGGGCAAACTGCTGCGACGATCATCAACTCCCACGGTTCCAAAAGCGGGCAACGGGGCGGACCCGCGTGTCCACCCAAACTCAACGTCTCGCACCTCTTGCACTCCGCATCCCTTCGACTCGGCGAGCGAAAAGTCCCCTTACAGTGTCGTCTCCTCTGCGGCCGATCACTCTTTTGAGGATTTTGGATCGGGCCCTAGTCCGCATCGACAACCCGTGGAACGCGCGCACAAGCACAGGCACTCGACCGAGCCACAGCCCTCTTCCTCTCAACCACCATCAGAACGGCACCCCGACCATCGCCACGCGCCGGAACGTCAGACAAGTGCCCCTTTACACACCGGTGCCACCTCGCCGTTCGATACTCCTCTCACAGAAGAGGCCCCATCCCCTCTCGAGACTCCGCTCCCCACGCCTCAGCATTCCGACGACCTCTCCTTCCAGTCTGCCTTGGCTAGGGCTCAGGAATCGACTTTCGCTGAGTATCAGTTGATCCCGACTCTAGACACGGTTGCCGAAAAGACTAGCAACGACCGCCGACCATCGTCGTCATTCTTTCCTCCTCCCTCGAGCAAGCGCCCTAGCATTGCTATCCGTCGACAGTCTCTTCTTCCAGCATCGCACCAGCATTTGATCAGTGGGCTGCTCGAGCAGAACCTATTCACACCCCTCGCTGATCAAGGCAGCAGTCGTGCCCCAGCTGCTGCCGCCAAAATGGTCCATCGTCGAATCTGGGTGAAACGGCCGGGTGGCTCCGCCACACTGGTGCCATGCTTGGAGGATGCGGTGGTGGATGAGCTACGCGATCAGGTGATAATGAAATACGCAAACTCGCTAGGCAGAGCATTCGATTCTCCGGATATCGTCATTCGCATATCGGCGCGCGAGGGCTCGAACCGACAGGCATCACCGGAGCGTCTTCTAAGCCCGGAAGAAGTTCTATCATCTGTTCTCGACACGTACTACCCGGGAGGCCAAACCATAGAAGAGGCTTTAGTGATCGAGGCGCCCTCACGGCGCACTCCCAAACCGTCCCCTCGCCACTCAATCTACCACCACCACCATTCGGAACCTGGTGAGCATGGCGAGTATTTCCCTCTCATGCCCGTCAATCCGAACGTCCCCACTCCTCCCGCACATCCATCGAGTTCAGGAGCAGCCAATGCTCCTTCGATCTCTATACTTACAACAGGCGTGGTTCCGCCATTGCCATCCCCTGGAAGCCGTGGTAGCCGGCACCACCGTCGGCCGCCGCTCACACGACACACGACGAACTCGCCGACCATGTTGGGTCAGGCCCCTGGACCAGGTGAGATAAATGACCAAGGTTTACCTGGTAGACTTTCAACTAATACTTGATAGAACCCGGCATATCTCCCCACACTCAGCCCACTCCTTCCGTTCCGACGCAAAATGTCCCTACGCCTCCTGCGCCAGTGCCCGATTCCCCACAAACGAAGACCCATACACCCCCTGCGCCGGTCGCATCTCCACGGTCTTTACGAAAGTCCAAAGGTGCAGCCTCGTCGGGTGCAGTCTTTGGTGGATTGATTGACGGCACTGTGCCACCAATTAATGTCCTCATTGTGGAAGATAATATTATAAATCAAAAGTTGCTGGAGGCATTTATGAAACGATTGAGCGTGCGTTGGAAGTGTGCTGCGAATGGCGAAGAGGCAGTGAGGAAATGGCGTCAAGGTGGATTTCATTTGGTCTTGATGGATATCCAACTGCCCGTCATGAACGGCTTGGATGCCACCAAAGAAATCCGTCGGCTGGAACGACTGAACGGAATTGGTGTTTTCCCCAAGACTGCTTCTGGTCGGTTGAGCGCTTCGAGCGCTGCGTCTCCAGAAGAAAGACCGGGTCTCCGGCGGTCCGTCAGTGAAGAAGATACGTTGTCAGACTTGTCTCTGTTCCGAAGTCCGGTTATTATTGTCGCTTTGACAGCCAGCAGCTTGCAAAGTGATCGTCATGAAGCATTAGCTGCCGGCTGCAATGATTTCTTGACCAAGGTTAGTTGAATTTTTAACCTTTTTTTATCTTACTGCTTCAGCTGATCCTAACGTCTTTTTTTCCGACAGCCCGTGGGATTCCCGTGGCTTGAACAGAAAGTGACAGAATGGGGCTGCATGCAAGCGCTCATTGACTTCGAGGGCTGGCGTAAGTGGCGAGGATTCCTGGATTCTCCACAGTCCTCTCCGGGCTTGAACAATGCAGCAAGCCCTATGCAGACAGGTCACCGCCAGGACTATGTAACTGCGACTGCCCCTGCATCGCCCTCACTCTCCCGAAACGCATCGAAATCCAAAGCACACCGGCCCACGCGACCTCAATTACCTGATGCCGCGGAGATTATGCGTGAGGACTCGTGGGGCAGTGGAAGTGGTGATACTGCAGACTCACCTATCAGTCCACAGTCGACGCCGGCAGAGGCAGATATCCAACCTCCTGCTGATGCTAGTAATTAGTGCCCAAACTTGTCGTCGGTGGTGTCACACTGTTTATATTATCTTTTCCCGCTTTTCTTGGCTGTATATGTCAGCCTAGTCGTGTCCATTCTAACCTTTTTTTCCATATGTCTCGACTATCTGTCTTTTCCATTGGATACCCCGTCTAGCAAAGATTTTCCCTGGTTTTCCGTTTTTGATATTTTTCTACTTTCCTGAATACTCGGCCCTGTGGGCAATTCGCAGTTCCGGAGACTCAGGCCATGGATTTCTTCCCTTTGTATCAATCTTGTGCATAGTCCTCGCCTGTGAGATTCTCCGAGACACCGGCATAATCTTCCAACCCCTTTGATTTCCTTTTGGTTAAGCCTCAATGCATCACACTCCTACACAAATAGGGGTTGGACATACTCTCGCACACGAAAGAGACGTTTTGGCATCTGAGTTTGTTCATCCGATTGGCCTCGAAACTGGATACCTTTTTTGAGCAGATTTGAGAATCATCCTTCTAAATTTCCTTGTACTTTTTTTTTCTTCTATCTACTTTTATTCATCCCGATTCTCTTGAATGATTCTTTGATGTCATCAACAAGCATATTGATAGTGCGAAAGCCACTTGAATTTAAAGTTACATTTGTAGCTTAATCGTCTCAAAGTTCGATTACCAACTTTATAGCACTCACTCCGGCTTTCCATTCATCGAGGGCCTTGTTGGCGGATTCCAAACCCCCTTCCACAACCTTGACCTGCGGGCTGGCCACCAGCTTCTTGGCTGCCAGATTCTCTTGCAGCCAGGTTCCAAAAATCCACCTAAATCTCTCTTTTATCTCTTCTTCATCCTGAGGAGGCTGAACGAATGCGGTGTCCACCCCAACTGGGACTTTCAAATGTTCATCGACAATGGGCGCAATCGCCAACTTGACCATCTCCGAGCCATCCCTTAGTTGGCCCATCACATCAACGGACAGCTGCTGCTCACCCATCGCATGAAACCCGGCTCGAATCACAGTCCCATCCGCCTTTGCAGCGGCCACAATATCTGACACCACACTTTCTGCCTTATAGTCGAACACGTGCGAGGCCCCTAGCTCCTTGATATATGCATGGTTTCGCGGACTAGCCGTCGCATAGACCACATAGCCCATGACCCGGGCGGCCTGCACCGCAAACGCCCCCATACTACTTGCTGCGCCCCAGACCAACACACCTGCCGCTCCGGGCAGCACTGGTGTCTGCGGAATCCCCGCCCATAGCCATCCATTCCAGGCCACTAGCGCCGCCATTGGAAAGGCGCTACCTTCCGCGAACGAGAACGCCTCCGGCAGGACAGCTATATTGTCTTCGCTGACGAGCACATACTGCTGCATCGCGCCGTAGTCTAGGTTCCACTTGTACATCCAGGCGCTCGCAAACGCGGTCACGCGGGTGCCGACCTGGGGTGCGTCCGCACGGACGTCAGGACCTACGCGGATGACTGTGCCGGCGACATCGGAGCCCACGATGGCGGGATAGTCTTCGAGGAATAGGCCAGTTTCACGCTGGTAGTAGTCGACCGGGTTGAAGGCGACTGCTTTGACTTCGAGGAGGAGTTCTTTGGGTCCCGGGGTAGGGGTTGGGCGCTGCACGATAGCCAAGGGGCCACCCTTTTGGGGAATGACGGCTGCAAAGTGCTGTTCAGGTACTGTGGTCGACATTTTGAGATCTGAAAGTAAATGTTTGGAAGAATGAAGAATAATCAATGGTTCAATTGTGATGCTGGGTCTTCTCGGGCTTTCCTTTCTCATGGAGTGTTGGCTATATTTATAGTGGATGTGTCCAGCATGCTTTGGCTCAAGAGGTATGGTTGATGGACGGAGTTAAGAGACATATTTCAATGGCTAGCTTCTCCCGGGCTTTGCGTATCTCCGCTAAACGTCATACTTTGAGAAGGAATGAAAGGAGCAGATTGCTGAGACAAATGTTAAGATTCTCAACCGAAGTAGCGCCGTATATACACCATCTTATTGGTAGTTGTCCAAGAGAGATATGCGTCAACATGCGCCACTGCGATGGATTACCAGGCTTCATTGGGCTTCACAATCGCATTATTTCTTTGACACAACAAGATACAGTTATCTGCTGAGTAGATCGTGGGTTCTCAATGAATATGAGATTAAGTGGGTACTTGCCCGATACTGAAGATGCGGCGAGAACCCAGCTGCTTGACTTCAATTTCATTAACAGCTGACAATATTTTTTTTGTTTGAGGATGCGGTGGGGGACCTGTGTATTTCCGGTTGAGTCCATTTGGAATCCTGATCTCTCATTGTCCTGTTCGGACTGGGAGAGACCATTTGACGTTCGAACCGGGGGAGGCTCCATCGAATACGATTGAAGGTTAGCGGGTCTACCGGATCGGCAAGCCGGCCCCTACCGCCCATGGTTCCCTTCATAAAGCCACGACGTGTGGCTGAGATCGTTCATGGATAATCCTTTTCAACCTTGTCGCACTCCATCGAGTCATTGTGGACATTATAAGTGGCCTCCTACCAGCGTTTCACGTGTGCGTCCCCACAGATCTCATGGATAAGGTCGATCAATTGTCCAACAGCCTTCAGGGGCCAAATGTCACCTTGCAGGCACCCAGGTTGCTCAGCAGCGATGTTTGGATCGCCATGACAGGATGAAAGTCTCATTTCGGACCATGATTTCTGTGCGATAGGAGAGGATGCTGGAGGCCTGAAAGACTCGGGGGCCGGAGGTCGGATGCTGATTGACTCCATTTGCTGAGTGGGTAAGTATCACGTCGCAGATCAGCACAATATGGCCCCCAAAACGTCCTGGGCATTCATGGGCTCATCGCTGCAGAAATCAGAGTCCGGGCCTGGAAAAACTGTCGCCATTCCGCCCACCATGCCTGATTCAACTTTAGTTTAGTCCCGTTTGGTATTCGCAGATCCACCTTCGAAGCTAAATCTGTATCCTTTGGCCCCAATTTGTTGGTTACTCTCTTCTGGTGCTGATACTGGAAAGTGATACCTGGGCCCGGGCTGCTTGATCTTAGCATTCGGGATGTCCCCGCCGCCAAGGGATGACACCTTCCCCTGATGTCTCAGCTCAGCTTCCAGGTAAAGAACAACGAACTGTTTTTCAGTCGGCCTCTGTCCTTGGGACCGTTGCTTTCCTTTCGCTGCTTGTGAAGCTTTCATAGCGACCGCCATGTCATCGGATAATCGGACATGTTATTACCCTGACGGCACGAAGGCCTCTGGCAGCGTTCCCTGCTCTAGCGACGAGAACACCAACTGCTGTGGCCAAAGCAACATCTGTTTGACAAATGGATACTGCCTGGATGTGACCCAGCCCTTTGTGGTGGCTCGCGGGGCATGTACAAGCAAGAGTTGGGGGACAGGATGTCCAATTCATTGCAGTATGTAGGGCCGATGCTGCGCTCGTGTTGCCACATTCCTGCGAACCCATCAGAAGAACCGACAAATAACCATTTTCCAGCGGATACGTTCACAAGTATAGGAACATCGATCATCCAGCTATCCTACATCGATGGAGTAGCCCTTTACTGCTGCGGCACGCCGATTTCTAGCGACAACGGAACCATCTGTCCATTCGGGAAGGACAGCTTCCAGCTTGATGACGCCGATATGATCCCCGGACGCGCAGGGCTTGCGGACTACGTCTTAGCATCCAACTCTTCCAGTTCATCGTCCTCTAATTCATCGGCTTCCAATTCTGCGACCACATCATCCAGTACATCGTCTATTGCATCATCTACCACCACCCCTTCGACGTCTTCGGGCGATACTACTTCTTCTTTTTCACCTTCTTCACATGATGCCGCTCTTGGTGCCGGACTGGGAATCCCCTTGGGGGTAATTGCCATTGCGTCGGTGGTGTGGGCCCTGTGGGAGAGAAGGAGGGCCAACAGTCTCAGTCGGGCGATGATGGGCTCTTCTGCCCCGGCGAGCCGCTCTCGCTTCCCTGGCTCGCATGCGAAAACAGATAGCTCCGTGCCTACTGAGCTTGATAATGGTCGAAATGTTGCCGAGTTGATGACATGAGAAGATCTGTAAAATAACGATACCCCAACATAATAATTGCGACCGTGAATACGTCCTTTATTTATCTGGCTATTTATTCCAAGTGTAGCACATTAGCCAACATGCATTTTATGTACGTTTCAAAGCTCGCCATTGCTATCTGTTTGTTGAGAGTACAAATTACCTCAGGTCCGGCTCGGCAATTCAAACCTTGTTCACATTCCTGGTTGTTCCTGCAGAAGGCTAATTTGGGCTCCTCGTTGTGAAGTGCTGGGTCCCCCTCTCTAGCGGCACGTTTCTTTCTTTCTGAAGTGCGTCTTTTTCTCTATTGTCGGTGCTCCCTCGAATGGAGACGATAGCTAATCAGCCTTCCAAGTCAGCAGATAGGAGGAATCCACAACCTTGCAGATGATCAAGATTCCCTAGCCTCTGTCCTTGTGGCGAAGGGATTCCACCCAGATTCGTGGTACCCACTGGGAATTTTATGCACGACATACAAAGAATGGAATGTGGCAGTGGTAACGATATGAAGCCGAGTTCCGAGAGTCTAGACTTGTTGGAAGAGGCCTGGATGATAGATATCATACCGACAACTCCTATACTGTTATATATGGCTTCCCAAGCCCCGTGGTTTGAGCTATTTATGCGTTCAAAATAACCAAAAAGATAACCTTGTACACCATCTTTGATATCGTGGTCACGCAGATCCCCATTCCGTCGTGTGTGTCAATGACCCGCTTTCTCGGCCTGAAGGGCAACAGCCTCAATGTCGTGGCTATTCTTGGGGTGTTGATGCCGGCCATCCTGAGCGTTGGGTTCAATGCAGCATCGCTCGGCGGCGTGCTGTCTCTGCCTAGCTTCGAGAAACAATTTCCACAAATCGACGTGGTCGATGCGCCTAATCCGAAATATGCATCGACGATCCAGGGTACCGTGGTGGCCGTGTACACGATTGGTGGCTTTTTGGGAACCTTTTCCTGCATTTGGCTAGGGGATCGACTGGGCCGCCGACGAGTGATCATGACAGGATCGGTGATCCAGATTATTGGGGCTATACTCAATGCCAGCGCCTATTCTTTGGCCCAGCTGATCGCATGTCGGATGATCATCGGGATTGGCACCGGTGCATTTTTGGCGACAGTTCCTCTATGGCAATCAGAGATCTCGCCGGCTCGCAAGCGTGGCTCTCATGTTGCCACAAAGGGCGTCTTTAGCGGTACCGGATCGGCCACGGCGCTGTTTCTTGACTATGGACTCTCTTTCACCACAGGCAGTCTGGCCTGGCGTCTTCCATCTGCGTTTCCGATCTTGCTATCGAGCACTGTATTGGGGTTCATCATAATTCTCCCTGAGTCGCCTCGCTGGCTGATTCAAGTCGGCAGAATTTCGGAGGCTCGGGAGATTATGGCCGCCCTTGAGGATACTTCGGTCACCGATGGGAAGATTGAGGCAAGTGTCGAAGAGGTGCAGGCGTCTCTCGACCTGGCCGAGGGAAAGAAGTCTCTCCGGCAGCTGCTTCATATGGGCCCTCAGAGGACTTTTCATCGGGCTCTATTGGGAATTACCGTGATGACGCTGCTTCAACTGACAGGAGCTACTGTCACCACGTTTTATAGTATGTTGATCTGCATCCAAGTTTTTCTCATTTCTTGTCCTGGGCTAGTATAGCTGACCATTTCACTCATATAGCCACTACAATTTTTGAAAATAACCTTGGCCTCAATGAATCGACCTCAAGGCTTCTCGCAGCCATATACCAACTAGTTGGTCCCGTGGGTGGTGCGGTGTGTGTCGTCAGCATTGAAGGACTGGGTCGACGAAAATTACTCATGGGCAGCGCGGCCGGAAATGCGTTGTGCCTGACCTTAGTCGCGGTTCTGGGCTCTCAAGCCAACAACCTAATGGCAGCGCACGGCGCAGTGTTCTTTATATTTCTCTTTCACTTCACTTATATCATCGGCTTTGGCGGCATACCATACCTCTATGTCACTGAGATCGCTCCCTTGCATCTACGAACGACTATCAACAGCTTCAGCATCAGTGTTTCATGGGCACTCAGTATCCTTGTCGCCAATGTCACGCCCATTGCCTTCAATACCATGGGACAGAAGTTCTTCTTGATCTTCGCTTGCTTTAATACCATGATTGTCCCGGCAGTATACTATCTTTTTCCTGAGACATCTGGACGAAGCCTTGAGGAGATCGATGAAATATTTTATCTTTCAAAGGGTATCCTGGATCCTGTTCCGGTTGCCAGAAAACTCCCTCATAGGGCACCAGATGAGTTCTTACCCGAGAAAATACTGGTTGATGACCTGAAAAGTCCGGAGACCCCAGTATAAATGGAGAAACAATATGCTCTTTGGGAGTACGATGTACAATATTCTGTGCTAGGTTATGAAATACAGATCCTAAGCTCTAAGATTCCCACACTCACAATTTTCAAGCTCAGTAATTATGGGTAAGTTACTTCACAAGTTTGCAGGGCTGGTAACTCTTCAGTAGATCGTATACGAGGCTGTATGTTGAGCTGCATTCATCTTGTATGTGTGCAAGGTTTCTGTGACACGCAAATTGTCGCTTCAAATAACATCACGCGTGTTATAGACTACCCTGTCAAAGTCAACTGGCATGTTTGAGACAGTGATCAATTTGCTTGGTCATTTGCAAGCATTCTTCATCACGCAAAGTTGTGGTGAACAGTTGTAAAGAACACGGTGCACCTTCAAGCTGCTTAAAGTCATCTATAGAGTTTAAAAAATCAATCAACAATTTTAGCCCAGCATACTTGACCATCGTATACTCACATGGTGGTGCAACTTGTTTCTCCTTTAGTTCAAAGATCTCGTGGGCATCGGATCCGCCAACTTGTCCAAATGGGATCACTGCAGACGGGTACTATGGGGCACATGCCGAGAATTAGAAACCAAAGTTTGAGAAGACAAGTCGTATTCCACGTACGTCAAGACAGTTCAAAAAGGTTGTGTAGGGTGCCACGCTGAAAGTGTCATGCTGAACTGCTGTACTTTGCGCTGGGGGCGCAATACAGATATCCAAGTCGTGACGAAGCCACATTCTTCGATATACTTCCCGCAGTTCCGCCCGACGAGTGTTTAGTAAAGCTAGCCTACCCAGCCGATCGAGCTGGCTCATATCTGGTAGTGAAGTCTGATGAGACGCTCGTAACTTCTCAATTTGGTTGCCAATATTAACGAGTGAGGGAATCGGGGGCTCGCCAGCTGATTGAATATGGCCCATGGCAGCTTTGTCGAGGCCGAAGATATTCCAGGCGATTTCATTTGCCTGCGTCACTTGGCATTCCTCTACATCAAGAGGGATTATGGTGTGGCCTTGCGCTTCAAGCAAACGGGCTGCTTCACGGATAGTCCTTCTGACAGGTGGGTGCAGAGGGAATGTAGGACTCTCCGGAACAATACCGATCCTGAGGGTGGGCTTTGTGGATACCTGTCGCCACGGAATGTCAAGGATTGTGGAGTCATACAGAGCAGGCTGAGTCCCAAAAATGGACTTGAAAAATGTTTCAATGCCGTCCAAGTCTAGTGAAAGGGGGCCTGCACATGATAGAATGAATTTCATCCCACTGGTATTGCACACGCGCATTCCTCCATTTGGGATCCTTGCAGCACTTGGTCTGAACCCATATGTGCCACAGCAAAGAGCAGGAATTCGAACAGAACCTTGGTTTTAACATCAACAGTTCGATCTAAAGTAAAGGATGCATCGTATTGTTTACTTACCGCCGATATCAGTTCCAACTCCCAACGGAGACCCTCGAAGGGCAATAAGAGCACCCTCACCTCCACTCGAACCACCGGCACCTAAGTTAGTGTTCCAGGGGTTTAGAGTGCGACCGAAAACATTGTTATGGGAATCGCAAGTCTTCAGATATCCATGGATTAGGACGCTGTTTAGGCACATCTTCATGCTCACGTACCATCATCGTCTGGGGCACATTTGTTTTAACGTAAATGACCGCCCCTAGCTTGATCAGGATGTCGACCAGTGGAGAATTCTCTGGTGAGATCTGGTCCATAAATGAAACCATCCCAATGGTTGCCTCCGTTCCCTTATAATGGAAATTATCCTTAATACTGACAGGCAAGCCATGAAGTGGCCCGGCCAGTTGACCCTGAGCTCGTAGATCATCCAGGTATCGAGCTCGCTGCCTAGCCTCTTCGAACATTGTCTCCGTCAAGCATGATACCTCAATAAAGAGTCAGCTTCACAATAATGACCTCGGAGATTTCAATGCTTGAAAATACATACCAGCTGCTGGGCAACGGCTGCGCGCTTGCAATAAGCCAAGGTCACCTCCGAAGAAGTTAAGGTGCCCGATGCAAGTGCGGAGAGAAGTTTAGATACATTGTAGTTTTCAGTGATTTTCAACTCATTTTCGGTCAGGATACCCGATTTACGAATAGCCTCGTTTTGGATAAGGTTGTTCTTATGATCCACCAATGGAGTTTGAAAATTGGCCAGAAAATTATCTGGGATTCTCCATGCTTCTGGGATCTTATTCGCACAGTCTTGACGTTTCTTTGCTACCCTCTCTTCCCAGGCCTGCGCATGATCAATAGATCCCATGTTGGCTTGAGAAGAACCAGAAGAGTTGGTTGTTATCGACGAATCGGAGAATAGTCCGTCAGCAAATTTGGAAAGAGCCTTCCTTATAAATACTCACTACTCGGCGGTCATAGCGAGTAAAAGCTTTGACCTCATTGGTAATAACTTCTTTATTTGGTATAGTTGCCTTTGCAACATCTCATAAGCGAGCCGAGCCAGATAATGGGGTTGTATACCTCGGCTAGGAAGTGAGGAGAAGGGCGGGGCGGCTCAAGAAACGCAAGACAGCCAAGGAAAGACGTATTCGGTGTCTTAATACCGAAGAGAAGATAAGCGTTGCTAAAGCAGGCTAGCAACTGAACTACTCAAATTCGCTGTTTGACGCGAACTTATCATTCACACCTTCTACTAAAGAAACGACGGGCCTACAGTATCTGATACTGTCAAAATGACCTTTAAATCTGTATTAATAACGCCTAGTACTGAGATTTGAACCCATAGAATGAAAAGCCCGTCGTTATAGTTGTTCTATAGGGCAATAGACGCAAGTACAAGGAGACTTCAAGAGGCTTCAACGAACAATATTTTTACAACTAGAATATAGGGACTTGTGAGATCGACGTCAGAAAATGACAACCCCAGGCGCCAGAAACGGCCGCCTTTCACCCCGTGACATCAGACCGGTGAGCCGCCGCCTGACCACCTCTTGCCCTTACTTCCCTCTATTCTGCACCTATGAGGACTCTAGTCATTCCCTTCTTGTCCTATTTTCAAAGTTTGATTTCCACAATTCTTCCCCTTATGTCTACTAGCGACCAAAACGATGCTGAAAATAGCTCTCCTTCATATTCTAACCTGGACACTCCCTCCTTTTCGCCTAGACTGGTCGAGTCTCTAAGACACTTTGTCCGCCCTCTCTATCGCCGTCTGTTAATATCCTCCTCTCCTTATCCCGACTCTCCTACTTCGATGGATATGCTCGATTCCCTATACTTAATTCTTGGATTCTCCATCATAATATCTAAACCTTAGCTGCTATATTCGAATTTTCTTATAATACCGCTCTCTATAACTCTAGCTGTAACTCGCCAGTACTAATTCTATACTGATGCTATTTTTTATAAGGAAACTTAAGCTAGATTAAAACGCTTTTGCGGACTTAGATAGCTCCCTCTAAACTTTGAGCCTAGAATACTAATAAGAATCGCTATATTCGAATGGTACTAGCGGAAGTAAGTTAACTCTCAAGGTCATTTCGGATATTGACCATTGAACGCACGCTACTATCAGCTGCTTCGGCCATCTGTAGCGTGGTTAGTGAATTGTTAGTGAATTGCTGCATATCATCAATTACGTCAAAGATGGATGGACGAAGCATTGGCGTCAGGGAACTGAGTTGCACTAATCACATCATGATCCGACGGTCCCGTAGAAATTTTATCTTTTTCCAGTTCCTGGATGCAGAATGGGAACAGCACATCTCCACGAAAAATGGGTCGTCAAATTTTCGCAAACCACCTTCCGAATCACGGTGAGGTAGCTTTGAGTAACTATAGATTGCAAGGGAAAAGAACGAAGAGTGGGAAAACATGAATTAAAACACATCATTTAGCTCTTTCTGATGATACATCTTGTATATACGACCACAGGCTGCGGGGAAGGGGGCTTCCCATTCGCTCAGCCGTACTTAAGCCACATGTTGCACGGCTAATACTCAATGCGCCTTGAGCTTTAAGATAACATCGGATTTGACCTTAGGGTGATTGTGGGTGATATGGGTGAGAACTCTGGAGACCGGGATAATAGAGGTGAGAATGGGGTACGAAACAGGGTGAGAGCGTGTAAGAACATGGTGGGCATTCTCACCCAGATCACCCACTCTTCCACTTTCACTTGAACCCACACTATAAATATAAGCCCTTAGGTGCCTATTTGGTGTGCTATTCTGAATATTTTGCTACTTTCTCATTGAATAAAAGATGCCTCTGAAGGACTTCCAAAGGAATTAGATACACGTATTGCACGTGCCGCGTTATGTGGTTCCAATCTCGAATACTACCATAAGCGGGAACAAGAGAATTCTTTAACCTTAAGGAGCCAGCCTCGGCGACGCTGGAGAAGTGTAAGAGCATAGTATTAAATCAGAAGTTGTGAGTTATATTATCGTTAGCGTTATTTCTTGCTATTTTTACCCTGTCCCTACTACATAGTTGCTAAATTAGTATCATGCAACTTCCACCTAACGTCCCGACCACATTTGTGTCTTCGCTAGGACTCACGCTGATATGATAAGTGCTCATTATTCTCTTTGCGAGAAATATGCCCTCGTCTCCAGATTTTGCATATACGTAGACCCCACGATCAAATCGCCATAGCTTGGAAGGCTGGGCTGGAGGATCAAGACCGGACTATTTGCACTATTGCGTCTAATGATGTATATCTCCATTATATTATCTAGAATTTTAGCAAATAGTCATCACTACTAGCTAGAAATTGCGACAGTGATTAGTTTGTTCAGCTGAGCTGGACCGATCTATGAAAGTGATTTAATCGTTTGCTGTGGTATGTGATTTATGTGCTAGATTATAAAATTACGTTGGTCCAAGGGAAAAAGAGATGAAGTACATTCACAAGATTAATTTATGTTCATGTGCATCTGCATAGGAAATGAAACAAGAAACCTATCATAACAATAAGAAAAAGAATGACAAGAACAGCAGAAAAGTAACAGGGCTATAATAAAAGGAGATCTAGAGACTAAAAGATTTCTGTCTCTAGATCTGCCATACTGCTGTCATCCTCATCACTTTCATCGATTGCTCCGAAGACATCGTCAACCCTTCGTCGGATCTCTTGAGCCAAGAAAGTCCTGAGTCCAGAATTTCCCATCCCATCCAACTCTTGTATCATATGGACGATTCCAGACAGCCGAAGGCATGTCTCCTTTAGCTGTAAAGATGGATTGAGAAGTTGAGAGAGCACGTATGTCCATTCATCATCATCCGTTTCAAGGGAAGTAAGCTTTGGAATATCATGGGGCAACGTAATCTCGTCTTCATCGAAAGAGATCATAAGAACCTCTGTAACGCCAATCGCATCAACGAGGCTTGCAATTCTCTTCGCATATTTAATTCTCAAGTCGAATTCCTTGACAAAAATGTCCATATCTGTTTGTTTCGGGTCTATTGCCTTTCCCAAGTCTAGCATAACTTTCCGTAAGGCGAAGGTTTCGGCTGCTTGTTCAGTCATGCCGCTCTCTTTTGCTGACTTTATGGCCTCTTGTGCAAAATCTCGGTGCAATTCTAAAAGCCCGAGATGAGCACTGAGCACCCGATGAAGATGAACAGCATGTGGCTCATCAGCCGTGGTAGGCAAGAGACGTCTATCAAACCAGGGCGTTACTCCAAACGGAATACCAAAATAACCCCAGTGTGCAAGTCGCAAATGGTCGAAAAGCACGGCACATTTAGGAGGCGCAAAAGTTCTCGTCAGCATTCTGTCCGTTCTAGCGTGCCTAGCCTGCTTAAATTCATATTCTTCCATTTGAGTTTGCTGCTCAATATTGTTGGATATACCAACTACCATCGATATTGTAGAAGCAGCATTAGGCACCCAGTGTTCTTGAAGGCGATTCTGTTGTGCCGCTGTCATGCTGTCAGAGCAAGCATAGTTATATTTGACACAGCGATCGCACTTCTGCGCTGGCCAAATCCGATCGAGTGGTGAACACTTTCAAGCAAGAGGAAAATCATTAGTTTTGTGAAGGAGCGCCAATGAAAGTCAATGGCTCCATACCTGCTTTTTGTCGCCTCGGCATCGGATACATTTCAAGTAATTTAAACGACGGGGCACTGCGGTTTCCATGATAGAGAGGAAAAAGGATAGTGGTCAAGGTCCAGGCTGACCCTATACAATAATCCACAATTCAACCAAAGAGTGGGATAGCTTGTGGTCGGAGATGAAAAGTGAATCAGATAGGGGTTTATAAAAAAGGGGGACCTGACCGATATTTAAGGCTTGAGTTGACTAGTCTTGGATCTTTGCGATTATTACCTGTAATTCACACACTCCGCCGTCGCAGTCGAGAATCGACTCATTTGCGGTCGCACGGAGGGTCTAAAGCCATTTCATTCGAGAACTGGCTGACCCTTTGCCACTACTGCACCTGTAGAGCCTGGCAATATGTCGCTTACTAAAATTTCCATCTATAGTTTACGAAAATTTCGATGCTTTTTATGTGTTTTCTAACCTCTAAGGTTAGTGTAAGAGCCAAGACCGTAATTAGTTAATTTTAAGCCTGCAAGCCTCCTAGGGTTCGATTTGGTTTATGCGGCTGCGGATTATCCACTTCTACCGCGTAGTGATCCGATTTCCTGGAGCGATAACCCCTACATCAGTGCTTTAGAACTCGACACGAGGCTATTGTCGTGTTCGAGGTTAGTTGGAAGTTTTGAATCACGTTCGAGACCGTAGGTGGCTTGCATGAACTAGCGTTTATAAGTTGTACCCCGCAATAGGGCAAATTTGATGGTTTTTGAAACTTCACGTGTAATACCATAGGTGTGCATTTCTTGACATAATTGAATATTCCCCCTATCTGCTTCCTTTGAGTTCTTCCTTTACACCTCGTATCTACTTTTTTTAGGTATAGTCTATAAGATAGAGATTAAAGGGCTTATATAAACATAACTAAAAAAACTGATTCTAGGTACTATTAGTGCCTTACACCGCCCCCCCCCCCTCCCCAACCAAGCAAGAGCCCAGATCAGGAGGCAGACCAGACCCATCCTTCCCCACCAAGTCTCAACAGCTTGTTTCGATAAAACTGGTCTCCCTTGCTTTCTGTTTCCGCGGCGATGAACGCGAAGAGGGGAGGGCGTCGACCGACCACAACACCCGTTCGCACACGTATCACCCTCATCCAAAATTGGCTTTTATGGGTTTGCGCAAACCTATGCAAACCAAGTTTGGATTAGTGTGATTATTTGAAGGGGGCTATTTGGCGAATAGCCAATCGATTTGATTGTTGTCACAGATGATCTGACAAGATTGAAAATGATTGGACGTGATCGCGGCGCTTTGTAAGTGCGGGATCTTCACAAAGATTTAGAATGGCAAATGCACACAGCGGGACCCGCGTGCAGCTCTGAATTGATGTACAGTGAAGAGATATTGCCAAATTGATTGCGGAGGAAATCTACGGCTAGGTATAGCAAGTTTGGTAATGCCCGGTGGTCTAGACTTAGCAGACAAGAAGGACCGGCATAAGGGAAGCTTTTAGGAATCACCTCAATCTCTTATGAAAGATTCCGGTGTGTGGGGCCCTAGCACGATCCTTAATCGGAGAATAATATCTAATACGCGTTCTATTGAATAGAAGGATGGCTTGGCTACGTTCAATTTTACACCGTCGGTCTATAAAAGTCGGAGACTAACTCTACTCTAGCAAGCTTGACTATCCTCGAATCATCAAACTAAACGTGTTGCCTAAATATCGGTGCTCTTCAACCTGACAGAACTTTCCATAACAGCAATGCCCACGGAACACTCCACCCCTGCTATGCCCGCATGTGCCCGCAAGTTCATCATCGAAACCGTCGACTTTATAGTCGACCTAGACTCACTTCTAATCTACCTGCACAATATTGTGCAGTACCTCCGACGCGAAAACTGGACCGCCGTCGATATCTATGGCGGCTTTCACATCCGCCGCCAAGAAAAATTAGTGCACATCTTCCTGTTATACCTAACCACTAGCATAGAAAACGTCTAACACATCTGCGACTACGTTGCTTCCACGCTTGGTGGCTTAACCACGCAAACAGGTCCGCTCTTGCCTCTAGCTAACAGGCGCTAGGAAGACGCTATCCCGAGTAGCTGGAAGCACTTCACCCGTATCGCTAGCGATAAAAAAGGTATTACCTTTATCGCGAGAGACAACTCTTGATACAGGCACCGCCCTGGCACCCGTGCACTTTCTATAGGAATAATTAGTTACTGGAATGACACTCGTGTATCTGATCAGCAAGATTACTCATTGTGGCTAAAAATACCAATTCCGTCCGCCTAACGGACACTCTGTAACATCCATTTTTACCAAATAGACTGCGCCTTCTTAGGTAGTTTAGGCAGGGCATGTTCTGCCAAGGGCTTCAGTAGCCCCTACTGCGTATCCTGGCAATAGTGCGTACGTAAATGCAATAAATACAGTCTTGCCAGACTGCATTTCCAATAAGTGTTCAATGAGATCTTGTTCTAGACATGAAAATATTTCGGATTATAGGAACTATATATCTTATATCAAATATTTGACATTCGAGAACTAGGTAGCTTATCTCAATTACTACGTAGCGGAGTTCTTATCAGACTAGCGAAGGAAGTTGCGCCTTAACAGGCATCATATGACAATTGCTAATCACGATCATGATTCCCCACTATTCACCGAGCAACGAAAATTACTGGAGCAACGCGAACGAAATTAAAGTTGCGAAAACAACGCCGGCCTGTCATAACGAGAATAGTTTGATTTGCTAGGGCGTGAGCTCATTAAAGTGCGGCTATCGAATACTGCGGCTTGGATTCCCCTGTTCGTGCCTGTGAAATTTGCATACACAGTGCTAGCCCTAAGAGACCAATGCTAGCTGAAATCCCTGTCAAGTGTGTTTAAGACTTTTATAGACTGAAATATTGCCAGGCTGGGATATCCAGGTTCCCTTAAGTGATTGTTCCACTTATCGTTCAACGCTCGACTAGCCTCCTAAATCGGTGTTTGCAGGTCAAATCTTTCTGCTGTCTTATAGGAGTCCCTGTAACCCTAGTAGCAACAAACTTAGGATCGAAAGAACTGGTAAAGAAACATACATCGTGGCTGCCTATTGAACACACCGTAACGCCCGGTGATAGATCTTAATATTTTCGTACAGGCTTTCCTCCGGCGGAGCAGAGATGCATTATAGGGCGGATCTAGAATGATCGCTTCTGCTACCTCAAACTGTGTCCCGGCTTGATGGAGCTGAAACTTCAGGCGTGCCGTAGGGCGGCTACTAAGGAGGGATATAACATCTTCCACGAGTCGACCTGCTCGGCTTCCTATCTCTAAGAAGGACCAAAAGTCGTAACAGCATATCGAGAAGTCGAGGGTGTCTTGCAAAGCTTGGCGTTTCCCCAATCGGGTCCTAGGAGACGATTCAATATTTGGAATGCAAAGGGTTGAGGTGAGACATACACGATACATGAAAGATATAGGCCTACATAGCGCCTTAAGATGCGAGGATGCTAATCTAGTTTCTGCCTCACACTACATCTTATATGTCCGTTACGGACAGCTTTGCTTGTATTGAATCTTTATTGATAGGGAAGAATCATCATCTACGTATATATGCGTCCCTTATAGGAGAAAATGTCAAAGATATAGAACGACTATTGGAACTATGGATAGGGTGCAATTGTCGAGAGGAAGAGGAGGAAGTAGATCCGGGTAGAGCGACTTGATTTTCAGATAGAAGAACTAGGACCTGTGAATTTAGAGTTTCACACCTGTATACCCGCCAATACTAGCAACTAGAAAGTCAGCGAATCAACAATACGCAAACTTTTGGAACCACCTAGCTCCGGGGAGCCCCGGAGATGCCCCTGGGCCTTCCTAGTAATGTTTAGGATACTACCTACTATCTTCGCCTTCACTCCTCCAATAGAAACTTCCAGACTTCTATGTCTAGTAATGTGGCGGGCAGCCTAGAAGACCATAGTGCGACCTATGGCGCCTCTATCCTTATCACCAAGCACAGCGACATAAATGAACGTTCAATGCGCTCCAAATATTCACATGAATTCATTGAACACCAACTTACGGTCAACCTATACCTATTTTATCAGCAATCTTTACACACATAAGTAGACATGAGCTCCAAATCGAGGCCCCGTGGCTCCTGTCAACGATGCAGATCTATAAAGCGGGGTTGCGGCCGACAAAAGCCAGCTTGTCAAGAATGCGTCGTTCGTGGGCGGAGACTCTCATGTCGCTATGAGGAAAAAACCTGGATTAAATTCGTGATTGAAAACCTGGAGCTAGGAAAGGTTAGCAACTGATCGATTGTAGACGTAGGTAGGAAGCCCTATCGAACGATTCAGGTCCTCACCGATCCTCTGCCCGATGGTCTAAAGCCTCTCTATTAGTCAATCTTATCCACAGCAAGCGTTATATCCTGGAAGAAAGCCGAGGAAGGATATTCCGTAAGTCAATATGAAATAATCTATATTTCTCCCGTTATCTCCGCAGGTGATAGCGTCGCCTAGACCCTGCTCAGGCTAGATTCCGCGCAAGGATTTCATCGAAATTATCTTGTTGTAGGTGGAGCTTTACCTTTGCACTGCTCAAGGAATACTAACTATAGTAATAGGTATATTCATCTTCGTCCTATCAAACCAATGCTTAAGTTTCGAGGCTAACAAGCTAACAAGGCTCGTTTACAATTCACTAGCTTCTACTCGTCCTAGGGTATCTTTTCCTCTCTGTTATAGCACCTATTGATGAAGGCGCATTGTAGAAACTCATCTGTCGTGATCAGACGGCATAGGAGAGGGCCTTCGTATTACAATATGCCGGATTGAGATAGTAGTGGATTGATGCTCGCCGCGCTTTGACTAAGTCCTACGATCTACAAAGTATCTCTATCGAAGAAATAGAGCTTCAGCTACGGTAGCTACTATCTGTCCTTAGGAAAAATGCATTACCTTCAAAGTTTCTACACGAAAGATATTATTAATCTATTCCGCCCTTTCGGCTATTCGGATCCAGAGCTAGTGTGGTACTTATATGTTGTGCTTTCATAGTAATAAGGACCAGCTATATCAGCGGCTACGACACAAAGGAGATCTGGCTGCAAGATCCCCCTTTTTTGATATTATAATAGAGCGACTAAATCAGTCGCCTCTGTTTAAAGTTAGGATCTTAATACCCTAGCTACTATCGATAATGTAAAACCTGCAGATAGTATTCCGGCAAGAAGACGACCGTATCGTCTATACAAGTCCCTAGGTAATAGATTTCCAAGATAACGCAATACAGCGCAATTATTATTAACGAGGATTCTCGTCTCTAGACCTAATCTTGCTTCCGAAGATTATGAGCGTAGCCTTCGGTGCTAAACCGATAACGCTCGCAAGTTTTGACTAGCTAGCAAGCTGTCTTGCAGATTAGTTTTTCGAATTAAATTCTTTGGAAGAATTAGAGTATTCGTTCGCAAGAATTCCACAAGTTCTACAATCGAAGCCTGATAGGATTATTGTGATAGAAATATTTCACCTTAAAGCGTGGGCGTAGATATATAAGCTTAGTACACCGGGTGAGTAGCATAAGCGCCGCTTCAGGAATGGAAAAACTAATGTCGGTCTCCAGACAGTAGACGCTAGATCTATGTTTTCCAGGTAACTCTAGATATTCTCTGTCGGGGCTATGCGATAGCGTGATAAAACAAATATAGCCTTCTTTGATCAGAGAATAGGTTTCGCGTTGAGACGCGGATACTAATCCTGAAATATGTACGAAATAGACAGACAGGCTAAGCTTCACTTCTAAGTGAATATAGGGCAGAAATCCTTGCGTGTGTTCCTGAATATTGTATAGTACAGTAACAAAGCGAGGACAGGAGGTAATAGCAGCCGGGATAGCTGTTTTAGCGTTAATTGAGCCTTGATTGCGTCTTCGACCACGATGTGATTCTTATTCGTGAAGGGAGTATAGCATAGGAATTCAATTTGTATGTCTTTACTATACGTAAGACCGAGATGACTAGAGGCTTTGTCTGTAGGAGGCTACTGATTGCAGAAGACCGGCTATGTATACGGCTACTATATGCAAATAGAGGGTAAAATGAACAAGAACAGCTATGGTCTAATAGACATACAATAGCACGCGAGTGAACCACAGAACATAACTTCATAGCATCCGATGAATCCAGGGCTACCATGCACTATAAGCTAGTAGCGTCCACTGGAGGATATTTTCATGTATATATATGGTTGTGTATAGTATTTGCCTGGTCTCAAACATCTTATTTAGTAAAGCCCTTAAGGAATATATCTTCTACTAGAAATGGACGGTGGGAGTAGTTACTTGTGCTAGTCTCTATGCCACTGCCTTGTCGCTGTCCGAGTTCAGCCACACCGCTCTACGTAGTGTTGAGAACACAAAGCAAAAAACTGATCTAATAAAGCTACAATCCATTATAAATATGATTCAAAGTTGCGTTTGTTGACCGCTGTGTGTTCTATACAATGTCGTCCCTCAATACATTCCTAACGCCTAGTCAACACCCTGCGATTAACAGACGTTACCCCTTCTTGTCGAGCTATATTGAGGGCAGCATAAATTGTTTATCGTTGCGCTCTTTGGACGAAAGTCGGTGGTGCACTAAAGATAATTAATCCCGATCCCTTAATGTTATAGAACAACCACATTTGATGTTATTCCGGCCGACCGGCTTGTTTTGGATACGAATCGTGCATATAACGATATTTGTTTATGAAGGAGAACAAGTTGGAATCGGATCTCTTTACCGTTATTCCTCCGGCAAGTAGCGGAATAACGATATTTAGATTATAGAAAGAGAACCCCCACTTCTTTCAAACTGAATCTCTTCAAGATTCAGTTATTGGAATAATACACTCTTGTTCCCCTTCCGATTCTATCACGATTATATATTGTATTCATTTTCCTTATCTGACCAACAGGCGGCTACCCTGCAAGTAGCACCCTAACAAGACCTCTCCCTAGACTAAGAAGAAGATAGGTATATTCAATAACGCCTTATTGGATAGCGACCCTGATTACAACGATTAGTAATAAATCAACAACCTTTCGAAATTATTCAATATAAAGCATACAAGTAGTAGGAGGTGATAGCTACCTTCCCACGTGAAAAAGATGTTCGGGAAGTGAGTATTGTTGCTATATAGGAACCTTAGACTAACGAACCCCGTAATACTACTGACTACCTAGCAATAGCTTTCTATTAGCTCCTTTAGCTAAGATATACCGAGGTAGGCGAGAGAAAACGTACACCCAAATAACTAGATTTTATGTAAAGTTGGGCTTTTTGGGTTGGGTTGGGCCGTGGGCCCCGTCCCCGGGCCCAAACGTGGGCTTTGGCGATGTCTAGTGACCAGTTTGAGAGGCCGGTAGAGCTTGTTCCAGGTAGGTGGGTCTCGAGTTGTGTTAGGACATTGCCGTGGTTCCTATATTCTTGTCAAGCCAAGCTGCTGGCTTCTTCATAGTCTACTCATACAGCTTCAGGTCAAATCGTGAATTTGTGTGAAATATATTTCATATTCGGTAGCATTCAATAGATAATATTCAATCGCAATGACCCTTTTTACATCAATCAAATCGATTGATCCCAAGTAGGAGTGCCTGCATAGCATCTGTGCTGTGGAATGAATGTCTATTATGAGTCTCTGGAGACAGTCTCTTCTCTGGTTTTCTGCAAATCACGATCTCAACCGCCCAATCAGGCATCACACGTGACCAAGTGGTATACGATCGGTAGACAAGATGGTATGTCCGCTGTCTATCATATACCAACCATCTACCGCAACATCTACCAAAGGTTTACTATGCGAAGAATCGAAGGGATATAAGGACGGTTACTACCATGTACCAAGAATACTTCTTGTTCAATCCTTCCCGTTCAATAAAACTATCTTTCATAACCCCCCCAAAGTGTTACCACTGCTAGTACGATTCATAAGACACTTATTGGCTCTTGATATTTCACTTTTCTTATCTCACAATATTTACAACGTGCCATAAAGACCAATATGCATTTTTCTAAGAGTCTTATGGCTGTTCTTATCGGAGCTGTTAGCTTTGCTAGTGCTTGTGACAGAACAGTACAGGTACAGTTTTACAGCGGACCCGACTGTGATTCAGGTGTAACCCGTGGCGTCACGTTCACTGGTGACTCCAACTGCCAAACCATGTATAGCGATTTTGGCTTCGCGGCTATATCGGTTGATTTGGATTATCCATGGTTGTCCTGCGATGGCCAGCTCTATTTATACTCTGATCCCTACTGCCAAACGGTCGCTATGAAAGCAGACGGTCTTGCTGGTTGCATTCAACCTAGTGTGGCGGCCCAATCCTTTCAGTGGTTCTATTGTCCACATGCAGCCTGTTAAGAAATCGGAAGGTACATCAGGCGATGCCGCCGCATACACCGACAAGACCATAGGAATGGATCACGATGGGCTTCGTTAGAACTTTACCAACATCAAAAGGGTACGGTTCGATCATGGTTATCGCCGATCGACTGACTCTAACAACTCGATCCCTTTGACCTCGAGGGATGACTCGATCCCGAGGCGTGCATGCAGCAGACCAGGTTTTTCCTGTCAGGCCCAGGCCGGCTATCCCCCTTTGTGATGAGGCCCATATGGGTTCTCTTCTGTTTCTTGTTTCTTCTTCTTTTCCTAGTAGTCATCGTCTGCTTGTTTTAGATAGACCAATTGACTCAGTCTCCTCTTCTCTTCCGCTTCCTGTGCCAGCAGCGCCGCGGGCGCTGTCAGACTCAATATGTTCACTTTGGACCAACAACAACAACAACCATAGATGCACCCAAATTAGCAGAGATATTCTTCAGAAATCATCGTCAACCGCGGGATGCCGCCACAGATCACTTCGGACAGGGACAAGCTGTTCAATTCGAAATTCTGGACCACGCTAACGAACCTCATGGGAATTGATTAACATCTCATAACTGCTTTTTCACTCGCAAGCAAAATGGACAAACTGAACGAAAAATCAAACATTGGAACAATACCTATGCCACTGCATCAACTACCAACAACATGACTGGGTCAAATTTTTACCATTGGCACAATTTGCTTACAACAATGCTTGTCACGCTACTACCAAAAAATCACCGTTCTATGCAAACTATGGGTATAATCCAACACTGTTCGGAGAACCACATGCGATGCAAACCGCCGCCGAACAAGCACACGAACTGGTTGGAATATTAGCGCACTTGCATGCTTAACTTCCCGAGATATCAACTCCATGAACCTACAAGCCAAGATCTACTACGATAAACGACGCGGGAAAGACTAACACCTTAAAAGAAGGGAGAAATAATACAGGCTGATACCTGTGTTGTTTATCTCGGCCGGCCAGGCCTCGGTGGACGTCTGTTGGTTGTGGGTCATGTGACTCACGTTAAGGCTTCTTCTTCTTCTTCTTCTTCTTCTTCTTCTTCTTCTTCTTCTTCTTCTTCTTCTTCTTCTTCTTCTTGTCCTCTTTCTTTTTCTCTTTTTCCTGTATCTAATTCTTTTCTATCAGTTAGTGATTCTCTGGTTTGCAGCGGGCTTTGGCCCCTACCAAGAAAGTGTTCTTTCTACGAAGAAACAAACGGCCAAGTCAGAAACTCGATCATCGAAAGCTGGAACTATCCGAGATTGAAAAGAAAACCGGACCAGCGAATTAGAAACTCAAAGTACCAGCAATTATGCGAAGTATACACCCTCTGTTTCATGTATCACTATTAGGCCCAGCACCACTAAACGCCAAACTCGCCGAGAATGTCAAGATCAAGGAAAAAGCGAATAAGAGTACGAGGTCAAAAGATCCTTGAATACAAAAGGGTCAACCGAAAGCCATACTATCTGATCGAATGGGTCGGATACGATACCTCAGAGAACACCTGGGAATCTATCGAGCACCTGACGGACTGCCAGCGACTGGTTTGATAGTTCTACCCGAGGCTGAATGATCAAAAGTCTCCCAAAAGGAAGGAGAGAGTCGACCAATCTCCTCCCCCATCTGAGTAAAACCTGGAGGATTCTCGAACGAAGCGGCCAGCTGGACTACGGAGGGCTGAGCCTCACCATTCTGTTCGTCCAAGATGCGTAGTAATGCCGCATCATGCTCGAACATTTTGAAGCCTTTCTGTTTTAAGAATGCCATTTGTTTTCGCAACCTTCGTTGACGCCCCATCGCCTCCCGATACTGTTGCTGCTTCGCTATCCACTGTTGATGTAGAACAGCGAGACGATTTTGAAGTTCGCTCAACTCGGGCTCTAACAAATCGAGCTCTTCGTCATTCTTTTCAATATCGGAGGATAATTTGTCCTCGGCTCGCCTAAGGGTCGACCACTCGTCTTCGGTGCGAAAGTCACGCTTACAGAGACGGCCTTTGCGTGTGCAGGAAGCACACTTTGCGTATCTTCCAGATCGATCCGTGATACACTCCTCGCCAGATAAGAGGCAATTTTCGCAAGAAATAAAAGACGAGGAACCGTTCCTAAGAATATATTCGACTTGATCACGACGCACGGCAACCTGATCGCGGGAAACCTTGGGACGACCTTCCAATATATCGTCAGCACGACGTTTCGGCATAGTGGAATAATACCAGAAACCTGAGGGATTTGGTCAGTGAGCAATTACCTGAGGGGGGTCATCATTCTTTATGCTTTCAGGAGACGAAAGCCCAGGAGAGGGGGAGTGGTGTTACAGCACCTATATTAATCGGCTAGTACGTATGGAGAGACCGGGAGACCGGGTCAAATACCGACATGAAGGATCGGAAAATTCCGCATATTATGGCGAAACCTAAAATCCTCTCGCGAAGATTTGTTCAGGAACCCACGAACTGTTTGCCATTATCGACCTGAACATGTTACAACTGGGACAGTGTATTTACGATAACTGTAGAAGTTAGTAAGCACCTACGAAAGATCACGAATGATCTTCTATAGTCATAGAAGGTTGTCTCTCTAGTTAGCTCGGTTATGGCAAGTATAGGTAACGAGTATTAAGTGTTATTATAGTGTTTTTGACGGCGTTTGGGGGGAGGGAGGTACGTAGAAGAAAGCCTCAATCTCTCACGTCAGCTTCTAACTGACTAAACGCTGCGGCTGAATTGGATTGACTATAACAGGACACGGAACACACTAGTGAGTAATCATCACACCGCCCTTGTTGTATTCACGCTATCTTCTAATTCAATAACACTAGAGGAATACACAAGCGAGTAATCCCTGCATTATCCTAAACCAAATACGGTATTTGCACTCTTTTCAGCTGGAATGTCAGGATGACTGTCACTCAAGTTGATGTTAAGCAGCTCAAACATCTCCTTTTTTACGGGAATTAGTCGAACTGTTGCCATCCAGGGCTGTGACCATGCATGTAGCATTGTCATGGACCAGATAGCTTCCCTCAAATCTCGATGTCGTCGACTAGGACGCTGGAAGCCTACGAAATGGTCGACAATGAGCTTAACCAAAGCAATGCCCGTCCCTTAGGCCATCACTCGATCATCTTTCCGTCGAATGTCATCCTTCTGGTAACAGTGACCGGTGGTGCTATTGCATCCCCGCTCATTGAAAGACAAAACTCTATCCCATGGAATTAAATGGAATCTATCACATTCCATTTATTTTTAGTTCTTGCTTCCATTTTGGTTTAGAGATCGTAGGGATCTAAAAAAAGACCCTAAAATTGTCGGTCTTGGCGCGGTCAAAGTTGGTCAGGTCAGTTTTCTGTGGGGTGCGACTTGTCCTGCGTCGGCTGTGCTTCGTCATTTAGTAAGTCGCGGATGCAGCCGTGCCCACGCAATAGTGGCCCGTGACAAAAAGGACCTTCAGCTGTTCCTCCTGTCCCAACCAAAGGGGTAACTTGACGAACCACTTGAACCCCAGTCGATCGACCTTTCCACCCTAGCAACACTGTTCTGGTTACGTCCACCATCGTTCCATTCTCTTCCTTCCTGAGATATTCTACCGCAGACAGCGGGTACTAGGCCTCGGCACGACCCGCGGGTAGTCAAACTAAGCAAAGAGGAGGAAATATAAGAAAATGTTAACTAACTATATTATTTAGATAACTAAGCAGAGTTACATATCCTCATTAGGAAAAGCGTCTAAATTTTATGAAAACAAGGGTCGCTAAGGGTCGCTGAGGTCACCCACACAAGGGTAAGCGAGGGTCGCGGGTCGGGTCGAGGGTTTCAGTCTTGGACCCTCGCGAGGGTCGTGCCCAGTCTAGCGGGTACTATGACACCAAGTCAGGCAGGTCGGAGCCTCCCCGTCTCAATCTCATTTTCGAATCATCCCGAATGCTCGACCTCGATCTGGTGGACTCATATCAGAAGAGGGGCTTCACGTTGCGTTGTGGGGTGATTCGGTTACACAGCAAGGTGGATTCGATGGCGGAGTGGGAGGCTGCAGACGGGCTGGGGATGATTTTGAAAGGTCTCTGGTTCCCACCAGGGCCTGGTTGATGAAACTCCATCTCTCACTCCTCTGAGCGTCTCGACTTCGGCCTGTGCTTTTTCCGGATCCGTACAGTCGTTCTCGAAATCGGCTTCACTTCTACTACAGTGCACAAAAGGCAAACGACAACTGTTAATACTACAGTAGGTTGGTTGGTTTATGTCATTTACCCTGATTTCTCGCAGTGAAAAGCGACATGCTGGATACAACTACTTTCTAAATACATGCTAATTCATCCCTGAGATTGTTCCAAACATCCTGGGCGGTGAACTCTAAGCCTCACCTGGTAAAGCCTGTCGTGGCCTTGTTGCCATTTGCAGTATTAGGCTGCCCCCATGGCGCGGCTGTGGTGGAATTGCGGATGAGACGGACGGCAAGCGTCCGATTTTCTACATTTCTGTTAGGAACCGCGAGAACACGGGCAATGCTGAGGCTAAGAATTTGAACAGTGACAGTGTTGCAGAGGTAGTTTCGATTCGGATTCGTTTAGTCGCACGTTTTTTTTTAGCTTATCCTCGAGCAGGAACGGTGACGGCTTATTGTGGAAACGGCGGTGAAGGACTTCGATTGTAAGTACAGATCTTCGGGTTTTGCGGGAGTGATAGGCTTTTGTGACGAAGGAATCGATCCTGGCATGGATGCGACAGATTGCTGGAGGACACAATCTATCGCTGAAACAGCCTTACCATCGATGTTGATAGTATTATTTCTCACAAAAACTGCAAGTAGATTCATTCTGCTTTCGACACCCATTTCCTCTGATAGATTCTTGGTTTTCGAGGCAAAGTTTCAAATATATTTTTGGCTGCTCCCCTTCATATTGCTCGATTTTCTGCAAAATTTTTCGCTTGGTTTGTCCTTCCCATCTAGGTGAGGCCGTGCGCCTATGTCAATGGGCCTGTTCAGAGCCTCAGGAGGGACCAATGGTTCATTGATGTTCGAAAGCTCGGATTCTTCCGCATTCAACCCCTCTTCTTCAATCAAAGATCCTATAGTACTTCCCACATTGCGGTAGTCGTCAGTTAGTGGGCAATCGAAATTACCTTCTGCAAGCAAACGAGAGTTAGATTCTCAAACTAAGGTAGAGTTATGTTAAGGGTGGGGTCATATACCATCGTTTTTGGTCCGAACAAACCGTTTGCACGTCTCCGAGCCTTTGGTCAAGATCAAGAGCTCCTTGTTGAGCTGTTCACGAATTGTTTGACTTTCCTTTGACTCCCCGGCAATCCTTAGAAATGGAAAGCAACCTGTTATATTGCAAACGCAAGGGTTGAGGTCTTGGTAAGTTCACTTTCTATAAGTTCCGATGAACATGAAACTGATTTATGCGGATCTATTTACTATTAACATGATCAAGTCAAAAAGCGTGGTAGAAGTTCCGGTCTAGTCGATGACCTTGCCAAGAATGCTCTGGGGCGTGCAGGCCGAGTATTTGAACCCGAAACTCGTTACAGCACATCACCGGTGAGAGCCGCAATATTCATCCCCCCACTGAGTAATTAAGCAAGGGTGTTCAATGGCAGGTAAAGATTTGATGAAGAGGAACTTTGGTAGATTTAAAGTGACATAAATGCTAATTTTCCCCTGGATAGGGGATTTTGTTCTGAGAGTGCGAGAAATATGACACGACCTGATGGGCAACTGATTGCCACCGTTGCTGCAGATATATGAAATGAAGAATGGTTGAATGGTCGATACTCTGGAGGTAAGCATAACAGGTTTGATCCATTAAAAGTTATCCAGGAAGAGTCGTCACTTAAGCCAAACCCATAAATTCCTGGCAAAATCAAACGGCTAGCGCTAGGCGCAACAGGCTCAGTGGACCCTAAATTTAAGGTGCCAATAATTGTGTGAAGATTGGTGGGCATGGTTTTATCAAATTGGAGGTGAAAATAGTGAATATCAAGGGTAGATACGCACTGGCCAGTGGCTGGATCCCAGACCTTAACGGTCTTATCATAGGACGCTGATGCGGGTCGGCTTCCACCTGGCGACCATGCAATCGAGTTGACCGACCTACTATGCCCCTCGAGGGTAAATGCGGACTCGCTGGTGGCTGGATCCCAGATCCTAACGGTCTTATCATTAGACGCTGATATCACATTGTTGCCAGGATTTCATATTAGGGCACCACATCTTAGGCTTTCAGATTTTAAGCATAGGACTGGATCCCCGAAGATATTATTCAGGAATCTGCAAATGACATAGAGCTCTAATGAAACGGTGCTGTCCAAAAGGGGATTGCTGTAAAGGTAGACAATCATTTTTCCATCCAACAGACTGAATCCATAAAGGCCTCGGCGCTGATTGTGAAAAGTCTTCAAGAAAGAAGGATAGTTTTTTCCGGAAATGAAGTAACTTTATCGTTTCTTCAAGGCTACCTGGCAGGATAAGCTCGTGAATTTCATCTCTGCGGCGCCAGCGATCTAACAAAGCGATCGCATTTTCTTTCTGAGAGGTGAAATGCATGCCATTGGACCGAATAGCAGTGAGAGCTTCTGCTAGGTCCAGAAATCCGGCATATTGCCGGGCTAGAAGAGATTCAAGTAGTTCATGTTTCACTGCAAGATATGTCTGGTGAAAATCAGGCGATGCAAGAACGAGGGACTTGAGGGTGTCAAAATCTGGAACTTTGAATAAAATGAGAATCTTGAGTTCAGTCGGAAGACCCTCGAGAGTCGGTTGAGCCTCGACAAAAATTTAGACCGATATGATCAGAGTTGGTGCATTCGAAGAGCTTACCATGTTTCATGAAGCTGCAGTCTGCTGTTGTATTGAAGGGGGGATAGAGGGAGAGGGATGAGGGGTCGACAAGGTCGAGATGTTTAGCGTTGATCCTTACCATGAACTTCAAGCGCCGCCTGGGGTGCCCTTACATGATGAATCCAAGGTACAAAATCGAATCTCGGGTTGGCTTTGCAACACAGAGGCAAGATCAAGCAAAAAAAATATTATGATGGGTGCTAACAGCGACTGCGCGAAAAATCGCCACGCAAGCGCAAGCATTGGCAGGGATTATCATCCAATACATGTACCAGTCAATTGGTTTTTACCTCTTCCACTCGCAACGGAATTCTTTCTGGGCAACGAATGGGATATCCAACTTTGCTTTCACTCTCTCAAATCGGCAACCAGAGCCCGGCTTGGGCTTTGACAGTCGCTTCTCGGATAACGGGCGGGGTACGGCAGAGGCGTTGTTGGGATTCCTGTCGTATTCCCAGCTGGCCGTCCTCTATGAGTCAAGCCGGGTAAATATAGCAATGTGAAAAGCTTAAGTACGGGCTAAACGGATATAAGACCAGGCAATGGGGCTACTGCCTAGTCCCCACTCCTTTCCCTTGAGTTTTCCATCAATGGGATACAAGAGGTTGCCATTCCCGTCGTTTCCTCATCGCCGACCCGACCGCGACTTCTCCACGCCAAAAGCGGGATTCGGGATTGACAGTGTAAAACGCCGATCATATTTAAATCGTCGTATTTTCCAGTTCGACAGCCTCAGTTCAATTGCTAGAGAACCAAGAAATTCTAAATCATGGCGCAACCTTCTTTTGTGACCACCGAAAAGACCTTCAGCGCCTACACTCAAGACCAAGGCAAGGCATACTCTCAGATTCGCCCTGACTACCACCCTTCTGTCTATCAATTCATTATCGATCACCACATCTCCACAAATGGTCAGCTCGACACTGTGATCGATGTTGGGTGTGGACCTGGCAATGTTGCCCGCGCGTTAGCTCTGCATTTTGCGCATGCTATCGGCCTTGACCCGTCCGACGGCATGCTGGCAACAGCCCATGCGCTAGGAGGGAGCACATCTACTTCGGAGCCCATTCGTTATGAGATCTCCACGGCCGAAGATCTTGGGACAAACCTATCCCAGCCTGTGCAGGATTCCAGCGTCGATCTGATTGCGGCCGGAAATGCGGCACACTGGTTTGACATGCCGCATTTCTGGTCAACCGCCGCCCGTGTACTGAAGCCAGGTGGCAGCGTGGCTTTGTGGACCAGTGGCTCCTCAAGGATTCATCCCTCCGTACCTAACGCCATCGCTATTCAAGCCGAGATGGACCGAATTGAGGAGGAGGAACTGAGGCCATATTTCGAGCCAGGCAACTTGCTAACCCGCGGCGGCTATGCTGACCTTCCACTGCCTTGGACCCTCGACCAGCCCGTCTCCGAATTTGACAAAGATGCCTTCTGCCGCGAAGAATGGGACATTGATCAGCGTTTCTATTCCATCGAGCCTGAGGTGGACTTGGATACCTTTGAGAAAGTTGTTGCGACCGGGAGCCCAGTGACACGCTGGCGCCAGGATCACCCTGAAGCTGTTGGCACTGAACGTGATGTCCTGAAGATATATCGTCGAGCGATCGAGAGGCTTCTCCAGGAGGCTGGCGTGGAAAAGGGCAAAGAGCGTTTGAAGGGAACTTCGCGTGGAGTTATTCTAATCGTGAAGAAGAAGCTGTAACTAATCTTCAATCTCTTGATGGGCTGAATTCGCTCACATATATTGATAATGATCTATTATGGAAAATCCATGTTTGGAGAAGTTGATCACAAGTCTTCTAGAATAACCTTAACCTTACCAGATTGAGCGAGAAAAGATCCGATTTCTTCCTGTCAGGTATTTAACTTATACGACACTACCCAACGTTAGAAATCAGGGGCTTACATTTCTCGATTATTGGTTCAAGGTAGTTTGGACTCTGCTAGTCTTATGTACGTTCTTCCTCCATGCTGACAGCTGATTAGTCCGCTCGGGTTATGACGTCAGTCTTACTTTTTTAGACCAAGGGAGGGACTCGATTGGTTGATTTACAAGAGACAAGTATCCTATGGCTTAGCTTACTTGGGAGGATCTGACACATACTACCAATCGATGGAGAGAAGATATCTGACAGGACATCTCGTATTAAAACCTAGTTGCCAGTCTCTTGTCTCTTGACCATGGCAGATTTCATACACTCCCCAGAAAAACAAAGGGTTTGCTCTAAGTAGAATCCATTCCTCAGGTTTATGTGAGTCAATATTTGCCGCTTATTAGTTTGTATAATCTCATTAGCATTCTCATAAATCATAGCCTTTCAAATATGACCTCCCAGCAAGGACTTTATTCAGTCTATGTACTCGTTATCATCATCGGGGCCGTTGTGAGTGTTTTCATCGCGTACTCGGTTCACTATATTGCAACAAATGGATTCGAAGACGACCCAAACAAAATGCGTGAATTTTCGCTTGAACAAAAAAGATACATGCGAGAAGTTCGAAATAGAAATTTGCTTGCTCTGATGGAGCAAGCTCCTCGGGGACATCAACGCTACTGAGCCAGTATGGTAGGATTCCAAACGCCTTTACTCTCCTCTGCTCTTGGTTTCGGCGCTAATTATTTGTCGTAGATTACAAATATGATTACGGTTTTAAACAATACTCCAGAACAGATGGTATAATCTACGCTTCACGCATCGTACCTTCTTCTTCGGGATATTATCTACCAAATTATCCCTTACAATGGGTAAAAAGCCCCGACTAGCGATGTGCAGATGATCTGAGACTTCATATGATATAAGTTTATCTCTTTCGAAGAGGCAGACATTCAGACATCTTCTCTTCGTCCCATCCCTAGGTCTCCTCTCCTATACTCCCATTATCTCCTAGAGGTAGGACCTGATTAGCAGACGGGTGTGCCTGTACCCTAGTTCACTATACACAGTCAATTTTAGCCTACATCTGAATCCATGATGACAAAAGGAGAGTGTAAAAATGTCACCATAATAAGAGGCACAACCGTTCCCAAAATGGGATCTCTTTGGTTCTGGAAGTTCCTAGTTTCCAGTTGTAGAAGGATAAACAACAGGCCATCCTGCATACAAGGATCGTTGATTACAACAAGCCCATTCTTGCCCAAGTAGACCTCATTGCCTGTTACATTAGGTGTGCGAGATATTTTATCTCTAATTGGACTGTGGTGGCCGTCGCAGTAGACGTAGCCCTGCCATCCACATGGGATATGAGATCTTGATGAGAGGCTGGCAGACAGGATCACCGATCTTCCCGTGAATTTCCTGTGACGGAATAGGCAAGCACTGAGTACACCACCTAAAGACCCGACTATCGACCCGCCGACATCCCTCCATCTGTTGACAATCTCCCAGTCTCCTTCCAAAAGCGGACTTCAACTATACCTCAAGCAGGATTTGACCCAGAATTATCCGGCAGGCGAATGGCTATCTTACCTTCATTGGGCACAACTGTTGTTAGATTGTAGCTGCCAGGAACAGAAATGGAGACGGAGAAAGATATCTTTCAATCTCAAACATTTCAAGACGTAAGAGTCCTCCTGCCGGCCGTCTTAGCTCCTAGAAACCCTGAGAAAATATTTGGTCTGTTTTCAGAGCTCTAGAGTAGTTCATCATAGCTTTTTCACATTTCTCACTACGTGTTTCTCTGCTATAACTTTTACTTAGTCTTCCTACCTCTAAAATAAGTCTTGGACAATAGCTGGCATGTCACCTTGCGGCTACTGAAACGACGATTCTGTAGGTTGAGCCGCAGAACTTCTTGACGGAAATCTTTTCTTCGATTGTTGCTATTTTTGCGCATACAAGCACAGACCTCTGAGCCTTTCTATTAGATTATCAGGTGGTGACCATAATTATTTGGTTCTATCTTGACCCCACAATCCGGGATTAACTTCATCCGCCTCTGGAAATGGGGAACAACCCCCGCCCTCATTACCTTTTAGCATCCTCGTCCACTGAACCTCATTTAATGATTTACAAAGCTAAGAGTCTTGTTGATCATGCAGTCAGCTGTTCCTGAAGGCCAGACCTTAGTCTATTCTAAGGTGGATGGCCATGAGATCAAGCTAGATTACTACCTCCCCCTAACAACTTCGGCCGGCTGCCTGCGATAATCTATTATCATGGCGGAGGCATGACGGCGGGCTGGCGTCGTGGTTTTGGGTTTCCACACTGGTTATATGGTGATTACATAGTACCTAGTCCTAATTTCCAGGGCCAGCAGAGCTAATCGAACTATGCAGATCACTGTCAGGAAAAGGGCTACATATTTATCGGGGCCGATTACCGGCTTTGCCATCCGACCACGGCCCTTGATCAAATCGAAGACGTGAAGCAGTTATTCAAATTCCTTTCAGATGGAAGCTTCGAGACAAGTCTGCCGACGGATGTGTCTCTTGACATAAACCGGATAGCGGTCACAGGTTTCTCGGCTGGTGGCTATTCGGCCCGCGCGGCGTGCATATATGCTCAGCCCAGGCCAGCAGTACTCATGACATCCTTCGGATCTGCTGGGGACTGGCTTCTGGACCACTGGACGACTGGTCGTCCACCCACCACCATAGCCAGCCGAGTAGATCTTGACCAGGTACCAAAACTTCTTGCCGATCGAACTGTCGTCAGTGAAGACTCACCGAAAAACGGCGTGATATCTAATCGATTTGCACTCACTGTTCGGTGGGAACTCGATGGGACTTTCCTCGATGGTTGCCTTGGAAGACCCGGGCTCGGTGCCAAGCTCAACCAGGTAGAATATAAGGATCGAGCTGCGGCGATACCCGACGATCTTAGAAAGGCATTTTTGCAGCTGTTTGTGACCAAGGATCACCCGCCTTCCATTTTCGTACATGGCACTGCAGATGAGGTCGTTCCAGACCAGGAGAGTGTGCATCATCACGAGCAACTGAAAAAATTGGACGTGAAGACCGAACTTGTTCTTGTGAAAGATGCCGGACATGGGCTGGTGGATTTGAAATCTGGGTTTCCACCTAAGCAAGCGCCAGGGTCAACGGAGGCCTATCAGAGAGCTTCCTCTTTCATAGATGAGGTGTTTCAAGCTGTCAAAATATGATCTGGACAGCCTTATGGTACGACTAGAAGATTTGAATCTAGAAGAATCGTCTATGGATGTGCAGGTATTTTTGTCGCCTAGGTATCTACGTTACTAAGTCTCGGTTATGATCAAACATTTCTCTTCGGATGATTTGAAAGCGTTTCCTTGCAACAGGTAAAACAATGTTAGTGTCCGAATGAGAACTTGCGAATAAAGGAGTGGACGCTATGGTGGATGTCCTGTGATCGGCATCCAATAATTTGGATGACTGTGTCGGTGATTCCTCTTCTCTTTTTTCTAATCTTTTTTCTGTGTCTGCGTTGATTCTATATGCCTGTTAGTTCCAATCATTGATGATTGGCCCTATGTTGCTGCCAACGCTTCTCATACGCGCTGGGCTGGAAACTAGAAGGTGTAAATCCCTGCATAGTACTTTGTAAATAGAGGAAGCTACAACAGGAATAAAAGTATTGATCGATTGATGGCTGACTCGTTAATATGAAATAGGAAAGAAATCCCTTTTTTGTACAATTTAATGATGCGCCTAAGAGAAGGTTTTCAATCGGCTTGCGAATACCTGCAAGGCTGTTCAGTCAGTCCTATTTTCACGAATTTATGGAAACCCCTTTTCTGAAGACCAGATTTTGGAAATTCTCGAGAAGGAAAGCGCGAGACAACCCTTCAACAGCATTTTCAAGGCCCAAAAAACTTCAAATTTATCCGAAAACAAGAGTTTACCCCACCATTATCACTTACAACTCATCTATCTTCTCACTGTTGCTGAGTTGAGCCCTCGATCCATTTCAATAGCGGATAGCCGGGATGCATCATTCCAAGGGCTGGAGAAACCAGTCTGCTTCACTGAAATTCCAACACTTATAGAAAAGCTTGGCGACAGATTTGGTCTTCATTCCATACCGCAAACATGCTATCTCATTTTGGCTTTTGTAGAAAGATCACGAATGCCCGTTTGCAATGATCTGACCGGCAGTTATCCTCAGTCGGCCACTTATGACTATCGCTCTTTTCAAGGCAGAGACGAACTGCATCACTCATACTCTCAACCTCCAAGACAAGAGAATATCACCCAAACCCAGGGAATAAGGCCAAGCTTCACAGTAATGGAGCCGAATGATGGCGCTGTCGCTCAGCTTGATAGAGAGTTACAACAACATGAGTCCCTGACAGATAGCAACTCGATTTTTAATGACTTTGTTGCCATTGATACTTCCAAATGGTATGTGTCCTTGAAATTCGGGCCAGTGGATTCAAGTGACTAATTCCCGCCACAACAAGCAATTGGGAAGAAGGGTTATTCAATCTCGGATTTACTGCAAATTCTTCTGCAAATGACTTTTACGAATTTATTGGGCCCAATACCTAGCACTGTGCTCAGCAGACCTGTCGCTGATTAATGACCACAAAATCATATCATTTTACAATTTAAATTCTGTACGAAGGTCCTAATTAGGCGAACTGCATGCTTTATTATAATGTAATCTGAGTCGATAGAGCACGTATTATTCTGACACAAATCATTCTTGATTTCCCAAATATGCAACCACCTGTCTGTAATTTTCTTTACGAACAATGGATTCATGATTCCTGTCATTACAATTACCGGTGAAGGGCTTGACGGATTGCACTATTGGCAAGATCCGAGGGTAGACTGTCAAGCGACTTCTCCGTCCATAAAACAGCTTGCTCAATTGCTTGATGCTCCATGACATCTAGTCCATCAATCACTTTCCAATCGAATTTCTCAGCCAAAGTTGCCATATAGGTCTTTGGTGTGGGGTCATAACACATCTCTAGAAAGAGCCGCGCAGAGCTGTGGGCGTGTTGTGACTGAATCATCGTGGTGATGATGTCTCGTGTGATTTTCTCAGCATCCGTTCTGGGTGCAATGTCGGGCACCGTGCTCACTGCAACAATGGGAGGCTTTGTGAGTGATTGTGCGACTTCAACTCTTTCCACAAAGCGAATATCCCGGTGCAGTCCTTGTTGCTTCAGACCCATGATAACCGACTTGGCTTCCTCCGGGTCACGATTGACCATATAAACAACCTTTGCACCAAGTCCCTCCGTAAGAGCATAGATTGCGGATCTGCAGGTTGCACCACCCCCGATTACTAATGCAGGATTATCCTGTAGATGGGTTGCGATTTCAGGACCCGCATTGAGGAGCGCGCGTTGGATTCCGATCCAGTCTGTGTTGGTACCGATATGAACCTGCCGTTCTTCACCCCCGAACAGATTCGATCGCACGAAGATGGTATTGATACACCCAATCTTCTGTGCTTCGGCGGTAACGGCATCAACACAATCCATCGCCTTGACCTTGTTGGGCATTGTCACAGCGGCACCGATGAAATCGTCTCTGTGCATGAGCCACATCAAATCCTCAACATCTGTCGAATCGAGACGGATATACCGCCACGGTAAACCAACATTTCGGAAAATGATATTATGGAAGGTCGGAGAGAGCGAGTGGGCGATAGGCTGCCCAAATAGGTACACTGTTCGTTCCCGGGCGACTTTATTATTCGCCGGGCCGAGGGATCCATCAACCATAATGGTGATAGTAGATAGGAATGTGATAAGTAGGAGTATTTTGCGATTTTCAGTATTATCCCCTAGGTTGAGGATAGTATCTATTACATATTGTGTAGACTGAATAAATGATATCTTGAGTCGGTAGCCGTTCCGTCGATGGCCTCCCCGGGAGCTTCAACGGGAATGACTATTTCCAGCCAATCATCGTCCCTGAAGCTAATATGACGTCACGCACACCTGAACGTCTCAGTGGAATGAGCGAAAGAGTCGACGATGAGCTGCAGATTTCGGGATTGGGTTCTCCCCATGGACAACTGTCCTGGCACGGATGCCACAATCGCCCAATTCTGGGACTTTCTTGCCGCAATCATTGCGGAGTATGCTTTTCTACCCTCCTGCTGCTATAGACAGCTCGGGTCGATCAGGGGTATGCTCAAGTCTACTCAAGTGATCAAAAAGCGGCGAGGGGTGAGCACGAGAACGCGGAAAACGGGAGGCCAAGAGTTGCCAGACATTGTTTGGCATCGATGTATCTCTCAGTAGCTTGGCGCACGAGCATCCATTTGGCAAGAGCCTAATCTCTTTTGGTTGACCGAGTGAACCTACAGGGTCATACCGGAACTCCGATAACCAACAATGAACGGCGGCATCCTCAGGTCCAAACCGACTTATTAATCACGATTCAACCCGAGAGTCGGCAGCAGGGCCCCCTCATTCCCGAATCAAAAGATGTGCAATCTCCGAAGAAGAAACCGGAGCCGAACTTAAAGGCAGACCGTTCAAAAAGATGTTGGTCTCTGCATGCATCGGTCAACAGTCCCCCGGTATCTCCCGTCTCAACGCTCCTTCTGCCGTCATTATTCTCCAGTAAATATGCATGGGCTGCCCATCACGACCCTCATTCACCTCCTGGTTGCATGTACGTAGTGGACCAAGATCCACAAAATTGTGGGTTTTCGGATAACCCGTAAAGGGCAACCCGGGAGAGAGAAGTGGTCGAATTTACGAGAGGAAGAGGGTCGAGTGTAGGAGAAGAGCTCTATAAAACTGTCTAGATCTCTTCGAAAACGCCGTTTGGGAGAGGCGAAAGATCGCCTCGAAAGTGAAGAAAGTCGGGATTGCAGGGCGGTCAAGCCCTCGTTTCGTCCTCCGTTTGGCACGATTCCGCCTTCCTAAACGGACCGACACGGACCACCGACGCGGACCAGAGTCGTTACGTCATTGGAAAGTCAAGAACCGGGCGGTCCCACTTGAGGAATGTGAGGCGGGGATCTATTTCGCCGAGAGCAGTGGTAATGCGTCGAATAAGAGTGGATCGGGGGGAAATGAAGAGCACCAGCAACCTACGGAACGCTGGACGCCGTCCGCCGTACACACCTACAGGAGTGCTGCACGGGTGTGGACGGGTTCAAAGGCTCGAGTTTGATTCCATTCTGGCCTGTTGAAATCTTGAACAATATCACCGTCGATCTGGCTGCGAGACTAAATTAGTGGCAGCCAATCTAAAGGAAAGTTGCCCGAGAACGTCCAGGAGATCTTCCGATGCATGCATGTCCGGATGTCTGCATGAACAACATACTTCGACGTACTCCCACTAGAGACTTAGGGCCACGTGTATGCGGTTAGCTGCCGGTTTATCAGTGACGAAATGACGGAGATGGCATTACCAGAACAGAGGCGAGAATGACTTTCCAATTGGCTGCTGAAGCGAATTGTGGATAACGGCACCCTGCGTTCCGCAAACGGCCGTCCTGAGTTGCCTACATCACCGTCGACACAATTCATTCTCTTACTTCCCAAAACGAGAAACGAAAGGTGTTTCTTCATGCTCGAAGAACGTCTAGCCAATTTGAAGCTTCTGTTGCTCGTGTCTGCACCAACGTCTCGTTGCTGATCGACCGGCGAGAAGTATAACATGGGATAATACGTAGATGGTTAGGTAGAGTTGCAGGATTATGGGTCCAGCGCGCCCACTCGGGTTCCAGAGCCGGAACTTCTCCTTGAGGGAACCGATCTACGATCCTCTCTTTTCTTAAATATATGTAACGATGTCATAATGTCTTCTTCCGCAACTCTCGGCCACAGTGAGACACCTTTTTTCCTGGGTCTCCATCATCGACGACCTCACCCTTTGGTCCTCCATCGATATCCCGGGTTCACGGCTTGATATTCTACTTCTCCCACACAACTCATCCATCATGCCTTTCTTCGCTGATGCTGATTTTGGCGTTGAGGGCGCTCCCGCCGACGCTCCTGGGCCCAGCGATACCCAGGCTGTTGGCTCCCCACGCGACCAGACGGCAGGCCTCCCGATTCCTTCGGAAAGTGCCCAGAGTCATACTATTGAGATTCCTGCCACCCGCAGTGCTATTAGCGATGTTCACATGCAGCGTCTGAGTCTATCGCCATCCATGAGAGACCGCCGCGGCTCTCGCAACTCGTTTGGCGTCTCACTGCCCATCCCGCGATCCCCTCGCAAATCACGGTTGTCGACCGTAGAGCGACGCACCGACGATGTGCGAGATATCCTAGCCACCGAGGTTCAAGAGAAAGCCAAAGAAAAGGTTGCTGCTGTGAAAAACATGGCATTTGCATTCGACATCGACGGTGTCTTGGCTCATGGAAATGAAGCTATTGAAGAAGCGAAGACCGCACTGCGGATGCTAAATGGAGACAACGAGCTAGGTACTTGTCTCATTGATCATTTATCCCTGAACAGTTATTGACTCCAATATCTCAGGCATCCAATTCACCTACATTCTTCTCACCAACGGCGGTGGCAAGACCGAGGAGGCTCGATGTGCGCAGCTTTCTGAAGTTCTAGGCCATCCTATCTCCACCGACCAATTTATTCAGTCTCACACTCCCATGCAGGCTCTGGCGGAGTATTACGAGAACGTTTTGGTCTGCGGTGGTGAGGGTTACAACATTCGTCAGGTGGCAGAGAACTACGGCTTCAAGAACGTGGTTCACCCCAAGGATATTTTAGCGTGGGACCCCACCATCTCGCCTTGTCGCAAGTTTAGCGAGGAAGAGCGTCTTCAGGCCAAACCTCGCGACTTTGCCAATTTCAAGTTTGATGCTATTCTATGCTTTGCCGAGTCACATGATCAGTCGACCGAGTTTCAGATTATTCTTGATCTTTTGCTCAGTGCCAACGGCAGGCTCCTTACCCGCGCTAAAGACCCGGCCCAAAGGGATGCAGTCGCCGGTCACATTCCGATTTATTTCTCACAAGGCGACCTTCTTTGCCCGACTGAGCACAAGGGTCCTCCACGTCTCCACCTCGGCGCCTTCCGTGTCTCCTTGGAGGCACAGTACAAGGCGCTTACTGGCCTTGATCTCGAGCGTATTGTTTACGGAAAGCCCGAGCGTGCCACTTATATCTGTGCTGATGAAGTGATCAAGAGCTGGATGGAAGAGATTCATGGAGAGAAGCGTCTGCCGAAGAACATCTACATGATTGGTGACAACCCGCAGTCCGATATCATCGGTGGAAATCTTTACGGCTGGAACACTTGCCTTGTTCGAACAGGTGTCTTCCAAGGCAAAGGAAATGATCCCAACAACCCCGCCAACTTTGGTGTCTTCGATCATGTTTTGGATGCGGTCCAAGCTGCTGTTCGCAAGGAACTTGGAGAGGACTTCAAATTCAAATGGGACCCGCAAAACCCCCCATCCCATGGTGATGTGTCCTCTGCTATTGAATGAGTAAAAATGAGTTTGAAGGGAAATAATGCTTTTCTGCGCATATAATGCCATCTCCGTTTTTCTATCCGATTGACGATTTTTCTTATTCCAATTTTCTTTATTATATTTTATTACTGCTCTTTTTATATAGCAGAACAAACAGAGTTTGATTCTCATCTTCACAATCCAGACCATCAGTATCGTGACCACTTTAGTAACATAATTCTGGACTGCTCCACCGACAGATACGCACGCTTTATTTCTACCCCATTGCGGGAAATCTCAGCTAATGCTCACTAATGCTCTACATAAGAACACAATAATAATGTTAATTATTTCATGGAAATATGAAAATACTGAAATGAACATATATTGATTTACAATTTGCAGATTATCTAACTTTCGGGTTATTATTTACCATCTCCCACAAGGCCGCCACACTCCAAGCCGTCGGGCTCACCTACCCATAGTTGAGAAAAGTTATAAATCCAATACATGGCTATTACTCATCGTCACCCTCCATTGATTCAGAGTTGGAGGGTTGCGCTCCAAAAAATCTAGTCAAAATCGCACACGCTCCACACATTGCGCCCAAAACCAGTGTCATTACGCTCCAACCTGCGTGGGCTTTGACAAATCCTCCAACAAGTGGCCCAATTAGTTGTCCACCAGCAAATGACATTGTATAAAGTGCATATCCCTGTGAAATGGATCCCTCCTCATCATCAGTTGGACCAGTCGCGGTCGATATTTCGGTCATTGCCCCGAGATCCACAACTATGAACATAAAGCCGACAATCACAAGTAGCAAACTAAGCACAACATGACTCTTGGTATTGTCATCTTGTGTAAAGCGAAGGCTTATCGTTGCCACCGTTGCCAAGGAACAGACTACTGGGCCCATAATGCGAGTACCAAATCTGTCGGCGAGCTGTCCGATGAAGACTGCCAGAATATTTGGAAGAGTCAGAGGCAGGAATATCAGGCCCGCCCCACTAGAAGACCAATGGAATCGTTCCATTACGAATAGTGGAAGGGTCTATTTTTAAGGTTAGTGTCAAGTTCTGTAGTGCTACATCAAAGAATAATCAAGAATTGGATCGACTTGCCGCTTCTAATGCCCCAAGCACCGATGCCACTAAAATGGTAGCTAAAAGTGCCAATTGAAGTCGTCCTATACCCAGAATTTGAATGAAATTTCGACCGCGGGCTTTGCCGGCTGGGCCAGAGATTCCAGGACGAGGTAGTAAAGCAGAGCGTTCGTCAGTCTGCTGAGGCACATCTGAAGTGAATGACGCCTGTAAGTCATTCTGTGTTCCTGAAGAGGGACTATTGTCCTCTGACGGGTTCTTCGCGTGGCTTTTCTCCCACTTGGTCGCAGCTGGTAGTAATTAGTGCCTTATCGTAAGGTTACTGTCGATGAAGTCTACATTACCTGACTTCTCTATTATCAGTATTCGAAAAATAAAGTCTAAAACAATCAGCACTATTGGCACAGAAAATGCGCCATAAAATCCCAATTTTTCATATCTATCGCCAGTCTTAGTGAAGGTTTGGGCATTGAAGAGAAATTAATTCACTTACGTGAATCCACCAATTGTAGGCCCAACGAGTGGTGCTACTGTCATGGTCATGACCACGTAGCCCAAGGCTCCTCCAATTCGATCCTCACTCACGGTATCGACAAGTAGAGAGAATCCGACGACCATTGTCGCAGCAGCTGAAACCCCCTGAAGCCCCCTTGCGATGACGAATGTGAGAGGAGAGTGGGCAAACATGAAGAAACATGTTGATATTGCCAGGGCAAGCAAGCCAACCGTGAACGGGCCTTTACGAGATTTGAAGCGATCTGAAAAATATCCAAAAAGAGCTGTGACGAATGTTAGAGAGCGATTCTGATATCTCTGGGTTGAGAGGCCAATATAAGGATCCTACGTACGGGACGTGATGAGTACAGTTACTCCGTATACCGCGAGGAGAATCGATATCCATTTTTGAACTGGAAATAACAGCCAATTAGCACTCGACTCATAACCCTATAAATTTCTCTTGACTCGAAAATAATTACCGTCTTTTGGGGACACTCCAGCTCTTTCAACAATTGCTTTTGGGATGATAGGTAGAATCTAGTCGCTTCGTAAGTTATCTTCACCTTCTAGAAGAGACAAGTGCAAGTGCCCGAGAAGAAAACTGTTTCATCTCTTCTCTCTCATACCAAAGTATATAGTAAAACATCCTGTTATGTCAAGTCAGATCTCAGAGCTTTCCATGGAGATTCACAAAATTGGATAGGGCTCCATACAGCAAAGAGGGCTACAGAAACAGTCAAGATCACAAATCCCTCCGATGATCTGAATTTTAGAAAATACGGCTCTCGAGATAGCTGAGACGTCATGCTGAATTAAGGCCCGGCCCTGAATTGCCGACCGAGGGAATCACCTATGGAAATGGATATAATCAGAGTGGGAGGCCACATTTAATATAAGGAATTCGATCAACATTCAATGGTCTCACAAGCGAAGTCTCTTTTGAAAATAATATCACACGTGTTTTGTCTATAGACTATAGTCAGATCACTAGGACAATCTTTCATTATTAACAGGGAGTCCTTACCTACCCGTATGCTCACATATTTTAGAAGAGAAAAGAAAACAGAGAAAAAGGAAATATAAAAAGAAATTACTAAACACGGAAAATACATGCCCGTCATCGAAAAAAAGAAATCACAATTTTACTTTTGTACATACAGGTATCTGACTTCGGTAACAGGTAGTTAATTAGAGCGGCCAAGCGATACGAATTTCTGGGCCTTGTCCATCTCTTTCAATTTTGACCCTTAGGCGTGAAAGATTATACGTTACTGAATTCACAGTGACTGGATGTCAAGGAAAACTAGAAAGTTGTTCTTATCAAATTAGATGTAAATTGATAGGTCTTTGCGCATGTTACACAACATTGTTGGGGGTACACACGATTTGGACTTGTAACTGTGGCTCCAATCTTTGAACTAAGTGCTTTTGTTTTATGTTTGTTTGTCGCGTTATAACTATAGTGGAGGTGATACAACACCAAACTATTTGATGTAGAAAGAAATATCCTCACTTAGCTGGCCACCTCGTCTCCCCCCATCCCCCCCTTCCCCGAGGGCTAGCCCTCTCATATTAGATATTTATTCACTCTCTTCCCATAACCTAGCTTCTCAACCAACTGCGTTTCCTAGAGTCTTCATTCCAACATACTACTTCTATGTGGTTACATTACTGAAAATGATGCTTAACACTGCTAATTAGGACTGTCTTCTGATCCTCTGATTTTGTGGGAAAGAATATAAAGACAATGACTTATAACTGGACAAGTCCAAGAAAAGAGCAAAGGCAAGATTTTACTTTCCAAGTTATCTGTGCTATATAGGTTCTTCTATAAGTCTATAGGTAGTAGCCAAAATAAACCACCACTTTCACGAATTAATGCCCGCATTTCTTAAATGACTATGAGAGAGGAATCAATCGCTCGGACCTTCGAATGATTCATATTAGGTAATAGGTACCTAGGTCACTGATGATTAGACCTCGGATGCTTGAAAGCTTTGATTCGCTACTATTATTACTGCATTATGATTGGTAGGATTGCCCTTATATGTCAAGTTTGGGAGAAGGGCCAGGGAATTCACTACCTTTCAGACTTTGCGATATAGAAAATGAACACCAACTATTATATCACCTGAATCAATTGACTCCTATTTTCTGTAGCGACCGAATATAAATATCTTAGTTTGAAACTTCATGTCAATGCTTCTATAGAGAGCTTAGTGTGGCGGAATGCCACTTCTCAAAACCAGGATGATCACACCCGGAGTTGTATCCTGGATTTCTGAATCATTTTTAAGTCTCACTCTTTCTTCAAATAATTTTAAATAATTTGTTCGGGTCACTCATTCTCTCAGTGCCACCATTGGCTTCAATCATCATTATGGTTTATCCGTCCCGGTTATTCTAGGTCACCCTGTAAGATGGGGCAATAATTTGCGAGATAACGCACAGGGTCTTTTGGACCCTGCCGCGCGCGCAGGCCATCGCGGGCCCACTTTCTGCGGACACTTTTCTTGTGCGGCGCAGTGATAAGCTTTAATGGCCCTTGTTGGCTACTTCTTGGAGACTATCATAAAGTTAACGACTGGGTCAGTAGTTGTGGCGCCGCGCCTTTCAAAATGAATGCAACATACTCCGCATCCCTGCTGCAGCCCCAGCCAATGACAAGGCTTCTATAGATGGGTATGAAATTGGCCAAGCCAATTTGAAAGGCTTGTATCATTGGGCTTAACCGAATAGCCCCGTGCCAAACAGAGGTTCGAATAGCTTTGCAAGAAACATCTCTTGAAACCGTATAATCGTGCTTGGCTCGGGGAGAAAGAGCCTTTTTCCATCTCATGAGCAATATACGTAGGTCACTAGGCCTAAACAAACTAACACACCAACATGATCATCACGTATAACTATTGTTCCAATTAACCATGAAAGATAGGCTTACCCTTGCAACTTCATCGGCTTTCTAGTGGCGCCGCTATTTTTACTCTCGTGTTTGGAAATTCCGCTAATCTTCGCGGAGCTTTGACTTCCTTCTCATTGACAGACCGGTCCACTTGAGCACTTGCTTTAAATAACAGGGAGCATTTTCCCAGATTGTGTTCTCCCCCCTGGTTGTCGCGCTAGCTTTCTTTTCCTGTTCTCTTATTCTGTCTCGGTCTTTTTTGAACGCTGGAATTTTCTTTCCTCGCCAATCCGAATCTATGTCTCAGCTTGGTAGTCTGGTGGGAGACAGGGGTGACCCTCGTCTTCATGAGAATGAGCGTGAAAAGCTTGATGTCGGCACGAGCACTACTATACGACCTCAGCATCGTAGATTACACGACCCGAACGTGACTTTTGAAGAGTATTATTACTACGCCCAGCAAACACGAGCGGAAGAAGATCGCTTTGGAGATCGTGAGACGGGTATCTTGTCTGTACTCTGGCCTTCCAAGAGTGGCGGTGGTGTTCACCAAGACACTAAAAATGTCTCGAAGAATGCTGCTACCATGAACACAAGTGACCCTTTGACCCGTCTGAATATCACAGATGAAGAATGGACAAATGCCTCTCGTGCCCTTCGTACGGCCACTCGAGGCGCTATTTTCTACCTTATTACCACCGATATTCTGGGGCCATTTGGTCTGCCATACGCTTTCGCCACTATGGGATGGGGGTGAGATACTTGTCATCTTGATCCGGTAACAGAAGTAGGCGCTAACTGCTATTTAGTCCCGGTATCGCGTTATACACGGTTTTTGCCGCCCTTGCCGGCTATTCTGGATATCTCCTTTGGGAAACCTTTCTCGGCCTCGACTCATACCAATTTCCTCTCCGTAGCTTTGGAGACCTGGGATTTCGCTTGTATGGCCCTTGGATGCGGTATCTTTTCAACATTCTTCAAAGCATTCAGCTTCTTCTCAATGTTGGTCTGATTATCATTTCCAACGGCGAAGCTTTGTCTCAAGCAGCCAAGTTCAATTTGTGCTTCATCATTTGCTGCATGATTTGGGCTTTGGTTGGATTTATCCTTGGGCAAGTTCGTACCCTGCAGAAATTTGGCTGGCTCGCGAATCTTGCCGTATGGCTCAACCTCCTTTGCATGTTTATTACAATGGGTGGCGCTGCCCACTCACCTCCCAACTATGCGGGTGCATCCCAGGCTGCTGGAGCTGCTATTGGCGACGGCTCATCAGTCATGCCGGTCAATGGTGTTTACCCGCCTGTAAGGACATCTGGTGGCCTTCCTGATACAGGAAACTTTGCAGGAACAATCAGTGGTGCTATGCAGGCAGTCTTTGCATACGGTGGCTCCATGGTTTTTCCGGAGTTCATGGCTGAGATGAAGCGCCCTAAAGACTTTCTCACGGGCATGTGGGCAGCCCAGGCTTTCATCTATGTTTGCTATATGTTTTATGGTCTCTTCATCTACGGCTACCAAGGACAGTACACGATAAACCCAACTTATCTTGGTATCAGTCAGTACGGCATTCAAACTGCTGGTAATGTTTTTGCCATGATTACCGGTATCATTGCTGCTGGTTTGTATGGCAACATTGGTGTTAAAGGTGGGCTGTTCCCGATTTTAACCTTTGTCTCTTTTTTGGCTAACAATGAAACATCCATAGTTATTTATAACAACATTTTTGTTGAAATCTTCCGCGCACCACCTCTTACGAACAAAGTTGGAAAATATCTATGGGTGGGACTTATACCTGTGTACTGGGCCATTGCATTTGTCCTTGCGGCTGGTATTCCAAACTTTTCCGGCCTGACCTCCGTTGTTGCAGCTTTCTGTATCCTGCAGTTCACCTACACTTTCCCTCCCATGCTAGCAACTATTTACTGGATCAAACAGGGCGCGTTGGGTGACGGTGAAGGATTTGACCCCCATACTGGTGCTACAGTGCGTCATGATGGTGGTCTACGACGCATTATACGTGGTTTTGTCTCCCAGAAGCCGAAGAGAATGATGGCCAGTATTTTCAATATCCTATACTTCTTAGGAGCATTGGCTCTTGCCGGGCTGGGTGCTTACTCTGCGATCACCGTCTTGATTCATGCCTACCGGGAAAGTGTGACTACTTCTTTCACCTGCCACAGTCCTCTGGATGGTTAATATACATGATTTGGGGGGTATAGGAAGTGGTTTGGGGTGCCATCCATTTGTTTGGTCTTCTTTTCTTGCCGTTGTAACCATTGAGATTGTTTATGCGATAGAGTGGTAGTCGCAGATGACCATAAAGACTTTCTTGAGCATGAAGAATACGATCAAGGGCCACAAACGATCTACCTTCAAGTTTGCTCATCATGGGATATTTTAGCGACACAGCCTGGCTTATATCAATAGTTATGCACAACAGACAGCGGTGGTCTTGCTAGCAGTTGTTTGAGGAGGCACACGCAACCTTGACTGCTTGGCTCACTTCAGGGTCTCCTCAGATTCAATAGTCTCGGTTAATCTGATGATAAACAGAATCAATTCAGCAGCTCTTTAAGTGATGAAATTTTGGGCCATAATTAACCACGACAAGAAAAGAAGTACTCTGAGGTATGAGTTACCTTACTGTAGACCAGATTTCTATGTAGCCTCGATGCTATCTAGGCCAAAAGAATGCGCATTCCATTGGATCTGCCCCACCCTTGTCCCGATGAGTCATAGTGCTTTTAAGGGATCAGCGGATATCAAGGCCGGCTGGCCCAATGGCAAGGCGCTTGACTACGAATCAAGAGATTGCAGGTTCGACCCCTGCGTCGGTCAATTTTTTGGAAAAATTTTTCGCATTTCCGATCGGTCTTCATTTATTGAGTGAGAGTAAGAGCCTGGATTTAATGATCAGGCTGCTTTTTCTCACAAATTACAACCTTTATTTCGGCTTGACGGTGTAACTGGCGTGGCCTACAACGTACATTATTTTGACTTCATTGATACCATTTTGTTTTGCCGGAACATAAGTTGGCTTTTATATCTGTGCCTCTTGTGAGACTGATGAGGAATCCAATTGCAAGAATCTACTATGGCCCCAGATGGGTATTTATTTGAGAGAGCCGTGAAGAGATTAATTTGTCTGGACATGATCGTTCGTCAATTGGACTATTATAGATTTACTATTATACATGTTCCCTCGCCATAGGGTGAGACCCGTATGCGTCATCCCCCTCTGCTGGTGCTTGAGTGACTTCAAATGTCTGATGAACACCCACTTCGAATTTTTTGGGGGTTGGCAGCGATGATTGGTTCACAGTCAACCTCTCTTCACTGCTATTTGGGCTTGAAGGCCCCACCCAAGTGTTTTCTGTATCCCTCTGGCTTTCGATGTTTGTAACCATTACGGCCAGTTTATCTGGTCTCAGACCTCCGCGCGCGCTCCCTTCTAATGACCCAAGAGGCATGCCTCGGGAATTGCTTCGTCTAGCTCGATGGGCGGAAGATTCCCCTGGGAAGCCAGACGGGTAACGAGAATCGTTTCGCGAGCCGAGCCAATGACGGAGAAGGGGACGGAGGGTTGCAAGGCTGCCGGCGGTGATACCGAGTCCAGCTTCGATGTTCGACCAAATAGCAATTTGGTAGGTGGCGTCTAAGCTGTGTTAGAATTCCAAATGTTTAAAGCCAATGCCTAGGAGTAGAAGTGGAGAGGCGACATACAGAGAAAATCAGGATCCCCAAATGTTGATACGAAAGGGAAGCGGATGATAACCGCAGATGAAGCACTGCGATAATATGTCAGCACATGTTTCGATGTGAGGCAAAAGGGTGAGTCACTTACATGCAGGCCATGCTCAGGATTCCTATGACAGCCATCTTTGCCTCTCGCTTCATGTGCAATTTTCGGACAAGGAAAATCGGCAAAATTCCAACGGTAAAATCACAAGCCGCAGCAAAAACACTGTAAACATATGTCATGATAATGATGATGTTGATGTTGATACAGTATCCTTCAATCGTAGGATCCTCTGCCGTTCTCCACCAGAAGTAGGAGAGCGGCTTGCATTGCAGAAGCATCAGGAAAAAGAACACCAGCCCTGCAAGGACTGTAAGGATCATGACAATATAGAGAGTCCAGATATGACTCCTCTTCACCGTGATTCTCATGAGGAATACACAAATGGAGATCTTGCACCCAATAGATGCAAAACAATATGCAACTTCGCAAAGCCACCAGTACTAATCCCAATTTCATTAGTACCATCATGAAATTGCCTTGAATTTTGCTCATCGATGCATACCTCCATAGCTGTCACGCGCTGATGTGCCGTGAGATTGATAAACTTCCGACCAGTGCCATATAGAGTACCGCCGATCATACACGCCGAGAACATGATGTAAAACAACTGAATATCATGTCAGATACAGATGATCCTATGACGTGAATGACCCCGAAAACATACCATTGCGAATACCATCGCCCCATCATCCCATCCAAACCCTTTCACCAAAAATCCACGCACATAGCAGCGCAGTATTACCGCCACACAAGCCACTGGCATAAACACGGCCGCGACCGTTTGGACCGCCAGGGCCCTTTGGTCCTCGTCAGTCATCCTGTCGAGCGGCGAGGATGAGACATGATAGAAGAATGCTTTTGTGGAGAACACAGGACTTTTAAGATTTTCGACCTGCAAGGCGAAAACCTAGGAAAGCGGACACCGGGGATCAAGATTCCCCGAAACTTCAAGGGCGGCACTTAGCGAGTGAGCACAAACCACTAAATCGACTGGCTGACGAATGGTAAAGTGATCGACATGACGGGACGCTACGAGGCTAGTCTCTAAGGGAGCCTCACAAGAGGACAATCACAATCTCTTTGCCAGCCCTAGGCTCCAGGTGGAGAGACTAACAAGCGTGGCAAGGGACCACTCTCTGAAGCCAGAGGACCTTTGCACGAGTAAATGCGGCATCTTAGTACCGAGGGAAATGCTCCAGCCAGAGGAGCATTAAACTAGTTTGTGCCGTTAACCTTAGCGTATCTTGACGAGCGATGTAGCTCCACTGTCCTCGGCTGAATCTCCGAAATTGGCAGCAAATCCGGTGATTGGGATTCGCGCGGGGATAATCATGGCGGTGGCTTTTAGTTGCAGCAATCACAACAAAGCCCGAATGTCTGGATTTTCTTGGCAGCCAGGACAGTGGGGATGAAAGTAAGACAAAGGGATTGAGAAACCTGGTGAAGGCGTGGAGAAGAATATACTCCATGACAGCCCCCTGAACCCTGGATACGCCCTTAGTCAGCGTCGTCGCTTAAGAACTTCGAGTTCGACTCGAACTAGGCGGAGGCTAGAAATGCTTCCCGAGCCTTATGGTGCGATCGGCTATGGCCGAACCCGAGACCGAACCCTTGTTCACCACCCGGCCCATTTTATTCAAACTGAAACGTAAAACTGCCTAGGATTTACCGGGGTCCCGTGTAAACAGAGGCAATTACATTTCCGTCTGTCCCACGATGTCATAGGCCCCGTATAGTCTAGCGCGTTTTACGAAAAATAGGGAAACAAGGCGGAATCGAGACCGTTAGACTATCCTTCAAGGGGAAATATGGCCACGCAATGAGAATAGGGGATGGCATCTAGACTTCAGGGGTGTTTTTAACTCCGTACACTCCGAAGTCAATTCGGGGTCTCCTTTAATAGAAAACTCAACTGCTCCGCAAACTTCCTGGAAAGGCCCCAGTGGCCAATCCGGTGCAAGAGGTCCACCAGCCCACATAGCGTGCTCGACTCCGACGTCTTGGGTTTTGAATTTCGAAAGCCATGAGCTTCAAACAACAAAGCTTGACTGTTGATCTTCAACCGAGCAAACTCGGGGATTTCCAGGCTGGATGTGGAGGAGGGATATTGCAGGCTGGCATCGTCTTCAAGCCCATACTCGGAATAAGCATACCACACGGTCGCCGCTCGATAGAGTGCCCGAGGCACGTGGATCGCCGGTTCCATTCCAAGTGGGATGCCTTGAAGTTTGCGGAGTATCATAGCCCCATGAAGGGCGCAACGACGGGCGTTTGGAGACGAAGCCCATTCATGAATGTGGTCGCGATGTGGCAAAGACCCCTCATGCCCCTCCCGCCCAATGGTAAGCTCCAAACGGTCAAAATCCACCAAAAGAGAGATGAAAGCCGCGTGCCACAAAACTTCCAAACAAAACGGATCATCATGGTTTTTTTCTAGTTTGGCTAGGAGATTTTGGTCGAAGAATTGGAGTAATTCATTTTCGAATTTGACGTGTATCTCCTGATCCCAGGTGACCTGGGATGTCCTTCGCTCGGTAATACGGGCATTGATTCCTTCTAGAAGAGTATACCGGTAGAATCCACCCGGCAGTCCCAGTCCCACTTCGGGTGGACTAGTGGTTGTGTCGACAGCTTTCACAACGGCGATCTCTGCCTGTCTCTCCGCTAACTGCCGAGTCATGATATTTTTCCATTGTGTGGCGTTTGGTGCTACCCAGAGCTCATCGCTTGTCGTGATGGGTAGCAATGATTCATCATGCTGGAGAAGCGGGTGTGTCGAAACCAATTCCGATATCTCAGTGTCAAGAATGAAAAGACCAGCGGCTAGTCTTCATGATACATCACCAACTTAGCAAGCAAAGGACATATTGATGGCCAGCAGAAGGTCGCTTACCGGATTTGCTCTTCAGCCTGGACCCAGGCTCTCCATGGTCTCTCAACGTTGTGGGCCTGGAGACCTGACATTGAGCCCGTTGATGGGCCAACTTGAAACATCTTATAAAATCGAGCCCACTGGCCATGCGTATAAGCGTCGGAAAATTTGCGCGAGTCATTCAAAAAGCAAAACTCACCGAGGCTATTGTGCCGTGAAATGTCTGCAAAATGAGGAGATTTCTAGGTTTCTGGCAAGACGTGAGTGGATGACCTCTGCAGGAAGTGAGTGGCACAAACCCCAGAAAGCATCGCAAATGTCTGTCCGATCAAAGCTGCCTGGCTCATTGCGAGTGCCTCCCCCTTCCACTCAACAGATATTTTTCCCACTAGTCATAATCAACAAATGCTCCAATTACCTATTTCCTACCATAGATGGGAATGTCGGGGAAATTTTTACCTACCGATGCTAATATTGCTTTGTTGAGCCTCTCAAAAATAATTGAGCCTTGAGTTGCTGCATAATTGGACCCGACAAACAAGCTCCCGATTGAACAAATTGACAAAAGCAAGAGGGAGCTTTTCGCAGAAGGTTGAAATGTGGGAGCATGTACAATAGGAAACACTGGATTAAATCGTGTAAAAAACAATTGGATGCAAAGATTCTGAGAGACTAATTAAAACGAATACTTGGGAAAGGAGGTGGGAGGTAAAAATAGATCCAAATTTGATCATCAGGACATCTGATACTCACAAGAAAATCGGTAGATGGTAGAGGTTCTGTTGGTACGCGTTGTTGAAGTCTTTGGGACAAGCTCTGCCGGTATTGCTCATCGAGTTCCACCTGATCATGGATAGTGTCGGGCGTGAGATTTCCAGCCTTGTGTGTTCCAACATACGTGAACCACAACTGTCGAATTTCGTCTTCTTTGTGCTCTAATGTCTCTGCTGGGGGTTGTACATTTATATCCGTGCCATTTTGATGTGCTGTGTCGCCGGGAGAGAAGATTCCTAGAGTACTTGCCATGACGGATGAGTTCAGAGCACTCAAATCAAAGTGCTCATCCGCCAACCAGGTTGGTATTTGTGAGTATTGACTGAAATTCAAGGTTTCATCCATGCTACTGTCAAACATTCCTTCGAGCGAAGTAAATAATGGCGCTTGGGAGCCATGCTGGTCACTGTTATTCATTGGCGACTGGATGATATTTTCCAGCCACCCTGGAAGCCGACCCTGAGCGAGGGGTACAGAGTCATGCTGGTTTGAGGAAAGTGAGATTGGAGTTGCTGCTTGTGCTTGTAATGATGGAATCCTGTTGATATCATTCTCCAAAGAGACTGAGTGAGAAGCCTCGAGCATTTGGTTGGTTCTGGTATATGCATCAATAGAGGAAAGATCCAACTCGAGGGCTTGGTTGTCTTTGTTTCCCGTTGAATGCACCTTATTGTGTCGTAAAAGAGAATCACTGGGATAGTTAAAAAAAATGTCACCGCATATCTATGGTCTCACTAACTGGCGACTGAAAGACTTCCCACAGGTAGAACAGCAGAAGGGCTTTTCCTTGGTGTGCGACCGAATGTGCCTCGAAAGATGTTCCTCCTTTGAGAAAGATAGAGAGCACCAGGGACAGATCCGCGCGCGCTTGATTCGACTTCTTGTATGTGGCATGATGACCTCTGATCTGATGTAGAGTTGCAGAGTACATTCTGCTCCGGGGTCTGATCTGGTACTAGTGTCTGCCCGGCTGGTCGGAAGCGAACTCCGGCGGGACCTTTCTGCAACCCCACATCTTTCCCCAGGTCCCGCACGCCACAGAATCAACGATGCATGGAAATTGCGGGACCGTCTTCTAGGGTCTGTACTCGCAGCAACAAGATTCAAACTAGTGATGTAGCTAGCTTATTCATTTACTAACATATAATACGAAAATAGAAAATGCATACTCACACACACACGTACACACTCTCTCTTTAGACTTGTACTGCTTGTCTAAACCAACACCCATCCAAGCAAGTTTGCAACGAGTCCAGTTTATCAATAAAACATTCTTCTTGGGTATTCCTGGTCTTATCCAATATATGAATGTACAGGCGAGTTTTGAGTGAACCTTCGAAGATGTTTGCCAAAGAAATAAACGGGAATGCCCAACAAAATAGGCCCCACAGTCAAGGCAAGCACAACCATTGTGGGCGGGATCCAGCCTTTACGTGCGGCCAGTGGTGAAACCCAGTAGCTCATTGCGAATCCACAAGTATTCTTGATCACTGTGGCTACAACCATGATTTCACCTGAAATAGGTTTATAGCAATCAACAGCATAAGCGACCGCAATGGTCGGAACGGCTGTGACGCAAAGACCGCTGAAACCATACCCTATGACCAGTATCAGAGGCCAGTCCCACGATCTCTGATAGCCTAAGCCACCTATAACAATCCCAATAACCGTTGTTATGCAATAAGGAACAAGAGCAGGAAGGCGCATTTCTGCTTCACGTATTCCGCCGTTGCGCGCAGTGGCTCTCATCGCGACCCAGTCGGAGAAGGGCCCAGCCGTTGCTAATCCAATAACCCCTCCGACCGCGAAGGAAAAGTTAGAATATCCCACCGCTGCTGTGTCAAAATTGTAAGGCTCAGACCCGAGCACAGAGGATTCTGTAAGATTCCAGAATAGCAAGAGATTTGCTGGACCGGCTACATTCAGGCCCGCCCAGAATATGATAGGGAAGAGAAAGACCCTGAAGGGAGACACAATATCACGTAGCAAAAATGTCTTCCAGTCACTTGCCGGTTGCTGCCATAACATAAATTGAGACTTGGAAGGTCGTCCCAGGCCAGCAACTGTGGGACGATTCTCAAAGACTTCCAAATGCTCGAGCCCTTGCTTCGGATTGAGATCCCTTGGCTCATTTTCCGGGCTTTTAAATCTCTTGTCAGAGCGGAATTTAGTTTCTGGAAAGAAGAACACGAGGGTAACAAGATTGAGGCTGCTCATAGCAAGCGATAGCCAGAAAAAGCTTCGCCAGCCAAACCTTTGATGTTTGCATTAGTGACAAAAGCAATAGGAAGATGATTGAGTATGTCAATAAATTGAATACACTCAGAGAGACTCACTCACCTTTGAGCAATATTACCGGATATCACGGGGCCGATAAACAATCCAAGAAAATACCCTGTGCTATCGATATTTATCAACAGCTATTCGGTCCAAAAATGGGGGCATAAGCTGCTTCTTACAAATAAACACCTGTCCAGAGTCCACGTTCATGAAGAAACAGCATATCAGTAACAACCTGCACCAGCAGAGTCTCACTTGTTGCAGTGGCTATTCCATTGACAGCCCGAGCAGCTAGCAGGCTAGAGTGAGATGTGGCCAAAGCTTGCCAAATACAGGATGCAATACCCATCACACAGAACACGAGGCTAGTGGGACGTCGACCAAAGATATTGGAACAAGGAACAATAAGGAAATTGGAGTATCCCAGGGCCAGTACGCATGCGCCGGTCAAAAGGTTCAGCTGCGTGTCGTTAAGGTGGAATTCGGCGGCAAAGAGTGGGAAAATGGGACCCATTGAAAGAGCAGACTCAACAGAGACAAACAGAAATAGGAACTGTGTCGTAATAACGATATCTGAACCAGATTATGATAAATATGTTAGTTTTCATGTCTATCACATATTATGCTGTCTTACATTTCCAGGGTTTAGACCAGTTGAGAGGATCGCTCGGATTACTGGAAGGCTGCGGAATCAATCTATTCCCAGTTAAATTTCATTTGAAATAATACGAAGGGACGAAAAAACTTACAAAACCCCATTTCGGGACAAATGCGTAGCATCATGTTCCCCCACCTCGCGCATCAACTCTGTACCGGGAATTATATTCATTTTAAGCCCACACGAGTATTATTTCGCAAGTGGGAATCCACTCATGGATCTTCGAAAATTATTTCAAGTCTTAACGAAGAATCTTAAATTTATTGGTCGAGAAGGTTTTCTGAAGGTTTCCAGCGGTTTGAAGGTGAACTATGTCATTTCAGAGTATTTGAGTGGAATAGGAATATAGCTGATGATCCAAATCACAGTTGATCCCCAGAATGATTCGACTTTTTAAATGCAATCGTTTAAAATAATAGCTCAAGATGTCGAGGACAGGGAACCGTCCCGCTAATTGGGGAAATGCGGGGAATCGAGGCCGGGGCAGGCCGTCCCACAATGCTATCCCAGTTCAGTCCCGCCGGTCGTTAGGCCATGGGGTATGGACGTAAGTATTTTATCGCCAAAACAAAAATCCAGTAGGTTGGTAGCTCATGTTTCATATATTGAAAGGTCTTTTGGAGTTTCCTAGGTCCATGTAGCGAGCATGGTTGAAAAGATTTTCTGGCTGATTTTCCGTAAAAGAACCAGTGCCGCTGAATTCATAATTGAAGACTAACTTTTTGGAAGGACAATGAAATGAAATGACTATTTAGATATATCATTATGTCTTTAAAACCTGGTGATACCCCTCGAAGGCTTCTTTGGATCACTGCTTGTCGCCAAGTTGGTCGTTAAGGGTAGCATATGTTTGATTAGTTTCGAGCTCTTTAATTTTTCCCTTCCATTGCGATTACTGCCTGGGTAATACTAAGAAGTATTTAAATATTGAGCTGTTCTCGCATCAAAGAGGGTTGGCTGTTCTGCTATGTGTAACTCCCCTCATGCGTGAGTAGTCATGCATATGTTTGCTTATTGCCAGTGCATACAACCAATGCCCTGTTCCGTCCGAATGCAACTACAATCCAAAGCAAACCCAAAACTGATAGTAGCTGCAGGGCGCCTAATAATATCCCACGACGCGGTCGAGACCTAAATCCAGGGATAATCTACCCCCCCTTGATAACAATAATGCAGATTACAAATTTCATTAAGACAGAGAAATGTTCTCACGATTTATGTCAACAAACGTGACGCAACGAATTTATTTCTCTAGTATCAAAATGATTCATTTTTCATGAGAGTATTCCGATAATAGCATGCGAGTTTATCTAAGTTTTATACCTCTCCCTAGGAGTTTAGATGTTGTTGGTTAATGTGGACTGCTGCCGCTCAAAATGCTCGCATGCGACCTAGTCACACATTCCTGCATTGTTTTCAGCTGTGATCTTCACCCATCGCTTATCTCGCCTTTATTTGTCACACGGCGTTTTTCTTATGAGCCTTTTGGTGTCCACATCTCCACCCTAGGGCCGACCATCTCAGAAGTTAAAACAAGCTTCATTTTCATCCCACACCCTTCTTTAGCAAATTTGACACAGTATGCTCTGTCACATAACACGGTGAAAGATACACTGTATCCTTGATGAGAATTGCCCATCAACCTTTCGGTCTTGAAGAAGAATCAAACCTCTTCCTCCATCACCAGGGCTCAAAATGCAGTCTCTTAACCCGGATCTTTCCGAGCAATCGACATCGAGCACAAATGCGCCTATTATACTTTCTTCTCATAATACTGGCACCCAGGCAGTCACTAGGAAAATGTTTTTTCTTTCTGTCTGGGTATCATTTGCTGCATGGATTGCTGAATTCGACATCGGGTATGCCGGGATTGTATTGATCATGCCCTCATATCAAAAAGCATTTGGTCATTGCCGGTCAGTGCATGACCCTGATACGGGCAATGCGATCGAAGCTTGTGAGCTCAGCACTCTTCAACAGTCGCTAATCAGTCTCACTTTGCTATTCATGGCTGTTGGGAGTGTTTTAGCTGGCTTGGTTGGCTCCAAACTTGGTCGCCGAAGAACAATACAGATGGCTTGCATCTTCTGTCTTGTAGGAGCTGCCGGTATGCTAGGAACCACAGGAAGTTTTGTGAGCTATATGGTCTGCAAATGCATCAATGGTGTTGGGATCGGACAACTCCTCGCCTCCGCCATCGTCTATGGAGCCGAATGTGTTGCTGCAGACAAACGAGGGCTTTTGCTCGGGATTTTTAATATCGGGTTAGCAATGGGGAATGTGACAGCCGCAGCTGTTTGCGCTGGATCAGCAACTTTAGCACCAGACAATGACTGGCAGTGGAAAACACCAATTATCTGTCAAATTCCCCTTAGTGTCATTCTCGCTGTTGGGATGTATTTGTTCCCTGAATCGCCACGCTGGTTACTACTAAAAAAGAAAGAAGAGGAAGCCCGAACATCTTTTGCTACGCTCTTAGGTCTGAATGCGCTTTCCACTGAAGTCGCAGTACAAGTGGAAGATATCCAAAGACATCTTGAATTTGAGCGGTCGCTTAGCAAAACAACCTCGTGGATCGAAATATACCATGGCGCCAATCTACGAAGGACGGCAGTCTCTGGACTAATATTAGTTGCGCTTGCTATAACCGGCATCCAATTTGTGGCTCCCTTTGCAGCTCTCTTCCTTAGTGGAGTTGGCGTGGAGAATCCTTATGTTGTCAACGTAATTGTTGGCCTTTGCATTTTTGGCGGAGCTTGCATAGGCTCAATACCCCTTGAATATGGTGGAAGGAGATTTTCCATGTTGGTTGGCTATAGTCTCATGGCCATCTGCATGTTGATATTTTCTTCCGTCGCCACTGGACTTGGAGCTGATAATCCAATAGCCAAACACGTTGTGGTTGCTTTTGTCTGTATCTGGGCCTTCGTATTTGGCGGTTTCATCGGCCCAAGTGTCTGGTTAGCTTCGGCAGAAATGCACTGTCTACAACTGAGAACATACGGCCAAGCAAACACGACTTTTTGCTATGAAATATTTGCATTTGGTGCCACTTTTTGGACACCATACATGCTCAACCCAGAGTACGGAAATATGGGGACTAATGTGGGCTACTTTTATTTCGGGATTACCGTTGCAGTCTTGGTTCTTGTTTTCCTCTTTGTGCCGGAGACGTCCAGATTGACACTTGAACAAATTGATGACTACTTTGCATCTGGAAAGCCGGCATGGAAAACATCCACCTCGGAAAACTTGAAGATCTCTCGGGAGGTTGCGCTTAATACAACTTCGAGTCCACGGGGGCAGTCAGAGGTGGAGAAGCAGGTTCCATGCACGAGAACGCACAATTCCGAGATTGAAGTTCGTTAAGGTATGGGATTTCCAAATCACACCATCCGCAGCACCGAAAGCCTCGGCACGTACGAAAATAGATTGTCAAAGCAACAGAATGATCAATTTCACTTTTATAACTCTGTATAACTTCATTAGTACATATTTGGGCTACAATTAGCTGCAATTAGACTGGTTCTATCAGGTATACCCCTCGCTTGACTCTCTTCTTATTCTTATTTTCCCCACACGGTCCCGCTGCACGGCCTCGCTTTGTTTGGCGTCCCGCATGTTACGAGTATTGCCTAATTTAGACTAAATCTCCGGGCTTTCGCTGAAAATAGGTACCTTGCTCTCTTGATGTTGAATATATCTGATGTTGAAACCAATACCAATATGAATCCCAGCGTTGAGCGACAATTGACTATCCAGCATATCAAGTCTCTTCTCATTCAAGAACGCTACTTCAGAGACACTGCCCAATGGCAAAACTTGCGCAATGCTTACCATCCCGATGCTTCTCAGACTTCCATCAATATTACTTGGTAAGTTCATTGATAAATTGACATTGTTATGGTCTTTTATGCCTCCACTTGGGACTCAATACTGAAGAGAAAAGGTTCGAGGGCGACATCGACGGCTTTGTTTCCGGGTCCGAACAAATGATGAACGGCGGCACCAGGGCTACCCACAGTATCTGCCCAGTTTCGGTTCATGTAAATGGCGAAAAAGCAGTATCTGAATCGACCGGAAGCATCAATATTCGTTTCATGGTTGGCGACTGCTCTTATGATTGCACTTCTTACACACGATTTGTGTCTCGCCTACAGCGAGTTGACGGCAAATGGAAAATTCTGACGCTAGAAGCCATCTATGAGCGCGATACCATAATACCGGTTTTTCCAACATTGTCAAATACCCCCTTCGTCCTCAATTACCCGCGCAACAGTTACAAGTGTATAGCTTGGATTTTGGCTCGTAAAGGGTTTGAGATCAACCGTAACTTGCCTGGAATTGATCTACCCTTATCGGTATCTAAGCTAATGGAAAATTCTTGGACATGGCTTGGCAGGAGCGAGTCAAGTTACTCTGGCTGAGTTGTTTTATCAAATCTGGCAAGTGGATAAAGGCGATTGAAACTGCTAGAAGTGCCTTACACCCCCCAACCCTTTCGAGTTGTGGGTGCGCCACCCATTTTTTGTCACCCACACATATTTTGTCAGTTTTAGCTACTACCCTATTTTTTCAACTCATGCCAGTAGTATCTACAAAGAGAATATCATCTTCCTGGCGTGCTTCCTCCGCTCTTTCTGGTACTATATCTTGATTCGGTGTAGGATCTAGTGGTAGTGATATTCTATACGCTTTCTTCCACTGCTTCCTTACCCGCTTCCGCTCTGTATCGGCTTCCTTCTCGTTTCTTTTAGTAATAGAACGATTTGTATCTCTAATAGAGAGTGTCTCTATTCTACTAAGCGATGTTTTAACCTGGTGCTTAGTGATTGAGCGTTGTAGTAGTTGTTAAGCTTCCCTAATCTTACGAATTGTATTATTTGCTATTTGAAGATTCTTTATAGTAATGTTAGGTGCTACATGCAGGGTAGCGGCTTGTTGGTCAGGTAAGGGAAGATGAATATGATATGAAATTGTTAACGAATTGGGAAAAAATAGCAAAGGTATATTATTCCAATAACTGAATCTTGAAGAGATTCAGTTCGAAAGAGAGGGTGATTCTCCTTCTATAATCTTAATATCGTCATTCCGCTGTTCGCCGAAGGTATGACGATAGCAGGATCCGAGTCCGACTTTGTCATTTTCTGTGAACGCACATTGTCATTTTTCAATAGGCGTATGCGTTAAACATACGATTCATATCCGAAGTCAGCCTGAATAATACCAAGTATTACACATTTGGTTATTCCGTAACAAATAATCTTGCTATAACAGAATAGGCGATTAAGATTGCGTTACTACCTTGGTATAAGATCTTCTTTTTAATATCTGGTAATATTTTTGATTCTTCTCTAGATCTTCAATAGATTTAGGCAGCGATTTATCGATACTAGAAGAATATATAGTTGTTTATAGTAGCGGCGAAGGGATTGGATATGGTAGATCCAGCGCTATAAGATCTTAGTAAGCTTGGATAGGAAGGCTATTAATAACCTTGCTACTATCGATTAGATATATCCTACGATCTTTGACCGATTCACGAATAATTCGTTAGCTAAACGGTTTATTTCATATCGCAGATTATTCGAAGGAGCTCGGATCTTCCGATAGGGCTTCCACTTTAGAACGCGTGCTCGATATTCGCTAAGCGGAAGTATTGCTTATAGCTTAGAAACGGTTTACCGTTAAGCGGCTAGTAAAGGCGTATTATATATAGTAGAAATCCTATTAGTAGGATATCGTTCTCTTCGCAAAGTTGTAGAAATTCGAATATTAGATAAGAAATATGACCGTCGAAGATTAGGACGCTTCTTCTTGATAGGTTTCGAGATTGTTTCTAGCTGTATTAGGCACTATATTAGGCCTTGCTTACTTATTGATACGATAGGCAAGCGTGGTCCTAGGCACGTTAAATTCGCGTGCTAAACGCGCGATATTCGACTCCTCTATACGTGAGGCAGCTAGGCAGGCCTCAGCGATACGGGGGTTATTGGATTTAGATATTTTTTGATAGTAGTATTGGATAGGGAATCGAAAAATAGGGGAGTATCTAAAAATGACAAAATATGTGTAGGTGACAAAAAGTGGGTGGCGCAACCACACCCGGAAGGTTTGGGGGGGAGGGGCGGTGTCAGGCACTAATAGTCACTTGAGTTAGGACACCAACAAGTCGCCATGCTTCCTCAAATCACATTGTCGATTAATTCGTTAGTTTTACATCGCCTCCTCACCGGAAAATTCAATTTTCCCGTATGTTTCATCGCATAATTGTCGATGGGGAATTAGAGAGTGGGGTACCTTATTTCTCTATTTTGAACACCCGTGCATAGCATGACATTATCGGCTCAAGATACCATTTTAGGTAACCCAGACCGACCCCGAGGCTGATTTTAGCTTCTTCAACGCAGACTTAAATAACTATAATTCTTGGCCCTGACACGCGGCCATTCTCAGGCTCGGTCCTTTTATACAAATCGGTTGAGATCGTCGTTAGTATCCCCGCTCTTGTTTAGAATTTGATAGTTCGATACTTGATGGTCTTGCCAATCAATCTATCCAAGGTTGACGGCAGCGGAGTCTAGAACACGCGTAAATTCGCTAAATTGAAGACATTGAGCTAAATTCCAGTAAAGTCATACTTTAATATGAAGAACTAGGACTCGAAACGGTAAAAATCGATGTGGATAGTATTCACATATGGGCCACCGTCGTCATCTCAACCAGGAAAGTCTCAACTAACCACAGTTGTGCAGTGTCGGAGATTCGGGAAGAGCCCACCAAGGTACTATGCACATCCATGAGCCTTGCCAAGTGATCACCCCATGCTCAAACGTTTCTGCCCGGGGACCCGCTGGCTGCAGTTCATTGCCTTGATGGGTGTCGTCCGCGCATGCGGCACGGCAACCCACAAGAGTCGAAGTATATATATGAGCACCTGAAGATCGCCCATCTCATGATTCCATACAGTCATTCATTCTACCTCATTCATTCTACCTCATTCATTCTTTTCATTCGTACTAGTTGACCTTCTGTCGAGGGTATACCATCATACATGGCATCTCTCGTCGCCAAATCCCTCTGCTCGCTGGCCTTGGGTGCCACGTTGGCCCAGGCCCAGCTCTGGGACACGGTCATTCAAACGTCTTATGGTCCGGTCGAGGGCTTTCAGTACTTCAATCAGTCGACCTTAGAGACCTACTTCGGTATCTCTGAGTCTAATGTGACGGCCTTCTTGGGCATTCCATTCGCGGCTGACACAGGCTATCAAAACCGCTGGAAGCCTCCACAGCCTCGCAAGAAGTGGAATGAGACTCTCAAGGCCACTGAGTTTGGCTCTGCCTGCCCGAATCCGACGCTGTCTACTTGCAGCGAGGACTGTCTAAACTTGAATATCTGGACCAACGCTGGCTCTGCAGATGCTAAACTGCCAGTTATGGTCTGGAATCAAGGGTCTGATGAAACAAGCAATAAAGCCTGGTGGTACGGCGGCGGAATGGCCCTGAAAGACGTGATCTTGATTACCTTCAACCGCCGTGATGACGCATTTGGTTATCTTGCCCACCCGGAACTCAACGAAGAAGGATACAAGGCTACTGGACACAAAACATCTGGCAATTACGGTATACTCGATCAGCTCGAGGTTCTCAAGTGGGTGCAGAAGAACATTGCCCGGTTCGGTGGTGATCCTGACCGGGTCACTGTTGCTGGGCAGTCCTTCGGTTCATCTCAGGTCTACCATGCCGTCAACAGCCCGCTCTTCACGGGTTACTTCCACGGTGGAATTTCTGAGTCGGGTATCAGATATCCCTATGATACTCTGCTAGCTGGTCTTGCTACATCCTACGTCAATATGTCTACGGCTATTGAGCACGGTGTCAACTACACCACCTTCCATAACGTGTCGACGATTGCCGAGCTGCGCACTCTCTCGATGGACGAGCTCCTGATCGGTTCGCAGGATCGTGTTGGTAATGATTCTATCTGGTGGGTGACCGCATTGTCCGCCGGCTATCCTTTAATCTTCAAGCCGGTGCTGGACGGCTACGTCCTGCCTGAGAAATATATTGAGACTTTGATCAACGGCCCCGCCAACGATGTCCCTGTCATTACCGGCAACACCAAGGATGAGTCTGGAGCTTCGACAACGACCGATTACACCGTGGCCGAGTACGAGTACTACTGCTCCCTTAAGTATGGCAATCTCTCTAGCCGCTACTTCCAACTCTACCCCGATCACAAGAACCAGACTATCGCCGACCGTGCATGGAACGCGGCTGCTCGCGATACCTCTCTCATTGGATCCTGGGCCTATGCGACAGACTGGTACAAGGCAGCCTCAGCTTCCTTCTATACGTATTACTGGACCCACGCGCCTCCTGGCCAGGACCAGGGTGCATTCCACCAGTCGGAGATCATGTATGCGCTGAATGCGCTCTACGCCAACGCCGACACCTACCCCTTCACCGAGAAGGACTATGCCATCCAGGAGAAGATGTCCGCCTACTGGGCCAATTTTGCTAAGACCTTAGATCCCAACCAAGGTGATTCCTACACTGGTAAGGGCGCCCTCGCGCAGTGGAGCCCCAACAGCGCCAATGGTACCCAGGTCGTGATGGAGCTGGGCAATTACTTTGGAAATGTTCCCATTGCAAAGCCCGCACAGGTCGAGCTTATCATGGAGTATTTCCACCAACAGATTCCCTACTAGAGCACTGTCTCGTGGGGCCGGGGCTTGTGGAAATGAAAATAGTTGCTCATAACTGCCTGTAAGCAGACGTATTTCTGTTCTTGTTGATAGTATATCTATGATAGATTGCCTATCAGTCCCCCCCTTGTCTGTGTATTTGTATAGTGCACATTATGTATTCAAGCAATCTCAGCTACAGTTCAGGTGGGCATTGTCTGCTTCTGATTGTATAGAAGAACCCATAGATCTCTGGGTGAACACCTATTCATCCTATCCATCCTGCCACTAGTCTATTGTCATTACCTTATTCCAAACAACTCCGGAGTCTGGGATCGAAACAGTGCATCTTTTTGCATCGTCTGATGTTCTTCCTCTCGAGTCACATGCACGCCAGCCCCTCCTTCAGCTGCGGCTTGACCGCACGATCAACACCCGAGCGAACCAACCGCAAGCTCCAGGGACTACAATACACTAAATAGGGCTCACAGGCAAGAAGAAAAAGGGCAAAGAGAAAAGAAGAGGGAGGGGGGGGATCACTTCTTCCGAACAGACACCATCCAAACTCAGGCCAGACCCTTTTCCCCATGCACTCTCCATATCTTATCTATCAACTCCTCTGCTTAGCCTGACATCCGATCGACGTACGTCGGGTAGAGTCTCCCATGCGGATCTCTGCAGGTTGGTGGTACAACGTGTTCCCAACACGTCGTTGCCACCTTCTGCACCATGTGAGCATGTCCTCTTCGATTCCGAAACAACGAAAAGGTGGGCCATCATAGTTTGCTGCCCGCAGCTGACCAGATGTTGTCCCACTGATGATTCTTGTTTGACTCTGTTCGCCCTCGATGTCTCTTTGTTTTTCTTTTCTCTTCCCCGCTCCCTCTTTCTTCCTCTTTCTTCGTATCTCATATCCACTTGTGGCTTTGTCCGTGGAGTCTTGACATCTCAGCACTAGCGGTTCACCCGTCAGCCCTATCACCCTATGAACTATCAGACCAAGTCCCAAGGCCACATTTGACAACTGACAAGTCTAACTGTGCCTCTGTGGCCATAATTCCAGTCCAATCCAATCCATACAACCTATTATAGCACTGCGGTTCCCATTCCCCTCGAAATATTCTCTCTCCTCCTCGCTATACTTTCTCACCCCGGGTCCCACCGTCAAGCAAGAATAAGCAGAATTCGCTTTGTCGTACAAGGCGATCTTCCCACTCTGCTTCGATCTACCCAACAACCCAACTCACGCGCTCTCTTCCGTCCTGTATTCCTGGATCGTGGTTCCAAAAGAGCTCATCATTATCACCACCGTCCCCCGTGTGGCCTCGTCCATGCCCTCCACGTCAGACCCCAGCCGTGCCCAATCTTCTACTCCCCCCGCCGCAACTATGTCACCGCCAGCAACTCCACAGCCCACACCCAGCTGGGCGCAGAACATCTTCGCCTCAATCCGGGGGTTTTTTACCGTGGACAACGGCACGGCACAGAGCGAGGCAGATGCTGTTGAAGGGTGGATGGGGGTGCGGAAAGGCCGGGGGAGGTGCCGATCTGTTGGGGAGGCGCATTGAGGGAGCGGAAAGGGTAAATTCAAGAAGCGGACTGCATCAAAGTGCATCAAAGGGATGAAGATTATGTGCTCGGTGCCGGGCTCGGGGTCACTGAATCAGGGCTTATGGCGCATGGGGGAGACTTTCTTGGGAAGCGCAGTGCTTCAGGCGTCTGGGCTGATAGCAGGAGGGAAATTGCATGAGACATTTCTGGAATGTATTTCGGTGCATAGGTTACAGAACAATCGAGAGGGTGTATGGCCCTAGCTCAAAGTCAAATATGAAGAGAATAGATCCATGGTGTATGGAGTAGTATAGATACAGGGGCGAGTAAAGACTCCGCCATACTGATGTATAAGTTACAAGTACAGGTCCTTTGTCCCCCGGGACCTCAGTGCTCAGACTGGTGATCTCGAGAACAGAAAGGAATTGAATGCGGAAGGTGGCGTAGATGCAGTCACGGCCGTCCTCGATGCGAATTTCAAGCCTCCACACGAGTGGGGATCTTGACAGTGCCGCGCTTGCGGTCATTGAATGGCACACCGTACCGCCGGCCGGGAGCCCAAGGGGCGCGGCCATCCGCACCCGTAGTCTCCTTGGTGAACTTCACGTCCTGGATGCGGTAGTCAAAGCGGCCACCTTCGGGCTCGACGTGCTGAAGACTCTTCTCGCGGCGAGCCTTAGAAAGCTCACGGCGCTTCTGCTCGACCTTCTCTTGCTTGTCAAGGCGCTCCGCGTGGCGGGCCGCTACTTGGCGACGCTCATCGGGGTTGGCCATGCGGTCAAGTTCTAGCTTGACAAGCTGCGGGTGTGGAATACGAACATCGGCAGGCTGGAGGACCTGGCGCGCGTTCTCGCCCTTGCCAACCCACTCGATTGAGTTAGGGTTCTGAATAAGCTCGTCGACAAGGTCTGACGGGTGAGAGATCTTGTCAGCTACAGCTTTCTCCAGGGCCGGGGCGCCAGAGAAGACGCGCCCAGCATCAACACGGGTGAAGGATCGGGATTCGGGCACAGGGTAAAAGATCTGGGCGCCGGTGGAGGGGTGGGCGGAGAGAGTGTTAATGGGTTCGTGATAAGTTGGACGCTCGCCATCCTGGGCCAGCGGAGTGGTCGGAACCATCTCGTGAATTGCGCGGGCGTATGGTAACGCCAAAGGTTTGCCCTGAAATGACTTTATCAGCTCAAGGAATCAAAAAAAGAAATATCCATGTATAATGAATGAAAGATGGCAGTGAATGTATCAGATATAAAAAATTTCTAACCAGTCAAGCGAGTAGCTTGTGTCTTCAAGACTAATCGATTTTTTTTTGACTCATCATATGCGTCGAAGAGGGAAATCCTCAAGAACGAGGGCCAGGAGTGAAGCAAGGAATGAAAGGAACGCAGAGACAAGTTCTTACCTGTGCTCGTTGCCGCCGCTCCATCTCTACCAATCTCACAACAGCCGCAATGCGCTTCATATCGATACCAAGCTCAACACTGACAGCGCGCAGACTCTTTTTCTTCTCCACGACCTGCACATAAATCTCATTTCGGAGATCCTCGCTGAGGATACTCTCGCTAAGAAAATTCCGGTTGTTTGGGAATGGCCGACTTGACTCAGCATCCCCATCCCGGGCACTTTTCAAATAATTGGTTTCGCCCGGGACGTGGTGTTTGAGGGCAGCTCCTGGACCATTCAACCACTCGAACATTTGCCGGCGGAGCTTGGTCTGGGGAGCTGCTGTCGCGGAGAATTGACGCGAGAGAAGTTGTGATGAGGGACATGAAGAAGGGGGAGAGGATAGAGAGGAGGAGGATTGGGAGGAGGAAGTGAGATAAGGAAGGAGTGCGTTGGACACGCGCCGGCTCTGTATCCGGGGTGGCATCTTGGTGCGTGTGGAACCAGCAGCTTGGAACCGAGGAATTGATGGGAATAAGGAGGGAGAAATCAGAATTCAATGAAGAATCCAATGGTAGACAAAAGCAGCGGCCGTCGATAGCCGGGTGCTGCAATTGGTGAGTTGGGGTTTGTGAGTCTGGAGATTGTTGTGGCAGGGGAAGAAACTTTTCTGCGCGGGAAGGTTGGTCGTTCAGTCACGTGATTGCGGTCTTCCGAGAGCACGAGACCCGGTAGTTTCGTCTTGAGAGGAGCCAAGAACGCCCATAGGAGAAAATAGAATATCGTTTTGTTAAATTGGAGATTTGAGGTCATATTTCCAATAAGCCTAGCCTTTGGTAGTCTTCAATCTAAAAAAAGATATCTAGGCCAAATAGTGCTCGTTCACAAAACAGCTCCCCAATATATTTCTGATGGGGGCGCTTGGAGAACAGACCATATTTGAGCAGCAACTCGGATAATAATAACTTGAGAATACCAATAATTGAACAATTTCTATGTAACAGTACATAATACCTTAAGGTAAGTCATTGACTTCAGAACTCGATCAAGAAAACGGAGAAAAATGTCGAGTGCAATCAGTAAGTCCATTGTATGAAGTACAGACGTGAAGCAAATGTATCGGTATCATGATTCCCAAGCAAAAGCAACGATAGCTTGCATAAGGAGATAATCAGAAAAAAGAACCTCCGGGTACAACAAAGATACAAACCAGAAAGGACACACCCACTTCTCTCGCTTCCATGTTCCCAGTCAAGCTCAACGCGGTTTGTGTTGTCCTGTCAAGTCCAGGACAACACAAACCTCCCACCCGTGCCCTCGACGTATTGAACAACCCAAGCCACCTTTAGAAAAAAAAAAAAAAAAAAAAAGAAAGATGTGACTCGAGATGTGACTCGCTGCATACATAGGTAGAAAACATACAGAAACAAGCTTAATTCAGGCGAGCCGATGGAGGTGGAAGAGGGCCAACAAACAATCGGGAGATGTAATCTCTTCGAGCCCTTCACACAGAGGAAGTGCGTCATGTATCGCAACCAAGTGGCCGTAGACATGCCCTGGATGTCGTTTCTTGTTCTGTTAATCGCTAGCCGGACAGAAGCACGTGTATGGCGGTTATGATGAGGGTGATAGCAGAAGAGTAAGTAAACCCAGAAGCCCAAGTCCATAATATCAACGCCAGCGATAATGCGTCGAGCTCATGCCGTGAAGCTACGACATTCCATAACTCATGCCATCAAGAGCCGAGAGGGAAATTAAAGCGGAAAAGAGAGAAAAGTTTGTAAGGGCACAAAGAAAAATAGGTAGTTAAAAGCCACATAAGAACACCTTTCGGTACCTGCATAAAGGACACAAGTTTGCAAGGGAGAAGTTTGAGAAAAAAGACTCTGAGCAAAAAAACAATAAGATCCATTTCCAGTTCACACATGAAGATGCATTCGATAAAGCAGTTGGATGTAAAGGGGAATCACGGTCGAACAAATAAAAAAGACAACCCATCCTCGGCCAGGAGCCACTAGCAGCCACACACGACGTTCGAGGGGGGAAATAAAGAATTAAGCCAGGAGCCGATGAACCCCTTCCCCACAAACTAGTTGAGGGAAGACAAAAGCATAAGCAGAACGGGAAAACAAACCAGAAACAACACAAGGGTATGAGGGTGGTGATGAAGTAACGCAAATGGTCGACAGAATTTCAAACGCGCTGTGCGAGAGCGCCGTGCCCCGACCACAATAGGAATACAAGCTTGCAATGACCTGAAATGCAATCCTCCCAAGGGAAATAAAACTGAAAAAAGAGAAAGGAATGTTGGGAAGAAAAGAAAAGAGCGCCCGAGTCCCCATGCAATAAAAAAAAGCACGCATAGAAAGCAAGCGAAGCCAAAGCAGCAATTAAAAAAAAGGTCAGGAAAAAGAACCATAACAAGAGAAGAGAAGATAGAAAATAGAAACAGATAGAGTCCCGAATTTCAATACTCCCGAGAGGTATGCAGCCGCCGAATGCTGAATCTAGCTCGCGAAACGAAAGGAACCCCCAATGCGCCAAATACCCCAGTTTCGTTCATCAAACATGCCGGACATTATCTCAAGTATAATGCTTAGGGTCTTCTTCAGCGACCCATCATGTAATCGGGGTAGAAGGAATTGAAGCCGTTCATGTTCGGCCCTGCGTTGTTGCCAGCGGCGCCACCAGGGGGCGGCGACATCATCATGGAATTGACTCCGTTAGTTCGGATACCTAGGCCCGAGCCGTGACTGAACGACCCGTTGCCAATCATGGCATGTGGATTCCCAACTGGGGTGCCATGCATGTTGTTTCCGTGAACGTTGTTGGCATGCACGTTGTTGCCGTTGCGCATAGGCATGGGCATGGCGAGACCTGGGGGAGCAGCCAATCCAGGAGGCGGTCCACTTACTGACGAGAACATATGGCTGTGCATGCCGCCCAGACTGCTACCACCGGGAACACCACCTGGCCCGGAAAGTGGGTTGGCTGGGTTCATGCTGCCAGGTTGGCCAGAGCGCACGCCCAGAGGATTCTTGGAGAAACTGAGACGAATGCCAGTCTTGACGCTGTTGGAAAGCTTGTAGCCATACAGCTCATTCAAAGCCTTGCTTGCCATAGCAACTTCATCAAATTCGACAAAACACATGGGGCCGTTCTGCTTGTTCCGAAAACACAGTCGCTTGTAGCCACGCTGCTTGGAAAAGAGGGCTTTGAGTTCTTCCTCCGAAGTATCTGGGGGCAGGTTGCCCACGTAGAGGGTGTTGCATGGCGGGTTCAAGTCGTTCGGGTTTGCGGCAGGAAGGCTATGGCGCGGAGTGTGCTGACTGCCATAGGGGAAACCATGACCATGGTTCACGGTGCCAGGGTAGGCAGATGAAGGGCCACTCCCACTCATGCGCTGGCCGGGGCCATTGGACGCGTAGTTGGGCAAGGGAGGGGATGACATCGTAGTGGACAAGGAAAGATTGGCAAAGCGACCAGTCGGGATCTGAGGATTGGTGGACCGGCGTGGGACGGAAACCGAAGCTGAGTGTCCATTTTCCGCGTAACCCACAGGATCTTTGAGCAGCTCGCCTGTCTCCTCATCAGGATCCTCGTCAATCATGGACTTGCCGGTGACGCGTGGGAGATCACCGACTCCGTTGCCGATAGGAGACTGGGGAGAAAAGAGACTGTGAAGGCGGGAACCGGACTCGGATGCTGACGGGAGACCCTCACCGATGACCTGCGAGGACGGGTTGGCAGACAGCCGCTCGAGACTCTGGAAAGTGCCATTGAAACGAGAAGACTGGCGCTGACGCGACAAGGGTCCATTTGTCGGGACACCGCCCAGCAATCCATGAGTCGCGGTATGATCAATCGTGTTGCGACGCGTATTCGAAAGGTTGGATCCTACGGGACCGGGATACATTTCGACCACCATGTGCGCGTCGTTTTTCGAGTTCGGCTTTCCATCGAGCATGGCTCGAGCCTCCTCGGCTGCGGGCAAGGAATTGAAGCGTGCGATCGCGCTGAGAAATCCGTCATCCTCCGGGAGGTCGGAGTTCACAAAGTCGGCGTCGACGAGATCCTTGGCGAACAAGAGCATACTGCGGAGGGCTTCGCGGCTGGTGTTGCGCGGCAGTTTGCGCATCAAGATCGCGCCACCACCACTGCCGCGCCCCAGGCCATTCAGACCCTGAAGGTTGCGGTCCGCGTCGCCGAGGCGCATTCCGTTATCGAAGGAGGTGGAGGGGCCGAGTGGCGAAAAGGGGTAGGTGAAGGTAGGGCCTAGAGAGGTGGGCGCTTGCGAGACCGTCGGGCTATACACGTCGGTCGACATCGCATGCTGAGTCGTCGCGGGTACCTGGGAAGAGGACTGGCGAGGCGAGGAACCAGAAGACACGGACTCGGTGCGTTGGGTCGTGCCGAAAGAGCCTGGACTCGTTCGAGTGGACTGGTTCGAGCTGCCGCTCATCCCTCGGTTTCTGTCGTAGTATTCGAGCTCGAGGGTGCGCGACACGAAATAGAGAAATGACGGGCGACCCCAGCAGCTGGGAGAGGAGGGAAGCGGGGGATCGATGAGAGGATCCGAAGGTTTAGGTGAGAGATGGACGATCCCTGTGGCGCGGCGCGCGAGAAATGCGACCGAGGGCTTTGTCGTGGATTTGCAGAAGGAAGCGCGATGCACGAAATGCGAGGTGAAATTAACGAATCGATCGGATGGCGAGGTCGCGAGGATAATCGCTCCTCATCGGACCTGCGACAGTGGCGCGCGTCGGGTGCTGATCACGGTGGTTTCGCGGTGTCTCGCGGCGTCTCGCGATTGTCTCTGGGTCTGTCTGAAACGTCCTCAACCGGGAAGGGGGAGGTGCGAATGGAAGGGAAGACGGGAGTCGCGCGACGATGGACAAGGATCAGGGGGAAGCCGGAGAGGTCGGAGCGGAGGAGGGAGGATGCAAGAAGGAAAAAGGAAGAGGCGGATGGCGAAGAGTGGATGAGTGTCACAGTGGAGGAGGGGGGGGGGTGGGAAGAGTAGGGAAGGGGGAAGGGGGGGAAGAAAAGAGTCCGGAACGGTCGCCAGCGTCCGTTTCGACCAGCGAGAAAGAGTCCACCAGGCGCCAGATCCATGGATCTGCTCCACGACGCGACGGCAACGGGGTGACGAAGTCGTTACAGGGGAAGCATCCCGGGGTGGTACCTGGGAGTCTTCGAGGGGGTACTTGCGTGTTGGGGGACTGGGGCTCAACAGGACCGGAAAATACCCGGAAACAGACCTAGACCATCCAGGCACCAGGTATCGTTCGTAGGATTCTAAGTACCCAGCCGATAGATGACAGAAAATGACCATACGGGGTTAATAGATTACAGGGCGGTGGCCACTGGAGAAGCAGGCCGCTTGCAGAACGTGGTCGAAGTGCGTGCCCCGAAAGCCGGTGGAATGCGTGGAATGCCCCGGCTTTTTGGTTTCTGGTTTTTTCTTTGGTTTCTGGGTCTCGTTGTCCTCTCGGTCCACCGTACGGAGCACTCTAGAGGGGGGGGGGCTTAGGCTTGGGCGGTGGCTCTCCCCCGACCTTCCCTGGACCTCTCACCATCAAGACTCGGTCGTCTCTTTCCTCCTGCATATTCTATACGTATATTACTGCTATTGATACTCGATGTCATCGACGATTTAGGTGCCGTAGCATTCGGAATATGAGCGAAGATGCCTCGCCACCTTCACGGGCCCTGCATCGCTGGCCGACAGACCAGAGAGGTTTCTACCAGCTGAAAGAGTCTTCGGTACAATCACTACAATCGTAATGAGTCTGGGTTTGCCAGAATAATGTCCCTTGTTCACAGTACCCGCTGCGGCCTCCCGTTCAAATCCCGACCCTAAATGCCCGAGGGTCTGGATAATGGGAAGCAGCTAGACCGACTGTGGCCTCTCGCGCGTCAGGAAAAACGGCTGAAGATATGCCCTTCATGCAGACGCGGCGCGCATACAAGGTGTAGCCAAGACGTGGCCGTAGAAATCTAGAGAAGCCTGATCGGCAGCGGATGAGAGAAAGAAAGAGACACGGCACTCTTGGCCCCCATAGAGAGAAACATGGAGGTGCAAGGGTAGTCTTTGTCCTGGAGGGAGCCAGGATGCTCCTTGACCACTGGGATCCCGAGGAGAGGGGGAGAGGAGGGAAGAAACCCTGTCGCGGCCCCAGTCAAGTGCCGACGCCCCGATCGCGCCCATCCATAACGGACTTGCAGCTGCTCGGTCGGGATTGCAATGATCTGAGGCGATAGGGCGATCGGGGCCATCTTCGACCTTCAGAGCCGCGATGAGATAGACGCAAGCCAGCACGAGGCATGATACATCTCAGACGCAGGTGCTGGAGAGTCCATGATCATCAAAGCGTACCGCGCATCCAGTACTGTGTCGGTTGAATCTCCCCCGCCTCTCCATCCCCCATGCATACCCTTCGAGCGGTCGGAATACAGCTCTCGACCGTCGCGCAATTCAAGGCCCAGGACCCTCATCATTTCAATCAGTGTCTCAGGGACAAAGTCCCGCAGGGGATTGGCCGCCGGGACATTCCCTATTGTCACACTGCAGTGCCGGATACGAAGGCAAGCGCGCCTTTCCTGCAGACGCAACATACCGAGTGGAGAGGGGAACTCACGATTGAGTCAGTCGGGTCAATTCCTGTTACAGCAGAAGGGCCCCAAATCCAACGCAGGATTCGCGGATCAAGTCAGCAGGCTTCAGATCAACCCCTGTGGGTATCATGGTATACGCCGTAGTCAGCATCTAGACAAACCGCGACATCCAGAACGCGTCCATGCAAGTTGCCCGCACCGTCGCAGGGCCTGTCCAATCCATGGAATCATGGAATCCGTGAACTCAAATCGCTGGCGATCCTCCAGGGTCGCTGACCAATGGCCACGGGCTCGACCCCCGGCGCGCTGCGGATTGGCCGGCGCGCTGAAATGGCGTGGGCTTATCGAAGGCGTCGCGGACCCGGCGCGACAGTCTGGTTGGGCCGTGGCGACAAGCACCACCCCCGATCTTTGGGGCGCCGACACTGAACCCGATCAGGACTGGGAAAGTCGGCTCGTCTGGTCGTGCCTGGGAGGAGTGGTCATAGGTGCGTCACGGGGATGGCACCGCCGCGGAATGCTCTGTCTACCAGACGGCGTCGAGAAAGGGACGGTCGAAGCGTGAGAGACGAGGCACTCCATGAACAATCGATGTTCGTGAAGAATGAGAGGGGGGAAGGGGTAATTTTTGTCGCTGACGAACGAGCTCCGTTGGGGTCAGCGATCCACTTCTATCATAATGGGACGACCTGTCGGGCAGCCTGGTCATTGCACACAGGAAGGCACCAAAGCTTACCGGCGCATCGGCCTACGAACGCGTTCGAATCAAATTTCCGTCCCCCTGCGTACCCCGGCTGTCATGTGAAAGATCTACAGTCGGGAAGGCTCCACCGCGTTACTGACGCGAAGTATGCCCGGTCGAGTCATAATAGATAGAATTCCATGCCCCAAGAGGCTTAGAGGCTCCTCTCCTCAGGGTCCCCATCGGGGACAGACGAAGGGCGGTTTTTTTCAGGTAATGTACAATAGTATATGGAGAGGGTGTATCGGGCTTGCGCCTGGTGACCCTGAAAGAGGGAGTTCCCAAAACAATCGGTCCAACGCGCAACGCCGCAAATGCAGAAAACAAGAGAACCAAGGGAGATTGAGGTACAAGAGAGCGCCAGCCATCGAAACTGCCCACAGGGGTCCCGGGCTTTCCATCCTTGACTTCTCGTCGCGTCGCAGAGCCCAAGGCGTTCGAGCACAAGCATGATGATCGATGATGGCAGCCAGGTTGTGAGGCAGAGAGGTTGGAGACGAAATGAAGTCCGAACAGTTCCGCATAGCTGATCATTCTCGGTGAAAGGGGTAGAAGAAACCGCATTACGCCTTGTGGTAGGTAGCGGGCTTCTGCTCAACAAGACCAGCCTGTAAACATGGGACATGCCGGGTTAGCCGAATCATATTCAAAGCATGTTCATCCTGTCACTTGAATGTTGAATCATGGCATCAAATCTCAGATAAATAGATCATTGGATAGCCACTTCGAGCCTCCGATCTGATCCTGGAAGTTGCTCGTACAAAACGTTCAGAGTCAACTCACCATGTCCATTAATTTCCATACTGGATCGCTAGGCTGCGCACCAACACCCAACCAATACTTTGCGCGGGCTCGGTCGAGCGCAATCTCCTTGTAGGGGCGGGTATGAGCATTGTCATCGTAGAGGTTCGTCGGGTTCCTCGGGATAGGGTTGTAAGTGCCGATAACCTCGAGGGGCTTCGCGCCGCGAGCAGACCTAAGAACAATAGAGTTAGCTCTGAAATCAAAAAAAACAATCAAAAGAAAGAAATCATTGAAGTCGATTACTCTCCCTCCAGCCTGATGATGGCAGAAGCATTGAAGACAGAATGACAAGCGGAATCCCCAGAAAATTACATACCGAGCCTGCGCAACAACGATGTTGTAGAAGGGGTTGTGTTTGTTGCCGAAGCGTGCCAACCGAATTCGGAGAACCATGGCGATGTCGGTGTCTATGTATCCCGGTACAATCGAGATGGGCAGGGAAGTAAGTGATCTGACGACTAGAATTGAAGCCCCGAAATGCACTCCGCAAAAGTTCAGGAAGTCGCGGGACAAAGGTTGTTCCGAGCATTCCTGATGGGGGTTAGCGCCAAGCGGGGCATGATGCAATAAGCCTGGGCCGCTTTCTGATGTATACCACTCCAAGTCCATAGTCTACCTTCTAACTTCTCAATTACTGAAAGCTGTTCCTTCAGAAACCCAAATAGTTTATCAAGGGATTTAACTAGGGGCTTAACTCCTTTTCAAGGCAACAAAACTAGCCCCGGGTGTATGTACCGCTCTGCTTTGCTTCGTTGGTCTCCTCTCCGCAGCATTCGCCAATACACTAAAACTGCAACGATGTCATTGAAGGTGCGCTTGAAGCAAACTGCTCAATGACTCACAACGGGCCAAAAATGATGCTTATCTATCGCAGGCTATCTCCGCGGAGGATGCCGCATCTCTGGACAAAGATCTCATGGATGTGGGCATTGGTGGATGGTCGCTGGATCAGTTGATGGAGCTTGCGGGCCTCTCTGTTTCCCAGGCCGGTCAGTTCCGAAACTCGTGTTTGAGGATCTTATCTGCTCATGACCTGATATAACAGTATGGCGAATGCACCCCCTCAAAAATGGCAAGAATGTCCTGGTAGTGTGCGGGCCTGGCAATAACGGTATGCAACTTGTTATTCCCACAATGCATGCGAGATCGAGGCAAGATTCAATTCTCTAACAATCCTAATACAGGCGGTGATGGCCTCGTTGCAGCCAGACATCTTGTTCATTATGGATACAAACCTTCCGTGTACTATCCCAAAGAAGGCAAAAATGAACTCTACCAAGTAGGTCTCGAGAGCAATTATCCGTGGCTGGAGCTGCGCGCACCCATGCAATACTATTCTAACAATCATCAAGCGTCTCAAAACTCAACTTCTGAATCTCTCGGTTCCCTTCGTCACCGACTTCACGGCTGCGCTCCAAAGCACAGACTTCCTTATCGACTCCATCTTTGGGTTCTCTTTTGGCGGGCCTCTGCGCGAGCCCTTCCCTTCTATTATATCGCAAATCGAAACTTCACCAGCTCCGGTCTTAAGTGTTGATGCACCGAGTTCCTGGGATATTCAAGCAGGCCCGCCAAAAGAGGGCCCTGGGGCGAAGTTCATGCCTGCAGGGTTGATTAGCCTGACCGCGCCAAAGCCGTGTGTGACGTTCTACAAGGGCAGGCATTTCGTAGGAGGTCGATTCTTGACCCAAGGCATCGCAGCGAAGTACGGGCTTGACTGTCCGTTATATCACGGAATTGACCAAGTTGTGGAGGTGTTTGAGGATGATGAGGGCGGCTTTACGTATAAGTCACCGGAGAAGGGCGGATCAAAAGTCTAGCATCCACAAAACCGGGATGGCTGAACGATGTAAGCAAAGAAAGGAAGATAGTAACAATGTGTGGATATTGCGTTGTCGTCATTAAGAAAGTAGCGTGAGTAAGAAACCTATCTATGTCCGCGGTAAGATACAACAATAGACCTGAGCATTAGAAAGCCTCCCTTATCTCGCCGATGATGCCCTTGATCCGCGGCTCTTTGCCAGGGCCGGACAGAGCCACTTTGGAAAGAACCTTTTCAATTTCATAGACTTCTTTCGCGGCACTGTCAACTTCCGATCCCAGAGCTTTGGTCAGAGTACCCAATGCGACAAGGCCGCGGTAGACTACCTCGGAATCCTTCTCTCCAAAGACAATTCTGATCACCTCCTCCAGAAGTACTAAGCCTCTCTCGGCCGATTCAGGGTTCTGTTCTCGGCCCTCAGAGGTAAGGTATACAGCAAAATTGATGTACAGAGTGGCGATGGCGATGGTGAGGTTACGGTTGGGTGAGTCTCCACTGTTTGCCAGGGAGCATTTCACACCAGCCACAATCTGATCGAATCTTTCGAGGGCAAGGCATCGGCCCTCGGCCGTCTCAAAGAGATTGGCGAACGTTCGGATCGAAAGCATTGCATTATTGACATTGAGAGGAGCGTCAAAAACGCCGCTAGACAGAATAGCTGAGACGGCATCTTCGCCGTCAAATTCTGCGGTCGCGGTGTATGATGAGGCTGCAGCCAGCAGACGTAGGAGATCCAACCCGGGAAGCCTGTTGGCAGTGGGCCACGAAGTAGCGATCTTGAGTATCAAGGGGACACCAGCTTGAACTGCCGGCGAATCGGTAAGCTGCTGAGAGGATTCTAGTTCCTCACATAAAGCGACAACAGATTCCACTTCTGAGGGACTCAAAGCTTTGCCCTTTTCACCTTCTGAAAGGAACTTATCATTCAATTCCTTAAGTTTCTTTACAATAATCTTTAGGTTCGCAGATCGAATTGACAGATAGGTCTTTTGCGGGAGGACTTGCGGACGGGGCTCCGGAGCAGGTGGTGGAGCAGCTTCATCAGTGGACGCATCGCCAGGGCGATACCGTCGCTCTGTGCCCCATGGATCTGCACCTTCATGCGTGGGTTCCTGAGACCGACCGAGCGTTGCACCCTGGGTATTTTGCGTTATAAAATTGGCGACTTGGTCGAGGTAGGATATGGGTAACTCGTTGTCCTGGATGAATTTGGTCGCCGCTTCATATGGGTTTTGGGAGACATTGTATGGGAGCTTGAGAGGAGGCTTGCCATCCTCAATATCGACATCAAAGACATAGTCGTAGTCCTGCCCCTGATAAGAGTTCTTGCGCCCATTGCTTCCTGCGGAATCAACTACCGTACCCACAGCAATCCATTCCTGGGTTGCGGAGGACCAAGTGTGGGCAGTAACACTTCCATCCGTTTCATGAATCATTTGGATCTGACCATCTTTTGTCCCCGACTTCTGTTTCAGAAAATCGGGCCCAGGAAGTTGCTCTTTATTAATATTGCCCACTTGTTGTGCTGGGATCGCCGACTCCTTGACGGCTTGTTCAAATTGCTGTACAACTTCGGGCGCGGCATGGCGGTCGGGACTTCGGCTGAAGACACGCGCAATGCGGTCGCTGGCACCCGTGACAATATCGCCATTCTCATTGCACACAGCGACACTCCATACCGAGGTGGCTGGGTGTGTGATCGTCTGAATGCATTGAGTGCCCTGCCATACCCTGACGGTGCGATCCTCGCCTGAGCTTACCAGCTCACCCGAGGGTAGCGCAGCAAGGGAGTATACGAAGCTCTCATGACCGTGGAGGGAGGCAACAAGGTCGCCTGTTAATGTGTAAAGTCGAATAGTGCCATCGTTACTGGCCGTAGCAAACTGCGCCCCCGTCGGGTTCGAGGCTGGCACCTTGCATAGCGCGCGAACGACATCGTTAGAGTTCTGGAAACTGCTGAGGAGGGTGCCGGAGGTATTGAATATGCGAATCATTTTATCGGCACAGCCTACGTACCGTCCCTGGTGATTAGTTCCATTTCCAGAGGAGAGTTGGTTACCACAAAAAAGCTACTGACTCACCGGTAATGATAGTGTTCTTATCATAGGCGAGGACAGCCCAAACGGTTGCTTCGTGGCCATCCAATGTCAAATCTGCTTCCCATTTCCCAACGTTCCAGAGACGAGCTGTTGAATCCCAACTCCCACTTACTATCCACTCCCCGTCTGGTGACACGTCTAATGCGCAGACATTATGACCATGCCCAAGCAGCATGGCATCGGCATTATCGTCTGCCGCTTTGCCAGGCTGTCGCGCTTCGATGATTGTATCTTGGCCACCAGATAGAATCAGACCGTCCGGAAAGGCAGAGGTTGGGGAAAGGTATGCTAAGCTGTTGATAAAGGCCTGGCCATGGGTTGTGATGGTGTAATCGAAGGTTGGGGGTGGGGTCGAGACAAGCTTCCACAGGCGAACGGTTGCATCACGAGAGGCGGAAAGTACGACATTGGGGTTTGGGAAGGCCACGGCGCGAACCTGGTGCCGTGAAGAGAGACGTTAGAAGCTGGATGTCAAGGCGCCAACAAGGTGTCCGATAGGGACGGGGAACGGAGAGAGCACTTACATCATCGCCGTGACCTTCCAGAGTCGCAGAAATCTTGAACTCAGGCATACATACGACCAGAACGGGTCAAAGCGAGTGAAATGCGAAGACAAGAAATCAAGGAACACAGATGTACAGAGTCACACCCCGTCGCAAGGTAGTTGTTGTCCTTTAGTCGTTCTGGGGTCCCCGCCTGCGCATCATATCACGTGGGCGGTGGAGCTATGACGAACATGCTAGAAGTTGATTTCCAATTTCGATTCAGAACGATCTGTAGCTTCAGCCCTTCCTGGGAAACCGACAGGGACTTTGAGCTATATATAACCCATACATATATGCTATTTTATTGAAAGTCTTTTTTGGCAAATTTAGAACCATTTTCATGATTTGTGTTGAAAATGAGCCTCTGAGTCTATTGGTAAACCTGCTCCAAGGCTAAGTTGATGTACGCGATTTAGAGCAAGTCGACATATTCAGGAGTAACACAGGCAATGTAAAAGACAGCCAGTCAATCACCAGCATGCAGTGCCTTTCAAAGCAATTTGCAGCACATTACACAGGATCAATCTATATTTGCATTTTGATCATCGTATAGTCAATATGAGGGGGTGGAAGCATGCCCGGGGCCAATTGGTCCAGCGCCTCGGATTATGATGGTCTTCAATGGGTCCTCTAAGAGAATGAGTGGGGAACTACGCCAAAATAAGGAGGTATCTACTGCTTTGGCGACAGGCAAGCCGCCAGATTGGTACCCAAGCAACGTCAAGCAGAATCCCGCGGGCTACAGGAATTGACAGGAGTTGGCGGTGAAAGCGGAAAGAATCCCCCTCCGTGCGGTCCCAGAAAAATTGAAGTAGAATAAATGTTTCAAATTTTTTTGGCCTTACCAACCAAGACGCCAGTAAAACCCCGGTCACTTAGGGTTGTAGAAGTGACTTCATCCAGATATCTCGAGGTTGCGGAAACACGTGCTTAAGCCTCATCGGGGCTAGTGTAGTGGGCTTACCTAAGAGCGGCTGCAGGTGACCCGTTATTTCAATATCGAAAGGCTCCGGTTGAACAACATCGCAGGACTTCCTTTTCTGCTTCTGCACGCAGGGTGCTTTGACATTCCCTCCTTTCAGTCCTTCTGTAAAAGACTCTTGATGACCTGACGACCCTGACGAATCTCTTTTGTACTTTCCTTAAGACAAACTCCTGGCGTGAAGGGCCACCAATTTTCCCCTGCTTGCGCGCTTCCACTGAACGAACTCCCTGTTTTTCTCTTTATATCGCCCCTGCAGGCTGTTTGAAAAGAAAAAGTTTCCTCCAAGATAAGATGGTGTCTGGTGAGTCTCAAACTGGATCATATTGCCCATCACTTTTAGCTGCGCAGCTAATGTGGACCCCGCAGATATTCCCAAGGTGGTCCCTCTCACCTGCCACGGGCACTCTCGCCCAGTGACTCACTTGAGCTTCTCCTCGACTGTGGAAGAAGATCAATACTATCTAATCTCTGCTTGCAAAGGTATTTACCCGATGATCGACAGAACATTCAAAGCACATCTAAATTAACCCCGCTACCAGATAACAATCCTATGCTCCGGGATGGTATCACCGGTGACTGGTATGTAAACATCTTTTATCTGAAAGGGTCTTTATGCTTGATACAGAGACTTATCCAAACTTCTCCAGGATTGGTACATTCTTAGGCCACAAGGGTGCAGTATGGCAAGCGCGGCTCTCTGCTGATGCAGCCATTTCAGCCACAGCCTCAGCTGATTTCTCCGCGTATGTCTCACATCAATGATCCACCAAGAAAAGAATATCTAAAAACTGAACGCAAAGACTAACTCCCGGAACAGCAAAGTATGGGACACGTACACCGGCGAGTGCCTGCACACTTTACAGCACGCTCACATTGTGCGAGCCATTGCGTTCCCTATCCAAGCCAACCCGCAGGTCCTCGCAACTGGCGGCGCAGAAAGAAGCTCCGTATCTTCGACTTGACCCGCAGCGCTGCCGGTGGAGGCGGCAGTAATGGTTCCTCGCCACCGCTCCCCGCGCCCAGCAGCGGCAGCGGTGGGAACACCACCGACTCGGTAACCAGCTATGAGATTGGGCCGGGCATCCACGGTGGCACGATCAAGTCTATCGTCTGGAACCATGACTACAACATCATGACGACGGCCGCAGAAGATCGCAAGATCCGTTGGTGGGATCTGCGCTCTCGCCATCCCGTCATGGAGTACGCCGTCGACGGCACAATCGGCACCTGTGAGTTGAACAGTCTTGCCTCGCGGTCGAACGACCCTGGAATCCTGACCGTTGCCGCGGGCAAGAGCGTTTATCTCTTCGACGGCACGCAGCCGGGCCGGCTGCTGAAGAAGGTCGACTTCGGTTACGAGGTTGCCAGTGCCGCAGTGAACAGCGACTCTGGCCGCCTGGTCACAGGCAGTGCCGGAGACACCTGGGTGCGGGTGTATGACCTGCACACGGACGAGGAGCTAGGTACGCGTCTTACCCTTTTCCCTTATCAACCCGGTAAGGGCTTTCAATAAAGATACTAATAATTGACCGCAGAAGTCCAAAAGGGCCACCACGGCCCGATCTGGTCCATCGGCTTTTCGCCCGACGGTAAGCTGTACGCCACGGGCAGCGAAGACGGGACCATCAAGCTTTGGAAGGCGTGCCGAGAGCCATACGGTCTGTGGCGGTGAAAGAGGGCTCGACATGGGCCCCTCTAGTGCACAACAAAATAATCAGAACGAGCGCCCCAGGTAGCTTGTGTACCCTGTTACTCAGCCCTTTCGATCCCGGTGGCTGTTGCGTGGATTATTATAACAGATCTTATACCCCTGGCCTTTTTCCGACGCCATGCCCGGGGTTCTCAATTGGACCCGGATCTTTTCTCTGCTACTAGCACCGTAGTGCTGTTTACACAATGCTTGCACTGGGGTGTATACATTTAGAGAGAAGTCTTGTCCAGATGTTGCAGAATCTATTTTATTCGAAATGGAAATTCGTTGTCGAGTAAGAAAATAACTAAATGTCGTCTATGACCATTGTTTTGAAAGGGGAGATGGCCCAATTGAAACCATTGACAATTTCATGATGATGAAATTACATATCTTCCGCCCCCTAGCCCTTCCGCATGTTCCTTGAAAAAAAAGTCAGAGGCCCAAATCGTGCAGTGGAAACATTGAAAAGCAATAGTTTCCCCACAAACCATGGGTACCTCGCTGCGTTGTTTTCAGTCATGTTTGCTGTTACCACGCGAAAAAAAGCAGTTGGGGAAATTCCCACACCAGAAAGCAACTATCAGACCGCAAATATATGGCTCAGTTCCCGAGTCGATGAATAAAGCCACCCGAACAAAACCCGCCTCACTCGATCATGTCGATGTCGTCGTCTGCAGCTGCAGGTGCCACAGCAGAAGCCGCAGCGGCCGGCACAGCCTGGTCGGCAGGTTGACTGGCTGGCTTGTCCGTAGCCTCGGCACCGGCGTTGTTGTTGCCCCAGTAGTCATCCATCTCCTGGTCCAGCTCCTCCTGGGTCTTGCGCGGGCGACCGTTCGCATTACGACGTCCACCGCCGTCCTCCGCATTGCGAGCACGGTTGTCGCGCCCACCGGCACGACGACCACCCCCGTTCCGACGAGTCGGCGAGCGTTTGCCAGGAACGTACCGGTCGATATGTTCGGGGGCGGGCTTGGTAACATCACTGCGGCGCGCACGACCTCCATCGCGACGACGTCGGGATCCGTCCTCGGCGTCGCTGGCAGGGCTCATACTGCGAGCGTCACGGCCAGGGCGCTCGATACGGTCGAATAGGGTGTTGGCGTTGCGTTCCCGGCGGCCGGGGACAAGGGTGAGACGAATGGGCTGACCCTTGGCGTTGGCGCCATCGAATTCGCGGAGAGATTCGTGGGCATCTCGCAGGTGGGTGTATGTGATGAAAGCAACGCCCTCAGAGCGTCCAGCGCGGTCATAGTTGAGGGACAGGGCGGAGACAGGGCCGATTTTACTAAAGAGATCCTGTGATTCCAGACTAGATTAGAGGCTTTTCCTGGCAGCGGTTGGGATGTTAGACTCACCTCCAGATCACTCTCTGTAATGTCGTAATGAAGGTTGTCAACGCGGACCTTGGTCAAGGCAGGGCCACTATAGCCTTGATTAGTATTTCTCAACGACAGAACGGCGTGATCTCTAGCATGTGTCCTACCGATCGGGCGATGTGGAACGGCGACCGCGGCGAGGTCCACGAGATGGGCGAGCTGGAATAGCGGTTAACGAAGGTGGACAGATATCCAATTCAGGTAGGACGATATACCCTCTCGGTCATCTTCGTACTTATCGTGCACCCAGTCGCTAAACCCAGTCAGCATTCACATCCGGACCGCCACGAGAAAATGAAAGGGAAGAAACCATCTTACAGGTTTAGATCGACACGGTCTTGTGTGTAAGGCTGTTGGAATCAAGAAAAATGAAATAAAGTGTTAGCTCCAAGTCAGGGCAGGTAATGTGTACGTTGCAGTGCGTTTTTCCAAGTCTCCGCGGCGGCCATTTCGCTGGCTAGCGTCCAATTACCCAGACGTCTGGCCAAGATCGTGGTATCACGGTACAAGAGAAATCGATAGAGGAAGAGGAGGGCGGACCTAGAAGGGATAGATTATCGGTCAATCAGCTTTGCTGTTTCTCTTGGATGCGACGGTCGACCTGGGTATTGTTTCGGAGGATGATACCTTTCTGACGCCATCGCGATCACCACGTCGACGACCTTGGTTGCGCCGACCACCAGAGGGGCGATTTGGTTTGTGCTGCAGTAAAGATGGCCGTGTCAGTCAATGGGTGCTGGCGGCTGAAGCAGATGAGAGCTGGATGTCTTACTGTATCTTCAGCGATGATCTCGTCGAGACTCCGATCCATGTTGGCGGATGGGAAGGGAGCGAGGTGGTGGAAACACGGTGTTTAAGAGGAGGCAAGTGAAGAAACTAGCCAGGAAAGTTTCTCGCGGGAGTTGGAAGGGATTGAGGAAGAGAATGGTTGGATGGTCTGCCAGTAAATTGGGGATTACCGCTTCTTGGGGATGCGCGATCCACTGGACCGCCAGAGCGCCAGATCACGTGGTTAGAGGCAGCCTAGACCCTGTCTCGACACACCGACAACGTTTGGGATTGGAATAGATCAGCCATGGCCCTGCAGAGTGTGTTTATCCCTCAAATATGCCTCAGGTGGGTGGATTGAATGAGCTTCCCCATCGAGAATTTAAGGTCTTTGCTCACGGACAATGGAAGTCCATAGATGGTGAAGCAACCAAGTTTCATAATTTCCTACAAGATGTTCTCAATACAAATAGCTTTCCAAAGTTATTCCATGGTATCCTGAATCAATACTAACAAGACTGGCATGCAGAATAAGAAAGAACGCGAGAACCACCAACCCCCAGGATGTATGCTGGATATGGAAAAGGAAAAGAAAAAGAGAAAGGAAGACATAGAGAGAAAGGGACAGAAACACCAGCCCAAACCCCCCCAGAAACGAAACAGAAACCACAGACCTAATCAACGCAATACAATCCCCCCCCTTTATAGCCGGCTGTGCAAAGTATCACTGTAACAATTCCTATTTCTACTTTTTCATTGCTTTCCTCCGTTCCTTTTGTTGTCCTCGATCATCTTTTCCATGAAACTGATGTAGTCAAATTTGGCCAGATCCCGGTCCTCCAGGAGATCCGGACCCTCGTGCTGTGGCATAGTCTTGACTAAATGCTCGATGACTTCATCTGGAATAAGTGAGTGACGCAAGTCAAGCTCCGTGACATAGGGCTATGGATGGAGTTAGTCTCATGAATAGACGGGCAGAGGGTGAGAACATAAAATGAGACGTACCTTGCCATCGGCAACTTCCTTGAAACTCTGGAAAACTTGCTCAGCCGTATTTTGGTCTTCGGTCACGCTGACCATGAATCGAATGAATTGCTCGAAGCTCACACCGGCATTCTGAGCCAGGCGATTCGGGCCGCAGACCTCCACGTAGACTTGGTGCATTTCTTCTTCGTCGTAGACCAATCCGAGACTGGCCAGGGCGGCAGAGAATTCGAGCTCGTGCAGCGTGTTGGAGGCATCGCGGTCAAAGTGGCGAAAGACAGACTCGAACTCTTCGAGCTGGATGGGAGTCAGGTTGGTCATGTTGCGGGCCACCATCTGATTCTCCAAGAAGGCCAGCTTTTTCGAGATACTCGACCTGACCAGACTGAGTTCATACGACAGCTCGTCCAGGGTGTATGTGGTAAAATCGTTCTCTTCAATGTTGGCCTCGGCACATTGCTCGTCCAGTTCGGCGATGGTGTCGAGGAATGCATCCAGAGGAGGCAGATTATCGTTCAGCTTCTTGACATGGTCCAACTGATCTTCAACATCCCCATCTAGCCCGGAAATGGCAAGCGACAGCGTCTTGAGAGTGAGTGCAAAGTCGTTGGCTTTGTCAGCGAACGACCGGCGCAGGGCGTTCTTGATATCGCGAATGGTCTCGTTGATGAGTTGACTGCGCTGGTGCTCATCGCGAGTCAGACACTCCCACTCTTGGTCGCATGTCTCCAGACTCAGTTCCTTTGGCGGTTCGTACGCACGGAGTCGATACGTGCCCAGCTTGGTTTTGATATTGCCCAATAGAGCTGCCAGATCGGATTTTTCGGCCACCCATTGTCGTTTTTCGTTGCGTTTGTACAATGAAAACTGGTGAGCCTGTTCTTTGACATCCTTGTAGGTTCCCTCAAACGACGAGTTTTGCCATCCTTCCCGCTGGGCGCGAATCAGTCGCAGTAATTCTCTCATTCGACGCTCGTATCCCGTCTGCATATCCCAGGCACCGTGCATATTGTTGACAAATTTCTCCACGCGGCGGCCAGCATTCTCCACACGCTCTAGCTGGGAGAAGGCGTGAAACCAGTAGGCGATATAGGTCATCAGGGAACGCTCGTCTGGCCGCGGTACGTCGCACACGTCATCTACATCGAGCAGGTCGGGAATGCCAATCTCGTTGGAGGCGATCTCGAACGCCAGCTTCATGTTTCCGCGGTGGTCGCTCTTGTCCAGGGAGTCGTAGTCGATCAGATCCGGCCGGTGAATGTCGAGCAGCGCGCAGAATGCAAGGCCGTCATTCCAGCTGGACGAAAAGTCTCGCACCTCGACGTCCTCATAGCAGGCTGTCTTGCGTTGACACCACAGCAGCAGGCCTTCCTTGGCGGTCATACCCTCCTCATTGATGTCGCTAATTGTGAACCGTAGAATGAGCGTCCAGATCAGACCGAGGATGATCTTGCGGTTGCCGTCGACGATATCTTCAGCGCCGATATTGGTCATTTGAATCCTCCGGCCCCGAATGAAGTCTAGACTTTTATTGACATTTTCGAACTTCTGCACGCGCAGCTTGGGCTTGGAGGCATATCGACCGAGGGATTCACCACCTAGAATTTCGAGGAGGTGGATGAGCATGACCTAATGAGAGAAATAAGAGGACGATATCAGTGATCCGATCGCTCGCAGACCGAGGCGCATATTTTGGACTGGAGGCCTTCGGTCCATTTCGAAGCCGGAGTGGGAGGAGTACTCACCCCATCGGAGAGATCAGTGACCAAGTCATCGATGGACAAGGTCCGCGCCTTCAGCTTGTCATTGAGCCTGGAGCGTGATTCAGGTTAGGGTCGGGGTCAGAGTGGTCGAGCGATTGGAGGGGAGTGGGAAGGAAAGGATGAAGAGCATAGGATGAGAGGGGTTCGACAGCGTGAGGAACATACCATTTGGTGAAGGTCTTTTGTTGTACATTGATCCACTGCTTCTCGACCGTCAACATGTTCACGGCGACGACATTCCAAGGCCTTTTTTGGCGGGGGTGAAAAGAGGAGAAGGAAGGTGGGCACGAAAGGGCGATCCTTTTGGAGGGGGAGGGGGACCTGTCAAGTGCCGATCGGGGCTAGCGAGACAATGAAGAGAATCAAATTGTGTTGCTAGTGCAGCGAATTAAACGTCTGTTACCTGACTAGAGACTGTTTAGCTGGTCCGACAATAATCCCGAGTCGCGAGTTCGTGCCTGGGGCGCCTCCAGGGGCGTGACCGCTGTCACTGGGTCTCCGGATCGCCCTAGCAACCGAGCCTTCTGGACTTGTCTCTGTGCTTTCGACCGAGCTTATCTCTGCCCTGGATATCTGATAGACCATAAGACTGCAGATGGCTACTAATCCTGCTCCTGCTCGATTTCCTCGTGCCAATCAATCCATCCTGGTCGGTTGTTTTCATTGTTTCAGGAGAACCTCCTGAAACCAAGTCGAGCAGCCAACGAGAAGTACCCCGGGCTTGCCAACCATGGGTGCTTCCATCCCGGGCGATCGGGCTCCCCACGAACTCGGAGATCCGGGCAGAGAGCCAATCGCAGGTGGCTTGCGGGAGAAACACAGGACGAGTCACACTAGTAGAGGAGCTAGAGTCATCGGAAGTACATTCACGGGAATTGATCGAGTTGTACGCCCGCGATCAGTTCGAGACTCTTAAACCATCTATATCGTGGAGTACTCCCTCGTGTTGGTGCCAGAGAACAGAAATTTAAAGCCCTCTAAGTTCATGCTTCTCTCGTCAGAAGATCAGGACTGGATCACCTCGAATATTTCTAGCGCCCTATACCGTGACCCATAGCGCCTGTATCACGCAATCGTGGTGATGATGATAATGAACTAAACGAACAAACTAATACTTACTAATTCTCCCCGGGGCTGGGCTTGCGGCCTGAGTAGAATAGTTAACTAGTTAGTTACTTCCACTATGAGTAATCGGATGATATCATTCCGCGAGCTTCGGTTCCGGCGGGGCCTCGAAGACCGCAGATTTCCCCTCCATAATACAGCTTCATCCATCCCTCCTCCTATTTTCTTCCCTCCCCCTCCCTCTCCTTCATTCCCTCTTCTGTAATATCCAATCGTGCATAATCTACCTCACACACCATCCAGCATGACCCTCCACCTCACCGACCGCCTCCCCCTCACCAACAGCCCCGCGCGCATCCCGCGCCTCGGCTTCGGCGTCTACCGCTCCCCAGCCGACCAGTGTACCCAGTCCTGCCTTGAGGCATTGGCCGCTGGCTACCGCCACATCGACACAGCCCAGTTCTATGGCAACGAGAGCGAGGTAGGCAACGCCCTGCGCGCCTCCGGTGTGCCCCGCGATCAGGTCTTCGTCACAACCAAGATCCTCAGCCCCGCTGGCTCCGTCGACGCCAATTACGACAAGCTGCGCGCCAGTGTCGACAAAATTGCCGGTCCGGACGGTTATGTCGATTTGTTCCTCATCCATAGTTCCAAGTCCGGGCCGTCAGGCCGCAAGCAGATGTGGCAGGCGCTGGAGCGGCTGTTCGAGGAGGGCCGCACGAAGAGCATCGGCGTGAGCAACTACGGCGTGCAGCATATTGAGGAGATGAAGGCGTATGCCAAGGTGTGGCCGCCGCAGGTGAATCAAATTGAGGTATGGTTGTCTTATTTCTTTCTCCCACATACACCCTCTCTTGTGATATTGCGCTTTTTTTCCCCCTTTTTTTCCTCGCTCCCTTTCACCTGGCGTATATTGCACATCTATGTTTGAACCGCAGAGAAACTAACGGGCTTACTTTCCTTTCCTCCAACAGCTCCACCCATGGTGCCAGCAACGGACCATCGACGCATACTGCAAGCAGCACGGCATCGTGGTCGAGGCCTACTCGCCCATCGTGCGCAACTACAAAGCCAACGATCCGACACTGGTCGAGGTGGCCCAGAAGTACAACCGATCCACGCAGCAGGTATTGATCCGCTACGCGCTCCAGAAGGGGTGGGTCCCGCTACCCAAGACCGACAACCCGGGGCGGATCGTTTCCAATGCAGACGTCTTCGGCTTCAATCTCGATGCCCAAGATATGGACACGTTGGACGCGCTCGACCAAGGAGATGCCGGGGCGATCGTGGAAGCGGTGGCCAATGAATAAGCAATGTCCCGAGTATTACCTTACATTTTTCTCTCTTTTCCCCCTCGAGGCCCGAGGTCTTGAGGAGGGGGCACAGTACGTGCGTTGGAAGCTCAGGCAGGCATCAAGAAGGCGTTGACAGACTGAAGCGTGGACCGGGACGGGTTCACGTCGTGCTTGGAGGATACGATCCAGGCGAGGCGCTGCCGGATGAACTGTTTGCTGATAGAGCGGGTGCTCTGTGATGCATCGAAGGCCCCTGGAGTAGATATACGTCAGTGCTTGATTTCCTTTTGTTATTTTCTTTCTTCTCTTCTTTTTTGGATTCCCTTTTGCCGTTTCTATCTAGCGTTTCTGAATCCAGCCCGGGGTTGCCTGGGGCACTTTTTTTTTGCATTACCTTCGTCATTGTAGAACAAGCAGATAATAGCAAGTAGGGCACCTGCCGAAAGATCCTTGCCCGTTTCACACGTCACCAGAAGCGATCGCGTCGGGTGCGACCCCAGCTGTGCGCCGACAAAGTCCTTCACTTGATCGAGTGCCTTCCGTAGATCGCGACTGCCTAGCTTACCCGATGCACAGCCGAGGCCGAGCCTTGTTTTACTTTCCTCAACGGCAGCAGGGGCGCCGCTGCAGTCGATGACGAGGTCGTAGCGCGATACGTCAAGGGCCGCGTCGGACTGCGCGAGGTAGAGATTGGCCGTCGGTGTAATCAGTGTAGTCTTGCAGCTCGTGTCATTGCGGTTATACTCGGCGACCAGGTCCGCAATCAGATCCGAGAGGTCTTCCTCAGAGGTGCGCTTCAACAGGGCATGGTTCGCCCAGAAAACAGGCGGCGTGAGGCCGTGTGCCCACCCCTCGCTGTCGTCGCCAGCGCCTTGGATATACCCGCCTTCGGACATCTCGGCGCCGTGCACCCGCTTGGAGGCGGAGCAGAGTACCAAGAGGTGGTAGGCATTGCCCGTCTGCAGGTCCGTCGGGTAGAAGTATGCACGATTGGCCCAGGCCACCCGGAGCGGTTTGCCCAGCTGTTGTCTGAGATGCTCGAGATCAAGTTTGAGGCCCTGGAAAGCGGGAAAGGTGAGACGGTGTCAGTGCCCACTCTGGCTAATCCTGTCATCCGGGTGAGGATGTGAAAGGGTGGCGTATCGAGGTGTGCGCATCCCTGACATATAGGTGCAGGGATTTGACAGTAATCATACCTTTAGCGAAGAAACAAAGCCGTCGATGCGGTTTGCGATCTGCGATTCTTCCGACTCGCCGAGATAGTTTGGTGGAAGCTGGACGGAGTGGTATGCAGTTTGGGTCGGAAACAAGGCCCGGTTGATGACAGCACACCAGATCGGCACCGTTTTGGATAATGCATCCGGCATTACTAGACTCATCAATCCATGTCAGTGCGTTGGATGGTGACGGTGACCAGGGCTCAAAGCGGACCAGATGCCAGTTTCTGCCGTGGCTAATTGGGTAGGGGTCCCAGGGGGATTAGGGGGGACATGGACTTTCTAGTTTGTACTTACATTTACCTCGGCGCGTTGAATCAACGATGACACATCTACAGCGAGGATTAACCAGGTTAGCTTGCGAATGTGATACTCGAAACGCGTACAAGGATCTACACATGAACCCATTCTTCGACGGGAATATCCTGAGAGACCAACGGGTATGGGAGATTAGACGAACCCTCCATGCTCGCTCGCCAGGGGAAGCAGCTGCAGGTTGAGCCTGCGAAAGCTAAAGTCCCACTGGCCGGTATGGCCGTCGGTGCTTTTGAAATAAGCGCTGCCTGCCTTGGCGCTAGGATCAATATACCAACTGCCACAGCGTTCATTGGCAACGAGGGGTAGGCCATAGTGATCTGCTACCTCCCTTACAAAGGCGGCGTCTGATTCAATTGACTGCAGTCGGTTGGAGACTGACAAGGCAGATCGCCGCAGAGATGAGAGGGTCTGCGAGATGGACTGCTGGGCGGATGGGAAATGAAGAGCATCCAGGGTCGGGAATGAGCCGGATGCCATTTTGGTCCGGGCGATCAGAGACGGTCGACCTGGAATCGGATGGTATTTTGAGTATGTTGTTTATAGTCGGGGACGCTCTCCCATTTGTTCCGCTGGTGGTACAGGTAGTACTGCGAGAACTATCCAGGCTCGTCTGTCTGTTCACGACCCGTTTCGAACGGATTGGAACTTCCGGGCCAAGGATTCAATTCGAGGTTCTCAAACACACCGCGCGAAATGGCAATTGTTGGACAGAAGCAGTCACCAAAGCAACACCAACACTGGAGGCAGCTGTGGACGTTGAACGTTGTGGGAAATATAGCAGATGCGATTTGAGGTCCACAGTCGGAGACTGGGACCAATCAGACAGGCGACGATCCGTTAGGATTGAGCATCGATGTCCCGCCGGCCCACTCGGGCTCATTTCAGCCAAGAACCAAGAACCTGGACACAACTTGGGTAGCTGACCGGAGGATGGGAGCGCGAACAGGAACAGAGAGAGCGAGAAGGCTGTGCGAGTGGAGACTCGAGGTTCTTTCTTCGGGGGTGCCCTTCCCTGGTTGAGTCGCATACGTATATGGACGTGCAGGAAGGTATAGTATAGTAAAGAAGGGAAACAACCTTGCATCGCATAGACCGCCAACATGCCAACATGCAGGAAAGACGGGGGTGCATTTGCTCTGAGACTACAAGAGGAACCGCCTTAATGTCTAGAGGTCAAATACGCTGGTTCCGAGTTGACCACATCTATCGGTGCCGGCATCTTCGACGTTGACAAATTAAGCTAGACCTTGGATTACTTGTCAATGAGAAACTAGCAGTGTTGATAGGTGGGAAATCCTATCTTCTACTTCGCTATCATCCTCAATCAACCGCGGCCCATCATCAACCCCTTCTCCCCGGTCCTGCAGCCCTGCACCTCGGGTCATATTGGACCTCTTGAGAATCCCGGCGCGAAGAATCCCCGGAGGCCAACCCAAGTCGCCGTACGACCGTGCCGCGTTGGGACAAGGGGCCCAATCGATCCAATAGGTCCAATAGAACGTGGTGTCCCGGGTCCGTGGGGGGACATGCCGTTGTCATTCTGGTGAGTCGGCGGTTGTCCAGCTCCACGGCGGTCGAGGGTATTGAGAGCAACCAACCCGGCCCCTCGCCGGTCCCTCGACTATAACCGAGACCCGATGCAGATCCCAACTGTTGCTTCTCAGCCTACCCCATCAGCACTAGACGCTCGCAAGGGTTGTGAAACCTGTGAGTTTCCGGCGACAGTCTGTAGGATCATGTGATTGGCGGGGGAAGCTGGGCGCTTCTGGTCGGCGCGTGGGAGGGGAAGTACTCGCTACCTGGGCCGCCATAGTGATGCGCGTCATCCCGCCTACTGGCCCAAGTACCCGGTACCGGGCTGGCACCCTTCCATGACCTCAGCCCGGGAGATTCTCCAGTCGGGCGTCATGCTTTCCTGCTTTCCAGGCCAGCAGAACCCAGCACAACAGGGCCCAAGGTCCTGCCTGCCCTTAAAAAGGCCCGAGACCCCTCTCGTCTTCTTTCTCCTCTTCTTCTCTGGTCCATTGTTCCGCCAACGCATTCCGTTCTCTCTCGACTTGCTCATTTGTTCTCCCCTTCTTCCGTGGACACTTCCCGTTTCGCGCGTTTAGATCTCCCATTCGACCGGCGCTCTCTCTCCGTTTGCCGCGCATTCGTCAACCCCCGCTCTCCGAGTTACCCCCGCTTGATTTTCCACCGATTGACAGACCTCATCCCCGCATCATCTGCCACTATGACCAAGGTGCGATGATCTCAAGTCTCCATGCCCCCTCCAATCCCCAATCTCCAAATGGTCAGCTCGCTTCAAGACCCTCAGCTAACCGTTGAAACATGCAGATCACGGAAATCTTCTTCGATTGCGACAACACCCTGGTGTTGTCGGAGGAGCTGGCCTTCGAGGCCTGCGCCGATCTCGCCAATGAAATTCTGGAGAAGCGGGACATCCCCGATCGCTACACCGGCGACCAGCTCATCAAGGACTTTGTGGGCCAAAACTTCCGCGGCATGATGATTTCCCTGCAGGCCAAGTATAAGTTCGAGATGGCCCCGGAGGAGCTGGAGGCGTATGTCAAGAAGGAGGAGGACAAGGTCATCGCCAAGTTGGAAGCGAAGGCCCAGCCCTGTGTCGGTGCCAGCGAGCAACTCGACAAGCTCTTCGCGGAGAAGAAGTACGGCCTCGCGGTCGTCTCGTCATCGGCCCTGCGACGCGTCCGAGCTTCGATCAAGAAGGTTGACCAGGAAAAGTATTTCGACCACGACATGGTCTTCAGCGCCGCTACGTCCCTGGAAAAGCCCACTTCCAAACCCGACCCGGCCATCTACCTGCACGCCCTGGAGAAGTGCGGCAAGACTGCCGCGGAGACCGTGACCATCGAGGACAGCAAGTCGGGGGCGTTGTCGGCCATCCGCGCCGGTATCCCCGTGATTGGCTATGTCGGAAGCTACAGCCCGGATATGCAGGAAGAGATGAGCAACCGTCTGCTAGATCTGGGGGTGAAGATCATCATGAAGCATTGGTCTGAGTTCGAAAAGTGCTTGAGCTTTATCGAGAACAGCCCCGCAGAACTGCCGCAGTCCAGTCTGTGATTTGGCCCTCCGGCTTTAGATTGGCTTTGAATCCTGCTACACCTCACATGATCTTATGACAGCAAGCGAGTGGTCGTTTTGGAGTTATACTTTTTTTCTCCCCACTGAACATCTTAAATACTGGCCCGATCTGCAAATCGGGCTCGGGATGCCTTCCATTCCGCCTTCGTCCCTCTAGAACAGGTGATATTCAATATTGGATGCAAATAGATCTGGGCGTCTCTAACCAGGCTGCAATGGATCTACATCTGCCACCGTTCCTAGTCCCCTTCTTCCCTTCCCCTTTTTTTTCTCTCTCTCTGTCCTTTGCATTAATAGGTAGCTTATCAAACCGCACGCATAGACAGGTATGCATAGACAATAAGATACCAAATATCCCTTGTCTAGCTATATGAGAAAAGAAAAATCCTAAAAAATCCAATGAATATATTTGCTGAAGTCCACCTGCTACGATCTTTAATCTCGTCACATGAGAAAGAAACACTCATGTACACGTAATACAGCACCCCGCCAGTCATGTTTCATGTTGAACATTAACTTCAGACATCCCTAGAGCGGTAATTTGGTAAATAGCATTCCACATACAAAACAAATGCCTATTATCACAGGTCGTTTCTTTGGCATTGAATCCTGGTACGGTCCGCCCTGGCGCAATTATGAGGCATTTTCCGAAGATGTGTCCAGATTGGCTCAACCTGCAGCATATTATCTACCGCATAACTGGAGTTTGGTAAGTTCCGACTAGACAAACATCGGTGTCCGGTCCTATCCGATTGTTTGATGGTAAAGACCAGGGATGCATGGGGCGCCTCGTATCGTAAGAGACTCCCGACTCGATATACTCGATTTTGCTAAAATGATGGAGAACATGTTAGATTGCTCTAACATAATTGAAAGCGCCGTGTTCCGGGGAAAACCAAGAGAGGAGATCTTGACGAGGCAGACTTGACGAGTAGACAAGGCTTTTCAGGCTACTGTGCACGCTAACAAATAGACCTTTGGACTTCATGTGGCGGTTTCAGTGTGAGGAACTTAATACTTCAAGGGGCTTTTTCACCGCCAGTCTTTTTGTTCTTCACATGATCAATTGGAAAGAAGCACACTCTTGGTTGAGAATAGCATGAGAAGTAAATGATATGTTTCTAACAAGGCCATTATTAAGCTTCACCAAGAAAGATGTCCCCCTTCACCACCGTCGAACGCAGCCCTGCACTTGATCGACCCTCGAGGGATGATAAGATGATCGATAAGGGCTGGCGGCCCAAGCCCCACCACGACGAGCAAGCCCCTCCCTCCCCGCTGCGCCTCATTCATGCTCTGTCAACATTGGGGATAGCTCGAAAACAAGCTCGAGAAAACGAGAAATTGCTGCCCAAAGCCTGAATCAAGAGCCTAGACCACGCAAAGCAAACTTATTCGACCTGTGTTTCTCTCTCATTCGGACCATTTTTGTCTCGACCTGCCACTATGTCCGCGCGCTCACAGGCCAAGTCCAAGCTCGTTTCTCGGGGCCCACTGGTATGTTCTCCGGCACCAGGCTGTGACTCCCCCTCCCCTCCCCCATTTCATACATCTCTGCATGGTGGAATCGTGAGACGTATGAAAACGGGGCACTCGCATGCACCCCGGCTCTTCAAGTCTGACCAAGCATCAACAGGAAAACGCCGATGCCCGCTGGGCTCGTTTGGTCAAGACGACCTATACTGACCCTCTTGGAGTGGAACGAACATGGGAGTCCTCGGAGCGGCAGGTAAGATACATACCACCTCACCCTCTTGCGTTGGGTCTCTCTGCATGGCGTCTCGTGCTTGCCGTCCCTGCCTCCGCTGCACGAGTCCTGGAGTAGCCATATGTCATCTCCACTCTATGACGGACACACATGATCCATCTCCGTCCCACCGCGCCCACGGGATCTCAGCCGCAAATCCCGAATGCTGGATGCCTGGCCAGTGCCAATGACATCCGGCGAGTTCATCCGCAGAAGCATAGAACCGTTTTGCCGATTCGTGTAAGCGGCCAGGACCGCCTTCTGGTGAGGAGGTTCGGTGCACAGCCTCGATTGGCTGCCCCAGAGATCAGACGCGAGCGTGGCTGCTGTCGAGCTCCGGCCTTTTCTGATTCGAGACCCCGAAACCGGGAAACGTAATCATTGCTTGGACCCTTGGGCTAACCTCTTGCTCACAGACACGCCCGGCCAACTGTGAGATCGATGGCGTAGGGATCGTCACCATTCTCAACAAGCCCACCGGCCCGGAACTGCTACTGCAGAAACAGTACCGTCCTCCGATTGATAAAGTAGTAATTGAGGTACCTGCGGGTCTCATTGATGCCGGTGAGACACCAGAACAGTGCGCTGTTCGTGAACTCAAGGAAGAGACGGGTTACGTGGGTGAGGCGGAGCAGACCAGTCCGGTAATGTATAATGGTATGCTACCATGAGTCAAGTTTTCCTATTATTGTTTTTGTTGTTGTTTTTTTAATCCCTTTTCCCCCATCTTTTTTCATCGCATCGTATATTCTCTCGGTGAATACTTGTCTTCGTGTGACTGGCAGCTGATCAATCTTTCTTTTTCTTTTCTCCCATTTCATTTAGATCCGGGATTTTGTAATACGAATCTGAACATGGTTCATGTGCGTGTTGACATGAGTCTGCCGGCGAATCAGAACCCAAAGCCGGAGCTTGAAGACAACGAGTTTATTGAATGTTTCTCCGTGCCCATGGCGACCCTGTTCGACGAGCTGAAGAAGCTGGAACAGCAGGGCTATGCGATTGATGCCCGGGTTGGGACCCTTGCCGAGGGAATCGAATTGATGAAGAAGTGGAAGTTCTGAGTTCAATAGATGGGTATAGATTATAATCTGCACCGACCATGATATGATATGGCCGGGCTGGATAGGCGTTGAGTAGAAAATCTGAACAATATAAACACTCGGAACTCAAGCTTCTGCTCCTGTTACTCGTTCCCTTCTTGATTGGTGACTTTTTGGTCTTCTAGATTTTCCCTTCTTCCTTCAAGCCCTTATAGAGAGCCCATGCAGCCAGCGTCTTCCCATCTCGCAAGCCTTCTTTCCAGAGGTCCTTTAGCGGAACTATCTTCAACGTAATTTTCTCCCCGTGGTCTCGCAATCCAGTCAGCTTGCCCTGCAGATATTCGATCTCTTTCCGCGGCATACGTTTCTGGCACAGAAACAGCGGAATGAACTCATCGCTCCCTCCCGCTGAAGGGTACATGGCTTTTTGCAATCCCGGGTCATCTGCAGACTCCGGGGGAAACTGTAATGCTAATGAAGTCATATCAATCAACTCACTTTCCTCCACCAGCAACCCCGTTTCTTCCTGGATTTCTTTAGCGGCGCTACCGGCAAAGGTCCCTCCGTCGTCAAGCATCCCGGCCGGGATTTCGGAGAACGCCAGAACACCAGCAGGAATACGAGGCTGAACGGTGAGAATAGCTCTTTTCTCCTCTTCTTGGGAGGTAGGAACATCATCCGGTTGTAGGATCAGCTAGACAAGGTGCCCTTTAGTTATCACTCTTTGCCCGAGAGCATCAAAATCCAGCCCGGTCTGGCTGGATAGCAAAAAGGAAGACAGAAGAAGAAAGAAGGAAGAGAAGAAGATAGGAAGGAATTTAGTAGGAAGAAAAAGGGAAGAAAGGAGGAAAGATACACCTACCAGTATCCCGACACTTCCCCCACGCAAGAATACACTGCCCGGTAACCTCTCGCCCGCGCCATTCGACACCTCTGCCTTCAACTTGACAAAGCCCAATCGGCCACCCCCAAAGCGGTCCACGGCCTGGATGTCAATATGTCGCAAGACATACGGATCCCCATGGAACTCATGTGATGGGCGTGACTGCCGCATCAGGGACTGCTGCAGCGTTGTGATCCAAATCTTGAATGCTGGGAACGAGAGTAGATCTTTCCGGTCCAGATCAGGCGTGCTGTTGACGCGCACCTCGGACATTGGGAGCGTGAAGGTGGACATGCTGCTGTTGCTGCTGCTGTCTGTCATGGCAAGTCGACCTGATTGTCCCCACAGCCCGGGTGTCCGTTTCAAAAACCGTGCGGTAAGCTGCAATCGGGGAAGCATATGTAGGTCTCCTTTGAGTGCAATGGCTGAGGCGGTGAGGCCAGATTGGTTGATATCGGGGGAGCTTTTCTTCGTGCTTGCGACGAATTCTTCGCGGATAGCTGCCGGAGACAGTGGATTGTTGTTTGCTGTTTGTTTGCTCTTTGTTTCCTCAATCCGTCTTTAATTGCTACGTCTTTCGAAGCCCCCCCTGGGATGCTCTGTTTGTTGAGGTTGGCAAGGGGTGGGCACCAGGGCGATGTTTGTTGTTTGGCTCGCGACTCGGTATGACGTCCTTTGCCGAGGCGATGGATCCCTAGGCGGGGGAGGATGTTATGGATTGCCAGCCGTCTTTTCGCTCTACCAACGTAGACCGTGTTTCTTCGCCTTGACGGGTTTGATCTGTCTCCAATTTTATTTGATCTATCACTTCTGGCTTAATTTTGGCGATTTTGCCTTCTTAGCGGTGGGTGGTGGTGCTCTGTCATGGTTCATGGTGAACCCCAGTCGATACCTAGGAACTATATTTTGCATTTACAGAGCCGACTTACTTGTTCTTGGCCACATTGAGAATCCTGGATATTGAGTCTACATGATATCCAGGTACACGTCCATGTCAAATTTACCTAGACAACTCGATCGATGATCATGCTTCCATTGATCTCCTAGCACGGACCTGTGAAATTAATTCTCCGCGCTGTCACAGATGATGACGCATTTGGTCTTCAGAGTCATCTCCCTCAGCTGATCTCTCGGTGCTCGACTCTTCTCATGTTGAGCGCGCCAACCGCAGCACTAGAGCCATCTCGCTCTGTTCACATGGAGCTTCTCCACCAGATATCAATCGCTTGGAGTTTGTTGAGTTCTAAGTGCTTGCTTGATAGCCCTTTATGGGGTGAGGGGTGATGGATAAATATTCCAGGGTAGACGTTCTTCCCGAACCTGCCAATCGGCCCTGTCCACTTTCCAAACGAGCCCAATCACGATACAGGGCGGGTTGAATATTGTGGCTAAGGGGGGGTTTTAGGGTCTGCATATGCATTTGTGCTGGAGCTCGAATGCTTCCAAGGCCAATCTAGAACAGTCCTGGAACACCGGATTTCACCCGGGTTAAATGGTACAACAATAAGCTTCCGTCTCCCCATGTCCGTCCTCAACTCTCTAGTTACAGGGCCATGCACAGCCTAGGGACGGGGAGAATCACACTGGGTCATTACTGAATCAGAATCATAAGATTTCATGGTATACGTCGTCCGGGTGATCCTGTCAGGGTTGAAGGAGGTGGAGAAGGGGGGGGGGCGGACTTTTCCACCCGGGCGCAGAACGATCGCTGCCGGCAGGCACGTTCCCTTCCATACTTTATCCCTGCCGCCTTTTTTTTGCTCTCCCCTTACATCATCGAAGTATTTTGGTTTTATACTTTGAGGGCATCCAGGGGTATGACTTTTTCTGGGATCCAGGCGACTTCTTCCCCGGTTGCCTGATTTCCTGGGCCGATGCGAACCAGGCCCGGGTAGCACAGTGTGATACAAAGATCCAAGGCGCGGGTTGCATCGCAAGCACTGGAAAGTTTCCTGGACACTTTGGTTATCTACAAATCCCATAGATCCATATAATGCATTCTTCGCTATCAGGCCACGCCAGAATTTCAAATCATTTCCATGGGAAAATAAGCAGATGATGAAAGGAATCAAGTGGACCTTCTGATCTTCGTTGCTCCCCGACTGGAAGGAAAAAAAAACAATAAAAAAAAAAAAACCACCCCCGGCATTGCGGAAAGCCCTGGTGAGGCCTCGGCCATCGGGGGGTGTGCACCCGCATCAACACTGGCACCCTCTCAAACAAGGCGATGGAGCTGTTTGAATCCTTGAATCTTTGAATCCTGGAAATGCTCCAGAACCCGGCGGAGGCAGAATACCCAGGCTGAGAGCTGGGATCTCGCCAATCACGAAAATGCGTGATGCTGATGTATCATCCGGGAACTAATGTATTCTTCCGGGACCAATAGCACCGCCTCGTCCACTAGCCGCCGTTATCTCCTGATCGTCGACTTCTCCAGGCCCGGGCCATTCAAGTGGTCTTTCTGGCGGGACGGGTGATAGAGAAGATGCGTATGATCTATAGACAGAACGTCTGGAGATAGGGTCATCGGGTGTTGATGGCGCAAAGCGAGATATTTATTTTCAAGAATGAGTTTACCGGCGAGACTTGAGAAGTCTTGAGTCGGGTGTTCAAACCCATGAAGAACGCATGTAGATCCTGATGCGAGGTATCTCGACGTCTAGGTACCTCTATACATCTACATAATGACCTATATAGATTGAGAATCTTGCGATCTCCTTCTCGTGGACGAATAACGGATCCCATTTCAATGGAAGCCATGGTATGATGCTGCAAGCATACCGTGACGAACGCCGAGGTCATTTGTTGTCTTTCTTTCTACGAGAGCCGTATAGGATTTATTTTGCTCGGCGAGCGCGGGTTATGGGCAAGCCCCAACGAGTCCTGCAATGTCGAGCTTCCACGACAGCCATGTGCCCGAGCAGTACTGGGATCCTGAAGTATACGGTCACCTGGGTGTCGTGAGAGGGGAGAGATTATTCGGGCCACCCACAGGAACGAGGAGAATTCCGATGTTTGCGTGTGATATGGTTGGCCAACAAACCACTTTCACACCACTTCGCTCAAAAGAGGTCCGAGAACTTTTCCTTTTTTTTTTTTTTCTTCTTTTCTTTCAACGCTTTCTCTCTTCTCTGTCTCCGATCACGAACCGAATCGAGATAGTCATTTGAGAAAGACGTCATCGAAAGCCCGCAGATAGTATCGGAGTGGAGCGACATATGGCTAAGTTGCAGCCCGACCTTGGAAGGAGGCGGGACCTAGGCGCAAGTGGCATGGAGTGGGCATGCGGTTGATTCGCTTTGCCCTCAAGATCGAGTGATGAGCCCCCAGAGACTAGTGCTCAGGCTGCGAGGCCTACTTAGCTCGGCTCAGTTGGGCAAGGCTGAGGGTGGGAAGGGGATCAATCCCCGGGTTGATACGCGTTCTTTTACGGTTGTTTTGGGAACTGCCACAGTACGGGCAGGGCCCATTGCACAGTAGATAGAAACAGCGTTTCAAGGTGGTTTCTTTGGTCTGGGCGTGGTCAGTGCTTGGTTTCATCGAAATACCGGTGAGCCGGCGGAAAAAGTATCAGGGAGCGGTCTGTTGGAAAGAAAACACGATCTATGCAAGGGCTCGAAGAAAAGCAAGAAATGCCTCAACCACCAGCACCAAAGAGATCAACTCAGTCGACTTCTCGATGTTCGAACTGCCGAGAGAGTTTGATATTTGGTGATGACAGGGTGCCTTCTGTCCTGGAGGTAGTTTCGGGGAGAAAGGGAGGGGCTTACAGGAGTGGAGCGGCTGTAGGTACCGGAACGCCGGGGAGGCACCTGGAGCCATCAGCGGACGCGGCGCTTGCAACTACAGGAAAAACCAGGGAGAGAGAGAAAAAAAAAAAAAAAAAAAAGGAAAAACAAAGCATAAAAAAAGAAAGTGTCTGATGGGGCTTAGTTGAAGTCTCTGCTTTGCCCACTTGCAGCTTGATTAGCCGTGTTAGAACAGGCATGATGAGGATGGTGATGCGAATGCTGGTAGGATAGAATAAATAGAATCGAAAAAACAATATATCGAAGTGGATGAGAGAATGACGAATTAGGCAACATACTCGGTCGTCAAGTGATTTGGATTTCAATATCTGGCAGGGTGCTTCCCAGTGGGCTCCGAATCAGCTTTCGCTAGGCGCCGATGGGGCGTGTGGTCTTAGTCGACCCTATTAAGGCCAGAAGGGCAGCCTCTTAGGCTGCCCCTTCCCTCGCCAACCGTGAGGATAGATGCGACGTGATTCCGATTGCCAGGGTTGCCGGGATTTCTAGGGCTGCAAGCATGTAGGCTATGTATGCCGAGTTGAAAAGGGATATAGACCTGGCAGCGGTACTTTTTAAAATCGGGAATATACAGGAATATACAGGAATATACAGTGCAGGGGAAGTGCAGGCAATGAAGGCAACCGGGGCTAGCGGGATGGGCGAATGAAGGTGAACCCCCACCTCCGACTTTTGGGGTTCGTTTTCCTGCCTTTCGGGGGCTCGGGGGCCAATCTACGTGCCCGAGCTCCTCAGGCCCGGAGGCCCGTAGACTTTATAAAACATACCTCGCCCCGGTGATCGATGATGCCTCAACTTCCCCCACCCACCCCACGCCAGTGCTGCTCCCCGAACCTCTTCCTCTCTTCTGCCTCATCTTCCTGGTCCTTGCGGTCCTCTCTGTCCTCCCTGTCCTCGCCACCGCCATTTTTAGACTGTGGAACGCTTCCACTTCGGTCCCAGTCTGTTGGTACTCAACGCTCCCCACACCATCCAACCATACACGAAAAGCTCCGAGCACGACAGAGCTAAGCTGGTCTTTTCTTTTCTTAGATGATGCTCAGTCGTTAAATCGGGGACGATGGGCGACGGTCCATCACCAATCTTCCGCAAGGACCGGCGCACTGTTGGCGCGAAGCCAGGCGCCTCCCGATTGGGCAAAGTGTGGCGAGGCGCGGGCAGGACCTTGCAGTACGATCTGTCACCCAGGTAAGTCGCATCCGCGTCACCTCGTATTTTCTTTTTTTTTGTTGGGTTGTCTTGGGTGGTTGGAGATCTCGATCATACTGATCTGTGACTTGGTTTATGTATTTGGATTTTTTTATTCGTATTTTGATTTTTATTTGCGGAGTTTTCTGTTCTGTGACCAACTTTTAGTCAAGCTAACCCCCTGTTTGCAGGCGATCGATTGGACGCTTGTTTCCTGATGACTACTCGTCGGAACCGCGCATGGCCAATCGCCAGTGCTCATCAGCCAGCCCCCCGTTGTCCAGTGGCCGCCTGGCCACAAGTGTCCTCGCGGATGACTGTACTTTGGACACGCGGAGTAGCCAGGGAGCGCGAGCCTTCACCTCTCCACGTGCCAGTATCGGGCGAGCCGAGAAGCTGCGTCGCAAAGACGATCCGCGGCCGTTCAAATCTCCTCGCAGATCAACCTCGGCTTCAAATCAACTGAATCAGCTGGCCTGTTATCATGAAGGGGAGAGGAGCTTGCCATCGAAGTCCCTTCGATCCAGCCAGGAGAATGCGCGGCGAGAGCTACGAAGGTTCAACTCAAGTCCGACAGTCCCTCAAGCTCCCACGATGCCACTGGAGGGGAACGAGGATGTAGAAATGCAACTAGATGAGCCGCCTCCGCCAATGTTGGGGCAATATGAACCCAATCAGGCGAAAGAGGCGGACAATGCAGAGGCACAGGCCTTGGCCGCGTCGAGAATAGGGGACTTGGCTACGCAAGAGATGCTTAGACAGCTAGAGACCAATCCAATCACAGAAGAGCAATTAATCAATGAGGTGCGCGGGATCTACGCAGGTCTCGTGATGGTGGAAAAGAAATGCATTGAGGTCGATAGGGAACAGACCGAGTCCAGGGCAGAATTATCGGAATCACAATGGCAAGCGCTGATATCCCTGCATCGAACGTTACTGCATGAGCATCACGATTTCTTCCTTGCCTCCCAGCATCCGTCCGCCAGCCCTGTCTTGAAACGCCTGGCCGAAAAGTACGCTATGCCGGCGCGAATGTGGCGCTACGGCATCCATTCGTTCCTGGAGCTCCTACGACAAAAGCTCCCCGAATCGTTGGACTTTATGCTCTATTTCATCTACATTGCGTATTCCATGATGACATTACTGCTGGAGAGCGTTTCGTCCTTTCGAGAGACCTGGATCGAGTGTCTCGGCGATCTCGCGCGGTATCGCATGGCTGTGGAAGAGTCTGATATGAGAGATCGTGAGGTCTGGGCTGGGGTATCTCGGTACTGGTATAATCAAGATGCTGATTGTAGCCCCGACGTTGGGCGGATTCAGCATCACTTAGCCGTCTTAGCGCGGCCAGACGCTCTCCAACAGCTTTATTACTACACTAAAGCCTTGGTCAGCGTGCGCCCCTTCCTCAATGCCCGAGAGAGTATCATTCTCCTGTTCAATCCATTCAATGGGCAAACTCCTCGGCAGCATACAATGGTCACTGCTTTTATTGCGACGCACAGCGTGATGTTTAAGCGGGGCCCCAGCGAAGAATTTGTTACATTAGCCAATCTTTTCTTTTCTCTTCTGCGACAAGGTATTCGCCATCTCGATCGCCAGGGACAGCAGGGCGTTTACCTGATGTCCTGTAATTTTGCATCGATTCTTCAATATGGCGATCCGGATGCAGTCATGGCCTTGGAATTTTCTCAAAAACATCGAGAGACAGCTGCCGAAGCTCATGCCTTCGCGCTTGAGTGGACTTCTGGCACAGCCTTGCAAAGTCAGACGGAGGAGAGTGATTCCGACTCAGTCGAGGCGATCACTCAAATTTCCTCCCAAGTTGCTTACCAAGGAAGCTCGTTGGCCTTCCATACCCTCTCTGTGTTTTTGGAGCAAATGGGAGATCCCAACATATACCCTAGCGTTCACGTCTCTTTGTGTTTTACCTGGTGTTTGGCACTTCACCCGCCAGCTATGCAACAGCTCGAAAGGCTGATCCCTTGGATACAAATCACCACCTTCCTCAATACCCTTGTCAAACGCGACACCCCTTTCCCGAACATCGAGCAAGACGATTTCCCAACCCCTCAAGATGGAACAATGAAACAGTTACCAGAGGATTTTCTTATCCGCGGCCAATCTTGGAGTCAGCTATACTACCCAGAAAAATTTTTCGAAGGAGCCCCGTCAGAGGACGAAAGACCTATCAACGAAGACCCATCTACAGCCATCCCTAGAAGACACAGGTGTCTCTGGCTTGGGGTGCGCATATCAACGGTTTGTAGCTATCCTTCCCGGCGTTATTTAGTGGAAAATATGTTAGAGAAGAGGCTAATTAGCTATCAAATACAGTTTAATCGTTGGATAAGGTATACTCGACAGAGATTCGAAGTAACTCAATTAGCAATCGATTTTGCACCCATCGCCCAAAGATCCGGCAACCTCAACAGCATGCCACCTGTGTCCATTCATAACGACGGTTGATTGAGCACTGAAGGAAACCGACTATGGAGGCATTGTGCGCTGAGGGTGGCGTTTCTATCCCTCAATTTTAAGAGAGCTCTCATTGTTGGATATGTCTCTGTCTTGGGTTTTCTTTTTGTAACAGATGGGTCGACACCAGGTCATATTGGGTACTCGCCGTGCACTGGATCTTGCTGGACTTATTTGTTTCTTTTTTTTTTCCCCTTACGTACACAAAGCCTTGGGAATGATTTTAAGTCAGCTATGACTATACGGCAGTTTCAGACAAAACAGAGTCTCAGTCTACCTGGATGAACGAGGACCCCGGAAGGTCCTTTCTCAAGACCTGGAACGGAAGCTCAAGCCCATTCCCAAGGATTTCCTCGTGCACACCAGCCATTATTTATGATGATTGTTCCTTTCGAACAGCCAGGCCTTGCTGTTCTTCTGCCGACGGATTTCCTGAACCCACCACTTTGGATTGCGCGAAATGGAAACTCCTCCAAATATACCGTTTTATTAAGGCTATCCAAAACCACTGGAACTGGCCCAAGGAAAAAAAGGACCCCATCTTGAAGCATGTGCCGAGCCTGGATACCCTGCCAGCCCAATGGCGTTGACTGTTCCCGATTACCCGTATTGAAATCGTCTTGAGCCCCCAAGATGTTGGATAAGCCAAGGATCGGACTGTTCCAAACAGATAGCGCTTTTATGCTTTGATTGCTTAAGAATTTACAAAGAAGGCGTGGATATGACTGTACGTCGGAAACATGCCAGAACACAAGAACAGGATAACGAAGCTCGGATGATTGATGATCTTCTACTTGATGCTACCAGGCCACACTTTATTTTCTTTTCTTTGGGAAGTATCTGGTTCCCTCATAGTCTAACCCATACAGTATATCTCAGTAGTCCCGATAGCTGTTGGAGCTTTCCGTTTAGCCCAACTGCTTGCCCCAAGTTCGCGCGTCCCTACAATAGTAATTATTCCCCGGCGCCCTTAGACTATAGCATCAAAAGTAAGCATGACAATGGATTGGTCCCTCAAGACAATCAACCGAGCCTGCAGAAAGATGCTTCAGTGATGTTTTTGCTCCCTGTATGGCAGAATGGAGATCCAGGTATCGATGAACCAACCTGGGGACCCGCCGAGCTGCGTCACCAAGCTTAAGTTGCCGCAACTCAACCCCGTTAAATCAGCCACGTCGCAAATAATCTCAGAGATCAAGAAATGGAAAAGTAAAGAAGAATCTGAGCGAATCAGAATCCAAAGAAAGCAAATCCGTGACTTTCCGAGAAACGTGCTCGCGAAGACACTCGCGCTCCACTATAGTTTATTTTGGGTGTAAAGCTTGCGCGTTGCCGTGTGGCCGATAAAAGGCCAAGCTGGCGATTATCAACATGCAACATCAATTATTATTCTCCCCACGCCCCCTTCGTTTCCCCTCTTTCCTTTCCCCTCCCTCCTCCCCCTCTTAATTAAGGGTTCTTTCCTGCGCATGATTGGTCTCCATGAATATTTTCTAATTGATCCTTGCATCGCATGGCTGGCCGAGTGATTGCCTTCTCTGTTTTCCGGGCATCTCACGAGTCTCCCTCATTCTCGCCTGTCTCCGCGCTCGACTAAGCTGCTTCCCTCTTTCCACCATGGCAGAATCATGGGGTGACATCTGCCGCCATTGCATCACGGCGGTGACCGATGTGCCAATATCAATTCTACTGCTCACTTTCCTAGCTTCAGCCGTGGGGTTGTTCGTCCTGGTGAGTCTGCCTGTCGCTCTCCCCGCTCGTTCCTGCGCGCCGGGACCCTGGCAAACCAGCCCACCCTGCCTTTTTTTTAGCGATTGGGCATGGAGAATTCTTGACTGATGCTCTATGGACTGCTCTTAGTTTTTCCTCTTTCTATTCTTCGTCGCCCCGGTACCACGGGAGGCCCTCCCCGAAGAAAAGAAGTATAGATCCCTCGCGAGCGACGGCGCCGTCACAGACCCCGAACCCCTTCCCTGCTGGCTTGATGCCCTCAATGCGCAAAAGAAAGCCGCAGAACAACCCACCGTTGAACCCGCGGAGCTGTTCATGTCGGTCGTGGTTCCCGCTTACAACGAAGAAGACCGGCTTGCGGGCATGCTGGAAGAAGCCGTGAATTACCTGGAACATATGTACGGCACGTTAGGAGGAGACAACCAGGCCGGGCCCGTCGAGACCCGATCTATGCGGAAGCGGAAGCCGGCCTCGAACGGCCACGCGACGAACGGTCACGCCACGAGCTCGGCATCGGACCGAGGATGGGAAATCATCATTGTCTCGGACGGGTCGACGGATCGGACAGAACAGGTGGCGTTCGGCTTTGCCAGAGATCACCAGCTCTCATTGCACCCCAAGGGCTATGCGGGGCCATGGACCCCGAAGGCGCACGAGGGTGTGCATATCCCACCGGGCACGATTCGGGTCGTCACCCTCAGCCATAATCGCGGCAAAGGAGGCGCAGTTACGCACGGCCTTCGGCATGTTCGTGGCCGATATGTCGTGTTTGCGGATGCCGATGGAGCCAGCAAGTTTGAGGATCTCGGCAAGCTGGTCACCGCGTGTCAGGAGATCGAGGATGGCGAGAGCCGTGGTATGGCTGTTGGATCGCGAGCGCATATGGTGGGCAGCGAGGCTGTTGTCAAGGTGAGTGATTCAACTATGACATTCTGTGCCGACATCATCTTTCCGTGATCACGACTGCGGCCAAGAGACAGAAATCCGGATACTAATATTGGCTACTACAGCGATCCAAGCTACGCAACTTCCTGATGCACTCTTTCCACTTGATCTTGTGGCTCATGACGCCTGCCAAGACTGCCACTGTGAAGGACACGCAATGTGGGTTCAAGCTCTTTTCGCGGGCCGCCTTGCCCTATATTGTTCCGTACATGCACTCCGAGGGCTGGATCTTCGATGTAGAGATGCTCATGTTGGCCGAATTCGCCAATGTTCCCGTGGCAGAGGTGCCGGTTGGCTGGCGCGAGGTTGGTGGAAGTAAACTGAATGTCATCCGTGACAGCATTGGTATGGCCTGGGGACTGGCGGTCTTGCGAGCTGCCTGGTCTTTGGGCGTGTATAGGCAAAAATGAGCTGCAGGAAATCATTTATAGTCTCAAATCCATTACATCTGGTTTCTTCATGTATACCTTATTTCCACTCTAAAGTTCTGGGCTTTTTCGGCATGTTCCAATTTAACAATTTAGTTCGGCCAAATTCTCTATGCTGCAGTGCCATCTTGTGACACTTGGATATTCGCCTGTTTGGGTTCGGGAACCGCAAGTTTGAATAGTTTGAGTATGTGTATATCAGAATTTCGGGCCTAACGGAATTACTCCGGGAGATACTCAAACCCCATCGTCGGAGTTCTGATAATGAGCCTGTCTAGTTCTTTCTTCTCCATCAAATTCACAATGCGGTTGGGCAGATAGCGGTTCTCGCGATGTGATACACTTGCATGGATCCATTCCAGTGGAAATGTTTCCCTATCCTGAATTCGTAGTTTCACATCGGCTGGGATGTGCTATTTTCTCTTTCGTGCGAGCTACGTCTAGGTTGATGCTTTAGCGAGTCATTGATCTAGCGGTGTCGTCAGGCCGTTCTCTTCAGGCTATTCTTTTGGCGGGTCAGTTCGTCGTGGCGAAAGCGCCGCGTCGTGTAACCCCATGCCGCATTGCACTCTTCCTTAGTTTCACCCAGCCCCGCGCAAAACTTGGTAACAACCAGCATTAGACGTTGATCCGAAGAATCATTGTATTTCATCTCTGCAACATGTTGATCTCCCAGCGCACGGCGATGCTTTGCATAGTAGAAAGGGTTGAAGGGGGTCGGCCCGTCATTCTCCTGCGGCCGGATATTTATTCCCTTCCCGTTCTTCAACCCTCCAGTGATCCCGATCCAGCATGGATCTTCTGCTTTTCTGTCATGAAAAGACTTCTAGTGGTCTTGGCTGGCCATGGTTTGGCCCATCCTGGCATCATCTAAAAGAGCATTCATCCCCTGCCGGCCGAACGGTTGGCTCAGAGTGATCCGGTGTGGGCCCGGCTGTACCCAGGGCGATGATGGCCTTTGAAAATGACTTGCTTTGCCGCGTCTTCAGACACACCTGACATAGCACCTTGCTAGAGCTGTGACTGATCTGTGGGATGATCGAGGCAGTAATGCACCCATTGCGTGGACGAAGGCTGCTGATCGTATGCTGGGCTCTCAATATATAACATGGCATGACAGCCAAGGGCCTCGCCCGATTCTCTCACTCTTGCCATGTCTATTTACCGCTCACGCGCCACATTACGGTGTTTAATAAATCTACAACTCAATACATCCTCAAATACCAAAAGGCTAGGCAGATGATATCTCATCTTGATCAGCGTGTCACCTGCTACTCGGAGAATTAGAAACCAAACCGACTGACAGCCATCGAGGAAAGCACCTTCACCTACCATTTTCAGCCTTGCAAGCACTGAACAGATCCACACGAACGCAAGATGGCATCCAAACGGAAAACCTATATGCCAAATAAGCCCACGGAGACTCCGTACTTCCTCAAGTTGCCGGCTGAGCTTCGATTGAAGATATATGGATACGCTCTCACCGTTCCCAACGACTACGTCAACAAGCCACTGATTGTGGTCAATGATCGGGGTAACGTCTTTACAGTCCGTGGGAGATACCGAGCCCTCTCCATGTGTCCCAGCTGGGTTGGCGAAGATGGCACGACCCGCAAACTCCTCGCGGTCAATCGCCAGATCCACGACGAGGCCGAGGTCTATCTATACTCCCAACATACCTTATTCTTTCGGAACTCATTTAACCTCGACCGGCTTGGGGACTTTCTAGATACCCTCAGCATAACCGCGCGCCACTGTATCTGCAGCGTGGGCTTCGAGGTCTTCTTCTTCGTCCATGCCCAGAATGGCGTTCCCAAACGGAGTCTGAAGCAGTACGCGAGGGCTAGTACGCTCCTGGCCCAAAAACTACCACATTGGCGCAGCACACTCTTCTACCTGGACCCACGCTTCTACTACCCTACCACGGCTGTTGGCGGTCGAGAGCGAGCAGCTTACGGCGTGGCCGAGCTTGCGACTCACTATGGGGCGTTGTGCAAAGAACTCACGTTCTACCCCCTGCCAGCCAGCGACTATCATCTACTGGACCAAGCCCGTCAAACTGTCTGGCGGAGTAGCTCACCGGGTCGGCGCGCTGCGGCTGAAGGTGGAAGATTCGCCAAATATTCTGCACTGGATTCGAACAAGCATCATCCTGCAGCTGATTCTGCAAAAATGCTGCTTCTCTCCAGTGCGGACCAGCCGACAGCGTCCTGGAGTTGGTGACCGAGGCACTCATTGGTTTATTTGATCGGTTTGTGCTTCATTCACGCCACCTGCGGACATGCATTTGGAGAGGATCGGCTGTCTGCACCGTGGAGTGTTGCGGGGGTGCCTGGTTTCTGCAGTGTGATATCCGAGTGTGGATGCTGAAAGACAGACTGGGAACGCTTGCTGAATGCATCTCATCTAAATAAGTCATGACAAAGCACTCACTTGCCTAGATAGGCAATGGTGTCCGACTAGAGTGCCTCACGATGGTGTAGTTTGCCTCTGTCGGCTTGGCCCTTTCTATCATCAGTTTAATTAGCGAGCGTGTTCAGTTTACTGGGCTAAGATACTAGTCTGCTTCTTAAATATATCCTAACTTTCATTTCTGTTTTATTTTCTGGTCACACGTAGGGCAAAGGTGGCAGAAATTATTCCCATGTTGCTCTTGGCCGCTTGGGACTTACCCCAGACTTCGGGATTCGAACCGTGCATACCTTGACAGGCTGCTGGATACAGTATGTAGCTGGTATGCTATCCACGTACCCATCCTTGCTCGCTCTCATGTGTATTCATGAATAAGCAGCCCAAGAACTGAAAATACCATCTCCCCCTGTTGTTCCCAACCAAAACAAACCCCGTCTTGTCCAAGCAGCCAATCCCAACCTGCTGCGAGCGCACCTGGGACGGAGGTGACCGCCTATGACATCACGGATCCAATCCAACAGCTTCAAGGGAGCCCCGTGATTATCATTTCTCCTTCCTCCACCTTCGACCATACTTGATCTATTTGCCGTCTACTCTCCCCTCTCTTCCCATTCTACTCCGTAGAGAACCTCACAATGGCCTTCCCCCTCTTCTCCCCGCCGACCATCCTCCGCCTCGGCCTGGGCCTCGGCATCGGTCTCTCCGCGGCAACCCTCCACCCCCTCTCTCCCTTCCGCGCCGCGCCAATGCAATGCCAATACAGCGCGCCCTACTACCGCCCCGAGACTCAGGGCAATTCCGAAACCGGCTGGGCCGTCAATCCCAATGACCCTTTGCTGCAAAAGCAGGGCCGAACCGGCATTGGAGCGCAAGCTCGCACCGGGTTCTTGACACGGGATAACATGCGCCAGATCAGCTTGGGCAGTGTGCTGGGTCTTGTTGCGGGCGTGGGATTGAGGGCCTTCTCCAAGGCCTTGGTGGTCATTATTGGTATGGGCGTGGTTCTCGTCGAGGTACGTGACTATACGAAACCCCCTCCTTTTCCCAATCCTTCCTCCCAGGGCAGTAGGGCTCTCGACAAGAGCTTGTTCTGGGTTGATATACCGCGTCTACCAAGAGTCAATGCTAACGAGCATACAGTGGGCCGCGTCAAAGGGGTACAACATCCTGCCCCTCGACCGTGTACAGAAATATGTCAAGAATGTGGATTTGCGGCGGGCTGTGAACGAGCACCGGCCGTTCAAGATTAGTTTCGGGGCGATGATGGCTCTTGCGGCATTCGCGCAGTTTTAGAAAATCAGAATCAGCATTGGGGGGGGTGAGCGAGGGCATTCTCTTTGTAAATAAAAAAAGCTCTCGGTGCTCCCCTTCGGGAGTCTACTCCATACAGCATACAACTTGAAGGGTCGTTGTGCTCACCAGGGCACGGCGAATGTGAATTGGTGAATATTGTATTTTTATACAGGGGTATCATGAACTGTCTGTGATTGATGTCAGACTCCCACAGGAGGGGGAGAGGACGGCGATTATCCCAATACTAGGTCCTCCAGCACGCCCTCCATTTCATCGCGGGAGAGCGGCACGCCAAGTATTTCCATGCCGCTGGGGTCCATGCGCGATGTGATCATCTGGTGATCGTGGAACTCCTTGAGCAAAGTGCGGAACATCATCTCAGAAGATGCGATGAACTCCTCGGTCGCTTTCTGATACAGGAGGCGGAATTCAATACCATTCTCGTCGGCACCTTTCCCACCGCCGTCGGCGGGGCCTTCGTCGTCGGACAGGTGGCCTTCGTCCATGGCGGTGATGACCTCAGTGAGGAGAAGGCGGTAGAGGTTCCTGGCATTCTCGGGCAGACTCTTCAGCACGAAGCCAACACCTTCCTTGCCGCCAACTCGTTGGCCCTTGCGGCCGAGCAGGGTGTGAACTTCTTCAACAACATTGGATTCCACCGCAAACGGAGTGAATGTCGTGCTGTCGTGGAACACAAGATTCAGCTGGTCCCGGAGGCTGATATCCCACATGACTGCAAAATTCGGCGTGTCCGTCGTCACGAGGAGGCGGATGCGCGGAGTTGCAGCGAGACGGGCGAGGAGAGCCTGGTTCGCTGCTCGCCGGAGGGGCGGAGCGTCAACCGAGTTGATCAGGACCGTGATAGGTTCCTCGTCAGCTGGCCGCGATTTAAGCGCCGATTGCAGAAGCTCCAGGACCTCGGTGGGCTGCGCACCGAGCTTGGAGGGCAAAGCATCGCCGAGAATGGCTGATGCAATGGCCGCGAAGATTGAACGAATTGAGATACCGGGAGTGTAGCCGTTGACGACCACGATGGGCGGGGTTTTTGCAGCGGCGGAGCGATAGTGATAGAGCCAGTCCGCGAATTGGTGCACCAGCCTGCGTTTCGATCCATAGCCAAACAAGCAAATATTGAAGCCTTCTTCGAACTCGAAATACCACTGCGCAAATGACCGTTGGTGCAACGAATGTAGATACTCTTTCTCTTCCTTGCACGGGTCGACGTACTGGGCTAACTTCTCGAAATATTCCTCATGGGTCAAGAGAGTCAGTTTGTTGAGAGTAGTATTGGATGTCTTGAGGGTATTGGCGCGGTTCTGGAAAAAATAGCGCTCATGTGCAGGCAATTCGCCCTCTGGGGTGGGAGACCGCTTGTTTTTAGCACCCTTGGGCCGGCCAGCTCGTCGTTTGGGTGCCTTGGCCTCTTTGCCGGTGGCTTTCCCTTGCTCAGTTCCTTCAACACTTTCCAGTACTGCGTCATCAGCCTGGTCCTGCTCAGCCTCGGGCTCGTCCCCTTGGAGAATCTCCTCTGCGAGCTGCGCCGAGCCATCCCAGGCACCATCCTCGTTCTGCTCAAAAAGCACCTGGGCGCTCTTCTTCTTCGCAGAGCGATCTGCATTCTTGATGCGGGACGGAGTAGCAGAGGTCGCGGTCTTCGGCTTCGTAGGCGTCGCAAATAGCGAGCGGGCTTTGGACTTGTGGGTAGGCGTTCTCAATCCTGATTCCTTCAATGGAGTCGGGGCTACCCCGCTGGTCTTTTTGGGCGTGGATTGATTCCGCGGCGTCGGGACCAGTTCGTAGGTGTCATCGCCGTTCGTGGGAGGGTGGGTTGGGGCGTGTCCGTTCAGCGCGCCACTGGTCTGCGACAACGCCGTCCGCGGCCTCTTCGGAGTCGAGACCTCGGGGTGGTCATTTTCCAGACCGGAATCCGAAAGCTTGCGCTTCATGGTGGGCAAGTCAGGGAACGGTCCATGGATGGAGAGGCAACGGGGAAGGGAATCAACAATACCATCAGATCCGGAGAATGTGCACAGGGACGCGATGCAAGGGCGGGCTTAGGGGCTAGGGCGTTTCCCAAGGACTGCAGCCGTCTCTTGGATGCAGGGGAGGACAATGTAGGGACCTGACACGTTGATCGGCGATTGGAATGTGAAGGTCCAACTGTCTGTCATGTCTGATCCGAAATCGCGGAGTCTCAAAAGTCTCGAAAGGCGTTCGAAGCACAGCGGGTCCTTTGGGTTTCTCCGACTCCGCCTCAGCAGCTTAATTTGTGACAATGGCCTAGCTTACGGCTCGAGTCTACTCCATATTTTGACCTTCACCCTCTCGACGTACTTTTTACCTGCCCGTTCTGCAACGACGAGTGATTTGTAGCTTTAAATTAAAGTCAATCTACAATTTGGCTCGCGATGATCCATGGATGCGACGATAAACTTAGGTCATGTGAACACTGCGAAGAACCGAATCCCGCACCGTAGCTTCGTTTCCAGTTCCGTCTTCGTGCATTACATCTTCTTTCTGTTTTATATTCTGTGCCCAAGAAAATTCTTTGGAGTTGGTGTCTTCTTATCAGCCAAGGCAATTGTGGGTTCATACTGAACCACGCCATTCCGTGCCGAGTCGGGACCGCCGAGACCGGGTATCTTTTTCTTCCCCGTACGTTGACTCACCGACTCGAATCCTCCCCAAACCTCCCCAGATAAAGAGCTTGGACTGAACATGATCAGTGAAGCAGGTCTGGCTACATTGAATATTTGACATATGGTTTCCAACGCACAAACCGCCACAATGGCAGCGAACTCCTTGGCCCGCATGGTCAAGGGCCAAGTCCGATGCTACTCCGCACCTCTGGACATGGCCATTCCGGCCTCCAAGCAGCGCTACATTCCCACGTCGGGTACCTATCCCAAGGGCTTTCGAGTGTCCGGTACCCATGTTGGCGTCAAGGCCTCCAACACCCGCTTCCCGGATCTTGCCCTCATCGCTTCGGAGACCCCATGCTCGGCGGCTGCCGTCTTCACCACCAACAAGTTTCAGGCTGCGCCGGTGCAAGTAAGCAAGAAAACATTGAAGTCGCGCAAGGGTGAGGGTATCCGCGCTGTTGTCATTAACTCTGGATGCGCCAATGCCGTGACCGGCAAGGGTGGCTTGGAGGATGCAGTTTCCATGGGCCAGAAGGTGGATGAGTGCAGCGGTGCGGAGAAGGATAGCTCGCTGGTGATGAGCACTGGTGTTATTGGACAGCGGTCAGCATCATCACTCGATTACAGACCTGTAATGGTCAATTGAGAACGCGACTAATCAATTCCGCTCATAGACTGCCCATCAGCAAGATCCTTGACCGAATTCCTACCGCACACGCCAACCTTGCCTCGTCCCATGATGCCTGGCTCAGCACTGCCCGTGCGATTTGCACCACCGACACCTTCCCGAAACTTGTTTCTCGCACCTTTACCCTCCCATCGTCCCCGAGCCGTACCTACAGCTTGGCCGGAATGACCAAGGGCGCTGGCATGATTCACCCGAACATGGCCACCCTGTTGGGCGTTCTGTGTACTGATGCCGCCGTCGAGCCTGCCGCTCTCCAATCGATCCTCAAGCACGCCGTGAACCGCTCTTTCAATTCTATCTCCATTGACGGTGACACCAGTACCAACGATACCATCGCCGTGCTCGCCAACGGTGCTGCGGGCGGAGAAACTGTGCAAGCTCCTGCCTCGGCCTCTGAGGCTAGCGCCGACTACATGGCTCTCCAAGCCATCTTTACCGACTTTGCCCAGGAGCTGTCGCAGCTGGTTGTCCGCGACGGCGAGGGTGCCACCAAGTTCGTGACCGTGCGTGTGCGCAACTCCGCCGACTACGAGTCTGCCCGTCTCATCGCCTCTACTATTGCCCGCTCTCCCCTTGTCAAGACGGCTTTGTACGGCCGTGATGCCAACTGGGGCCGGATCCTCTGCGCTGTTGGTTATACTCAGGGAGTCGCCGACGGCACTGTTGTGCCTGAGCGCACTTCCGTGAGCTTCCGTCCTGTGGACGGCAGCCCTATTCTCAAGCTGCTGGTGAACGGCGAGCCCGAAGCCGTTGATGAGGAACGCGCTAGCGCCATTCTGCAGAATGAGGACCTGGAGATTGAGGTTGACCTTGGCGGTGGTGAGAAGGGCGCTGCTGGCTGTGGCGGCGAGGATGCTGTCTACTGGTTCTGTGATTTTAGTCACGAGTACGTGACTATCAACGGTGACTACCGTACCTAGAAAAGTCTAGCACTTTGTTTGTAGCGATTAAAATCCGGATATAAGAATACAACAATAAGCTCTATTTCATGTTATGACTGAGCATCACCATAGGGGCTTGACTTGGAAATTCAACGTCCATCATATGAGATTCTGATAATGTTCGGAGGAAAGGAGGATATCCCCACTGAACCTTGGATTTTAGGGCCTGGCATCTTTCCGTCGCCATTCTTTAGGTTTGCGAGAGGGAAACGATATGAAGAGATCATCGTTAAGACTTTTCAGGCAACTTCTGATCTGACTCTGGCCTTGATGAGCTGGACTCGGATCGAGTGTGAGAGGACTGAAGGCTGCTTCTATACAGAGCGTCGGCCAGCATGACCGTGATAATCGCGGCCTGAAATGAAAGTTTCAGCAAAATACCCACTTCGTTGCTCCTGGTCTTAGTCTCGAAATTAGAGAAATGATAACTTACCAGACATAGATCGAATCCTTGTGCCACTTGGACATCCCACTCCGGCCGTTTCACTGGGATATAGACTTGATAGTATCCTTTGATTTTGGTCGTCATCACTAAGGCGCCGTCGTAGTAGACATTTGTTCGATACTTCCAGATATCATTGCCTCGTACTTCGAGTTTGGTTTCTGCACCGTCAGCCGCAGCATTCTGGATGTACACATCAAATTTGTCCTTCAGCAGATGGAACTGGGGGGCGCACGTCGCAATAGATCTATCATCCGCGCCCGGTAAGCTGACGAACCATGTCACCCCGGACTTTTTGCGGTGGAGCTCGAAAAGAGGAAGGCCCGAAGCGTCACGGAAGAACTTTCGCTCGCTCCAGGATACGACGTCGCCGTCGACTTTGAAGAGTTCTGTTGGGTTTGCCTGGCTGGACTCTCCACTTTCGGTATCGGTATCTGGACTGGCGAAGATGGTGAAGTCCCCTCCCGACCAGCTTTTGGTGTGCTGCTTCACGCGAAGTCGGGTTGGCGCAGTCGCGACATGCTCTGGGCGGATAGCGACGGGCGCCTTGAGAGGTTGTAAAAGTGGTGCCATTTTTTTAGAATGATTTCAAATGTCCCACTACTTCAAGAGGGGAGCAGTCCGCTATCAAGATCATTTCCGCAGCTGGTGAGATGTCCCCCTCCAGGTTTATGTAAACCAACACGCATTCTCGTTCCTTGACTAGTCCTGATGATCAGGTTCTTTTCTGGTATAGGTCGATGGCCTTACATAGAGTTATTCTTGGAAGCTCCTTCTACAGTGCGGGCCGTGAGTTTCATGATGTCAAGGTGGATTACAAGAACCCTTCTGCGGGCGTCTGTTACAGCCCCCATTCATGTGGGGGCAGTCGAGAAAGGCCATCGTTCTTGGCAGATGGACTGGGCGCATCCATAGCCAATCCGGATCGATTGAGACCGAAGTTTAGAGTGCAAGTCTATTTGGGGGCCAGATTGAAACACTCATACCGTATCTTGTACGGAGTACGAATACGGAGCAAGGAGTGCCTTCGTACGTGAGCACAAACACTCAAGTGCGGAGAATAGTAGTGTCACAAGTATCTCGATATTAAGTCTTTCACATTTCTATTCCATGGACCATGTCTGAAGTGTATGTAATTTCAAATACAAGAGCTGTCCATTTTGATTGTTGCTTCGAATTATGTTCTATTTGATATACATTCTTCGAAGGACAGAATGGTTCCAGAGCCCTGAGAGTTAACGTCGCTTTGAGTAGCCAGCTTCTGTTGATTTTCCTCTCATACAATAATCCACGTCAATGTTGTCTCGAGGTCTTTGCCTCTATAGTACTGATCTGTAGTTCTGAAATAGATGCAGTGAAATTGGGTCATATCAATGGAACAATTAATTGCAAAATTGACGGCTGTTTGAGAAGTATCTGGCCTTGACTTCTCTGTGCAAACTACAATCTAGATTTTATCTACCCTTAGCAATTTCCTGAAATGTCAATTTCCCAAAGCAGCAGGACCATTGTATGAATATAGAAATGGTTTTTTAATGCACTCCAAGGGGTGCGTAAAGAGGTATTTTCCTAAATTAGCTAAATTAGGCACAATATTGATAAAATCGCAGATGATCGTTGTTAGACACAATATTAACATGATATCAAAAGGCTAATTTACTTAGCTTGAGCTTATCATCCTGTATACACCACCAGAATGACGACGGTTAGAAGACCCACATAAGACTAGAGGCGCTCTTGAAATGGCCTCGGTATTGAATCCAAAATGAACTGCCAAGAACCATTATGGGTAATTTGGTACAAGGAATCCCTTTAGATTTAATTTCCGCTGTCAAAATCAGATCCGGGGTAATCTGTTTCTTACAGTACGGAGCATTCGGTAAACAGTATCATGATTGTGCTGAGAGTGGCTACAACAGGCTCCAAGCTACAAATGATTGTCAATCTCCCCTGAGCACGATTCACGATTCAATTCAGGGCCTTGCTGACATAGCTGATGTGACATCACCCTCCAGAAGGACTACTTATAGTATCGAGTCCCATTGGTTGAAAAGAGCATGGAGTGGAGTTCCTCCCTTATCATTGGCTGATGTACCCAGGGTCTGGGCTGAATTACTCCAATCAAATCGACCCGGTGCTTCGCCACGCTACCAGGGTCCATCCTAATTTCCAAGGGTGCAGCCCCATGTGTATTTAATTGATTGACGATGAGTTGATTGACCCACAAATAGAAGCAAAAGCAGGTGAAACCGGCCTCGCGACACGGAGGCTGAACCCTTAGTGCTTAGCCAGGTCCCAAGAAAAATCGTTTGTCTTGGAACTCCGCACCGTTTGATTCTATCTCCGAAAGAGAACCTTCAACACCTCGCGGCGACAAACCTTGATTATTTGGCTACCCTAGGTAGCTGCGGTTATCTTTCGCACAATGAAGTTGCAGGGTGCCAGGCGGATGGCCCTGGCGGCCTTACACATTCTGCCCCTTACCAGCCATGTCTATGCGCTTGACCTAGATGTTAACGATCAGGGTATGGAACGGAACCATCGCGTTGTGTATTCGCTCCTATTGTTTCAACCGAATCCTTGCTCATAAAATATCTTCTCAATAGAATCGATCAAAAATGCCGCGAGCGAGACCACGTGGAATATGATGACTTTCTATACTCAAAATGGGACAGACAATCCAGGCTTCATCTCAAGGTCCTGGTGGACAGGCGCGGCTTTATTCCTCGCCTGTCTGAATTATTGGCATGCGACAAATGACACAACCTATAACGAGGAGGTTTCTATCGGAATGCAACACCAGGGTGGTACGGACAATGACTATATGCCTTCGTGGGCAATCGGTGTTGTATGTCATCCTTCCGACATCTGTATGAGTTCTTCTGACTGTCCTCCAGGGAAACGATGATCAAATGTTCTGGGGCCTAGCGGCGATTACCGCGGCGGAGATGAAGTTCCCGAATCGGCCAACTGGCGCCACATGGCTCACGCTCGCACAAGGCGTGTTTAACAACCAGAAGAGCACACAAGGAAACGGGTGGGAAACCAGTATCTGTGGAGGTGGCCTTCGATGGCAAAAAGAGAGCTGGCAGAGTGGCTATACTATGAAGAACTCGGTGTCAAATGGTGGCTTTTTCATGCTTGCGGCCCGTCTCGCATGGTATAACCAGGAACAGGACTATGCTACGTGGGCAGAGAAGGTCTGGGACTGGTCCACCACCGTGAATTTGGTTAATAATAAGACCTGGGCAGTGGGAGATAGTGTTAGAGCTGGAACCGGAGGCCCTGATGGCTGCAGTCTTCCCGACAACACCCGATGGACCTACAATTATGGTGTCTATCTGTCAGGCGCCGCTTACATGTACGCCTATGTGAGTTTTGACCTTTGTCTCATCCATCACACAAGATTGAAGCTCTGTTCAAAATTCTAATGACCCGACTCATGACAGACAAACGACTCCAAATGGCTGGACCGAACAACCAATCTGATGGATTCATTATATTCCACATTTTTCCAACCCAAACATGGAGGTGTTATCACAGACTTTACTTGCGAAGATTCCGACATGTGTTATAAAGATGCAAATGGGCCACTTTTCAAAGGCCTCACAGTATCGTGGCTTGCAGATATTGCATTGTTGATTCCTTCTCTTCGTGACCAAATTCTGCCACGACTTCAAACCTCTGCTGAAGGTGCTGCAAATTCGTGTACCGGCAATGACAAGGGCCAGTGTGGTAATCGCTGGTATGGTGGGTATGACGGCCAATATTCAATGGAAAATGCCATCAGTGGTAGCCAGATCATGAGTGCTGTCATGCTGAAATTCATGGACTCTTCCTCCGGTCCAGTTTCGACTGCCACAGGAGGCAACGGCACAAGCGATCCGAATGCCGGTACTGGAACAAGCGAAACAACTGCGCCACTGCCTGCTATTACAACAGGAGACAAAGCAGGAGCTGGAATCCTGACTGTGATCATTGTGGCCGGTATGGTAGGCGGGGTGGCCTTTCTGTTTATAGATTCTGTCTAGTAAATGTTTTTTATTTGCATTCGAAAACCTGGGATCAAATTTATAGAACAATGTATGTATAATTTCAGTTTTCAGAATGACTCCAAAGCCAAAGCGTATACTTCCATATATAGATGATAGACAGCACGCCATAACATGTTCGAGAAAAGAACAAATGATTCTATGTGACGAGTCTTTGCCCTTTGATCGGACACAACCACTCGCAAAATTTTCACTGTCATGGAGTGCTTTATCAGTCAATCACTTCTTGTAGTATAACCAGAACTTACAAGATTGGAGAAATGGTACACTTTCAGGGACCTGCGGCCATATTGTGATGAATTGCACCACCTTTCATCCCCAAACTGATTTGCTGGTCTTAGCAATAGGTAACTTCTGGGCAAGACTCTCTAGACCTAAGAGCCAAATCAATGAAATACTAAATATCATACCAACATTGAGTGATATCCACGGTATTTTGGCTGCGATTGCTTGGCTGTTTGTCCTCTGCGATAGGATGACGGCTGGTCACTTTGAAACAACAGTATTAAAGCCGTTTGTTTCCAAAGCAGCCTAATCATAATCACTGCGGCTAGACTTTTAGTCGTAGGTATCGAATATACAAATTGAGGCTTGGGTTTAATGACAGTCCATAAGAATCAAAGTTTAGCCTATTCTTAATCCTCGCTCTTTGTAAAATGGGTTCGAGTACTATTTGAAGATGGTGCTTCGATAGAAATGCCTAAGAAAAGTAGTGAAATCCCGCAGTCTAACCCGTAGATATGTAGGGATGTGTAGGATATTGTCTTTAATATTTTTGGTGGCCTGGCTAGGCCCTTTAGGTGCCCTATTAACAATGACACGATTGATACATATCTGGCGATTGACCAAGAGCGACATATATATGTTTCATGAAACTCAATGAAGGTCAAATTCAAGGACGGCCCGATCACAACCCGGGGATGATCATGCGATGTCTTGCCAAACCCCCGACAAAACGTGCTTTGTGGCTTGCTGGGTCATGGAAGCTAGTCATCAATCGCGATAGCCGCATGACCAGAACCGGATCTTGGGGCCCGGGGGATTTCCCCATTCCCCAGCACTCTTCAATTCATGCTTTGGCATACTGTGTGATCGAAAACTCATATGCTCGCCATTCGGTTTACCGTTTTCGGCAAACGCGGGGGGACACGAGAACGTCTCGGTTTGGAAGTCCGGGGGTCGCATCCGCACCCCCTTTGACGTCATCTGGGTCAGATGAAGATCCGCATCGATTTCGCCGATTGTGACCGACGACTTATGACTTAAACGACCTCCAGCCTACAAGCAACTCCCCGAGAACGTTCTGGACTCCCTGAGTTCTGCGGTGCTTGGTTTCATTTGTGACCCTGTTACTCGGGTTCCTACTTGGTGGAGATTGCGATCAGGTCAACCTCGGTTCCACGGTCAACGTTCTTCCATTTGACTCCATCTTGCCACAGGAACATCCGTTCTGCTGCATCTCCGTCACGAGTGGTCCAGTTGACAAACGCGAGACCGACTCTTTTCCTTCACGAACCTCTATAACCTGTACGACGATCTGCCCAACGACCCAGCGTGGCTTTTGAAGCTGCCCAATCGACCCCATCGGAGCCAGTAACCCATCTGAGCTGCCAGTGGTCTCTGGACGCGTGGTACTCCTGCTGGACTTTTGTCGGCGAAGCTGACCTGCAAGCCACTATTAGTGCCTTACACCGCCCCCCAACCCTTCCGGGTTGTGGGTGCGCCACACAGTAACCCAACTTCACACAGTAACCCAACATTTTTCCTATTTCCCCTATCTACTACTGCATCCCACTAGTATCTAGAAAGAAACCCTGCCTGTTCTGACGTGCTTCCTCTGCTCTATCTAACGATGCCTGGGATTCCTGTGTAGGTTCTAGTGGTGGTGATGTTCCATACGCTTTCTTCCACTGCTTCCTTACCCGCTTCCGCTCTGCCTCTGTTTCCTTCTCATTTCTTTTAGCAATAGAACGATTTGCATCTCTAATAGAGAGTACCCCTGTTTTGCTAAGCGGTGTTTTAACCTGGCGCTTGGTGATTGGGCGCTGTAGTGGTTGTTGAGCTTCCCTAATCTTGCGAATAGTATCGTTCGCTAGATTTAGGTTCTCTATAGCAATCTTGTTATGATGAAATAACCGGTCAAGATTGCGTTGCTGCCTAGGTGTAAGATCTTCTTATTGATATCTAGCAATCTTCTTTTGATTCTTCTCTAGATCCTGTATAGATCTAGGCGGCGATTGGTCGATACTAGAAGAAGATATAGGTGGTAGTGAAGGTGTTGTATAAAGCGGTTGTAGATCTGGCGCTGTAAGATCTAGGTAATCTTGGATAGGAAGGCTATTAATAACCTTTCTACTATCGACTGGATAGATCCCTCGATCTTTAAACGATTCACGAATAATTCGCTGGCTAAACGCTCTATTCCGAATATTACCGATTATTCGAAGAAAATCTGATCTTCCGATAGGGCTTCCACCCTAAAACGCGTAGTCGTTATTCGCTAAGCGGAAGTGTTGCTTATAGCTTAGAAACGGTTTACCGTCTAGCGGCTGGCAAAGATGTGTAGTATGTGGTAGGAATCCTATAGGTAGGATATTATTCTCTTCGCAAAGGTGTAGGAATTCGAATGTAAGATGCGAACCGTGACTGTCGAATATTAGGATACGTTTTTCACCTGATTTCGTACGGTCGCATGTTGATTCTATAAAGAATCGAAGCTATTGAACTGCTATACTATCGGTTATCCAACCGTTTAGCGATGTAGTAATAGTAGTTCTTGGTAGTAGGTCGTCTGTTTGATTAAACTAAGATTCTATAAAGATACCGTTGCCTTTAAAGATAAACCAGGGTTCCATCTGCTACCCGTCGGCAGCTATACACTCGATAGACGTAATATTTTCGCCTTGGTCTGGCTGAGGAAGGTCTACTACCTTCCTACTACTACTAGTAGTAGTAGTAGATATAACGTTTCTAGACCTTCCTTCGCCTGGTTGAAAGCCGCATTCATCAAAGTTATAGACTAGACGTGCAGGCGTTGTCTTCTTGATCGTTTGGGCTAGTAGATCGTACCAGTACTGTAATGCTGCTGGATCTTCTGCTAGTATTCGCTTTGATTCCTTCGTATACTGCTTAGTAGGCCCTAATTGAAGATGTTTAGGAAGCCTATTAATAAAGCGATACGCCCACATCTTGCTAACCGACGGCTTCCCGACGCGTTGGCATGCACGATTCGCCCACGCTTCTAGTATCCTAGGAGTGATAGGCATATAGCAATCGTTCATATGTTGAATCCAGCGAATCAAGGCTTCTTCTTGATAGGGTTCTAGGGCATAGCCAACCCCCTTTTTAGCATTCCTAGGCCCTGTTCCACGTTTAATGCGATCGTATAACGTATGTTTATTAACGCCATATTCGCGTGCTAAACGGGCGATATTTGGCTTCGCAACGCGTGATGCTGCTAGGCAGGCCTCAGCCATACGGGCTTCATCGAATTTAGGCATATTTTGATGGTGGTGTTGGATAGAGAAGTAAAAAATAGGGTGTTTAGGAAAATGTTGGGTTACTGTGTGAAGTTGGGTTACTGTGTGGCGCACCCACAACCCGGAAGGGTTGGGGGGCGGTGTAAGGCACTAATAGTGCCTTTATTGGCATTCTCGGGACTCGGTCGGAACTCTCACATGAACGCACTGAATGGCCTGTACATGCGGCCTTCAACACGAAGCCCAGGTTCTCTATACAACCGGTGTTGATTGACCGCCTTCTCTGTATGTTCCCCACTGTGGCCCTGCAGAGCTACGATGCGCTCTGGTTGACCGTCCCCGTTGACTTATGTCCTAATCCAATCTCGCAGAGCTAACGCTCAAAAATCACTCTTCAGCGAAGCCTTATTGAGCTAGCCTCGTGCCAGTGCCTTGTTGGTAATCGCTTCGTCGTGGATAAGGATCACAAGGATCCACTGCCCCTCCGTCAAGTCGCCAGAGCCGCCACCGGACGGTATTTGAGACCGCGACCAACCGTCGGGGTCACGGACCTTCCAGCACACCTTCTTCCCCCCTGTCGACACGATGAAATCCACAACAATGAAATTGCCCGAGGGGCATGGAAGCGTCTACAAAGAGGTTCGGTTTTCGCCGACTGCGACGCCTCTTCGTCGCGCAAAGTCCGTTGCTGGTAGCACGCCCTCCATGAATTCTAAATATCAACACGTCTCGTCCACACAGGTCCCCACCGACGGCATTTTCTCTATAGACACATCATATATTGATCAATCACGACAGCTCCTCCAGAGCCAACGTGTAAATTTCGAGACAGAAAGGGAGCTATTTGCTCAGGAGCGACGGCTATGGGAGAAGGAACGGGCGCTTTTGCGGGCAAAGATCGCGGAGCTAGAATCATGGTTAAAATCACAACGAAGCCAGTCGAGCATCTCTGGATCACAACCTCCCAAACTGGCCTTCGGGACTCCACAGTATCAAGGGACAAACAATGGCCTCCTCCATTCAGCGCAGGTGTGGGAAGGGTCAAGTCCAGGAGGTCGACCGACGAGGGTCTTTCAAGATGAAGACAAGTCAGACAACAGTCGCCTATCTATGATCACCGAAGGGAGGGGCAGTAACCCTCCATCCCTGGATGCGGCACTTTCGCCTCGGGCGCGGGCAGTGGACGCCTTGGGGCCAACTGTCAGTGTGCCCGTGCCGATCGAGAAGCTCGACAGCCGCCTGGATGGCATTACTCTGAAGTCAACAGCTTTGCCACCTGGGGTAGTGGCCAGAGTAATCACCCCGCCATCCCCGTCGCCCCTGGAGACCTCCCCTGCTCCAGCCTCCGCCCTTTCAGTCGCTGCAAGGCCAGACATGGAACACCGAAACAGTCTCAAACTGAAGCTGTCAGAACTCGGCCCACCTAATGAGAACCTTGTGAGAAACGCTGGGCACACCCCGATGGCGATCATCGAGGCGGATATCAGCCAACGCTCTACCCAGGAGGCTTCTCCTATTACCGAGGTCCTTCCGTGCGAGGAAGAGGAAGCCCCTCTGGCGCCTGTGGTCACAGAGGTCCACCAGCCAACTGAAAATGCTGAGTCCTATTTTCCCGATTTGCCTGACGATCCTGCCCTCAAAGGGCCTCTCGGACTCACCAACGACAAGGAGCATGACAACAGTTTCTTGCATGAGTTGGACCAGAAACTCCTGGACCAGGCCAAGCGCATCCTTTCCAGCTCGGTGGAGTCTGTTGATCCCAATGAGCCGGACCCGGAGCTACCTCACCAGAGCGAACAAGAGCCAGAAATCAAATTCAGGAACGCAACCAATTTTGGCACTGCATTTGGACTATCAAGCTTTGGCAAATTCTGAAGAACCATTCATTGTCTGCACCATCTACTGTTTAATTTTGTGATCTATCTACATTTTGGGATCTGCCTGTGAAATATTTCTTGTTTTCCTCCTATCTGTTTTGCTTTTTAAGGATTGTCATTTCGGTACAGCCCGTCGTTGCGACTACCCACGATTTTTTGTTTCTGACCAAATGTTTGCCACGACTCATGAGATACGCTGGATATGCTGCAATATGATCTTGTTTTACTTTGTCTCAGACCTCCCTGTTTTTTGTTTCTGGGGTCATGCTCTTTCGCAGGGTGACTTGTGCCGGTCGAACCCCGGCTTTTGGCCAGGCCCCGATGATATCTCCTGTGGTCTTTGATATTGGTGTTCCTTGCGTGTGATCTGTCAACCCTGGCCAATCGTGGATTAATTGAACATCCATTGGCCACCCAGGCATCTCCTATGGGGAGCTGGGTGTTTGAGCGCCTGCATTGACCCCTTGCATGGTTTCTGCGACCTTCAAGTACCGCCAGCTCCACGTGTTGTTATTTTCCCATGTTAGGCCCACAGACCACAGACAGCGAGGATCCAGACTATCACTCCCCGACTGAGGGTTACGACAGCTCGGATGCTCGGTCTACTCGGGCTTTTGCATAAGCTTCACTTTGGCTCGGTTAGGGCATGCATGCCCCGGGTCCATTCTCGATAACGCTGCCCATGCACGCTGTTTACACCTGTGGCCGCATCGACAAGACATGACCTCTCTCATCTAGATCACTTGTCGAAGGCGAGCGGTTCGTGTGTGCCTGGTACCTTGCCGATCGGCGTTCCTGTGGCGGTCATTAAGGACAAGCCACCAAGGGCTAGTCTGTAGCCTTGCAGCATCCCCGTTTCTGGCTGGCCCTTGGCTCCCCTCTTTCTCCCTCTCTCCACAAACTGCCCCTCGGATACTCGGATGCACGCCTGGTCAGAAGGAAAACTACATAAAGGCCATGGGCAGCGACCCTGTTTCTTCTCTTCAGCATCCATTCATCAGAATCCCGGACAGTCATTCGCTCTCTTGCCTTTCTTGGAGCCTGCTCCTCAAGTCTTTCTTTCACATCCATTTTATACCATAACACTCGTTATTAATATTCACCGGATTCATTCCTTCGAGCTTCACCCTCAAAAACAAACAATGTCTTCCAAGTCTTTTACCCTCTCCGCGGCTCTGTGCCTTGCCCTCGCCGTTGGCCCCGCTTCGATCCTGGCTGCTCCCCAGCCGGTAAGTTTTGCAGACCACACGCATCTCTCCATGGAGGCGATCACGAGGATCGTCAACACTAATATGGTAAACTAGAACGGTCTTCCTCTTCTCGGCGGTATCGCTGGCAGTGCTGATCCCGCTCCTACCACTGGCAACAGTGAGCACGATGCGGGTCTCGGATACGATGTTGGCATTCCCGGTGGTCCTGGTGTTCGCTACGGCCTCGGCACTCACAGCGAGCACCACGGTCCCTGCGGCCCCGGTGTAGACAGTGAGCACGATGCCGGCCTCGGATACGATGTTGGTATTCCCGGAGGCCCTTCTGTCCGCTTCGGCGCTGGCACCCATGATGCCCACCAGGCCGTGCCATGCCCTGAGATTGTGGAGGTGTCTGAGGTCCCTCCTCCCGCTGAGGAGACCTCGACCTATATTCCCTCGATGATTCCTCCCACCTACACCACTCCCATCGTTATTCCCACGGCTACTCCTCCTCCTACGTGGGCGCCTGCCACTCCGGTGCCCGCCCAGTCGACTCCTCTTATCCCGCACCCAGCCCCGACTGCCACTCCTTCCCACCAGCCCTCGATGCCGGTCTTCAATGCTGGCTCTGCTCTGGCCCCGACCTCGTTCCTCGCCGTCGCTCTTCCTATCATCTTGGGCTTCGTTTACTAAATCACGCCCGACTGGGACTATGATGTATGGATGTGATTAAGAAAGCCTCTTTTGGGATGGACATCTATTCCGCCTCGCATGATATCTGTATCTTTTGCCTTGTCTTGTACTTTTCGCGCCGACCTGTTACATTTGTCTTTGTCTCTTCTCTCGTGTTTACTTTTGGTTATTTATTTAATGGCCCCCTGTTTTGGCCGCTGGACTGCAAACTCCAGATACCTGTATCTCGGCCAACATATGAGAGCCATGCTATCTACTGTCACCGTTGGACTCGGTTTTTCTTTTCTTCTCTTGTGTGTGATCATGAAGGTTTGGGAGTCCGGGCGTGCTTTGCACATTCCGTACCTGTTTTCTTTTGGACAATTGACAAAAATGACTTCTTCTGGTACTGCTGTGCTTGAATACATTGCATTTGGGCTTGGTCCCTGCGTTTATTATATTGCTTTCCCCATTAATACGAGACCGCACGGTCGAATAGGAAATCCTTGTAACCATATTTACTTCTTTCATCCCGGGATCCAGTCCAGTCCAGTATTTGTCAGTTGACTGACCGTGGGAAAAAGGGGTTATGTGGGGGATTGGCAACGCTAGGGGTCTTTCGTATCACAGGCGCAAGTTGCGATACATGCCACCACGGGAAAAGGAAACTTGAGAAAGATCAGAGGACTTTGACTGTATCTTTGGCGTGTGCACGCTGCGCAAATAATTTCATTTGATGCATATCAAAAATATCAAAAAATGAGGAAAGAAAGTCCATATTCCTTCAGCCAGCGAAAAAAAAAAACAAGGGCAGAAAAAAAAACGCCAAGTCATTATGCATATCCCATATTCCAAAGCAAGTCAGTCGTAGGTTGATCCCTTGATTCCAGGCCCTTTGACGCCAGTCCGCGCAAGAGCATCCAAAACAACCCCAGAGCAGTCTGGCCAGCGGTCATGAGACTGGCTGGGGGATGAAAGACCAAGTGAGAGCCTTGTTGTTCAGTTATACGCCCATCGTAAAGTCGTGCTCAATACCAGGTGTAACGCTAGCAATGAACTTCAAAAACACGACCAGATACTGGTCAACCCGGATTGCAACCTGTTCTTCCTCGTCGTGCTGAAGAACCTCCCACTCATCGCCACCACCTGAGGGCTGCTGTGAGTGCTCACCCAGTGATAGGCCTTTCGTGTCGTCCACAAGTCCCTCGAGTCCGCTGCTTCTATCTGCTTTTAACATATGGTTGGCTTCCTCTCGGGACTGTGTTTGCTTCAGCTTCTCCCGCCGCACTTTGAGTGCGGCATCGGCTCGATCAAGCAGGGTCTTCATGACTGATGCGTGGCGGCAGGGGTGAACGCTGGCCATTTTGACGCTGCCGTCGAACCAGGGGAAGTCCTCCAGTGTCACAGTCTTATCCTTATAGTCGCCGACAATGTCCTCCATCATCAGGTGCGGAGGAAGCGGCTCAGACGGAGATAGATAGCCAGACAGATAGAGCCGAGGCGTTCGATAGAAGTTGGCATATGTGATGTAAAGAGTGTAAGTGCGGAGAGGCCTGGGCATCATAATATCGTTCGTTAGTTGAGACATACACCAGATATAATGGACCGTGAAAGAGCGAGCCGAAGCAAGAAAGCGCAACTTACTGCGTCGTCCCGGACTTTCCGACAGGCTCGCGAATAATCGCCTCTTCATCGTCATCATCATCTTCCATATCTGGGATCTCCTCTTCATCCTCCTGCTCGCCCAAGTTCCCGGACTCATCCACTGTCCTCACATCCCTGATGCGAGCTTCTTGTCTGTCACTATCCGCAGCAACATCACGCCCACCACCAGTTCGCAGCCACCCATCACTACTGTCAGCACCCGCCGCACCCTCATCCCCGTCCCCAGCAAGCATGTCCCTGACAATCTCATCTTCGTGGCCCGCATCGCCGGCAAAATTATCGTTTAGCCGGCGATGGCAGGGCACGCCACGGGTGACGAGAAACTGTTTGCCCGGGGGCAGATAGGATACACGCTTGGCTGGGCTGGATGCATCGGCCCAGGACCACGTCGGGAACTTGTAGACCAAATAGTCGCCCGCAAGCACAAACTCCTCTGGAGTGATCTGGCCGGTGGCGCGGAAGGTTGAAGTGCGGGAGACCGGAGCCAGCCGGTCGCGCCAGGTTGATAGTGTGGAATGCAGGATGTTCATCGTATCTGTGTTTCTATGGTGCTATGCAAGAAGAAAGTTGATGGTTGGAGATGAGGGCGGGGTGATTCAATACTGATAAGCGGTGGAGCACATGATCGGCCCCGCGTGAGCTCCTTGTCTTGCATCATCTGGTTCTGCATACAAAATTTCCGGGACTTCATTCCACCAGATTGAACACGCTGGAGTCTTTTGTGACTCATTTGGTCTATTTGAACTCAATCAGGTGAGAGAGATCAATCTGATGCGCTTATTAGAGTGAAGACATTATTTGGTTGATTCTGTTTGGGATAGTTGGAGCTTCAAGATATATATAGTGTACTTATTTATTTATCCAGTATCTGCTCCTCTTTGTCCTATAAGATTTAGAATATAAGATTTAGAATATAGAACAACTCTTGATGCCGGCATTTATAATCCATGTAACATGTGACTTTTACTATCTCTTACTGGTGTTTCTGTCTCTATGGGCTTCAGACATGTATATTATTTCCCCAGCCAACCACTTCCAAGATTTGATTAACCACCCCTCTGTACAGTGCTCATACATGCACAGTCTGTTTCTTGTTCTCTATTTGCCTGTAGATAACGCTCCTAATGACACCCCGCTCCTATCTTCCATGGCGCTATGTGTACTTCCTTTAATAGCTAGCTGTCACAGTTGTCCGTGCTTATTATGGATGTGGGAAATGTAAATTGGGTAAGCTGGAGGAGTAAATGAAATGTAATATGAGTGTATTTTGCTTGCAGATCTAGTCACTCTCGATTCCTCTGTTGCTAGACATAGTAATCCAACACAACTGTTGCAGCATGATTCATCTTTTCTGCCAAGTAGTGCTAAGTTGCAGGCATCAATACACGGGGCTGCACCCTTGCTCATGGCCTAACCTGGGACGTATTTTCCACGGGCAGGAATTGGAGCTGGCCAACAATAAAAGAGGGCCTTATCCCTTTTCAGTGCCCTGAAATCATGGGTATGGCCTCCCGGGGAATTGGGAGCCTGATTTTTGGCGCCGGCTGCATCCAAGGGCTCCTCGACGAGTCATGTTCATAGACAAATAGCATTCTGTCTCAAAGTCCGGCTTCACTCGCCTTCGTCCATCATCCGGCGTCGCTCGAGTTCTGAATCCAAGTCCTCCACCGTCATGGGAATCACTTTTGCTTTCCACACCTCTGTTTCTCTCCGCATAAATCCTTCTGTGCTCCGCATTCCGACGACTAGGAACCCGAGTTCTTCACGGTCAACGTCAAAAACTTCCCACCATTCCCCATCCACTAGTTTGATGCCTTCCTCACGTGCGGCGAGGTAGATTGCCGCGACTGCTAGAGCGTTGGGCTGGTGTGTTACGTAGAGTAGCTGAGGCGATAGCAACGCCGCATTCAAATGCTCGATCACCCGGCGTGATACCGCCGGCTTTGCTACACCTAGGGTTTGCAAGTAGGTCAGGGCAATCGTGTGTGGAAGAGCAACGTGTGTGTCGAAGCCGAGTGTGCGGAGGATGATTGACTCAATCCGGAGAAGGACTAAACGGTCGGCCTGGTATCCGCCCTCTGAGAGAATATAGACATCGGGAGATGGTGGCTGCGCGGGAGCTCCATTCGGGTTCACAAACCATAACGGTGAGGCCTTCAGAGAGAGGAGGAGAGTATAGACATTGAGAACCGAACGCGGCGAAGTGGGCTGGAAGGAGAGCTTAGCGGCGAGGTAGAGAGCCGCGGCCGATACATCCTGGGAAGAATCGAGGTGAGCCGATGAACGAATGAGCCCAGTATGGCACGGATTGAAGCAAGTCTACATACTTTGGCTGCATATAAGCGCAAGCTACCGCCCTCAGCTCCAAGCCAGAAACGCGTGAAGATTACGATGGCCTGCGCGATAATGTCCTGCGACAGGTGCAACAGAATGCCGGCCGCTTGTGTTAGTTGGGCGCCGGCGCAGCGAATGGAAGCTTCCAGATCGGTAGGGACTCCATCGATCGAGGAGGAGGAATTTGACAGCTGCTCGGGGGTTGCCAGCGCGTTGGAAAGGTGTTTCAGACCTGGGGTGGTGGGTGCCATGGCGGGCAGGAGATTTGCAAGGGACGTGGGATGAGACAAGCTCGTACCAAATTAACGGACGGGGATCGAGCTCGACTCGATCCTTCCAGAGATCGCCGAGTCCCAGTGAGTGGCAGACCCAGCACAACAATGTAGGTACGTAGTAGATTGATCCAAGGTGCCGGTCATTGCGGATCCGAAAGACTGGAAGATGGTGGAGCTCGTGATTGAACCCCGACGTTCAGCCACCGCCATTTCATAGTTGCGCCTCCCAGCCTCTTTTATTTACCTCGACAGTTTCAAACAGACAGACCCTTCTTTCCCCTTTTCAAACCTCCTGCAGTGAAACATACGCTATTGAGACCCGTTTATGGTTTCATCCTAATTATTCCAATCGTCGCGCTTCCATCCCCCTCCTTTAGCCGACTACTCTTCGGACGATCTTCGTGACCACTTCACAGCTGCATCTCTCCACTCTTGGACCTCCAAGGTCGTACACAGCGCCACAGCACCACCCCATTCGACGTGGCATTCGAACTCCGACGGCCTCTGAGGTCAAGCCACCCCTCACAACCATGTCGTTCGTCCCCTCTCACGGTCCCGTCACCCTACATTCCGATGCCTCGCAGGGGATTCACGAGACCGTTGCCTCGCCGCCCCTAAGATCGACGATCCCTGCGATTTCCTCTGAGAAACGCTTTACCAGCTTGCCCTCACATCGTCGGGCAAACACCGAGTATATTGCACGTCCCCCTATCTTCGACGAAGAGCTACACGATCCGACGTCGAACGACTCCCTTCCGAGGAACCGATCGATCCCAACTTGGACAGATACGTTTCCCAAGAAGAAGCTCGAGGCTCGAGCAAGGATCCTGTCAGATTGGTTCCAGGGCAAGTCTGAACCGGTCGACTTGGGAATCACTATGTACCCCGACGACCATGCCGACTCGACGGAGATGGATACTCCCCGTCTAGCCACGGAATCGTCTTCACACTCTCGAAAGAACACCGCCTCGGGGACTGGGCGGTTCAACTTCTTCGGCCTCCGCCGGCAGGCAGAGCAGAAGCAAGATCCACCCGAACCTGCAGATGACGAGTTCCTCAACCTCGATATTTCCGCGGCTCTGTCCCTCCCCAAATCCGATGCCTCCAGTGATGAAGCACTCGATAGCCTCCGCGACCACGCCACGACCGTGCTACAACGTATGCAAGAAGCCTATAAACAACGGACATTCGCTATGCATCAGGCTTTGGCTGATCGGAACGAAAAGCTGGAGGAGTTGGAGGAGACTCGAGCACGGGTCAATCATCTGAAGACGCAGCTGGATGGGATGGCTGCCAAGGTCCTGAGCCAGGAGAAAGCCATGCAGGCCATGGCTCAAGAACTAGAAGAAGAGCGGCGCCTTCGACAACGTGAACAATCTCGGAGCCGGAGTCGCGCGGTGCGCGCGATTCCCCCCGAAGACGAGATTCCGTCCCTTGTGCTTCAGACTCCTCACCGAGGTGGCAAGCGGGCAAGCCATGGGACATTCGCTAGTGATTCAGGCTTTGAGTCGGGTGACGAGAGTGTCGCCGACAGCATATTCTCACACAAAGAGAGTGTTGAGTCGCCAACGTCCACCCTGACTGCCCCGTCCCCAAACTTGTCTCAAGTTGCGTTGTCGACCCCGACAGCGCTTCCAACCATTCAAAAAAATCTCGTCACCGTCACCACCACCCCCACCCCGACGCGCTCATCCACATATGATCGTGTTATGAAAGGTCTTGCCTCGACACGGCTCGGTAGTTCTTTCGTTGGAAACTCCCATCAATGCAGTAACTGCCATGGCGTTCCGGCCTCTGAAGCTTGGAGTGTAATGGGGGTGCTCAAGGATGAGAACCGAGGTCTCAAGACCCGACTTGGGGAGCTTGAGCTAGTGATTGATGACTGTCTCGGTCTTGTCGGTCCTTGAGCAAGACTCGGATGACAAACTTTAATTAAGATGATATTATTTGTGACGTTCTTTTTGGGATCATAACGTATGGGGGCTTGGGATCTGATATGATACTCCCGCAGGGACTTGGTGTCTATAGAAAGGAAAGAGATTTAATCGGGAATTTATTGAGTGATGTAATTCTCGGGCCATCGGATGCCATGGAATTTTGGAAATGATACTTCAAACCCAGACGATATGCTGTTGCTCAAGCTCCGTATACTCCGTAGACCCTGTGAAGCAGCGACCCTAACGTAGTGTGGGGATAAGCTTCGGGGCCCCCTACACCGGGGTACACACGATGAGAACGGTCAAGGCCAACAAAGATCGATTTTTAAGCCTATAAAGAGAGTTGAAGATAATGCTGCTGCCAGAAAATTTATCCAGATCCTGAATCGTCTCTCGCTTGCGTTGAGTCATCGAGTGCATGGGGGGGGGTTCTGTTGGTGCAGGCGTGTTTGCGGCGAAGACCAAGTGGCCTTAATTAGCGCGAAGCGAAAAGTGGCCAGCGAACCTCTTCCCTCTCTTTCCTCCTCCCCCCATCCTTCCCTCCGACCTTCTTCTCCCCTCTCCTTTTCTTCCTTTTCCTATTTTACCTCCCCCCTTCCGCTCCTTCGGCTGGTTTCGATTCCCAGCTTCCTTTATTTCTTTTTTGACGGATTGGGAGGAAGATTGTCATCATGAGCGGCCGTGAGTCCAATGCCCCCCCGAACACAGTGCCCAGCACGCGATCGTCACGATCCACCTCACATCAATCGCAATGGCCTCGCAAATACTGATGATAGTTCCTAGTACGCTTTCTTGACTTGATCAAGCCCTTTACGCCCCTCCTCCCGGAGGTGGCAGCTCCTGAGACCAAGGTGCCCTTCAACCAGAAGTTGATGTGGACTGGTGTATGTGACTGGAAAACCTCCGCTGCTGGTGACGAATTGACGTGGAATCTAATCGAGCCTCCTTCTAGCTCACCCTCTTGATCTTCCTGGTCATGAGCCAAATGCCTCTCTACGGTATCGTGTCCTCCGATACCTCCGACCCCCTGTACTGGCTGCGTATGATGCTGGCCAGTAACCGGGGTACCCTCATGGAGTTGGGTATCACCCCCATCATCTCCTCCGGCATGGTCTTCCAGGTATGCGCCCATCAATAAAATCCAATACTGTGACCGCCGGGAATTCAACTAATTTGTCGCTTTTTTTTCTCTCTCTAGCTCCTTGCCGGTACCCACCTTATCGATGTCAACCTGGATCTCAAGACCGACCGCGAGCTCTACCAGACCGCGCAGAAGCTGTTCGCCATCATCCTCGCCTTTGGCCAGGGCTGTGTCTACGTCCTGACTGGTCTCTATGGCCAGCCCAGTGACCTGGGCGCTGGTATCTGTGTTCTCCTGATTGTCCAGCTGGTTGTTGCCGGCCTGGTTGTCATTCTGCTTGATGAGCTGCTCCAAAAGGGCTATGGTCTTGGTAGCGGTATCTCCCTGTTCATTGCCACCAACATCTGCGAGTCCATCGTCTGGAAGGCTTTCTCCCCTACCACCATCAACACTGGCCGTGGCCCCGAGTTCGAGGGTGCGATCATTGCCCTGTTCCACCTGCTCCTGACTTGGCCCGACAAGCAGCGCGCGCTGTATGAGGCCTTCTACCGCCAGAACTTGCCTAACGTGATGAACCTGCTGGCCACTCTGCTCGTCTTCGCTGCCGTCATCTACCTCCAGGGCTTCCGTGTTGAGATCCCCGTCAAGTCTGCCCGCCAGCGTGGCATGCGCGGCTCCTACCCTGTCCGCCTTTTCTATACCTCGAACATGCCCATCATGCTCCAGTCCGCCCTTAGCTCCAACATCTTCCTGATCAGCCAGATGTTGTACTCTCGCTTCTCGGACAACCTGCTCGTCAGACTTCTCGGAGTCTGGGAGCCCCGCGAGGGCTCTGCCCAGCTCTATGCTGCCTCCGGTATTGCCTATTACATGTCTCCCCCCTTAACTTCAAGGAGGCTCTCCTCGACCCCATCCACACTGCTGCCTATATTACCTTCATGTTGGTCGCCTGCGCGCTTTTCTCCAAGACCTGGATTGAGGTGTCCGGCTCTGCTCCCCGTGATGTTGCCAAGCAGCTCAAGGACCAGGGTCTTGTCATGTCCGGTCACCGTGAGCAGAGCATGTACAAGGAGCTCAAGCGTGTTATTCCCACTGCGGCTGCTTTCGGTGGTGCCTGCATTGGTGCTCTGTCCGTCGCTTCCGACCTTCTCGGCGCCCTGGGCAGCGGCACTGGTATTTTGCTTGCCGTGACGTAAGTTCTCTCCTAGCTCCCTTTTTCCCGTTGCTTTTGAAACCATTAAACTCATTCCTTTTTTTCTCCAGCATCATCTATGGCTACTTCGAGATTGCCGCCCGCGAGGGTGACATCGGTGCTGGTCTGAAGGGTCTTGTCCCTGGCAGCTAAATGCCTTGAAATAGGCCCACTTTCTTCTTACGAACGGTTTGACGAAAGACTACCTTCTGTAGCCTTCTGAAACTGTTGATTGTTCTTTTTTTCTGTCTCTTTTAATTTGCCCGCTGTTCTCTATACGATTTTTGGGAAGGGAGAGAAAGAATTGGTGTGCGGTTTGTCTGCGACGAGACTGGGTCAATGTCGGGCCTGTACGTTTGGTGTCTGGGGCGGCATGGCCGGTGACTGTCATTGTATCCATGTTTTCTTCCTCCCCCCTCCCTCTATTGTATGAGGGGGTCCAATTGTCATGCATGACGATATTTATACGACATGCCTCGACAATTTATGGCTTGGGAGTGTCTCCGGGTACAAATGGTCTTGCTGTCGACAATGCGGCCGCCAAGAATCGAAGCACCCTTCATGGAGGGTCCTGTAACCATATTCTATGTCACAAAACCAAATGAATCTATTTGCCGTGAATAAGCATCCCTCTATGTTGATGTCCTGCATCAAGACTTTGATTCTCAACTGTTCGAATAGTTTTCCGTTCTCTGCCACAATTTGTCTCATACATGTAGATAGAACTCCTCGAGAGAAGATGCTGATTCTCGCGTACGTCGGATTTTTGTGAGTTACTCAATTCCAGAAGTACAGCATTTCAGCTGAAGACAAGAGAAAGCACTGTCTCCTATATAGGTACCAGCTCTAGTTGAAGTTACAATGGATATTATACAGTCGTAGTCAGGCCTAATCAAGGGACTGTCGCACCCGCGCCTTCTATGGACATGGACCTGCCTGAACGGGACGTGCGGTCGGTCACAGTGATACCGTACCGTACTCGTTTCGCCGCCGGTCCTGGTATCCTCGGGTAACTCTAGGCCCGATTTCGCAGGCGGCGAGCTTAAATGTGAACGAGGGGCAGCTCCGGCTTGATTGGTGGCGTAGACTTTTGGCGGGGGAAATTGTATTCTTATCGACAAGTTGACTCACTCAATTCTTCTCGACTCTTCTCCTCTTTTAATCCTCCTTTTCTTCCTATCCTCTTCTCTTCTTCGCCTCGCTCCTCAATAATTCTCTCTCCTCCACCATATCCCTCACAATGGCCCAGCAGAACGGTACCACCGCCAATGACTTCACCGTCAAGGCCGGTCTCGCGCAGATGTTGAAGGGTGGCGTGATCATGGACGTCGTCAATGCGGAGCAGGTAGGACTCTCACAGATCTCACTTACTGTCAAGGACCATTTGCTAATATTCCTGCCCGTGTTGCAATAGGCTCGCATTGCTGAGGAGGCCGGTGCTGCCGCCGTCATGGCCCTCGAGCGTGTCCCCGCTGATATCCGTGTGGAGGGTGGCGTTGCCCGCATGTCCGACCCCAGCATGATTAAGGAGATCATGGAGGCCGTGACTATCCCCGTCATGGCCAAGGCTCGCATTGGCCACTTCGTTGAGTGCCAGGTACGTTCGCTACGTGCACCTCTCTACACAGGGTAGAGCAATCGCCAGTACGCGCGAGACCATTGAGAATTAACTATTTGCCTCCTCCCAGATCCTCGAGGCTATTGGCGTCGACTATATCGATGAATCCGAAGTCCTGACCCCCGCCGACGATGTGTACCACGTTACCAAGTCCAACTTCAAGGCGCCCTTCGTCTGCGGCTGCCGTAACCTGGGTGAGGCCCTGCGCCGTATCTCTGAGGGCGCCGCTATGATCCGCACCAAGGGTGAAGCCGGCACCGGCGACGTCGTCGAGGCTGTCAAGCACATGCGTACCGTGAACGCCCAGATTGCCCGCGCCCGCGGCATTCTCCTAGCCAGCGCCGACCCCGAGCCTGAGCTCCGCGCCTTTGCTCGCGAGATTGAGGCTCCTTACGAGCTCGTCCGTGACTGCGCTGAGAAGGGCCGCCTGCCCGTTGTCAACTTCGCCGCCGGTGGTGTGGCGACCCCTGCCGATGCGGCGCTGATGATGCAGCTGGGCTGCGACGGCGTCTTCGTCGGCTCCGGAATTTTCAAGTCGGGCGATGCCAAGAAGCGCGCCCGCGCCATTGTCCAGGCCGTGACTCACTTCAAGGACCCCAAGGTCCTTGCCGAGGTCAGCGAAGGTCTGGGTGAGGCCATGGTCGGCATTAATGTGCAGAAGATGCCCGAGAGCGACAAGCTGGCTGGTCGTGGCTGGTAAATTGACTAACACTCATTGTCGTATTTCAGTTTTCTTCGTGCTTTGTCCCTTAACTTTTCTATGGTTTGGGTGGTCTCCCTGGATGGGACAGTTCAAAAATTTTCTTGTACATGAGTCACGTTGCCGATGCCCTTCTTGTTAGCATGACATATACAATTTTTTTTTAGAGACTTCTTGTTTCCATGAAGATGGGTTCGATTTACATTCGTAGCAATTTTGAACATGCATAGAAGCCCTCGCCACAGAGAGCCAATCTCGAGAATTAACTTTCTCATTCTCCCGCACTAACTTTCGCCTATAGATTACCCACCCCTCCTCCCTTTCCCCCTAGCTAGGGCCTTAGTACTGAGACTTATTACAAATTCTAAGCTCTGAACTACGAGTACGTGAGCATTTCACGTAACGCAATTCTCGAGTCTTTGTGTCTCCGGCATGCAGGGCTGATTTAAACAACTACCCCCGGCCCGTCGATCAGTTGCAGCCACCTGATAGGTCCTCCGCTCCGAACCACCGATGGCCGCGGCGCTCTGGGGAAAAAGCAGGAGTCCGAGAACTCTTTCCCACCCTCAACCCACTGGCAAATCGGTCAATTCGCCGTTGGCAAGTTATGCCAAGCGGACCGGCCGGCGATTGGCCTGCTGCCTGCGCGATCCTGTCACCGAATCTACCGAATCTACCCGTTCGCGGATCCTCTTGCGTCGCCAGCGGGTCGTACGGGTATGTACCGATACGGTAACTTATCTTACGAGAGCAGGCGAACACATTAGAGGATAGGGCGTGTAAGGCGTAGTCGTAGCGATCGGGATTGGAAGGGGAGGTGGATGGCAATTATTGAGGGGTTGGAAGCAAGAAGGAGGAAGTTGTTTATAGGCTCAGTGGAAGTGTCTGAATCGATATCTAGTGCATAGGTATTTGTTGGCTCCGTCCCGAACTACTTCTGTTTGGGGAAGATCATCTTTAGTAAAACCATAATCGAATCACACTCTATAACAAATTCTTCTATACATGACAAATTTACTGCCTTGATTCTCCCCACGAGACCCATCGTCGCACACATTCATCTACCCGCCGCAAGGCTTCTTTTTCCGCCTCAACTTCAAACCATTCTCGATGCTCCTTACCGCACTCACTACACCTTCCAAGGTCACGGATTCTCAAATCCCCCAGCTCCAGGTGAATCAAACGTTCCACACGGTGGACATGTGGGACTTTCCTTCCCGGGACCAATGAAGATAAAGGCGCACGGTTACCAGCATCACGTACAGGTAGCGGAGCTCGCGCAGGTGAGGATGAGGTGGATGAAGACGGCGTATAGGGGTAATAGCGAATCAGAGTCAAATCATGCGAGCATTGGCGGGTCCATTCTGCAAGTCGCCGGTGCACGTTGCTTGTGCGTCCAATCTTTAACCGGATGGTGCCTGGGGTACTTGACGTGGGGTTTGAGGTAAGTGCATTAAGCTGGTGTGCTGCGCGAAGGGCATCGCTCACACTGCGCGGTTGAGGTGGTGGACGGAGCATGTCACTGCTTGATGGCATGGAAGGCAGAATCGAGACAGCGATATCCCTTGGAAGCGGCGATTCTGTGCCATCACCCATGGCAGTTGTCTGGGGAGTTACCCAAAACATATAGATGTAGCCTTCTTCATCGGCCTCTGAGATCGGTTTGGCCAGTTCGGTAAGGAGAATTGATGTCGTCTGTGGTGACAATGTGCTAGGGATCCACGAGAGGAGGGATGAAGTCTGTGAGGAGGAAGAGTGTTTTCCATTGCTTATGGGTGGCCGTGAAGGCGTATGTGTCACCGATGAGACTCGTTGCGCCGATGAAGAGGGCTTTGCATGAGGGTATGCAGCCGACACTGGTCGTAGAGGACGATATGCATTTGGGGGCAAAGATGTCGATCCTTGCGACGGTTGCGCATGAACTGGCCGTGGAACTGACGCAGATGGGCTGCCATCCTCGTTGTTGTCCTCGTCCACGATTTCGAAACAGCAGAATGTCTTTTTTGGCCGTCGGCGCTGCTTCTCACTGGGCCTATTTTGACTTGTTCGGTGCCGCTGAGCTTTTCTTGGCGGCCTTTGTTTCTCATCTTTAATTTCGAGGACACCTAGTCGGTCCATAAGGGTATCGATGCTAGTCCTTGGTTTTACCGGAGTGATGATCGCCTGATTCGCCTGATTCCCCATACTGGATGAGGCTGCTTGGTCTTTGTGCTGCCAGCAGTACAAAGATGCCATATCGGGTTGCACATTATGGGCACTTTTCTTTCGTGGGGTGGTTGCCGGTGACGGTGTCTGAGAAGAAGCTAAAGCACGGCGGCAAGGCCGGCCTTGGGCGGTGATGCCTCTACATGTAGTTGCCGGGTTTCGTGAATCCGAGCGAGGAAGGACAGACTCTGGAGTGTTGGGAATGTCAGGCATATGCGCTTTAATTGAGAGAAAAACAAGATCCACGGTAGTACCGGGGTGTGAATCTAATAAAAGAGAGAAATTTCAGGCATCAAAGTGGCCCTGGCTTTGAAGCCGCCATGCGGTGAAGCCCCAAGAATGGCCCCGACTGCCCCAAGGGCTTGCAAGACTCCACTAGGTCTCCTCTTCGCGCCGAAGGGATGTTATTTTTACTTGGGCTGTTTTTGTACAGGCGCTGTGGCGGTGCGAGAACCTAGCGCTCTTATTGGTCTACAGTGGGTCCAAAGTGGATATGGAGTTGGCTGAGAGGCACTACTTTGCCTAGACTTCTTCATATTGGGCCAGGGCGCTCCAAGGCTTCTACAAGTGACGATAACTATACGCTAATAGTGACCCAACTGTTCAAGCTATATACTTTCTCTTTGAATAGTGTTAATCATTTAATATCATTTCCTTCTATAATATCCTATAATAGAGTAGCATTTTCTCTTCCTGCAACGACATCGGAATATCAGTCTAAGGAGTTGAACACTCTTGTTTTGCCTTAAAACAAGAGCTCGAAATATTTGAAAACGTGGGAAACAATCCCTATATGCTAATTTTGGCATTAAGAGAACGCTCTTCTCTAGAAAACTTTGTGGGAATAGAATAATCACTTCGGAAATCATGGAAATCTTACGATGAGCAACAATCTACGAGTCTGCTCCGAATGGAGTTCGAAGTTCATTCTACAGGTTGTGCGTCTCTCTGGAACCACCAAGGGTTCGAAGATCTGGAAAAAGCGGAGATCTCGGCAGATACCGAAGAAGAGCAAATTGCTGGTCGAAAAAAAAAGGTTTATTCCTGAGGGCAAGGGGAAGGCGCCCCAACGCGGTCCGCAGACCGATGATGCTGACAACCATGACTGCGACCAGGGTCTTCGGGGAGGCAATTGGACCAATACTTTTCATTCGAGAAAGCATCCTGCTTTCTCACTGGCGTTTGCCTCATTTCGTATCGCTCATGTTGTCAACGCAGCGCGGTTCGGGCCCCATCTGTGGCGGTGGAAATCTCAATCTATATTCTAACGGCATTTTTTTATGATTATTACTAGGAGGGACCTTACAGTTCAGGTGCTTAGCGGTGGAAGACTACTGATTTAGAAGACTATTGATTTAGCCCACCTCCCCACTTTGCAGTTTTCCCGCCAATCATCACTTTATGACTGAATTTGACAATCCCTATCTGCAGTGCCGTTTTCGAGTATTTTCGTGTCCGATCCAGCTTTGTGAATTGTTCTTTTATAGTGTCAAATGATGAATGGTGATCTATCATTAAAAACAAAACTGCGAGCAAGATTACTGTAGGCTGAATAACTCCCAGGCACGGCTAGGATACGAATAAATCCAAAGAGAGAAGTCTCGGAGCCTTGAGAAGTGCTAAATATGCCCCTCATGTCATTATGCAACGGGGTATTTCTGACAAGTCTCCACCTGCTGGCTGCCATCCTCTGATCTTATACTTGACATGAAAATGGATATCTAGGTTGAGTCGAAATGAAAAGCGTCTGTCTGATCCTAAAAAAACTCCGATTCTCATGAATACGTTTGCGGGGGGCCGTTCTCACTGAGCATAATCGAAGCTCATGCCCCGACATTTCAACCAGAATGATCGCACGAGCTCCATCGACTGTGGTCTTGCGCCACGCGCTACAATCAGGGATTCCAAGAAACGAGATTTATCTTGTGGTGAGAGGACGGGGACTTGATTTCCATTGGCATCGGTGGTCTGTGCATTCAAGCGGCCAAGAGCAGCAGTGAGACTCGGTCGAGCCAAGGCCATTTTCTTGAAGACCATGCGCCGGATCACATCGTTGAGCGACACCAGATCTGACCGAGCGCAGTGACCTGCAATCTGTCGGATAAGTGTCTCGCTCAGTTGGGGAATGAATTGTTCGAGGACCTGATCGAAGGCAGCAGTCTCAGCGGCGGAGCTGCCGCGGAGATCCATCATGGCAACCCAGAACGCAGAAGCAGAACGCAGGGTAAGAGGTTCTGGCCGAGTCAATGCATGAAGAGTAAAGCTTAGCAATACACCGAAGGCCGGCGGGGGTGGGAGAGTGGTCTCTGCCAAAGATGGAAGAGGATCTGTTAGCGAGAACAGAATGTAATAATATTTCGGCAAGAGGCGGGTGAGAAAATCAATTCCAGCATTGGCGGTCTCGGGGTCATAGGTGTTGGAATCATTGAGCATGGATGAAAATAGCTGGGCGACATGCACAATCAATGCCACGGCCTCGTCCCGAATTTTCATGGAGTGAGATGCATGCGATGCCAAAAATGATGATGCAGTAGCCATAATAACGTCTGTGCCGGAAATACCCAGAGGGAAGCTTTTGATGAAATCTACAGTCATTGACGGAGGAAAGACAAAAAGCCCCGACGATTCGGTGTAGCCCGCCTTAAGAATGTCGCAGGCTGAGTCGATGAGGCCACTATCCACTGGAAAGTCGACTATCAGAAGACGCATGGCTTCCATTATGAGCTGCTGTACTTGAGAGCCTGGTCCGGCATTCCAGAATGATGGGGGGTAGGGGTTTTGCTCGTGTGCTGTTTCGGGATTGATTGGCTCGTCCGCTTCTGCCCGAAGGCCTTTTCCAATGCTGGCAATACAACTCAGCACGAGGTGACCATGAACACGAGCATCTTCATACGCCGAGCTAGCCGCCTCCTCCCTAGCTTTCTTCGCTTCCTGAACGAAGAACCCCAGGATTTTCTCTAGAGTCTGCACTTTTTCGTCATCTGCGGGCAGTCTCTGGATAATCGTTGCGATTCCCTCTAGCACCTTGGGCATAGTGGATGCTGTTGCTGTTTGCTTTGTGCGGAATTGGTCGAGCTGTTCAAGGAAAACAGGTAGCTCTGAGGTCAACACTCTGGCGCAGGACTTTGAGAGGGTCAGAATAGACCTAGAGGCCGCCAGGGCACATGGCTCAAAGCTGAGGGATTCAAACAAAATGTTCAATACACCAGGAAGCAAGGCGCTTTTACGTTCGAAATATGACTCGTATTTCCCAAAAGTGTCCACCAATGTCTGGCGCGCCTTGAGCGGCATTCCCACCTCTCCGCCTGCACAGATTTGGGAAAACGCCCCGCTGCCAAAGATAGTGTCCAAGCACTGATCAGCATGACCATTGTCATCGACGGCCTCTGACAACTGGGCGATGCAGAACATTGCCGCTTCGAAACCGCGCCAGTCGCGAGTCTTGAGGTGTGTGGTTGCACTCTCCTGGAACACCCTAACAAGTTCCACCCCTAGAATTGGATAAGCCGAGAGTAAGTAGTCACAAGCTTCGTAGCGAAAGGCATTAAATTCGCCTCGCTCTTCGTCACTCCAATCCGCAAGGTCATCTGCAGACGGGTACAGCAACTTGTTGAAAAGTCCAAGAACGACCTTTGCCAACTGTGCTTTGACAATTTCATATCGGGGATCATCTTGTGTCAACTCATCAGAGAGACACTCAGCAATCTCATTCCAAAATTCCAACACGCGAGGTGTAGCTGAATCATCAATGGCGGCATACCCCGGGGTTTTGAAGATATCGTGAACCATGGTGAGGATCTTCTCATTCTCAGGCTTAATGGGATGACTGAACATGTTCAGCTGAAGATGAGAGACGTAAGCAACCAATAGGTCAACAAATGTCAGGCTCTCAGCACCCTCTTCACCACTTGTGATAGCAAGGATATGGCCTGTCACAATTGAGTCGGATAGTATGTGTGAAAGAATCCATAGAGACTTGTCATCAAAGGCCGAACGTCGACTTTCAAATACTTGCGTCAGAATAGATGCAGCGGGTTCACTCAGGATAGGGACTCGAAGTGTATTCATAATGTCCTGACCACAAGAAACGGCCAGCTCATGAACATTTTCATCGCCCGTTTGAGGATGGTTTCCACAAACACCTAGCCAAGCCTAATATAGAATAAATATTTTTGTTCTACTCATACTGGTAGGCTATCTTACCTTCCAGGAACTCATGATCTCGCTGCCCAAGGTCTTTTGAAGATATTCGTTCATCGATGGATGGTTCGGATGTGAGATCTGGGGTAGGATATACTGCACCAGCAAAAAGGCATCCCTGATGTTTGTGCTCGATCGTTGGATTACTGGGCCAACTAAATCTTGTGGTTCTGCCTCCAGCCTCAATGTTTCTTCTGCCAATGCGACCGAGAAGAATACCAGGGCCATGGTTTTTTGAGTGTCGAGATTTGGCAGAACACCAGAAGAGAAGGGAATGGTCTGAGATTGCTGCTCGGATACAAATGAGCCATTGGCCAGGCTTGCCGCTACCTGCCATAATGCTCGCTTCCAATTAGAGGCGGGGTGTTTGAAAATAGTGACGAGGCTGGAAGCGAGCTTCCTCACCACCATTGCCTGCTCTGCTTCATTCACTATCGTGATGAGATGGTTGATAAGACGTTCCAAGATTTGGAGAATGGTGGCTTCATTTAATTCTCCTCTGAAATAATTTTAGCATTATTCAGAGATAACAGATCAAAGAAGCAACTATGTTGCTAGTGAACACCTACCCTGATACATTCACCTTCACCGTGAATGTGAGAGCTCCCATGAATCTGTGATGAGCAGAGGGTTCCCGCAGGAGTGAGTCAGCAACTTCCCATGCATTATCACCCTTCTGGAGCTCTTGCAAGCGCTTTTGGATCTCATGGATCATGACAGGATTTCTCTGGTTTGCGGGATCGTAAAGCTGGGTGACAAGCTAAGAGGGGCTATTAGAAGGTTTCGGGACCGGGAAATAGGATCATCTCTACCATATGAGCTTCCGAGGCTCTCTGGCCTGGTATAGCGCCCATCACCAGGTTTTGAGCGGCCATGATGTGTTTTGAATTTGGTCTCACCAGCGCTTAAGTGGGATGGAGGAGCGTTGGTCAAAAAAGGGAACAGTATAAATGTAGTCACGTGGTGATAGCAGTGTTTTTGCCGGCAGTATTTGAAATACCTTCCTGACTGCCCTGTTGTACTGTGAGGGAGAAAAGCGGTAAAAAGCTCGGTCAGACGCGGGGAGCTGGGGCGGTGGGCAAAAATCAAGGTCCAGAAGCTCAATCTGCGTTGAATGGATAGCACTAAGCACATGTTCAACTCTCCAAAGCTACTAGTTGGATTAATCTTGCACTAGGATCAATATGGGCCACCGTCGAACTAGTGGCTCGGTATTTCTTGATAGCCCTTTGCACATAATAAATCTTTTCAATCTCTCATTGCTTGATAATATACCGTCCGATAACCTAAAGTCCGCAGATATGCAAGTTTCGTTGTGGCGGATAAATGAGAGGGCCGTGGTTACGATATCAGTCTCTATGGGTGCCTTTTCCAGAAGATTAAATGTATAATGTTTATGGCTTAACTAACAATACATTGGTCACATATGGGTTGCTTGAGCTTGGGGGTAATATATAGAAAAAGAGTTGAAGGAATCAGCTGAGTGGTCACGGGAAATCATAGTTGCGCACCAAGATAGATTCAAATTGAAAACAAGAAAACAATCTGCTTTGGCTGAAAACCCCTCTCTCATTAAATATTCGCTTGAATCCCATCCCTCTCTGGCTCCATAGCAACGTCGCCTCCACAGTGCAAACATGACAACACGGCAGGGTGGGCCAGTGGATGCGACCTCCGGCTATCGTCGCCCTATGAGCAACCACGAAAGCCTCTCACACGACCGGAGTCACTGCAGCCACACTGAGCTGGTTATCACGCCGTTTATCTTCGGACTCACCTTACAATCCCCCCTTTCCAGTGTGGACAATCTAGTGCTGTGCGAGAGCCTTTCCTTTCCCTCCGGCGCGCAGTGACTCCGCAGACTCGTCCATGCCCTTTTCCCGCCCGATTCGTCTGAACTGGACATCTTTGCGATCGCTGAGACCATTCCAAACCCCACGGTTCTTTTCCACTTCGCGCCCATTCTTCAGCATCGAGATGGGAACCGTGAATACCTCCGAGCGCTTGGCGCAGCTGCGCCAGCTGATGAAAGAGCACAAGGTGGATGTGTATAGTATGTTGCCATAGAATACGTTTTGCTTTCCTCTTCTGATCCGAATACATCTGTTATTTGTGAATGAATTTTTGCTGATTCTCTCAAAGTTGTTCCCTCAGAAGATAGCCACCAGTCCGAATATATTGCGCCGTGCGATGGCCGCAGAGGTCAGCTCCCGCCTATCCTCCGATCACCCACATTTGACATTCGTCCCCTTCTTACGCAACTATAGAATTCATTTCGGGATTTTCTGGCTCCGCCGGTACTGCGATCATTTCCTTGAGCAAAGCTGCACTCTCTACCGATGGCCGCTACTTCAACCAAGCTGCTAAGCAGTTGGACAACAATTGGCAACTCCTCAAGCGCGGTATTGAGGGTATGCCCACTTGGCAGGAATGGTAGGCGGTACAAACTCGAGAAGACAGTCGATAAGTGCTGACCGAGGTTGATAGGACAACGGAAGAGGCCCATGGTGGCAAGGCTGTCGGCGTAGATCCATCCTTGATCACTGCTTGTAAGTGTCATCCATGACTTACATACATGAGTGTCCATATCTGACAGAGGACGGTTGGTAGCCGATGCTCGGAAACTCGCCGAGACCCTGAAGAAGAACGGTTCCACCCTGGTGGGTGTCCAGCAAAACCTGGTTGACCTGGTCTGGGGCAAGGATCGCCCATCGCGCCCCAGCGAGAAGGTGCGCGTGCATCCGGTAAAGTATGCGGGCAAGTCGTTCCAGGAGAAGGTGACCGAGCTGCGCAAAGAGCTGGAGACCAAGAAGAAGGCTGGATTCGTCATCTGTAAGATGCCATTGCCCTTCCTTTTACATTGCAACAAACTAATCACACATGGCAGCTATGCTTGATGAGATTGCTTGGCTGTTCAACTTGAGAGGAAGCGAGTGAGTTTTCCTTATCCCAACTCAACTTCTGTCTCAGTACGCCACTGACTCTGATAGTATCCCCTATAACCCCGTTTTCTTTTCATACGCTGTCATCACCCCCACCTCTGCAGAGCTTTACGTGGATGCCGACAAGCTCACCCCTGAGGTGACTGCTCACCTCGGAGAGGATGTGGTGGTTAAGCCCTATGACTCCATCTTCGCCGATGCCAAGGCTCTCAGCGCCTCCTTCGACCAATCCAATGGTGATGCGCCCACAAAGTTCCTTCTCTCTAACAAGGGCTCATGGGCCCTTAGTCTCAATCTTGGAGGCGAGAAACAGGTTGAAGAGAGCCGCAGCCCCATCGCCGATGCCAAGGCCGTCAAGAACGAGACTGAGTTGGAAGGCATGCGCGCTTGTCACATTCGTGACGGTGCTGCATTGACAGAGTACTTTGCTTGGCTCCAGAATGAGCTTATCAACAAGAAGACCGTCCTTGACGAAGTCGATGCTGCGGACAAGTTGGAACAGATTCGTTCCAAGCACGACCTCTTTGCCGGTCTTTCCTTTGATACCATTTCCTCCACTGGCCCCAACGGCGCTGTCATCCACTACAAACCTGAAAAGGGAAGCTGCTCGATCATTGATCCCACCGCCATCTATCTTTGCGACTCTGGATGCCAATACTTTGATGGAACTACCGATACTACTCGCACCTTTCACTTTGGCCAGCCGACCGAGTTCGAGAAACGGGCGTTCACTCTGGTTCTCAAGGGCTTTATTGCCATTGACACGGCTGTGTTCCCCAAAGGCACCAGCGGCTTTGCCATCGACGTTCTGGCCCGCCAATTCTTGTGGAAGGAAGGTCTTGATTTCCTCCACGGCACCGGCCATGGTGTCGGCTCCTACTTGGTATTTCTACAGTCATCATTTTTACCATCTTTTCCTCTGCTAACATAAGGGTCACCAGAATGTCCACGAGGGCCCCATGGGTATCGGTACCCGTGTGCAGTACACCGAGGTCCCTATCGCCGCCGGAAACGTGCTCTCCGATGGTTAGTCACTAAATGTTTCCGTTCAGATATTGAATTGACACTTACAAATTTCTTCAGAGCCTGGGTACTACGAGGATGGCAAGTTCGGCATTCGTATTGAGAGTAAGTCTCGCTATATTGATTCCAAGAATGAGAACCGACTAACACTTCCTAGACATCGTTATGTGCCGCGAAGTCAACACTCCCAATAAGTTTGGCGACAAGCAGTGGCTTGGCTTTGAGCACGTCACGATGACCCCCTTGGGTAGCAACCTGATTGAGCCGTCTCTACTGAGCGATGCAGAGCTCAAGTGGGTGAACGACTACCACGCCGAGGTCTGGGACAAGACGCACCACTACTTCAATGAAGATGAATTGACTCAGAAGTGGCTTGAACGCGAGACCCAACCCATTTCGAAATGAGATGGCGCGCAAATAGACTCTTGTTGACAGAGAGTGGGTTGATACGGGGCGCCATTGACCCTCAGGATCCCGAAGGAAGCAAATGTGTCAAATTCATATACGGTCTTATAAATAGAAACAAGATAATGCATATTTCTCACAGAATAAATCCAGATCGTAGGCTAATTCCAGTTCCGTATGGAGTAGATGGGTGTAGACCTCGTCCGCCGCACCAGCAACGGAATGCGGCTGGCGGGAAGCTCATGTGGAGTCCGACACCTGGAACTTCCCCATCCCGCTCCGATGCCTGTCCAGCCATTGTTCACCCCACAACGAACCTCAGTATTGCATGCGTGACCAAGAATGGTCTCTGTTTTCCTCGTCTCATCGTTGCGCACAAGACACACTACTTGAAGCGAGCATTCAACCACCGAATCTCAGATTGCGGCGCCCGCCCGCCCCTTGTCGTATCGCACGTACAACAATCCAGATCGGCTCACGGACCTGGCATCACTGGCCGGTAACAATTGGGAATGACCGGTAGAAACGGTTACGGCAATGGTTACGGATACTCCGAGCCCGGCCGGTATGACGCCGGTGACGGCGGTTACAACAACAGCGGCCTCGGAGTGAATGGGTACAACAGCCGCGGCGCTGGGAATACGGGAGGAGGGGGAGGAGGAACTGGAGCTGGAGGAGGCGCTGCTCGCCGTCCCGGTGGATATGGTGGTTTTTATCCAGAGTCTTCCCAGCAGCCCTCCCTTGCGCCACCAGGCCCGCCGTCTCCGGAACGACGACGAGATCGGGCAGACCGGGACCGACAGCAGGCACCTTCACAGTCGTCTTCAAGGTCACGGACACGCAATGGAGAATCTGACAGAAGATACCAGGCGGCAAGGGAAGACCGCTCAAGGGAGGCACCGCGGTACCAGGAGAGCCGAAATCATGACAAGTATATAACCGATGCTAGTCCTGCGTCACCGATCAATCCTGTAGAATTGCGATCTGTCGAAGGTTTGTTATCTTTGTTTCTGTCTGATGTCCGATCATTTGATTCTGACGAACTTTTTCATCTTATGCAGATGTTTTACAAGCCATTCAACGCGATTGGGATTTCATGACCGATGCGGAATGCATTCCTGTCCATGTTGCCCTGAGCCTGATGGACACGAGTACATTAGGAAAAGCGGACCGAGAACCGGATTTCTTGCACATGTATAACCAAATCCAGAGAACACTGAAGTCGATTGTGAATGAGCATCATCAGGGTTTCAACAGTTCAATAGGAACGTACCACAAAATCCAGTCCAATATTTCGAGCTCTCAAAGCCGGGTGCGCCACCTGAGACATTCTCTGGAGGAAGCCAAGTCGGGCTTACTGTCTACCAAGCCAGAGCTGAAGGGATTGGCAACCTCATCGCAGAACTACGATGACATTCTGCAACTTTTTGCACAGATCGAAGAGATCCAATCTCTTCCGGAGAAGCTCGAGTCTCGAATCTCTGACAAGCGTTTCCTTGCAGCTGTGGAAGTGTTGCACACTGGACTGCGTTTGCTCCGTCGCTCTGAGCTTGAGGAGATTGGCGCTCTGTCTGATATTCGCGCCTACTTCAATAACCAAGAGACTTCACTTACAGATATCTTGATTGAAGAGCTGCACGACCACTTGTACCTCAAGTCTCCTTATTGTTCAGACCGATGGAAAGCTCCCATTGGAGAAAGTGACATCAACTCAAGCAGTTGGACAGGCAACCGTACCTGGGAGCGTGCAGTATACACTTTCCTAGCGAAGTTCGATGCGTCTACACCAATGGTCGAAGATGCCTCTCGAAACCCCGAAGCAGACACCTTCTCCTATATACAGCTGTTGGTTGAGGCCTTGAATAAGATGGGCCGTCTTGATGCAGCCGTTGATCGGATCGAGCAGCGTCTCCCTGTGGAACTTTTCGCAGTTGTTGACAAGACTAATGCTGAGGTGGATGCTCGATATCCAACCCCGAACCCAACCTTTTCATCTCACGACAATCAGCTGAAATCTAACCTACCCACGGAAAACATCGAAGAGCGCGGGCATGTGTTATCTGAGTTTCTCTGGGCGCTCTATGCCAAGTTTGAGTCAATTGCAGAGGGCCACCGCGTACTTCACGATGTCATCGCAGGTATTGTGGCTCGTGAGAGTCTCAAGAAAACAGAAACATTGGCTGGTGGGTTTAAGGAGCTGTGGAAACTTCTGCAGAGTGAGATTCGGTCTCTATTGCATGACTACCTCGCTACCGACGGGGAGACGTCCTCCCGATCGCGAGGAGGCGAAGAGGCTGATGCACGACGCAAGATCTCCATGGGCAACCGGGACAAAAACAAGAAAATGTTCAAGTTATCGAACATTGATCAGAGTTCAGAGATGAAAGCCGAGCAGAATGAGCTCGACGATATTCTTCAGTCCTCCGTGCCTGGGCTGGTGTCTAAGACGCGACAGAAGGGCTCCAACAATGACGCCTCACCAACAAGGCAGGGCAACTCGGGAACTGGCCACAAACTTTTGCTGGAGCCAAGTGTATTCAACATGAGAATTCTTCTCCCTCCATCACTCTCCTTTATTCAACGCTTGAAGGACATCGTTCCGGTCGATTCGGATATTTCTATGAGCACATTGACTTCTTTTCTTGACGACTTCATGGTCAATGTCTTTCTTCCTCAGTTGGACGAGACAGTCACAGACCTGTGCACTCTCAGCTTTATTGCTGCCGATGCATTCACAGAAGACCCTCAATGGACCAAGGTCTCCCCACGACCGATCTTCAGGGTAAGTTTGTATAATCATCGAGGGAGTCAACAATGGCCTAATCAATTTGTAAAATAGGGAACGGTCAAGTTCATGTCCATTGTGCGGGAATTCAGCAAAATGCTTTCAAGTATTCCACATGATCAAGCATTTACGCAACTACTGATTGACCAGATTGTTACATACTATGATAAGTGTTGTGGCTGGTATAAAGGTAAGCCAATAGTGTTGGAAGTTCCAGTTTTTCACTGCTCCATGTGCTGACGTTTGAAATAGCTATGGTGACGAAGGTCTCGGCACGGATTCAAGGAGGTGAGGTACGGCTAAAGGCTGCTGCTTCATTTGTCGACTCTGGTGATGTCCGCGATGTGGTTGAGGAGCTGTGGAAGGGAGCGGGTGAGAAGAAGCAGACATTGATTGATACCGTAAGTCTTACGATGGCTATATGCTCAGTTTTTGTTTCCCTTGGGAGGAACTAATTAGGTACAGGAAATCGATCTTCTTCTTAAGCGAACAGACCAGGTTCCTCTGGAACCATATGACATTATATCGGACCCGAAAACTGTCGTTGCGCTTTCACTTCTGTACAACAGCATGGTGAGAAGCCCTTATTTGGATCACCGCAACGTCATGACCTTGTTCGCTAAATTTAGGAATCTAGCAATGGCTTGAAAGCCATCTTTCTAGGATTCGAATGATTGTCGACTCGTCATCAGAGCCAGATATGACTTTAGCAACTAAGGGGCGACCGTCTCGTAGGTGGACTCTATTTGGCGCCATGAAACCCAAACGCGATAGCATCAATAGTCCTGTCCATCTGCCGCTCAATCAGGAGACGGCGGCTGCCTTCGATCAGACCCTCCAGTCACTACATGGACTCGGCTCCAACGCGCTTTTTACGCTTCATGTTGACATTCGCTGTGGCATTATCCACATGTTGACAAGGACTATGTCGGGCCCCAACCCGCCGAACGTCCGCAATTCTGAGCCGACGACCCCAACTCCGAGTACGAGCGAGAACTGGTGGCATATAATTATGAACCAGCCCACTGCTGCGTCCCCGACGATTCTGCAGCTCAACGGTGACCTGATTGCATTTGATACCAATATTTCCACATACCTTGGCTCTGCCGAGCACTGGTTCATCGCCTCTGGACTGGCACGATTCATTGACCGTGTGTTCGTGGCGTGCACCCGCTACATTGGTGCTATGAACGAGAATGGCGCTCTCCGGCTCCAGCTCGATGTGCTTGTTCTTCAACAGAATCTGAAGAATATCATTATTGACACCACCGTCGAGTCTACATCCGACGCTAGTAATGCGCCTTCGTCGGAGGTGGTAGCCCTCCCACGCAGCGCAAAATTTTTAGATTGGTTCCTAGAGGGCGCCGAGAAATCTCTGGACTATGCGAAGGAGGAGAAAGAGGCGTTTGCTTCTCAGGGTGCAAAGGCCCTTGCTGCGGGCAATGGCGAACCCTTCACGTACGATGAACTCCGGGTCCTGGTGGATCTTTGCTTCTCGGAGATCTTGCGTGGACCTCGGGGTGCAGAGAGTCGGGAGGACTTTATGGCTGCGAAGAAGGCCAGTGCTGATGCGCTGCTGCGTCTGAATGAAGTGATGTGGGATGCACGATAGGACTTTGATTATCTACCTGTATAGGAAAGACCAACGATGATTCGGTGCCTTTGAGTTTCCCCCTTTGTATCTGCTTGTCATAATCGGTTCTTTTTTTTTTTAGAAAGGGAACCTTGCTACGTCGTGACCCTGTCTCTCAATCCCTACTTCCCAATTCCATGAGTTTGGCCCCAAAGTGCCCTACCAACCCACGCGTTATTTCCACCGTCACTCGCTCTAAATTAAGCCGCATCTCCACCGTCCGCCACCGGCGAATCCACAGCCACTCGAAAGCCCCCGCTATATGACCAGCGGGCTGGGCTAAGCCCGGTCGGGGCACCGTCACACCGTTTGCGGGCGCTTCCGAGCCACCGAGTGGCCGAGTGAACTCCACGCGTGTTTCAAGTGTCTCGATCTCATTTCTCTCGAGATTATAGAGTCCACTCGCTTCCAAAAGGGTCGAGATGGGGCTATTTAGGCTGACTTGAATCAGTCCACCCTATATCATATGGAGTGAACCCTTCTTTTTTGTTTTTCGTGAATTTCCTTCGACGTTCATTGCATTCATTTCTATACTTCCTTCTGTCTGTGACAGCTGCCGTTCATTCGTGTCTGGGACTCGATATCCAGACGTCCATTCTTTCTGTCGCCAGTCCATCCTGTCAAATCGTCCGATTTGCTTTGAAACTGCCGTTCCAGTCCTTTCGATTCGATAGTTTTGTCTGCAATAGGCAATTGCGATCCTTGATCAGCTCTTTTATCTTTCCTTCGGCAGGACCTTAAGAAATTCGATTCGACACCTCACCATGAAGTACCAGCATCTTGCGTCCATTGGCACCGCTCTCATTGGCGCCGCTGCCGTCTCGGCCAGCCCATTGGCCATCCGTGGTGAAGCCCAATGCCCTAAGGGTTACACTATGACCGTCGTCACGTCCTGGAGCACTGTGTACCCGACATCATCGGCCACCGTCCTCCCGGAGTCGTCTACTCTCCCATCTTCTGCTCCTGTGGTGGAGAGCAGCCAAGTTCCGGTTGGCGATGAAGCTGCTTCAGCTACCTCGTCTACTCCCGCGCTGACTACGGAGGTTGCTGCGGTTGAGACGACCCAGGCGGCCGTCGCTACCACTTCTGCACCTACGGACAAGGCCGTTATTGCGACCATCGCTCTTCCTGCTTCTTCTTCTTCTGAGGCCACTCAGGCGAGCTCTTCCAGTTCTTCTACAACTTCTACCGCCCAGGCTGCGGCTACCTCTTCTTCATCAAGCTCTTCCAGCTCTTCCAGCTCCTCCGGTTCTTCCTCTTCCGGCGAGGCCACCTATTACACTGGCAATGTTGCCGGGGGAACTTGCTCCTTCTCTGGCTACACCCTCCCCAGCGGAATTTTTGGTACCGCTCTGTCTGTCGATCAGTGGGATGATGCGGCCGAGTGCGGTGCTTGCGTTGCGATCACCGGACCTAGCGGCAACACCATTAAGGCTATGGTAAGTTATAACCAACAGAAACGATAATGCGGAGCCCCAAGCGTCTTCTTTAGCAATACTAACAAACATTCTCACAGATTGTCGACCAGTGCCCCTCATGCGCGTCCGGCCACTTCGACCTCTTCGAGAACGCCTTCTCCGAGCTGTCCGAGTTGTCTACCGGTGTCATCGACATCAGCTGGGAGTACACCTCCTGCGGCATCGACGAGCCCCTGAAGCTCAAAAACAAGGACGGCACTTCCGAGTATTGGTTCTCCATGCAGGTTGTCAACGCCAGCGAGGCTGTCACCAAGCTGGAGGTCAGCACTGATGGTGGCAGCACCTGGCAGAGCACCACCCGCACCTACTACAACTACTTCGAGAAGGAATCCGGCTTTGGCACCGATACAGTCGATGTTCGTGTCACCGGCGAGTCTGGCAGCACTGTCATTGTTAAGAATGTCGGTTGCTCGTCCGAGTCGGAGGTGACTGCCAGCTCCAACTTTTAAATACGCTCCGAGGTACATATGTGATTAAGCGTTGGAGTAAAAGGCGGGAATCGGGGGAAATTCTTAGTATCTTAACAACAAATCTTATAGATTACTGTGAACAATAGTGACTAAATTTCTTTTATATACCCTGATAACATGCAGTCAAGATCGAAGGTCTGTTTGTAAGCCATCGAGAGGAGGGAAAGAAGTTGATTCTACTCCGATGACTGAAATATCAGGTGGAACTTGAGTGGCATTGCAAATGGACAATACTCATGGACTTCCCACCGTACAGACCTAATACGCACCTCATCTCGCATTCCGAGGGACGTGGCACCGAATGGCCCCAGAGATACGAATGAGGAATGGGTTGTATAGCGAGAAGGATCTAGACGAAGGCTTTGGGAATTGGGGGTAAGGCAAGATTCGGAAATAGAACGAGGCCTGAACATTATAGGTGACAAGAGGATAACAGGTGGTTCGTGGTGTTAACACTTGAACAAGAAACAAGGGCAAATTCACAAGATTCTTACCCGAATGCACACGCCTGAGGTTTTGTGGAGCTGGTAGACTTGGAAGCAGTTGGGTTCGCTGTGCCCGAAATGTGATGAATGATATGCTAAACTTCAAGGTCCATTGCCGATGCACCTTCTGGGTAGACTCATGCATCCAAGAAATCGAACCATCTACAATTCGGTATACTACTCGTCCGCCAGATACTACCCATGCTCTACAACCAAAGACAACGCACAGACCAGGAAAAATATTGAAACTTGCATTATACCGACAGCACCATGGCTTGACAAACCCATCCGAACCTTAGATTTCGCCGGCCCATCCATTAACGATGAAGAAAGAAAAGGGATAAAGGAATACCAATGTGAAGTAGCATATAGAGCCACGAGAAAATAAGAGGGGGGTGGTCAGGAAAAGTTCAAAAATAAGATACGCCACACCAAGCAAAAAAAGGCCAGAAAGGGGACGGGTCAGAGACGGTGGGAGAACACAAAGTGAGACGAACAGTCAAACAGAGTCAAAGCCGAATCCGTGGAACAAAAGGTAGGGGACTACAAACATAAGTAGATCCGCGGGAGAGGAAGGAGAGAGGGCAGAAATCAGCATGGCAAAATAAGTCTGGTAATCAAACAAACCAGACATAAAAACAGAAGGGAGAGGGTATGTTCAAATTTCCACCACCGGGAAACGCAACGAGACAGTCGTAGCACATGCAGAGAATGAATTGACTGGAGACAGCTCTCTTTACTCCAAGTCAAAAGTCTCAAGCTCTTTCGAATCCTCGTAGTCATCAAAGTCGAGACCAGCATCGCGGCATCTCTGGAGCCACTTGAGTGCGATTCCATTGCGCCGGCTGACCTCCTGCTTGAGCTTCTGGTTGGAGGCGCTGATCTCGTTGATGGCATGGGTGGCTGTGAGGCTGTGCTGCTCGAACCGCTCATCAATATTCTTCTTCTCTTCTTGCAACTGGCAGATGTACTCGATGGCACGTTGAAGTATAGCGCCCTTGTTCTTATCGCAGTTCGGTACGAGGCGCGCGATTTGGTTAATACCCTCGTTGATGGCTTCGCGACGACGGCGTTCAACTAGACGACATTAGTGGGATTGAATAACAAGGAGAGCCCCGTGATCAGTTAACATACCCTCTTTGTGGTTGTTCTTGCGAATCTGGTGCCATTCCGGAGAGCCGACGGTGGGCTTCTGATTCATACTCTGGGCCTCACGGGCCGCATAGACCGCAGCGGCTGTAGAGTTGTGATTGTGGGCACCCGGGATAGGGCCTTGGCCCATGTCATCCCCGAAACTCAAGCCTTGAGTGAGGTTGTTTGCGTCGAAGGCTGCCTCTGGGGGCGGTGGGTACTTCTGATGTTGAGGGACGTGATGGGCGGCCAGCGCGGCTTTCGCGTCCGCTGTGAGCGAGTTGTTGTCGGACAGGCCATTCTGGGGGCCCACATGCTGGAGAATCTGTTGGTCGATGTTCAGCTCCGATCCGGGGTTGCCCAGGCCGTGGTCGTAACCCATGGAGTGACCGAAGTTGGGTTGGTTATCGCCCATGCTGCCGTTGCTGCCGTGTGACGAACGATTTAGACGCTGTGCATCATGGCCCAGATCATCCGAGCCCTCCCGCTTGCGCTTGCCAGCACCGTCCGGGCTGTTCATGGTGGGGTCGGACATCATGGAAGGAGAAGTGATCCTGTAAGCCGGAAGGGTTAGTCATCGAAGGAGGGGAGCAAGCAATTGGAAAAGGCAGATAAGTTGGCAAGAAAGCGAGGGCTTTCGAAAGGGAAGTTAGTGTATAAGGTGCAAAATTAGTGCATGAATGACAGGTCGGACCCTTCCTCGGTAAGATCGATAGTCTCCCTCGGGGTAAACATAGCAGACGCGTGAAGCCGACGCGCCCCGGCTGGCAAACCCTCTTGCCCCCTCGTGGGCGGCAAAGCCTTCGGGCTGAGGTCATTACAGCCAGGGATCTCTAGGACTCCACAGCGACGCGAACGAGAGATTTACTTCAACCTCTTGGCTCAGTCGGAGAGACAGCACTGTGAACACACCAGAGGCGCGTCATGGCTGCGGGCGACCGACCGCACGCACGCAGGGGGGAGGGGAGGGGGGCTTGGAGGGACTGCGCGCGACAAGAGGGACGACCACGACCACCAAGCGCAGACGGGCGCATGGCATCACGACAGTTCAAAAGCAGTCAAGGTCGCGCTCCCGGGGAAGAGGCAGACGGGGGGGACGATGGAGTCGTTACCTTGGATGATCAATCTATCACCTGACAGGAAGTCACCTGCCACGGACAATAACAAGACCAGAAGTCACGTTGTTTCGCGATGTCGGAACTTCGAAAATGAACCCCAAAACGACGGGGAAAAGAAGATGCGGAGAAAGATCGTAGAGGGTCAAATCGATATGACAATCCAGTCCCACCTGATGATTTTACATGAAAAAGGGATGTTCTTTAGGGAGTAGAGCGGCCGAGTCGAGAGGGTTTGCTCACGTGGAGAGGTCGACGAGGGTGTACGGACGACGAGGGCAACCAGGAGCGCAGGATATCACCTGATCCCAACCCCCATGCTTATCTCAGCAGCGGGTCGTCCCGAGGGTGCAGGCTTCCAGGGTTGATGCACAGGAGCTACACCAGGAGAAACGCAGAAAGAAGGAGAAGATGGGGGAACATGATAAGATGAGGACCATCGACGTGATATTCCCCGGCTTTCCTCCTTGCACTACCGCCTCTGGGAGGGTCTTTCTAGTGTGTCCTATGCTCGTCAGGTGCTGGAATCCCGTGCCCCTCAGCACACACTCCGCAACTCTGTCACCTGATTGGCCCACCGCCCATGGATCACGTGCAGAAACCGCCCAAGGCGCGCACGGGCCACCGATCGCCTTCAGCAACTCCAACCTCCAACGTCCTCCACCGCGTCAAGCAGCCCCGTTATCAGAGGGAACAGGATCTGAAGCCCCATCACATGTCGGGTCTTTCTTCCAAATCCTCCCTCACCACCAGTTGAACTAGATATCACGTCGCACCCGGGTTTGCCCAGGACTGAGCCAGTCATGCGACCCGAACTCCCCACCCCTCCTCCCCGAGATTTAAGGTGAACTGCAGAAGTCGATCGGCGGAGATCCGTCCGGCTGATTTGGCTCAGAGCAGACGTTGCAGTGGCCCTTGGAATCTTTCCGTAATATTATTATCTACAATCGTCATACTACCTTCGGGATGCTGCCGGGCCTTGATACTTGATCTAGATCATACTCGACAGCGTCCCAATATGCATCCAGCCTACCAGGGTGGCCGGTGTATCTTTTCCAGTCTCGTCCTCTCAGATCTATCGCCGTAACGTGCATATTGTACATTTTCTATATCTGCATCTCATAGATCCCCAAATTCCAGACAAAATCGAGAACTCCATAGATCGCAGGATCGAAAGTATAAAATTCAGGCCATGCAAATCCAAAAGCAGGCAACCAGCCATCCTTCCCCCCTTCTCCCCTTTCCCCTCTCCTCTGTGACAAAGTCCAGACCCGCCCAGTCTCCAAACATGACGCGTTCGAGGATGTCTCACTCCTCCTGCCTCTACTCGTCGGACCCATCCGATTCAGCCGACCCATTAGAGCCCCGCGCCTTCAACCCAAACACCATTTTTGGCCCTGCCGTGGTATCCGCGAAACAAATCCCCTCCTGGCAGGCTCCCAGCAGATCCCAGCAGAGGATCTTCACATCGAACGGCTTCTCCCCGTCCGTCCCGGCCACCTGTCCACCCCGTGACCCTTCAGTCCGCGGCCGCTGCGTCACCGCAACCACTGCGCTCGTTCCCGCATACCGTGCCGGTGGCTTGGTATCATCTGCCGCCGGCTCCTCGCCCGCGCGATTGGCAAACACCAGGATCACCCTCCGCGGCGCGGGCTCACCCGCAGTCCCATACCCGTCGACGTCGCCCGTATGTCCCATTGTCGTCTCCAGCAGCGGCATGAACCGGTTCAGCCAATAGCTGAAGGTGTCCATGTCCGGGGCGTTGCCTAGTGCGGCGAGCTGTTCGCCGCCGAGCGCGGTCAGCCACGCCATCGACAGAACGACTAGCTGCGAACGCGAGTCCAGCACGCGGTGCGCGAACTCATAGGCCGTGTACGGCGCCTCAAACTTGTACGGGTTAATGTCCATACAGATGCCGAATGAGGTGGGGATGTGCCGTGGGGCCGCACTGTCAGTCGCGCGGGGGAGGGTGAGCTCGTGGAATCCATGCTCCACCTTGCCTTCAGCGGCCCAGGTCTCATCGGTGAAGTACAGAAAGCTCTTGCGGTAATTGTGGACGACAGCGCCGGTCTCATCGACCACAATCAGGGAGTTATAGTATGTGGCTGGGCTGGTGCCTGTGCCGGCTTCAATCTCAGGATAACCGACGCACACGGTGCAGCGCAGGCGCTGCGCGGTTTCGCGGGCCCAAATAGCGCTGCGGCCAGTACCGGCTGGCTCAAGGTATGGTTTGATGGCTGCCAGTGAGGGGAAGTTGTAGCCTGCGACGGAGAGTCAGCGGTGTTGCTTTCTAGAAGCGTAGAGCAAAGACGTGGACATCATGTCGGGGTGATATGCGCCGGGAGGTCAGGGTGTAGGTCCCACGGATGTTTAACATACCCGTTAAGGCCATTTCTGGGAGAACCAAGACATCAGGTCGCAGGAGATCAACTCCCACATCGCCCCCAAGTTCCTGGCCATCTAACGAGATTGATTTCCCTTTTTTAGAATTTCATTTGCCTTTTGGATGTTGCCATCGACATCACCCAGTTTCGGGGCAAACTGCAATGTAGCGACGCGCATCCTCAGATCACGAGAGGCTGAGAAGTTTCGGCGACAACTGAAAGTTTGTGTTGAGGCCAAACCGTGTCGCCTGTAATTCGGGGCGAGGGAGGAACACCACTGTGATGCTCGAGGCTTTGTCCAGTCCCGTCGAAGTGTCTTGAGCCTGGGCCCGACACCGCGAGAAGTAACGAGGGACAGAATGGCGTCGAAAGGACCCTCAATCTACTACTGGGCTCATAAATAGACTGTTGTGTTTTTTTCTTTCCAGCGACGGCCTCTCTTGGGGAAGAGAGGAAGAACAGAGTGTGAGTATGTAGTTCAGGGCGCATAGCGGAAAGAGTGTGGTGAATATGAGATTGGTGCCTGAGGTGTGAGGCGTACCCGATGTGCATCAACATGTTGACACCAGGACAATCATCCTATTGGTGAGGATTGTAGCAACCTATACGATTGGCCAAAGGAATAAACATTCGGAGACTGCCTCTATCGAGGCCTGTAAAGAGCCTATATTTTCAAATTTCCCCCGGCATATCGACTTATCTAGACAAAGGGAGAGAGGGGAAAAAAAGAGTAAGACAACAAAATGATAAATCGGGTATGTACTAAAATCCTTCCAAACACCATGCAAATGTGCAAAGGGCAGAGAAAAAGGGACAAGACATGCGTCCACGGTCACAATAAGAAATAACAAAATCTTCTTAAAACACCCCAGAAAGCATGCAAAGCCCCAGGTACCTTCCCCGATCTCATGCCACAGCTATCACAAACAAGATCACTATAACCCGGGAACCTAACCGCTCCTTGTAAAGGGTCACTTAATATTTTCCCCGTCTGATGCTTTATCTTTCTTGGTCTTGAAATTTAGCGGCTTGTAGGCCAGCCCGTGGCCACCGGTCATTCGAATTCGCTGCTCAGTCCGCGACATGGTTCTTCCTAGGCCCAAGGGCGTATCGGGTGCATACGCCACCTGGTAGTTATGGCGAGTGAATGGCGGCGGCGAGGCGCTCTGCGCATAAGGCGTGGATGCGGAGATGCTGCTAGCAGGGCTATAAGAGTACCGGGAGGGCTCTTCATAGTGATGATAACTGTCGAAGATCTTGGGCCCAGTACGAAGCTGCTCAGCCGCGATACGGGCTGCATTAAGAAGTATCTCATCCTCGTCGACTTGCCGGTTGTTTTTCTTGACATATTCGACGTCGGGCTCGACGGCAGACTTATTATCCAGGATGGCCTGGACGCGTTCAAGAACAGGCAGAGTAGGGAGAGCCTTGATGGATGACTCGGCGAGAGAAAATTTCTTGCTGGGCGGAGAGGACTCTGTAGACCCGGAGACCTTGGCTGCTTTAGAGCCAGGCTCTTCTCGCGTAGACTCGGCCAAAGGTTGTTCTTCAAATGAACGCTTTCGGCTTTGCCTTTCCTTCCTCTGTGTCTCCTTTTCCCTTGCACGTTGAATAATCCGTTGCCACACAGCTCGTTCCTCATTCTGTGTGTTGGGAGGTTGCCATCCGAGGTCGGGGCTGGCAGATGATTGAGAGGACCCTCGCGAGTCTAAAGGTGCCAATTGTGAAACCGATAAATCAGGCTCATCCTCCGACCTTGAATCTTTCTGCACGGACTGACTAGCAGCTTGTTTGGCATCTATACTGGCTCTAATCGAGTCAACACTCTCCAATGAAATAGAAGAGTCATTTATTGTCGCGGGTGTCCCAAATAGAGCCGGTCGGATCTCCTGTGGTTCCAATGTCTTTTGCGCAAAAATCGAACCAGAAGATGATTCTGCGCTCTGGGATGTGAACATTGGCTGCTTGGGCTGGAATCCCGTCAAACCAGAGAGCCCAGGAGTGCTGAACAAGTTCGAAGGCGGAGCAGGACTTTGATTGGCGGAAGTGGTTGAAGGCTTTGCGGACGTTATAGAGGGTGGCTGATCAGCCTCAGGCTTTGACGACGGAAACTGGGAAGTCGAAATGGATGCAGAAAGGTTCACCGAGGGAGAAACAGTGCTGTCTTTTCCTTCTGTATGAGGAGACACTGGCTTCGTAGCTGAGAACACTGAGGCCGGCTGTTGGGGTACCATTGTATTCGTCAATGCGGGTGAATCGTTTTGTTCTGGCAGGAGAGGTTTTGGCGGAGTAAAAGAAGATATTGATGCAGCAAACGGGTTAGGTGAATTTGCCGATGAACGGATAGTCTCGCTTGGCTCAGTCGGTTTCGGGAATGAGAAAGGGGAGGGTGATGAGGATGGCTTAGAAGCGAAAATATTTGCAGCGCTCGGAGAAGGGAAGGCGCCAGTGGTAGCAAAAGGACTCGGGGCTGCTGCAGACACCGGTACTTCATCTGTTGCACTCTTATTCTGACCATTTTCAGCTGGCTTGAACGTAGGAGCAGTGGATAGAGATGATGAAGGTTTAGACGCGAAGGGATTGAAAGGAGGGGCAGAAGTAGAAGAAGGGTCCATAGAGGTAAACTGAAAAGGGGGCGCTGCAGCTGGCTCCGGCACCTTGTTTGCCATATTGTTGCTTCCAAACATGGAAGCAAAAGGGTTTGAAGGCTGGGCTGGAGGCTGTGAGAGAGTTGAAGGCTGATCATTGGCAGAGAGAATATTCGACTTGGCCAGTTCTGCCGGCTCTGCAAACGAAGGCGCCGTAGGGTTGAAAGAGAACGTGGGCGTACCCGAAGTAGCCGAATCCGAGTCCAGGTTTAGCGAGGGACTGGTGATCACCACAGTAGGAGCCGGGGCTTCGTTGTATTTATCCGTCACAAAAAGCTCATCTTGCTCATCTTGCTCATCCAGCGAGGTCGCAAATTCTGTAGGGGCTTCTTGCATCTCTTGCATACGTTCTGGCAGACTAGACGTGTCGATCATACCCATTGCAGCAGATTCCGCGATGGTCATTCCTAGAACGATGGCAACCAAGCTTCGCCCGGAACGTTTGACTTCAACATAGGTTTCAGAGAAGGCGTGTTCGGTGGACGATTGAAATGCTAGTTAGAAAAGTTAGACACGTTTTAACAGCAAACATCGGACCAAAGGCAGTAGCTGTAGATACTGGCCAGATGAAGCCTTTCATAACTACGGTGAGATACTTACTGACAGAGTCAACTGGGCGGTTACCCCAGTCGAGATACATCTCACCATTGGCGTTTTCTGAAAAACTGAGATCCTGCTCTTCGCAAAACTTTATTGTCTGATCATCATCATCCATATACAAAACCTTGGTCAGCTGGTCGACTGTCCATTCCTCGTTTCTATGCTGTTGTGACGGCGGAGACCGACAGTGGGCTTTCCAAATTTCACGGATGGTGGTCTGCCGGACCTGATTGAAGTAGATCTCTGCCACGCAGGCCATGAGATACGAAACGGCACGTGAATTGACCAGCTGGAAGAAGCGACTGAAGAAGCCTTGGGCGATAGCGTTCGGGCGACGCGCATCGAGAGTACCCTGGTACTCCCATACGTTAGACGCTGCGGCGTAAAGATCTAGGGCAACCTGAATTTGAGGCGAGTGGAGCAAGGAGGCAGGCCATTTCTGCACTCGGGATTCCAGATCAGGTCGTTGGTCGTGAATAGAGAAGAGGATATAGTATGCACGGAACTCGGGTTCGTTGCGGAAGTGAACACGTCCGCGGTTATCGTCATAGTAATACATGAGCGACAACATAGTATTGTTGAGCTGTTCCCGCTCCTGGTGGCGATCGAACGGCTCCTCATTGGCGGGGCTGGAGAGAAGATGAAGAGACATAATGTGGAATCGGGCGATACGCTCCAAACACAGCACTGCAACTCGAATATCATCTTCTTGCGTGAGCTGCTGGACGGAGAAATCATTGCGAATAGACCGGGTGCGATCCCAAACGAATTTATGAATAATGCCTAGTGGCTCATTTCCACCGAGGATATACCGAATCAGGTAGTTAGTGGTCTGTAAGAGAGTTCTTGGAGTTCGAATGTCCGACGGCAGCTGCGCGTCGTACCCAGCCGCTGATCGGCGAAATCGCTTGAGCATCTTGGTTTCCATATTTTGCAGAGTCTTTGATGTTGGGTGCAGGTACTGAGGTCAAAGTTAGCGAGTCAATAAACAATGAGAGACATTGTACGCGAGGCCGAACCTTCTCGCTTTTATCCACCATCTTTTGCACGATCCGCTCTACCCGTTCGAATTCAGGGCACATGGCCGTGCAGGTGCCCACCGGGGTAATGGCATTGTGCAGAGATGTCGGCTGGTCCGGATCTGCCATTTGTCCATCTCTAATTGCTTGCTGTCGCTCTTTCGCACGGTCGAGTTTGAGCTACAGGGTGCGAGGTCAGTCCATCTGTTTGGCCTTGAAATCGAGCGCAATGCACGACATGAGAGGGTTGTTGCTGACCTTTTCGTAGCGATCAGTGTATGAAGATAAAATGAACCCATTCTCTACCTGGGGCACTGTCGCTGACTGGCGGGCCGGGTTCTTCCAAGTCTGCTGAGTCGTATTTGAAGCAAAGAAATTATTTTGGGCCACATTGCCGATTCCCGAGTGACCATGAGACATTTTGGCAGCCGATTGTTCAGCGAAAGGAGATGGTTTCTCTCCAGCACTATCCCTTATGCTGGCAAAGGGGGACACGTTCGTAATCGGTTGTTCACTGGCAAGGTTGAGAGAAGCAGGGACTTTCCCCGCAGCACCATTCTCCAAAGCGGCAAATGGAGATTTCTTTGGGGCTGGCTGCCCGCCGAAAGGGGAGGAGAAAGTGCTCTGCGATTGCGCGACGGACGACGTGGCGTTTTCTGATGTCGCGGAAGTCGTGGTTACCGAGTCAAACGCGCCCCGGGAAGCAGCGCCAGCGCCGCGAGCTCGATAACTCTGAGACCCTCGTCCCCGAGAAGCTTGATCCCCTCGTCCACCACGAAAAGTCTGCTTTTCACGCCCTCCACGAACAGAGGTATCCTCGTGTCCTCCACGGGAAGACTGTTGCCCGCGTGCTCCACGGCCACGGCCTCTACCACGGGTTGTCCCTTTCAATGACGCTCCTCGTGCAGCAGGCGATCCTTGACGAGTAGCGGATGCTCCTCCGCGGCTCAATGTGCTTGGCGAAGCAGTTTTTTGGCCACGGCCAATCAATGGATTAAACGGACTCGCCATCCTGCCCGCAGTCGGCGGCAGACAATGGGTTGTCTGCCCTCGGCGACCTCAATATCCCGACGAGCCAAAAAGGCAGAAAAAAAATCGGTTGTCTGTATTTTTGCGAACGGTTCCTTGCCGACCTGGATTGGAGGGCGTGCGGAAATGGGAGAACGTCAGTGACGGGGAAAAGAAACTAGAAGGGCTGGTTGGTCGAAGCCGATACGCCGAGGCGAGGACAAGGAGGTCAGTTCATGATGTTTGCTCGCGATAATCCTAGATCTTACAATACTGAAAGCAAGGCGATTCGAGTTCAGGCAACGGGGAGAGATGCAACAGACCGGAGTCGGAGGCGGGGGAGACCAGAATGGTCGCAATACCTTTTAGACGGGCGCAGAATCTATCTCTTTGTCTTACGCCCAAGAGGCATCTCGCAGCCTCTAATCCGTTTCTTTCAATCCCCCCGCTTGTCGTGATTGGCGTTCCGAGCAGAGCGCGACGATGAAAGCCGTGAAAGAAACGGGTGCAACTCGCGCACAGGGAGCGACGATCGGGAACACACCGCCTTGATTGTTCGTTAGCTGCAGGCTGCAGGCTGCATATTGGAACCGGGAGGTTGAATGGAACACGTACAAAGCCGCAAAGCTGGTTGGAGGGAGATTGGAGATGATGCGCTGCTGATTCTCGTGAGCTCGACCTGCCCGGAGGTCGGCACGGATCCACTATTAACCGCGCGGGTAATTCACGAGTGGCCGCGGCAGTAACCGCCATTTTCCACTGGCCGTGTTCGAATGGAGAGCATTCTACATAAGAGAACACTATCTCAAGTATGCGTCTATCCAATGGCCCTAACTGATGCTGCCATCGCCAAAAAAGGCAGAATTCCAGAGTTAGAAATAAAGAGAAATTGGTATTACTAGACAGCAGTGCGTCAATGTAAAATCACTTCAATAACTATCTACCAGGTAAAATCGGATATCAACAGAAATTATGGAAACGTACATGACAGGGAATTGTAAAACAAGAAACCATATACATAATCAACGAAAAAAAATCAAGAGTATTAGCGAAAGTCAAGAAAGGTAACGAATGGTCAGAAATGCGACCAAGATAAACCGGAATATAGGTCTGGAAAGAAGGATAAGAAAAAAAATAAAAATAAAAGTGCAAAGGAAGAAACCAAAAAAATATCAACCATCAACAGAAACAGAGAAATTTTTCCAAAAAATCAACCAAACCCCCGACCCTCCCATATCTGCGCGGTTCCTCTTCATAGTGACACCGACCTGTTTTTTATTCACACGAGAAAAAAAGGAAATGAAGAATAAACACAAGAAAACAAAAGTAATCAGCAGCAAACCAAAGGAATAGGCATATATCAAAAAGAACTCCCCGCACAAGCCCTTTTATCTCCAAGTGGGTGCTTTCATAGGGTATGGTAATCAGAGCCATTAGTCATAAGAAGTCGTTAAAACTTGAAGCCCATGCATGCACTTCTTGTCGGTCATTGCGAGAGACATCGCTTGATTCATGGCTTCAACCGGGACCAGCCCGTCCGTTGAAGCTTAGGCAGGGTGAGAGAGGGGCAGGCCATGTGGATGGCCCAGGGAGCCTGTACGGAAGGGCAATGCCCGCTGGCTCATATCCATAGGGGATTGAGCATGCGGATGGGTCATGTCATGCAGCTGGGCCGGCGACGCCATGGGCATCCCCGCGTGATATGGCATTGGTGGCAGCACACCCTGGGTAGTGGGAGGCGCACTATAGTCCACTGGGCTGAAGATGTTCTGGCGGAAGGTCGGAGCCCAAGCCTCATATTGGCCAGGGGCGGGGTGCCGCGACTGATCCGGCGTGGAGGTGGGATAAGGAGTCGTGGGCGGATAGTCAAATACGGAGACATCGTGCGGGCTGATCATCTCGGCAGTGACAGGAGCACTGAGCATCGGCTGCGAGAAGGTGTCTGTATAGTGGGGAGGGGTAGCGTAGTATGAACGGTCTGGTCGAGACGCTTCGAAGCTCAGAGGCTCCGGAATAGAGAAACTTCCGGGCAGAGAGCGAGTCGTCGCCACGGGCATCGTTTCAACGGGAGTTGTGAGAGTTGCAGATGCATGCTCGATGGACGAAGTGGGAGTCATCAGACCCTCTTCGATGTGTTCCGGGGCTTCTACAAAAGTCGCCGATGCCTCAGTGGACTCTTCGTCCTCGTCACCTTTGGGGCTGGGGCCTCGGTTCATGACATAGACAACCATGTTGCCATCTGGAGGATGTTAGTGTCAAGGGAGAGGGCTAGTTTCGGGAAAATATAAACATACCGACTTCACCACGCTCAAAGCGCTCCTCCATCTTGCGCACACGAAGGATCTCATAGATAATCTCGACATGGGAGGGGTGTTTCAAACTACGCTTAGTGTCGCCCGCAACTTCCTTCAGTTTATCGGCGGTGATGTTCTGGCTACCAAGCTTGCGAATAATGTGAAGCAGGAGCTCAATGCGGTCTATTCGAGGATTTGTTAGTACATCAAGACAGATGGCCATGAAGGAAAGAATAATCATACACTCTTTGCGCAGGTGGTCAGGCTCCTTGTGCATCACACCTGGTGGCCACCACTCAGGCTTGGTCTTCTCGGGATCACCAGTTGTACCCGGGGCAGAGCCTGGTGGAGGCTTGCCTCCATTGTAGGGGTGGCGAACCTGCTTGCGAGGCTCGATGAACTTGATGAATGCCTTGGCAACCATACGGCAGTTCAGTTGCTGGAAGTGCTTCAAAGCACCCTCATAGTAGGCCATCACCTTCTGGGACTCTCCGATGCGGAGAGGGACCATTTCATTGGTGCCGTTAGGAGTAAAGTCATCGCTGTCAGAGTCCGCACCGGCTAAGCGATCATCTGCAATAGAGCCAGGCACATTGCCTCGGCGACGTCGGACACGTCGGGGAGAAGAGGCCTCCAGAGTGCCTAAGAAGACGGTAACAAATTAGATGAAAGGTTTTGAACTACAAAATGTGAAGGTTGACATACGGCGGGCCATTGGCTGGTGGAATCCAATCCTTTCCCCCAAGATTTCCAGGAAGTTCTGGCGAACCTCTGGGGTGAAGACAGTCGAATTTTGCTGCTGAATCGAGTCCGACTCGTCGACTTTGAGCTTGCCCTCGTTATCGAGGTAGATCATAGCGTAATGAGTATAGGGCATACGGAAGGTCGAGCGAGTTGGGGTCATCATGGTCTGCGGAGCAGCGTTAGATCATACTCTTCTTGTGAATATATTCCTTGAGATACTGACGGGTGCAACGTCCCACCCAGGAGGGCCTTCATGGAGGGCAGACGCAGAACGCTTCATGGCACCTGTTGCAGGATTGGGTTTATTGTAAACCATGGTATGGGAGAGAAGAAAAAAGGACCGCGGATCCGTGACCGAAGTGGGGACACGGGATTGCGTGAAGTTATAGTAGTCTTTACCGTCAGAGACTAAATCAAATGATAAAGCTGATGGAGACACTTGGTCTAACGGATTAACCGTTGAGAGAAACCAAACGAAGCCTATCTGCGGGGTCGACGCTATCGAGAAGACGGGAAGAGTCGTTCTTATAGATTTGAAGTTGAATGTGTGACTAGGGCGAGAAATGCTCTAGATCTCCACCAATAGTCCGGTCTAGGATGGCAAAGTCAGCTCCCGATACTCTTTCTTGTTTTTTTTTCTTGTTTTGTTTCCCCCCCCCCCCCCCCCCCCCCTCTTCCCCTCTCTCTTTAGTGCTAAATTCCATGCAATCCGCGTCACGTCAAACCTCAAAACAATAGTGACAGCCGGTCGATGCCCAACGGTGGCCTCTACTTCCGAGTCCCCCGTCGGGTGGCTGTCTCATGGATAGCTGCCAAACCCGTGAACGGGTCGAGGTCAAGCTTATTGCAGACATGACTGGCTTTTGGGTTTTCATGCAGGGATGGAGAGGGTACGTATGCTATACTCACTGGATTTGGAGAAGGTAGACGGCTGACCAAGAATATACGGACAGGCGGACAGGTGGCGCAACGATGCTCTCTTTCCAATGACAGACGATAATGGAGAGGCTAGCTGCAGAAAGAGAGCAGTGATAGTTGCAAAGCTGCTGCGAACCGACGGGAAGCGAGTACTGCAGGAACCAGTGGATTGGGATTCTGCTGACGTTTGCGGGTAGTCCAAGTAAACCGGGATGGTGACACGGGACGGGGGATGGGTTGGTTGTGTATAGAATATCTGGGTACTCGGTGTGCTGGAGATGGAAGAATGGAATGGATTTAAAGAACCATGGAACCCGGCGTACAGGGACGTCGATGTAGTACTTCCCGGGTTGACGAGTGGGTCGAAGCGGGAGGAGTGTTTTTTGATTTGAAAATAGACAGAAGGTGAATAGAGAAAAGGAGAGATGAAGCCAGGATAGGTAGCAGGGGAGAATAGTTATAAAAGAATCTCCAGCGATCCTAGTTCGAGGACTTCGAGGAAAAGTCGGCCGCTTATGAGGGGGAGATGAGCGATGTGCAGGGCCTTTTCAAATGTCGCGCGGTCCAGAGCCACTTGGGGGAATCGAGAGAGCAAGACAAAAAGTACAGGCACCGAGAAAAATAAAAAAAAAAAAAAAAAAAAAATCCAAGAAATCCACAAAATCCAAAATCCAAAATCCCCAAGTTGGACTTAGACTGAATTTACCTCCGGGAGCATCAGAATCAGTGCCACACCCAGGCGAAAGTCTAGGGAAAGTAGGGGAAAAAAGCCAGCCTAGGGGACGCTTAGGATGATCTTGGAGGTGAATCGAAAGCCGGGGGATCCCCGTCATTCTGTGCCTTTTTTTTTAATTTTTATTTTCATTTTGGATTTTTATTTTTCATTTTTGATTTAATTTAAAAAAGTAAATGTGATCTTTTTTGGAGAATTCCTCTGATTATTTCTGCTCGGATCGCGCTACGAAGCCTGCAGGCCGATGGGCGCAGTAGTGTGCAGTAGTGAACATAGTCAAGATGGAACAGGGCGAAACTCCCAGTTCCCGATCGGGACACCCTGGTCCAACTAGTCGGAGATCGCCCGGAAATAATCCTGAAAAAAAAAAAAACCATATAAGCCCAAAATTGATGAGAAAGGCAATCGGATAGTGGCAGATCGGGGTCTTGTGAGAAGAGCGAGAAATATTCCTGATATTCAGAATAGTTCCATCACGCATCACCCAGGGTGGCCGTGACTCGAGACTTGCCCACTTCGACCTTTGGCTGCAAGACAACGGAGTATACGGAGGACGCCTTCGATTGACTGAATGCTCCACTCCCCCTTTCTCCGAGTCACGACTTTGACAGAATCTTCTCTGTACATCTCCTCCCGACTCCGACAGTGTAGTTAGTAGTTAGCTCCTATCAATGCCCTGTCCCTCCCCCCTCCACCCCCCGCTATCGACCCTCTTCATTGGCGCCAATTGAAGGCAACCGGCAAGCTGCTCCTCCGGTGCCAGTTGTTCAGGTTTGCTTTTATTTCTTCTATTCTGTGTCGGCCTCCTTCAATCCGACATTGAAACCCTCCACCCCTCCACCCCTCCCTTCTCCGGTCCAAATTCCAGGTTTTTCGTGGCGGCGTTGTTTTCCCGGTTGCCCGTCTTGATCCCGTTGATTTACTGGGCTGACAGGTTGACGGCGGGATGAAGCGCGCGGGATCCACGCCGGAACCAGGGGACGTTCTTTGTCGGGCGATGACTGGCCGTTCAGAACGTCGTAGCTCATTAAACCCAGGTCGCACCATCGGACGCCCTTGACTAGGGCCCCCGACACCCACCGAACGCCCGGGAAGATCTGTACATCTCTCGTCTTCTTGACTCCGGCGTGCGCCAAACTCCCAAACAGTCTACGCCTCTATCCTGCCGTATCCATCCCAACCCCCGTGAGCAGCCCGATTATCCCGACTTCGTCCCTCGGCATTCGTTGCGCTGCTCCCGGCGGTTCGTGTTTCCACCTCCCCAGTCCCGCACAGGCCCTCTCGTCCTGTGGTCGTTGGTCGAGCTCTCCTTGGCGGAGTGGGTGATTTCTAAAAAGAGTCCTAGGGCGCAGATCCGCTGAATATTTTCGGAGCTTCCGAAGTGTGGGAGTGGAAACGGTACAATATACGCTTTTTTCGTTGTGTTCGCCTGCATACTCGTCCTCGCAGTTCTCTCATTATCTCATCTCTCGTTTTTACCCCCAGTCGTTCTAGTTGTACACTCCAGTAGACGGTTTGCTTGGGGACAATGCGTAAAGGATTGGCCAAAGCGCACAAACAGAATCCCACTCAACATGACCAGCATCGGGAAAAAGGGGGGGGAGAAGAGAAAGGTGGGAATAGTCTTACCACGAATGATCCAGCATGCCTCCGACGGGCCAATGGTAATCGTGAATAAAAGTCTCGTTCGCGCACAACACCTCCACCATGAAAGAACAGCCAAACCCGCGCTGGACGGGCTGACCGGGCTCGATCGCCGGATCTGAGCGCGATGTGCCCCGGCGCTAGTTCTTGCAGGGGCCGCCTTCCAATAAGCGAGGGTATCCGAGGGTCCGCGGGGGCATGGAGCGGGTGTCGTTTCCACGAACCTATCAAGATGCGGTTTGTGCGTGGCCCAACATCCTGGATCCTGGGATATCGACCAAATGACTCGCCGATAGGGCTTGGAAAGGGGAGGGGGAAACGCGGGCAAAAGCAGCAAGCCGTCGACTGCCTGGCTATCCCAGTATCCTAGGGCTTCTCTTATTCGCCGCGTCCATCGGTGATTAGACGCTTTGCTTAATGTAGATACATTCTGCGGGCCCCCCAATTGGTGAATCGCCATCCTGACGGCATTCCCGGTTTGCCCCCCCCCCTGGTCGATCATCCCGTCAGGCCAGGATCTTTCTTTGACATGACAGAAACGGCTCGCGGGGTGGGAGGGCTGGAGTTGGTATGAGCTCCGAGGGGGCAATTGCCACTGCGATTCAGCTGCTAATGGTTGAGCGGCCGAACCCCTGAGATCAGACCTCAACATCTGGCCAAATCGAGGCGAGAAGCCAGCGGAGGGGCATTGAAAAGTACGATGAAGCGGAGCTCTGCGACATTCGAAGTGAGAACACATCAAATGACCCACGCAAACAAAAGCACGAAAGCAAAGCGATGAAAGAAGAAGGTCTGAAGGAGCGGAGTGGACTAGGGACCTGGCCCGGTCCAAAGACTCCAGCTCCAGACTCCATTGCTCGGGACTCGAGACTCGACTCTAACACGAATCGAGCCAGGGTGACAAGGGTCCTCCACCCACAGATCTGCGAAATCATCCTTCCAGGACTGCTGAGAGGCTGCCTCACTCCCGCAAAAGGGCCATTCCCAACTCCCCCGTCGTGTATCTATACCCGCGCAGGCTAGCCGCCGTACTTTGGGCGAGTCCGTCAGGAAATGGCTCATTCTAATCATTTTTCTCCATTTTTCGGGTCGCAGGCGTTCCCCAGTCCTTTTCAATATTGACAATTTAAAAATCAAAATAAAACGGACCCCAGGTAAAACCCCCACCCGGGACGTAGCGTCACTGCGGCGTTTCACGAAGCCCAAGGGAAGGGCACCATCTACCCAAGCAACTGTCATCGCGCCCATCTCCCGCCGAGGTGGATTCTGGGGCCATTTGCCTGTCGATTACTTTGTGTTTGGGTTACCTTGGAGTCAGGCAACATCACCGATATCCCCTATGTACTGTATGCACTGTCCATCCCGTCTTATTCCTGTCGGGATCATATGTTTGCTTGAGAATGGGAGACCTATCACCAATCCTCACCCTAAATAATCAATCAGGTGGAAACAGGTCCTTGGCGATGGTGCAGCGCATGAGTAAATAATGTACCTGCGTAGGATGTTTGATATCTCCCTATGGCCAGTGTTTCTCCACAGCCACTCCGCTTGCTGTCCTTTTCCCATATTTGCATATTCTCGAAACCGCTTGCAAGAATCTCCTATCCTCGTTTCGCGAAACCCCGTCTCCCCTCCCCCATTTTTTTTAACCCTGTCTTTGATACTTTGTTCCTTCCCCCTCTCCTAAAGAGATAAGCTCGTCACACAGGCTACACGAACAATGGCGGTCAAAACACAACAACCGAACGTCTAGGCCACCCCGGAATTGAAATTAAGCTGTCGCATAGACCCCCGATTAAAACTCTTTGTTTCAGTGCACGTACTTCGGACACCGTTATTTGTCATAGACCTCTTTTTTTTCCTCTGCCGCAATCATCATCGACTATCAAACTTCCCGTTCCGCTCGCAGAATGCGACGTAGATTTCCAAATGCCGCAGGAGGCGCCGCCCTCCCTCTCGCCTCGCTCGCAACCTCAATAAAGAGCCCGCTGTCACCCGTCCGCGCTAGCAGATAACGGGGCCAACGCCGCGCGGGGACTATATACCACCCGTCTCCACTAGGCCCTCTTCATCGCGCAAGGGGGGTGGGTTTTTTTGGAGGGAGGAGAGGAAGGGGGGCATCTCCGTTCGGAGTCTTTGTTTGTATCCACCGATCCGCAACCGTTCTCGTTCGTGGTGCGCCTCCCGATGGAAAACAGCGTCAGGATTTGCTTTTTCTTGGGAGGGTGGGGGGCTTTGGAATTTTGTCACTTTCATATTGCGTGTAGTTGCATGCCAACCAGGCTGTGATGAGACCCCCGAGAGGGATGCGGACAGGAACGGGAGGAAGGATCCTTGAAGGAATCGTCTACTTCTACGAAGGACGGAGAGGCGACAAAATGTATATTGGCAAGCTTGTATGGGGAAGCGTCTATACGGGATAGGTAAATGAAGTAGGTACGCAGTGGTAGGATTGTTTGTAGTAATGTTCTCAAAGCCCGTGACCCATATTAGGGCTAGTGAAGTGTGGAAGTGTTGTTTGATCGGGAAGCACTGAGGACGATCCCGGCACCCAGAAAAAGAGCCACAATCACAACCATAGCAAATACACATGGCCCAAAAAAGAGGCGGGGGGGGGGGGGGGGGAGGACGCATGAGAAGAGGGCTCCAACTTGACTGCACCGGGTCAATCTCTACAAACAAATCTAACGGTCCAATCAGCAAAGAAATCAGCCCCATCACTCTCCTTGAGAAGAAAGCATCCCCCATTACCTTGTTTGGGTCAGTCATGACGATCTACATCGTTACTGTGCAAAGTATGTACTGCGAGATGTGTATAGAACCAACGCATCAGCCACGATGTCGCACCGCCACCGTTCGCTCCAGCTCCAGCTGAAGAGAGGCCCCCGGGGACGCGCCACATTGGGCGCAATGGTGATAACGGCTGGGCCGGCTGAGGGCCCAGCCCTTCAAGGCTATATGAAGCCGAGCAGGGGAGCTCCCTGTCGGCAAACGGGGAGGGAGGCCCTTTTTCTGGCGCGGTGCAGGAGGACCGCGACCCTGATGGCTTTTTTTTGAGGGGAGGGATGAGGTGGGGAATCTTGTCGCCTACATACAGAATACAGTGCATTTACAGAGTACATAGCGTGCTGCTCGACGGGAAGCCCGACGGCATCGCCACTAATTGATTTGATGGTTCAGAACTCGAGAGATCAAACAGGAAGAGCCCGGGATTAGGCGATTTGTTAGTGGGCGACGGGGTTGGAGTTTCGACTGGATCTCAGCAAACAAAGAACTTGCTGGGTAGCAAATCTGATAGCAAGACTAGTATTATCGAGCACGACCCGCTTTTGCCGCCAGACTGGGAAATGGGATTGAGGAGGACGAGACACCGGAGCTGTTCGGGAGGCATACGGCCACCCTGAAACTCCGATGAGGAGGCGTTGCCTTGGCTTGGAAGGCGTCGAGGCGTCGAGGAGGGTGGAGGGGTGGGGGATGAAGGGATGTGACAGCGGGTGGGCACTGACAGGCTGCGATCGGGGATGGATTGGGGATGGTGCGGGTCGACGGACCCAGTGACGGCGTGGGAGCAGTCGAGCGAAAAGCCCTGTTGCCATCACTTATGAGGCTTGGTTGGTTCACCCTGTCCTGGCGTTGCAGGCGGGATTGCAATTCTTCCTTAACTTGCAGCTGTTCCCTGTTCGGGATCTGGAATAGTCAAGATGTTCACCGCTACGGACGCTGATCGAGGATAGTTTGTCTTCTCTTTTACTCTCTAATTCTCGCGCGAGAGAGAAGACGGGCCTCGACCCGTCCGGTGGCTTCTGCAAATGGCCCTTTTCAAGCCCTGTTCTTTTTTTTTTTTTTTGCCCCCTCCTCTTGGTCGTCACGGAGAGAAAAACTATGCAGAGAAAACTAGACAAACTAGACGGGAAAGCAATCAAAAGACAATACCTCGTATCGATCACGAAGGTATCAAGGGGGCAACAGGAAAGGGGGCGGGCTTGAGAGGCGGGCTGAGCATGATGAACGCAGATGACAGGGGGAATGCAGTCTGTTCGCAAGAGATCTCCGGGATCGAGACCGCCGTTTCTAGACGGCATAAGCGATGAGCAGCAAAGGCGCGTTCGAGGCAGCCTACGAGGACCGAGAGCCGATCAAGAGGGACGATGGGAGAGAAGCGTAGGAAGGAACGAGCATGGAAAACAGACGAAGATCCGAATGATTGCCTAGGTAGGCAGGAGTGGAAAGGGAATTGTTATGGAGCATGAATCTAGGCCCCGTCGCTGTTCGTATCCTTGGTCAATATCAGGACCAGGATTTTCGTTGCCGTACTCTATTTGATTTCTCGGGACACTCAGCAACCAGCCCAGGAGAGTTATACGACTAGCGCGCCGGGCAGTCGCGAGCCGGAACGGCTGCGTGCACGATCGGGCAATGGCATACAGTGATCGAGTCTTGATCGGACCGACAAAAGACGGGATGACATCATGCGAGTCTCCACTTGGGGACATGGCTATTTCGAGGAGTTTGTAGGGGTAGGGGGAGAGGGGTTCTTGAAGCGCCGCTCTTTTATTCGCGTCAAAGGTTGACGGGGGCGTTCATGGTCACCTGGCTTGGGGGGGGGGGGGGGGGACGATGGGGTAAACCGGGGGGTCTGTGCCGGGACTTTGGGCGTTGGCCAGTGTCATTGGTCCTGGGGACCAAACTCGGAGCCTGCGCCGGGGCCTCACTGGGTCGGAGCTTGGTGGGGCCCATCGGAGCTCAGCCTTGGGTCCAGCCACCCTGGCGGGGGCGGCCCGGGGGACTCGGACCGGAGCCGCTAAAAGCTGTCAAACTCCCCATCCGGGCTTAGCGGGGCTCCACCTGCCAACCCGGTGAAAGGGTCAGGGCAATCATGGCCCCTGCCATTTTCTCGTTCCCAGGAACAAACACACTACTAGACACGATCTAGATTGCGAAGAAGTACCACTGCCATCATCACCATCTCCTAGCTAGGACGGCTGCGTGTGATCAAACTCTGCCTCCCCTCCTTCATTTGCTATCCTATCCCCATCTGACCTCATCTCCTGGCAAGCAGATGATCTTGGGGCGGTTTCAGGAAGCGATCATGCTGACCTCATGAGCATTGTTACTTTTCGGTCATCAGTTCCCGCACTTTCTTCCCAGTCTGAAAGGGATAACCCCCCCCCCCCCACCCCAATGGACGTCCATAATCACACGGGATTCCGGTCCTTCTCCTAGCCGGGGGCTCTCCAAAAGTCCCGAGTCCAGGAGATTGGTTGAGGTCAAGGGTGGCTGGCTGGTCAGATTAGGATTTGGACCCAGAAAGCAGGAAAGTCGTCGATCACCAGGAGGATTTTCTCCTTAATGCAGCCAATGTCAGTCGAGGATGGCTCTCTACCTCCGATGATATGATGCCGTTCCGGGGCTCACTCACGGCCTGCCTATCCTCGGTGATTATAGCCCTTTTCCCCCTCGTAGCAATTCCACTATGGAGTATGTGATGCAGTCCCTTGACGATGTGATGTATGCTTCTACAAGCAAAGGAATCGTTTGTTTGCCCTCCAGTGCCGTAGCATCAGACAGAATTGAAATTTTGGTCCATGACAGGTGTCGTAGATGTCGCATCGCATCCACGCTCGACCGAATTAGATCCAATCTGCATGAGGCAAATAATCCAAATATGGTCCCCTCCAAGTACCCCATAAGCCCACACTGCCCAAACATCCCTCTTGAAAGGCCAGTCAAAAAAAAGCAAAGTAACACTGCAGGAAATTATTTCTCCATTGTGGCCCGGCCCGGCGGCCGCACCCATAGTGTACCTCCAGCACGGTGCAGCCCTACTGCAAGCCTACTGCACGTAACAAGGATTATGATTGGTTTTTGCCATCCCCGCTAGGGATTGAAGTGATTGTTCCTGTGGAGATGGGATTGTTCCTGTGGGCCGTAGCCAAGGATCCAGTGGACGACTAAAACGAGAATCCTCAGGCTAATCCACCCCGGTCGCTCGGCTCCTGACAGCCCCAGCACCAGTTTCCACGATGCCGACTTGACGTGACTAGCATTCTTAATTTGGGATGGAAGTTTGCTTTAGGATGTAGGTTGATTTGGAATGAAAGCCCGATTGACGCCATGAACCGCTTACCGAATGCAACTTGGTCATTTTGTCCTGTCGTTCGCTGGTCGTGTGGACGGGATTGCGCTGGGCCCAGTAAGCGCTCCGAATCGCGATCAACCAATGACCGCTCATGATATCCGAAACATCGACCATGATGGTTTCTCTTTCCTCTCCCACGCGCGATTGACTCTGGCGAATGCTGTGGGTGGTCAAAAACATCCGTTGTCCGCAGAGCCTGATCGCGTGGAAATGACACTTGGCCCTTGCACCGAGACCCGCGCCTTCGGGGACGCGCCACAGTACGGAGATTCGTGGCTTGTTCGCTTGTTTATCCTGTCCTTTGGGGTGCTTTTGTCGCTGGGGATTTTGTAGCCTGGATTTGAATTTATTTCTACCGCTTGGCTGGGGTACATTACTTGGATTTTTGTCCTTTTTTATTTTTTTTTTTGGTAAGTCCACATTCCTGCTCTTCATCTCGAGAACTCCACTCAGTTGCGTCGTTCGACGAGATGATCACCGCGTGGTTCTACTTAGAGGCTTTCCTTCCGCCTGTTCGCTTGGGTCTCATCTCCGGCGATGGCGTCGCGCCACTAGGCAAAAAGGAGCGCCCTTACTGCAGGACTCCGGGAAACTTTTCCGGGTCCATCAAAGTTGACTAAAGTAGTCGGGGTTTACTAATTACTGTGCACACCGTATGGGCAACGTGGACATGCTTTGCAGCATGTCGGAACGCAAGGGGACGAACACAATTTGGAGTTCATCGAAGTATAAAGTCATAACGGTCGTAGTGGACGACAGGGGGATGGAAGAGGTGTATACCAGCTTCCCCAAATCAGCATCCCACTAACTTCGTGTTCCCACCAAACACCGAATACTCGGGTCCCAAGCGCTCAGCTATTGGGGATCTTAATCCCAGATACCTGGATATCCTGACTGGGGCCGACCGGGAGGGGAAAGAATAGTCACCAGGCTGCTCGACCAGTGCGCGGGCGTCATTTCTTTTGCTTCGTATGAATTGAGCGCGAGAGCCAATCAGCCTGCGTTAGTGCCCTTTCGCCTGCTCGACTGTGCATGATGCGGGTCCCGAATGGGGCTCTGGCGCAAACCTTCGTGCGGCGCTAAAATGTTCCCCGGCGGCCCATCCCAAAGCTTCCTCAAACTCGGAATTCCCACTGCGCTGGAAACCGATGTTCTCCATGGTATGCATAACCACCTCCACCACCACCACTACCACCACCATCCCCTGCTCCTCCACCCCCATTCTTCTCCTCAGATTTGCCTTTTGCCTTTGGGGCTCGGCAGGACTGTTTTGGGGTTTTTAGTTCTTAGGGGTTTGCGCCAGGAAACATCTCCCTTCCTGGAACCACTCGGGGTTCTTCGTATCCCACGTCGGCGGATACAGAACTGCAACTAAACGCAACTAAACGTCCCTTTTCCACTTTCCCTCTCCACCCCAGCCCGCCATTATCCATCGTCTGACGAACTGGACCTTTTTTATTGCTGATTTCCCTGTGAAGGTCTGCGCTCCAGCCTCAAGGGCCTGCAGGGACGGGGAAATTTCCCGAAACGGCCACGTCAGATCGTCCCTGGCGGGGACTCGCGCCCAGGCCCGATCGAGTGGTGATGTAGCTGAAACCATTTCATTGTGCTTTGAAATGGATCTCAGATCCTTCAGGTGCGGTCTGCACATCCTCGGCTTGCGCAAAGGCCTCTTGACCAGATGCAAACCCTCCAGCCTGGACACATGAACCCTGCCAATGGTTGTACTTTTCACCCTCATGACGACTGCAGCAGCCACAGAGGCAGAAGAAGAAATAATCATTCAAGCCCTGGACCTGGTCTACGGTACCTACTTAACCTCCTGCCGCACTAGCTCTAGTCGTGAGAGTTTTAGGGTTTTAGTGATGTGTATGTCTGTGGGACCGTGGCTCAACTACCAGGGTGCCCCATGTCCCCGGAATTGGGTTCCCACAGACCCGGAGAGGCCCGATCCACGCCAGTCGATCCGTGGCTGGGGGGAGGAACCTGGATTCTGAAGCATTCGTGACAAATACTGGACTGAGGCGTCATGGGCATGATCCCGCTAACCTCCATCCGTTGAGGCCGGAGAGAAAATCCCTCGTTTGAGATGAACGCCAGAAGTTTTCCTCTCTTTACTTTTTGGAGCTCAGATGAACACGCATCATGAACACCGACGATGTGAGAGCGGGCGAATGGGGCGAATCCACTAAATCCACACTTCTTCGATCATGAATATGCACGTATACGAATCCCGTCATCCACGCGGAAGTGTATCACCCTGCCAGGATGGAAGAGTCCACCGGGAAAAATTCTATCGCACGAATAATGACCTTTTCCATCTTGCCCGATGAGATGCACTATCCCTAGTTTCCTTTTTTCTCCGATTCTTCTACTATCGTCTGGAGCTTCCCGATGAACTTCTGCTGCTTCTCCGATCAGGCCCAAGCGTAGCTCAAGGGCCATCATCCAGAGCCCACGCTCCTGGTTCTCTGCGGTGATCATATGCGCCACGGCCGCCCTGGAGGGGCCTTCCCCTCCATCGGTTATGCATCGGACTCGAGATCCGGTGAAGATCCTTGATGTTCCCCATCCTGCGTCCAGCCCTCTCTCTCTCTCTCTCACGTCCCCACCCCCTCGACGGAAGACAATCCAGCCTTTCCAATTCCCCCTCAATTCTGATTTGGTGCTATCCCGAGAGGCCCTGCCTTTCTCCTCCCGGGCCCGAGCCTTGTCCGCTGTAACGCAGCATCTGCAGATCATTGTGGTCCATGAACGCTGTCCGCCGCAATCCCATGCGGCGTTGTGCAACATGCCTGTCTCAGAGACCAATTCCCAGATAGAGCAAGAGGGAAAGCCGATCGAGGTGAAAGAATGAAGGCTGGCTGGAAGCCGTGATCTAGAGAAGCTAGGTGGAGGGTCTTTTGTCCCGTGTACCAGATTTGGTGGCTCAGCAGGACCAGGGCAAGCCATGGTAGCGGAGAATGACCGTCGACGCTGCGGCACTGGCCGAGACGATGCTTGTGCAACACCTACTCCTGCCACTACGGCGGGAGATGATGACAATGCTGAAGAAGACGGGGTGAACGTGGGGCTCATTCGATCCTGTTGAGCCCCTCCTCCTCTTCCATCTCCCTCGGTGTTCTCGGTTCTTCAGGAACCGTGCAGTAGGGCCCACGATATTCTGCTTCGACGTCACACAGCCAGCTCCCCCAGCAGCCCGCCACCATCATGTCCGCGACACCGAAGGTACGAGGGTGCGACTTGAACGGGCTGTTGATCTCGGACATGCTCGGTTCTCGTCCTGATGGCCGCAGAGTGTAACAGATTCAGCAGCTAGCATGGCACAAAGTGGTCAACTGACTCTTCCCCCACCTACTGGAATAGACATCATTCTCTCATCATTACCATGCACAGTAACCCCTTCTACTGGTTAGTTGAGTGACGTTCGTTTTGCAACTAGTCTGCGTATCCCGCTCTCCAGGCTAGGGAGTCCCCAGCCTACAAGATCGATCTCGCATCAGATTACATATCCCGATCAAAATAACGCGTAAAAACTGTAAAAGCTAAAGCTAAAGCCAAATGCCCTTGTGGCAAGATCGCATCCCAGGATCCAGCGCGAGGATTGGCTCATCGGAGGTTCATGGGAAACAGAGTACTGGAACGGGCGCGGCTTCCCCGACGCCAACGGGAGCACTGACCGCGGGGGAAATAAACGAGAATTTGGGGGGGGGGGAGGGGGAGGGGGCGAAGCGACCATCCCTTACCTCCAGAGACATTGATAGCTGAAACGAACGACCGGAGATTCAGTCCTTTCACTGGACGTAGTCAGACGCAAAGCACAGACGGGGTAGAGGTGCCAACGCCATACGAGGAGCGAACCAGGTGTCTCGCTCCGAGAACGGCGAGTGAAGCCGTGGCTCTTCTGATGCTCCAGCTGGGCTCTGATCTGAACTAGGCCTGGAAAGCAATATAGCAGCCGTCTCTTCTGTGCCACGCGAGATTTGATCTATTGATTCCTCCTGGCGGGGCCCAGATCTGCAGGCTTTTCTGAATGTTCCAGATTCCAGGCACTCAACATCTTCCAAATACTAGATGCCGACAACTAACGGGGAAGGGCATGTGGTTCCTGAAAGACAGGGAAGCGGCTTAATGAAGTGGCTTCTGGCCGTATATGCAAGTTGGTGAGATCAACAGGACGGGATCCTAGATATTTCCCCAATTGGGTGGCTTCAATGTGGCTCACAGAGGATACTATAGTTGTATGCATTCCTAGCCGATGGAATTCTCTCCCCTCCCAATAAACGCAAGAACATGCATCGTAGGGGGCTACCATACGGTCTAAGATTGATCCGAGGAGACAACTGTACATAGGCAGCAGCATTGAAGACAAATTTCTACGTTACTCGACCTCTCTGTCAAGCAAGAGCGCCTCTTCGAAGGGATAGGAACTCGCAATCCACAATCCCCGTCGAGCTGAAACGCGAAGTTAATCCCCGCGGCGGCTGCAAATGACATCTGGCAGGCGTACTTTCCCCCTATGCTTGCAGGATGAGATCCTCCCCCCTCCTGTCGCTGAACCGCAAATGGGAAATGAACATTTGTTACAGACTTTATGTGGGCTGCATCCGGAGACGCATGTACCATGCACCAGGAGACGCATGTACCATGCACCAGGAGACGCATGTACTCCATCTGTCCTGCACTGCACCGACAAATGGCTACAGCATGACCGCGTGGGAGGATTCTTTTCCCATACGCAGGGCCGCAAGGGATATCCTCGTCGCCGCCACTATCGAAGCGCGGCGAATCTTGGAACAATGGATGTGGTCGAGGAGAATGGATTATTTCCCGATCTATTCTTAGTCCCGATATGTGACCGTCCAATCCGCCACGAGTCTTTCTCCATGTTTCCTTTTTTTTGTTTTGCCCAATGTCCGTATGTATCCATGTACCCATGTCCTCCGACTAGAACAGGACGTTGTGGCGCATTTGTCATCGAATTGTGGCAGTGGTGCCAACCCTCCATCCTATGAGAACATTGAATGGTCCCGCAATGGATCTGTGATCTGTAATTGAGGGTCAATGGCGGGATGAGAGCATGTGAAGAATGCCCACTATGCGAACAACACCCGTTTTGCGAACAAGAAAAACGAAGAAGAGAGGCAGAGCGTGAAGGAGTCGAGACCGGGGCCCTGGTCGTGCTCGTCTTATTGGGGTTGGCCAGGTGGCAGCCCCGTTCACCGCTACAACTACAACGAAAAACAACCCCTCCCCCTCCATCAACTCATAGAGCGGACCGGATATCAAAGAGGTCACCGCCACGTTACGTGCTCGGTTCTGGCGCTACTGCAAACCATCCTGGTGGGAAAGAAAAAGAAGAGGACTGGGCAACCAAAAAAGCAGTTATGTCATTTCCACTCTGTGTAGTTAATTATATGCAAAGTAACGTTTACCCCTCCGTTTCGTTCCTACCAAGGTCAACACAACACCAATGTTGCTTGTGATACTTTCTTTCTTTCTTTTTTTTAATGTCCTCGTTCCTATGCACTTACTGCTTTCTTGTTGATTGGTGCACAGGTCCACATGTATAACACAAAAGCAAAGACGAACACTGTACATAGAGGCAATCTCGATCACAGACTTGAGCCAGCCAATGCAAAAACCAACGCAGTATATATTTTACCGAACGGGAAAAAAAACCGGACCTGAAGCAAAGGAAAAGAACTGAAAGTGAGATTTATGTATGAAGAAAAAACAAAACAAAATACAGAGCACTTTTTGCAAGTTTTCCAAGGGGCAAGCAACCCCAATCGGCGGGCCTCGATCATGTTGCATCGAGGCGCAAAATAATTGAAACACAGGAGGCTAAAGCAGCCAGAAGAGTTGGTTGTGCGCGAAAAGGAAACACTTGCAACACACGGAGAGAACCAAAGGATGCGAACTTTTTTGCGCCCTGATGACGGCTTTGGCGTTGCATAGACCCCCACCCCCTCTCCTCCTGCCAGGGGCTAGTCCGAAGTCTTGCATCTTTTACCGGATAAGAGAAGAGTTTTCGCTCCCGCCTTTCCCATACAAAACTCAAGAACCCGCGCCACACAAAGGGCCACCGCCGTGCATGAAGCCATCAAGGCCAGGTCGAAGAGGTAGAGTCCATGCAGGTGCCGTGGCAATTGAAAAATCAGGATACAAAACGACTCCCAAGATCGACCTGATGGCGTCAGGGCATACCCGGATTCCCCGAACCACTTAGCGCTGCATAAGCGATGTTGCCTCTCGAGAGGGTCCAGCCAGGCTGGCTGAAAAGTCTTGTTTGTCCTCCTGTGTCTCTTTTTTTTCGCCGCCGCGTGACGCGGAAAACTCGTCAGGGCTAATTACAATGATAGAGGGAAATTGGTTTACGCTATTTGCGAGGAGGAGCTGGCGAGACCGTCGCTATCCAGCAAGCCGGCTTCCTTGGCAAGCTCGTAGAAGCGACCTCCCCGCTTGATAAGCTCCGAGGGGGTGTCAAATTCCGCCACACGGCCCTTGTCGAGAACGACGATGCGATCTGAGTCGATGATCGTGTTGATACGGTGGGCAATCGTGATGATGGTCCGGTCCTGGAAGATACTGCTGCGCAGAGTTTGCTGAAGCAACGCGTCCGTCTCCACATCAACAGCGGCCTAGAAGTTTGCTCTTATTAGCCAATGCTACAGCAGGTTGAGGAAAAAGAGCCAGGGGGAATGGCTGTTGTCACTGTCATACCGTGGCCTCATCAAGCACAAGGATGTTGCTAGGCGTGAGCAAAGCTCGCGCAAGCGAAACCAGTTGGCGCTGGCCTTGACTCAGGTTAGATCCTGTTAGACCGTAGTGTTAGTTCTCGATCATGACATCAATATGAAGAGCATTTATATGCTACTTACCTCCTTCTTGGATTTGGGCATCCAGTTGACCATCCATCTGAGCGACATGTTCCTTCAATTTGGCGTGGTCTATAAGAAAGGGTGTTATTATTCTTGTCTCTAGCCTAGCGTTGAATCAGTAGCACCATACCTAGTACGCTCCAAAGTTCTGTGTCATCGTGGACATGTCGGGGGTCTAAGTTGTCGCGCAGGGTGCCTTCAAACATGGCAGGGTCCTGGGGAATAATAGCCAAGCGGCCACGGAGATCGAACAGGCCGATTGAAGACACATCGAGCCCATCAATACTTGAAGCCGTCGTCAGTATGAAATTCATGTCAAAATGAATATAAAACCCAAAAATAACAACGTACCTGATGCTACCGCTTGTTCCCTCGATAATGCGGAACAGAGCCAAGGTCAAAGAGCTCTTTCCAGCACCGGTTCGACCAACGACACCGATCTTCTCATGGGGCTTGATGTCGAGATTGATGTCCTTCAAGACCAGGTCAAGACCCTCACGGTAGCGAGTGCTGTAGTTATTGAACGATACTGCACCTTGAGCCGGCCAGCCAGTTGCGGGTCGACGCTTGAAGATAACCTCGGGCGCCTCACTAGGGAGGTTGGCGTACTCGAGCACACGCTCAACCGAGACAATATTGGTCTCGACCTCCACGGTTTGGCGAACAATCCAGTTCAAAGATTGGGTGATCTGGAGGGCATAGGACATGGCCAGACCAACCATACCAGCCGAGAGACGGCTGCCAGTGGCAATTGAAATGAGTGCAAGACTGGCGGATGCAAGGATAATGATTGACCCTATGAACTCGAGACGGACGGCGAGCCATCGATTGGCACTGATCGATGGGAAATAAGCGCGCAGATTGGCATCCATTCGCCATTCATTTTCGAGAGCAAAGCGATTCTCTTGCCGGTATGCGCGGATGGTTGAGATACCACCCAGTGATTCCTGGAAATGGGCATAGATCGGACTGCGGGTGACACTATCCAAACGCTTCAGCTCACGAGAGGTTCGCAGGTAATACTTTTGATAACTGAGATAAACCCAGCTCAGCGGAATAACCAGGATTAAGAAAGCTGGGGTGGATGCCGCAATAACAACCATGGTGAAGATAGCACGGGCAGAGTTAGCAAACAGCATGTTGAAAGTACGGGCCAGGACCTCATCAACACGGTAGATGTCGCTGGAAAATCGGTTGAGGATACGACCAGATGGCGTCGTTTCAAAGAAGTTCATAGGAGAGCGGAAAATAGCGAAGGCCATTCGCTCATGGAGCTTGCGAGAAGCTTCAATGGAGCAGAAGATCCACAGAATCAAGTTTTGGACGATGACCAGGAGAGACGATCCTAAGCCAAATGCCAGGTAAATACCAATGAATTTACCCACACTGTCGTTGGATCCGTGGGTCTCGTTATGCTCGGTCCAGCTCTTCAGCCAGAAATTGCCGAGCACCTGAGCAGTCTGTGCAGCGACAAGAGCAAACAGGTAGAAGCCGACGGCGGCAATGTTGCTGTTTTTGGCATACTCGCCGTAGACACTCCATTTCACTTTGCCTTGTTCCGAGGTCTCCTGGGTTTGCTTGCTCTTGAGGACATTCTCTTCGTCACCCAGCTTGCGTCGCGGGCCTTGCCAGGTTGCTGTGCTAGCTCTGCGCAGAGTGACAGTGCTGGTTCTTCTGTGGGGGTTGCTGACACTCTTAATGGGGACAAGAGAGCCAGGCTCCTCAATATCTTCACTATCTGTACCATCGTCGTTCTCAATCACCGCGGTATCGTCTGAGCTTTCGGGGCTAGCTAGACCATCGTCCGATCCACTTGGAGAGCGCTCCTCATCTGACTCAGCAAGATTCGTGCGGACGAGATTGAAAATCTCACCCTTCATGGCCATGAGTTGCTCATATGTACCCTTTTCGATAATAGTCTTCTCACGGAGTAGGCCGATGAAGTCGGCTTCTTTGAGAACCGTGATTGCATTCGTAGCAAGGATTCGGGTCTTTCCACTCAGGATACCTGAGCTTCCCAGCACCTTGTTGATAATGTGACGTCCAACATGCTGATCCACAGCCGATAGGACATCGTCAAGCAAATAGATATCAGCTCGAGCATACACTGCTCGGGCGAGGGTCAATCGTGCCTTTTGGCCTCCAGAGAGAGAAATACCACGCTCGCCAACTTCAGTCTGATCACCATCGGGCATAATTTTGAAATCATCAATAAGAGCACAAGCCTCCACGGTTAGATCGTAGAAATCTGGGTCCCACCGGTGTCCGAATACAATGTTCTCTCGAACACTAGCATTCATGACCCATGGGGCCTGAGCGACATATGCGATACGACCACGAACAGTGACTTCACCATGGTTCTTCCACAACTCGCCCAACATGGCTTGAAGCAAAGAAGACTTGCCAGCTCCGACACGACCAACAATACAGCTGAGCTCGCCCTTGCGTGCACTGAGATCGATATTTTCAAGAACAGGGATACCAGAGTGGCGGTTCCAGGTAAAAGATGCATCACGAACACGAACAGATTCGTCACCTACATGTTCCACTGAATCTTGGAAGACAACAGCATCGCTTTGCAGTTCCTCGGCGGTGAAATATTCCATCAATCGCTTCACAGCGACGGAAGATTCAATGACTGACGTGATGACCATGGGTAGGATAGAGAGCGGGAATGTCAGGAGGTTGAAAAGGGTCAAAGCCGGGAAAACAATCTCGGTTGTCAGAGGGCGATCACTTGTCAGGACGAAGACGGTGAAAGTCGAGCAAGACACAAGGAAGGGTGTTGACTGCCAAGTAAAATTCGCAATGGACTGAGTGGCTCCGATCTTCCGAAGGGTGTTGAGTTCAAGATCATTTCGAATGTGACTGAGCTTGTTCATGAAAGCGGTATTCCAAGCATAGAGCTTGATGCTCTTGATGTTGTTGAGAATCTCCGTCATCAATCGGGTTCGGGAATCCTTATTCTTCATCTGAATGATCTGCAACTTTTTCATCATTCGAGCAATAACACCATTGAGTGGGATCATCAGAATCATAACACCCACACCGGCGAACATGCTCGGTCCAACAAGCTGGTATAGAGACACCATGCATAGAGTGATCTGGAACGGAGCGGACAACAACTGTGTACCAAACTGAGTCAGATCCGAAAGGCGCTGCTGATCGACGGCCATGTGATTGACAATGTCGCCGGTAGTCTTGGTCGCACGACCCTCGCTCGAGAGGCGCAGTGCCTTTGCATAAATAAGAGCGGTCAGTGATGACTTCACGCGCATACCAGTATCAAAAGCTCGCTGGAAATATTGATGAAGACAGCTGGTTTGGCAAACAGAAACCAGGAACATGGCCAGAGCAATGGCAACGCCTCGAATCATTGGCTCCGGTTCCGGCGATTGGTACGAATTAATGAAGGCAATCAGATATCGCAGCAGCTGCGGTTGAACAAAAGCCAGCATGTCGCTACCCGACTTAATCATGGCACCGCGAAGGTAAGGGCCGCCAAATGCCTTGAAGAGAGCCAGCCATAAGGACGGCTTCTTCTTCTCGAGCTCCTCCTGCCAGGCGGAATTCAAGTCATCTAGCGTGGCGCGAGTGGTGTCACGACGACGAAGATTCCACAAATCATCTTGGGTGAGGTAGTTCTTGTATCCGAATTTCATCAATGGTGTCATCCAGCTGAAGGTCAGAACTGAGAAGATGTCGGCATAGTTATAGGGGCATTCATCTTCATCTCCCAGGGCATCGTAGGCACTTTGTTTCTTCGGCACGAAATATTCCAGCACGAACTCCAAGAGGGCGAGTCCGAGACTAATGTTGACGCAAACAAAGTATGGGAGGCGATGCAGGTAATCCTGCTGTGCGACGAGCGTCTGCAGCTTGATGGCATAAGCAATGATGAAGAAAAGCCAATAGAACAAGACAACCCCATTCGGTTGGCGACTTCGCCAATGCTCATAGTACTGCACGGCATAGATGACCCCCAGAGATGCAAGTGTCAAAAGTGAGGACCAGAAACGGAAGTCGGTAAAGAACGCCTTTGGTTGGGTCTCGACTTGTAAGGCGGCTTGCAACGCAGTAACAAAGAGCAGGGCAGCGAGAACAACCTAGGGCAGATTGAGACCGGTCAGCATTCTCTGACGAGATTTAATGAGGGGAGAATGGAGGGGGATCTAGAGATCGACAACGGACCAGCTTGGCATAGAAGTGCCAATTTTTTGCGATGGGCTGCGGAATGCGCTTCTTCAACAGGATATACAGTGCTGCAGCACCGGCCAAAGAGCCCCAGATGGCGACTACTGTGACGATGACATCGACGAAGCAAGATGTGAGGTGGAAGCCGTTCGAACTGAGAGGGCCCCAGCCCTCCAAGTCGCCGCAGAAGGCTTGCCGCTGAGCGGGATCCGACGATACGAGGCGCGACGGCGAGAGGCTTCCCAGATGGGAGTCCCCTAGGACCATCTGAGTATGGCCATCCAACATGTTGGTATCAAGCGACAGCGCGCCCAGAGTCTCCTTCCGTGAGCGCAGGCAAGAAGGAGAGAGAGAAGGCGGCGGAGTCGGGAGTCTCGCAAGCTTGCCGATTCTGATTACTAAAACCCGAGCTCCTTGCGGTTCTGACGCTCGTAAAGTCCGCAAATCCGGGCGGTCGGGGCTGATTACCCAGCAGAGTGGGACCCGTTGCGAAATGGATCCACCATGAAAACGTCCACGGGAATTGGCGTCAATGGGGGCTAGCCGCTTTGCTTGGGAGCTGGGGCGACTGTGATTGCTGACACTCCATTAATGATAAGCGCTCGTCCATTCAATAAAGGAAACCCATCCATTCTGGTCATGCTGGCCATTCAATGAACAGCCGCTGTACTTGCGATGACCGGCGATCGTGCCAGTCATGTGACCGGCTACTCCGGGAATCCGGCGATAAGCACGCAGATGGCCTGGTCCGTCACAATAGACGCACACAAGATCTAAGACAGAACTGCCCTTACCTATCTCTGGGGTCGCAACTTGGGTTTGCGGGATGTTGAGATCTTTTGTGATCTGATTTAGTGGTACTAGACTGGAAAGGGGTCAACCTTGTAACTATATATCAACGCTTCTATCAGTGACGTGGGATAGGATGTTGTGTCCGAAATATATTTCACGTCTGCACCGATATACTATCTTCAACACTTGTCATTGAAAACGATCTATGGCGTCGCAGGCAAGCAAGACCACATCTGACCAACCAAAGCTCTGAAGTGGTCATTGCCTCGACTGTAAAGTCTAAATTGTTTTATTCTCCTTTTGTCCCAAACGTTCTACCCGATAGCACGAACCGAGAGTCTTCAGCCCAAGGACTACGGGCATCACTTAGACGGATCTCTCAATTGAACGTGCAGAGTGTATGTGCATCTAGTTTATGTTTCATATATAAGTGATAATACTTGTATATATACACTCAAGTTCTGAGGTTCTAAAATCAAGAACATTTTTTGGCCTGGTATGAAAAAAAAGTCTATTATGTGCATATTCATTACTTCTTGTCATCATACTAAATACATAGACACATCATGTGGCATTCTTGAAGATGTATAGCCAGAATGCCTTGGCTTAAATTTCGTCATCCTCCCCCCGCCGCGGCCTGACGCCTCTTCTTAGCTCCAGCTCGAGCCACTTCCACCATCACTAATATCAAGACCAAGGTCTTCGGTGACGCAGGTCAGAAGCTTGCCTAATTTCACCTCCGTTAGACCTGAAAGCCCACTAGGAAGAGTAGAGAAATCAAAGTCGATCGGAAGCTTCTGGACAACGGCTTCCACTAGATCTGCGATTGGGACGTTTCTGAGGTTAGGGTTTGCAGACGGTATGGCAACCGGAGGTGGGACGCTTGGAGTCGGAGAAGGAAGTGCACTTGAAAGCCGGGATGCCGTAGATCTGGGATTGGCGGAGCAAGAAGGACAGACTGGAATCGCAATCGCAGCCCCGACCATGGCCATGGCGGACCAAATGAAGAGAGGAATGAAACGCATGGTAATGAGAGATAAGGTGTGATAGCTCTTCAACAATTGCTTAGTTCGGTCGCTCTGGATGTCCAGTCAAAGGCGAACCAACCTTGGAAACACGAAGCGGTGGTTGTTGCTTTTCTTTAGCTCCTGGATGAATGATACAATAGACAATCGGAGAACGCTTGGATTCTGGAGAAGAAGAGGCTATGTCGTTATTCGTCCTTTTTATCTGTGATCCTGAGATCCTCCAGCCTTTCTGTCAGCCTCCAGAAAATAGAGAGTGTACATCTGATAGCTCGAGTTGAGGCTTGCACGCGGTACAAAGAGCTACAGGACGCAATACATGGACTTGACGATCCACCAGCCGCCCGATTTACCCCTTGCCGACCAGCACTGTCTTCGACACAAATCGACCCTCCAATTGATGATCAGTGGCTTGAATTGGGGCTGGAGAACCTAGTGGTATTTCTATGGAGCAAGAATTCCGCCGCCTTGCAAGCAGTGTCTTCCCTGTACAACGATCTGTTTGTAGGATGTCTAATGTCACCCCGAAAGCATAGATTTACAGCCTCAATCACTTGCCAATTGTTACTCGATCAGGATAAGACCGTTACGGTCCCCATGCATCATAATTGTATGCCATTCAGCCGGTCAATAGACTGATCAACAAGAATGCCCAGGCAAAGCCCAGACTCTCCACGGGTTTTCCGTCGTGATCCACTCTGAGTCAGTCAGCCTCATGGCGGGCACCACGTTAGTCATAGTGTTGTTGCCACAGCCACATCATGATCCTGCGCTAGGAGGATAATTCCTGGCGCAGCAAGTTAATACCAAGCCTGAGTGACTCAAGTTATACACCTCTTGAGTAATTGGCTTTCCTTTGCCCTCATTTGTCCATTGAACGAAGAAAAGGGAAGCGGGTAAGAGAAGGCCGCGTTATTATAAAGGGCCGCCCGCATTCCTCAGGCGGTAAGAGTCTGCTTATCGGCGTCATTGGAGGGGCACCAAACACCTCCGGTTTCTCTAACCATTCACATTCGCTCGACACGATTGCCCACCATGGGGGACCCAAAGCGCATGGAGGAGCTTCTAAAAGGCCCTCTCTATGGTGCGCACATTACCTGCCTGTTTTCCCTCTGCGAGCTCTTGTCTCTGACTCATACCAGTATATGATCTTCCACCGGCGCTGCTGGCAACTTTAACCGCGAAAACTACGAGCCAACCAGTTGCTAATCAGACCCCCGAACCTACCCCCCAAGACAAGGAAATCGCAGCGAAAGAGTCTGCTATTGCAACTTCGACCTCATGTCCCCTATGTAAAGTATCCTACGGCAATGTCCAGGACCAGCGCAGCCACGTGCGCTCCGATCACCACCGATATAACCTCAAAGCCCAATTGCGCGGAAATGCTCCTCTCGATGAAATTCAATTCGTCAAAGCGGTTGGAGAGCTCGATGAGTCTATCTCGGGTTCCGAATCGTCAGAATCTGATGAGGAGGAGGCGGATGGAGGTGCCGACACAACTTTGACAGCCTTGCTGAAAAGACAGGCCAAGGTGTCCGAGTCGAATGAAGAACCAGAAGCGACAGCGAACGAAAGATCTCCAAAAAACCCGTTATTTTGGCTGTCTAGCTCCGGTCTGCCGTCAAACAAATCACTGGGGATCTATCGGGCGATCTTTTCCAATGTCGAGCAAGATGCGCCCACTTATTTGGTCGATACAATTCGGAAGAAGCAGCTGGCCCCCGTCAAAGCGCGTACGAATAATACGCAGTCGCAAACAGACAACTCTGCTTCCAGCCCCCATATTTTCATGTGTATGATCGGTGGTGGCCACTTCGCCGCTATGCTGGTGTCATTGGCCCCAGAGATCCACCGTAAGCAAGGTGGCGTCGAGGAGAGACAGGCAAGAGTGATTGCGCACAAGACCTTCCACAGATACACCACACGAAGAAAACAAGGTGGTTCCCAATCTGCCAGCGACGCGTCTCGTGGCGCGGCCCACTCGGCCGGCTCCAGCCTACGACGTTACAACGAAGCCGCGTTGGAGAAAGATATTCGAGATCTGCTTGCCGACTGGAAGCAGATGATTGATAGTGCAGAGCTACTATTCATCCGAGCGACGGGGAAAACGAATAGAAGAATTCTTTTTGAGAAGTACGAGGGTCAGGTCTTGAAGCAAAACGACCCCAGACTGAGAGGATTTCCTTTCAACACCCGTCGGGCAACCCAAGGAGAGCTCATGCGGTGCTTCAAAGAACTGACCCGAGTAAAGGTTAGTGAAATTGACGAAGCTGCGCTGGAAGCCGCGGCGGCTGCTGCGGCCAAACAGAAAGAAGACTCCAAACCATCCACACCCCGTCCGCAATCTCAGAAGCCGAAATTGTCGAAAGAGGAGGAGGCTGCACTCTTGCACACTTCACAGCTCCAGGCGTTCATCCGCCGCTCCAAAGTTCCAGCTCTCATGTCTTACATCTCAAACAACTCAATCCCCTCCGATTTTATTTTTCAACCCACCGACTCACCTCAAAACTTCCGCTGTCCAACTCCTATCCATCTTGCTGCAAACCTGAATGTTCCAGCAGTTGTGACCGCTCTTCTCACACGGGCCAACTCAGATCCAACAGCTGTCAACAGTGAAGGCCGAACCCCATTTGAGCTGACAGGCGATCGTGCCACTCGTGATGCATTTCGCATAGCTCGACACGAACTGGGTGAATCGAAATGGAACTGGAACGCAGCTAAAGTTCCCTCTGCTGTATCCAGGACAGATGCCAACATTCGAGCCGAGCGGGAACGAAAGGAAGCCGAAGAAGAAGAATCCAATCGCCGAAAGGCTGGATTAGAGCGCTTGAAGAAGGAAGATGCCGAACGAGCCGTGCAGCAGGCATCGAGCAAGCCCGGCGGTCGGACTCTCGGGGCAGTCGAGAAGACTGCGGCTGAGAAGCGCGACGAAGAGACACGAGGAATGACGCCTGAGATGAGAATGCGACTGGAACGAGAGCGGCGGGCGAGAGCTGCTGAGGAGCGCTTTCGCAAGATGCAGGGGAATTAAAGGAGTGGGTTGTGTACTCCATTTTCTTTTGGATTGTTTGAGCGTGTTTTGCACCAGCATCATGGATGACTGTACGACGACAAAGACGAATAGACTTGATAATAATTCTCTCTGATAAGTTTGGAACACGATTGTAGGCGTTCGATTTTGCGTAGCTTGATATCAGTCACATGCCTTCACGGGACCCAGGAGCTTATCATGACGGCTTCATGAATCTTCTCCTTGGATATACTCTCTTTTTGACCTGTTCGAGTCATTTCATTTCACAGCAGAATGCAGAAAAATCTGTCCCCTGATCCCGAATTGACTGGTTTTGGTTGTCTAGTGGGACGACTGGTCGAATGGGACCCGAATGGCGGCAACAAGACCAGCGAAGCTCTAGAGATCTACAGCGACGAGGAGATTTTTATTGGACGAGATGGGAATACTTGGTAATAAATACACTCTATCGACTGCAGAAATCACTCTTTCTGACTTTGAATGCTCTTTTATAAAGCCAAGTTCAGATACAGAATCCTTTCGTGTCGAATAAACACTTACGCATCTACACAATTCTATTCGACCAAGACAATTTACAGGACATACCCCCACTGGTATACGCCCAGGACCTCTCGCTAAATGGAACATCATGGAATGATTACAAAATGAAAGGCAAGGGTAGCTTTTTACTCAGCGACGGGGACGTGCTTCGAGTTGCAGCTGGTGTCTACATTCGGTTCCGGTCTGTCGATGTCACGGCAACTGATCGATTCACATATCTGCAACGGCTGGAGATGAAAGTTAGTGCAATTAAAGTACAAGAAAAGTCAGACCGCAAAGTCTCACCGTTCTGATATGATTTTAGACATTTCAGGATAGTCACATTGTCACCCAACGTGTCCTGGGCGCCGGGGCTTATGGACGGGTTCACATGGCCTTCAGGAAAGATGATGGTCAACAATTGGCCTGCAAGATTACTGACCTTGAAATCATCAAGTCCGGTACTCAAATAAGCAGGAAAGATTCAAGATCCAAATTCTTCCCTCAGAAGAATGCATGGCAGCGAAAATCGCTGACGGGCATTCGGAAGACACGCCAAGGCGAGCAAGCTATCCGCGAAAAGATCGCCATGGTCGAGCGAGAAGCAAAAATGTTATTGGAGCTATCCCATGTAACGGTCTCCCCCATCTACAAGAAACATTTGTAACACAGAGGACTGACTGCTACTAAGCCGAACATCATTGCGGTGGAGAAGGTTATTAAATCTAGTAACACAATGTAAGCTGCTATGCATTGGCCGACGGGACTTCCAGACTGGAATTGACTGGAATGTAGATATATGTTCACTGAACTAGTCACATGTGGCGATCTCTTCTCGTACCTCCGATACAGGGGAGGGAGGCTCGAAGAAACCACTGCTGCCCTGATAATCCGACAAGTCTTGCTCGCATTGGACTATCTCCATGACAGGGACATTGTACACCGAGACCTCAAGCCAGATAATATACTCATGACCACACTAGAAGATGATGGACGAGTTGTGCTGACTGACTTCGGATGTGCGATACAATTGAAAAAGTCTGTTCCGCGCACATCGAGTATCGTCGGGACCCTTGAATACTGCGCCCCGTAAGAACAAGTTTCTTGAGATGGAGACTGAGAATGCTGACTGTATCGTGCAAGGGAAATGCAGGATACTCTCAAGCAGGGGTACACTAAAGCTGTTGACCTCTGGTCTCTTGGATGTGTTACTGCCGTTCTGCTTGTTGGAAATACTCCATTCGACGATGCGGGTAAATCAATATCTAGCTATCTTACCGACCTCGAGACAGAACTGAAGATACTCAATATTGGGACGCGGACTAGGGACTTCGTTCGCAACTTGCTGGTACCAGATGAGATGCGTCGCATGGACGTGAAGCAAGCGCTACGACACAATTGGCTTGCTCATTCCAACTTCAAAAGCTACTTTGAAGGAATGTACCAGCGCGCCATTCAAAACTGGAGACCAAGGGATAATAACAGCAAAGATGTGATAATCAAATTGGCAAATTTCACTAGATCTCAATCTCTCCAGTATGTCTCTCATCTGAGACCTCCAGCAAAACTCAGGGCCCAGTGCAACCTCGATGATCCCGATCATATATCAGCAACATCATACGAGGATACGGAAGTTGTGGATGCCAAGCAGTTGTTATCGCCCTCCACAACGAGCTCCCTGCTTTGCAAAAGAAATTGGAAAGCGGTCGAGGCCAAAAGCCCTCCAACTTGGCAGCCTCTGGGTATAATTTACCCTGAAGTGGATGGAAAGCAGGCACTCGACAAGCCTATTCATAACGAGAACACCGGAAATGAAAGTGCACAGTTCCTCGGCCAAGTTAAGCGGGAGCAGCTTGACCAGGCCAGGATGATGAGACATGTTTTGTACCTGTCGCCATTTGGTACAACCACTGTCAAGAAAAAGGCTGATGATAAGATGGAAGAAATGGAAGAAGTTTATGAAGAGATCCGCAACCCAGTCACTGGAAAGCGCAGGCGACGGGCTTATGGCCGGGATGTGGGGGGCTTCAGCGATTTATTTTAAATGGATTCAGCGGTAGCCCTATATATTGTTATGCGTGACACTAATCCCTGAGGGAAATATCTCAATTAATAACGAGCTTGATCGGATGGGGAGAGTGGAATGGCTGATTGGGCAATATAGAATATCGTGTTGTATCATTTACCTCAAGACTAGTTTCAGCTTCGTGGATCATCTTGATATACCCCAAGAGATTAGCATTGACAACTTATCCAAGAACCCGTAAACATACTTCCCGTCTTCAAATGAGTTCAAGAATAGCTGATTTGAACTTGACTAGAGAAGTTCAACTTGATGACAACCCTTTTCTGTTAACTGGGGTTTTCATGAGTCTCACTTAGGACGCACGCCGGGAAGTCAGGTGGATATTTGAAACCAAAGTTATTGAATGTAGATGAACTTCAGGCTCTCACCTATAATACCATGTGGCTCACTCGCTATGTGCAAGCTGGTCGACTATTTCGTGGCTGCATGTTGAAAGTTTCAGGACAGGCAGCTGAGCCGGTGGAGCCGATGACACCATCCGGCAGAGTGTAACTATGCAGACCGCAAAACACAAAACATTGATTGAATTATGTGGACAAGAAGTCTAGTCCGAATTGATTGGGGCCAAAATGGAATTCATGGCGCGAATTTAATATTAAGATTACATTGCCATATTAGCGTATGCGAGGAGGGGATTATCTTTATTCCCTCTTCCCTCTCCTCCTCCACCTATACAAGTCTCTACCTTGCTCAAATTTCTCTTAAAGATATAAGAATCTCGGCTCCACATGTTTTTATGATGGTTCAATTGCTAATTTGCTAATTTTGGAGTATATATATGGCCACTAAGGCAACATAATCATTTCTAGGTCAATCCATTTCCAGACTGAACTCTAGTAACATATCATCTATTGTACTGTTTATCTAGTTGCGAGAAAAGAGATCTGCAACCATGACTTTAATTCTAGGATATTTTGCTTTTGTGTTACTGTCACAATACTCTCTGGCAGCAACGACGTGGGGGGCGACGACAGTTAGTGCGACTACCACCACAATTACGTCTACCACCCTTACTGCGACTGCCACGGATGAAAGTGTTCTTCTAGTTGAAGCTAGTGGAGTAGCATATCTGACTAATGTGATCATCGTCAAGACTGGAGATGCATCGGATGATACATCGCCATCTAGCACCAACCTCAATGCTGCCATTGGTGTGGCTGATCCCGGAACGGTCTATTTGACTGACTGTACAATTACAACCGATGGAGTCGGTGCCAATCCGCTGAAGCTCTATGAAGATGGATCCTACGCATACGTATACAATCTCGAAGTAACAGCGCGGGGAGACTATGCACATGGCGTATATGCTGCCGGGGGGTAAGTAGATGCCATCTCTCATCGACTATGCCTGCGATCTACATGAACGAAGGCAGTTTCAATGAAGCGACCGTGAGAACAGAAGCATGCTTAAAGGGGTTTGCAGATACATCTACGGTGAAAACGTGACGGTCACTACTTATAACACATCCGGGAGCGCAATCGCCACTGATTCAAATGCGGGAACTATCTATATCAAGACTGCGACTGCCTACACTTATGGCGCCAAGTCCGCACTGGTGTACTCTACTGGCAATATTACCGTCGAAGACCTGACTGGTTCAACATATGAAGCCTCAGGATGCGTTATCGATGGCAGTAATTCGTGGACACTCGTGAACCCAGATATAAGTGCAGCCCCAACTGCTTACGGCGTCTTCGAAACACGAGGTACGGGAGAGCGCCTCAGTAGCCCAGCTACAATGACAGTGAATGGTGGCTCAGTCGCTGAAACTAGAGGTGATGCTGGCGTGATGTTCTGCTCTAATATCGACTGTTACTACTACCTGGACAATGTAAGCATCTCGACCAAGTCCGGTATTTTGGCAAATTCATCCGCCGCAGACTGGGGGATATCGGGCTCAAATGAAGGTGGTCTGTATGCTTATTTGGCCGAACTCGATATCACTGGGGATGTATATGTCGATGATATCTCCACAGTAGCCATATACCTCTATTCAACTTCTTGGAGTGGCGCTATCAACCCCGAAGGTACAGAAGGCAATGCGACTGTATACGTGAACTCAGATAGCACATGGACAGTGACTGGGACGTCCTATGTCACCGTCATTTCATGCGACGATAGTGATTGCAGCAATATATACAGTGATGGCTTTACTGTATACTATGACAGCAGTGATAACAGCTGGCTTGGAGGGGAGACTATCTCGCTCAGCGGAGGTGGCGAGCTAACACCGAGCTGAATTATGTCGCCAAAAGATCAAGGGAAAGTCAATGATTTAATTGGTAGGATCAGTCAATTCCGGTCTCCATGATTTTACAGATCAAGCTACAGATGTGCAGATACTTGTCTGAACTTATTCTGGTCGATTCAATCCTGGAAATTTTCAGAAATGAGATGATCTGCATTCTCAATAAATTTGATAAAAAGCTAGAATACTTTACTGAGCTTGTAGCCGTAAACGAGCTCAAGAAGACTGTATTGTGGCCCCATGCCAGCCAGCACGAATCTTCAACTAAACAGTAGAAGGAACCGAAGTGGCTACCAAATGGGCCCACTTCCCTTTCCGATCTTATGATTCAATAAGACGCTCTATCACATGAATATGATATGAGTCCCAAGGGATTCAATAGGACTTAGATCCTCCAGTAGATTATACAAAGTTGAAATGTAGCCCCTATCAAACGGCGGTTGAAGGCTGTGCAAATCAAGTCTTGACAACGAGGGTTGGCCATCTAACAACTCTAAGCCCTTTCATTCGTGAAATAGGTCTTTAATGCAGGGTTGCATTCCGCCACAACCAAGGTAGATAGAACAGTCAATAATTTCTCCAGGGTTATCCCAAAGTGGGAATAAGAGAGGGGCTCAGCAGATCCCATTGCCTTATCAAAGACAAACATGGAGAGAGAGGTGGAGGGCAAACCATGGCCATTGGCTGATTGTCACACAGGGCAGCTGACCTTTGAGGAGAGGGCGGACCTAGAGCCTCTTGGTTGGTCCTGCTCTATGTCTAAAGGGGGCTCAGTGGCCACAAAGAAGGGCCTCAGGAGGGCAGTGAGTGACCAAGGGCTACCGGGATTGGATGATCATAGGGCTGATCGTGGACAGGGAAGGGGAGGGGGGAGGGGAAGGAGGGGTGTACGTTTTCGATAAAGGGTGAAAAGCTGTTGATCTTGATCCAGCAGAGCCGGCGAAGGAGCTCAGAGGCGATATCAGCTATGGCCTGTGGGACAAAACAGCTAGTCATATTGGTGTTTTATCCCGGAGAGGGGCTAAAAAGAAAAAAAAAAATCATTCTTGTCGCCACTCTTCGGTGCTTGTGTAGCACCCGTAATAGCCCGAAGCCCCGAGAAAGAAACTCATCTGGGATCCCAATGACTGGATATGTAATTTCGTTTCCATGGAGAGTATCTATGTGGACCATCAGCTCGAAGCCCACTAAGACAGTCTCAGAAGGGGCGTCGCAAAGAAAGAGACTCGATTCAAAGGGCCGATATTTTCCCAAACCCAATGATCAACAGACCAATTTACAATTCCAACAAGATCAACGAGCTCATAGCTCCAGGGCTGCCCTCTTCTGATTACCCTATTATTGAATCATGCACCCTTTCTTCCCATACCATCGTCCTTGTAGGGCCATCGAAGAGGACATAGGAAACTCCGATAGGGTAAGCTAAGGCCCTGTGCCAAGGCTAGATAGGGTCACACAGAGCCCTCCATCAAGGAAAAAAAGTGAAACATAACGGATACAGGCTTCCCTATGAAGGAGATGACTTTAGCCCTAGCAAGCACGGTTGGAGGGACGACGAGCGGAGCCCAGCCACGTCGCCGCACGAAGGCAATTCAGGCTGCGGGTAATAGATCTGCAACTCGTGCCCTGTTGGAAAAAAACTGTCTTGCATTGCGTTCTACAGGATCTGCACAGGGGAAAACCATCGCATTGATTGCGGTCGTAGTGCTCCGGCACTTCAGTCCAAGAAGGAGTCTGTCTGTTGTGTGGCTCTGAGCTTAACTTTATCGGTGCCCAGGCAACGGCAGCAAACAAGATCAGGGACAGAAAGTCAAAAACGTAGCTTTAGATCATCTGCACCTGCTGTTTGAATGTTGTGCATTTCCCTCGAGGATTCACGCCGGGTGAGCCTATCAGGGCTCTTCGAGAAGGAAATAGTTGCATCTAGATTCTGATATCCCTTGCGTGAGATTGGACCTTGGAGGGGGTTGGTTTGTTGGGGTCTAGGAGAGGTGAGAGGGGTAGAGCTGAATAAGTGAAAGGAACTCCTGGTAGAATGAGTTCTGTTCAACATGGCTAGAAGGACCATGGTTGGCTACTGAATGTCCTCAAGGGCTGATTCCGGTTAGATCACGAGAGGGATGAGGATGTGAGGCTGAGCGACGGAAGACGGTTCCTAAAAGGGTCCATAGATCGAGCCACAGATTGGTTGGTGTTAGTGTTAGTGAGATTACTGGACAAATGCAGCCCTAACTAGATCACAATTCTGGGGTCGGGGTTGACGTTGGGTTGGTTGGCGGCTAAGCAACGACGGTGACTGCACCCTGGTGATCGGAGATCGGGCCAGCCCTCTCTGCCCCCACCACATCCACCAAGATTCGCCATGAATGATTTGGCCCGATAGGCGTCCACCCACGAGTCTTATCGACATCGGCTTACCTTGCTAGGGCAACCGGAGGCTGCAGGATGCAAGGACTCGGTAGAGTGGGTCGGTGGGATAGCAACTTGCGATATGGCCGACATCCAACGTGGCTTTGGATCAGGCACTAGATCAACATTGTCATCGCAAAGAAGCGAATCAACCACAGAGAATTCGACAAACGAGGTTCCGGCGCCACATGCTTTTTGTACGGCGTCATTTGTGTCGAATTGCCTAGGAAGGTGTCTGGTCCGAAGCTATAGCCCTCAGGCCTCGTCCACCCCATCATGGTGTCCCTGTTTCCCTGTTTTCCTTTTCTCTGGAGGGTCGCACTGGCCCTTTGATAGGTCCTTAAGGTTCCTGAGTATAGTCCGTATATTCCCGGTCCGTGTTGATCGAATGTGATCCTCTGGCCCTCTAGGATTCAAGGGTTTCCAGGGAAATCGAATGAGTTCTCATACTTTCTCCTTCGGATACTTGCATCCTCCATCAATCCATGTTCGATTGTCACCAAGCCAATCATTGAGTGCTGTACGGAGTACGTGTAGACCCCATGGCCATACTCCGTAGGTGTCCGTAGGCCTCGTATGCTTCGTATGCCCCGTACGTAGTACATCGTTTGGTTCCGCTACTGGCGCTCCACTTTTAAGATGACAATGGCGGTGATTGGCCGACGCGTCAAAACGCGACATAACGCGTCACGCGCGTCTTGTTTCGAAACGCGCGATAACCGGTAAAAGTATGGGAAACCAGGAATTTGAACCGTGACAGACACCAGAATGAGAGCTTGAGATCCGGTATGAACTCCTCGCAATCCTTTCAGAAGTGGAATAAGCAGGGTGACGGTGACCACCTCCCGGGCTGGGGAGAAGGATGTTCCCAGGGCCGACGAGGAGGTCTCCCTGGACCTTCCCTCCTTCCACGCTAGATAACTAGGGTAATTAAACTGCATCGGTCGACATATTAAAACGCGTCGGGTCGCCGTGGGAGTCCTCGGCGAATGATGGGAAGTACAGGAGTTTGCGAACGAGACGGGATACGGAGTACCCACGGGGCACCTCGCGACGCGAAGAAATGGCTGGCCTTTGGGCTTGCGATTGAGCATATACCAGTATGCTCAAATACCAGCGTACAAGAACTACAAGGCGATTTGGAGGATCCCGAGTAGATGGTCGAGTCTCCCTCTCAAGCGGGCCGCTGCAGGTCGGCATGGGGTGGCGGTTCGATGCAGCTAGCAGAATGCACGTCATGGATATTGCATTGCATCATGGCATTGAAGAGCATCTTCGGCCCATGCAGTGATCATGATATCACTTTCTGGACATCCCGCAGCACTCGGAAACGGGGGCCTCACGTTGAACTCGAGATCATCTTACCAGCCCACCCAAACCGGAAGGAAGCCGTATTTGCGGGATACCCAGATACTGAGATGTCGTACCATTGATACCTATTACCATTTGACCATCTGATGGATCTCCACCAACACCTCCAATGGCCCGTGGGCAGCGAAGACCATTGGCGGGCACAGACCGGGCGGGTCGCGACAAACTCCATGGAGTCCATGGAGTCCATCGCGCGCATTCGGACAAACCTGGGTAGAAGAGGATCGCCCGTGGGCTGCCTCCATTCTCCATGGCGAACGGCGAAACGGAGGGCTCCATGGATGTCCCCTGTCGAGTCACCCTCTCACACCCCCCTTTTGGGCGCCCTTAGTCTCCCCTTAGCGTCTTCTTGGGTCCTTCATTTGTCTCCTTTGTGCATCGGCCAGCTCGTTTCAGGGGGCTCTGGAGGACCTCGTGCTGCCCCTGGTGATCTAGTGGCCGGTTGGCGGGTCGGGTGGTCGGTGCACCCCTTGCATCATGCATCCTCGGCCCTCTCCTGTATATGTTTCACGAGAATCGAAGACAAGAGGGGGGGGGGGCAAAAAGGATGATTTGGAAGAGCTCTGAAGGAGGTAGCCCTGTCATCCTCGTAGGAGTGTAGGAGTGCGCTGAGAGAATGATGAGTATAATAGAGACGGAAGGCCGGCGGGAATGCTGGAAGAGAGAGAGAGTCACGCCCTCGAGTCCATCGATTCCTTTTTGTCATCAGACGTCACTCGTTCTTCGTCTTGTCACTCGTTGTCCTTGTTTTTGTTTTTGTCCTGACACCTCTCTGCCTGCCCATTTCTTCCACAGGGATCCCCTGTCCAAGTAACTGCTATTCTATTCTAAGCCGCCGATTTCTTTATCCCTCCAGAGACTTTGGGACGGCGGAGTATAGGGAGCGCATTCCTTCAGAGTGGAGCCGCCGGGAGATGTTCGCTTGACCGTTTGCGGGCTTTCCCACCGAGTTTTTTCGTCCCCCGCCCGCCAAACACACCCCTAAAACTTGCCGCCCTCTTCCCATCACCAACACCCCCCAACAACACCCGCTGCTGCTCCTCACAACCAACCCCCAACTCCCAGTCGCATCGCCCCCGGCCCGGGTGGATCTTGAAGCGCATCTCTAGGACTGTCTCTTCCATTCGTTCATATCTTTTTAACTCAGTCTTTGCGCTTCGCAACCGCCTCCGGCGCAATCTCAGCACATCGCACACCCCAGGCGCACAAACTGCCGTCGCGCCTCGATTTCGACTCTCTCACTCTTAAGTCTCGTCCCTTATCATCCTCGCCACGCCTCTCACAGTCATCACAATCGCTTTCGCATCCGAGGACTCAAGAATCCTCAAATCGCACCACCATGTTGCTCCCTTCTGCCATCACATGCGACGTGCGCCGGTCGTCTCGCTTTACTCCCAATCGCCTGTTCTCAACACCTCCCCCAGACCGAGGATATCCTGCTGGTAATGGCTTACTGGGGACCTGCCGTGCGCTACAGTCGCTTCTGAATGGATCCCCGGCGCCCTCTGCGCGGCGCTCTGCCAAACCCCAAAGGCTGCAAAGTCCTCTTCCCATCAATCCTCCGCGCCGGTCACCACGGACGCGCAAAGTCGTTCGGCCGGCGTCGCCGCGTCCAACTCCTCCCCCTACTGATATCGCATCTACTCCCCCTCCACCTCCATCGGCACCTGCGCGCGGCGCAAACAAGCGCCGTCGCGCCGAGTGGGATAACGACGACAACGATAACGACCTCGGTTACCCCATCTCTACACCCAAACGCCAGCGACACGTTCCTTACGACCTGCCGCTTGGCCTCTCCTCCACTGATTTCTACTCTTTGCATTCGCCACCGATCACACAATCCCCTCCTTCTCCCGCACAGCGCCTACGCGCACAAGAATCCGTCGCGCGCGTAGATCCGGATACCGTTCTTCCCTCAATCGAAGAACCGGACGAGTCGGCCGCTCCGTCACAATGGACAGACGTGGAAGATCAGCGCCTCGTTGAGGTTGTGCTCGAGAAGTTCCGTCTTTCCCAGCATGAATGGGACGAGTGCGCGCGTCAGATGGGTCATCGCAATCGCGCCGACCTGGACCGGCGATGGCACTCCCTCGTCGCGCAGGGGCGGGTTGGCATGCGACGCCAGCTCTGAACAACGTCCACTCCCGACCTCTACCCTTCTTCTCAATGTGTCTCTGTATCATATGATTTTCCTTTTGTTTCACCTTTTCACTTCTCTCACGCCTACGCCTCGATTCTTTGCTGCAAGAAACATTCCCTGTATTATCACCTTTTCTTTGGGCTAATTTTGTCACTTGTTGATCCCTTCTATCTTGTTCATCTCTCTTTCTTCGGCTTTTCTTGTTTTCTTGCCTAGAATCGTGCCTCTGTTTGGATTTTCGCATCTGGTTATGTGAATACCTTCCCTGTCTCTGCTTCCGAGATTGCAATCCCCTTACGCTGTCTGGAAGAATGCGTCGTCTGCTATATTCGGCTCTATTTCTTCCCATCTGAGTAAGGGTGCACTCCTCGTTACGCTAAGCATTGTACCATTATCGAGTCACCGTCATATACCTACCGGTCCTGTACTTTTACTATCAAGATACCACTGTCAATTTGAATTGCACTACCTGACATCGACCCTCTAATATTGGTTCCATCTATCGATTCAATCTCTGCCAATTTAAATAGCCAATCAACCGAGTCAAAGTCTGCCTCGGTCTTTCTCACGTCCTGCGGGTAAACAATCTTTCTCCGCTGGCTTGAGTCCTAATTTTACTTGGCCTCAATGTGTTTCCCCTCTTTCGTCTCCACTTCTAAGAGTCATGTATAGTCCCACATTTCGCCTATTTCCGCCTTGGCTGCATCTGATAAATCTGACTGCAGTGCGGGATCTGGCTCTGATTCTCCACTCGACCGAAGTCCTGTAGAGACAAGCACGCGCCACTGCGGGGTTGAAATGACCAGCGAGAACAATGACACCCAGACAGGATATGTCTATGCCCAGACGGAATGCTACAGGGCTCTTGTGACGGAACTCACGGCTTATCGAGCGGGGAAAGCACATTTATGCTCGCTGTACCGTTGTGCTTGTGTCACGCATTTCACTATGCAGGAATCTGTCAAGTATAAATACTGACTGTAGAACCACAGAGCGCTTTGATATGAGAGTACTCCAGCTTTTATGCCGATAGTGCATAGTATTCAAATATCAAGAAGCAGAGGTCGTGGTCACGCCTGATCAATCTACCATGGCACCCGCAACGATGAAAGCTGCAATCTGCAAGGAAGTATGTATGCCCGTGATGCTTCCCCAATCTCAGCCCACAAAACCACGTTCTCTCTATAAGACGAGAGAGACAATGGCATGATATACTACACTCAACTTCTGTCCTGTTCTACGCTATCACTGTTACTGTGATAGTTCGATATACTTCTCCTTCCCAATCCACACTATACTCCACACTACAAACGTCGAGCCTCCTCCTAACCTCTTCATCTCCACCCACTATAGGCCGGCCAACCCCTCGTTATCGAAGAGGTACCCGTCCCCGTCCCCACAGGCCGCGCCCTCCTCGTCCGCGTCCAAGTTGCCTCGCTCTGCCACTCCGATGTCATGATCGCCGCTGGCGGAGCCAGTCTCGCCCAGCTCCCCCAGATCCTCGGCCACGAAGCCATCAGCGTCGTGGAAGAGCTTGGTCCGGACGCCGCAGCCTACGGCGTCGCCGTGGGTGACCGCATCGGCGCGCCACTGTGGCAGAACTCGTGCCTGTCGTGCTTCGAGTGCCGCCACATCGGCCAACATTTCTGCCCTTCGCTGCAGATGAAGGGCGTCACCAGTGCTGGCTACTTCGCCGAGTACAGCCTCGTCGACGCCGCGACAGCGGTGCGCATCCCCGCGGACATCAACGCCAGCCCCGCACAGCTGTCGCCCATTTTCTGCGCCGGCATTACGGTGTGGGACGCACTGAAGCGCGCCGCCATTGCGCCGGGCGAGACCGTCGCGGTCGTGGGCATCGGCGGGCTGGGCGAGATCGCGACCAAGTATGCACAGGCGCTGGGCGCGCGTGTGCTGGCGCTGGATGTGAACGATGCGCAATTAGCTGGGGTTCGGGACGGGGGCAGTGCGGATGGCGTGCTGAACACGCGGGACTTGAAGCGCGAGCAGATTCGGGAGCGGCTGGTCGCGTTGAACGGGGGGCGTTTGGTGGATGCGGTGGTTGTAACGAGCGGGTCAGGGCCGGCGTATCAGACGGCGTTTGCGATCTTGCGGCCGGAGGGCCGCTTGATGGCGGTTGGGATCCCTGACCAGCCGGTGCCGATGGCGATGGGATTGGTTGCGACACAGGCGTTTAGGTTTGTTTGTGGTGCTTTGCTGCTTTGGTGTTGGCGCACTTGGACTAACGTCCTGTATAGGATAATTGGAGCCAAAGTGGCTGGGCAGGCTGGGGCGACTCGATGCCTGGAGTTTTCACAGCGAAAGGGAATTTATCCCAAGGTGAATCCGAGAAAATTCCAGCTGGAGGATATCAATGAGATGATGGCTCTGATGGAGGCTGGAGAGGTCCACGACGGGCGGATGGCGGTGCAGTTCTTCTGAGGGTATCGGTCGGACAGGATGTAGTATGGCAGTAATCGTAGTCGTTGTAGCAGCAGCAGCAGAAGGCGCATCCACACTAGTAGTATACAGTGAAGCGAGGCTGTGCTATAGTGGAAGAGAGTGGAGAGACTGGCGACGAAGAAAAGTCGAAAGGCGATTGAAACTTCTGAGATCATGTTGGGCATTCGAATGAGCCATTCAGAGAACCAATTGAGAGAGCAAATGCGAGTTTTCAAGTTCGAAATGGATCTCATCGCTATCCCCAGCAGCATGAACGGTTGCATTACAACTATGAGACGCATAAAGTCCATAGTGCAACACAAACAAGAGCTCAGAGCGTGTCAAACGAGGGGAATCCCTAATAGTCATTGTAATTGCTCTGGTAGATCATTCATGACGGGGAGATCATCCTACATACTAACTCTCGGTTTGAGAAGCCATTTGTGCTGCTGGGAGATTGACCATCCTCCTACAACTTATATCATTTACTTCTACCTCAATCCCACAAGGAGTCTTTTCGAATATCAATAGTCCTGGCTGATCCCGCGTCACGGCCATTGCTCCGCTCCCTTTCTGGCATAACTGCGCTAGGCAGACACCCGGCCACATTAGTTGAGTTGATTCGATGGTGAGCAACCTCTATTTTGACACTATCCAGGCGACATAGGGAAAGCAAAGAGCAATTCAGGACATCCACCATCATGACAACTACGCCCTCTTTCACCGTTGACCATCCCCAGCTCGGCCGTCTTACCGGCCGCCTGATTGACCAGAAGCATGCGGATGGCCAATCTGTAATGGTGCCTATCGTGCATTTTCGTTCCATCCCCTATGCTACTATCCCGTGTCGTTTCAAACAGAGCGTACTCCTCGACCATATCCCAGATCATTTTGATCATCGGCCTCGAGGTGATTACACCCAGTATGGGGCTGCGTCTCCACAGGTGCCACAGCCCAAGGGCCGAGGTAGCGCGACAGGAGGCCTGGTGCCTGGTGAAGAGGAAGTCCTCTACGATGAGCTGTCTTGTCTCAATCTAACAATCTCGGTGCCGGTAAAACATGTCGACCATGAAACTATCCTATCGCAACCCAAAAGACTCCTCCCGGTACTGGTGTATGTACACGGTGGTGGATTTATCGAGGGCAAGGGGCATGTGAGCGCCCTGCATGATACAACAAAGATGGCCGAGTTGGCAGCTCAGGAGGGCATGGATGTGGTGATTGTATCTATAGGATACCGGCTCAACTGGCAGGGGGCCATCGCCTCGTACGATCTCCTCGAAGAGGCCAAGGAAAATGGGGAGCCTCCGTTCAATTACGGACTGCGCGACCAGCGGAACGCGTTCTTCTGGATTCGGAAATACATTCAGGGCTTTGGAGGTGATCCAGATAATATCACGGCGTTTGGAGAGTCGGCGGGAGCAATTTCGCTCTTCGCGCACGCCTGTTCAGATGCGCCTCTCTTCCACCGTGTGATTATTCAGAGTGGCACTCCCAATGCCATCAATAGCTGGTCATTCGACGAGTTCGAACTATTCTATCATGAGCTTCTGTCATATCTGGGTATTGCGAAAGCGACACGCGCCGAACGACTCGAGGCCTTGCGTGAAACCCCTATGTCGCGGCTCATTGACTTCATTCGTGAAAAGAATATAACAACCATGAAGCCCTTCCTAGGTCCAGAGAGTGAATTCTTCCCGCATCGGCCCCACTGGGCCATCCAAGGTGATGTTCTGGCCAATTGCTCGTGGATCCACGAAATCATGATAGGGGACGACTCGGGCGAGGGCGCTACGTTCGCCTCGCTGCTGAAGGACATATCTGCAAACCCTTTTATTGGCCAAGTTCGCGCCCTTCTTGGCGACGAGTCCGCTGCGCGTGTCCTCGACGCATATGAGATAAGTGAGGATATGGATGAGGGCCTGTTCTGGCAGCATGCGATAGTGTTTATCGGAGACCTGATCTTCTCCGAACCCACGCATTCAGTCGCCGCTTCGGTGGCTCGAGCTGGCCGACAACGCCTGTATCGCTGGCAATTCTGTCTGCAAAATCCGTTTCCGGGGTGGGAGTGCTCCTACACGACGGGACATCATTTTGTTGAGCTCATGTACCAATTCATGACGCTGACTGCTCGTTTACCCCCGCATCGGGACCATTTTCTGCGTCGCCAGGCAGAGCAGATGGCACGTAGTTGGATTCGATTTGCGAATGGACTACCTCCAATGCCCGATGCAAAGCCATACGATCTCGAAGAGGGAAGTATTATGATCTGCGATATGTTGCAAGGATGGACAGTCCGAACAAGAGCCCAAGATGAAGTGGTAAGCCAGAGTGATCCGTGGGGTCCTCGGCGGTATAGCCAATGGGAGGTTATGAATGAGGAGTTGAAAAGAGCAGGGCGAACTAAGAACGCCTCTGGATCAGACAATGAAAATATGGATACGGTGAGGAATCAGTTACTGTTGATGGTCTTGAATGCACCGGAGATTCGTAGAGATCAGCTGTAGGTTTATGTGCAACAATCCACATGAGGCTGAGGTTGTTGTGTCTCCACTTCCGTGGCACTGTACTGACAATGATAACCATAGTTGTAGCCTATCTTATTTGGAAATTTCAATGCATCTAAATAATTTTCCGGTTACATACAGACATAGAAACTTAGAGAGACAAGGTGGGTGCCGCGCATATTATCAGAATGGACTTGATTTGAAGAGCCCCTCTTATATGTCGGTTTGTTGAGAGTTTGCATTTGTTCTAAATGCGTGTTCTACCCCAAAACTATGACTAATATCAAGAATGACACGACGTGACATTGCGTCAAAATAACTATCCCAAGCATCTACTTGATTCAGAAACAACGACCAACATATCTTGGAGAAGAAAAAACTGAATCTACTCAATAGATCATATGGAGTTATCGGAATTTTATCACATGCAATAGCCCGAAAGATCAAGTAACCGGCTTCTCACTGGAATATGAAAATAGCGGAAATAAGGAGATGACTCAAGTCCAAGGGCAGAACTCAAGATGGCCAATCAATTCAGACGAATTGCTATTTCAGATAGATTTGTCTTGGATTTTACATGCGCGTGAGTTCACTGTTTCCTTGCATATACGTCAACCCGCCATAACTTGCATTAATTTAAGCACATCATTTGCGGCCTTGCATCCCTTGATCTTTCTCACGACTTTACTCCTAGTTCCCTCAAAAATATTGATTCCCACTCATGCAAGAATCTGGTAACGAAATTTTCTTCATAAAAAGCCATATTCCAGTTAATCGAGAATGCAAGTCTGCCATTCAATGTCCATATATTAGTCCGTAAGACTCGATCAATCACTTCCTGGGAGATCCACCAATCCTCGACCTCAATCGTCATGTTCTTGCCCTCGTGTCTGCATAAGAGGTAATCATTCAGCACACCAAGAGAGCTGATATCTGCCTGTGCTGCTTCTTTCAAAGGGTCTGGTGCTGGCATCAGAAATAAGGTAAGAATTTTGCGCAAATACTCAGAAAGAAAAGCGAAAATATTTCGGGGGTCTTCTTCCCCGAAATTGCGCTTGTATAAACTGCCCAGGACAGCGGCAATAGATTCGAAGGTGTTTGTTTCTCCTAGATCTAGTGTATACGGAATACCTATATGGTAGACGCTAACGGCAGCATCGGGTCCATTCCAAGGTGGGGGTAGATATTTTCGGAGACTTATAGTATTAAATCCAGTGAGTTGGCCACCCCCTTGGCCGCGCGTTGCTGGGTCAAAATTGTGTTGCGTGTAGGGCACCATGGCGACAATGAGTGCGGCGTGCGCGGCAGTAGTGACTGATATACCTCGGGCCTTGCAGGCCGATAGAAGGCATTGAGTAGTTTCCGTTGAAATTTTTGAAACGAGTCGCCCGGGTGCCTTTGCTATAATGTTTGGCTGTGTTGGAAGAGTGAGAGAAGGCTGGCCGTCAAATATAGTGCTTAATTCAGCGTCTGCTGCAGCGGTAATTGACGGGGTCACTTTGCTTGGGGCCGAGCATGCTTCATCTTGGGAGATCACCAGATGAGCTGCCTCCGACCCATCGAGACAGACTGTGCGTGGGGGTCCTTCGGCTATAATGCGAAGAAGAGAGTTTTGAAGATGTAATAGTCCATGGCCATCGATGCGCCAGTGGGGGGTTCGGAAGAGCAACTCGCTTGTTCCAGGAAGATAATGAAGCTCCAATGCCGAGGTCGGAGGTAAATTCTCATATAAGCCACTTGCAGAGCTCCCGTCATCCTCGACAATGAAGGTCCTCTGTACCCATGCCTCAAGCTCAGCTGGGGATGGGACATTATATGTGAGGCGTGAGTTACGTTCATCGGCGATTGCTGCAATCTGTGGATGTTCTTTGCGTAAAGCCTTCCAGGAATTTTGAACCTCTACTGCCGTAGGAAAAGGATTGAGTCGAACGGTACAGGATAGCAAATAGGATTGTCGATTGATGTGGGCACCAACTGCAGCATTGGCAATCCAAAACTGCTCGAGAGTGTCGAAATCCCGCTCATAACGGCCCTGGGACACTTTCTGCCACGGCATTTGAATGGTCTGGACGAGCTAGTCAACTAACTGAAAGATACGAGAAGGTTTGAAGAAGGTATCGAGATCATGACAGATTTAAAAATATTCTTGAATGTCACGGTCGTACTCCATAGCCAATGAGAACGCCTGAAATCCATGTGCGCAGTAAGTTTGATTGCTTGAATAGGTGAGCCAGGAGCAAATGAGTCCACTGAGTTCCGGTGTCGGTGAAAAAGTTCTTCATCCGATGGTTTGACTGACTGTGGGGTTTTTGTACTCTCAGCCTGCTACATTGGGTTGCAACAGAATGTTTACCATCCGAGAAAGTTGGGACCTCAGGCCGATTTTGGAACAGAAACACAGCTTGTCTTTACAAATTACTCGTCGGAGAGAAAGTCCCCGTGCTCTCCTTGGCCAGATTTTCATCAATATACCAATACCGATCTCGGAACAGAATGTGAGCTGACAGATTAGGGCATTGAAACTTTTAACCGATACCCATGTTTCTAATGTGAAAATCCGGCCCTTGGCATATCTAATACAAGTTTTTCTTCGATAGGGTTGACTGGAATATGAAACTTTGGAAATCACTAACTGAATGACCTCGGCTCGCATTGATCCAAGCTGTTTTTTGTTCGGAGGCATATGATATACGCTTCGGTATAACAACCTTGGTGATCACAAAGTGTTCTCCTGTAGCCACCATTGTAGGCATCTAAGCAGAGAATGATAAGCAGACCTTCCGTTCAGAGTACTATTGACCTTGTGGCCAAACATATCTGATCGGGTTATAAGATGCAAAGGAAGACTTGGGCATTTTTCTTGGAAGGGTCTAGCAGCAACCAATCCATTTAAGTTTGGGTGAATGGTCCACCCCTGGGGAGTCACCCGTCTCATTGAGCTTGTTCGTGGTTGGTCAATAATCAACGCCAACGCCACTAGCATAGAACGCCCAAGTACTAACTTATAGTGATGCTGTGACTCACCAATACCTCCAACCAATGATAGCTACTCCCTACAGGGGATCAAGGCCTCCAGGAATCCATTACATCCAGTATAAGAGGACCTTGAGGCTCTGCCTGGACTGAGTAATCTTGTAGTCGTCACATACCTCTCCTAATATGCATCTTCCCGTGGAGATCCAAGTCCAGATCATCTGGGCAGCAGTTGATAGAGTGCTAATTGATGATTTGAAATGGCTGGTAGGAATGAGACTCGTCAACAGTAAGTCAAGTTTTTGCCTCCAGTCCCATGTCCAGCAGCAAATATTAAAAAGCAATGCCAGAATTTTTCGCCGAGGAAATCATGAACTGTCTCCTTCACAGCCCGCGCCTTGAAAGTGTTGGTTTCGGCTTCGAACTCGAACAGGATGCTCGTTTCGCGTATGATGCTGGTCGCGGACATTCAAACGAGAACTGGTGGTTCAAATTTCCAAAGCGCTATAAGTACCAATATCTACGTCAGAAAGTGCAGCAACATCCAGTGAACAGATGCATATTTTCGACTTTCGCCCACGGTGTCCTCGAAGTGCCACATAAGGTACGCACAGCCGAAGAAAAACAAATTTTGATCTCTAAAATCATCGATGCGTGGCTCTGCGGGAAATGGTATTGCGTTCGCAGTGTTTTGGACTCTCAGCGCTATGAACAATACATCGCCAAGTATGAACGCGATCGCGGTATGCCCCCGGAGTATGAACGCAAGTACTGGGAACCATTTGAAAGGACACTTTGCATTGTTCTTGCGACCAGCGCGGTTATCAGGGGTGACTGTACGGAGCTTCAGAAGCTTCTCGACGAGTATGACGAGCCGAGAAAAGTAATGGGCCAGGTCAGACACGACACGATTCTAACATGGAAGAGCGACCGGTTCGGAAGTATCTGCCCACTTGATATCGCTGCCAAACGAGGGTCTGTTGATGTCACTAAACTCTTAATCGCGAACGACTGTCCCTTGTCATATAGCCGTAAGTACTGGAACTGGCGTGGAACGGACGTTGTTTACGTGGCTGCACGAGCTGGTAATCGGGAAGGCTTGAAAGTTTGGATGCAGCACTTGAAAGAACACGCTTTAAAAGGTCAGGTATATGCAGCTGTGCGAGGAGCTTTGAGAATTGGGAAAATGGACATCGTGAATTTCATGGAAGAGGAATACGGTCAAGAATTTGACAAAAGGGAGATGCTATTCGAAATCTTTATAGAGGGTATCACTTCAGGAAGATTGGACATAGTACACGAGTCACTTGAAAGAGGAGGATTCGATGTGGGTATGAAGACGGAGCAGTGTCCCCATGGGGCATTGTTTACTGCTCTGGCCAATTCATGGTTGGCGCAGCGTCAAGCAATTGTGAAACTTCTTTTGGCTTCTGGAGCCGATCCGAATGAGGTCCACTCGACAACAAAGCAATTGCCCCTACATATTGCTGTGAAGCAAGGAGATGTCGGGTTGGCGCAGCTCCTCGTGGAACATGGTGCTGACATTCAAGCTGCTTCCTTAATTCCGGTGAATAAGAAGGGCAAGATGCCTTTGGTACATTCAGCGGCGATGGACAAAAGTGCATCCATGGTACACTTTTTGATTACACGGGGATTAGCGAGCTCATATGCGTGGCAAGACAAGATTTGGGAGGTAACGGGTCGTGGGAAAGTCATAGATGAGCATCTTAAGGTGCTGTTTGAGATTGACTGGAAACAGAGGGAGGAGAGCAATGGTCATCAAGGTTTTGCGGTTGCCATTCACAGAGGAGATTCACACCGCAAGTCACGATAACGGCGAATTTATGATGTCGTCATGTCTATGAAAGGTGTGATATATAGAAGTTTATAAGACTTCCCAGAAAAGAATCATGGGTTGTAGAGGAATGCAATATCATTATGTAGAGAACACCATCCAACGCCAGACACCCAGCCTGATGGTTTACAGTCAAGTGTAAAGATGCATGAAATCACCATACCACTCAACATTTTAAAACCTAGAAATAATGTTAGTGCCTGGTTGAATATCCCAACAAAAGATAGACCCTATCATACCGAATCTCATAGCTTCCTGCGCGGGTCATGTACCGCACCCACTTGACAGAACTATAATTGCTTTTCTCAAAGACCTTGAGATAACGCACAAGTAGCCCAGACGAAGTAAACATAAGAATGCTAAATGAAAGGCTGAGAGGAGGCCGACTCCAGGCCTTTTGGTGGGTCATGGTTGTAAGTGTAGCCTCGGCGTTGAGCACATACTCACTCTGCCCCGAGAAGCGAGCGATCTTCCAGACGATGTTGTTCTGCTCGGGCTCATACTTAGCACGGCCCTGGCTCGTACGCTCCGTGGTCTTTGCGGTATTCAGAGGAGTGGGAATGCGAATAACCACGTTGGTAGCAAACAGTTTCGCGCTGTAATTCGCCTTAATTGCAACGCTGTACTCAACCTTGGTCGTGCCGATCTCGCGTACGATCGGGTGCACCTTGAAAGGGAGGTTGACGTTCTCGGTTGCGCGATACCGCATCAGCTCAAATTCACCGTCTGGCGGCACAAAAGAGATGATCCGGTCGGCATCGAACCGGCCAAGCTTGACACACTGGTGAAACTGGCAATCCTCCAGGGTGACAGAGCCAGCAGCGGCTCGTGTAGCCTTGTTTCCGCCAGAGATCCCGCTTTTTCCCCGTCCCCCATGAGACCCTGATGATTCGCCATTATCCAAAAGGAGTCGATCGTTCAGTCCAAATTTGCACTCGGGGGTGCCTGTCAAGTATGCTCGCATGACAATCTGCCCATTCACGTCTGCGCGCAGCACCGTGCCGGTCGCAGACATCAAAAGGTTGACGTCCTCGATCACGTCCACAAAGGCCTCGTTCTTGCGATACTTAATATCCGAGCGTCGCCATGAGAGCGCACCGGTTGCCTGCATGGTGATGCGGCTCGAGTCGGACGGGGAGTTCGCGATGGCTGACTTGACCCCTTCAGTAGTGATATACATTTTCAAGGTATCGGTCTCGGTGTTCTGGGGGTATCCGAAATCAAGAATTTCTAGATGTTTTGAATCAATTCGTTAGATGCTGCCCGCAATCAACGTAAGGAGATGGGCAGAAATCACCGTCGAGCAGTTCATAAATCAACACAAAGTTATTCTTCACAGCCTCCTCATCAAACTTGCCAAAGTAGCTCCTCCCCAGCATAATCAGCCGGTAGAGGAACTCGAACACCAGAGCAGCATTGGCATTGCTCTTGGTCACAGCGACCAGATAGATATTCTCGTGTTTGACATGGCTGAAGGTCGTCGAGCCCAAGGTCAGGATCGGGGAGCGGACCTGCGGGTTAGAGATGACCTGGATGCGGAAAATATCTGCAAGGCGCGGGCGACAGTCGCTGCGGAAGGCGCGGAAAATAAGATTCTCGCCCTTCTGGTTAAAAATCAAGATCCCCGATAGCATGGTGGGTGGCTGCAGAAAGGGCTCATCCCGTATGGGTTTCGGAGTGAAGGAGCTCGGCGGACGGGGGGGATGTGGGGAGTGGATCGACACCGCCCGAAACTGCGGGTACTTCACACATGGTCCGCATGCCTCAGTAGGATGAAAGAACAGAACTTCTCTATGTACAGCTCGTGATACCGTAGCCAATGGCTAGAAAGCAGCACACTTCGATCGCATACTCTTCAATCGACATATTTCAATTCACCTTGAACTCCACTCCATTCTGAAAAAAGCGGATGATTAAACAGCTTTGCATGTTACTAAGGGGAGCAGAGTTGATAGCATTGAACGAATTATAATATGGACCAGAAAGTCCTCAATATTTGCTTTTCCAGGTTCCACTAAATAAACAATTGAGCCCAGTGATAGGGGTAGTATGAACAAGTCCTGGACAACAGTAGCCCCCAAGACATAACCGAAATGTAACAGGAAGGAAACCCTCAGCGACAATGATTGCAAAAGACAGCTGGATCGAGTCCGGAGAAAATCGGCGTTCAGGGAGTGGGCGAGAGGAGAAAGAGGCCGAGAAGCAGGTTAAAGGTAGGGGGTTCAAAGATCAGTCGCTGGGGGAGGGATATCATGCAAAGAGGATGCGAACAAATTACAAAAGACATATATAACCAAAGAAAGGCAGAGGCTAGGAGAAGAGGAGGGAGAGAAGAAGGAGTCCGGCGAAAGTAGGCGAAAGTAGGCCTATCAGTTGCCAGGACCGACCCCGGTACTGGGTCGAGTATTTGGTAGCGAGGGTCCTTCGCTGGGTACGATGCCAACCTTGGGGTCTGGAATCTGGATGTCAATGGACATATACGCAGTGCGGCGCAGGCTCCAAATATGGACCCCGTCCTTGGCCCCGACATCCCGGTTCCAATTCTCAAGCCAGGTCTCGACATGCTGAAGTTGGCCTTTGACCCCAGGAGCATTCATGTCATCCCAAACCCACCCGGTCAAGAGGCCAATTGCTCCATCCACCCAATTGCGAAGGCTGAAGGGGTCAAATGCCTTCACGAGCCCATCGTTGACCATCGCGATCACTTTGCGGAACTCTTGCTCTGGTAATAAGGGGTCCAAGATCTCCGGGTATAGGTTGGAGAAGGTGGGCGCCAAATCGCCCTTGACCATCCAGTCTCGCCGAATGCGAATCACTCGTGTTGTGAGATATTCTTGCGAGCCGATGGGAACATGGGGGTTGAGGTGAGGGTAGCAGGGATGGGCCGGACCCCACGCCAGCTCGTCGGCGATATCTGGAGGGGCTTGGCCGGTGTGGGAGGGAACCGATGCGATTTGGGATTGAGATCGGAGAGAGGTTTGTGATTGGACGTGGCGCGGTCGGTCATCGTCTCGACGACGAGTGCCGTCCTGGGCAAGGTGGACTTCTTCTGGGGGGCGCAGGTTCTCGACATCTCTCGCCGCGCTGCCCGCAAATGCGGCTGCCATCTCTGAGGGGAGGAATTGGCCGCTGCGCCGGTGACGGTGAGGTAGAGCAATACTAGTCCGTCCGCTCTCAGTCTCTCCTTGGCTGCGCTCAACGATCAGGCTGGTGGGCGATGTGGGGGATGGAGTGAGGCGACTGCGGCGGCGTTCGGGGACGCTGAGGAGGGGATATGCGTCGCGCTGAGGGCCGATGGGAAGACTTTCGTCTGACCGGTGTGGAGGGACGGTGATCGGAGTAATACGAGGGACGTGATTGACCGGGTTGGCCAGGCGAACCGCCGGCGGGCGAAGAATCGTAGGGAACGACGGGCCCGAGATGGGAACGCACTGTCGCTGTGCTCGAGAGAATGACGAAGTCGCCTCCACGGGGACGCCTCCACGAAAGCCAAGGCCTAAGGAATGTGGACCACGTGGATTCGGGAAATAGGAATGCAATCCAGCCTCCCTCGAATGGGATCGAGAGGCTGTGAAGGACGCCGTTTTGAGGAAACGAGAGGCGGAACAGGAAGGGGAAGGGAAGCCAAGGGAGCGTGCGGTGGTCGGGAGCTGGCGATCGGCACAGGAAAAAGTCTCCTTCCTGGTCGAAATGAGCGAACGAAGGCAAGAACAACAGAGAGGGAACACGGGAGAAAGCGAGAGACTGAAACGACAGTTCGAAGGTCAAAATGAAGATCCAGGAGAATTTCCAGGCGAAAAGAGCTCCAGGGCGATGATCGGGGATCCTCAGGCGGAAAACTGAGTCCCGACCCCCTTTGGAGCCTATATCAAACACCGGCTGGGCAAGGCCGAAATATATCAATCAACCCAATGAATCAAGTGTCGGCGATAGCAAACAGAACGGGGGCCCAAGCAATCATAGACATAATAGAAAGAGCATGCACAGTGTTTTGGTCTGAGGATAACAAAAAAAATATAAAATAAGAGGTCAATAATCGATCGAGAGGGAGGATCGAGAAAGGCGATAGTCGGGGTTAGGCAGGCAACGGTGATATCGAACTATATCCAGTCGAGCATTAAATGCGACCCTTTCCTTCCACACGAGTGGTCTTACTCTTGTTCCTTTATATTGAGGGCAACAAGTATGCCCAGTAGCAATGCACTGGCACACTACTAGTCCCCTTTCGCTCTCATGCGACGAGTCGCTCATCCCGGATTCATGGTGATTAATCGACTACCATCCCTTGTTTCATCTCGGTCTTGGCTCATCAGCAATTGAGGGGACTGGCCAATCCGAAATTGAAATACGGGATGTGTGGACTTTTGTGCCTACAGAATGCATGTGTCATATTTGAGTCCTAACTTCTGTTTCTGTCCAATCTGAACTGACTACCATGCTTAGCTAGGGCAAACAGTCGACGTGTGGATTAGCAAGTGTCTGTACAACGCCCAATCGACTATGACAGAACAATTGACACGCCGTAAAATGCGTTCTGCGCCCTGTCGATCATTCCTATGCATACTGCATGTACCTTCAGGACACATAAAACCATGGGGGACTTGGTGCTTGCCGAAATTTTAACAGTTCAAGAACATGCTAAGTATCCCGTATTCTGTGGTCGGAGATGACCTGTCTCAGGAGTATGTAGTGTAGGGAATGGTAGAAGGACAAGATTTCTCCCTTGAACTGCCCTGGAACTTCGCAAAAAAACGGCGTATTCTAGCACCATAACTAGTCCTCATGCACAAAACGCAATCCTCCATATCCCACTAAAGTGAACGGTGCCCAGTAAAAGGGGCTGGTCCAGTCCAACTGGTTGAGAATCATCTTCAATGTCAAGAGAAGAAACTCTGCGTCGGGCACAAATTCCGCTGGACTCTGTCCCTCATGCCCGCTGGAGGTCCAAGTATCCAGCATATCATCGAGAAATAAACTAGCTTTTTCTCCATCAAGTTGTAAAATATCAATCTGCGCCTTTCGCATAATCTCCGCCACGGCGAGGTGGGGGTCGCTTTTCAGATGCCGATAGAAAAAGGTCATAACTAACATGGAACCAAAGTCGCTCACTTTCCAAAGAGATCCAATATAAGCCTGACATCCAGTGCTTAGAACCACATGAGAAAACCCCAGAACTTCACTGCCAATAGTGGCCTTGCCAAGTCCACTGAGACACGCAGCAAAAACCAGAAGGTTCACGCGGCTTCGAATTGCAAACATGTCGGCCACGCGGAACTGCTCTCCGTCTCCAATCGAAATGGATGAGAGGAGAGGATTGCGATGGTTAACATCTCCATGAGTCCCGATATGCATGATCAATGAGTCTCCCTCGACGTATTCACGAAAGCTTTTCCTAGTCATATGGGATGCTTCAATTGGCCATGTAGCAAATAATCGAGCTATATTGACTGCCTCAATGCCCGCCATGTGCAAGTTGACTTCTTTGTTGCTTCTAGTTGGCTCCAGTGGTTCTGGCGGTCCTTCGGTAGGGGATTTCGCTAGAACCGATATTGTTGGCGCACGGGATTCCGACTTTCTTTGGGAAAGATAATGCAAAACAGTCAGACTTGGAACTTGAGAGACTGCGGCATGCATAATTAGTGGTTTCCCGTCGAATAAGAGTATCGAAAAGGGAAACGCAGTCATCGGATCCGAAACAGAAAATATGACGTGCGATTTAGTGCGAACAGTGTCAGCGAAAGGTTCTAACACCACAGCGGAAATATCCCTCGAAAGATCATTGAGGGTTCTCTTGCGAGCCTCTTCCTCCTCTCCAAGGTAGCCCGTCATTTCCCTCATGATCTTCATGGCCTGCATCACCGGTCTTCGGATATCGACATTACGAGTAGTTCCTCGTTGTGTTTTCTGTATCCCGTCTCGAGTTACTGCAAATGCAATAAAGCCTCGTGCGCTGAAGGTGGCTTCAATAACAACAGAGTTGTGGTCAATACTTTGGTATAGCAGTTTTGGTTCAATCGTGGAGTTGACTGTCTCGATGAAGGCGGTTGCAGAAGATATGGCTCCATCCTTTTCCAATGCTTTGATCTCTTGGCCAAGCTGTGAAACTTCTTTCTCTTGTTCAGGACTCAAGGTTTTCAAGGCAAGAAGTGATCGTAGGAGTCGCCTTTTTTGTACAGCTTCCGATAGATCTGCAGTTTCAGGAACCCCTGGCATCCCTTTGGATTGACTCGCTTGTGCCTGCAAAGACTCGAGAACCGACCGAGCTCTACCCATCTCAACAAACAACAATGCATGCTCAATCCATGAGATATCCCCAAAGTGACCGAGTTCATATCCAGATAGTATACTAAGCGGAAGATTTGACTGGTTGCAATCCAGGCAGATTCGAGCGAGATTGAGGAAAACTTCACTGCCCCATCCTGCTGCCGAGTTACCGATACGGGCGTCCAAGTCTTTTGTCTGAATGCGACGGACCTCAATAATCTGGCGACACTCAAGGAGCTTAGAGAAGGACTTGAGGGGCTCCTCCTCTTTCATGATAGTCCCAAAGTGACCAAGTCGGAAAGAATAGTCCAAGGCACTTTCATTCATAGATTCGAAAAAGGTGGGCGCGATTTTAATGATAAGATCGACAATATGACGAGCCCTCGCCTGGTCTCCAGCATAAATAGTAAAAGTTAGGGCATTCTCTGCTAATGTCGAGAAAAAATGACGGACGCCCTCTCCATTCAAGAAACCTTCGAGCATGTCGTTAAAGAGCTGGTTATCGTCAATCGTGCCCATAATCTCACGAGCTTTGGAACTGTCTCCAATACGCTCACATGCCAGAATACGATATAGATCTCTGGAATAGAACTTTTCGAAGTCCACTGACATGTTCACAAAGTTGCGGAGACTTTGTTCTGCCTCCATTATGTCTCCATCGTCCAGCAAACGCCGATACGTAAGCTCCGCAGAAGCAAAATGGACTCTAGCCACATCATCAATCAGATTGGTTCGCCAAAGTTCTTTCACTTGTTTTTGCGAAAATGCATGCCCAAAATGAGGATGCTCCTCGCTGTAGTAATCATCCAGCCTTTCCCGAAATTCTCGAAAGCTCTCCTCATGCTCGACCCAATGAAAGAATTTCTTATTCCAATCATTAAACCCTTGCAGGTCTTCAATACGAATATAAATGTTGCCTACTTTGCGGCTGAAGGTCCAGAGGGCAGTAAATTTGCTTGTGCTTAACGTTGCTCGATCTGCCTTCCCTAAGGGTGTATCAGGGGCAGACTTGATCTTTTCATCAAAATATTCGCGGACACGGTCCACGATCGAAAGTGCTTCCTCAATATGAATCCGGGCGGCGTTGCTATTAAACATTTCGTGTTGCACATTTGCCCGTGAAACTATAGATTGAAAAAGAGGAACGATATCCCCTAGAGTCTCGAAGACTTCGTAGGCGCATTCCAATGCTGTCAAGGCTGTGTCCATATTGGAATATTTGAACCATTCCTGATGAGCATATCGTGATAGAAGCATGCCGATGAAATGTCCCATCGACTCGTTCTGTGCTTCAACAGCCCAAAGGCCAATATTTCTTGCAATACTTTTCACGTTGTGGGGGTTTCCTTTGGTGATGTCCACCATAATTTGATGGCTTTTAACAATTTGGAGATTTGCCTCGTCTTTCCCAAAAAGCTGGAAAGACTGCTGTAGTTTTGCTTCGGAGTCTCCTAGTATCCCGAGAATTTGTTTATTAGACTGTCGCTGGTGTCGTGCAAGGTTATGCAAGCAACATGCTTGTCTAAGCAAAACTGCTGCTTGGCCACGTCTACATCCAGCTGCTTGGAAAAGAAGGAGGGCTTCTTCATAGAGCTCTTTAGCCCTTGGTAAGTATTCAAAGGCCAAATCAAACTCAATAGGGTCCCAGAGAATGTCATTCATGTCCGCAGAAGTCACATCGACAACAATCAGATTCAATGAGAGTGGACTTGCGAAAGGAGGACTGAGCAGATTATCGGCTTCTAAAATTTTGGAATTGGCCATTCCCACGGGGTCATTAATTGTTTGATATCGTTGAAAGAGACCTTCCATCTCTGTAGTTGCAGCCGGGCTCTGACTCGTGAGATGAAACTCCACGATAAGACGGGTCAGGTATGCTGCTATGCCCATCATATCGTACTTTTCAGCCATGGTACGATATTTGAGTAAGTTTTTAGATTGTTCTGCGATCAAAGGCACTATGTCTTCCTCTGACAGTCCAGCTCGTCCACCTGGGGAGAGGGGATGAAATTTCGCCGTCATATTCCGGGCTTGAATAGGAAACCACTGCACCGCACCCAGAATCTGACACAGGCCTTGGTCGCGAGGGATACCGAGTGGAAGGTATTTATGGACATTCGCCATAAAAGTTTCAGTTATTTCATTAGGGCCAATGATGTTGCTTAGCATCGTGAGATTCACGGGTCTTGCCCGTTCGTGATAAAAGCGAACATTTGGAGGATATCGACGGGTATAGTCGGTCAGAACTTTGTAATTTGTGTACCGTAGTCCCCATTCTTGAGGTACTTTATCCAAAATTTCCTTTAGCGTTTCAAGACTGCGGTAGGCATCGCTAAGTCGCCCTACTAAAATCGAGTATATGGCTGAGCATCTGAGATAATCCGCATGAACAGCCGGTTCATCGAGTGGTTCGGTGTCCGGCCGCGACTGCTGCAGATAGTCCCATGCCGCATCTAAATCACCTCTATATTCCTCTGGGAAAAGAGATCGACCGCAGAGGTCGATAAAATGTTCAAAGTCCATGCTGGTTTGCGAAAACCGACAAGGCAGTCGCGAATTCTGCTATGGGACTCAAACGTTCTTGAGGAGGGGACAATCTCGCCGGAGGGTCCGAAATACTAGCAGGGCAACCCCTTATAATAATGAACATTATCATTCATCATAGTGGGGGTGGCTATTCCTACGCCCGGAACTGCTACGTTATCACTGGACCCTGGACCCTAAGTCGGGCCTCGCCAAAAATTGCCCCTTTCGAGTTAAACAGGTAAGCACGGGCGAAGTGACACTCCGCGAAGGCAGCAAAGCAAACGGAACAGAGTAAAAGGCGACTGAAATGCCACCCGAAATTCTTTCCTCCAACTTCGTGGTTCCCGGACCGCTTTTAGGCTTGGCAATTGATCTATAAGGCTTCAACGATATGGGGGCTGGCGATGACTCGTCCTTCTTTCTTTATGGTGTTGGGGAACGGCCCGAGGCCCTAACCTTGGGTTCGCTGGTACTGGAAAAGTACTGGCAGCCAATGAATGCGCGCCATTATGCACACGATTTACTCAGGTACGATTTTCCCGCTTTTAAACCCCGACATAGCCCAACCTGATGCATTGGCTCGTTACAGCGATGATGCTTTGGAAGAACACGCCTACACAACAAATCTAAACAATGTGATTTTCCATGGGTATTCCCGCGTCACGCCTTCTGTAAGCGTCGATGGCGGCGATATTGTCAATCTTGGCCTTGCATATAACAAGGATCTCGAGCGAATCGTAGTTGCCGAGAAGGGAATGCGCATGATACTCAAAGAGTAACTCTTTTCACATTTCCCATTTCCGTGATGTCCGGTCTCACATACGCATATAGCCCCGAAATGTTCCTCACAAATAGTGTGTTGAAAAGTCCACTCGCACAGCAGAAGCTGAAGTTGTGGCTGTCGGCTGCTTACAGCGCCTATGTCATCAACTTTAAATTTGCGCGGCGGCCGAAGGTCTGGTTGCTGACCGGCCTATATCTCCTAGAAGGAGCTCGAACCATCGTGTCGAAGGGGCAATCCGCAGAGGTATCGGCGGGTATATCATCTGGCCTTGTGGGTGCCTTGTCTGGTGTTCCTGTTGGAGGGACTGTCAGTTTGGGTGTGGGTTCATCTTGGGAAATGGCTATGGAGGTTGCCGACCCACATGTTTGGGCGGCTCAGTTTCGTCTACTTGATGCTCGGTTTATCAAGGTGGGTAAAAAAGGCATTGACGAGGTAAAGCTTCCTGCATCCATGGGTCTGTATCGAGATGTGATGTCTGTGAACACCGCTCGAGGAGGAGAGGGCAACTCGGTTGAACTTGGCCTTGAGGAAGAGCAGGAGCATTCCAAAGACTGTGTTGCAAATGATCAGGAAAGCCAAGGTTTGGAGGAATATGAGAAGAGGCTTGAGCAGGCAATCAAAATGTTTGAGAAGGCCCCAAAGCATTTCCTACAGTGAAAGACGAATCCGGTGGGATTTGACCTTGGCCGATAGAAAATCACTGGTTTATATCGACGGACACGAGCAGCAGTTACCAACCATATCATACTTTTCAGCAGATCATGTCCAGCGTTTATGTCATTATAAACTATGTTCAATAAATGTTATGCATCATATTAAGCCCAAATAAACAAACTCCACATAATGACCGAAAACTCAAAAGAGAGGAAAGGGGTATCAAATCAACAAGAACGCCTATAGTTTTCGGTTTGCAGAGGCCTGCATCCGCCTCATAGCTTGACGATGCAGATCCGTCATACTTCCGCGCTGCATTCCGTCTGCAATCGCATTTCCAACTTGCGTAGCGGATGCTTCTCGCATCTGCTGCATCGATCCCCATAAGCTTCGCGGTCTCTCAGGACTTGACGCACCGAGAGGAGGCGAGTTGAAAGCCAAGGGGTCACGCTTCTGAGATATTTCTTCTCGGACAGAGTGTCGCCATGCTGCCATAACAGCCGCGTTTCTTCCTGTTTCAGCAGTGGTATGCTGAGATGAATGTGCAGGCTCAAGGCTCTGAAGGCTTGCTAAAGATGGTGACTGGAAAGTCTTCTGCTGCAACATGGCCCTTCGTTGAGATAGTGGGAGATCATCTTCATCACCAGCGGAGGTCACGTCGAGATCCTCGTCTCGTTCTTCGGGGATAGACAAAGGCGGCGAGGCCATCGGAAACGGATCAGCCAGAGATTGGCGCGACTGGCTTCGCGAGATATATGGGTCGAAACGAAGGGAGGTAGAAGACATCCTGTTCCGGACCATATTCTCACGGACGGCAAGAAGTGGTGCAGGACCGCTCCACCGCGGTGAATCCGTAACTTCCTGGCCTTCATGCGGCGCGGTAATTGTCAAAAATGGTGTTGATGGGCTCCTGGGTTGACCCGATCGTTCGTCGTGCTCCTGGCGTGGCACCAAGGAAGCGGATGAGACATTTCGGGACAACGGTGCTGGAGATTTGGCGCCCAAAATGCTTTGGAAGCTATTTCGGCTCTTGGATCGAGAAGCTTCGGTGAAGCCCGCCCCTGAAGTATGGGAACTTCGCCGAACCTGTTCCGGGCTTTCTGGGGTCTCATTGAAGCTCGACGTCGCAGGAGGAGGATGGGCATTCATCGGCGTCTGCATGAGGCTTTGGATGTCCACTGGCGCCGGAGCTTCTTCGGCATCTCCCTCGACGGCATTAATTTCATAGTCCAGTGTAATGGGCTCAACATCCGGAAGCTCTGCGTCTGCGAGATGTTTGGCCCATTCGTTGGTGCGGAAGGAATGCACAATCTTTGACGTCTGTGCAGGAATATTCTTTACAGTAGAAACATCCAATCTCGCACTCTCCATCTTCGATGGCGGTGTTGATTGGGAAACAGAATCCGTATCGGGTTGTTGAGGATCTCCATCTACCTCACCCGGGACATCACCGGCAATGGTCGTCTCCTTGACTGGAAGCTCAGTGGCTGTAGAATCTTCTTTAACCCTATTGACCTCTTCCACAGAAGCTGCGAGCTTGGGCTCTTTGTCGGCGGGTGGCTCGGTTTGCGGGTCAGACGTAACCCGCAATGTGATATTGTCGGGCTTCGAGGGCGGGCTCTCGTCGTGAGAGTTTGACTCCTCCGCATTTACCTGGTTTTCATTGCTCGCATTATCCTCATGGATTTGGAACTCGCTGTTCTGTTGTGCTCGCTCTGCTTCATTTACATCGTGTTGGCCGTGCGAAGGCTGCGATTCCTCTTGGAGTACGTCTGCACTCAACTCGATATTTCGTGATTGCGAATTGAGTCCTGCTTCAGTCACCTCGGCGAGAATATTTTTCTTCTGCAAGCTCTTTGTTTCCTTATTCTCCTGTTCAGTTTCATTCTCGGCGTCGGCGTAAATGTCTGATACAATGCTCGGGCAACCTGAGCTGATATCATCCACGACGCCAGCAATAGAAGAATTGGTATCGTCTAATACAACCAACGCCTCTTCCGATTGCGACTGAGGGGCATTCTTCGGAACATTCGCGCTGCGCCAAGATAATCTGTTCAAGAGAGATCGACCAGATAAGCGCTTGGAGCGTGGGGAGCCAGGTTCGGATCCAAGGACAGCCCCGTGTTCGGAATCATTATCTTCTCGCAAAGTTTGGTCCAAATGAAGTGTATGGCGTGAGACTAATGACGTTGGTCTTGGCTCGGTCTGCTCTGTATGCTCTGTATGCTGCTCTGACGCAGGCGGGTGTTGTTCTAAAGTGTCGGCTGCAGGGTGTGTTGGGCCCTCTTGCTCTTCATTCACGGTTTCTGGCACTGCCTCCTCCACTCTTCCGCCTTCAATGGGACTGGCAGCGTGGGACCCAGCTGGCATGTCCTTCATCTCAAAAGAATCACCCTTCTCGTTTCCGGAAGACTCAAATCCTTCCGAGCCCCGTCGGGAATCTTCGGCGACTGCAGTCTCAGTCATCGAAGCTGCTTTAGCATCGACACCGTTGCCATACATCTGCTCCCATTCGGCACGCTCCCTTAGGTTTTTTTCTTCCAGTTGTCGAGCGACTTCAGTTTCTGCTTCTTCGTCCTTCTGTTGTGCCTCTTTGCGGGATATCTCCTCTTTGGCCCTGCGTTCTTTGATAACCTTCCATAGCCTCAATTGTGCAATAACACCGAACACAGTGACTATAATAATAATGGCAAGTTCGACCCGGATATCACGGGTGACAGGATATGTATTAGTGTGCAAGGGAAACATATCATCATTTAGTCCTAGAACGCAAGTTAGATCGTGTTGGGGGGGGAGGGCAAGATATTTGACGAAAACTTACCCCAGACATACAGCCAAAACTCCTTCAATCCCGCGCGGCTATAGCAATCAATGCCAAGTACCAAGACCGTCGCACCCGAAAAAGCCGTGCAAAGCATGAGTCCGTATGATCGGGTGTATTGACTGAAGGACAGGCAGTAAAACCCTACTGTGAATGCAATGATGAACCCTGCTCTTGCAGTGCTACCGGTGACAATTCCTCCGGATTTCACGGTGAGGAACCACATTCCGATGCAGAAACCACCCAGGAGGCAACCGAGTCCTTCGGTAATCTCTCGAAACACGAGAGCCAGGCCTCCGAAGATCACACCGGTGAAAAACACGGCGACAAGATATCCTCCTTGGACAGCATTAGTAACTGGAGGATTCATCACGTAGACAATCAAAACCTGAACATTCTTCGGTCAGCTCCAAATTCCATCTGTATATCAATAGAGTGGGAGAAACGCACAGTAACACCCAGCGCGGCAAGGAATGCAGTAGATAGGAATATATAGATTCTAGTGAGAGTTAGAGCCAAGCCAGCGTCTATTTTGATACAAAGCACTGACGATTGTTTTCGGATCCCGATGAAGGCCTGCGCTGCTCCCAGGATCAAGAGAATGAATCCCCCCACTCCTAACGCCGGGGTAATGACTGGTTTGATCGGCAGGCCGCCTGTATAGACTGATTTCGTTCCATTCTGTGAAGCTTGGTCGCTCGATGCCGTGGAACCATCCAGAGACGGAATCGTAGTGGCGATGGAGGTCGAGTGACTCGCCTTCGACGTTGTGGAGGATTTCGTTTCTGTCGTAGTAGTGACGGCTACCGTTGTTTTTGCGGATTCTGTGTGGGTATCGGTTGCCGAGGCCGTGGAGGTTTGACTCGTCGCTGCATTGGTCGCTGTGGTTGTTGCTTCGTTGTCTGCTCTTCTATCCAAGGTCGCTATCTCTTCGACCTCATACTGCCCATAGTCTAATACCGGGGCCGCGATTGTCTCACTGCAATGAAGCAGCAGAAAGATCAATGTCCAAAAGAATGACCACCGCATCTTGCTCGAGCTTTCACAAGATTTGGTTTCGAGAGAATGCGGGGTGGGGGGGGGGCGCGAGAAGGAGTCCGTATCAACTATAGGTAGTATTTCAAGCGTCGTTACACATATCCGACAATAGAAAACCTCCTATTGCTGCGTATATTGAGTATATTGAGTATATTGAGTAACTGGAGAAAAAACAGCTTTGTCGGAGGTGTCAAGGGCCCAGGTATGACCATCAAAAAGAAAAAACACTTCGAATAGAAAAGGCACGTCGTGGACCCATTGGGCCAAAGGTGATGGAATAAACAGGAAGTCTCGCTATGGGGGCCCAGCCCCGAATGCCCCTACATTTAAACGATCAATGACACCGCTCAGCCGGAATTCCAGAACGGCGCGGGGCTCCCGGAAAGGGCCCTCATTGTTTGGCGTATTTGAGTTTCTTGTTTCTGGCCAGGCCAAGCGACCAAGAATTGGACAATGGACGCCCACGCGAACTTGAGCAGCAGCACAGCTAACGAGTCAATGAGCCATCCGGCGACCCACCGATCGCGAGACCCCGTCGATCGAGCCGGGATCAGCTCCCTACTGGTGCGTTAGTGGCGGCCCCTCGCGACGAAAGGAGATTAGGAGCTCCGTCGTTTGCTGGGAATGGGCGCCGCCCGCTCTCCCACTAGCTAGGATTTTTCTTTCACTAGCACTTAAGCACTAGAGTGACGAGGGTCTTTCCACTCGGCCCTGATAGCCGGCCATTGAGCCAAGTTCTCTCCGTTATCGAGGGCCTGTTCAATCTACGCGTACTAACTACTCAATCCCTGTCCATCATGCCATTACAGCACGCATGATGACTGGACCCTCAATGCTGATCCCATCCCCTGGTCAACAAGTGGAATGCGGGACACCAGCAGAGCTTCCCTGATCGATCACAATTAGCCCCTGATATTCTGATAGCAATTGACCGGCCATCTCCCCTGCCCGTGGGGATTCCGTTCTATAGACCAGGTCATAATTATTGCAGTGGGAGCCTTTCCAATAATTACTGACTGTCCTAAAAATAAAAATACAACAAATTGGAGAGAGCGCGAGAGATCAATATCCGACAGCTCTCAGGGACGTGAGGGTAACTCGGAGGTATCGGCGCCAACCCGCAACTAGGGGTTCCTGAGTGGGGCTTGGCACTCGATCTGTCGAGTTATCGTTTGGATCCGTGCTTTGGTGTTGCTGCAATGCAGGTCCCAACTGGCCTATCACAACGGGCATCAAGCCACAGTGCCGAGCTGGCAGCATTGTTCCTGGTTTGGGCATAGAATTTGACTTTGCGTTGCCGAGTTTTGTTCTGGCCCGGGATGCGTCCGGGATGCTGCAGGCAAGGGACATCTGCATCTGAGACACCAGACTATCTTTCGTTTGGCACCACTCACTTACCCTGTTGCCCAAAATGAATGGCTCCCATCAGCGGGCGAGATCGTCCCATATGGTTGAGACTTGTTGGGCGAACATGTGGGTGCTGAGTTGTTCGTTCCCCGTCCCTCTGGGTAGGCGTCCTAGGGCACATACTCCATACAGATATACACGTGGACAGAGTGGTCCTGACCGCAATAGATCGGCGATGGATGATTCGATGTCTGGGGAAAATATACGCAGATATTGGAGTATGACTCGAAAAAGATGAAATACTAGGGCAGGATGTTAAGTAAGAAGCCAAATAGCAGACATTGAACATGGGCGAGAGAGAGTAGGCTGGCAGAAATATATAGTTATAACCGCCTCACTCAATACTCCCTAAGTGTTCTGGACTAAAACGTATGGGTCTCACGTACATGCAAGCCCAGCAGTCCAGATGCCGACTGGTAGCAAACGGTCTACAATACATTATAAGATGCCAATATTTTGTACCAGTCTAACGGGGGGCAAACGAGCTTCGGAGATTATGAAGTTGGAGCTGTGGGACCCAACCGCAAGTTTGGAGCTGGGTGACTAACTGAGTGAACTGGCCCGAAGGAGTATGAAGGCCTGAATTATATGGCCAGAGTTGAATGCCTCAAAGGCCAGGCTTGAAGCCCCCACAAGCCATAACGATTATATTCGATCTTTAGATCAATAATGCTTCAAGTTGTCCGCTCCAAGCAGGCACAATTATTACAAATGTATTGCTCAGGCTATATTTTTCGAGAAATAGATAGTATGAACTCACGTAAAAGGATCTGGCAAACCTAACCTTTCTATATTTTTGCCTCCTAGAAAGATTGCAGAAGCGAAGTATGATGAAGCTCGTGATCGCAAATGCACCAAATTCTTGCTACAGCAACAGAATGATTAAGCCTCAGACTGGAGATACCAGGATGTTCCAACTCTCTGAGAGAAAGATCATCTACCACAAGCCTCTCACCTCATCTAACGATAGAACTATAGAAGGACAGAATGGCCATTCAGGCGACAAGATCATTAGTGATGAAACATCACGTGCCCGGCGCCGGTCCTCCCCACATGTACAGGGGGGGGCAGAGTGGTTCAACTGCGGCTTGCGATCGAAGCTTCTCTAGAAAGCAAAGCGTTTTAACTTCATTTCATGCTTTCCGTGTGGTGAGATCATGGACACCTTACCATATCTATTCCTCCCCTCCTAACACACCTCCGACCACTACCAGAACCTCTTACCAATCCACATCGGGCCTGTACCTATCTTGCCCGCTATGGATGACCTCAACGGGCTGAGTTGGTCTTCCAATTCAGATGGCCCCGCGAACAAACCTCCGCCTATGAGTTCTGGCCTCTTTCCCAGTGTTCGACCAAATGGCGCCTCTGGCAGGTCCACTCCGATGTCCGCGACGTCAAACCGATCCAATTCCCCCGCAAAACCCGCCACATCCACCGGAGACAGCTTTGCGAACCTAGTGTCCTTTAATTCCTCTGCAGCCAACAAGAATCTTTCTCTGCTAGAGCAACAGAAGCGATTGCAGGAGGAAAAGGCCAAAAAGGAGGCTGAGAATCGCAGCCGGTATGAAGCACAATATGGTGGCCAAAACTCACAGTTCTGGGACAGCTTTGAGCAAGGTCGTACCCAAAGCCCAGGCGTTGCTCCCCCAAAATCACAGTCTGTATCGCCACCGGCTGAAGATGATGATATTCTCGCCGCATTCAATGCCACGGCGCCTGTCGACGCATCGACTCATTTTCCAATTCCTAGCTCCAATGCTTCTCAAACTGGAACGAACTCGCGGCAGGAAACACCCAATGGCGGAATCGTTATGCAGGATAATACCGGGAACATAGGTGCATTTGATGATGATGATGACGATCCGTTCGGCCTTAATAATCTGAAGCCGAAAGCGCCTGCTCCTGCACAACCACAAGATGATGAGGATGACTTTCTCGGGTTGTTAGGCAAGCCGGTGTCTGAGATTCCTCGCCAGCAAGCACCTCCAAAAGCAGAGCCATCCTTCAGCCATGATCGCGATGAGCACAGCGCATCTCCTATGCCCTCGAATGAAGTTGACCGAGCTATCGCAGAGTTGGTTGACATGGGGTTTCCGGCGGACAAGTCTCGACAGGCCCTCAAAACCACCCAGTCAGGAACAGATGTCCAGGCTGCAGTTGGCTGGCTTCTCACACAAGCTCATGCCGACTCTCGACAGAAATCTCAGAGCCGGTCTCCGGTGCCTGATCAATCCAACCGCCGCATGGAGCGAAGCACCAGTCGCCAGCGTAAAGCGCAACCCCCCTGGACGAGGGAAGACCGATCGAATCCTTCCCGGTTGCGTGAGGATAGTCGGAGCCCAGGGGCTGCTGAAAAGGACCCGGCTCAAATCGCATCTCAACTTGGGAACAACTTGTGGAAGACCGCAGGCTCCCTCTGGAAGACGGGCAGCAAGAAGTTCCAACAGGCTGTCAATGAATTCAATGCAGACCATGATTCTAACAATCCTAAATGGATGAGGGATGCGTCTGCGTCACGAGAGGAATCTTTTGCCCCATCACAACCTGGGCGACGCGCGGAAGGAAGGCACCAGCCCCAAGAGCAGCCTCAAGATCTCACCTCGGAGGCCATGCTCCTCGAATCTGGGGACTCAAGGCCCCAAAAACCTCCTCGCCCACAAGATCATCACCAACTCGTTTCGGCAGGGGCGCTACGCGCCGTCAACCCTCCCCAGCCACCCAACAAATGCAACAACCAAACTTCCTCCAGCGACCATCACGACCAAGCTCCACAGAGCCCAAGTCACGCTTGTCACGCTTTGCTGCAGAGGAGCAGTCGGCTCAAGCGTACGTTAGTCCAGCTAGACGCAAACGGCCGCAAGCACCGCCAGCACCTGAACCGAACGTCGATCTCTTTGAGTCCTCGGCCCCCTCGTCGCAGCGGACTCAACCCAGCCCCCAGCCAGAGCGACGCCACCTACCACTCGCCCTGCCTCTATCCCAATACGGCCGAAAGCACCGACACGGCCTATTCCACCCGTATCTGCAGAGGCTCTGCAGTCCACACACCGCCACCGCGAGAGGGCGGCTGAAGCGTACAAGCGGGGCGACTATGCAGCTGCACACCAAAGTTTCTCCACCGCTCTTGGTATGCTTCCAGACCAGCATCCGATCACGATCATCGTTCGCAGTAACCGTGCGATGACTGGGCTGAAGGTCGGTGAGCCCAAGTCTGCAATCGATGATGCCGACATCATTTTGAACCTGATTGGGCCGTCAAGAGGCGAAGATGAAACCATTGATTTAGGAAATGGTGAGCCGGCCAAGCCAATGAAGGACTTCTTTGGCAAGGCTTTGATGCGCAAAGCGGAAGCCTTGGAGCAGCTTGAGCGCTGGGCAGATGCAGCGCAGGCGTGGAAGCTGGCGGTGGAGTCGGGCCACGGTGGAAGCAACAGCATTCAAGGCCGGAACCGATGCGAGAGAGCTGCGGGTATCAGCAAACCTCCCTCGAAGCCGTCTGCGCCCGCGAAGAAACGCCCATCTCCTGCACCCAAGAAGACATCTGCTCTGTCGGACCTGAGCGGTGCATCCGCGTCTGGGCAAGACTCAGAAGCCGTCAGTCGTTTGCGGGAAGCCAACAAAGCTGCCGAGCGTGCGGATGAAGAGAAGTTTGCATTGTCAGAGAGTGTTGATGGAAGAATTGCCTCTTGGAAGAACGGAAAACAGGACAATCTGCGTGCACTGCTTGGTAGCTTGGATACCGTGCTCTGGCCTGAAGCCGGCTGGAAGAAGATAAACTTGTCAGAGCTGGTTTTACCAAACAAGGTGAAGATCCAATACATGAAGGGAATTGCGAAGGTTCATCCTGACAAGGTATGTTTCAATCTACAAATATACCCCCCGGAGTTGCTGCTAATCAGGCCCAATTAGATTTCTCCCACCGCCACAACTGAACAGCGCATGATTGCGGGTGCTGTATTTGGGACTTTGAATGAGGCGTGGGATAAGTTTAGGGTGGAAAACAACATTTGATGCCGGTCATTTTCTGATACTCTGCCCTGGGATTTTATACTTGTCCCATATTATGATCATCTTTGTTTACTGTCCCCTTCCCCTCTCCTTACTATGTTCATTTTCAGCGAGATTCTTAGAACATAGCACATTGACATATTGCAATGGCTGAAATATGCATGAGATCATGATGTTAACTTGAACTTCCTCGCCTTCGATACTCGATTGACATGTGAGTTGAGTCAGATTTCTAAATCAATAGAGCAATACGTACGTAGTATGCTGGTGTTCATAAAGGGACGCATGTGGATAAAATGGCCCAAAGATGCCCCAAAATTGGAAACGCTTTTAAATCAATTATTTGAATCTAATAGTACAGCATGTATAAAGCCTTGACCAAGCCATAGATCAAGCCTCAGTTGTCGGCTCCTCTGCCGGTTCCCCTGATTCTTCCTTTGCTGCTTTTTCTTGGAGCCGCTGAGCTTTGTATTCTTTCTTCATTTGCTTCTTGCTCTTTTCTGGCTTCTTTTGTTCACCATCCACCTTATTTGGGACCCACATCTGACGGCATTTCTGCTCATCCTCCTCGGACCAATCGCGAGGAAGAATAGCAAAAACCAAGTATGATGTATGTGTTTTGATCTCTGGTTCAGACCGATGGACCACACGGCCCAACTGATATTCCGGGACAGAGTTAGATTGCCATGTGTTGTAGGACTTGGAATTTTCTTCCTTGAGGGACGGGTTGTTTAGAGTACCGTCGATGCGAGCTTGGCGATTTCGTTTGGCCCTTTCATCCTCAACTCGCAGCTTTGCAACCGCTTCATCGACAGATTTGGGGAATACAGTGGCACCACGTACACCTTCGGCATCTAGCCCAATCCGTTCTCGCTTCACTTCAATCCGATTATAGCTGACCTCAACCATGGAAATGTCTAACCAGCCCAGCTGGCGCATGGTGCGGATTGTGCGCTGCACTTGCTCGAGGCACGGGGAGAAGGTGCACAAGAAGACAGGTGAGGACGGATCAAGCGGAGATTCGGCACCCGAAGCAGGCTTGCGCACAAGATGTTTCAAAGCAAGCCATGGAGCGGGCAAGTCCAAAAAGATGGCATTGGCCTTGGGAGACCGGCCCGTCTTCGGATCGCCAAGGAGGAATCCGTCCTCGTAGACGTCGCGATGTGTTACCTCCACTAGGCCATCCAGTCCATGCTCGGTGATTTCTTCTTTCACTCGACCCACCCGTTGTTCGTGGAACTCAAAGCTGCACACCTTTCCGAGCCGGCGCTTCTTGCTCGTAGGCTCTTCGGTCGGATATCCGCTGAACACGGCGCGCACGGCGGCATGGGTGAACGAACCACTGCCTGCTCCCGCTTCGATAATGGTACCTCCAGGACGCGCGCGCAGTCGATGAAGAACGTAGCTGTAGTCCGACATATAGACGACCTGAGTCCGGTGGGGGAGTGATAATGTCCATGACTCCGGAGTCGGGCTCATCATATGGATGAAACCACTGCCGGCAGCGACGGCCTTCTGTGGAGATGCCTTGTCTTCATCAGCGCCGGTCGTGGTCCCCGACGCATCGAGATCCTCCGCCTTGCGCTTCTTGCCTCGACCTTGCCGGCCACGCGATCCAGTGTCGACCTTGGAGGCAGGAATCTGCGAGCCCCAAGGTTGATCGATCAACGTGCTGTGGGGAAACGACCCAAATCGGGTATTAGAGACCTTCCCTTCCTTATAGCCTTGGTTTTCATCGTCAAAGCTGCGGAGAATGGTTGGGATCGTCTGGTCTCGGCGGATATGGAGGAGCGCGAAGTCGTCTGCTTTCGCAGTCGACCCGGGGGTCAAGAAGGGGGACGGCATGTCGGATAAGCTGAAGAGATGTGAGCTGACAAACTGGAGATAGTGCTCGCTCTATCTTCCAGATTGCAATTGTTCTTCGCCAGACGCAATGTCTTGCGTCCAGTCAATGCGGTTGCTGCTTTTGCGCCGAGAAAAAGCTGGGCCGGATTGCCTATCTGGGAAACTAGGGCTCAGGGCTGGCGAGCCGCAGCGCAGGGGCCAATCAGGAGAGCTGTTGGAGCCGCCGCGATGACTCGATCGTGTCTTTCATCGAATGCCCCTCTTGGTTGCGTGGTCCCCCGCCATTTATGCCCCTCCTCCCTCGTTCCTTTCTGTCGCTCAAGCCGCGGTTTCTGTTGTCTTTGCCCGTATCAGTTTTCTCCGCTAGGCCCATGTCGACTCGCCAACAGCCGCCCTGGCGGCAGCCTCCTCGCCTACTGGAGCTGAGCTCCCGCCGTTGAAAGTCTGGAACTCGTTGACCAAGTCCAAGACCCCCTTCGTGCCGATCGACCCAGCTGGCAAGAAGGTTACTTGGTATGCGTGCGGACCGACAGTGTATGACGACTCGCATTTGGGCCACGCCAGGAACTATGTCAGCACTGATATTATTCGGCGCATTATGCGCGACTACTTCAAGTTTGATGTCAACTTCGTCATGAACATCACAGATGTCGACGATAAGGTAAGGCGCCTCCATTCTGATTTCATGAGACAAAGATGCATGTCATTCATTCTCTGGACTTTACTGAGCCATAATCTACATAGATCATTCTACGCGCCAGACAGCAGCATCTTTTCAACGAATATGTCGCCGCGAACCCAACAGTCACCCCTGAAGTTTTGGACACGACCAAAAAGGCCTATTCAGCCTATCTCAAAAAGAACTTGTCTCTGCTAAACCCCGAATTGCCTGCGTCGGAATACCAAAAAGAGGTGGAGAAGGCCTATGCGGTGGTTCTGAGTGGCGGAGCTCTCCCCGGAAATCAGAAGGCGGGCGACGACGAGGCCAAGGTCAAAATGCACATTAAGACCGTGGCATCTGCGGCTACTTTCCTTAACAAAGCCGAAGCTGGTGCGGCTACGGATCCTGCTGCCTTTGCCGAGTCATTCTATACCAATGCGCAGGATGTTCTTCTCCCTTACTTGGATGCTCTGAAGGGTGCCTCGATCAACGCGGATGACCACAGCATTTTCACCAAATTAACCAAGAAGTATGAAGAACGCTTTTTGAGGGATATGCGGGACCTAAACGTCATCGACCCCGATGAGTTGACGCGCGTGACCGAGTACGGCCCTGAGATTGCCGATTTCGTGGAGCGTATTGTCAAGAACAACTTCGGCTATGCGACCGCTGATGGTTCGGTGTATTTTGACATTGACGCTTTCGAGGCTGCGGGACACCCCTATGCGCGCCTGGAACCTTGGAGCCGATCAGACAACAAGCTGGCCGCCGAAGGAGAGGGCGCCCTAACGAGCAAGACTGCTGAGAAACGCAGTGCATCTGACTTTGCGCTTTGGAAATCCTCCAAGCCCGGGGAGCCGAGCTGGCCTAGTGCTTGGGGTAGGGGTCGTCCGGGATGGCACATCGAGTGCTCGGCTATGGCTTCAGCCCGTCTGGGCAAGCAGATGGATATCCACTCTGGTGGCATTGATCTTGCCTTCCCTCACCACGATAACGAGTTGGCCCAAAGTGAGGCTTACTGGGACCATGATTGCAAGAGCGAGCAATGGGTCAACTATTTCTTGCACATGGGTCATCTTTCCATTCAAGGATCGAAGATGTCCAAATCTCTAAAGAATTTTACTACTATCCGGGAAGCGCTGGAACGCAAAGATTGGTCCGCAAGAAGTCTACGCATTGTTTTCCTTCTGGGTGGCTGGAAGGATGGCGTCGAAATTTCCGACGACTTGGTGAACGCAGGTAATTCGTGGGAAGATAAAGTGAACAACTTTTTCATCAAGGTCAGGGACCCTGCCGCTTTCCAGGGCTCCAGCACCGACGCCACTTTCGGTGCCGATGTGGAGGCCGCCAAGGCTGAAGTGCACAAGCACTTTTGCGATTCTTTCCACACCCCGGGAACCATGCAGGCGATCTCAGAACTCATTGGCAAATACAATGCTGCCGACAAGGCCACCTTGAACCCGAAGGATGTTGAGGCTGCTGCTCGCTTTATCACCTCTATCGTCAACATCCTTGGCCTCAACGGAAGTGCGGCTGCTGACAGTGCCGAGATTGGCTGGTCAGGCGTCGACGTACCCGATGAGGCTAAGCCCTTCCTGCAGCCTCTTGCTTCAATGCGTGATGTCCTTCGGCAAGCAGCCCGCTCCAAGGAAGGTATTTCGCCTCAGCAGGTCCAAGATGCGGTCAACTACTCACCACCATCGGACGTTTCGGAAGTGGCTAAGCCCTACGCGGACGTTCTGAGTAACTTCCGAGCCAGTGTTTCTTCTCTGCAGCCTTCGGGCTCGATCAGCAGAGAGATTCTCTCCCTGTGTGATCGTGTGCGAGACATTGACTTGTTTGATCTGGGAATCTATCTCGAGGACCGAGAAAACCTGCCTGCCCTCCTTCGTCCTGTGACCCGGGAGATGGTCCAGGCCCGGCAAGAGAAGGAGGCTCGCGCCCGTCAGAAGCAACTGGACAAGCAGAAGCGGGAACAAGAGGCTCTAAAGCAATTGGAAAAGGGCAAACTGAGCCACTTGGAGATGTTCCGGACCAACGAGTATAGCGCGTGGGATGATGATGGTCTCCCTACTCGCGATGCTGCTGGTGAAGAGATTGCTAAGAGCCGCTCGAAGAAGCTTCGTAAGGATTGGGAGCGCCAGAAGAAGGCCCATGAGGCATGGCTCGCTGCTCAAGCCCAGTAGACACGAAAATCAGCGATTTGAAAGAAAAAAAAGGTTTCTCAATTTCGAACATATCTGGGTATCTCGGGTGGTCACTCCATGTATTGCATCGCGGGGCGTTTTATTAGGTAGTTATACAATGCAAGTATAAATTTTGGCCTCTTATGGAATCCTGAAGCCAATCGGAATCCATATCTTCATTTAGCCTAATCGTGTCACCTCTTCGTGTCACCTTCTTGACGTAGTTGGTAACTTCTTCATCTTCCTTTCTCGGTGGATCTCTTTGGATTACTTCTCAGGCTTTCCAAGTAGAAACCCTTAAAACCAAGTTGTTTGACAGTGATGTATTATGGCTCGTCCTCGGTCTATACTCGGTCTATTGGGCTGAGAGGATTAGCCGGGCGACTCTTACCCCTCTTTGATGTGGGCTGATGGAGATACCGGGTAACCTACCATGTTTGGAGCCCCGGCCGGTCTGTGGGCATCTAGAGCAAAGGATAGAGAGGGATGTTGGGTGCACTGTCCGCTTTGCACTGCTCTTCCTTCTTCTATCACACCTCCACTGTGTTTGAACGAGCTTTCCCCACCTTGCAACTCAGAAGGAACAGACTTTCAATCTTCAAACTCAAGATGACAACTCAGACTGGCCTAGACTATATGCGTTCGCGCACGATGGTGGACTGCGATACTATGGATCAAGAAGGTCTAATTTCGCTTTTAAACATCCTCGTCTGCAGATCAGGTTATCTAATGAGTTATGTTCACAATAGTTGCAAGATCTCTGGGCCCTTTCCAGGACTGCACATCCAACCAGGTGAGCACATAGGTTTGAAGTTACAGCATAAATGAGGTCTAACAGATTCTCGTCAGGCGATTGCGTTCGGGGAGCTCTCGAAACCGGCACAGGCGACCGTGATAACTACATCTCTATCTGATGCAGAGAAACTGCATTCTGAATACCCGTCTATCAGTGTTGGAGAGCTAGCTGTGGAGATCGCGGTGAGCCTTGAGAATTCTTGTCGCAGGAACATTAGGAATGGATCTGACGATAAAGAACCGTAGATGGTCCGACTTGCTGTTACAATGGCAAGTCAAATTCAAGGACGTGTCCACGTGCAGACTAATCCATACTACTCCTATTCAGCGGAGAAAACAGTGGTCAATGCCCTCCGTATGTTGAAAGTCGTTCCTAGAGAAAAATCGATCTAGCTAATAACAATATGCCCAATAGGGATTGTGCGCTTATTCCAGCACATCCAACCAGGATTTGATGGATCACGGATTGCTATTAAGATACCAAGTACTTGGGAAGGCTTAATGGCTTGCCGAACTCTTGAATTGGCTGGTATTCGTACACTTGCCACGACTCTCTTTAGCATGCCCCAGGCCGTACTTGCTGCTGAAGTTGGCTGTACTTATGTGGCGCCTTATGTCAACGAACTCAAAGTTCAGATAAATACTAAGTACGTCACAAAAAATCTCAACATTATCACTAGACTTTATATCGATATTAACATATCTGTATGATCCCATATAGTCTCGTGGATGAGCAGAAACTTCTGCCTCTTTGCGTCGCCATACAACAATTTTACAAATCAATCAATGCATCGACCCAGGTTCTACCGGCAAGCTTAACGTCCATCGAGGAGATTTATATGCTCGCTGGAGTCGATCACCTCACCATTGCGCCCAAGTTGCTTGGTCAATTGGCAGAGCCGAAATCAACCACAGTTCCCTCGTTGTTCGATACTGCCCCAACCCTCAAAGCTCCCGCGCCAGGTATTTCGTTCTTGAATGACCCGGGAAACTTCAAAATGACATTTTCCCGGGATATGGGCGGTCAAAGCCATAGAAAGCTGACAGAGGTATGCAGTTTGAAACAAGCATTCGGAGTTTGGCTGACGTAGCATCAGGCTATCAACATCTTCTGCGACTTCCAGGACAAGTTAGAGCAGATGATGAACCGTGCTAAATGACACCGTTGATTTAAATCATCTTAGACTGCAATATAATTCGACATCTTCATATAAATGCATATCTCTTTGTAATTCTCAATGCGATGGATGGTCTTCTGTTTCGACCGCGCATAGATTAAGAACACGTGACCGGCCCCGACGTCATCCACCCTGATCCCGTGGAATTCCTTGACTTTTCCTCTGCCTAACAATTGCTAATATTTGACATGTACGGTGGTGGCTGTTTTACTTGATCCATCCAGGTGATCGTTAGCTACCTTTCGTATACCGTGACAATTGTTTGCGGTGGAATCTGGGGTGAGGATTCGGTTTCGATCATTTTTTTTCTTTGGGTCACGCCATGTTCCCCTCACAAGCCGCCAACTTCAACATTGAGGCACTGAGTGGGATCTGTGGGTAAGTTACATACTTCCTTCAACCCATCATGTAATGTGGGTATAGATTGGCAGAGCATGGGACTTCAATGCACCTGCATGGTCCCGGCATTTGAGATCTTCAACGGCGATGATCTCTCGCATTTCTATATAACCATTTATCAGGCTACCAGCCGTTTCACCATCAGCCCGCTAACAAGTCATAGGTCCATCTCAATTGCCTGCTGGGTTGTAGTCTTCTCTCCGCAGATCATTGAGAACTTTCGACGCGGCTCTGCAGATGGACTGTCGCTTCTTTTCCTCATCATCTGGCTGGCTGGCGATGTCTTCAATATCCTTGGAGCCGTCCTGCAGGGTGTGCTACCAACGATGGTAATTCTAGCGGTGTACTACACTCTTGCAGATATTGTACTGCTTGGTCAGTGTTTCTACTATCGAGGGTTCAATATCAGAGGTGAACTGTCTTCGTCTCCTTCTCCAGAGCGCGAACCCGTCGCAACTGGCGCGTTGGACAGCGAAGAAAGCGGTACCGAAGCCGCATCTCAACCGACCGAACGATCAGTATTGCTGCCGAAACCTAACGGCCACGTTCATATCATCCAAGAATCTGCCGAAGCTGGGCGCAGTAGACGTCGGTCCAGCGATGGTGCTCGCCCAGTATCATCATCGTTGACGCACGGGAGAAGACACTCAGTCACTTCTATCAGGGATATTTTGCATACCCACGTTGATGGTACCCATTTATCGCCTGCAACACCCTTCATTGATACCGTCTCTGACGCCGTTCGCTCCCAAAGGCGGCGCCATCGTATCTCAACCATTCAAGCCATTCTTTTCAACACCACAGCGATCGCCCTTGTATGCACTGCTGGAGTCTTGGGCTGGTATGTCACCCCTCGGTCGAAAACACTGAATGCAGACCCTGAGCCCCTCACCATGGATCCCCTTGGCCAGGTGTTCGGGTACTTGTGTGCTGTGTTGTACCTGGGCTCGCGACTTCCTCAGCTGTTGCTCAACTACCGCCGCAAGTCTACAGATGGAGTGTCACTACTTTTCTTCCTGTTCGCCTGTATCGGAAACTTGACTTATGTCCTATCTATCATGGCGTATTCCCCAATTTGCCAAGGTCCATCAGAAATCACGGATGTATTTGATGTTTCATCTCACCGCCGCCATCGTCCGCATTGTCAGCCTGGAGAGGCTGCATCCCTCTATGGACGGTACGTTCTCGTAAACCTATCCTGGTTGGTGGGCAGTTTTGGGACACTGTTGCTCGATATGGCCATTTTTGTACAATTTTTCTTGTACAAAGACGGGAAAGCAGCCCTCTAAGAGCATGGAAACGGATGAAAGGCAAATTATGATTCAATGATCGATATCATACTTCAAAAATTAAATCTCAAACAGCTTTCTTCCTGCCTGGTCTGAAACTATTGGCAAGTACTGCAACGTGAAGAAGTCCCTGTAAATTATCTATGCAAGAAAATGTAAGGAAATGCAATCACTACATATTCGCCAAAAGGGAACCCTACCAAAACTGCACGATTCATTCCAACCGATTTTAAAAATCGCTATGAAGGTACAGAGTGGCTATGAAACTTGCTGCTGCTTGCTAATCATGGTTGATATCATTATATTCGTAATACACCCTGTGATCACCGCTAAGAGTCAGCCAAAAAGCAAATCACAGCTGATGCGAATGCCTTGGCATCGTCTTGTCTTTCCTTCATATCTGGTCCAACCTGTTCCAGGAACAATGCCAGCTTCGATTCTTTCCAGCCCATAACTGGAGCCGATTCCACACACATCTTTTTCATCCCGAATGCGTCCATTTCATAGTGGCCCTGAACGGTCAAGACTCGTCCTGGGTTATAAAGTCCCTGAATCGGGCAAATAGGCGTGCTTCCAATGTTAATCCAGGGAGCAGGTAAAGAAACCGGTGGTGTATCACTGAGCGTCAGGGGTGAACCTTTCTCAATGGCCATCACACGGTCACCGTGGAACATCTGAATGCGAAGTTGACCCTGGGGGAGGTGACCCAACGCCGATGGGAAGTGGTCGATGAATGCATCTTCGAGTTGGACAGTGTAAATCCCAACTTCTCTTCCGAGTGGGCACTTCTCAACATAAACGTCGCGAATTGGATCGTCAGGAATGCGGACGAGGGCATGGGAGATGAGTTGGTGACCGAAGCAGGTACCCATGAGCCGAACTTCGGGGTATTCATTGTATACGGTCTTGATAAACTTTTCCAGGACTTGCATCCAAGGAGATTCAGGCATTTCATACACACCCGGAGAGCCTCCGGTGATCAGGACGGCATCAATAGGGTGGCCAACATTAAAATGGTCTTGTGTCGGATGGCCACGCAACAAGTGAAAGTCAGGATAGTGTCCTCCCCGGATATCGTATGGAGTCACCGTAATATTAATTGGATCATTGATGGCCGGGCTAGTCTTGTTCAAATGCGCTGCTGTCTCTCGAAGAATGTCACGGAAGTGGGCACTGCAGAGGCCGCGTGCCTCATACAGCCGGCGGGCAGGAATATCGACATCGAGAACCGCAATGTGGATGTTGCGCACCATTTTGCAGACTTGTTAGAGGGTTCTGAGGAGGTAGTATGGTGATGGTCAGAAGAGCAAATTGGAAAACCTCCTTATGGAACCTGGAGGGCAATAACATATAATGCCTTTGACCCCAAGAAGCCACCGGAGGCCCTTAGGTAAAAATTTGACCTGAAGCATGGGCTACATCTGGAAATTATGAATAATAAGAATATTGTGGTGTAATAGAAGTTACGATACAAATACTCCAAGTGACCCCAACGAATCGGAATAATTAGGTAAAAGATTGGGTTGACCGGCGACGAGCTTATTTTGAGCCCCACCCAGAGCACTCTAAATGCGTTGCGGGTGAGCCTAAATGATGGTCATTCTGTGGGCTAGTACGAAAATCCACAGCCGACGCGTGGTGTCATCAAAGCAAGACGAATAGGCTTCCATAAAGGATTTCACCCTCCCTTTCAATTACCACCAACAGATTTACCACCAACAGTAAGCCCTTCCCTTGATAGGTAGAATGCGAAAGCCAGAAGATTTGACTCCGAAAATGCACTTTTAAAAGGCCAAGAAATTGCTATCACTGGCTGTGCGATTTTCTCAATTTTATCAAAGATTCATTGCAAAGATATTTGAATACTTGTCGAAGCCCTAGAGCTTTACAAATCTTGGGGCTCTATTCAGGCTATCAATCCATGATTGTCCTATTTCCTTAAGTCCGTCTGTTCAGTCACCTAAACCACGCATCTTCTGTGATAACGACAACCTCATCTGATTGAAAATTAGTATTATTGATTGAACCGCCGTCTTGAATCAGATCTTTGTTGATTGGTGCTTTGGCGGCATTAGAGCTCCTAGGATAACTTGTCGAACCTCGTGTGCTGGGTTTTTAAGGCACGTCTACATACTGGATGGCTTGATATTTCTAAGAATAATTCAAATTATATGTAGGAGCTTCATATGTACTTAATCACTTTCTACTTGTCTCACTTTTTATTTCATAAACTTCTTACTAGAATACGCAGCTTACGGTTTCCGCGGGCGGCGGATTCGCATAGACAGCATTTAGTTTTCTCTTGGTTGGCTAATACATCATATATGGAATCATCAATTAAAGGAATTGACTGAGACTGGGGCAAGGCCTCATCCGCTCAATATGAGATCCCATATCATCCGAGAAAATAGAGAATAGTAATAGAAATTACATGAGTCCTATAGGGCAAACTGGAGAATCTGAGTGAGAATATGATCATGGATGTCAAATTAAATACCGAAAAAGCTGCATCCAAACCGCAGAGTGAAGATTACTGATTATGAGTGGTTGGTCCACTCGAAATTTAGCTTCTATGGACAGAATTGCTGCCTCCACAAAACCCAGAGGCCTTTCTCTATCATACTATATTGATGATGTGGGAGAACATCTTAAGCAAACGATGTACACTTTGTGTCCCAAGGTCGAGTCAAGGAATTCCTATTTCCAAGGGATAAAACTTGAACAATGAATTCTTGAAAAGGACCGCTCAAGACCTTTACTAAGCAGGAGGTCTCCAACTTGAAGTGCCTATGGTATATTTATATTTATATTTATTTATTTTTCAGTCGATCACAGATACCTAAAGCCCTTCAAAGATCTATTTAATCAAGCCGTGTTGGTGATATTGCGATTTTTCTTCTTGCACCGGGTTTCCTTTTCTAGACCACTGTCAAAGCCGTAGAAGACCCAGGTGAAAGTGAAGCTAAAAACGACAAATGAAACCTTTTATTACTTGTAGGAGACATAGACCCAAAAGCTCTCATTGGAACTATAAATTAAATTTGGTTTCTAATGCATGATTTATTTCCTTTTTAATTTGCATGGGCGTCGAGCTAGAAGTTCTCTGGGGAAACTCGTATGGTCTGTGCATTTTGGCAGGCTTTCTAGGCCTTATCAATCTTATCTTCATATCTACTTGAAGACTGGACTCAAGAATGATCTCCTCGTTCATAACCCATTATCATATTCCAAAGCATTTGCTCTGCACAAGATAAAGATATTAAGCGTGGTCAACAGAAGGAATTCAGCATTGTAATTAAGATCGTGAATATGGCAAAAAGCACGTTATCACTACGTTTCCTCAAAAGAAGAACAAATCATTTCAACTAATGTTTTGTCGAGTCCGAGGACATGAATTTGCTTCCTCACTTATAGTAATTTTTATACTTGGTTTCTACAAATATAGGAAGGGGTGCCCTGAAGCGGCTAGCGAATGCGGGGTTTCAAGTTGCATCGTCGGCGTACATAAGCAAAGGGATAGATGATTTACTTTTAACATGCATTAGTGTCGCACTCGGACATCGGGTGCCTGGGTCCCTTCGCTCGCTGTATCGTGACAAGTTGCAACCCCGCATTCGTGGAACCTGGATTTTCCTGGAGTTTCCGAAGTCCTATCCAACAACAAAATATGGGTTGGAAACAACAACCAACACATCCAATACCACGGACGCGCCGAGATTTTTTTTGCCTCGTCCACAACCTCTTGACAGAGTCGAAAAGTGGTCAAAATGATTTCTAACCTTCCCGCCGAGCTGATATTTGGCTTGGCTGAATGTTTAGTATCGGAAAGAGACATTAACTCTCTCTGTCGAACAAGTCGTCGACTATACCTTCTCCTGGATCATTATCTCTATAAGCATGCAGATGCCGCGTTGATTTGGGCCTCAGAGCACGGCAGTCAACCTGCAGCCCGCAAAGCACTTAGAAGAGGGGCCCGAATAAACGCCCAGGTTCCCACTACCAAGCAGTGCTTACTCCCGCCCCGTGGGCCAGGGCAACATAGCAGGTTGTATGGCAAGACCGGACACACGCCCCTTGCCCTGGCAATAGCCGCGGGACAACAGGAGATGGTGAACTTCTTACTCGATGTGGAGGGTATTGATATAAACGCATGCAATAATCCAGATCACCTCACACCTTTAACGCTAGCGATTCTCATAGGAGAGGAAGGTATGGCGCATAGACTGCTTACAGCCCATGGAATTAACCCAGACGTGGAAGATGACAACGCCTGGGGCAACTCTTTAATGGTAGCCTCCTGCCTTGGTCGAACCAACATGGTCAAGATGATCCTAGAACACGGTTCGATAGATCTTGATAAAGGCACCGAAGTCGCACATTGTCCGGTTTGGCTTGCAGTTAACTGCGGTCATCTTGAGGTTTTGAAGCTGCTTCTTGCCGCTGGAGCCAATCCTCACCCTCCTGGGCCTGATATTCTCCTCGAAGCAGTGAGCAAGGACCCCGCTATCGTGAAAGAAATACTGAATTGTGCAATGTTCGATGCATCAAAGCTGAAACACCCCATGGAAAGGCTCCAGTGTACAGCGCTTCGGGAGGGGCGCATCGACACTTTTAAGCTTCTGTTCGAGGTTGGCTGTCGCGACATCAACTGGCACAGTGGAGACGGCCATACCTCACTATTTTGGGCTGCAACCGGAGGCCATGAAGATGTAGTGAAGCTGCTACTGTCGATTGAGGATATTAATGTCAACATTAGGTGCCATGATAGCTTGACGCCGGCACAGGTTCGGATTCTAGCTGAAAATGGATTTCCTGGTTACGGAGACGGGGCAACGCCGCTCATCATGGCAGCTCGGCAAGGACACGCTGGGGTGGTGAAGTTGCTCCTTGGAATTGAGGGTATTGATATCCGATGTCAAGATTCTATCTTCCATGAGACGGCATTATTGGCGGCTAGATCGAAGGGACACGAGGAGGTTGTTGAATTACTGAAGAATGCCGAGGCAAAAGCTTTGCCGTCATATGAAAACAGTCCCACTGTCTGTTTGGGATGACCTATAGATACCTCAAGCACTTTGGCATCTTAATTGAATGCAAATTGGCCGTCGAAAAAACGTGTAGTTCATATTAGGGTAGAAAAAGTAAACATAATCACGTGTCCGACCGTCATCATTATGATTGCACAGAAGATGACAGTGCTCACAGTGAATTTAGTAGGATTTCCAAGTCCCTAAAAATCCGAAACTTAGTTTTTCTAATTTCCTATATTGTGATAAATGATTGCGAGGGTCACACAGGCTGGATGGGATAGAGGCAAGCAAAGTACGACCATAGAAGGCACCAATATCCATGACACAGGAACCGCAATTGCGATAGACGGCAAGTACTTTGTGCATAGAAAGGGTAAAGGAATATACGAGGACAATATATAGAAGGGATCTCGGTAGACCCTGGTAAATCCATGCAATTAATACAATCATTCTCATCAGTATCATGATCATGAGAAAAACACCTTTCGCTAGATGCGGCGGGAAATAAAAGCAATTGCGATATAGAGTAAGCAACAAGCACCCGCCAGCCATAATATTGCGAATCAGCTTGAAGTGTGTGGCTCCATCTTCTTACTGCCAACCTCGGACCAATTCGTGCTGAGGGAAGTGCCCTGGCTTTCGACGTAGCTCTTCATCATAGCTCGACGTGTATCGGGATCCGCGTTGGCATAGAGCTTCTTGAAGAAGCCATCCACAGCATCGCCGCCAAATTCCGAGTCTACGGATTCCGCATCGGAGTCATTTCCGTTGTCGTTTCCTTTGCCTTCCTTCTTCTCACTTTTAGGTTTCTTTTCTGTCAGTGATGACGCAAGCTTGTCCCAATCTTTAGCACCTTTTCGAGATGAGGTTGGGTAAGCAGGCCCCGCGTTGTTAGTAGGCGCAGCAGGTGCGGTGGAACGGTCTGTAAGCTTCATGGCTGCAGTCCCGGAGCTTTCGAGAGCGGTCCATTTCTGACCTGATGTCTTCTTTTGAAAATAAAGTTCGATTTTGGTGTTCATGACAGACAATTTCGACTTAGAAGGATCAATAGGGGCGTACAGGGGGTCGAGTGTGAAATCATAGGAGGAGCCGGAAGGGAGAGGAAACTGAAGTGACACCTAGAGGATAGGAAATAGATAAAATATATGAGCATATTGATCATGAATCCCATGAAGCGAAGAGTGTACTAACCGATTCATCATTGAAGTCAACCTCCACGTCATTCTTGGGTACACCTTTGACATAAAGCGTAACCACAACGGAGTCCTGGGACTGGTACCATTCATGACGAACTTTCTCCGGAGAAGCCGAAGCAGGGGCACTATTGGAAGGCGCTTGAGCTCCCACCACAGGTAATTTGTGCTCCATAGAAGTAGGCGCTGTTGCCGGCTCTTGTTGACTGGCCTCCCGCGAAATCTGGCTCTGTGCATCGGCCGCCTTCCCGGACAGGAGGTTCTTCCACTCGGCCTCCAGCTCCTTCTCCGTTGGAATACGGATATTGGTAGGATACTCCGCTACCGAAACCGTGCGCTTCTCATCAGTTACGCCCAGCTCGCTAAGCTTACGACGAACCTTTGCCATCCAGATGGGTAGCTCAGCTCCGTAGCCACCCTTCTTGTTTGTAGCACCCACGCCAGCCATAGCAGCTTTCAGGCCTTCCGATTTGTTTTCAGAGCCCCTTTCAGCAGCAGTCTTCGACTCAATCAACTCAAAAATAAATGCTGCGTCACCATAGCGCTCAAGCTGGAAAAGCGAGACTGCACGGCGCATCTGTGCTGACAGAATGAGCTCGCGCTTTCCACGCTCACGCGCAAGGGTCAGGGCAATTTCGGAGTCCCTGAGTGCAGCATGAGACTTTGGTCCGCCATTTTCAGGCTTCACACGCGAATAAGCGGTCGCACGTTGGATGTAGTAGATCGGAGCGCGGGGTAGCTCCGTCAGGGCGCGGGTGTAGTGCTGAATCGCGAGGGGGGCATTTGATGCGGCCAGGGCTTTATCACCCTCAGATACGGCATTCATGATTGTGTTTGGTAGGAGAATAGAGGACAGGGCTGTTGCGTCGGAGAGAAGGAACCCGGAGGGACGCTGAAGTAGTTGAGGTGTTGGATGGTGGACGATCGCTAAAGCTTGGGGATGTAAGAAAAGCACGGAAGTAGGAGTGATGATATTTGCTTATGCTGATTTAGACAATCAAACGACAATTGCAGTGGAGAGAGGCGTGTGAAGAAGCTCAGGTCCCAAGCTCGCCCATTTCACAGCTTCCACAGCTTTCCAAAGGATGTGAGCTCCGGCCCCACGGCGCACTACAGATTTGATTACATAATATACGGAGTCGCTCCAGTGGAGATTCTCCTAACGTGGAAGATGCTATAAGTGCCATTGGTCGTATGGTATGCTAGCTATATATCATGATGAACGAATGCAGGTCTATTGAGTGAGCAGATAGAGCTCAGTGATTATGTATTAAAGCTGTGAATAGTATATTCGGACTCATCAATCCATTGGTATAAGAAGATCACTGTAGCGCCTCATTGCCAAACTTTTTACTGTACAAGCCGAGAGCCCGGATGGGCCAATAAAACTTGTAGTTAGGATAGGAGATCATGCTGGAATAAAATCAGTACATATCCAGTTTAGGTCAAGAAAGAAAGAAAGAGATGAGAATAACGTACCATGATTGGTTAAAAACACCCTCAATAGCTTCTTGCAGCCACTCGCCATTACGTTGCTGCCGAGACATCAGAAGCTTAATACCTCGTTCGAGAGGCTCCTTATGGGGATAACTGGCTTCCATAAGGGCAAGACAAGCCCAGGCAGTTTGGACGACCTGCGACATCTCATGCTGTACATAGACATGCTTCTCACTGCTGAGGTACGACTCGCCCCAGCCGCCATCGGCCTGCTGCTTGGAGATCAGGAAGTCACAGCCGCGGCGGGAGTTCTCACTGGTTTTGTATGTCTCACCCACGCTGGCCAGACTTTCCAATGCAAACATGGCGGCATAAGTGAAGCAGATACCCCAGGAGCCATACCAGCTACCATCCTGGCGTTGTGCCCGCTTAATGTAGGCAACAGCCTTGTTCTTGGCAGCTCGGATTTCATCGGCCCGGTAGTCGGGGTAGAATTTGCTGAAGAGAGACAAAGCAGTCACCGATGCAGTAGTGCACTCCGGATAGTCATATCCAATCATGATGCCTCCAAAAACCTCGGCGGCATTGAGCCATTCAACCTTGGGGGAGGCTCGAGTGGTTTCATACTCGGTAAAACCACCAGTCGGGTTCTGCATCAGCAACAAACAGTCCACACTGTCCTTCAAACGGTCCAAAGAAATGAGCTTGGGGAAGTTGTGCATTTCCTGGAGCTGGATTGTAGAGCGCAGGCCCTCGGCGGTGCAATCACTGACAGTGTAGCCTTGAGTCTTGGTGCTGAAGGGCCAAGCACCCTTACGGTGCTGACGATAGCACCTTTCCTGTTCAGGAACATTTTCTCGCAGCTGATGGTCATCAATGAACTCCAGAGCCTTGGTCAGCATGGGTCGCCACTTCGGATCATCGGCCAATCCAGCGACAACAACGGCCTGTGTGACAAAAGTAGTATCCCACACTTGAACGCCGTTAGTGCCATTTGCCAACATGCCCTCGTTCTTCATCCACATGTAATCGTTCAACCGCTCGCGATGACGGCGTACGGAATAGCTGTCTGGGCCATCGTGGATGTAACACGCAACCATGTTGAGAGGATTGCTAACGGGTCCCAGCCCCGCATAATCAGTGTTCTCATCCTCCATGCGAATCAATTCCCAGGTCCAATCCTCCGCTCGCTTTACGATAGGTCCAATTCGGAGAAGGGGATTCCAGATTCGTACAAGGAGTTCATTGATGCCGTTCAAAATCCAGGTTTTCGGATAGTAGTTATCGGCCGGATGAATGGAGTTGCGATGCTTGGAAAAGTCGATAGAATCATATGGTTGGGGGTAAAGTTCATCACGAAGCTGTTTCGTCAAGTCGTTCAAGGGCAATGACCACTTTTTCGACCAGATGTAAGACAGAGGGAGGAAGACCTGACGAATATGGATCCACCATCGCCAAGGGGCAAAAGGCACCCAATCTGGAAGAAGCCTAGGGTACTATGTTAGGCATATGAAAGAGACCATACCGGCCGAAAAGGGCAAAAAAAAGGGAAAAGAGAAACATACCAGATCTCAGGGGGGACGGGGTTGACACCTTCCCAGTCCATGACGCCCAAAATACTAAGCCAGGCTTTGGCCCAGTGAGGACCATAATTAGCACCTCCGAACTTGTGCAACAGGCCGCGCGCCTTCACCATACGGGGGTCGTCTTCGCCCACACCGACTAGCCGAAGAGCCACATAATTCATCGAGGTGCCAAATACGGAGCTATGGGCTTCAATATGCAGGCCCCAGCCGCCATCCTCAGGATTTTGACGAGCAAACAGATAGCGCTTGATTTCCGTCGCATACTCTGGGGGAATAGGCGTGTTGGTCACATACCAGGTGATCAACAATCCAGGGAGCAAGAACATGGGGCCACCATACTCGCAGGCCCAGTTGCCAGGCTCCAGCTGCAAATGGGAGAAGAACGACAGACCATTCTCGGCAGCTTGAAGGGGGGTCTTGGCCTCGGGCAATACTGGTAGGTCCTGTGAGCCAATGTTAGGATACCGTGAAAGTACGACGGTCGGGCAAAAAAACTTACGGTTGGCAAGCCAAGATTGTATTTATCTGCAACCGACTGCGGCCAGGCATCGTTTTCCTCATCGGATTCCAGATACCGCCAAGTCTGGCGGCCTTCCTCGTTGACCAATCGCCAGCGTGTAAAATCAGTCTTGGGGTCGCCATTGGAGTCAGGCGACAGACGACCCTGAGCTTCTGACCTCCATGGGCCAATGTGCGAAGCCATGATATGTGTACGCAGCTTCGTCAATTGGTCAATTGGTCAATTGATAGATTCGTCGAGGGACGGGGAAGGTTGAGCTCTATCGCGATAAAGCGGATCGACGAGAAGCACGGGGTAGCTGAGTCAGCAGTCTCAAGGCTGCTGTGTAGAACCAAGAACGCGACTCGTTGCATGTGATATGTTTTGAAAAGCGAAAAGAGAAACACTGAATGGTTGCGGTTCGTGATTGCTACAGTTCGGTTTGTATGTGGGATGAACGCTCGAGTCAGTCATGGCCAATGGTGGCTGCGGCTCTGCAGAGAGAAGTGGGTGGGAAGCGCCACCCGCAGCGTCAACAACAGCGAGTAGTTACAGAAATAATGGTGACTGCCTCGGAGAATACAGATCGCTTGCCCCGGATAATCTTCTTTCTGCCCTCGATTCGTAGTGTACGAAGGCTCCATCATTATTGAATGCAGAGAAGTAGTGTAGATTGGCCATGGTCACGTTGCTCTCCCTCCAGTCTCGAGTTGTTCCTCCATTCTCACCTCCAACAAAGCCCCTCACCGTTCTTCCAATCGTATATGACTCGCCAATGGCTATGAAGAGTGCTTCATCCTGGCCTGCCTTGCTCAGGGAAGATCCCAGAGCCTCGGTCCGCGCCTATATCGATGCAACCCTCACGGCTCTGGTCGACCAGTTGGCCCTCTCCCACCACGGACACCCATGCATCACCCTTCGACGAAGAGCGAACTCGGTTAACTGTGTCATCAATCCCACGAACGGAGCTCTCGAACCAGCTGGGCGGACAGAAACATACCGATCTTATTCCTGGCCAGGAAGCTCAGTATATGAATCATGGAAATTCAGTATGAAACGCTTCTTTATTTGGTCGCTAGATTTCGAATTCTCTTCGGCTTGAAGATCAAAATCAGCTGAGAATGCAAATTCACATATAGCCGTGATCCTTCGAGTTCTAGCCATCATTGATCAAGCCCTGCACAAGGGAGAGTTCATTTCAAAAAGGCAAGCCGGGCGTGCACGAACCCCGAAAAATAGTGGCCGGGCTCATACTTCGCTTTCAGAGATATCTATTACATTGACACCGCATATTTTCGGTCCCAGGAGACAGTGAATGGCATCATCGATGATATTGCGTATACAATTGGGGTTGATAGGGCGGCATTGAATGTGGTAAGTTAGAGTGCTCCCGAGAAGGATCTCTAAACAAGAAGAAAGGCCTCATACTAAATTGTCGATAGGAAGCCGCAGGGAAGGGACTCGTTGCCGGATGTTTCCGTCTTCGGCGCGACTCGATTCTGATCTTGGATGCAGACTCATCAAATGAGGTCAGTTCTTTTGTCTCGTGGCTCCCCGGTATCAGTTTAAAAGGATCTAACTGGCCCAGGACACCATGATCCCTCGTATCCAAGAGGATGATCAAATAGATATCTCAGGTGCTCGATGGGTGTTTATCATCGAGAAAGAAGTAAGAATACTTTCCATCTTCACTCTCCGCGACAACCTTTCACGCGGACTTTCTGAACCCAAAATTCTCCTTCACAGGCAGTCTTCCATCGATTAGTACGAAGCACATATCATAAACGAGCCATTATTGGTGGCGGGATCCTGGTTACCGTAAGAAGAATATACAGTGGAATTTCAACAAAATTGTTCCTAACTCGCTGAAAATGCAGGGCAAAGGATATCCCGATCTTTACACCCGCGAATTCATCCGTCGCCTGTTTGATTCCGCCTCCGGTTCCAATCAGCGATTGCCTCGTTTCTACGCTTTAGTCGATGGAGACCCTCATGGTATTGCGATCATGTCCACATATAAATACGGATCATTGGCCCATATGCATGAAAACGCCCGGCTCAGCATACCTGGATTGCAATGGCTGGGCCTGCGAGTCGAAGACACGGTTTTAGCTTCACAGGTGTCCGAGAATACGAAATTTTTGCCCTTGACTGATGGAGACCGAAAAAAGATCATCACGATGCTTCGAAACAGTCCAGTTTGGGCCAGCAATGGGCCAGAGCCCGAGTGGCGTTTAGAGCTGCAACGGATGCTCATGTTAAACGTCAAGGCCGAGATTGAGATGCTGTATGAGCGGGATGGGGGCCTAGAGGGTTGGATTGATCAGAAGATTTTTCGCCAAGACTGAGGGCTTGCTGCTTTTGTACCACGATTACGGAGTATCCATGACGCAACTCATTTGCCTTATATCAGTAGAGGTTGTATGTAATATACTATAGGGTCTATATGAAGATACCCAAAGCCATTGAGAGAATATAGTCCTTCAGTGAAACCCTATGACTTATCCTGTTCTGAATGCTAGATACACATAGTAGCTGTACAACCAAGAAAGCTATCACCAAGCAAGCCATGCAACGAAAATCATGAATCCAATCCCTGGACGCCAGTCATCAAAACCGTCGAAAATGGGGACGATCTGCCCTTTCACAACCCCAGTCCCTTGCGCACCTCATCCCGGACCTTCTGCTCATACTCTGCTCGTCGCTCACGCCACATCTTCGCTGCCTCAACGTTGGCGGGGCTTTCGTCGTTTGGTTCAGCAAGCATACTCATGACCGAAATGAGGATCTTCTCCACGCTCTGAATTGGCGACCAGCGCTCCGAAGCATGCTCGTAGTGGTTGGGGTCATCACCGGGCGGATGCAGAATCGAAATACAAACCGTACCATTTGGATATACTGGATATCCCAGAGAAAAAAGGTTAGCTTGGAGTATGGGGAAGAGAGGCGCCGCATGGATCAATCAAAGAGCGTACCGTTTGGGTGCCACACCCCACCGCCCACGAATTTCATTGTCGGCGGACTGAGAGGATAGTCTTTGGGGAACTTCAGCTCTGCTGCAAAAACACCCCCTTCAAAAGGAGTCCCCTCGGGGCCTTGAATCAGGGCTTCCCAGTAGAACATGTCATCCTCCGACACCGGGCCAGCGGTAATACCCTCCGGGGGGTTGGTAGACAGGTTCTTGTATTCGTGAAAGAGGCGTTTCTGGGCAACCGAGGAGGCCATGTTTGCGAATGAAGAGGAGAGGCAGGATCGTCAAATGGAATATTGGGGAGTTGAGTTGTGCACACGACAGAGTTGGGATGATTTCGTCGGGTGGCGAGGGGTTCTTTTGTACGCTCGTGGTGACAAGGGCGAAGAGGCGAGGACTAAATTGAAGATGGGATTCGTACGGAATCCACGTAGAGCTCAAGGCGAATATAAGCCAAATGTTTTGGGAGACTGAGAAAGTGAGAAGGTGAGGAGGTGGAGAAGTGAAGAAAGAGGTGGGAAGCACCGGATGTTCAAGATAGTTCGCGGGGTGCGCCATTCCTGGGTCGCCCCACGGGCCGATCCCGATGCAACAGCTAAAAATACATGGTATTATCGTCTATCAACAACTAGAGAGCATTTAGGGCATTTAAAACCAATCGAAATCATCTCCACCTCCTTCAGATCCTCCGTCACTCCAAGGATCTTCGAATTGGTCCTCTTGAGCCCATGGATCCTGCGCGCTCTCCGACCATACATCTTCGGAGGCACCTGGCTGATCTGGCTGTTGTTGGTCAGATGGAGGCATCCCGGGCTGATCTGATCCCGGTGTTTGGGAGCTTTGAGAGCCCGACAATCCTCTCTGCATAGCTTCATACCCAGCCATCGCACCAGCGCCCGCCGCTCCAGCAGCGATGCCATCTGTCACGCCGCCAGCGGCGCCCGCTCGCCCGATAGCACCTGCTGCTGATTCAGTCATTGCTCCAGCTTCTCCAGCTGCGGCACCGCCAGCAGCACCAGCGGCTTCACCAGCAGCAGCACCTCCGCCGAATCCAGGGAACCAAAATGGCATAAATCCAAACCCACCCGATCCGCTGTGGCGGCTGAAATAGTCAAAATCGACGGTGACCGCTGTGGCAAGCATCACCGCTCGTTGATCAAGCGTCATTCCAGAGAACGAGTCTGTTTGGAGTGAAGAAGACTCGTTGACAGACGCTGCGGAGTCCATCCTCAGCGCATAGACACCTGTGTCAGTAAAAATTTCGCGGGCAAATCCAGCGAAGTTGCGGTTAACGGATCCAATCAACCGATTTTCCGCTGAACGGAGAGAAAAGTCCCAAGAGAGGAATGGTTCATCAACGTAGGCAAATTGGTTGAATTCACCCTGACCTTGTTTGGAGGCTTGTGCGAGTTGTATTTGCTGGGACTTGGAGAGATTCGAACCTGTAAGGGGGAACTTGTGGGTGCCCATATCGGTATCGGAGTTGGGAGATTGGTGATACGTAAAGAGGTTGTATTTCCGTCGCAGCGGCGCCCATTGTTGTTGTGCCTCGCCAACGACTCGCATCTCATCAAGTCCAAGTGGTGATACGCGAGCATTGGAAGAAATGTCGGCTTGGACTAGAGAGCCCGGGGTGGTTGTGTGGAGAGAGGTCGAGGATGTGTAGTTGTTTGAGGAAATATCAAGAGGGTCGTAAACTCGAATTCGAGAATTGATCCATGAGAATGGACGATTGAACTAGACTAGCACTTAGCAATGATTGTCGGTATTGTTTGATGGTCAAATATAACTCACCCGAAGCACCTCGTTCTCATGCCGATCGAACACATGCGTCACGAAGCTCCGATGCGTGCGAAACCATTGACGCGCCATAGCATTTGCCATTCCTTTTTCTTGTTCTGCCATATATCCAATATGATTGCCCTGCGCATCCATAATGACGTACTTGTTCGCCTGTTCGAAACCACTACCAAAGAATATTGATTAGCCTCTGACACCTAGGTGCCATAGTGAGCGCACTCACATCATGACATTCATCATTTCCAATTGTCGTTGGACCACAAGTCCAGAATTAGCTAGCAGATTTGCAGCTGGATGGTCCTCTTTCAAAACGCCATTGGGGTCCTCGGGAAGGTAGACTGGGGAGAGTAGGGTATTTTGCGCGGGATCATAGGTTGAACTCAGTGCATCCTGAGCCTCCGAGATTGTTGTGCCTAGCTGTTCTGGCGCATGCGCCGGACTTTTCGGTTGCGATGTTCTCCCTGGTCTGATAATGCTGTTGCGTGGGCCACGGTGTGTGCTTCTGCCGCGGAGCGTGGATAATGGACGATGAACTGGGATTCCCCGTAGGGATGGAGATCGAAGCCTGAAGCTACACATGTTGCAATTCTCTAAATGAGGCGAAGACTGTCAAAAAAGCACGCCCAAGATAAAGAGAGCGGGTTGGAGCAAAGGCGATCGACCCGATGCTGGAAAGAAGTCAGGACTGAATGACGGATGGCGGGAGTTGCCCGGCGGGGCTCGGCGGAGATAACACTCATCTCCTTCAACCTGCTACCAGCTGGGGGCAACATCTGCTTCTTGAGTATACAAGGACCGCGCCTGGATTGATATGAAGTATTTCCAGCTCCTCGAGCTTTACGTACACTATTTGAGTTTTACTTCTACGGAAGAGAATCTTGTCGATGCCTCTCTGCAGCGGAAGCTCTTTACAAGCCTCCATACCATGCCATGATTCATTCCACCAGCTGCATCATATATGGTCTCACGGTTCAATGTAAGTACATCTACTTGGCAGTAGGGTATGGCCATTGGTAGATTAGCATATGGGTAATATGCTTTGATTTATGGGGAAATTGGACCGTTTGAGTCCCTCCAGCCAGTGGTCACGGATCTCCCGGTCATAGGCATTGAAGTACCTACACGGTCCAAGGCCGTCGCAGCTATGCTAAACGGTTCCTTGAAGCATTCAAAGATCCAGTCCAAGTATAAAGTAGCCAACTCGTTGACACATTGCCCTCACAAGAGGCCCTTCCGAGCTAGCTCAATCTTTCGCGCCGCCTCGCCCGTCTTGAAACCTCCTCGGGACACGCAAATCGCACTCCCTTCTCCAAGCTCAACTTTGTCTTCAACATCGGGATGTTGACATGGGCAGTGGTGTGGGACGGAAACGCAGGCGAGGGTTCCAGGGCATAGGTAGTTGCTGCAGTGAGCTATGAAGGCAGATTCTAGAGTTAGCAAGAAACCACGACTAGCTATGCAATATTGGTACGAATTATCGGTGAACAGAAATCTTACCTTGAGCCCACATCTTTTGGTACCGACCACTATCGCTCGGGACATTCTGGGAGCCTTGCTGGTTCTGTTGTTGTTGATTGCCACCAAACATATGATCGAAAAAGCCAAATTGGGCCTGGGCGACTGCCGCCAACATGAATAGAGCCAAGAGGCTCTGCAGCCAGTTTCCAAGCATGGCTGGGAAAAGAAAAAGAGAGACCCTGAAAGATCTCAGTGTGACAACGGCAGGGTTATGACTGGTGAGGTGGTCTATACAAGAAGCCAGTTTACGGGCTGGGCACGTGACCGCCAAGCCTCATCTCCGAGAAAAAGTTCCCCTTGGAGCTTCCTCGTCCGCAGCTCGACTCGATCATCAATTGCCAGCAATGTTGCAACCCAGACTTCTGGCGCCCCTCCGGGCGCTAGAACGGGCCTTTTCTCCCTCTCTTCGATCTGCTCAGAATGCCTACCAGCCGCAATCCCTTTTTCAGCGCGCCATCTCCGCACCGCTCACCTTTCCGAAAACCACACCTACTACCCTCCCTCGGTCACTCCTCTCTTTCTCACAAGTTCGTTTCGCTTCGCACGCCTCCCAAGGAACGGCAAATAGGCATTCGCGCGATCCGGCCGGCAAGCGTCTCGGTGCGAAGCGCACAGGTGGCGAATATGTTGTGCCGGGATGCATTATCTTCAAACAGCGTGGCTCAAAATGGTTTCCAGGCGACAACTGCGCTATGGGACGTGACCACACAATCTACGCCACTCAAGCTGGATATGTCCGATACTATCTCGATCCTGAACGACACCCCGAGCGCCGATATATCGGAGTTGTTTTCGAGAAGGAAGGGAAGCTTCCCCACCCTCGCAATGCGCCCAGCCGTCGGAAGCTGAACATGGTTTCCATCCCGCGGGCAGAACCTGTTCAGAGTCAGTCCGATCTCATGGCATCTATTGATGAGAACGGCACCCAGATCGCTAGCGTGGAGGCCATTCAAGCCGAAGCCGGTCCGCAACTGCGACCTGGTTACATGTACCGTGAGGCCAATTGGGTGATTGGTCGGGCAGCTGAGAAGGCTGGAATTTTCGCTAAGCCATATGACCCCAGAAATCGCTGGCTTGCGTGGCGAAAGAGACAGGCTCGCGCTGAACGTGCTGCGCAAATGAAGAGCTTGAAGGGCAAGAAGCCTTCTAAGAAGGCCAAATAGGGATGCATGATAGTTTTGAACCATGGTTTTAGGTTTCTGTAGCGATATGAGGAGCTTATCCTCGGTGTTCTCTTGTATTATAGAAAGAATATGTCACAAATTATATCTCCATATATGTATCACTTCCGTCTTTCGATATATTTGCATTCTTACTTGTGGATGGTAGATAGTTCAACCATCTGGCTCCACAAGCTGGAGTGTTAATACCACTGAGCAGAGAGCAGCTGATTTGTTAAGCAGAGCCCTTGGTAACTATATGATTCTTTGCATCGGGGCAGAACCGCACTTTTGCCAGGTTTTCTTCTCTTATCATCCTCTAGTTGCTCAAGGCAATCATCTCTAATGCCTATAACTTAAATTGCATGGCTTGCGGGGCGATCATGGAGATCCAATGATTCAAATCATCCATGCATTAGGAAATGATGACTTTCATTGCTCATATAAAACTTCCCTTTTCAAATTCACTCCAGTTCGCATTGTTTTGAGCCACTCGTCAATGCCCGTTAATCTTTATATCTGGTGAGCTCCCAATTCCTTGTCGGCCCAATGCAGTACGCGAAGCCCACCAGCAAGTTTGCAGTACAATCCTTTTTGGACAGCGCCGATGGATTGGCAGCGGAGAAGACGGAATATTCGATACCTCCGAGAGCGGTAATCGAAGCACATGTATCCCCCTCACGGACAACGTGCCACTTTCCACATTCTCTGGTCGTCCCTTCTGCGACAGATGCATCATCTGGCAGAGGTGCATTTCTTGTTGGTGATGATCTCCATATCTTTGGCAGCGAGTTCACCCCTGGTGGCGGTGCCATTTCGGTGTACAGACCAGCTTGATATGACATACACACAACACGACCGTGTGTCTCGGCCCAGTCCTGAAGATTGGTACAACGGCCATCAATCCAAGGGTTCAAATAAGATAGTGGGGTGAATCGTCTCATATTCATCTTTCCCTCAATGGAAAAGCAGGTATCATCCGCAGAGTAGGCGTAAATTTCTCCGCAAGAAAATGGAAGGCATAAGGATAGACCAGCCGGGATATTGCTGCAGTTCTGAATTTGCTCGCTCCCCATGAACAAAGCTGTCGAAGAGAGCTTGTATTGGATGGCAATAGAGTCACAGGTATCGCCTTCAATTGTAGTATAAAATGTATCAGAGGCGCAGAATTCAGTTGAGTCCTCAGTCTGGTCATTTGATAGGCTATCCAAAATAGTGAGGGTTTCAGTATTTGGAACAGGATACTGGGCATATTGTCCAACATTCACTTTATGCTGTTCATTCATTTGAGCGGTAGCGACAGGAATTGCCTGCAAGGCCACGCCAATAAATAGAGCTATGTTTCGCATTGTGATTTCTGTTAATGTTTCTATTATCGATTCGTGGCTGGCTGGTTCCTCGGAGGAAAAAGAACGAAAATTCGGACAAGACATGTGGAATTTCTCTCAATGCCAGATGCATCGCCCGAGCTTAGTATTTTACGCTGTTTCTGATGTGACCTAGTGGAAATGAGCCTCTAGGACCCTGAGCGTGGGGTCTATTCTTGGCAACTGTAGCTACAGTGAGAGGAGCTGGCCATTTCCAGGATGAGTGGAAATTGGTGGCTCACTTTTGTAGCATTTTGGAAAGATTTAGTGGTTCTTTCTGCTCAGATGTCTTGGCCAAGACGATCCGGCATTCAAGTTAGCCAGTGTGGATAGAGCCGGTCCAGTGGTGTTAATTTCTACCAAGAGAGCGAAATGAACCTAGTGGTTAGTGGCCTCGGACCCGCAGATAGTTCTTCGGACAAGCCTAGTCCCTGGAGAGGCTCGGGTTGAGCCGCCCGGCCCCAAGGACGCCAAGAAGGGGCCTTTATTCCGATTAAAAAGGCGTTACAGTCGAGGCGAAATGCCCCCAATTGTGCAGGGATAACATTTCACAGAATATGTCAATGCAAGTCTGGGGAATCTCCCCGATAATATCGACAATCGGGATCTTCTGGCTTCTTCTGGGTGCTGCTGGAGCTTCCGGTCATGTTGATCCCGTCAGTCTTCAAATATCGTCTATCAGCAGGAGTTAGCATACTGATCAATTCTTTAGTCCCATTATGGAAACGACACGACAAGTTATGAGCAGCCTCATCAACTTGAGAGGTTAGAGCGAGTTGTTGGATACTTCGAAGGCTGGGGCTCTCGGCGAGTCTGCAACGACTTTTGGCCGGAGATGATTCCGGATGCCATATACACCCACCTCAACTTTGCCTTCGCCACAATCGACCCTGAAACATACGAGGTCATGCCGGCTCATAAAGCGGATGTGAAATTATATAGCCGGTTGACAGGAAAGAAACGGGGAAGCACGCCATTGAAAGTCTTCATTGCTTTTGGGGGCCCGACCTTTAATGGCCCTGGACCCACACAGCGCACCTTCTCCGATATTGCGGCATCTCCCCAGAACCAGAAGAAATTTTTGAAGTCATTGGTATCCTTCATGTCTACCTATAACTTTGATGGAGTTGACTTCAATTGGGAATATTCTCACATTGGTGAATGGCTCGGGCGAGAAGAAGACTTTCAAAACTTCCCCAAATTCCTGAAAAGTTTGAAAAGCACCCTGAACAAGACACCTGGTCGGAACGGCATTTCAATCTCGATCCCATCATCTCCCTGGTATCTGGAACATTTTGATATGAAAGAACTTTCTGAGTCTGTTGACTTTTTCAACATGATGACATACGATCTCCATGGCACTTGGAGCCGAGGCAACTTACAGACCGGACATGCATGGACGGGAGATTATCTCAATGGGCATACCAACCTTACGGAGATCGATATGGCTCTGGACCTACTCTGGAAGAAAGACATTCCAAAGAGCAAGGTGGTGATGGGACTAGCTTTTCATGGGCGCTCGTATATAATTGGCGACGACTGCTCAGAGCCAGGTTGTGTGTATCTGTCTGGTGGGGTTGATGCGGGATGTAGTTCGGAAACTGGTGTGATCTTCAATGCTGATATTTATAAGGTAAGAGAGGCCAGTCAAATCTCCGGTCAAATCCACGACCTGGCCGTCTTGTATGAAGAAGCGGCGATCAAAGTGGACAAGCTAGGTGACAAATGGGTGTCGTACGACGATGCAGACACATTTCGACTGAAAATCAAATATGCCGAAATGGAATCCCTCGGCGGTGTCATGGTCTGGGCTGTATCTCGTGATACAAAGAAATCCGATTATTCCAACATGCTAGGAAAAATTACCGGTCTTCTAGAGTCGCCCAGCTACTGGACCGCGGATACTTTGTTCCCCGGTGAAGCAGAAGAAGTTCAGGCTTTTGAAGAAGCATTAAAAGAGTGGATTAAAAACCCAAGCTGCTCTGGAGATATGATGAATGAATTGGTATGATTAATCAAAAATGTTTCAAAAGGGCATGCTCGGTGTCATATCCACCTGTAAAGTCCAAGATATCGATGCCCGCTTAGACCGCAACATGTTTGATGAAACAAAGATCCAGTAGCTTACCAGTGGCTTCAGTATAAATATTGGGTCTCAAGGGGATCCACGCTTGATCAAGTCTCTATCTCATGCGATTCCATTTGAGACTCTGCCAATAAAGTCACAGCAGTTCTTCATCGCCGAAGACATATTTCATAGGCCCAATTTAAAGCCACCCCAATTCAACCTAGAAAAGATTCCCTCGGGGTCATACAACGCTCTAATATCTCTCATCCGATCAATATTCTCAACAGGAAATCCCGCAAATGGATCTTGCCATTCACCAGCATCGCCCATATACACGAAGTCAAAGGCAAGTCCCTTTTTCACGTTGATAGCGTGGAGATGCTCAGCCAGTTGACGAGACCAAGCTTCGATACGAAGATCATCTTGCTGGAGGTCCCAACCAGTGCTAAATTGCCACACTAGATTAATTCTGTTAACAGGGCTTCTCGGCATGATCAAAATTCTATTACGAGAACCGTTACTGACATATCATAGGTTCCTCCATGAGACCCCAAACATTGCCAATACCGTTGGTACGGCCAACTCGTGCCGCACCTGCGGAATGGACATTTGTGACAAATGTTGGATAAAGACCCTGCACATCGGAGATCTTGTCGACAGAATCTTTCCATGCTTTGTATATGGAGTAAAGAGCCTCAGGATCTGGCTTCATGCTCTTGTGTGAGAACATGACTCTGTCAAATGCACGTTGAATCAGTATATCCCTGTCTGAAATATTCAAGTAGGCCATGTTGACTGACCGGAACATTTGTTTGGGGCTATCTAGAGTAGATGTCCACTGGGCCATAGTGGTAACATTGTTGATCCTTGTTGTTGCGGGGACTGCCGAAAAATTGGCGAATTGAGAGGGAGGTTCGCTGATGCCTTCTTGAACACCAAGTATTGAGCCCGATATAGCTTTTGTGGTGGCATTGTATGACACAGTGGCAACCATTCCAGCTGCAATAGGATTCGCATCGTCAAGCTTTGCAGCCTCGCAAACTGCCGTAAGAAACGCAGGGATACTTGTCTCGTTGTAAAGCTGGATTGTTGTGCTAATTTTTGGAATGTCATACGTCTCGAGTTCAAACTTTGTGACCACTCCATAATTGTTGGCGCCCCCTTTCAAAGCCCAAAAGAGATCCGGGTATGAGCTCTTAGTTGCTCGAATATGGGTTCCGTTCCCAAGTACAATATCATAGCTCACAACGTTGTCCATTGCATAGCCATATTTGTTGTTAAAGTAATGAAAGCCTCCGATGAGGCTAAGGCCAGGGACACCGATGGTTTTCAGGCGACCACCTATCACGATACGACCATATGGCTCGAGTTTATCTTCAACATCATACCAGGTGAGTCCAGGACCTACTTCAACTGTACTTGCTTTCACCTTAATATCTTTGAGTCTCTCCAGTGCTAGAAGGACACCGCCATTGATGTTGTTGGAACCTGGGTACTAAAAAAATGTGAGCAAAACGCATATGTATTTTGAGTAGTTAACTAACATTCATGTGGCCACCACCACGAACAGCAAACTGTGCATCACAGGAGCCGAATATTTGGAGTGCATTAGAGACCCCATCGGCGGTTTCGGGCAAGAATATACAAGCAGGCGAAAGATCGGCTCGAATATCCCAGTATGCATCAGCAGCCTGGGCAGTATAATTTGAGCTCTGGGGGTAAATTACTCCAGTATAAGTCCGTGATAGCTTCGCACAAGCACAAGAGGCGCCTGATGTGGGCTTAAAAGTGCCCGTTGCGGTAGTAATGGAAGGCCCCGTCGAAATAGATGCGGTGCTTAGGCCACCGAAGGCCAAGGGAAGCACAATGGTAGTTGAAAGATTCCACATGCTGTGACTCCGATTCAGCAGATAATCCGACTGCGAATTGAAATATCGAAATGTTCTATGCGGCTAGATGCGTTTCTTATAAATGTTGAGCGATCCTCATCCTAGGCTGATATGCCAGGGCCCGCCTGGAGGTGATGACTTCGCATTCGGATATCCATGGTGCTGATCCGCTGCCAATGATCTAAATTGACCATGGACAATTGAAACTTTGGCTTGCTTTCCAGGCATGAGCTAGGCTTCCCTCATTCTTTGTGTCAACTAAAAATCAGTTATGGGTCATGTGGGACCAGGGTCGGAAAGAAGAAAGCTCTACAATACGCAGTGACACTGAAGATTGTGGCTGCCCTTGAGGTCCTGGAACAAGGAACCCACGTTCAGTCCCCTGGATAACCTGATGAAGTACAAGGGAGAGTGTCGATCAGTGGGGATTTCCGAACCCGAGTACCGTCTGATTGAACCACTACAGGTAACCTCGGGTTCGTATTCGGGCCTCATAAGCCCTACTCGTTGGCTTAAAACTCTAAATTCCAGGCAGTTTCTAATTAAGGTTCCGTGCTAAGAAATCCCAGAAACCTAATTAACAGTTTGCCCACAACCATGAGACTCTTGCTGCGGAGATAAATTTGAGCTCGAATTTACGACGAATAGTATCCACCTTGCAGACAATTGTGATATGCAAAAATAATATTAATATGTTATGAAAACTCAAATAGTCAGCTAGTATCATTCTTCGTACAAACGTCCTAAAATCAAGCTTTGACAAACGAATTCGTTGCCGATAACTCTGGCAGTAGATGAGGGTGGTTCTTGACTTGGAGTAGACATCGTCACCGTCGACCTTCTCCTTTTTCTGCCATGAATTAAGTGAACTTTCTGAGTTTTCGGACGAGGTGTCAATATTGACTGCGCAGCAGCTTCATCTGCATCATCAACATAAACAAAGTCCCAACTGCACGGAAGAGAAGCCTCAGATTGAGATTCTAACAGGGCCCTAGCCGTCTCAATGTCGGGGACGCGCTCCACACGAGCGGCCCCAAGAGCGAACGTGAGGAAAATATACGCCCTGCGCTTCTCTCCTGCTTTGCCACGACCAGTGACAATGAGAACCGATTTTCCGCCAAGAAGCTTCGGTCTTGATGAGATGGTATCTGATAAATGTGCATCAGTTGGAGAGGTGGGCAGCATGACTCGAGATTTGGTGGCTCCATTAAGGTACTTTGACTCGCCAGCTGGGAGAAGATAAATGGCCCAGTCAATCACACGTCCCTTGGCAACACAGTCCTCAACCCAACGCCCGTTAAGGCAAGGGAGGCCGAGAGCCAGCGCTTGCATATACTTCTCACGGCGGGAATGCGTGTCTGTGATCAAACAGCTGAACCCAATCTCTTCGGCCAGGCTGGTAAGACGTAAACCAGAGTTACAGGTGGCTTGGTTGCCAGCAGTGCCTTTTGTGGGAGTAGTAATAGGATGGATTGATGAGGGTTCAAAGAGGTCAGTGAATCCGTCACGCAGGACAGACCCACCATTTTCCTGAATGAGTTTAGAGACACGGTTCTTTGAAGTCTCATCTTTGTAAGAAACAGCAAATGCCATGTTGGCAAAGATACCGCCAGAATTATTAATACTGCGGGAAAAGCGGGCACTTGGGGACGCCGGAAGAGAAGACTTCTCGGAGGGGGTGTGAGGGTGGTTTTCCTGAGGGACTATTTCGGGCTGGTAAGTGAATGCTCGGTCCTTGAGCTGATTCCACAGGATGGTGTCAAGGTAGATTCTTCCAATCGGTACCTTGATCACATTCTCTGAGTTGTTGAGGCCACCATGGGGAAGACTTTTGCGTTGTTTGGGCCCAAGAATCACCGTAGTGTGGCCATAGATATCTGTCTGAGGATATAAACCCTTACTAGCAGCATCGAGAAGCTCTTCTCGCGTGAGCTTATCATCAAAACCCCGAACAATATGAGTGATTTTCGGAACATCACGCATATCAACCTTCACTGCATCTCCGATGCGAAGTTCAAATCTTTTGACAGCACCCTTCACCACTTCTACAGGAAGACTGTCTTCAAATTTGACAGAAAACTTTGACTGGGACACGCCCAAAGGAGTTCCAAAACATGTTGCCGGGTAATAGGCACGCTTTTGACCCATCCACACCGCAAGAACTTGCTTCAGGGCTATCTGATCGTCAGGCCCAGCAGTTCGAGAAGCTTGCGGTGTCACAGGAGAACTATTGACGATGTTGCTTTCAGGTTGTATCGTGTCCCCGGAGGGTATATGAACGCCTGTAAGATTAGAGGTAATGACAGGAGGGTTGTGGATAACAACAGCGGGCCAAGCAGGTGGCTTGGTAGGAATCTTCTGAACTGATGCTTGCTGTCCTTTGGAACTCCTAGGTTCGATGAATCGGCCATGCTTTGATCTGGATCTCCGCCGAATAACTTGTTGCGGCGAGCCCTCCATTTCCCAGATATTTTCGGTTCGCCGAGAAGAATGGCCCGAGCGTGACTTGCGAACAGTAGTTGAAGGAACATGGATTTCAGCGGGAGACTGTGGTTTCATGGAGCTAATCGGTTCTACTATGGGCGCAACAGTCTTGGGGGGCTGTGCACGAGGCGTGGCAGGAACGGTGGTATCAGATGTATGGAAGCTCTGGCCCAAATTTCCACGGCGCCTTTTTCTTGGGCGTGTTGGAGACCCGTCAATAACAAGTGCATTGAATTCCTCGTCATCAGCTGTGAGAAAATTCAGGTCGAAATCTCCAAATTTGTTATCCACCAATGGGGATTGGTCAAGAGCAATTGCAGTTAGAGCTCGACGCTGTCGTCCACTTGGACTAGACAGAATCTGAGATTGCACTTGTGATTGAAGAGCTTTAATGGGCGAAGAAAGCGCACGGTTTTGTGAAAGTCGAGGCAAGGCGGCTCGAGTGACTGTTTCAACAGGATACCTATTGGGGGGAGGTCATCATCTTCATCATTCAATGCACCTCCATTGGATTCGCCATCCCATTCATTAGGCTGTGCTTGGTTGGGGCTGGTTTCCGGAATACTGGTTAATCGACTTATATCTCCAATCTGGGGCCGCAGATGTACTGGAGTTTCTGTGATACGCGATGGCAAAGAGGATGATTTATCACCAGGCCCAGTTTCGGTTATGTTCGCAGATGAACCTGTATTCTGTGGATCGGAATTGTTGCGAGAAGGGGCATGCATATTCTTTTTCTTGGGAGAGTAATCTTGAACAAAGTTCTCATCAACTCCAACTGAGATATGATATCCATGTCTCTGTAACATTGCATCAGCCTGAGGCAATGGTACCGCTTGTCGCCGTGAACTAGGAGGTGATGATTGAGGGGGCGCTGCACAGGTGATGTTGAGCCGGTATCATAGACAGAGTCAGGCTCCATTCCAACTGGATGGGAAGGCGCGTTCATTTCGGTCTCGGCTCGGTTGAGCGATGATCGAGGGGACTGCTGGGAGTCCTTGACCATCACTTGTGAGGATCGACAAATATACAGATCGAGGTTTCCAGTGTCTGGTGAGTTTGGACCAGAAATGATAGCGCACTGATCGGCTATTGCTGCGTGTTCACCAAACGATAAAGCCTGAGAGAGGCGGTCATGAGCGCTGTTTGTCGCTGCCACCAAAACAGGAGGACCGTTATAGTTTTCTTTGTCCTCCTCTGAGGAATGTGGAAGCTCTTGAGATTGAGGAACTTGAGGGCCGGGATCTTCTTCTTGCTCGGTTTCTTCTTCGCTTCCTGCAGCTTCGGGAATCTCCTCATCGTGATGAATCTCATGACCAGAACGATGGGGTGAAGTAGTAATACCAGTTACGGATCGAGAAGGAGCCTTCAATGCCGCAAATTGCGCGGCAGTCTCCTCCTCAATCTGGCGTTGACGGCGCGCATTTTCGACAAAGCTCGATTCTTTATAGAACTCCTGATCCAACTCATCACTTGTTGGAATACCACCTGCCGACCGTGTGAGTCTCTCCCCCAAAGATTTGTCACGCCTTGTCTGTGACTCATTCAAAGATATGTAGTTCAAATTCGGCTCCGACGACTCCCTGGGTAACCCATGCATTGTAGTTAGCGGCGAGGAAATAAAATTTCCGATGCGAGCTTGTTGGATCGGAATGTTCGGTGACGGACGGTCTGACACCAGCTCTGGTTGTTGACCATGCGCCAAGGGAGAAGACGGAGCCTGGGTTGCCCTGAATACCTGGCTCAAAGCGAGGAGACCTCCACTTGACTCAATATCTCCAGCCAATGGATTATGTGAGACACTAGGTGTCCGGGTCGTGGTCCCTGGAGTCTGATTTTTCTTCACCGCTGTCCCAGGTGTTGTTGTTAAGAAACGCTGCGATTCCGGGAACAATTCAGGCTGGTATGCCATCGGTGATGACTCGCCTGGGTCGTAATTGCTTTCCTCGTCATGCTCCGAAGAAAGCTTCCGTGATGCGTCGTGTGAATCTGTGCCGAATTGAGAAAGCAGATTGATGTGACCGCTGTCACCCTCGTGTAGAGTCAACAGAGTTGCCCCGTCGGCCCCATTTTGTGACATATCGTGGTATATCGATTCTCCGTTCTGTCGTATGATGCTGTCATACACTGATTGGGAAACAATCTGAGTATCTCCAGGGGCAACCTCGGCCGATTCCATGTTTCTTCCAGATTTTGTTCCAGATAAGTGCTGCGGGCCTTGGCTGGTCGAAATGTTACGTGAAGCCATAGGGTCTATTTCATGATGCCGACGCAGAAAGGGACGGCGAGTGCGTTTCGTTGTGGAGCTTGCAGGGTCCGATGACGGTTTCGCGGCTAGCCCTTGACCTGTTGGCAAGGCATCACCAGAAGAACGAAGGATAGAGCGATGGTCGTCGGGATTGTCGGTTTCATGCAGCGAGGCGCTGTCAATTTTCACCGGGCTAGATGGGAAAGCCTGGAGGGGTTCGTGCTCCTGAAGATGTCAAGGTCAGTCCAATGAGATTCTGGGACGCTGCAGGTCATTACATACTAGCCCCAACGCGACGCGTTGCAGCGTGGCGATATCGATACTGTCCTGGACGTCCATTTCCACCACCAAATAGCCTTAACCCATCATTTCCGTAAGAAATCTAGCTTGAGCCTCAATATCTGATCCCGCTGATGGAAATTTTTGCTGGATCTCCCAAATTTCGAAGATTCTGCGGTCGTAAGAGTTTCGTTGAGAGACGGACGCGAAACGCGTCAGTCACGTGTTATGATTATGTGCGAATATAACCTTATTGGGACTAGCGTGGTTTTGCGTGACTAGAATGTATACCGAATTCAACAAGCGTGCGATTAGGATATGCACGAAGCAAATGATTGATGATCTACAGAGATAAATATATAGATTCGAAGTATAGAATTGGAAATATTTCATGAAAAATAAATTTCCTTGCAAGAATAGGGTATATAACACAACTAAATGGATATAATGGCATGAATGAAGCGGGTATCTGAAGCCCGACTAAATGATACACAATAATGATTTTCAATCGCGAGTTCGGTTGGGAACCCACCTTCTCAAGACAAATTCCCGGACCCGGTAGCGGCTGATCAAGGCGCCAATGTCATCGGATGAGGCACTCGGAGGGGGCACTTCGACGTAGCAAGCCACCAAACTTTTAAGCACTTGGTTTTGCACACGGTTCACACAATGCAACGACCACCAACTTCGATTCTGCTGCTCAGCTGCATGCTGCCGACGCTCTTCAGTCTCGGACCAGTAAGGATGGTTGTAGGAAGGAATGATGATGACGGCGAATTCGGCATGGGAGAAGACCGGGCCACGGTTGTAGAGGAGATAATCTGTTCCGAATTTCACGCCGGACCTGATCACCCACCCGAGAGAGCGGAAGTGATGATAGGCAGCGTAAGATATCATGAAGGGGTCGTCCGGCTGGAGCTCGGCAGAAGCATTGCGAGGAGGATAGTAGGAGCTATGGCAGAAAAGTGGAACGAGAGACGACGTCGAGATGATGCTATTGTCCTTTGGGTCGACAACGCGGAGGACACCAAGCGCATAGATGAGAAAAAATGCCTCCTCATTGGAGAGCTGCAGATGTTCTTCATTCGCCAACACGTCACGATCCGTGTCGTCATTGAGAGCTTCCAGCGCAGTAGCCGAGGCGGAGTCGGCAGCCTTCTCCTCGACGACAGACGAGAATCGTACTGATTTGCCATTGGCGGCCGTGGACAGATCAATGGATTCGGAGGTATTGGCATTCTGATTGATTTGAGTCCGCGCCCTATACTTGGCTTCCATAGCTTTTTTGACAGAGAACTTCTCAATCGGAACGGACGAGATCTTGTCCTTCAACACGACATCGTTGGTGGCTTCGCGGGCAGCGGCTTCGGCCTTGAGTCTTTCCTCAATCGCTAGCTTCTCGACTCTCGCTCGCTCCATTTTCAATTCGCGCCTCTCAGATCTGCGCTTCCTTACAGCCTCCTCATTGGTAATCCCCCTAGCAGACCCCTCCTCTTCTTCTCTCGCTCCAGCCAGCTCGGCTCACTTCGACTCAGACTACCTTTACCGAAGAACCCCATCTCCCACAATGCCCGGATCACCTTCTCATCGGTGACATGGACGGATGAGGTAGCTGAGTCAAAGTATGCAGTATAGGTTTCTTGGCGTGGAGGGGTTATAAGAAATGTGAGGTACGAGAGGACAGCGCTTATGATAGACAGAGGGTTATGAGGAATTACAGCAGGAATAGGATGGACATTGACTGGAAGAGGAAAGCGATGGATATGCCTGTAATTGGGTCTAGAGGAACGGGCAGGGGCAGGACGAGACTTCGCCTGGGCTGGCCCGGCTTCGGACACTGTCGCAGACACGACTTCAGTCATGGTGCAGAATTACTGAGACTTGAGAAGATAGTAGATGCGTGCCTGAGTTGAAGAATTCTTGTCAGCAAACTCTTCTGGACAGCGACTGAGTGATTACATGGGTTATCACGGTCTTGTCAGATACCGTTGTAGTCAATATAGCAAATCATCGACAAGCAGCTAGAAATCAAGGTGCCGCCTGCCTGAGCATATATATAGTAGGTCATCATCCAAGGGGGAGGGGTATATGTAAAGGCAAAGCAAAAAAAAGCAGAGAGCTTCAAAGAAGCTTGGACAGCTGAGCTTACCTGGCACAATCTGCAAGCCCTGATGCTGGTGGTCGAGACAGGGCACAGGGGTTAACTTAGTATCATACAAGCGTCATGCCGCGGCCAATTGGAGCTGATAGTTTAGTTAAAACGACTTTGCATGATTGACGACAAAAACAAAAACCGATGGTTTTGCTCAGAGCTCACAGAAAAGGAAGAAATGAAATTTTGCGGCGGCTCTATTTTAAGGCGTTGTGGTGACTAAGCAGCTAGGCCAAGTCAAAAAAATTCCTCCGCTTCACAGTCCGCGAACATCCAAGGCTCTCTCGACTCGCACCACAAACCACCGCCAAGTGAGTATTCTTTAGCCCGTTTTGTTTAGAAATTTGTCACAATATGGATTCTCGACTAACGTATCTTTTACCAGAATGCATCTTATGGTACGTGCCTCCGATCAGGATTCTCTCGAGCAGCCCTCGCTCCGTGATATGCGACCAGCCTGAACCCTCAAATTTTTCGCTGACTTTCTCCCCTCCAAAAGTACACTCTCGGACCCGATGGCAAGCGTGTCTACACGCTGAAGAAGGTTGTTGATGGCAAGGTCTCCAAGTCGGCGTAAGGACATATGCTCTTTCTCTGAGTGCCAATGTCCACTTACTCACTTTCAATAGTCACCCTGCTCGTTTCTCCCCCGATGACAAGTACTCGCGTCACCGTGTCACTCTCAAGAAGCGCTACGGCCTCCTGCTCACCCAGCAAACCGGTATGGTTTATTCCTCCGACCCTACATATCACCATGTACTAACTCTGGGCTCAGAGACCACCTCGTCTTGAACACGAAAACTCAAAATTGGGAGGTCATGGGTTGACTGTCAGTTCGGTCCATGATTTGGCGCTTGGTGTTACTTGTGTAGCCCGTGGATGGCTAGGATTTGCATTGTTTTGAATTTTTGGCCTAATATTGGGTTCATTATTTCATCGGGAAATATGAGTCTAGGTGTTTCAACTTTACAACGTTATGCCATCAATACCACTGTTTCTCAACCCGTTTATATGCGATTTTCAATATGCAGCACGACGAGTATATGCATTGGCCCTCGTAGATACATGCAGACCGGACGTGTTTCCTGGTCCTTGGCAGGAAACGATCAAAACGACATTTTTCCAAGTACTTGCCCCAAACTCCAGCCTATGTAATCGATAATGCAAAGAAAAAATCTAGCGCTTTCTTGAATTGACGTTACGTCCTGCGCCGACCTTGATACGGCCACCAGACTTGTTGCGCTCGCCAGTCAAGATACCTGGCAAATAATCCTCGTCCATGAGGTCGCGCTCTCGGCGCTGACGCCGTTCTTCTTCGGTTGTGGAACGAACAAACTCCTTCTGGTCCTCGGCGAGAATGAGCTCAGTGCCCCATCCGCCTTGTCCACCGCCGCCCTTCCACTTGCCATTGGCACTACCGGCGACGGGCTTGGGGACACTATAGCGGTTGCCCCGGTTATTCCACTGCATGTTCTTCTTCAAATGCATGGTGAATTGGCCATTAGCAGTGGTGGTGCACGAAACGCGAGTAAGGGTGTCCTTGCCACATCGAGGACAGAATTGTTTGTTCATTTCCTTAGTAGTAAGGAAACAGGCGTGGCAGCGCTTGATGAACGATTTCAGGTGCTGAACTCTTTGCAGAGTTGTGGTCGACAGAAGATTAAGATTCATCTGAAGTAGCACATTTTGACACTAGAGAGAGTGGATTCGTCAATAATGTCATTTCAAAGGAAAAAGAAAGAGTTTCTCCTACGGCAAAATCAGTCGTCATGGTCACGACCTGCATCGTCTTCGGCTGATTTCCATCGGATCCAGCACCAGCCTCATCGCGGGCCAGCCGCTTCTTGTAGTTAGAGGGTGTGATCCATTCTCCACCATCAGAATCGGCAGCATCATCTTCGTCTTGGTCTTCGGGTTCGTTGTCCTCCTCCACAGTCTGTTCAACAGCAGCAGATTCGACGGGAGTGTTTTCGTCGGTCTTAACTTCTCCGTCATGGACAGCGGTTTCGCTCTCTTTGGACTCCTCCACAGTATCGGTCACTGTAGTCTCCTTGATACCCTCGGCGATAGCACCCACATCAGTCGATTCGCTCTTCTCCTGCTCCTCCTCCTTGACAGGTGGCTTGCCATTGACACGCTTCTGACCAGGTACACTGCGAAGGCGCCAATCTCCCCCGTTGCGCTCGCACTCAATCTCATAGGCGAGTGCCAGCACCTCAATATCGACTCGACTCAGCACAGAGCGATCGCCGGTTTTTCGTGCGAATTCGCTGATGACATTGAAACTCTTGGGAGTGGGTGTCCGCTGCTTCAGGAAAGGCAGGTAGAGTGTCTCCACACGGGCGCGGGCATCGGGATCGCGGATTTCGTTGACCACAGACGGCGTTGTGATAATCTCTTCGCATTGAGCGAGCAGAGTAGAGAGCGGCGGGGTATTTTTGATTATGGGGCCAGCATCCAACACAATGGTGTGGATGGGCTTGGGTGGAGATGATAAGGGGTCTGCCATCTTGACTGCAATCCCAGAGTCTCCGGAAATACTCAGAATGGAGAGGATGATGCGAGTCGTGGGTTGGCGGGGATGGATATTCGTGAAGTGAAAAGGAAATTTCTATACGGACATGGTCTGTGCGCTGTTATCTCCTTATCTTATCATTGCCTCCCCCGCCGAATGGTTTGTAGTTGCCATGTGAGAAAGCCCCCTACAAAGGAGCATTTGAACAAAAGTGACAAAGGCTTTTCTGCTTGATTAAACAAACCTCGTCTCTTAGCGTTTCATATAATATTATTGCATGTGTGGAGACTTATTAGTATAAAACATTATCCCAAGTGTGATCCTTTTTTCTGGAACTGCTAAGGTTATTCTCAAGAGTGAAACAATAAATGTGTGCACTTACCATCTTTCAGCAAGCTGGGGCAAAGGAAGAGTGTTAGACTCATAACCGGGAGGTAAAGGCGCTCACTGTTTCCCACTTCAGACTAATTCAACTATTAAAAGAATCACCGGACACAAACAGCTTTCAAGGGACATTCTATCATATATTGACTTTTCTAATCCTATCCTTGGCATAAGTTATTTTCATTCCATTGAAGCTCCAATTATTTAATTACAGGTTGCATATCGACTCAGTTGAGTACGAAACGTGATTTAACATCTGCACTCCAGGATGGATTCGATTGACCTGTGGTTGGTTGTCTCGATCTCGATTGTACAATGTACTCTTTTAGTCCTTTGTTGAAGTTCAAAATGCACATCAGAGAATTGACCAGTGTTGTACTGATCAAAAGCATAGCTATAATGGCAAAAAGAGTCAAGGATACCCTGTATGAACTCAGATCATTGCTAACAGTGCCTTGACCATACATATGTACTAGTGTCATAACAAAAGTTCCGGCGATAATGCACATCATGAGCTATAATGGCAGTCAGTCGAAGGTACAATCAGCTTAACAAGTGTAGGCACTTTACCATCATCAAAATCAGCGACTTTGTTTTCTCTCGACGGCAGAACAGGGCAGCTAGAATCAAAGCTACTATAGCAACCGGGACCATAGCTGCAGTGACAAAAAACTCTTGGTTTTTGAAATCTTGGACAGCCAGTAAAACCTGAAGTTGTGTTCCAAATATAAAATAGAAATCAAATTTCAGAAGGGCAATGTAAACCTAGCAAAATGAGCAACAAAACTTAAGCAGGGATATGGGCGACAGCCTTTACCTGATATATTGTATATCTGCGATTCATCCGCAGATCTGCACTGATATTTTTATATATCGACCATGAGAACTCAGCTCGCAATTTCCATGTCACAAATATCATGACAGCGGTCCCAACACCGATAAAAACAGGAACCAATATGAGCTCAATATAGTACATTGCCCAGATTTTGTTGCTGCGTGCAGTGTTTGCCACTACGTTTGTGATAGTGTCCCTGATCTCTTTTATTTGCATACAGCCGTAAGTCAAAAGCCCCGTGTTACAAACACATAAGCCAATCAGTTGAAAAGTGTTTTTTCGTCGTAATGCATCGTACGAGAGGCCAAGTTCGTAAAGTAGTGCGAATATGTAGAGACCCAGAAAGGATCGAAGACGTGTGGTTCCACTTCTCATATTCAGCTCCCCGAATTCTTTCGAAATACTGATAAATATCCAGCTATATCTTCCCATAAATACCTATTTCAAAGACCAAAAGCAGAAAGCTGCTCAGAATAGTTTGAAGACATACCTTTCAATCCCAACGGTTACCAGTGTTTCGAGAATAACCGCGGTAGCAAACGAACGCGTCCAAAGAGTATTTGGAATGTACACTGCGCGACGACTTTTTTTGCTTAGAGCAACATGATGCCCATCATTCAGAACTGGACTTTCTGGTGGTCCAAAATCATCAAGCTCAATGTATTGGCCATTGTGGGTGGGATGAGCCGACTGTGAGAAGTTGGAGCGCCCCTGTGGGGAGGGACCTTTGATTGGGGGATACGCGCCTGCTCTAGCTTCTCTCGAACAGTCAGATTGCATTTTTTCGAGGGCCTCCAAAATGCATCTCCCAGTTTCCAAAGCAAGGTGTGAATGCGGTGGGATTATAATAGATATTGGCCTATCAATGTTATTGCGAAAGACGATTATGATTGGCAGATTGGGATGCTGACGAGCACGAATACGAATCGAGGCGCAGAACTGTCGGGGCGATACCCCATTCTTAGGGCTCTTAATCCCCTTGGGTCAATAGTCCAAGCCCAAAGTGGAGTCAAGTGTGTTAGCATCGTGTTATTTTGGCTTCTAAAAAAATCGTTGTTCTAGACATACGCGTCTGTGGCCCAAAGACACCCGGTCTCCACATCTGCAGCCTATCATCTGTAGCTGCCTGGACCATACTCCTATTAACTCAATCCTTTCCAATTTAGAATGGGTCCTAAATCATTTATTCGGCACTTCACACAAGCAAACCCCCAGGGAAAACGTCTCGGACAATCTTGATGCCAAGCGAGACGGCTATGCTACCCAGCAGTTCAGAAGAATGACGGAAGGGGTCGCAAGGAATCATTGTGTAACAAGTAACGAGAATGACAAAAATATCCAAACTTGGTGTTAAACTAGAATTTGGTCTGTCAGTTGGAATTCCCTTTGATTCGTTTGCCAGATACTCAGGACGCTACTTGGTCAGGGGCTACAGCTAATACGATAAACTTTAAAACACTATTGTCCCAATGCAACCCGGATCATCATAACGCTGCAATGTGACAAGTGGAAGGAGCGCAACCAGCATGCTTTCAAGAACTTTGTTCGCTACGGTCGCACTTGTGCTATAGGTAGTAAAACAATCAGCCAAGTTGGTTTGGATTCACACTAAGATGGAAGTCATTCCACATCCGATACTGCTGCAGTAATATTAATCTGTGCAGAAATCCAGTATGTGATTAAGCGGTCTGTTAACAAATAAAGAGACCCTCAGGAAGACATAGGCATGCAGGGAGATTGAGCATATATATTATTCGGTCCGTGGAGGAATGGGCTCTCACTTAGAGCAATTTTCCTCTTGATCTGATTGTCGCCTTGGGTAGCAGCGAATGTTAGCTTCAGGGGGTATGTCTACCTCACTCCTGAGGAAGGCTAGGCCCACGGCGCTTGAAAAAACTCATAATCATCTTCAAATACACAGCAAAATTATGAGAATCAAAAGTATTAATTACATAATTTCCATATAGAAACATATGAGGAAAGATTTCAGTGATTAAATAGCTTTTCCGTGTGCCAAATAGTGCATTGGAGGAAGTGGTGTCTTTTTGAGACGCTGAAGTAAAAGTAAGACAGATAGGAGCCATTCCTACTTTGTTTTCTCAGTCAAACAGCTCTATATTCGACTGGGATCAGAGGATTTAGTCTATCTGAAAGTTCAAAAAGAAAGAAAAACAGAACATACATATGATTGTGAAAGCCTCAAGAGGTCTGATAAAATGCCTCATGGCTAGCCAACTTAGCGAGTCTTATTTTGAATACAAGAACAGCAGCCTTAGAACAACCACCATCACCCAGAAGGTCCGTCGCTTCTTTGGCCTCACCAAGGATTTCTCCTACAAAAGGTCCAAATAAAAGCCCACGAGCCCAAATCGGTATTGATAGGTTTCGCATTTCGGTAGAGGGGGCATAATATCTACGATCATGCCACCGCCACAGGTAATAGGGGCAACAACTACAAATGATGATAAAAAGAGCTGTTTCAATATATTACCCCGAGCAAAATCTGGAATGAGAAAGAGCAGAAACTTAGGTATCAGAGACGAGGGCTTGAGATGGCTCCATCAACTGACAAAATTGTCCTTCTACTTTCGTTTTGTTTTTCGTACAAATGGCTACAATCGGATGGAGGAAACTTTAAGGCACGGATAACGTATTTGATCGTCTACATGAGCACCCTGAGCGAAGAGAAGCTGATCGCTGGGTAGTCATAAGCGCTACTGGAGTACTCAGAGAGCAATAATATTATGATAGACCACCTCTGCTGAGTGACCTCGACACTCAATGAATCGCTCGGTCGGGTCAGAAATGGCTGTATCCGGAATTCTTCTCCTTTGGCGATAAGTATTTTCTAGCTTCTGAGCCTATTGATAATATTCTGGTAAGCACTCGAAGATGAATTTGAGAATTACGAACAAATGGGAGGACTTGTTAACTAAAGGTGGACAACCCCAAATTTAAATTGCTAGGAAGTTCAACCTGGACTCTAGTCATGAAGGTCAAAGGCACTTCAAATTCTTTCACCATTTATTTTCCAGGATTGGGCTTTGAAGTTAGGCTTCAGACCCAATTTTCGTCACCACTGAGTTACCTGCTGCCTTTCAAAAAACGCGCCCCCTTGAATGATTGTGCGAAATCGGGGCGAATCGGATGAACCGTAGGCTCCAGGATCAATTTGATTTTTAACTTTGCCCCTTTTTCAACTGTGATATTGAGCTCAATACACGTTGTCACGGAGATGTTGATTTGTGGAGATAATATTGAGCGTGAGTCCTCCCCTGCTCGCTATTGATCCGTGCGATGAGCTTAACAAAGCCCAGAAGTATGGGGCGAAGCGACTCCGCACCACAAATATTTCAAACCCGCACGTCTCTACAAACAGTCTGCAGTGTTTACATGTCGATTTTCTTCTTGTCTTACAAAGCATACCCTTATAAGCGGTCGTTGGGGCCTCTTTCTTTGTGTTTCTTCAGAGTGACACAAGCGGGGAAGAACGAGGGAAACAAGCTGAACTCATGCCGATTTTCCGATACGTACGGATGCCCGCGCCTCTGGTTTCTGATAGCTCAAATGCACGCCACATCCCGGACACCGGGACCATCTAGCGTCCGCCGTCTCCGCCGCTCTTGGCCCATGTGCATTATATGTATTCCTTCCAGTGCGACGCCAGGAGAGCCTATAGGAAGCTAAAATTATTTCTGTCATAGCCTTGCTATTAGTAATAGGCGCCACTCTTCCGCTTGTTGGTACATTCTATCCCTATTCACAGAGGCCAGCGTGGAAACATTGACCCGACCGACTCAAGGATAGTTAGGCCTCAGTAAGAAGATGTCAACAAATTACCTGTTCATTATCACTTATGTGATGAAGAGTCATGCTCATTATAGAATGACCCCTTTAGAATGAGCTATGTATGTACCTTTATGTTCTCCATATTGAATGATGGACAGAAATTCGTGGATACAGCCTGCAATATGTGTGAAAAAAAGGTCTAGGCCTTGACAATGGAGTCTTGATGATGCTCTTCGATTACCTTTTTCTATGAGAAGGATGCTTTCAAAATTGGGTGATTTGAGATCTGAGCTCCAAAGATCTCCACTACCAGAGACCTGGAAAAAAGAATCAGATCGGAGCCCCAGTGGTACACTAATACTATATGCATGGCCCTGTCGATCATCTATGGTTGTTTGACAAGAACCTGTAACTAATAAAAAGAATATTGTTAGGCAGGCCTTGATCCTTGAACAAAACATTGTAAAGATGAATCCAAAGCTAATGGAATTTTAGAGTTCGATCTGTTTCATATTCAAAAGATGCACAATATCTTATAATCCTAAAGCATATGGCAAGAAGCGAAGAGAAGCGAAAAGAAAAATTTGGTGCTAGGCAGAAAGACGCTTGGCTTAAGAATTTCGGTGGGCAGCGAGAAGCTCATTTGTTGGGGGAGGGGCGGCCCCTTGCGCAACATCCTGCAACTGACCCAGTCCCATCAGGATTCTGTCTTTCACATATGCATAACTCCGCCAATCTGGGGCCTGAGGAGACATGATGCAGGGAGAATTGTTTGGTGATTTTCGTTCTAGGGAGAGAACACTAGCGGATTTCAGCTCCAACCGCTCCTGGGTGATGGGCCCGGTTGTATTTTCTACTGGTCTGACCCTTACAACTAGAGTCATGAGATGAGCATATGGGTATATACCCGTCCAATGTAAAGGAAAAGCCAAATCTGCTCCTCCACTCTCTTTCTGTGTATCTTGGATCTCGGGAAACTGTTTTTGCTCCTATCACTCATTTGAAGCCCTCGATTTCTGATCATTGTATCCGGTCGGCCAGTAGCTGGCTTGCCACGGCTGTCTCATTTACTTGCGGGCTTTCAAGATTGCTAACACTTTCTATCACTTTTCAGCCTGGAACTATCAGGCTAGCTTGGCCAGGAAGCCATTTAGGCGCAAGCATTCCAGGTCCACGTTTTTCTGAAACAAGCACGCTCTCCGTATTTTAAAGTGAAAGATGAGCTTCTCACAGCCTCGGGATATTATCCTCAAGCGTGAAGATGGAAGCCTATATCTGTCGTCACGAGGAGCCCAAGGTTTGGTTACTAGTGTTGTTTTCACATCACTGGCGACTTGCTTCGTTGGAATCCGCATCTTTACTCGGCTCAAGTTTCTGAGGCGCTTGGAAGCCAATGACTGGATGGTTGTGATTGCTTTGGTGAGTTAGTTTGTTGAGTTTATTATTCTTTAAATCTATCATAACACTGATCATTCATTTTTTAGATCAATTCGTTCATTTTTATGGGACTAGACATCGTCGAGGCCACCAGTGGAATGGGAATGCATCTGAAAGATATCCCGCCTAAAATTCTTGAAAGGCAGATGAAGGTAAACTAGCTTCTCTATTACAAGCAGATCAACTGCTGACCTAAATCTCCGTCAGGCTTTCTGGCTCACCGTCCCATTCTACAATGCTGCCGTTCTCTGTGCAAAAGCCTCGATTCTTATGCAGTACTTCCGCGTTTTCCCCACCCGTCGCATGCGCATCGTCTGCTGGACTATGATCACAATTCTCAGTATCTACGGTATTTGGTGTATCATAAGTGCTTTCTTGAACTGCATTCCTGTAGCTAAGTTTTGGGACGACTCTATTCCCGGCTTTTGCTTGAGCAAACCTGCGCTCTGGTTCTCGAATGCCAGTATGCATATTACTACCGACCTTGCCATCCTTATTATTCCAATCCCAGCTTTGATTGCTATTGATATCCCAAAGAAGCAAAAGATTGTTTTGATGATAATGTTTGCCCTTGGTGGGTTGTAAGTCTCCCCTTGCAAGCAATATCACTGAATGACTTGCACAATACTGACTCCCTGCGTAGTGTTTGCATTACCAGTATCATTCGCCTTGTAAGCTTGAAGAAAATCGCAGATTCGACTGACCCAACTTGTATGTCCAGCCCTCTTCTCGAAAACTTTCATCTTACACAGTACTAACTCTACCTGGCAGATGATAATGTGGGTGCAGCATCATGGTCTGCCATTGAATGTAATACTGGTATTATTTGTGCTTGCCTACCAACTCTTAAGCCGCTTGTTTCCAAAATATTGCCTGGGTTAGTTTCTACATTCAGCAACCGACGCACATACGGCAGTGGTGGTGGCAATGATGGTAGCCGTGGTGCGTCGAACGCACGCTCAGTCACCTGGAACGATGAATCCACACTTGGAGCCCCGGGCGATGACCCTGAATATGGTGCTGGCCAGCCTGAACGGATTCTGGAGCTCGGCTCTGGAGGCGATTTTAGTCACGGCTACCAGGTCAAAAAGAATTGTATTGCCGATGCTACATCTGTCATGGAACTGCCGCAGTACGCTCAGCACCAACGAACTGTGTCGAAGAAGTCATTCTCGACTGAGAAATAATGCAGAGGCTTGTCTGACAGGTCAACTTCAACCAATGATCATCGTCATGAATGTTCGAAGTTATGAATGTTTCCCACGATTCGGGGTTTCCTTGGGTTGCACAAACCCATCATACTCCAAGATATATTCGCTCTTTTTCTTGTCACATCTTTCTTTTTATATGGTTTCTGGTGTACGTTCAATCAGTTTCTCGATGAATATAGAGATTAATGGGAACGGGAAGGTGGATATTAATTGCTCGAAAGGCTTGCTGCTTCGGCTAATGCTGTATGGAAAAGAAACTCAATTGAAAAAGCAATAATCCCGCCAACAAAAGGCTTGTGCACTATAGAATCTAAATTTCTATCACCGAGAGACACCAACACAAGATCTAGAAATCAGCAAATTGCTTGTCAACTTCTTCAAAGTAGTCGAAAAAGCCCTTGAACAGCTGGACACCAAGGCCAGGGTCCAGGCTTCCTGTGGTTGCACGAATGCTGTGCATGCTGAGCTGTGGAATACCGCAGTCAATAGCTCTCATTCCAATGCGAGCGCTAGTCATAGGTCCGATGGTGCCACCACTGCGCGAATCATTCCGGATCTGGAAGACCTGCAGGGTCGATCCACAACGACGAGCGACTTCTTTCAGAATGCTACTGCTGACACTGTCGGTGGTCATATGGCCGTTAGAATCAGCAGAAATTGTAACACCCACGTTGAGTCGAGGGGAGTGGTTCTTCAGGTATACATCGAGGAAGTTGGGATTCACGGCATGGATGACATCCGACGAGACCAAGAAGCTGTTTGCAATGGTCTGCGAGAGGAGATTGGGCCCGTACTTGTCTTCAGCAAATGCCTCTGTAATCCGCTCCATGATGGAGCTCATGAAGTTGGACCGGGCTCCTTGGCGCAGCAAACTACCGATTTCCTCGTCGTCAAACATGCCTACCATCTTAACCGTACCAGTCGATGTGCTATCAGTAGAAGCGATAAGAGCTTCGTGAGCGGCATAACAGCATAGCTTGTCATCGATGCGACCAGCGAAAATCATGTCTTTATCTAACCCTCCAAGCCGGGCAGGCTGAGTATCAAAGAGCTCCAGCTCCCACTCAAGGATGGAGCTATAGTCAGTGAGACCGAGTTCCTTCGAGATCACCTTGACCAACTTCTCGGGTTGGGTCGCAGCGAAGGTCCCGGCTGGAATGTCGGTCGACTCCTTAGTTTCTGCCGTCTCAAATAGATCGGAATTGTCTATGCCAATAATTGGCACCATCTGAGTCTCTTTGTTGAATGGGCCGTCGGCAGGGGCCCCGAAATGCTCGGCGAGGGTCGGGATGCGTGCGATCGGCCAGTCCAGCTTAACTAGCTTGGACTCGGCCTTCCCAGTTTGCGGGTCACGAACGATGACACGGCCGCCAATACCGAGATCACGATCCCACCAGGTCTTTCCGAGGCCACCGGCATACGGGGCAACCGCAAGCTGTCGGAAGCCTGCCTTGTTCGGGAGCTTCGACACGGGCTTCAGCTTGGCGGTAAGCGCATCCACGTGTCCTGCCACGACAGCTATACCGTTGCCGCTCTGGTAATCCTTCCCGATATTAAATGCAATTAGGGAGCTGCCGTTACGGGTGCAGTAAAACTTGCCGCCCCGCTTCAGTTCCGAGGTCCAGACTGCACGTTCAGAGAGTTGCTTGTAGCCATGATCTTCAAGGTCCTGGGAGAAAGACTTGACGGCGTGGAAAATGGTCGGATTTGAGGTCATGAACTCGCAGTATGGCTTGGAGTAATCTTCAGGCCGGATTGGTGTCTCGGTGCGAACTGGAACCGGAGCTGTCCGAGCTGGAGTAGGAACTGGAGCAGGGCTTGGGCGGCTATCCGTATTCTCGGGCAGCTGGGCATACATTTGGCTCGCCCATGGCCGATCGAGTCCGGAAGCGTGTCTTCTAGTCATGGTAGATGTTGCGAATATCGAGTTATGGGAAATCGGTCGGTGGTGGTGGATGTGATTGGAGTTGGAGAGGGAGATGAGTCGTGAGGGGAAAAGGCGGAGCGGAGGCTGGGGGCTGCTTATCACCGAGTGCGGCCAGGCACGCGATACGGCGGGCTGGCCCGCCAGGAGACGAACTTAACATCTGCAAATCTTCTTTAGCACATTAAAGTATGAAGACTACATAATCTACACAATGCCCCGTGTTGACCTTATTCTACCTAAGTGGGGTGATCATGTTTTGATGTTGACCAGGTGAATTTTGAATAGAAACCATAATCCATACTATTGAGTGTGGAGTTCTGGTGTCGGAAGGCGAGTTGTTGATGAGCCCCTTTGAGCTCCACGCAGCCACTTCAGGACTTCACGCATTCAGATTCTTCCATCTTTTCCTATTGCTTCAAGTACATATTGAGCTTCGCTTCTGACTACGGTAGTTGGATCGCAGTAGAAGCGGTGAAAAAAGACAAGTGTAGAGTGGAGGAGGGGGTGTCGCAATTACTTTTGTTGCCCTGCATCTTCTCTAGTCTGATAAATGGTGCCTGCAAATAAGCTCTACTAATGTTGTGCTTGTTGACTATTTCCTTGGCTTGCTTTTATGAAGCTCAAATAAGTAAAAAACTGCGATATACAGACAACATGAATAGTTGCCTTTTTTTTCTCCCTAGGTGTCGAAGAGTGCCAGCACTATATGCAGATAGCATGGGCGCAATATCACTAGAAAAAAAAATCAAATCAATCAGTCTATTGCTTTGCTCAAGAAAGACACTCAGTCTCCACACTGCGCGGAATCTAGGTTTCTAGAACTTTGAGCGGCGACTAAAATAGCTCACTTCCACGAGTTAATTTAATGATTATATCGGCCACAAAGTACTTTGCACATCTGCATAGCCAGCTAGAGCTCAGCCCGTTTCAAAACTAGTGTCACCTTTTCTACTCTTCAATTAATGTATTTCACTAGTTCTGTACACCCCATATAAAAGCACGTTGCCACACGCCTCTTACTATTTCCACCATACGCAATGCCATGAAAGCGCTGTCAAAATCATTCAAAATCTCCAGGGACGAAAGGTCAAATCTTACCAGCTATCAAAGTTATACAGAATCAGCCAGTCCCTCCATACGCCAAGATGCAGCAATATATTGCGCACCAGAGAGCACTCCTGTGACAGTATCAAAGACATGCCAATCAGCAGGAAGAAGGTCAGCAAAATCATAAGCTGACACAGGAGGAAGAAGATGCGCTTTTTAAGTGTAGGCTCTCGCTGGATATACGTGATGCTTCCCCTAGGCCTTCAGCAATCCCTGCTATGGCAAACCTTCCTCGGGCAACGCGCATGGGTAATCAATCATCAACAGTCGGTATAAATTGGGTCTATTCTGGTCCTAAAATAGATCTATGGCTCCTGAGTTATGCCAACTAGGGACCAACGGTGTGGTAGAACCGGACCTCGACAACAAGCAGCGGTCGGTGTACAGTCAGTATCAGCAGCACGTGCGGAGAGTCTCCAGAGCAGCATTAGCTCCACCGAGAACGGAGAAAGCCCAGTTTCAGAGGTGGTGACTCATTGAGTGAGACCCCACACAAAGTACATCATATTATCATGTATTATTTTGACGCATTAATTTTGAGATATGCCATCCGTTCTTCTGGGCGCAGAGCGGTATGATCGTATCTTAATCCCGGTCTTGATCGGCCTGAGCGAGACTGTATTCTGAAACATACCATCGCAATACTGATGTGTCTTATAGTCGAAGGCCAGGCAACAGTGAGGGGGAGACCATCGCGGTGTGCCAGGAGACGGATTTTCTCGACTTTGAGAACCAATCCAGTGCAAAGCGAGCCCCTCTCTCCAGCCAATCGGATTGGGGCATACTACCATCGGATCTATCCAGCCGCACTTCCTTGTAGGGGCCATGGAAGTTTTTATCTAGGTTTCTTACATGTTGAACGTCTGTCGGTAGATAGTCGAATCCACTCCTGCATCTCGAAGGCTAGAGAACAGTTCGAGAGAGACGAAGAATGCCGGAATTAATTCCCGACTCAACGGATTCATTTACGGTCGCCACATAACCATCTGACTTAGGGTTGAAAACCGAGTGACGACATCCTATAGTAGGCTCATTAATATTCGAGCCGCCTGGGTCGATTTCCCAAAAGCTGCAATGACCCGAGGAGGGCTCCACGGAAGTAGGGTTGCGCATTCCCAAACAAACCCAGGTTTGCGAACGGTCCGTTTTTCGGCCCTTTTTGACCAGCGGTGGGCAAGAGAGCCTGATCAGCCACTGATTGATAAGAATTTGCTGCGTTGTGGGGGACGCAGCCAAGACGAAGAGCCAACGGACGCGGGCGAGGCACCAATCAGCTGCAGCGGTTTGGAGGATCCGGGAGGGGGAAAAGGTTGGTTCGAGTCTCCAGTTATGGATTCACCCTAGCCATGAATCTGCGAATAATCGCCCAGAAAAATTGCCTCGCAGTGGCATCAGCATCATCGATTAACGAGAAACGTGGATCGTTGTCGTCCGGATTGCCCAAAGAGGCAGGCCACTAGCGCCATCAGATAAGATCACAGCCGGAGGGCTTCTCCCCGTTTCGAGAGCTTAGGAGCTTCTGTCGATCCATTGCCCCCCTTCACCGGGGTGGGAAAAGAAATTTCACGCGGAACATCTCATTGGCCCCAGCGCCGATTCTGCTAGGTAATGGATGAGCATCGGTCCCCGAAGGGTGGAAGAAAAAGAGGCCGAAAGGGGGCTTGATCTTGTCCTCTTGTCCACACACAAGCGAAGGATTTCATACTTTGCCGTTCTTCCCCCCCTCTCGATTTGAAAAGTGGTATCTCTTTTGCACATGCGTAGTTTTCCGTAAACTTCTCGGTCGGCATTGACATCTCCGATCCTCAACCCGGGGGTCTTTATCTTGCTTGAGTCATAAAGTTACGAACCAGCACGTAGACGCAGCTGAAGAAAAATAACGAATCTCACGAAGTACTTGGAAGGAAGCCCTCGTCAGCCCACTTCCTGGCCATGTTTGCCGGCCTCCACTTTCCTTACCTAATTGACTTCCTGGTCCATGTTTTCACGGATCTGATAAAAAAACTCGGAGCCAATGGATCCCCATGCCCCAAGCGGTTTAGCACTCAGCCGACTCGCGCATCCGAAACCGGCATCATGTGAGCACCATCTCAATCTAATCTGATCATCGCTCTTTTCTCTTCTTTCCTTCCCTTCTCCCCAACTTGTTCTTTTTGAAACCATTTGCATCACTACTCTCTCTTTTCCATCCCTGCTCCAAAGCTATCAGCCTTCCCTCTTGTTCGGTGTCACTCTGCGTGGCTCCCGCCAATCTCGCTTATCGGCTCGCTGAGCGCACATCCGCTCTTCCGACCGACGGCTCGTGCGTGCCCTCCCGAACCCGCCCGAAGTCGTTCTCCCCTCAAATGTGCCCGCTGACCCCAAACCAGCACCTAAAGTGACTTTGGCATCATGATGGCCACGACAGGCGTGTCCATCACGCCTGCGCCGGCCTCTGCCGCACCACCACTGGCTCTCGCTCCGGCTCCTGCGCTGGCTGCTCGACCCTCTGTAGCCCCGTCGCCTGGACCTGGCACGCCCGGGTCCATCACCTCCAAGGAATGGGTGATCCCACCCCGTCCAAAGCCTGGCCGCAAGCCAGCAACGGATACTCCCCCAACAAAACGCAAGGCCCAGAACCGAGCAGCCCAGCGAGCTTTCCGAGAAAGACGGGCCGCCCGAGTCCAGGAACTGGAAGAGCAGATCAAAGAGATCGAAGATGGCCATGACATCCGCGTGGCAACGTTGAATGAACAGATCACCAACCTTTCTCGTGAGGTTGAACAGTGCCGTGAGGAGATGGGCTGGTGGCGCGACCGGTGCCATTCCCTAGAGAAGGAGGTCTCTATCGAACGCAGTGCGAAAGAGGCACTCGTGAAGGAATTCCGTTCGTCTCTCTCCGGCTCTAACTGCAATAAATCCTCCATCACTTCGGACTCTGTTCCTCTTCCACCTCGCACTCGCCCGTCTACCCGGCGTTCCCGAATGGAAGATGTTGTGCCTACCAGCGTCGACCGCAACAAGGAAGACGGTCAGGCAAATGTACCTTTGGGCTGCACCAATTGCTCCTCGGCGCACTGCCAATGCATCGAGGACGCCTTCTCAATGCCTATTGATACTCACGAGTCCTCTCGTTCCCGACATCCTCCTCACGGCGTTGGAAGCCCGATTCGTGAGACCTCGGATCCTCAAATCAAACCTGACCCGGAAGAGATGGAGATTGACTTCACGTCCCGGTTCGCCGGTGTTCCCGCTCAATCGAGCTCCAACAACCACAATAACAATGTCTCCTCTCCACCTGTCGACCCCTGCGGATTCTGCCAGGACGGCACTCCGTGCATCTGCGCTGAAATGGCCGCTCAGGAACAGCAACGCAGCAGCCGCAACACCTTTGAGACCAACCGCCTGGCTCCCATTCAATCTATCTCTCAGTTCACCCCGCCCCCATCCGATGGCGACGTGCGGTCTGAAGTGACTCTCCCGTCGATCAGCCAAGCGACGAACCCGTGTGCCAATGGACCCGGCACCTGCGCTCAGTGTCTCGCCGATCCTCGGAGCACCCTTTTTTGCAAGACGCTGGCAGCCTCCCGGTCAGCGAGCGGAACTCCATCGGGAGGAGGATGCTGCGGTGGCAAGGGAGCCGACGGGGGTGCTGCATGTCAAGAAATGCCCCCGCCACCCCGACCACGCGTAACAACCCCTCCATGCCTCCGCAATCTGCCCCATCCAAGCCCCCTACGCCCAATGCGCTCACCCTGAGTTGTGCCGATGCATTCACAACTCTCTCTCGTCACCCAAATTCTCTCGCGCCAGCGATGAAATCTCTAGCTGGCTGCCGAAGCTGCACACTCTCCCCAACCCGCGGGACTTGGCCTTAGCCGAGAGTCATGGCAGTCGGGCTGCGATGGAAGTCGAAGCTGCTAGTGTTATGGGCGTGTTGCGATATTTCGACCGACGCTTTGCTGAGAAATAACCCCATTAAATGTGACAAACTGTCACTCTCTTCTCTCCTGAATATTGCATCGGGTCTTTTCTTCTTCTGCCATCCGGCGGACACTTTTGATACCCACACCCCCCGATTGCCCCATGTATCACCATACGGTCTACATCTTCATGTTTATTTCCTTTTTTTTCCTTCACACTGCCCTCTTACCATGTCATAACAGGAATTCCAGGAGGCTGAAACGCTTCGCAGGCTCTCATATTTGACATATCTGTTCTCCCCAACCTCTCGACTACTTCTTCTCTTCTCCTAAAAGCGTTTGAATTATTTTTTCTTCTCTACGCTCTAGCGCATTCCTGGCCTCTTAATTGGAAGGCCGGGGCGTGGTGACCTTTTGACCGATATGAACATGGTCTGTGATTGGCTCCTGTCGCGGTTCTGATGTTTTACCTTTTCCATTCCTTCTCTAGACGGATTGGATTTCATAGGCGTTTCTCTTTTTTTCTTTTTGCCTTGTCCTCGATTTAATGGCCATGTATACACCGTGTTTTTTTTGATGAATGGAATGATTATCACACGCTCACTATTTTGTTTTTCGCACTCACTGGATTTCATGCTCAATGTGAAGAAAGTTCTTCTAGAAATAGATCTACCAGGCATGCCAAAGATATCTTCACCGGTTGATACGATGTTCCATATTTTCTGACCGCGATATAAGTATCAAGTCATTGCGCTCTCCGACATATAGATAGGGAAGAAGAAACAAAGGTTGTAGAAAAATCCATTAGATGGGAATTATATCAGATTGCTATGTAGGTGGTGCCAAGATTTTATACAGTGTGCAAAAAATATTAAGGACGCCGATTGCCTGCCCCCTGGATCCATTCCCTGGGGTATAAGTTGTGAGCAGAGGGAGGGAGGAGGGGAGAGTCGAAAAAAGAGCATTTGTAGCGTTAACAAAATGCAGTCTTCGTCTGGGCCTGCCAAAGAAATGGAATATGCCGAGATAGCGGGAATGGAAGAGTAGGTGGGATATCCGTATTAACAGCGATTGACCAAGATGGCTACATCGTCGCCTGAAGCAAGGCCTTATTTCAGTTTACCTAGAAACGCCCACCGCTAGACCGACCATGTCCGCCACGAAGGGTCACTTCCTCCTCAGCGGCGAATCCACCGAGCAGACTGGCGCCCCAAATACCGGCGATGCCCCACATACCCATGCGCCATCCGCGGTACAGGCCTTGAATGCCTTGGCCTTGCTGCCGTTTCTGCCGCTCGTGCTGCGAAGCCGGCTTGCCGATCAGCTGCCGGGCGCGTTCGGACTCGGAGGGGGTGGGGCTCACGCCCTCCTCGTGGACGATGTGCCACATCGTGCCAACGATACCACGGTAAGTACGTGGCGTGGGAACAATTGTCTCAACATCCGAAGCGTCAATAGACGCAGCGCGGATGCTGCCACCAGAGGATTTCTGGCGCAGGCTCAAGGAAGTGTATGAGGCAATCTGGGCGCGGCGGAGGACAGTCTCGAGGGGAAACCGCACGGCAAGTTCGAGGCCAGAACTGACAAAGGTGGAAAGGTTCCACATGGAAGGATTGAGGAGGGGATCGATTGACAAGTAGGACTTGAGGAAGAGTGGGGTCGAGGTGGTGATGAAATTGGGCAGGCTAGAGTGGAGAATGGTGATTGGGACAAGGTGTGGTGGAATGGTGCAGTTAGGAGTAGGGAGCTGGCGGATGGCACGGATGAGGGAGCGCGGGCCGTGCGTTGCGGGTGTGAGCATTAAGTAAGTGCGAGCAGTATCGATCGGAGAGAGGAGCATCGCAGATAGAGATGATGAAATGAAGGATATGATTAGAGTCGCCACAGGGGAAGGTGCTGTTAAGATGTCGGCAGCCATCGAGGAGGCTATGTCTTCCTCTGGAAGGCCGATGATGGCCGAGAGAAGACTGCGAATAAATGTGTTGAGGGTTGGGAGGAGCAGTGAATAGATAAATGTTGCATTAGAGGATTTCCAGAGGGAGCTCGGCCCGCTGGTCGTCCATAGTTGAGAGAGAACCTCCGTCAAGGAGGTCGGGTTGCGAATCGTCAGGGCATGCTTAGATGGCGCAGGTGCGGCGTCTCGGATGTAGCCACTGCGGTCTGTGATGTGATGCCGGCCCCTGCGAGATCGCGGTGTCGACGGTATAGGCGTCGTGGGCGCCGCGGAGGTAAAATAAGTGCTCTCATCATCTGATGACTCGGAGTCCTGGCGAGAGATCAGTTAGCTTAACATACCTGACATCAAGAAACAGAAACGCGTACTGATTCATATGAACTCCCGCCAGTTCCAGGACTCGACCTTCGATCCGGTTGTTCCTCGGTGGCGTCCGGCACGACGTACACCTGCAGAATAGTTTTGGCAACATCGAAGGGCTGTGCAGTAAGAACCTTGCTATATCGAACAAGGGCTCTGTTCAGGGCATCGCGGACCCAATCGGACACTGAGGGCGATGAGTCCAGATAATCTGCGTAGTCGATGTCGCGGATGAGGTCGCGCGCCGAGCTGCCAAACACCTGGGCCGACGGTGGCGGTATTTCAGGGGTCGCGTGGGAGGCGGGTGACAAGCCCGACTGGGGGATATAATACGGGCGTAAGGGATTGATCCCTTCGCGAGACGCCATGGTGGATGCCGATGGAGGGAGGGGTGAGGGTTCGGGGATAAAAAAACGAGGTCGGAGCAAAGAAGCAGCTCATGTCCGAACGACGCCGCCTTAGCTTTGTCAGTCTTTTTTTTCGCCCGCGGCCATTGGCCGATCGCCTTCCTCCGGCGCCCCAGACCTTTCCCGACTTCTCGCCCACTTCCGTATCTCTTCGCTTTTTTGCCTTCAAACAACCTCAACACAATGGCGCTCTGGCGAGAATTCGGCCTGCAATTGCGCCGTGCGGTGCCCAAGGCTACTGCCGGAGATGTGTGTCTTGCTCAATCACGGAGATACGTTAGCCACCAAACAGCGCCGTGGAGAACCGGAGGGGTCAGACACTCAAGTTGGTTGAACTCCAAGGCAAAGAAGAACCCTCGAGTCTCATCACAGAGCTGGACAGCTATCCAGCGGTCATTTTCAGTGACTGTGCAAGCTGCTCATGGCCACATCACGCCGCCCAAGGCCGGTGAAGAGTGAGTCAAGGAAATGCGACATGTTTGCACTCTCAAGTTACTGACAATTGATCGTGTTGCAAGGATCAATGTCACCTTCATTGACAAGGATGGCACCAAGGTCGCATTGCAGGTATCGGAGGGAGACAATTTGCTAGATATCGCACAAGCCAACGACCTCGAAATGGAAGGTATGTCCAATTTCCCGATTCAAGTCGCATTCACTTTCCCGGATCCTGACTAGATCCATCTGCTAGGTGCTTGCGGTGGCTCATGTGCATGCTCAACGTGCCATGTTATTGTCGAAGACCCGGACATGTTCGATAAGATGGAGGAGCCCTCGGATGATGAGAATGACATGCTGGACCTGGCATTTGGCCTGACCGAGACATCGCGCTTGGGCTGCCAGGTGATCATGAGCAAGGACTTGGACGGTATCATTGTGCGCTTGCCATCCATGACGCGAAATCTTCAGGCGAGCGACTTTGAATCGAAGTGAGGTGACAATGAAGAAACTTAAATTGGGGAGAAAAGGTCCATGAAGTAAATCTTCAGACGTGGAATATACGATGAATTCGTCCCTTGGGGACCCTGTATTATTTGCATTTGATTTGTCTGGCAGACCAGCAAGATACCGAATGAAACTCTCCTGTACCATTTGTAAAATCATTCCATAAAGACTATGGGTTTATATGTGAACGTCATTGTTAATAACAGAATACAAATAAAAAATCAGGTTCTCCAAACGCCAGAAACATGCCATGGATATCATACGGCTTTTGAATCCTTCTAGGCCTCCTCGATATTGAGCGGCTTCCCCTTCTTCCCGTTGATCAGTTCCAGGAATCCTTGCTTGCTGACCTCGTTGACGGCTTTCTCTCGCTCTCCCATGCCGACGGTTCCCTTTTTGCGCTCGTCCTTCACAGCCTCCTCGCCACGGACCTGGGCAGCGCGCACGGCATTGAACAGCTTTACAACACCCCGCTGGGCCATCTTGCGCAATCGCTTCTCCTCCTCTTGAACGGGACCGGCAAGACCTCTCTGGATACCCATCACATCGCGAACACGGCCGCGATCGAGCTCTTCCTTCTTTTCGGCACGCAGCTTCGCACGTGCTTGCTTTTCAAGCTTCTCTTCCACAAAATCACTGGTAGCCTGGGTGGCATTTTTGCTTCGGGACAGAACGGGGTCGGCACGAGCGGATGATGGCAGTTTGGTGGACAGAATTTTGGAGATGGATGTTGAGAATGCGGAGGGATCGTTGCGCTTAGGAACTGAGCGACGCTTGTTGCCTGCATCGGAGTGCTCTGAATCAGAGACATCGGCATCGTCATCGTCAGAGTTAGAGGCATCTTGGTCGGCCTCGTCGGCTTGATCTTCGTTCTCTTCGGCGTCATCATCGCTCGAGTCCTCGACGGCGGCGGATTTTTTTGGGGGTGTAGAGGCGGATTTGCTCTTCGGGTTTTTCAATTTGGATGGACCAGCAGTGCTCTTAGCCACTGCAACTCCTCCATCCTCTTCCTCATCTGAATCAGCGAGGTTCACGGCCTTGAAAGTGCCCTCGTCCTCTTCCTGCTCGTCTTCGGAGCTGCTGTGGTATTCGCGTTGCTTGCGAAACTTCTTTGGGCGCGCGGTCTTGCCCTGCATGCCATCGACCACCTTGCGCTTCTTGGAATAGGACCCAACCATTTTGGACCAAAAAAATCGAATTGAATGTTTGGTGTAATTGAATAGAAGTTGAAGTGAATTCATCTCGTAGCGTTCAACTTTTTTGGGCGGTGAGGCCTTCCCGCGCTCCGATTGGCACTCCGCGTTGCCTCCTTGGTCTTTCGGCTCTCGCCCCTCCACATCGTCTGGGAATCCCGACTTGCTGTGAATACACACACCTTCACTCCCCTGTTCTATCAACCATGGTCCTCCAGGATCTTGGGCGGCGCATTAATGCCGCCGTCAATGACCTCACCAGGTCAAACAACCTCGATGAGAAGGTTTGTCTTTATTGTCATGGTGGCCCGACGACCATGTATGCTAATGGGACCTCCAGGCTTTCGATGAGATGCTGAAAGAGATCTGTGCTGCCCTGCTCTCCGCTGATGTCAACGTCCGCCTCGTTCAGTCACTGCGCAAGTCGATTAAATCCAGTGTGAATTTCGCGTCCCTCCCCGCGGCCGTCAACAAGAAGCGCCTCATCCAGAAGACCGTTTTCGATGAGCTGGTGGCCCTGGTCGACCCCCATGCGGAGCCTTTCCGGCCCAAGAAGGGTCGTCCCAACGTCATCATGTTCGTTGGTTTGCAGGGTGCTGGTAAAACCACTACCTGTACCAAGCTGGCCCGCCATTACCAGATGCGTGGGTTCAAGACGGCTTTGGTCTGCGCGGATACCTTTCGTGCTGGTGCATTCGACCAGCTGAAGCAGAATGCGACCAAGGCCAAGATTCCCTACTACGGTAGCTTGACTCAGACAGATCCGGCTATCGTGGCTGCAGAGGGTGTTGCTAAATTCAAGAAGGAACGGTTCGACATTATTATCGTTGATACCAGCGGTCGTCACCGCCAAGAGGAGGAACTGTTCACTGAGATGACTCAGATTCAGACCGCGGTCACGCCCGATCAGACCATCTTGGTCCTGGACGGCACGATCGGTCAGGCTGCTGAGTCTCAGTCGGCTGCTTTCAAGGCTACCGCTGACTTCGGTGCCATTATCATTACCAAGACTGACGGCCACGCCGCGGGTGGAGGTGCTATCTCTGCCGTTGCTGCGACACATACTCCTATCATTTTCCTTGGAACTGGTGAACACATGATGGATCTTGAGCGATTCGAGCCCCGCGCATTTGTTCAAAAGCTGCTGGGAATGGGCGACGTCGCTGGCCTGGTCGAGCATGTCCAGGCCATCACCAAGGACTCGGCCTCGGCCAAGGAAACCTACAAGCATATTGCGGAAGGCATCTACACCCTGCGGGATTTCCGCGAGAACATCACTTCAATTATGAAGATGGGCCCGTTGTCAAAATTGTCTGGCATGATTCCCGGTCTCTCCAACCTGACTCAGGGTCTGGACGACGAGGACGGATCTCTGAAGCTGCGTCGCATGATTTACATTTTTGACAGCATGACTGCTGTTGAACTTGACAGTGATGGCAAGACCTTTGTCGAGCAGCCCAGCCGCATGGTCCGCATCGCTCACGGCAGTGGTACCAGCGTCCGCGAAGTGGAAGATCTCCTCTCCCAGCATCGCATGATGGCCGGGATGGCCAAGAAGGTTGGTGGTCAGAAGAAGCAGATGCAGCGTGCACAAAACATGCTCAAGGGTGGAAACAACCAGCAGCAGCTTGCTGCTATGCAAAAGCGAATGGCTGCTATGGGTGGTGCTGGTGGTATGGGCGGTATGCCCGGCATGGGCGATATGGCCAAGATGATGCAAATGATGGGCGGCGGCCAGGGTGGCGGTGGCATCCCAGGTCTAGGAGGTATGGACCTGCAGAGTATGATGAGCCAGATGGGTGGATTGATGGGCGGTATGGGCGGTATGGGAGGAGGTGGTCGTGGACGCGGACGGTAGATGCTGTGATCCTAAGTCTCCGTTACTTCCTCTACAACCCTCACATACGCTGATGGTTCATCAACTTTGCATCTGGGCTGGTGTTTGGCGTTGAATATATCATTCATTTCTATGTGGCCTACACATTGTAACAACTGTGAATAAGGATCTACAATGTCTTAACTTGAACGATATCCTTTTCTATCATCCCTATATTATCTCGTTTCTAATGTTCTAGTTTTCCACATGCTTTGCTACTGTATGTCCCATATGATGAGAGATAAAGAGGGATCTGGTTTCATGGCTATCTCTCACTTCTCACTTCATATACAGCAGGCTTCCTGCACTCGTCTTTGTTTACTGCCCCGCTCTATCTAATGTCTCAGCCCTCTCATCTCAGAACACCATTCTTTCTTCGCTTTTCCCCATCTGCTGTTTAATCTCAAGTCCAGTCAATACAACCTGACGTATATGCATTGGCCATGTCCGATCCGAAGACGCCTGGAAATCCCGGCCAAACTCCTTTCAGGCTGTCTCGGTACGAAATATACCGCCGCTACATCTTCGAGAGATGGGCTGAAAACCTCGAGCTTCCTCTGTACGAGCGAGTGAGTGCTTCAACTACAGATCAGACTGTTGTATGATTATTCACAATCTTACAGACCGAGGACAACAAGGTCATTCTCCATAATGGCGAGCTTTATTGCCGAATAAAGGGTTGCTGGCTGGGATTCGTCTGTTGTCGACTCCTCTGTGCTTTTTGTGGGTTATTCTGATTGAAATTTCGGTGGTCATCCAGGTTGCTTTCAATAACACAAAGAATCTGCGCCGTCATCTCCTCATCGCCCATGAGTGTGCAGTGGAGAACATGAAGCGCAATCTGAACAACAATGATCGACTTGCTATTCTCGGTGAGCGTCCTAATCTATATCGTTATGTCAAGTCTAACTCTAGACTAGGCTGGTATGAATCGCTCTTCTCTGGCACTAGGGTTGAACTTGACATGGACTATCTTGAGAGTGACCGAGGCTACTACGGGGACCCCTCTCGTTATGACGGTCATTGGCTGCGATCTCTTTTTGACTAGGAGTAGACTCATGTGGAAGGAGAGTCACGATTCAATTTTATCAATTCGCTGAATCGGCGAATTATCGTCATGCGAGCGCAATTATCATGAATGGGGTACTACGATGGATAGGGTCGAGCTTTGTGCTTGTTGGGTCTTGGCGATCATTATTGATGCCGGTGACTTCAGAGGTTTCTTTCTGGTGATAGTATTGCAGTCTCAAATTTAAAATATCTTCTGAGTCGATAGATGCTTCTTTGTTATGCTGCTTACATGTATAGACTTGAGTATGGCCAAGCTTAGTTAGACTATGTCCAGTCTTTACATCTGATTTCCTGCTGAACACAGACATTCGACCATTGAACTATATAGTGAACATTTTCCAGTCTTTGAGCTAATAAAGTTTCTTATTGAGTCCTAAACACCTGAAGTTTCACTTCCCAGAATATTATAAGACTTTGTGACTTCGTATATATATATATACAAATTTTAGGGCCAAATGGGCGATTTTCGGAATTCATATGGCTCATATTTTGCATGACATGTTTATAAAAAGTGACAGGTTGTTCAGCCTTTTGGTATCTGGGCCAGGGGTTTGGAAGGGAGCACGCAGGTTATATACATAGTATATCCTGGAGACTATGTACGTCAAGAGCTCGATGTTGAAGAGAGAATACACTTGGGTAAAGGAATGAGAATACATTCGTCAGTTGATGACGGCTTCCCCCAGAAAGAACTGGCACAGACGAAGCGTGTCGGCCTCATAATGTGAAGGTACGATTTACTCCGCATTCAGACTCTCTGAGTATCTGACTAACGATCCCATAGCCTGAGTTACCGGGATACAAAAGAGGGTGCTAATCCTTGTATTATTATATGATTCTTTCTCGCATTTTCTAATTTTTTTCTATTTTTTTCTTATCTTCTTCTTTTTAGTGTCTCGAGATTTAACATGGGGTGATCAATTGAATACGTCTTTTTGGTGCGTTGAGCGTAAATCAAAAGTTGGCATCCTCAGTTTACCCCAGCACTAGGCACATTATTCAGGCTCGATCTTCCCGCAGAGTCCACTCCACCTCTTCCTTTACCAGGGGTCCCCGCTATCATCCATACCTGTGCAGGAGCCTGTAGGTGCTTCTCTCCCGCCCCCTCCGCCATACAATCATTCTTTCCATTGAAGAGCGTCTTTATACTCCAAAAGATGCCACCCATCCCGGGTGGAGCGCCCCATCGCCCACGGGTGATCTGCTATCACCAAACCCTCATCCCCGGTGAGGGGCCGTATGTCTCCATGCTACCACTCCTGGAACAGAATACTGGGATTACACATATCATCCTGGCCGCTATCCACATCAACGACGAGCCAGGGAACATCACACTGAACGATGATCCTCCAGACAGCCCTAAATTTGATCCGCTATGGGCCGAAGTCCCTCTGCTAAAACAGGGCGGCGTGAAAGTGATGGGCATGCTCGGCGGCGCCGCACCGGGCTCTTTTCAACGACTTGACGGCAGCCAGCAGCAATTCGAACGCTTTTATAGCCCTCTATTGACCATTCTTCGCCGGCATGGACTGCAGGGGCTTGATCTGGACGTGGAAGAAAAAATGTCCTTGCCGGGTATCATTCGGTTAATCGACCGGCTCAAGGCCGACATGGGCGCGGATTTCATCATCACGCTAGCCCCGGTCGCAGCTGCTCTCCTGGGAGTTGGCAACTTGTCGGGCTTTGACTATCGTGAACTTGAACAGGCGTGCGCTTCTAAGATCGACTGGTACAACACCCAATTCTATAATGGCTGGGGTCCGGCAGAGGATCCTCGGATGTATGCCGCCATGGTCGCGCAAGGCTGGTCCCCGCGTCGCGTGGTATATGGCCTGTTAACAAATCCCGGCAACGGATCCCAAGGTTACGTGTCTCGTGAGAAAATGACTGCTGTCTTGGCCACGCTAATTGAGCAATTTCCGGAATTTGGTGGCGTCATGGGCTGGGAGTACTTCAATGCGCTACCTGGTGATCGGGAGAACCCATGGCAATGGGCGGCAGAAATGTCGATGAGTATGGGGATGAAAGACTTGGTGACAGCGGCTCGTCAGATATTGGCGGCAGGGCCGATGGCCAGCAGTTTGAATAGCCTTCTGCAGGACATGTTGAATCAAGGGCAAGGAAGATGAGGCATCGGCAAATCTCTCTCAATAAACCCATATATGAATATTGGAATCGATCTAGACTACATAACAGATGAAATCCATTATCCGTTCTTACTCATAAGTCCCCAAATCGGTATGTAGACCTGTATCCCTGTGTTTTTCTATGTTTTGCATTTTGTTCTTTTTTGGGTAATTCGCAGGCGAGATTTGAAGCCTGCAAAGCCAGGCTGTAAATGACATCATCACCCCCTGCAGACTGCCAATCAACAAGGCTAGAAACAACATGACACCACCAGACACTTCCGGACTTCGAGACATTCATTTCGCGTTGACAAGCTTTTTCTCTCTTGTTGTTTGGTCCTGTCGATGACTGCAAGATCAGCTACGGTTAAAAGGTGAAACGGGATAATGGCGTCCTTGCCGCGCATTGCCGCAGTCATAAGTTCTGCAACAACTCGATGTTTTGCCTTCGTCTTCTTGAGATGGGTAGGGGCTCCGTGATCAATCCAATTCGCCGTTCTTTTCACTAATATCTTGCTAGATACCTGGCCATCCATTTGTACCAATTGTCATCACCTCGCTTGCAGTGTATCTTTCATCGCTGTACACTTTGCTTAGAAATGATCAGCCTGGTGAAGATCGCCCGAGGAAGAACCGCAAGCGTACTGCCAGTGAGTTGATCCTGGGAGGGCCTTGAATGATCTTTCTAAATATACCATGATATAGAATATACCAAAAGCTCAAACACCGACCAGGCTGGTGATTCTGCGCTGAAAACTTTATTGACGGGACTCCCTTACAAAAGATCGCCGCTGTGGACCTGGACGACCGCAATGGTCAATGTCATAGCGGCGTTGCTAACTCTTGACTTTTTGCTTCGCGCGATTGTATTCTACCCCAGTTCTGATGTCTCATTCTCACGTATTGGTTATGTCTCCCCGACTACGGCCAATCTACTTTTCCGTGAGCCCGATTTGGCTCAACTTCCAGTGATTGTTTCATACCAGGAGGCCTCGACACCAGCCTCACAGAAATGGATCCAAGAAGGTACCGTCTACAAGCTGGACAACAGTACTGATTATACAACCATGGTCACCTTGAAAAATTTGAAGCCGGCAACAAATTACCGATATTCTTTATCCAACAACAAGACTGGCGCTTTTGTGACAGCCCCACGACCTGGAACAAGCGCCGCAAACCGACTCTCTTTCGTCACATCAAGTTGCTTGAAGCCAAACTTTCCCTACAACATTTTATCTCATCCATTGAGAGTCCCAGGGATTGAGCAAATGACGGAGGCGCTTGGGAGGCTTCCAAAATTTCTTAAACCTACATTCATGCTTTTCCTTGGAGATTTCATCTACATCGACGTCCCTTTCCGCTTAGGCTCTTCTATGGAACATTATCGCAGTGAATACCGACGGATATATTCATCCCCATCCTGGGCTTCCAGCTCAAGCGATGGGCCAGCCTTTGATTTGCCATGGATCCACACACTAGATGACCATGAGATCGAAAACGACTGGTCTCACGGTAACAAGACAGCACCATATCCGGCCGCATCCGACCCATTTCTGCACTATCATGTTGCAGCCAACCCACCGGTCCCAGCGAAGCCTTTCGCTCACCCTAACGACGTCACGTATTTCTCATTTGTCAATGGACCGGCCTCGTTCTTCATGCTAGATACCCGAACCTACCGTTCTGAGCCAGCACAGGAGAACTCCACAATCCTGGGTTATGCTCAACGAGAATCACTGCTGGCATATCTCGCTAAACCTGAACCAGCTGATGTACACTGGAAGATCATCTCTTCCAGTGTTCCTTTCACCAAGAACTGGCATGTCGGGACAACCGATACCTGGGGCGGTTTTCTAAACGAGCGTCGTACCATTTTTGAAGCAATGTGGCGTTCAGAGCGCGAGCTTGGCGTTCGTATCATCCTCTTAAGTGGTGACCGTCATGAGTTTGGCGCAACCCGATTCCCAGATCCAACTCTCAACCTGGATAATACAGAGCTTCGACCTAACACGGAAGGTCATGGTCTGCACGAATTTAGTGTTGGTCCCCTCAGTATGTTCTATCTGCCCATTCGGACATACCGTCAAAAGGATGATGAGGACGTGGCGGTGAAGTACGTCCCAGACGGAAACAGCAAGTTTGGCTTCATTGAAATCTCCGACGGTGTTGACGAGGCCGATTCGACTGCATCTGCCCCAGTCCTCATTCGAAGCTCTATGCTCACCTATTCATTATATGTGGATGGCGATGTCGTTTGGAAGTACCGGCTTAGTGTGCCTTTAGATCCCGCAGCTGGCACCCGTGCGGCATCAGGCTCAGAGGAGGTTACTCACCTACCCCCCGGTCGAGTCCTTGAGGATAGTCTGTTCGACAATGGCTGGGATGTCATTTTCAAGACTGTAGTGGGTCGAACGGAGGAGATTGTGCGCTGGGCCGTCGACACAGCCAGTGAATATTACTATGAAAGGATGGTAAAATTGCAGAAAACATAAGATATTGATGATATAAAAAAAAGGCAGCATTCATTTTGGAGATGATATTTTGATTCTTATTTGGGCACAATTGGCGGGGTGAATAGACTATGCTATGTAACATTCTGCACGATAATATTCGACGCGACATTCAATCCTCTGTGAGAGCGAATACAGCTTTTCAAGTAAAAATGATTGATCAAAAGTAACCCTTTTTGTTTCTCAATGAAAAAGAAAATAAGGACTCTATGATTCGTGCTTCAAAAGGGGCCCTCAAGAAATATAATCAATAGTTGTCTCCCTGCCCATCCATGGAAACAAGCGAGTATTTCGCATGACATCAAATGAGCCAAATCGGACGAACTTCCGCACCAATCAAAGTCAGCCACCCAAGGCCTCCATTGGACGCCAAGGCGCAACTAAATGGTTTTATGGGGTGTCCTATGACGAATAGTCGATTTCAACCGGACATTGAAGAAGGCCTGGTCATCAATAGATATGATGCAAAGAGGCAAAAGACCAGAGAGGATGAGATATAAAACTTACCTCTTTCCTCCAACGAAGGCGCGACATCATGATAGAGAATTATAGCATGGAATTCAATACTGCCTCTTTTTATACTCCTTCTGATACTGCATTCGGGAATTCAAGTTCTTCTTACCATGCTACGCCCTCTCAATTGGCTGCCTCTCCCCCTTCAGTCTAGATGCATTACAGTTTGGAATCGGTGTGGTGTCGCCACCGCAACACATAAGCACCACCCGAATCCTGCCAATTTTGCAAACAGACCACGGGAAGAACTTTCAGCAATGGGTCGTAGAGGTGGTAAAAAGGGTGGCAAAGTTCGAGGGGTTGGAGGATTTCACGATATGGACCCTGAAAAGCAGGTATGACAACTCATCAATGTCCACGAAATGATTGATCTAGACATGTTTGTTAATTCAACTAGCATGAAATTGCATCTAAAGGTGGCCGAGCCTCGAGAAAAGCAGGTATAGAGTTGGAAAAGGCCGTGAATGAGTCTAAAGTTCGCAAGTCCATGCCTAGTTCCCAGGAGCCATCCGTGATGCCTCCAGGGTTTGAAGAATGGAAACCGTAGTGGGTACTTCCAACTTGAGAATATATCTTATTCCTACAGAGCCGTCATTAATATGGATTTAAAATCTCACGCTACTTAAGAAAGTATTCAGATGGGATGCGTACACAAGCATACGGTTGTCCGGTAGTTCTCCCGCTTCCTGAAATTTTGCTTTTCAAGGCGATTATGGATTAGATTCAAATCTACTACCAGGTGGCTGAATGTAACTGGAGGAGAATGCAGTGTTATACACACATTCAATTCATTATAAGTACATACGTAGACATTCATCCATCGAGGGTACCACCAAATGATTGAGGCTAGTCCCAAATGGGCAACGCGTAAATATGTTGCCTCAGGCCACGCGCAATTCATTCGCGCCCGCATTTCCCAGCAATGTTTCGTCTTTCGCTCTCTACAAATTGGTATTATTATTCAGCTGTCTATTTATTCAGAAAGTTTCGCTCTAGAATGCGACTTCATCAACCTTAAGGTCACTGAAATCCTAAACCCTTTTTGTCTTGTGGCGCGTGCAGCGCTTCGATCGACCCCAACCATCCCGATACGCGTTCGCGATCATGGCCAACACCGGCTACACGTCGCCATTTCCAACCTCTCACGACACCATCGGACAGTCGACACTTGTGACGCCGCTATTTATGCCATCTTCCCCACCACAGCAACCTTCGAGTCCTTTAACCGAAGAGCCAGGTTCACCACTGCGCGCCGAGAGCCCTATTTCCGAACATTTTGAGCCGGAGGTCTACAATGAAGAACAGCCCGTAAACAATGACAAACACGAACAAAATGAAAAAGAAAACTTGTCTCGTCCTTCAACACCAGGCAGTATGACAGGCTCTGATCTGGATGCTCGCCTCGCAGAGTATACCCTGGACTTCAGCCAGTTCCCCAGCAGCAAATTCTTGGACGGCAAAGAATCAGACCTGCTACCAGAGATGCATGGCGGTGCAGAGGACAATCTTTCAGATGTGGGTGGACCCGAAGACTTTACGGCCAACATGGAAAAATACTTGATGGGAGAAGGCATATCAAGTGTTAGGAAAAGCCGTCTCTACGATTCTAGCGACCTACCTGGTTCGGCGCCTCGCCATCAGTCGATGAGATCAAGAGAACCTGTCATTGAACAGGACGTGGAGTCAGGTGAAATGAGTGAATTCGGGCCTCCCGTTGATATGTCCACTCCGTCGCACCTCTTACACAGGACAAGTGCGCTTGCAAGAGACTCGACGCACCTAGAAGACATTGAGGAGGACCCGGCCGATGAATTACCAAGTCCAGCTTCCCCATCAAATCGCCAATTGCCGACATCATCACATGATGAAGCAGAAGAGCGTGAAGAGCGATTACGACAACGCATTGTTCAATTAGAGGAGGAATTGAAGGAGAAAGAGGAGCATCTGCAGAAAAATCACAAGCGGGTTTTGGAAGCTGCCTCAGCTGGCGAGCAAATCCGGCACCTTCAACTAGAGCTGCAGCGCAAAAGCGACGAGCTGGAAGCAATTCAGACCAGTCGTACCGACGAGTCTGCTTTGCGCGAGCAGATAAAGTCGCTCCGGAAGCAGAACGATGAGCGCGAAAAGATGTTGCAACAATCCGCTGCCACCAATCCCAATCTCAGTGCACTGGAACAACAGATGCGTGATATGCAGCAACAAATTCAGAACCGAGACTCCCAGAACTCTCTGGATACGGAGCGATTGGAGACAATTGCCCATCTGCGTCAGCAACTGCATCTCACGCAGGAACAACTCCAGAAAAGGGACGAGGCTCTCGATGAGACGATGGCCAAGTTGCGAGAAGTCACTCGGGCGAAGGAGGTGCAGCTTCATGAGGGGAACACTGAGATCGATCGACTCAAGGCTGAAAACGATCATCAGGCACTTGAGAACGAGCGACTTGAGACCGAGTTGGATCGTGTTAATGCGGACTATCAAGCTCTAGAGGACCGCCTTACAACTCTTGAGACTCGAAATCAACCTCTCGAGGAGAGAAACCAGTCTCTTGAAGCTGACCTGACTCGTGTTCAGTCCCAAGTGGAGGCTCAAGAAAATGCCCTGAAAGCTGTTGCTGCCGATCTCCCCATCAGTGGGCGAAGCACATATAGCGAGATCCTCGACCTCATTAAAGACCTAGGCCACCCGAATTCTGAACTAGATCCCGAACTACCCGTGGAAAACGAGTTCATTGAGAGCAAAGTTCCACAGGACCCGAATCAGGAAATCGCCAAGCTTCAACATCAATTACAGGATGCTACCGCTGCCCAAAAGGCGGCGGATGCTGAGGCGGGTCGACTGCGCGAACAGGCCACCGAGACACAGGCCCTCATCAAGACCATTGAAACGGAGAATTCACGACTCACTAGTCGCGTCGAGGAATTAACTTCGAACCTTAACAAGACCCAGCATGAGTTGACCCGCACTCAAGAAGAGCATGCCGAATCTCTCGAAACCGTGGCACGTCTCCAAGAGGAGGCCCTTGGCCAACCGCCTAGCCCACCACTCTCGCCAGCCCGAAACCGCGGTGTCCTCGACACCGAGGAGCCAGAAGTTGCAATTGACGCCGCCGAGCTGGAAGCTTCTCATCAGGCCCAGATTCGAAGTCTCCAAACCGCTCATTCAACCGCAATCACCACTCTCCGCTCCTCACACGCCGAATCCATGCGCAAGATTCGCAACCTGCTCACAACCGCGGAACAACGCGAAGCAGACCTGCGGGTTGAGCTGACTACTCTCCGCACCTCTGTTTCCGCACAGGAAGCTCATTTGTGCAAGACATTTAAATCCGAGATTAAGCATCTGGAAGCTGTCATTGCCGCAAAGGATGAGACCGCCGCTGCTGTTGACGAGCGCATCGCTTTGTCCGTGGACAAGCGAGAGCGCGAATGGGAGCGCCGTGTCGATCTGCTCCTGGAGGAGCGCGACCGGATGGCGAGAGCCCTTATGATGTACTGGGGAGAAAAGGAGATAGGCCGTGGGCCTGGCCCTCTGGCCGAAGGTAAAGAGAACCGTCGGCGAGATGGAGAGAAGCCCGATATCAAGCAGGGACAGGCGTACAAATATAAGTATGCCCAGAAACACCGCTCTCGGAATGCGGATAAGAATGTATAGAAGCATGGCGCGTGCTTTTGTTCCTGCGACCCATAATTCCAGTTCGATTATCAATCAGTTCCGCATTCTAGATGTAATGGCGTTTGGTTTTTGCGTGAGCATTTTATGCCATGTGTTTGTAGCGCTGTTACGGGTTGGACATTCACGCTTTAGCAATACTGGACAGGGTAAATTGAAAGCGAGAATCAGATTCCATGGACTTATGCACATACTAGAACAAGATCCGACAGAAAAAGAGTTGTATGAGACTATATAAAGGGAAAAACCAACGGCTGCCGCTACACATGCCAACCAAAACTTGGGATAGTCCAAGCCCTCACCCGCTGTTGGGTCGAAAAATGATCTTCTCGTCAGACAGCCTCTGCATTTCTCTTTTCGTTAGGCTCTAGAGATAAAGCCTCGGTGTATTCGTAGTAGGTCTCATTGTCCAAATTTTTGAACCGGAACCAGAAGATAACCGTCTGAAGAGCGAGGGCAACCGTGGGAGCACCCCAAATCCATATCAGATACGGGTCTTTGGTCACTGGAAGCAAGATTTCACCGATTGCTTGCGAAAGGGCATTCATGAAAAGGAATATAGCGACAACTAGGCCTCTCATACTCGGAGGGGAGCGCGCATAGGCCACCTCATATGCAGTGACATTGGCGAAGCACTCACTCAGGGCGCTGAGGATAGTGTTTGCAAGCTGCCACCAAATGCTTATCGGGGACACCTCGTCACACGTTGAAGCATAGTAGCCACATGGTGAGAGCTCATATACACGCCATTGAACCAAGGTTCCAGCCAACCCGGCCAGGGTTGCCAGAATGAAGCCGAAAGTGATCCGGCTGATGGGACCGAATTTGATCCGATGGCGTTGCAATGTCGGATATATCACGTAGGTGAGAACGGGAATCACGAAGATTATGGTCAGTGGATTGAAGTTACTTAGAAGATCGTTTGGGGCCCCATTGGTAACCATGGAGGCTCCTTGATTCGTAGAGACAGATCCAATTCCTCCGTCATTCATATTCCAGATGGGATAGAACCAGAAGATATCGCATGCGCCTGGAAGATAAGGTTAGAACTTGTGCCTTCTGGTATTCAGAAAAAAAGGAAGAAAGAAAGAAAGAATGTAGGGTGCAATTGATAAGCGTACTCATAGTTCTGGCAACATCTATCACTGCTTTCTCCGTCCAAGTTACCAAGATGCCCTTTGCCTGTAGGTTGGCTGGCATTGCAGCATTCCAAAAGTCTTTCCGCCATACCTTGAATTTGTTCTCACGAAGCGCTACACTAATAATTTTGAGCGCTTGATTTAACTCTGAGCTTCGAGATGGTGGTTGTTTGTAGGTCCTGCGATAAATCAACAGGAGGAGAATTGGGAGCAAGAAATAGATGATCCCTGCTAGCAGAAAAGCCAGCCAATACCCAACCAACTTTTCAGAATATGTTGTGACCAACATGTAGAAGGCACCGACATTGACAAACCCATAGAAGATTAGCATTGTTCTGGTTGTGGTCGCATCTGGATCCACAATGACCCTTTCCCCCGATTTCAGAACCTTGGTATAGGGCTTCTTATGGGGGTTTTGATCCAGGATGGTGGGAGCGATATTTGGTTTAAAAAGACCTGCTCCTAACGCCAGTAACAAGAGGCCAATTATAAATGGTGGAGCGGCATTGGCGGTCCCCTTCTGGAGAACGGACGGAATGGCGCCAAATATCTGAACGAGGTGGGCAACACCGCAGATGATCACGCCCACCGTGATCGCCTTGAAACGACCTACTTGAACATCGGCCCACCAGCCCCCAAAGATGGGAATCACATAAGCTAGAAAAGTGAAGAGCAAAGTCAATCCAGAAGATGCTTGAAGGCCCATCCCCAGGGCCCCGGCGGTTTCTTGGGTTCCTCGTGGGGGTGCCCCTGCGCCATTGCCTCCTGTATATAACCCCACATACTCATTAGTTGACATGTTCCAAGTATCAGATGGATGACTTAATAGCAGGCGTACCCTTTGGAAGAGGGAACTCGATAAAATTGGAGAAAACCGTTTTGGCACCGTAGAAAGAAGCACGCTCGGCAAATTCTACAAGGCAAAGAGAAAACGAGACCAACGGCAAAGAGTCAGCAACTTTGCGCAGAGACTTTCGTTCTTCTTCAGTAGGGAGAGGATATTCTTCAATGGACAGCGAAATATTCGGTTCAACAGCTTGAATCCCTTTCTGATCACTAGAGATAACGGCCGTCTTTTCGACATTCTCGGAGCCCGGCTGGGATACAACCGCTTCCGTGACCAATTTCCTCTCATTCTCCAGTGTAGCTAGAGATTCAAAAGTATCAGTGACGGCATTCTCCGATTTATAGATGGCCATGGTTGGTGATGCAGAGTAACTCACCCATCTCGATATTGAGGCGCCGGTCCAATGCCAGACAAATCTAGAGGCAAATACGCTGATCGAGCTGTATATCAAAATAAATGGGCACCGTATGGGTTTGAATAACTGTTTATGTCCTTCCTGCCCTCTCTTCTATCTCTTGAATAAACACCCAAGAATCGGGGAGAGGGGAAGGAGGGTTCGACCGATAAGTCAAATAAAATGAGAAATTTCATCGTCTGAGATTTCCCAACGTAGCCTGATATCGTCAACTCAGTCTCCTTGGAGCTGGGATCAAGGTAGCATTGAAGCTTACTAACAACGGCTGCGGATGTATAGATGGTGGATCTTTTAAGCGACTGATCGAATAGGGGAATTGATGAAGCTGCGATTCTGGTTTATACTTGCGCTATTATGGCGAGCGATGGCGAATGCGGCCTTCGTTGTGACTCTGACTCCACAAAATCTGCATTGCATCTGCAAAAGCTTTAAACTTTGGGTTTCCTGGATTGATGATCAGTTATGAATTGGACATTTAGGCAATCTCATGCCACGCTGCCATTTTAGCGTTGGATTGCTCATCTTGCAGTCTGGGGATAGATAGTGATAACACTGTTTCTACAAAATGTCAAAAAGGAAGAGATTCTGCAGCAGATTGCATGATTTTCCAAAGTATTAAACTCAATTCTGGTATCAAAATTTGCATCTAAGCTAAAGACCAGTATTCTCAGAAGGTCTGATAGAAGCTCGCCAACAGAGTACGCCATAGAAATATCTCCATCCGTCGCCCTCTACTACTAGCCCTATGATGTAACACCCAAGTCAAAGACCATTCAGAATCGGAAAAAGACAATCTGACCTGCAGACAGTCCCCGAGACATTGTAAAAGGTTTAATAGAAGCTTAGACTGGTGCGATTTGCACCGCGGTACATCGTTTGATCAATCACATTGGATGGCACACCTGGACCAATCGCCTTGACCTGAGCCGTATTCACGGATGTTCGTGGGGTAGAAGATGATTCCATAATACAGCTCAAAGGGCCTTTGAAGCCACTATGGGTACTGCTGCGAGGCCGCCGCGTGCTGGGGTAGATAACCTCAACATCATTGCGGCGTGGAATTGCAGGAACTGGAGTTGTCCGGCTGGGATCAAATGTGGATTGGCTTGGCCAGCGAGGAGGTTGCGGGTACCAGTGCAGGTGATACTGGCTCTGTGTGTGTCTGGGAATGTGAGGTGGCTCGAAAGAATACGAACTGCTGCGAACTGGATACTGCATAGCATTGGTCTGGCGAGACGTAGTTCGCCGCAAAGGCTCCACATGTAGCGGAAGGACGGCAGAATTCTGTCGACAGGACAGGGAGTATTTGCGAGGCATCTCGGGCCCAGGTATGTAATTCGGATGATGTGGGTGATGAATGGAACGAGGTGGCGGTGCTAGACAGGCTGTCTGAGAGCGGCGAACTCTGCTTGGCTCTGCTGGCACGACGACCTCTGGTGCATCGGCAGAATTCATTGTCATCGTACGGGTATGTCCCTCAGGCTTCCTGGTTGTTTGTTGTGTTGAGTCAGTGGTAGCCTGGGTAGCAGGCGATGAAGATCCATCAGCAGATCTATCTACCAGAACATCCTGGGAGGAATTTGCCAGGTTATTTCTTGACGTCGAGGGGGTCACAACTTGCTTCTCAACATCTGATGCAGCATTTGGGTCGACAAGTGCACGGATCTGAGGGTCCGAGGACAAAGGTAACGACAACGGGAAGGATTTCGGAAAAAATCGTTTGAGTGAGGATAGAGATGATTTTCCTCTCTTATGATTGACAGTATATTCTTTTGGAATCGGGGGAACCCTAGGAGCGAAAATACTGGAGAGAAGGGTTTGGGATTCACAGGCGGTCTGAGAAGTCATCATTGTGGAGGTTCGCGAGATAGGATAGAAGTCACTCGTAATAGTCTGGCCTCCTGGAGAGATACGAGGCATGATATCATCCGGCGATATCGTTGTCCCAGAAGTGATTTCCCCATATTCGGAGCCGGGATCCGTGTTGACTCTTAACTGGGGTCGCAGGCGAACGGGAGCAGGATGGCGAATGCTGGGATGGCAATTGACTTTATCAGCTAATGGATCGAGATACCAAGGCTCTGCACCTGCTTTGCCATCATGCTGGCGACAGAGATTCAGAATTTCGTTTTTGAGTGTCTCATCACTGTCCCAGCTATGTCCTGAAAAGATGCTGTCGTCACGAAGTGCTTGGGAGCGTCTGTAGATTCCGATGATGGAAACATCATACGGGCGATCGCAAAGCTCCCTGGCACAGTATAGAGTACAAACAGTGACCCTAACGAGATAAATTTTAGTTCATATAGACGAAAGGGCTCGTATTATGAATTCTTACAGTGATGCAACCGAAACAATGACTGCAGCTCGATGAAATGCACAACTAATACCGACTCTCCAATAGCTAGCATCTGTACCTGCTGGGAGACAGTAGACTTGTTGAGCGGCAACCACAAGCCCAGACACACTTGCTGCAAGCCAGAGCATGAGGTCCAGTCGGAGGACGTATGTGCAGACATTGTGAAGAACAGTCTTTTGCTCTCCAAATCCTCCGATTTTGTTATATTGCCAGGCAACCAGACTTTGAAGGGATACTAGCGGGATCATAAGGAAGGACTTCGAAAATTAGCGATGAGTGGAACAGAAAATGAGGAATAGAAAGACCGTACCGAGACTAGTGCTAGAGCCAAGCTCACAGTCATCTTCGAGTCAACTTTATGATTTCCGTAGAGAAAAAGAACGAGAACCCATTCAAGAATGGATTCCAGAATCAGACAATATAAGGAGACGAATATCACGAGCTTGGTCCAGGTGCCCTCCTTACGAGGTGTTGCGTCAAATCCTGTCGCCATGATTGCGCAGATAAATTGAGACGCGCGCTGCTCTGCAGCGTCGCCAATTAATTCAAACCTTCAGAGAAAGATGAGCAAGGGCGATGTGAAAAAAAAAAAAAAAAACAGACAAGGTGAAGCGAGCGAAGAGTCGCAGGCGATAAAAGAAAGTCGGACAGTGTTCAACCCCAGAAGCAGCCCGATCCGGATAGCGTTCGTTCGTAAGAAAGGCGTGAGGAAACACGAAGAAGCAAACGGGACTCAAAGCGAGTGTTAAATTGAACACCATTTCCCCTAGAAGCGCGTCGACGCGCCTGAGTGTGGAGGTGCGGAATGTGCCATTCGAGGGGTCGGGCATGGCAAGAATCCCAGCCGCGAACATGGCCTGCGAGAAGCCAGCTTGCTTGTCGGCAAATTTCCTGTCTGCTGATCTACTGGAATGCCAGACTGTAGAAGTCTAGCGCAGTCCCAGGGGTGATGCTTGGAGGGTAATTAGTTCATTGTGTTCATCCCTGGTCATCGCTGAACGTCACTCCGTTTCAAGCCCTGCGCTAGAAATTTCGGAGATTTTCAGGAATTCAATCAATCGTCATCCACTGCAAGGCGATGCATCATGACCAACAGGGTGGCCTTAAAGGACCTGGCGACTTGAAGACAGGGCGATAGCAAGCGATATTTGTATGCTTGGCCGGAAGGGCGAGTCAACATGCCCCTCGATGACGTCCAATTGGTGTTGGACCGAAGGCTTATTATCCTTGGGTTTGTACGCACATCGTACATCCTCAGCATTTGGAATGATAAATTTATTAATTGAAGTCCAACTGAACGATAATACCGCGACCAGTTCACTCATTCGATTGGAATAGACTAGGTGTTCTGAACGACTCAGTTGGTACATCCATGCACGTGACTCAAAGGGGCGTGACCCTGTGGCCAGCAAGGACGAGCAAGAGCATCCAGGAGCAATACGCATAATCATGCTCGAAATCTTCAGTCTTTCTCGTGAATGTGGTGTCTTGCTCTTTGTCTTTGGGATGGAATGCTAACAGGGATTGTATATGCTTTCAGCGCTGGTTGTGCCGGAGCCTGGTATAGTCCGGCCGAGGGGATTTCACTTGACAGATACCAAAACGTGTTTTCTGGGATTAAACCTTCCATTTACGCGATAATTAAACGGACAATCTACAAAGAACTCTTGATTCCGAAATTTACAAAGCAAAGATTAGGTTCCGCCCCCAATCTAGATATTTTTATGACGACAGACCTCGCTATCGGTCCGAGATTTGATACAAAAAATGCTCTAAATCTAGATTAAAATTCTCAGTACGAATTGAAGCTCGTTCTTCATAGCTTTCTCTGCGCTCAACTTCGATGGAGTTTCTGTCTGAAACTACAGTATAGGGACCTGTGGATTCGGTGCCGAAAATGACAGCCTCTAGCGCCAGAAACAGCCGCCTTTCCACCCGTAATTTTTGACGATGAGCCCACGCTTAATTCAGCCCCTAGAGCTTCTACTACCATTTTCAGAGCCAGATACGGTTCCGAGGAATGAATTTTTTAGCAAATCAAATCAGGTGCACCTATCCCCATCCGAGCCTCAATACCATCTTGCCAGGTTCAATGAGCTGGACTATGCTTATAGCTAGCCGAGCTTCTGCTTGTTGGAACGGATCATTTTGATAAAAGGTGTATCTTCTATTACCGGCTTCTAGGAACTACCGGCCACCCTTCGCGAGGAACCCATTTCTCTCATTATGAGATCAGCTGGTATTATTTCAGCGGACAGGACTCCGTATCAGCCATTCGAGCGATGCAATTTAGGCTGCTATAGTTGTTTAAAGAGAGTTGGGAGCAATACGCAGATGATCAGGTTGACTAAAATTGTGAATCTACGGTTGCAAAAGTTAATGGAGTCACAGCAAACTTTGAGTTTATTGGGGAGCTCGATATCGTTTTCTATTAGCCTATAAGTGTCGATCCTGCATATTTTGCCCTTGAAGAGAAGTGATCGGAAGCGTTAATATTATTTTCAATAGCATACAAATAATATTAACGCTTCCGGTCACTTGCCAACTTTTCCAACGCTCATGAATGGATTGAGCGCTGGCCTCGGCCCGTTCTAGAAGCTGTCGGGAATAAGGTTGATAATAACGAGCTCCAGTAGCTAGAATAGACTGCAGCAGTAGTACTGGAGAACAAATATTGATCTAGGGCGGAATATTAATAATGAGCTAGTGGTACTCTTAAAGTAACAATACACCTTGAAGGAAATTTCTTTACAACTAGCATTACACTGCGAGCAACGGACTCGTGAATCTTTGCTTGATGGTAATGACAGATTGGCCGATGTAATTCTGGGTCAACCACATCGTCCCGTAATCTCGCACTGGTTTTAAGTGTCCTGGCTATTATGTCAGGCCTGATCTGAAATTCGCAAGACTCTGAATTCGACACATATCATCGATCTACTCATGATTTTATTTGCTGCGGTGACAAGCACGAACTCTCGTTTCAAGTCAATCGTCATCAGGACCCTGCTATCCTTGGCTGGATAATCTACCTTTATATGGGAGATGAATCAAGAGGGAGCAGCTCTGGTTGGATCTATCGCATTCGTGAGAGATATAAATTCTCTTCGGTCAAAATAAAGTGAACCCTTAATTATACCAAAGGAATATGCTGTTCAACAGAGTGAAGCGAAAGGTATCAGTTTTTAGTCCATACTATGGCTCGAAGACACCTTTGTTCCACGTTTGGATTGGCTCCACTTTGGGAACCATCCCGATATTTTCTCTGGTTTGTCGCAGATGCACTGTTCCATATCTCAGGAGGGCTCCAAATGTATTAGGTGCCGTGACCTTAGCATCATTCTCGGGTATATCCAGCAAAGCTGCTAATGTCTTGTGGTGATCCATACCAGCGGCACGGAATAACTTCCACATGCTTTGATTGGCGAGAGTATCCCAAACAAACCTCTCAGCGTCCTTATAGATCTGTGCTGTAGGGTCTGCACCTGGTCCCGAGACCGGCAACTGCAACATCTCAAAGGCACGTTCACTAAAGTCGGCAAACCCTATCTCATACTCTTTACGCCAGACTTCCTGAACTGTGTCTATACCCATAATATGGTTTCTCCAGTAGTCAATTCCAGAGAGACCCTCTCCAACATCCTCAAGGCACAGGAGCCGAGTAAAACAGCCAATTTGCATGACGTATTCAAGCATAGCAACATTGTCACCCCAGTCCATTTTCCAGCCCTCAAGCTTGCCCTCCCACATCTGCGGTAAAATTGGTGCAATGAGAGGATTTGATATAGAGCCTTTGGCGTTCTTCTTATCTCCCCAAATATGGAGAAATAAACGGTGCCTGTCTTGATATTAGATTTTGGACTGTGCGAAGTCAAGATAGCCACCTGCTTACCATTGATAAATGAATGGGTTTCCTTTGCGAGATGCTATGAAGAAGTTGATGGCGCACATCCCCCACATCATTGAAATGGCCACTTGATAGGGTGAGCTGCTATCTTCAAGTTCTCTCCAACAGATACGGTCGAGATGACGACTGAGCATAATTCCAACATCAATCCATACTCCTCCATGGTTGTATAGACATGCTGTCCTTGCGAAATCAGATGAATGTTGGCGAGCGAAGGGCCCATCCATAGTCTGATCCACAAACGCGGGAGGAAGTAGGTCTTCAGGAACAAAACGAAGAACATTATTGACTGACCCCGCCACACTATCCAGAACACGAATCGTCCAATCAGGGCCAAGGATACGAACCCAGTCAATTACATTTCTCTGACACCATTTGGGCATATTTTGCAGCCCAGCGTGCCAATAAGCCCAAACATTTTTCTCAGACGTCACTGGTCTGTGTTCTTGAAGTGCAGCCAATATTTCAGCATCTTCACGACAATCTTTTGTTTCAATATGTTCCAATTTGTCACGGTAGTTCTCTGGAATTGTCAGATCCATGGTGGTATAAATCGAGAGGAACTATTATAGAGGCGCAAAAGAGAAATTATTCAAGATTTGTGAGACGGAGAAGAAATTCTGGCAAGCTGTCTTCATCTTGCTGATTTGGGACTTTAAATATTTTCTAGATACAAGGCTGAGAATTTGGGTCCAGAACCTTCCCAAATACGGTAGTGTGTGCGATTACACAAAGACAGCCCCCCTGCACCTACTTCTTTGGAATAATTCCTCTTATGGCAAAGATGAGCGTTGGGGCTACGCAACTTGGTACGTGTACGGCGCTTTCAATTGCCCCAACAAACCCACCATAGCACTTCTTGCCAAACCACACACAGTTTGCAATTCAGATCGACGGAAATTTAGAGCAGGGGAGGAGATTCCCTATATGTTTCATATTCTTTTTTCAAATTCTAGGCGTGTGAGTCGCTAGCATCATATTTCTCCCTTCGTGGCCTTCATCTCCAGGGCTTCCACCAAGAAGGAAGTGACTCTCAATGAGAACGAAATTCTCCATGAAGCTATCATTCCGGTACAAAGGGGCCAATTTCGATGGTTCGGAGAATATTTTGATCAATAGCAATCTGATTGTTGTAATCTCAACCGCTAGTTGATTTTACGAATCTGTTATTTCTATTGACGTATTTCACTAGCAAGCCGGACACCCAACTAAAACAGCTGCCTACGCGTTAACTCCTATCTACTACCACTCATTATGCCTACAAAACGCTCGGAAAATCAATCAGTACTGCTTTATATAGAAGACCTAATCCTACTCACCATACAAGCTATTCAAAATGGCTCAGCAAGTTCGCTTCGCCAAGTAGCAGCAATCTATAATTGCCGGACACTACACTACGCGATCGAACATTTGGCAAACCAAATCGCTATGAAAAGCGTTCAAATTACAAAAACTAGCGCTGGAAGAAGAATATCCCTCTTGGCGTCAGTATATCTTTTCACTCGATAAGCGAGTGTCTCCTAGACTTTCCTATGTTGGGGATATTGCAAATCTTCTATTAGCAGCGCGCGGGGATATCTTCCCTCCTCTTCTACCACTTACTACAGATAATAAATAGGTCACACGCTATATCGCCCTCGATATAGGCTTACATACGATGATTGAAGGGCTCCGGATAGGAATATTAGCATTCCTGAAACGAAGACCTAGCAAGCCTACGCGAGTGGTTTAGATTTATTGAAACATCATTTAACGACAATGGGATATATGCTAAAGATATCTATGACTTCTATGAGGCAGCTTTATGATAATTTTGATATCCACCGCTAGGAATTTCTGTTTAGCATAGATGGATTTATGAAAGATGTGCCACTAGCGTTAAATAACACTTTACTATCAGCTGAGAAATTTGGAAACTACACAGATTTAACGAGAAGAAGCGTCAAAAATGCACACGACCAAATCGCCAAATCTCTTGTCAGAAAAGTTTGACAGTGGGTGAATCTACATCTCCTGTCTCAATGTTACGAGCGTGAGTCGAATTTATTCAACCCGAAAAGATTAATGGTACTCAGCAGCCTACAAAGCGCACTGAGCTTACAACCAAGCGTGTTTTTCAGTTTTCTGGATGTGGTACTATAAGGTGTAAGATCAATCAGTGTCCGCGTAGATAGACTAAGTCAAATATTTAATGCTGTGTTGGGAAATCAAACATCCAATATCTGGTATTCTGTAGGGTGGCGACTGAATAGTGAAATACGTCGCAAAGATATCTTGCCAAAAGACGAATGGCGCATTTGCTAACCTAGCTGCCACTGAATTGAAATTCTTGTAGAAGCCAATGTAATAGGAGATTGAAAGGAACCAACATACCAATATTAATTCCGCTTCGGTTCAATTCGGCATCAGAACAGATTTATTGTGTCTTGGGAACCCCTCAAATCAGAATTCACCAGATTGGCAATTGAGTTTATCCTTCTACTCCTAATGTTTCTTCTAATAGTAGTCTCCTATGCTATAAGTTTCCTATGCCAGTGAGTCCAAGGGAGCTAAGCGTCAAGTTGAAAAAATTCCTACCTCTCCTAGTACCGTATTGGCTTCCTAGACTATGCATAGCTTAGCCTTAATCTCACATGGTAGACTAGCGTAATTGTCGCTCGGAAAACAGTCGTCCATGAGGTGAGCTATTCCCAATGAGGGAGAATAACTGTCGAGTCCAAAGCTGTATCATCTTGATAGCATGTGCATATCGTCTGCACAAATGTGAACTCTAGTTGTGATGCTCTGTCGGTGTAGATGATGATGGCAGAGGCTGTTTGGGTCAATAAGGATCTTTCAGCACGCACTATTTATCAACATCCTTCGGCTCCGACGATTCTCCATAGACTAGTTCTTGTCTAGGTACTTCGATAGGCAAAATCTTTGGGTCTTCTCCATCTGAGGGGCATCAAGAAAACTTTGCTCCGAATCTAGCCTTACCGGCAGATGAACATGGGGGCCGAAAAGATCCGCAACCAAGATCTTGACCGTCAAGCTTTGAGGGGAGATTCCGAACAGACACTATTTATGCAGAAGAAAATTAATAACGCTCTTATTTCCGGCTGTGAGAAAACACATCGGCTGTGAGAAGCGAAGTTTCTCGCCTAGCACCAGGTATTTTCGCAGGGGTATGGCTCGTGTGGGTTCTATGAATGCGAGCATGGAGTGTAGCATTCGGGGGATTTCCTCTAGGACCCTTGGATCCAAGGATCCAAGGATCCCTGGGCAGGATCAAGGGCACGACATGGACCAACCACCAGCCGTCCATACGTTTCTAACCGAGATAGCAAACGTGTTGATCCGGTTGGCATTCCGACGTAGCGGGCCGAGGGCGCTGATTGGCGTTCCTGGAGGGGCCGTGACCCGCCGGAGCGCCAGCTGCCTGTTTTCTCCACGGACCCTCGCTTGGACGCCAACGGGTGCATCTTTTGAATTTCCCACCCCGAGCTTGGATTTGAAGGCTTAGCCATAGCTTATTGCCTATTAAACAAGTAGTTACAGCCAGTTAGTGCCCGACTTTGTAATTCTAATGAGCTCAACACCATTTATATGCGTGATAGGATGTGATGCATATAGAATCTAAAGAAATCTATGGACTCGCGCCGTTCGTCGCATGGGCAGCCCTGATCTTATGGACAGACTATTCGTGCTTAGCTTCTTTCGCTCTAGTGTTTATCCAATGAGCAACACGGATTTAACCGGAGATGAAATTGGGCTCCGAGGTATCAGTCATTCTCCTTTCGTTCCAGTTCAGTCGGTGCCCCGCTTCATCCAGTGCCCGGCCGGTGAGTCCCCCCCCCCCCCCCCCCAGTGAGGGCATCTAAGCCTCCTCCATGCGGCTCTTAAGATTATGCCAAGGCCACAAGAATGGTTTAGTGTCTCTCGAGCTCCAATTCGAAATCACGAATATCCCCGTGGCTCACTGCCACAATCTCGTTCTCATCACCATGCATATTTTACTGACGCCACAGAGGCATCCTTAGCCGGTGATATTTACGAACCAAGTTATTCGAAATGTGCCCCAATGCATCCGCATTAGAAGATATATGGCTCTAGAGGGTCCATGCTATGTTTGGTAATTATGTCCGTCAGACTAATATTCTTTTGTGTGCCATATTCCTGGGCCCAAAGCCAATAAACGCTACCTGGAGCGCTTGAAGTCATCATTCGTTGGTCCCTGGAGTTGTGGAGTGACTGGTGGGAACCCGTTGCTTTAACTGGATTCCAAAACAGGAATTTTGGATGCATCGGTAACAGTAGAAGGGGTCTTGTATTGGGCCCTCATGGGTCGATGCACGAACCAATGTCTTAAAATGTTTTCGTGGACTAGGTGACAGAGCCTCCAACCCCTTTTAGATCCCCGCAGGGTCTCATTTAATACACGATACCTGGTCCCCTGGATTTGTAGTTCCAGGCTTGAAATACTTTCCCTTCTTTTTACCTGACTGAAGAGCCCCAGCAGACTCTCGTCTGCGTCCCTTCGTTGAAAAGTTTTCCGGCTTCTGCCGTGCCACTCTTTTGATATTTTGCTTGCCTGTTGCTAATAACTTTGAAACGGGTGCCATTCATTTTCTTTTGAAACGATGCTGCTTTCAAGGAATGGATTGTCCGCTGCAGCGGTCATGTCAGCCCTTGTTGCGCCCTCTTCTGCTTTGAATGCTGACCTCAAGACTAATGTTGCTGTTTACTATGTATGTTCTAGTCTCCGATCTTTCTATTTTACAAGTTGCTTATGGTTGAAAAACAGGGCCAAGGCGCATATCAGCCTCGTCTCAGCCATTTCTGCGAGGAAACCTCTCTGGATATCATCAACCTGGGCTTTATCAACGTGTTCCCTGAGTCTGTGGGCGGCTATCCTGGATCCAACTTTGGTAACCAGTGTGATGGCAACGTCTACGCTGGCACGCAGCTGCTCAGCGGCTGTCACCAGATTTGGGAGGATATCCCGGTTTGCAAGGCTCTAGGAAAGACAATCATGCTTTCTTTGGGCGGCGAAACGGCGTACCAGAAGCTTGAGGATGAGTTGACGGCTATATGGTTTGCTGATTTCCTTTGGTATTCCTTTGGCCCAGAGAACCCCAATTATACTGATGTATATCCTCGTCCCTTCCTGGACAACTCTGTTGATGGGTTCGACTTTGATATCGAGCACGATGGGGGCTACGGTGAGTATCTCACGATCATTTTGTCCTCTTTGAGACTCGCTGCTTACTATGATGAACTGGGCTCTAACTAATGGACCATCATAGGCTATGCCATCATGATCAACCGACTCCGAACCCACTTCGAGGAATACCCCGACCAGACGTTCTATATCTCGGGTGCTCCCCAATGCACAATCCCAGACGAGCAACTCAGTAATGCTATCTCGGACTCCGTGTTTGACTTCATCTGGGTTCAATTCTACAATACCCCTGCGTGCTCTGCCCGTTCCTTCTTCAATGGCACCGGGGACTTCAACTATGGTGACTGGGTGGACGTCATTCTGGACAGCGCCAATCCTTCTGCAAAGCTCTTCATCGGTCTTCCTGCTGCCGAGGGAGCCGCAGCTACTGGTGACTATCTCACTCCAGCCGAGGCATATCTGCTAGTGGATGTGTACATGAACCTCTATCCTGACACCTTTGGCGGTATCATGTTGTGGGAAGCCACAGCGTCGGACAACAACACTTCCTTAGACGGGCTTAACTACGCTCAGAATATGAAAAGGATCCTGTATGACTTTGCTCCTCCTCCACCTCCGCCTCCTCCGGTGTCAACAATCACTCGCACCGTGACGCCAACGCCCTATCCGACGCCCACACATACGCCTTCTAGCTCGAAGGTGCCTACCAGCTCTCCTGTTACGCCTCCTGTTTTGACGCTATCGAGCAGCCCGGCTGTTTCAAGCACTTCCCACGCCTACTCCAGCACTCCACGGGTTACCGACACGTCTGGCTCTTCGACGCACGTTGTGATCTCTTCAAGCATTGTCCCGTCGAGCATCATCCCGTCGAGCATCATCCCGTCGAGCATCATCCCGTCGAGCATCATCCCGTCGAGCATCATCCCGTCGAGCATCATCCCGTCGAGCATCATCCCGTCGAGCATCATCCCGTCGAGCATCATCCCGTCGAGCATCATTCCGTCGAGCATCATTCCGTCGAGCATCATTCCGTCGAGCATCATTCCGTCGAGCATCATTCCATCGAGCATCATTCCGTCGAGCATCATCCCGTCGAGCATCATCCCGTCGAGCATCATCCCGTCGAGCATCATCCCGTCGAGCATCATCCCGTCGAGCATCATTCCGTCGAGCATCATTCCGTCGAGCATCATTCCGTCGAGCATCATTCCATCGAGCATCATTCCGTCGAGCTCTATCCCGTCGAGCTCTATCCCGTCGAGCTCTATCCCGTCGAGCTCTATCCCGTCGAGCTCTATCCCAGCATCCAATCCCTCGCATGCCAACACCCCGAGCGCCGCCTCATCTGCCTCCCTAAGCATCGTGTCCGGCCCGCCTGTCCATTCCAATACGCCCCATGTTGTTCCTTCCGGCTCCTATACATCACATACTGGAATTTCTTCCGGCTCGACCCCCTGGAGCTCCGTTCCGTCTTCTACTCATCAGCAGACCAGCTCCTCGATGGCCGCTACCAGACGCCCCTCTTCACATATTTCTTCGAGTACTTCAGTAGCTTCACACAGCGTCCCCATATCTAGTCCACATGCCTCTCAGATTGTGTCGCCTAGCACACCTGTTACCTTGAAAACTCCTTGCGTGACTTGCTCTAGCATCGTCTCAAGTGGAAGCGCTTCCCGCACTCCAAGTTCTTCCATTGCTCTCGCTTCAACTGTGAAGCCTGGTGCTACTGGGGAACGTTCGAGTTCTCTACCTGGCAAGTCAACTCACACTTCAGGCGCAAGTCACTCATCGTCCTCTCACGCCGCTTCTTCGCTTAGCAAGTCGATCGCATCTTCCTCCACTTCTGGTGCTGTGGCTTCGTCATCATCGGATCTGTCCCGAAGCACGACTGTTATCTCAAGTCGGTCCTCCATCTCACGGAGACCGTCTCGAACCCCAACCACCCGGACTCCTGTCTCAAGCCCTGCGGTCATCTCGACTTCCGGTTCTGGCTCTAGCTCAGTGTCTGACTTCGAACATACATCCGCCTCAAGCGTCTCTGGTTCTTCTTCCACTCAACAATCAACTGGTCATGCTGGTCCCACTGGGAGTGGATCTGTTTCTGTAACTTCTGTCACCGATATCCTACCTTCAGTGACGCCGGCCCCATCTACTACGAGGCCAGAAGTAACAACAACAATAATTGTCACTTCTTACACTGACATCTGTCCTACTGGGTTCACCACAATCACCACCACATACACCACAACTTTCTGCCCCGGCTCGACTGCCAGTGCGACTGGTCACCCTTCTGGCGAGGTAACTACAACTGCATCAATCCCTGAGGGTTGGTCGACTACCGTGACGGTTTGCACTCAATGTGCGGCTACCCCAACAACCGTCACTCTCACTAAGCCTATTTCCACAGCGGCAGCTCAGACTACAACAAGTGTCTTTACCAGTCTGGCTACAGAGACCTGGACTGAGACTTGGACTACAATTTTGACATTCTGCAAGCACTGTGGCCCTACTGGTTCAACTGTTACTCTGACTGTCCCCTATACACCCTCTGCCTCTGCACCTGTAGCCAACCCAACAGGAGCTTCCGGAACATCGGCACAGAGCGAGGGATCTGTATCAAGCGGCCTCCCCCAGATCACTGGTAGTGGTCCGGGTGGTGTATCATCAGAATTTCCTTCTTCGAGACCCCATATCACAGCGTCAAGAAGCGTACATCCTCCGAGCCATACTCCGTTATTTGCGGTCCATACTTCCGGCACCGCTGGAGTACCGACCCCGAGTAGCACCTGGGAGGAGACCTCACCGGCCTTCACTAATGCTGCCTCTCCATCAGGATTGATCAATCTTTTGGGTATTTCTCTGGCTCTCCTGGCCTCCACCGTATTTCTCCTGTGAGATTGACTCCAGCCTGATGTTTCTGCATCGACTACCGTCATTCTTACTCGGAGTATACACTAAGTCTTCTGGTCGTTATTTAAGCATATGCTGCGTTATTATATTTTCTATTCAATTCTCCTGATCCGATCTCTGATGTCTTAGAAATGACTTTTCGTCTATTCCGAGATATCCGGAGTGATTTCATTCTATGAGACTCCTTATTTCGACTAATTTTTCATGAAAACCTTTTGATCATGGCGATAGTCAGAGTAGAATGCATTTTACGAAACCATACACAATAAATATGATTATAGCATTGTCTTCATTTTTCATGGCACTGCTAGCTACTCAGCCCTTCACAAGAGATTCTTTGTTCACTCATCCAATTCGGCCTCGGCCCGCCGGTTTAAGTATTTTGTGATTACCATATCTGCCACTCTCCAAGACTATATTGTGTTAAAATTGAACAGCTCCCTCTCGAATTTGAAATGTAATAATAATTCATTCTCGCTAGATTTTTCAAGCATTGATCCCACCTCAGCTGCATGTAAACACGTTTACACCATGTCCCTTCGTGCTGATGTCTATGTCTCTCCACCAATTCCGTGGGTCAAGCCAAATGGCAAAGAGGGAGGATTCTGGTCACCAATTTCTTGTACTCTGGTTCATGGACAGAATGAAGCAGTTCTGGTAGATACGCCGATCACAACACAGCAGACGCAAAAACTCATCGAATGGATCAAGCAAAGGATCCCTACCAAAAAGCTAACCACTATCTACATCACGCACGGCCATGGAGACCACTTCTTCGGTATCCCACTGATACAGCAAGCCTTCCCAGGCGCGCGTGCTATCGCCACGCCAGACACAATCACACATATGGAAGAACAACTCGCGCCAAATGTCTTCAATGGGTCCTGGAATAGCCAGTTTCCCGGTCAGATTCCAACACCGCAGCAACTAGCCGAGCCGATCAACTGCGACAACACCATTACGCTCGAGTCATACACACTGCACGCTATCGAGGTCGGACAGGCGGACACACATGACTCCACCGTTCTCTGGGTACCGGATCTCAAGCTTGCCATCTGTGGTGACGTTGTCTACGGTGACGTGCACCAGATGCTAGCCGAGACCAGTACACGCGAGAAACGTGCCCAGTGGATTGCGAGTGTATGCAAGGTCGAGGCTCTTGAGCCCGAACTTGTGGTGCCTGGTCATAAGATGCCACATGAGATGGATGGCACGTTTCATCTTACAAACACGAGGCGGTATATCGAAGATTTTGAGAGCTTCCTGGATTCGGGGATCACCGACGCTCGGGAGTTGTCGGCTGCGATGAATCACAAGTATCCCACACGCTTTAACCCAGGTGCATTGATCATGAGTTGTATTTCGGCATGTCGAGATCTAGGCCCCAGCTTGTAGGTGATGTCCGACTCAAGTTTATGTAGATGTCTGGTTGGTGCAAATTAACTATTTCAACTGTTGCTATTTTTTCTCGGTACTGCAATGCTGTGGCGTTAGGGAAAAGCGATCTTCTTTCCTATTCGTATGACTTGTAGGAAATGCATAATTATATAGAATTGTATAGGAGATATACAAACAGGGACAAATAAATCGTCACAAAAAGAAATTACTAAGTCTTCCTTTTATTAGTCCAAAGCCGTCAGAGATTGAGAAAAGGTCTTGTCAGCCATTTGCTTAGAGTATAGCAATAATTCAGTGGCACAGCTGATTCGTAGGAAGATACCCGCGATATGACTATGTAGCAACTTTAACTAATTATTGCACCAGGGCGCTCCACGGCAAGCCTGCGAATGCAGAAAGGAGATGGAACAGCGAACAAGCCAACCAACCACACCACACCACGATGGAAGAAAGCCTCTCAGAGAAAAAACACGTGCTGCTTCAGCGAAAAATGTATAAAAGTTGATTCTCTCCCTATCGGAGATGCAAGCTATATTCTGTAAAGGCTGTTTGCCAGGAAAAAATAGCGTCTAATCAGAGATCGCCTATCATCGGCCATTTTCCCACTACGCTATTTACTTATTTAGTTACCTATTGAAAGGAAATTATATAATATCTGTTTATGCCTATATCTAGAATAGGATCGTGTTATCGCGTGTCTTCCATAGTTCTACGGATACCACTATATTTAAAGGACTTATAGCTTAGCTGCTTTCTTATTGCGGATGATAGTTAGAACCTAAATCTGCCGTCGTTGAAGATCACGCATTGTTTTACCGGTCGGAAAGTCTGAGATAAATATGCGTAGACTTAGGGGGCGAAGCTAGCCCATTTACTACCTTAATTGCCGGACCTAGACCCAATTGAAAAGGTTTCTTAGGTTTCTTATTAAGCTCAAGAGATTTATCAAACGTAGCCAGGGCTATTACGAGAGACTCGAAGCGGGGTTTTGGTCTTTTTCTAGAATGGTGTATTAATGCTGTCGGTCCGAAAGCCGAGAGTGCCAGAAGCCATATTCGACATGCAGACCTGAATATAAAAGATTTTGACGCTTGAAACCCCTTCTGAACCCGAACCTGTCCTAATCGTTCTTCCCTGTAATGTCTATCAGTATCGGCCCTGAAAGCCTCCTTTAAGTCTTTAGATTCGACTTCGCCCTTTCTGTATCCACCATGCTAGGGTCGGTGGCGCACATTACCAGGATCCTCTGTGGCTGTCGATATAGCCTCGAAGTCCGTCATCGGGTTTTGCGATGCTCGGGAACCTGCGAGGTTTCAAAATTTCATAGGAATATAGGAATTTTCAGCCGATTTGAACACATGCCACAAAGATCGTAGCAGAATGTTTACCGTAGTCGACGTGTATAAAAGCTCGACCGAAACCTTCGACCGTCTCGAGCTTGTCTTGTAGTTCTTGGGAAACATCATGGGTCTCGCGAAGACTGCACTCAGGCGCCATGACAATGTCCACCTCGGCAAACAAATCCTCGCCCCAGTGATAAGCGCGGACTGTGTCGACCTTCAATGTTAAATAGGAATTTCGAAGAGTAAGGAAAACGATTTTCCTGTACTAAACTGGGAGAGGCTCCTAGTCCACAGAGCTCCAGAAACTCCGAGTGTACAGTGCTAATCCAGGTGACGATAGCGACAGAGGCGATAATCATGGCACCAGCGGGATCAACCCACCATTTCAGCTTGGCGCCAGCCTTAAATGTGAAGATAGCGAATCCATATACAAAGCAGTCATCGCGGTTATTCATGTACTATCCACGACTCAAGATATGGGAATTAGGAAGCGAAGCCTCGATTTCGTGAAAGAAATCCCCCCTTTCCCACGATGTTAGAACAAGATTACTTGGGATAGAAAGACTGCATACGAAGCCTATTACCTTATACTATCTTTATTTATGTTCTTTTTGATCCCAGATTATTGTCCTATGTATATATTTACACTCTTTATTTGTGCTCTATATTATCTTCCTAGTTATGCATCCTTGCTTTATATATTTTACTTTATTTTAGTTTAGTGTATTTAACAAAACCTCAGACGAAATTTAATCTCTTATTTAGAATACTAGGTAATTGATTATGTCCCTCGTAGCTTACTTACCTCCTTTTATTTTCGTTATAGTACAATTTGCAGGGCAGCGACCTGTTGGTTAGATATGAAGATAATGAACATCAGGATAATAGAATCGTTAGAGAATAGGTATTAAAGAAGGATGTTGTATGTGATCAATAGCTGAAACTTGAAAGGATTCATTTGGAGGGTTTTCCATCTTATGATTAAGATACCATCATAATGTATTATGAAAAAGTAGACCCTTCTTTTTTAAGGAATGTATATTTAAAATGCTATCTCTCCTCACCAATCAGGTTCCATAACTCAGTTGGTTAGAGTGTGGTGCTAATAACGCCAAAGTCGAGGGTTCGACCCCCTCTGGAACCACAACTTTTTTTGGTTCTTTTCTTTTTCAATCATTACGCTCAGGTCACAATCACAAGTGCTCTCTCTATTTGCGAGGACATAGTGATGTTTTTCGTTTTCATATCGGATTGAGTCTAGGTTTGGTACCCTTCGATTAATATTCGACCCAACATGGTAGAGGGTTCTCCAGGGCTGTACAAGTTGATACTCTCAGCCTATCGCGCGAGCCTCCAGGTGAAACTACCCAACATCCTAAGCTAATATAATCTTGATTCTCTGGCGACCTCAGTTCGCGAAGGAGGCTATGTAGTACGAGGGGCTATCTCGTTGCTTAGCGTCGTGGGGTGCATCTAATCGCAGTTGATACCCCTGTAGATCCGCTTCAAACCAATTAAGCTTGATATACACCAGTGATTTGAGAACAATTCGCTTCCTTGGTTTGGACTTGCATCTCTGTTGCCAAACCCCTTTTTTACCTCTAGGTGATGAGGCTGCGGGATACAATTACCAAAAGGTTTGGTAGCCACAGGCACAGAATCAGCAGCAGTTCACACATCCCTTCAGCCAATCCCAATTATGGCTACTCGGCTCATTTTCCTGATCAGAGTACCTTGAAAATTCCCTGATATAGCTCATGGGACCCAAAGTAACAACAATACTGATACGTAAATGGCCAAACTGGAGAGCGAACTTGGATTTAACCGACACAATATAACGGTCCTGCATACGCATCTCCTCCAGCCGCGCCATATACAAACCCCCAGAAAACCCACCCCCAGAAATTGGAACAGTACTTCAAATAAAATGCTACTTTTTCTGGAGGCGCTTTGGGGGGCATTGGTGGCCGCAAATCACGAGTTCAGTGAGCTTTCTGCAATGTGTCAGCCAGAAAAGCATCGGCATTAACGTTGCTATTGCATAATAGATTGGAAGAAGGCTAAAGACGAGATCCAGCAAAATATTATCAATATCCCTGAAAATACGGTCTATGCTGTCGCCGAGACCGTGCGTTTATAGTACATCGCTGCCTTGTTAATTACAGTTAATCACAGTCCTGTTAGCTAACTCAATTCACCGGCATAGGTTGGCGCCGTCGAGGACATACTAGATAAGGTTGAAGAGATCCAGATAAATTTGAGCATTCTTGGAAAACTATTGAAACCAGCACGCATGAAATGAAAGAAGATCTGGAGGGAGCGTTTGAAAATGGAAATGAAGATGCACAATATGAGGACGAGGATGAGAGCAATAATGATGACAGCGGTAGTGACGACTGAACGGGCTTTACGAAAAAGGAGAAGGTTATTCAATGAATTCCTTTCTATACTTCTAAATGTTTCATGTTTCAAATTATGCACAGGTAAGAAACATCATGGGTGGATGGTTCCCCGCATTTAACGAGTTATGCGCTAGCCACGGACCTCGGTTGTAGAGAACCGGTAGATCAACAATTCTATTAAATTTTGTCCTCGACTTTCAACGATGGAAGAATTATTTTTTTCTGTTTAAAAATTTCGAAGAAATGCCTGCACCTCCCTTAGATGGTATCCGTGTCGTTGAGCTGGCCGGGTTAGCTCCAGGTAGGTGGACCCCCGCAAACATCTGCCATCTCTCAGCATTGACTTAATACTCCCAGGGCCTTTTGCTGGCCTCCTCCTCGCCGACTATGGCGCCTCCGTCCTACGCATTGATCGACCCTCCGCTGCAAGCGGCGATCAACTCACTCGCCGCAAGACTTCAATCACCCTCGACCTGCGTGATGCCAAGTCCCGGGATGTTTTGCTACGGATCCTGACGGCCACCGACGTCCTCATCGATCCATTCCGCCCCGGTGTTCTCGAGCGTCTTGGCCTTTCCCCAACAGACGTTCTCCTCAAACATAACCCAAGGCTTATCGTTGCACGAATGACCGGGTTCCGACGAGATGGGAAGTACAAGGATATGGCAGGCCACGACATCAACTACATTGCTGTCTCAGGGGTGTTGTCCATGCTGGGGCGTGCAGGAGATAAGCCTTATGCCCCCGGAAATATCCTTGGTGATTTCGCCGGCGGTGGTGCCATTTGCTTCCTAGGAATCATCTTGGCTTTGATCGCACGCACCAATACGGGTCGTGGACAGATTGTGGAGGCCAATATGGTCGACGGATCCGCCTATCTCGCAACATTTCCTAGGCTGGCAACTAAAGGACCGGCATGGGATGCGCCGAGAGGCGAAAATCTGCTGGACAGCGGCTGTCCATACTATGATACCTACGAGACCAAAGACACTGGGAAATACTTCGCCGTCGGCGCTCTGGAGCCACAATTTTACGCAGCTCTGCTTCGTGGTTTGGGGCTCGACACGAAGAGTATGCCGGCACGTGAAGACCGCGATAATTGGCCAGCCCTACGTAAGATATTTACGCGACGCTTCAAAGAGAAGACCCGCGCCGAATGGGAGGCTGTCTTTGACGGTACCGATGCTTGCGCCACGCCCGTGCTGGAGCAGAGCGAGTTAGAATCCGCGGGGTACGAACAGCGTCCCGCTGTGCACTTGTCCCACACACCCAGCCACCCCATTCAGCCCGACGAGGGCGGTTGGACTGGCGGGGGCCTAATGCCCGGCGACGGGGGCGTGGAGACGCTCCGATCGTGGATGGGCTGGGAGCCCAATAAGGATTTCCAAGTTCGGGAAGACGGCGCACTTGTTTCGATGGACGGCAGAGCGAAGCTGTGAAACCTGTGCAGTCTTTCCGTTTTTTGTGGATCCCGTAGATCTTGCTGGTTAATAGTCGCCCTGTAGATATTCCGCGACCGCTGCATCTTTAAGGTGCCCTAAATAAACTCTGTTCTAGCTTGCCTAACTTTCACACCGGAGTAGCGTGTATCCAGGTAGCCTGTATCAAGTCTCAGTTACACTGCGCCACTTCTGAACTGTAACTTGACTTGAGCACTGATGCAACAGTCTACATACAGTAACAACTTTTTTTACCCCTGCAATCATGGCAGTGGGAGTGCTGAAACATATTGACGTCACGACTAACAAATTTCCAAATCCGGCTCCACTGAGTACCACCATCTCCACGTGCCGAAATGTGGCGCAATGGCCGTATTTGCAATTACGCGTCTTGAAAATTATTACAGCACCAGCCACTTTGCCTTGCGGGAGCGACCCGATCTGGTCATAAAATACATCGGCATGTGAAGCCAGGTCTTATGAGATCATTGGATTCTTCTATTTTCTTGGATGCGCCGAAGAAACCAAAATTACCTGAGGGAATGCGCAGATGACCCATATGAAGTAGGTAATCGTTTGTGCATCCATCAGGGAAAATACGTATATTCATCTGATTGAATCAGAACGTGGAGAATTCTGCGAGTGTTTGAAATCGCAAAAATATTATTCTACAACCGTTGTAACAAGGAGAGCGTCTTCATGGAGTATAATCTGACTGATGTATTCGGGATTCGGGTCCACGGTCGCTGAATCTATAGTTTCAGATCGACCTATAATTAGAACTTACACAGTCCTTTTGTTAATTTTTTTTTCAAAGAAAAAGAGAGCTTTTAGTTTGCTTTCGAGCGGAAATTCGTTAAGCAGTTATAGTGTGGTAAGTCGCGTGTGCTGGTCGTTTAATTCTCGATGCCTCTTGAAACATCTGTCAATTCTGACTTATTTAGAAGCTTTTCATTCATCGCATCCGTTACGGAGTAGTGGGTCTATTATAAAGCTCAGTACATATCTTCCCTTTCTCCAATACGATCGGCTTATTTTAGCTGTATCGTCAGCATTCTAGAGTTTTACACAGCTATCGTAAGTTATGGAGTGGATGGAACATACGTACTTTACTACTATATCTGGACACCCAGTGGGCCTCTTTGTGGGATAAGATATGACCTATTTTGAGGCTTAGTGGATTCCGAAATAGTGGTCCTCACGATATAGCTCGAGCCCATAAGTGTACCCTTCTATTCCTGGGAACCACTATTTTTGTCAACTAAAGAAGAGAGAATTCGAGGTCCCTTTATAGAAGTGTCTGATTAAAGAGATGCACAGATATACCAAGGACGGACTGTATAAATACAAGACCTTGCCACCACATTCGGCACTTTATCTTGAATCCAGGCGTATTAGAAATCTACTACGCTTTCTCTCTCCAAAATAAAATTGCAAATTTTGAGACCAGGTCCTAGCAGCCTTTCTATTTCTGCTAAGTCCATACAATAAGTCCACACTCGGCACTTATCTATCTGAAACTAACCCAACTACTCTCGAAAAAGCTACTTGCAGGCTTGCCTTCTATTGCCATGACTTATAGACCGATCTTCAGTAAGGGTTCAGAGCCCGACAAAAAGGTTTCGGAGATTCTTCAGTTACCTAAGCGAGAGATGACGCGTGTCACCCAACTGGAAGCAAATTTTCCTGATTGTGAAAAGATTGAGCAAGGAAAGGGCCCAAGGTCAGAGGTCCTTGTCATAGGCGCAGGATGGAATTTTCTCTCTTTTATGACTGCTATCGTTGCCGCCGGGGCCACGGTGATTGCATATGAGAGGGATAGAAACAGGGCCGGCAGAGGCCCGACGGGATCAACAAGAATCAATGAACCTTTCGAACTTGGTCAGCTTTCGCAAGCTGTACAACTACTACCAAATCTCACAGAGAAACAGCTCACAAAACTACCACCGGTCATCACAAAGATCAAAAACCATGAGAGATATCAAGATTTGCTGAAGAAAGTTGCGTTTGCCAAGGATTTCCGTTCGAAGAAAGAGGCATTGTACAAGTCCCAAGGCATCAAAATGCCATTTCTCAAGGTCGTTGAGGACTATAAGAATTTGCCGATTTCGAATAAAATAACGAGAGGCGACCTTATCAAGGTGAAAGATTCTCTAGTCGACCTCTTGGTGAAGGAGGGTTTAGTAAAGATGAACTATCAAGAAGTGAAAATTGATCTTGTGAAATCATGGCTCGGAACAAATAGACCATGTTTCATGATCCCTGGTGAGCAGGTCAATCTGCAGAAATTGGGTATGAAGCATCTCGAGGGATCTGCAGGACTTGTGCCGGAATTCATTGGGGGAAGTGATGAGGTAAAGCAGAGCCTTGCGATGATCAAGACGGCCCAGGGCAACAGGCATACCCCCAGCGTTGCACTTGTCGGAGGTGGGGCCAGCGCCATGGCTTGTGGGCTGGAACTGCTTGAAGAGGTCGGATCCAAGCCTTTAGGGGTTGTATGGATTCGTCCTGAGGAAAATATCTTGATGGCAGACCGTTCCGACAGTGTCAAGCAAAGCCTGCGGTATCGAGCTATTGATGGCCATATATCGGCCTTGGTACCGCACAAGGAAAACCAAATGAAGAACAAGATTGAATACGTGGGAGTCACCCACTTAGGGTCCAAGAATAAGCGGACACGGGAACCCTGTGATCTTCTCATCCATTGCCCCGACGAACGGATTTCCTATTCTCAAAAAGAGGATGGAACGCTGCAGAGTGCTTTCGAGTCTATTAATGAGGACGCCAAGAAGTATAGCAATGTTCTGACAAGAAACGCATCTTTTTACCCCATGGGGCTTGAACATGAAATTATGCTCCGGCTGAGAAAAGGTGAGAAGTTTGACGTGAAGACATTGAAAGATGACGAACTGGTCAACTACGTTGAAGAACTCAAGAAACGGAGCGATCCTACGCAAGCAACCATCGTGATCTCTGGAGTAAATAACTACACCCGACGTGCCATGTGGGCTCTTAAAGAGCTCGGCTTCAAGGGTCACGTACTTCAGGTTGCCATTCCGTCCCGAGACGCAAGAGTTACTAGTGAAGAAGAGAAGCTCAAGAATAAGGTGGAAGAATGCAAGAGACACGGCTTGAACTGGATCTCGGTCAGGGGCCGCTTGGGAGCGGATGGAACTAGTCTGGTAAATGGCAAGTTCCAACTAGGAGTGAAGGATAGCAAGAACAAAACAGTCCCAGTGCCGCCCGTGGACGTGGTCATCAACGGGGCGGGCAAGACGAAGATCACGCCGCTCGTCAACGCGATGAAGCAAGAGAATTACATTCGCGAGACCTCGAGTAAACAACTCGTTTCGAATCATGAAAAGTTGTATGGGACCAAGGGCTTCTTTGTAGAGGCCGACGCTACTCAAGGCTCGGTGGACCTGTCCACCAGTACGATCAATTCTTGGCCTGGGGTGATCAGATTGATCGATCCCTCGGGATGGGAAGACACGTTCTGGGCTACTCGGAGAGTCTTGGGTACAAAAGGGAAATGAGGGTCTGGCCATCTGCATGTTACCGGTCTTTTCGTCGATATTTTGACACTGAGCGATTCATGTAACTAGAGTAGCTAGACTAGATGAACTGATCGTCAAGCGTGAAAGAAGGTCAGGATCGAGAAGCCATAGTAGCAGCTTCTTTCTTTCCTGTGCTTTTTAATCTTGGCTCTACCAAACGGACCTCTGCGACTACGCACATCAATATCCTGGATTTTCGTAAAACATTTGGGAGATCAGGTAATTTCCGATGCAGCCCGGACCTTGTGAATGGCTTCACGTTTTGAGATCCTATGCCATGCATACCGTGCGTCTAAAACAGGTCGCACGAACTGCCTTGTCCATGTTGTACATGTAACAACATGCCAACCCACCGTCGTGCCTGCAATGATCATGGATACCCCGCATTATGATCGTTGCGATCAACCCGCGGTCATCGGCCCTCGGCACTTGGTCGCTGACCCTTGCCACTTGTCTGTCACAGAGGCACACTATATAGCAAGCTATATATGCTTGGAGAAGGGTCCATTTCTTTTTCTTTCTCTCTTTTTGGTCAACTTTCATCTATACCGGACTGACCAAAGCCAATCTTCTCCGAACTGGTCAAAGCAGCTCTGGACTCCATAGTTCTCGACATGGCGCGCGCGGCAGTCCCCACTCAAATGATCATCCTTCCCCTGAAGGAGCAGCTCCAGATTGAAGTGCCCTCCACTCGCGAGGGCCAGGTCTGGTCGCAGATCCTGGGCATTTTCGAGCATTGGGCCGGATTCCGCCGCCTGTACTGGGGGCGACACGTGGAAGAGCCAGATCAGGTCCATCTGCATATCGGTGAGTGAAGTTGGGCAAAGGAAGGAATACAAAGCTGGGTGACACAGGAAAGGAAGGGAAAGAAGCCCAGTTCCGCGATGATGTTTCTCCTTCCCCAAACTCCCCTAAGCTCTTCCCACAGTCACCCCCGTCCCCCAGCTACCAGGAAAATAACGAGGAGGGCCGCCAGTTTAGTCCGGGACAACCTCCACCAGCACTATGCGCTGGTCGCTTCACCCGAATGGCAACGGATCATCGAAAACCTGCTTACGCTGGGGGTTGCGAGCGCCACGGCGCCGATAGTGCGGCACGCGATGATCGCGGAGTTCTCCCCTAACCCGAAGAGCTTGGGCAGCGGCGCCCCGGTCACAGGCACGGCCATCTATCTGACCCCCGACCCCGTCGGATGGGAAAAGACCTGGGAGCTGTGGACGACGATTGTGTCTTCGGTGCCTGGATGCATTGGGGTAACAGGGGGATGGATGGTGGAGCCCTTGGAGGAGTGCAGCCCCTGTTATGTGGTGTATGTGGGATGGGAGAGCGTGCAAGTCCATGACGCGTATCACCATACAAAGCACTTTCGCCAGCGGGCAGTGATTCTGCGCGAGCATAACCAGGGGTTTCGCGAGTATGGCCATGTAGCCTTTGCGCACTCGCGCACTCGCCGCGAGGCCAACTTGTAAGCACTAAGCGAGAGAGTTTACGCGCCGGGAGACCTGAAGACGTTGGGGGAGGTGAGGCTGGGATGGTTGGTTAGGAGGGTTTCAGAGAGAACAGTGCAACCTTGATGGACGCCTCTCTCTCTCTCTCTCTCTTTTTTTCTGTATATGAAGTCGCTCGCCCACTCGATATTCCATACTTGATCCTTGTTACTGTGTGATAAGTTGTGTAGTACGGAGGATCTATACAGGTAGTCCCCCTCCCCATGTAGGCTTCTTTAATCTCTACTACAAGCTCCTAAAGATCCATATAAGTCCCTATAGCCCCCTGTTCCTATAGGTTCCTGGCGTTAATGATCGGCCGATGGCTGACCAGCTGGGGCAAGCGCTTCAAACTACCAACATCGTCCAGCCGGTAACCAAATGAAAATTACCAATTCCGGGTAATTTGCAAAACGACCTGTGGCGCAGCGGCAATGGGGAGTTCCCAGAGTTTCCCCACTTTACCAATCCACCACGTAATTTGCACGCCGGGACTTTCAGGTCCCGTCGTCTTCCGCCGCAGCCAATCAGCCGTCATGCTGGGCGAACCGCCAAAGTCTCTTTGCTCTCCCCTCCCCCGACTCCTACTGCGACTCTGACGAACTTCTCGTTTCCTCCTCCTACCTCCAGCCTCCCATCTCTGCTTGCTTCATCGTTCCCTGGGTTGATGGTCTTTCGCAGAAAGGAATTTCAATTGGAGATCTGAGAACGGACCCGCATGAGCGCTATCGGCTGGCCAAAGCCCATTCTCGCTTCCAACTCGAAGAAGCCAACACCCGACCAACCGCCCCAACCGCCCATTGTTCACGGCCATTGAACGGCTGCCCGCATTTCAAGCGATTGTCCACTCAAAACGCCCGCTTTGTCGAATCACCAGCCTGTGTTTCAAACCTCTCAAAACCAGGCCGTGTGGCTGCGCAGTGTTCTGGGCGCTGAGACCACAGATCGGGTTCCCCCCGTCAGCCGCGCGCATTGGTTCCGCAGAAACTACGACTCTTTTGTGAACAAGGAAGGTGGTCCACCATTCTAACTTGACGCTTATCTTTTTTCCCTTCTACTTTGGATCTTGGATACAAGGCTCATCTCCCACGGGGCGAGCAAACCTCCATCCACTCTTCGCCCGCTCTCCCCTGATCGCACACGAGGTATTGCATGGCTCTTGTCCAGCCGCCGCCCAATATGACCGAGTTTCGAATGCCCGTCCACCAGGGTCCTCCTGCCCGAAAACCGCTACATCAGCAGGATGGCTATACATCATATCAACCCTATGGTACCCCGCGAGCCCTTGCACCTCACTCGGCTAGCGCTCAAACTACCCACAGTCGGACTCGCACCACCTCTTCAAATGTACTGCCTTATGGGTCGAGTTCTCAGCAGTACCAAGCAGCCCCAATATCGGCAGTCTCTCCGCACACAATGGCGCCGCCGGTGGGCTTCCAACCCACGCGACGAATGTCCAGCACAACTACATCGACAAACTCGACAGGAAATAACTACATGCCCCAGACAGACTCGGATATCCGACGGAGCGCATCCAACCGCTCGGCGAATACACAGCTTGGATATGTAGCCCTCATGCGGCGACAGAAGGCTACCGTGTGGTGCGATCGGGCCCAACCGGAGGATGCCCGGGTGCGCGAACAGGCTATGCGAGACAAAAGGCGAGCGTTCCTTGAGGTCCACGGCGCGGGCGCCGAACGCTCATCCACGCTGGCTAGCGGCAAGATTCGACATGGTGGCAAGGCGGGGCTGGATTTCTCCCCTTCGAACTTAGTTGGCGCTAAGGTTCCCGTACGACTGAGTGCGAATGAAATCGGCGATGGTGATGACGATGCACATAGTGCCGAGGGTGGTATCTTGCATCGCCGGACTGGTAGCGGCCGTAGCTCGCTGGGAAGCAACCGGTACCCCAGTGGCTATCAGCGCCCGCAAGGCACTATGGGGAGCAACAGCACACCTCCCAACGAGAAGACCGAACTGCCAGACGTTTCTGAAAACACACCAGCTGAGATTCACGAAGAAGAGAAGAACCGAGTCTCATCCCTGGTTAAGGACGATGCTGCAACCACGCACACTACAAATAGCAGTGAGCAAGAGGACTTCGTGCCCGATATGCAAGCGCCTAGCGCTGTTGTCGCTGCGACTTCTAAAGCCAAGAAAGCGGACGAGCTACGGCGACGAGGCAGCGTTGATGAGCGAACTACCTCGATGACCCGACTCTTCGTCGCAAATCCTGATCTCAGCGACTAACACTCCCCCTCGCTATCTCAGAGAGTTTATTATTCTTTCTTTCACGCAGCGCCTGTTCACCCCCCCCCCCCCCCCTTTTTTTTTTCTCTTTTTTTCTTCTTGACGCTCCTTCTTCCGTTCTCTCCAACCTTTGATGATCTCTAAGTGATTTTTATTACCTGTCCTCCGTCGCTGCACATAATACCTCTTCTGCCTACCCATCGTTGCCCGGTGTCGCGCTCAGTCTTGTCAACAATACATGCAATTATATGTTAACCATTTGTTCAGATGGGCCTTTTTTTAATCGCAGTCTGCTTGTGGTGTCCCACAATACCCTCAGAACCTGATGGACCGACATATTAGCTTACTCGTTTCTGATACCTGCATCCAGGCTATGTCCTGGCCTTGTTGATTCTTTATGTCTTGCAATATGAACAGACAATAATTGTAAGAGAAGGAAAAAGACTGTTCGAATTTCTCCATAGAGGCTGTATACCTTCGATTGTAAGGAGTTTACATGCATTTCGTAGCACATGATCGGGTGTTGAACAAACAAAAAGGGAGCTTTGTTGTCCCTTTCATCGCATTGACATATTCATCACCTCCCCATTTTCTTTGCTTTTTCCTTTTTCAAGAACCTCCTGTTTATTCGTGGACCTGCATCTCTGTGACCGGAGCAATCGGGCAATATGGTATGATATCACATGACCGACACGTGCCTTATCGTACGCGCCGCGCGAAACCCTTAACGCGCCCCCCGTGTCAAGTAACACTTGCTCCCTTTCGGCTCTCGAGGCTCGTTCGTCAATCCTCGACTATCCGGACCCCTGGCCTCGCAACCTGCCGTTCATCTGATTGTTTATCAAAATTGTTCCAGTATATGTGCTTGCTGAAGCCACTGTCCCCGATTTTCCCCCTGCTCGACTTGCGTGACCCATGAGGTGAACGATCCCGCACCACCACTTCCCCCTCATTGACGCCAATGGAACCGAACATGAGCGTGTCCCCTTTAGTGCCGGCACAACCATTTGCGTCCTCGCCCTCAAGCCCTCGGAAGCGCTCTATACACGAGGTTGAGGATGTTAACACATCGACTCCTGTTCCGAAGCGGGCGTTGACAGGTTACGTTGGAGAAAACCAAGAGAACCACGATCCGGCTTTATCCCTGCCCTCCGCGTCTCAACAACCATCAACACCCGATAAGCAAAGCTTTGCTATTCCCTCGCCGCCTACTGTGGAAATCCCTGTTAGGCCCATTGACCAGAATACTGTTATATCAGTTCCATTGGTGGAACTCAATCCCTCGCCGATGGAATCTCCTAATAAATCTGAAACGGCTATAACACCCGCTTCTAAAAAGCGTAAGCTTTCCCCTGCTAGCAAGGAGGCAAAGGAAAAACAAAAACTAGAAGAGAAGGCGAAGAAAGATGAGGACCGGGCGAAAAAGGAGGACGAGAAGCGGGCGAAGGCGGACGAGAAGAAAAAGCGCGATGCTGAGCGCGAAGAGGAAAAGCGCATAAAAGACGAGGAGAAGAAAAAGCGAGAGACGGAACGTGAAGAAAAGAAAAAGGCGAAAGAAGAGGAAAAGGCCGCGAAAGAGGCTGCTAAAGAAGAAGAGAAGCGTCGAAAGGAGGAGGAGAAATTGAAAAAGGAGCGGGTATGTCCTGGTGAAGCCCCGATGAAGCCTAAGATTGTCCCCAGGCAGAACTCTGATAAACCGCGTTCCAGGCACAACCCAAGTTAAATGCCTTCTTTGCCAAACCTCGACTTCCCTCCGTGCCAGGAACTGGCAGTGCCGCATCACCGACAAAGCCAACCCCGGTTGCCGACGCACCTTGCTCGGACACTCCCTCAGAGCCCAAGACCGACTATCAGAAGGCCTTCCCGGATTTCTTCCTTCAGTCACATACTGTCGTCGCGCCGCCTCACCGCTTCGAACGCGATTCAGATGCCCTATGCCACGTTTGTCAGACGATTGATGCTTCTCTCAACCCAAATAACACCGTCCCATTCGACCATCTCCCGTTTCGTCCCTCAGAGATCTTTCACCTGATTCCCTACCGTCGGCGCCGAGGCCGACAAACCTTGTCCGTCAAAGAGATTTTGCTCAAAATGCAGAACGCGGATCCAGATGCGATGGACGTGGACGGGAAGGACGACACCGCCGTCGCAAAAAGCATGCAGGGGCTTTTAAACAAAACTCCCATAAAAACGCTCCGGTTTGGCGAGGACGTGCGTCCCCCATACCAGGGCACATTTACACGACACGTGCCCGAGGAGATCGCAAAAAAATTGTCTCGCAACCCTTACCATCGCGCACTCCCGGAAACCAATTACGAGTATGATTCGGAGGCCGAGTGGGAGGAGCCGGAGGAAGGTGAGGACCTCGATTCAGAGGAAGAAGAGGAAGCCAGCGACGATGGCGAGGACGACATGGATGGTTTCTTGGACGACGAGGACGATGCGCTGGTAGGAAGCAAGCGACGCCTCATCGTCGGTGAACTCGAACCAGTCTGCAGTGGCATTCAATGGGCAGCGAACGGCGTCACGGACGAGCTCAAGGCCTACCGGATTGAAACTATCTCTGATGCCGTCAACTTCCCCATCAATCCACATTCAGATGCATATTGGGAGAAGCCTAAGGCACCGGCCAAGCGACCGGTCGTACCGACAAATGCACATACCCTGGATGCTTTCCGGGTCAAACCTGGTCCCGATGCATCACCAATTGGTAGTGCCCTGCCGCCGGCTCCAACGTCTAAAGCCAAGCGTCCATTTCCGTCTGAGCACCTGGAAGAGTTTAAACAGGCCGTAGAGGGCAGTGATCTCAGCAAGATCGGATTGATTGAGATTTTGAAGAAACGGTACGTTATTCGCTTAATCTCCGCGAGCTTCCAACCAATACAATCCACTGTCATACTAATGCGGGCGATTCAGGTTTCCCAAGGTATCGAAGGACACGTTGAAGGCGACGCTGGACCAGGTGGCGGTGCGTGTTGGCCAAAAAGAGGTGGACAAGAAATGGGTGTGTCGCTGATTGACTATTTCCTGGCTTGCCCGTGGTACTCGGGGCAACTTGATTACATCACGGAGCTGTTGCATTTGTTTACGACTGGCGTTTTTGAGGATATATCGAGGGAACCCAGCATCTGTCATGGCTATTACGAGAATTAACAACCCCCTACCCGCCCCCTGAAAGAAGGGGATTCTTCCAACCAGTTCCCCATTTTTTTTAACTTGTTAAGTGAATCACTTTTGGTCTCTCCGCCTCCGACTTGTGCTCATAGTGTCTCATGGAAACCGTGTCGCTGGCCAGTCCGGGTTGCATGCGACCATTTGCAGGGCATATGGACCAATGGAGATTGCTCCGTCATGAGAACCGCGAGGCCTTGTGCCGATGCATGGCCGTGGAGTCCCGGAGATCTGAGTTCCCCCCCCCTGCACGTTGATCCTGGCCGGTCATCGGTGCCGGGGTTCCATGGGAATTGTAAACTTGTATATCGGACAGGACATTGATGCTCTATAGAAGTAACAGGGAAGTAACAGGGAAGTAACAGGGAAGTAACAGGGAAGTAACATGGAAGTAACATGGTGCCATGAAATCCGGAGGAGCTTAACTCTCGGAGCTTAACTGTCGGCGCGTTAGGACCGCTCGAGTGCGATGCGCTGGTCTATTGGCTTATTTATGTCCTTCTGTCAACTCTATCTAGACCGGGTCTCGGCAGTTTTCGTGTGGACGTCCGGTTGGCAACTTGGCTACGGGAAAAGACCAGCTGAAGGGGGCAACACGCCCACACGCCAACACATCAAGAAGCATAATCGACAGGCCAACGAGACAGCGCTGGAATCACCAGCATAACCGCCGGGATTGCTAGGCCACATGTTCCCCACTTTGGTTGGGCGTGGAAGTAGGTGTCGGTAGCGGGAAGAATAAACATAGGAACACTAAATCCCGAGTGATCATCGAGCATTGTAGACCAGCCGACTGGTCTCCTTCCAACCTCCAACTTCACTTTTCTCCTTTCCTCTCCACTGCAGTTACAAGATACAACACAGCACCCTCCCATCCTGCAAGTCGCTTTACAATGCTGGCTCTCCATCATTTTGCTGCGCCCGCCACCTGCGATTGGCCCCGCACTGCCAGCCCGGACCCCGGTGCGCTGACTCCGCAGAGACCATGGAGGGCGGCGGGCGAATCATCGCATCGCCCCAAACTGTCCACCTCATTCCTGCATGCAGTGCCAGCGCATCGTGCCCGCGTACTCGGTACTCACGGCCAATGTACTCTACAGCCCCAAATCCCTTGCCGCAGCCAGGTTCCATCCTATTCTGGTTCCAGACCGGACTGACCTGGCGTCCCGGTACCGCCTACCTCGCCTCCGAGACAAATCGCCCGCAACAGTCCGCTTCGAGTCGCTTCTTGAGGGACAAAACAGCGTTTCCCGCGTGATTTTCTTCCGTTCTATAACTCCCACTCGCTGACATTCTTGCTTCTCTCTCTTTTGACGTTTACTCCCTTTCTAATCCCAACCTCCTCACCACACTCTCCCTCTCCCCTCCCCTTCTACCCCTCCAAACGACGAACGACCTGCCCTATCTTTCTCCCTCTCTCGCGTCCCGACGATCCATCCTGGACCGATCCGCTAGTTGCTCGATCCCTTCAAACCGGGGTTGTCCCGCGATAAAACCATGCGATAAGGATCCGCCCACGGCGGCCAGGGGCATTTCGCGACAGTGCACTCCGCCCGCTGGCGCGACCCAGAACAAGATGGCGGGCTATCAACGGCACGAGGATCTTTCGTCATCCTCTGTCACTTCTATTACCAGTATGTTTTCATTCTCCCGTTTCTCTGGCCCGTTCCTATGATATTTTCCGAATTCCATTTTCATTTCGCATGCCTGGTTGCGATGCGATGTGACTTCGTGGGATGGAGAATCAGCCTGCCACTCGGAGCACAGTGGTTTCGGTGCCTGACCTGGTGTCCCAATCTGATCCGCTCTTCCCAGCCGTGCGGATTCCCGCTCTCCAGCCCGATCCATCATGCGATCCATCGCATCAGGCAGATCCTGCCTCAATAGCTCTTCCTCCATCGCCTTGCTTGTCGCCGCCGGCGACCATGTCTGTCCCCATCGCTTCGTCTGCGCCCGCGGATCCGAACGTGGGGCAAGGTGAGTTCGATGGCTCGGCCCGTTCCAGTCCCAAGTTATTGGCCAAATCTTCCGGACACAAGCCCGCGCTTCCATCCATGGTTCCCACGATGCCTATTTTCCCCAAGGATGATGCTGGTCTCCAGGTTTCGTTTGAGGATTTTGCCACCCGGTATCGCCAGAGCCAGCGCAAGCAGGCCCAAAGAAAGCGACTAGAGGAACGCCTGCGTGCAACCAAGGTATCCATTGGTGTCTCTGCGCGCATGATCCGTGTCGGCAACGCGGTCCAACGGGGTCTTGTCGAAGCTCTCAAGCACGATGATAAGATTAATTTCGTGGCCATCTATCATATGATGTATGACCTTCAGGATTCCTGTGCACAGAGTGCCCGCTGCGACGAGCATCAGGATCTCCCAAACGACCAGGAACAGCCCTCGGACCGCGAATTGGATCGCTCTTCTGATTTCTTTAATCAGCTTAGTCCCCAATCCCGGGCAGACTTGCTGGAAATTTTGCGACTGGTTCGCTCTGACCCACAGTTTTTGGTTGATCGTCTTCGCAGCTTTACCTCTGCTCAATTGACCGCGCTCACTTCACCGTCCACTACCTTGGAATCTGGAGATCCTGCGTTTCCCTCATCCCGTTCTCGGAGCCAATATGCCTTTAGTCGAAACCCGGTCCAGTCTACCTCGTTTAAGGACCATGCGTATGCCTTTGAAAGGACTGACCCTCTGTCAATCTTGCTTTGTAACGTTTTTGCCGCGCCACTGGAGCACGAGACGCCCGAGGCCAGACTACGCCTGGATGTGTGGTCAACTGTCTGCGCCCAACTAATGTCCCACGGCAGCAGTAAATTCTACCCCCTGATTGGCCAAATTCTTTCTTCCTGGTCCACTGGCAGCAATTGGAAAGCTCGTCCCAAATTTGAACTCTACCTCATGGATATCTTGCAAACTGGTGCATTTCTTTTGGAGCACATAGAAACCCCTGCCGGATTGGGCTCTGCCGCCGAGGCTCTGGACCCTTTGCGAACGGATGCTGCTGAAGAGTTCTTTGCTTCCGCTGTTGATGATCTCTTCCGAGTGCTCGATGATGCAGATGGTGGTTTCCCTCGTGCAGTCCTGCAATTTGCCAAGGCCGTCCTACAAAAACTGGAAACTCTTGACAGCCGCAGCCGTTTTCTTGAGTATTTGTTTGTCCAGTGGTTCTTCCCGAAATTTCTCTACAGCACATTGACGTATCCTGAGGTAAGTTCCCTTCTCCACAGTTTGTGCCGATGTTGACCATTGACTCTTTTACTAGACACACGGGCTGCTACTGGACTTTCATATTCGAAAAGATGCTCGTGAGAAGTTGCTCGGCCAGGTCGGGCTGCGGGCCTATTCTCAAGTCTTCGCTGTTTTGCGGTCCATGTGGGTTTCTTTATATTGCTAACCCCCCACGTGGAATTCGCGTTTGCTAACTCACTCCCAGGCATCATTATTCGATTCTGAGACCGTCTATCAAACAGCATGTTGACAATATGCTCGCTCGCTTCCAGTCTACGGTTCCCTCTGAACCGTACACGGCTGAGCTATCTGCACAGGCCGAGAGTGCACCTCGCCGTGACTCTTCCTCGACATTTCTCTTACTATCTGCGACTGATGTACTTACTTTACTAGACGCTCTTTTCCCACAGACTTGTTCATCACTTCATTCTTCGCCTGTCTGCGCTTCAGTCCCATCTTGGTCATCCAACCTCTCGCCAACAAATAGCCTCCGTCATGAGCCTTTGTTTGAGCCTGGATTCTTCCGGTCAACCTATGAGACGCTCCCTCGACCGACATCGCAGAATGGTTCCATTTTCTCGATGGATTCATCTTTCTCCCTTCCTGAGAATGGCCTGAGTCAAACTGCTGCTCGGATTCGATTTGAATTGACAGATTTAGACGAGCCGACTGAGCGAGCCCGATTGGAGCACCCATCTGTGGAACATTGGACAATATTTTCCGTTGCGCAAGATGGCCTTGCACTAACCTGGAGTTTACTTCCGGACTATGGAGGCGAGCTGTCTCGGCAATCCGCAGTCGAAAGTGATGACGATACTCATTCCACCAACTTAGGCCTAGAAGAAAATCATGAGGCCCTGCAAACTGCCATCATTCGTCTCGTTAGAGAAAACCACGTCTACGATTCGGAATATTGCGATCGACAATCACCCGCTGTAACATTGAAGCAAAGATTTAATCAAGCGATGTCTGCTTCACACAACTATTCAGACTTTGTCGGCGCGCACTACTGGTGGAATGCTTCACGACAGCTTCGACAAGGAATGGATTCATCACAGGCTGCGGGGGATTCGTGGATTCTAGGTCCAATGCATAACTCATGTGCTCGCTCTTTGAGCAAATCACGAACTATCATTGAACGTTGCGAAAGTGATTTTGTCTCCTTGGACCAGAGTCTACGCCAATTACAAAGTCGAGTCAAGCAGATGATGACCACAATTACCAAGATCCGCAACAAAATGTGGTACATGACCGACGTCAAGAACTCCATGCGGTATGAAGAAGCCAGACATGTCGCCATGGCTCTCAAAACGATGATATACTCGGCCAGGCCGTATACCGAGGTGCCTGAGGACACCCGTTCTCGTAGTGGAGCCCGGTCCCTTGGGGGTTCATTGTTTCAAAAACCCGAGTTACAAGTTATGAACATGATGAAGGCGCCCAGCAGCCAAGGTGGCCCGAAGAAACTCTCCGATGAGCAAGTTGAGCTGACTCGAAAGTGGCTGGCCCACAACGGGATCGAGAACTTCTGCAAGGGCGAAGAGCGCATTCATCGATTTTGCTATGAAGTTCGCACTAGCATCACTCGGCTTGTTGGTGAAACAATGTCCGAAACGCCTGTTCTGTGGGCTAGCGAGCTATTCCAAAGAGAAAGGCTGAGATATGAGGGCTATGGCTCCCGTGGTTTTCCTGGGTTCTCTTTGCCTACTACACCGAGACCTTCGACAACTGCCAGCGAAGACCCGACACAATCCCAACTCCATGGACTCAATATACCCTTACCCGACTCACTCTCTCGACTGTCTCAAGATCTTCCATCACTTGGTCGCAAGTCGTCCATTCAAAGCCTGATATCAGACAAATACAGGGCACCGCGAGATGTACCATCCGCTGACATGTCTTCAATTGGAGGCTCACCTGGCCGTGCGGCCTCCACATCAACCGGCGATACATCAAGCACATTTTGGTCTGTACCGCAACGACATCCTATGTATGCAGCAAGTGTGTCGAGTGTCTATTCTCGGCCCCCATCCATGTTCAGTGAGACTGCCACAAGACAGCCCCATCGGCCCGAGCGCAAGACACATGGCAAAGCTGCGTTCATGGATGATCTACGGCAAACGCTCACTAGTCTGCTCTTGAGTGATCTTGGATCTCCCGTATGGAGCTGTGGCAGCGAGACCGACGCCTGGTTCACAAATGCCCTTGAACAACCACGCATTCGCGTCCAGATGCAGAGACGTGCTGCAATTGACAAATTCTATGCGGAATATGATGCACGGTCCAAACATCTTCGTGAGAATCGACCGCCGAGGGGTCGTCGGAGTAGGTCTCTTGATGGCTCTCACCAATCCAAGCGTAAGAGCCCCAGGACCGATACCTTGAATGCGGAGGACGTACAATTCCAATCTGACGATCAATCGTCGTTCTCTTACAAATCAATCTTTCACCAACTTATCGAGGTATTTTCGCGTCATGGAAACCCTTTTATTAAGTTAAATGCCCTGCGAGACCTCCGGTCACTCGTGGTGGCATCCCTGAATTCACCCCACGACCAAATCTCATCGGCAAGCGCTGCCAACCCATCGTCTACGCCAGCTGAGGGTGCGAGGATGCGAAATAGCGTCTCTCTCCCACGCCAGCGAAGTATCCGCCATAGTTTCTCCGAGTGCCATGCGACCAGGGCGAACCAGATGAACACTAATCTACCTATGCCCTCTCCTCCACAGTCTGTGACTTGTGGCTCGCGGCGGTCCGAATATGCGACCCCATCAGAAAATCAGATCGTGGCGGCTCTTCGTGATTTGATTTTGGAAGTGAAGCCTAAGACTCTGTTCCGCGATCTCCAATTCATCTCTGCATTTGTTCCCGGAGACCAGCTGAGCAAGACTGACCGTGGCACGGCCTTCCTTCAATTTGGATTAGCTGCACTGAGTCTCAAAGACGAGGTTTGCCTCAGCATGATCGATATTGCCGACCGAATCGTCTCCCAGGAGCTCATGCGACGGCATCCGCTTCCTGGATCTGATTTCTATCCGCGACCGGGTCATGCCATAGAGGATGCGGCGGCGATGTGGATCATCACCGCCAAAGAGGGCAACCCTGTAGCACAGCGTGAGCTCGCCATACTCTACCTCACTCACCCTGAACTCCTTCCGCGCGTTACCCTTCCACTGACCCGACCGCGGGATACTTTCAAGGCGGAGATGATGTATCGCCGTGGTAAGGACTCCAAGTCGGATCCGCAAAGTATGTGTCTGGCACTGCACTGGATGCAGCTGTCCGCGAGTGGAGGTGATCTTCTTGCACGCAATCGTCTCCGTGAGCGCGAGGAATTCGACTCTATTGCATGAGATTTTCCCTCGTTTCTTTATTTCCTTCTTCTCTCTTCTTCTGTGTCTTCATTCACTCTCTTTGCGCTTTCACTCTATTTCTCTGACTACACGAGGCAGGCCTTGGTTTATTTTGCATATACAGATACCCCCTTTTGGGTGATTCATCTGGTGTTAGAGGAGAATCATATTGGACCTTGTTCCTCTTCCTGATTCTAGGATTGTTGTAGGTGTGGGCGTACTAAGGCGTCTTGTTTTCCCGTATGCATTGAAAGACTGGGAGGGGCCTATTGTATCACCTACGCTTTTATAAGTTCAATAAATTTAAATAGCAAGACGCTAAGGATATCTGCTCCCAGAGTTTTGTAGTAAAGGGCTTCATTCAAGATCCTATTTTGCGGGCCGTGCATTCTCCACCGAATCTGTCATGGGTTCCCTGCCCAACCCGTTGATGCCGAAGACGTCAGGCGCCAAGCCCGACGTCATCGAGCACCACGTGCCGCACTCAACTTCACCACAGCAGCTGACGAGCATTTTGAGCTCAGAGATTCAACTTGCCAGTTTCTGACTTTCCAGCCGACCGGCCAAGGCGATTGTATCGGGCCCTTTTGCCCTCAGCTGAACACTCCACCCCATCTGACACATCAACCGTCAGCCCGCCCTCTCTACCTGTTAGAGAGAATTTTGTGCCCACGTCCGCTTGAAAATCGGACGGCACGTTCGTCCTTTCCCACCACCGATTCAAGATGACGACCGCACCGCATATGCCGGCCAAGGCACACAGCACTGACGATGTGCACCCACGGCCAAAGGGTAAGTTCTGCTAGAGAGCCCCAACAGATCGCTCCCGCACTGGCGAAGAACCCCGCCATAAGCCAACCAACTTACCTTCGCTCTATTCAGGTATCCTCAAGAACAGATCGTTCCAGGGTGTTCCTGCTGCTCCGCCAGCAGCCACTCCTCCCACCATCCCAACTATCGCTGAGCCCGCCGATACCAAAGAGCTCACGCTTCAGAACACCTTGCAGAACGCAGGCCGGCGCCGGTCCTCGTCCACTACACGGCCTGGGTCGTCCTCCCGCCGACACTCCCTGGCTAGCCAACACGACGAAAACGAACCTCGATTGAAGTGGGACGAAGCGAACCTATACCTAACGGAGCAAGAGCGCACTGCCAAGATGAAGATTGACGAGCCCAAGACTCCATATGCCCCGCACTACGACCCGGCCGAGGACGAGGAGGCGTTGCGTCTGGAGGAGGCAAAGGAGAGCCTGATCGATGCACAGGATGTTGTAGTCGACGAGCTGGACCGAACCACCAAAGGTGGCCACCACAAGAAGGCGGTCTCAGAGGATGACATTCCTGACCTCGAGCTGGGTGAGCCCGAGGAGTCTCTCCCGGTCGACCATCACGACGCCTTGAATGACCCTCGTATCTACCGCGACCGCAGTATGAGTACCGACTCTCACAAGAGTGAGAAACATGTCGTCGTCGGCACTGACACCAACGGCGATGTTGCGGCGACTGGCGAGCCCCCTCATCACGACTGAAGAAGACAAGGAGAAGCATCGCCAGTTCGAGGAGCACCGAAAGAAGCATTACGAGATGAGAAATATCAAAGAGCTGCTCGCGTATGTTGCATTCAAAACTCTCATACTAGATTATCTTTATTTTTTTTGGTTACCTCGCTAACATCCTTTTTATCCAGTCACCCTGAGAATTTGGAGGATGAGATGGAAGAAGACGAGGATGTCGCCGACCCCGGTCCCCCACCGGCTGTGCCCCAGATTCCCGGGCAATATCGCACTGGCGGACAATAATGTGGCGCCTTCTAGAAGTTTCTGTGGCCTTGCCTTTTTTCTCCCTTGTCTTTGTTTCATCTGAATTCCTCCTCTTCAGTGCTCTTTCTTGACCCAGAATTTTCAAGGTGTCACTGCGGTTCTTCTTTTCTGTCTTTGTTTTTTCGCGTGCTATGACATATGTATATTCCCCAGCGGCCAATTTCTTCAACACTTTTTGTCTCCCGTTGTACCGGGCATCCAGACTGCATCTCCCCTCTCTGTTTTTCCACGCCTTCCAGTATTATCGAGATATCAATGATATGAACCTGGGCAGTCTGCTCCTTGCAAGGGGCTGTCTTCATTAGAGCACCCCTTTACCTTCTCCACTTGCTTCCTGTAGATGCAACACTTCCTGCAATAATTTATTGCGAAGAAATTTCTATATACTCTTAGTAAATTCATCCATGATATACCAGATGTGGATAATTATAGTACGTACATCAACCCAAGGTCATCACGCAGATCGCCATTTCCCACTACAATGGATATTCGCGAGCTCCAAGGTTTTCGTCCCAGAGTTGACATATTTTATAGGTCGCAAAGCCCGCGGATACTGAGGATCTGGAGCGCACAAGAGATATCCTCCACGATTTGTAGGTTCATGCACGAGTTAATTCGCTTTCTGGAACCCGGGATGAATAAGTTATAGAGCTTGGTCGGATTACACTGCACACATTCGATCGCCGAGAACACGGGACGGAGCGGACGGCTAAAATGGTCAACATATAGACGCAGGTCATGATCGGTGTAAACTCAGATGAGATCAGCGCAGGCATTTATGTCAATCTGTGCTCGTGGCGGGGGCTTGATATAGATGTGTTCTTATAGTAAGTACGAAGGACAGTACTTGCGTTTCCGCACCGGTGAGACACGCCCCAGAAGACTAGCAAAATGGGAGGAGGCAAAAGCTTACAGGGTTTAGGGACATATGAGGTCGCAATTAACATTGCTAAGATTTATCTATCCGGTTCAATTCCACCTCTCGTAACTGCTGAAGGCTGTCACCGACCTCCGCGGCTATGTGCAAGTGACTGCACGTCAGGAGTACTCGAATGAGCTTACGTTTACTGTACGAAAGATAATGCTTTCTATTCCCAGTCCACTCCATAACAATATAACTTTCTCCCTCTGTTGCCGGAGCGGAAACAGGCTGCCGTGAGTGGGACCAAGTTCGGCATCCCACCCCAATCTCCTGTCGGGTGAAAATGGAGTCAAGGAAGTGCTGGAACTAGCAAAGTCCGCGAACCTATATTTGCTCAGTATTACCTCTCCTCTGAGGAGAATGTGAACTATATATACCAGAGCATTTATAGAGATACACGGGTTCATGGATAGATGGTGGGGGGTTAAATTCAAGAAAATAGTTCTATACGACGGTTACCTTGGAAGTAATGTCACTGATGCAGCACCATGTTTCCTCCATGAATATCTCTCTTTTACATTCTGGCAGTCATGGTCCCCGACGTGAAGAATACCATCGCAGATAGTGCCATTATTGCGATTCCGGCGAGTCATCTTGGGGTCCAGATTGCGCACCTAAGCTATATAAGGCGATGCCGGCAGAAATGGATATGACAGACTGTTGGGTGATGCTTGGAGGTCTAGATTACACCGGAGGAAAGATTACCACGGACAAAGGGCGTCGAATAGAGCATTTGAGGTTCTTTACGCAGGGCTTTTACGGGCCAAGACGGAGAATATATTGTTGGCAAACTCTGACGATGAACTTTTGTCATGGTGTCCCAAAGCTCAAAAGATAATAATATTTGGTCTATCGAGCCCCAATATTGGAATTTTTGGATTCCAAAGCCCAATTAAGTATTTGCAAGTAGGGAACGTTGGTGATAGCTTTGGGGGCCTTGACTCATTACAGGAAAAGCCGTAGTAATATCAATAAAATATAAGCACAGAGCGGCGATGTCTTACGATACGCTACATGAACCAGCAGTGCTTTATCCGAGCTCAATATGTTGAGCAATGCAAAGTCAGAATGTATTTTATAACAAAGCGAAAAATTCTTCGTTTTGCCTTGGCTAACTCAGCATTCAAATGTATGAATCAAGTGTGATATACCATTTAAGATCTGGCGAAGTTATTCACCACAAAAGCTTATTCCAGAAATCTTCTACTAGTTGAGTGACTTCTGGGACCCGGTCTCGCACAACTCCATGTCCCACTTGCGGCAGGACAACGACATTCTGCATCCCAACCTCGTTCAGGTCCTGCTCACTGACCACATCGTCCAACTCTCCAAGACACACAAGCTTTGGATATCCGTTTGCGCCGCTTGAGAAAATTCAGCATGTTTATCCAGAACCTCACCGTCTCTGAAAAATTCCCACGATACTCGCCAAGTGTCCCTTATGCTCCTTCATTTGCCAGTCTCGAACAGCCTCCGCAACTACCTCGCCTCGCTTAACTTTCTCTTTCCAGTCAGAAGGTACGATTAATTGTCCCCCTTCTAGGAACTCCAGAATCCATGTTTGCGCTTGTTCTTCTATTCCTTCACCCCCGTGCAAATAGCTTCTCTGGAGGTTGTTGAAGCTCGCTGCACGCATAAGGCCCGCGGGTGCAACTAACACCATGGATGCAACACGCTCTGCGTGCACGGCTGCAAAAGATGCAGCCGTCGATCCACCAAACGAATAACCAAGAAAATGGGCATTCTCCCACTTCAAATTTGCCGTCACAGCCTCCAATAGTCCATGAAAAAGCACGGAGTTGTGTACTTTCAATGGGGTGTCAGTAAGACCATGGCCCCATAGATCTACCAGCACAAAGTGCGTATATGCGAAACGTGAAGATAGCGCGCTTGCCAATGGCTGCAGACCGATGGCCGAGGTCTGGACGCCATGCACAAGCAACACTCGGGAAATAGGATTGATTTGGTCTGTTGGGACTGGAGGTGAGGGTTTGAGCTCGTAATACGCAACCCTGCCGTTTGGAGTCGCCAAAAAGGATGCTAGTGGCAGTAGGCTACCAAATTTTGCAACGAAGCTGGCTTCTGATGGCCCTCGGATTGGTTCCTGTGTGTCGTCGGCATTTGGACCGCCGGGGCGGGGTAGCACAACTGATACGGTGGACATGATAATTTGAACAAAAATTAGATGCTGTCGCTGCTGATTGTATCCCAACCCTGGTTGGAGACTAAATTGCTGTTGTATATTAGAAAGTGGGGGTTGTAGCTGCAGATAAACGGATTATGTACCACTGGATGGTTATGAAAGGTCTATTTGCCAAGTGTTGAGTTTTGGCCTCATCGGAGATGTGGACTAGAGCATAATCAAAACGTGTAATCGTGATTGTACCTGATTCAATTTTGGGGACGGCCCGCCCTTTCTACCAGTTTTACGGGGCTTTGGGAGAGAGCGAGTGGATGGAGGCGGAACTATGACAGCAACAAAATACAGTATTATTCTGCCCTGCATTTCCTGATAAACTATGACAACATTAGCCATTCTCTTGGCAAACTAAATCCAACCGCACTATCTTATCACCTTCGTAAACAGCCCCCGCATCTCGGCTAGGCAATGCCCATCCCGAGGTGAAAAGCTCCAAGGTCCGCCTCCAATTTGGAAACCCTCGCGGATTGAATTGAGCTGAATACACAGGAGAAGCGAGAGATACCTTTCAAGTCACTTCTGCTCACTTAAAATAGCCCGGCCATGTCGAATAAGCCACGAATTCTTTTGGTGGGCTGTGGTGGCGTTGGAACGATCGCAGGCTTGAATCTAGAGATGGGCGGCGACGCTGTTGTCACAGCGGTGCTTCGATCAAACTACACCAAAGTTATTCAAGATGGCTTTCATATTCGATCATGCGACCATGGAGAAATCGCGAATTGGCGACCGTCAGAGGGTAAGCCAATTGCAATTCCCATCTACGAGGTATTCTTTTACTTATGAACTACGGATGGAAGTTTTGAACTATATCCCCAACCAGAGCGATAAGCAGTTCGATTATGTGGTAATTACCACCAAAAATATTGTAGATCACCGTCCAACTGCGGCAGACTTGGTGGAACCTGCAATCACACCGGGTAAAACGGTGATTGTACTGATTCAGAATGGGTTGAATATCGAGTTGCCATTCTTCGCCAAGTACCCTGACAATATTTGTCTGTCTGGAGTTAGCCTGATTGGATCGCACGAGACAGCACCAGCAGTGATCGATCACGAAGATTCGGATCGGCTCGTGATCGGTGCATTTCGGAACCCTCGACTCCCAGATGAGGAACAAGCTCAAGCAGCGCGAGAATTCGTTAAAATTTATTCGTCGGGTGGAAAAACAGATTGCACTTTCTCTGCGGATGTTTCATATCATCGATGGCAAAAGCTCGTATACAATGCTTGCCTGAACCCTGTTTGTGCGATCACAGGGTTGGATACGGGACGGATTCGGCTCGCTGATGATACAGTGGCTACTCTGCTACGCCCTGCAATGCAAGAAGTAGTAGCCGCAGCGAAGGCATCCGGGGTCACTCTCCCAGCTGGAATTATTGACCGTATGATTAACATGGACCCTCTGACCATGTATCTGCAGCCGAGCATGCTGGAAGATGTTCAGAAGGTATGGTTGTGCTCATTGCCTAAAGAACGAGTTGGCGACTTGCTGACATGTATCAGGGTAACTTGGTGGAGTTTGAGACGCTGGTTGGTGAGCCATTAAGAGAAGGACTAGCACGGGATGTACCCATGCCAACTTTGACTTTTATCTATCATACGATGAAGGCAATTCAATGGAAACTGAAGCAGCAGAAGGAGCTAATTGCTATTCCACCAAAGGGCGATTACCTCGCTAATGGTTCTAAGTAGGGTTTCGTGCGCCTTGATGCCTCTGGAGGATTTTCGAGGTCAAGAAAAGCGAGTCAATCTTACTTGAATCGAAAATAGCCTCCTAGTAATGTACTCCCTCGGGAAACACTCCAGAAAATGATTCTGGGGCAGCTCTGGGGTACCGGTGAGACGTGAAATGGAAATTGCTGTGTCACGAAATATATACCTGACATGTGATGAGCAAGCTCGTTTTGAGTCCACATGTATGAAATATTATTAGCAATTGAGATGTAAGAAAGTACCTGAATTTCCTATTCTCAACATGATTTTTGAAGGAGTCCGGAATCAGTCGACTTGCATACTTTTCCTGGTCAAATTTCCGTTAGGATCGGGTCATTAAATATGAAGACGTATGAAGACGGAAGTTATTCATAAATTTAACCAAAATGCTCCGAAATTGAGCAACACAAGCGGAATTACATGAGCATTGTGAGATTGCCCTTTCGAGTGATAACATAGTATTACACTATAAATAGCACACTGAGATGCTCGGAGGTCAGCAATTTTCCCATTATCGCTTGGTCGTCCCAGACAACTGATTAAACCCACCAGATAAGGATGAAATTCTCCGCCATAATCCCTTGTCTTTTCGTCTTCGCTGGCGCAATCGATTTCTTTGGGATCAGCCAAGATCCTCGCTGCATTGTGCCATGCGTTCTCAAAATCCTGAAAGAGTCAAATTGTAGTGGCAATATCATTTCGTCCATATGTTCCCCTGCTACTTTTGACAATCTCTTAAAGAACGAGGCCTGCCTCGTTGCATGCGATATTGATCCTAGACTGAGTACGTTCATGTGACCGACTGATTCCTGGTCGTGCAATAATTGGAATTTAATCTTAAATATTTAGTCAACGCGACTATTACCGAGGCTTCTGCAATATGCAAGGCTATTCTATCAGCCCCGAAGCTGTGAAGAAAACGGGGGCTAGTTCAACGGAATTAGGAATCTGCCAAGATACCTGGGCTGGAATTATTTCCTCCAAATGCAAAATTTTGAGACAATAAACACGTACATATCCGTTCTCTGTAGGAATCTGGGTTCTACCTCCATTGGATTAAATAAGCAAGGAATAGCAAGGAAGTCTTTCTCACTCGAAGTGAAAGAGGGAGAAAAACCAACATAAGAAGACCTTTTCTCATTTAAGGTTATTTGGGCCCCTTTAATTGCCTGTGTTTCACCTTCATCCATTCACCATCCTTCATTAAGGGCGGGGTCAGACCTTGGGGAAAAAAATCTAGACCCGGGAAAGAGAAGCCACGGAGTCCTAAAAGAACTGAATTAGATCTGCGATATCTTAGAGCTTATATTCAGAAGCCAGATTGTTTCACTTAACCTCCTATTATTCTTGTTATTTATTGCAAGCAAGACTGCGCCGCTCCCGACGACCGACTTACAAGGTGCGGTGGAGGTGGTACCCCAGGCTGTATATTATTGCTCGCACCAATCAGGCCACTCTCATCCAACAGCAGCGCCTGTCGATCGAATTTCAAACCAAGCAAGAACAAGCAGCTGCTCAGGGGCTAGATATTTCTCCGATTGCGCTGCTGCGTCGTGCTCTCTTAGCGTTGTCTCAGCTGCAAGCCCATCGGGATGACAGGTGGGGCCCATTGTGGGCCTGATTGATAGCTTCCGAAAGTGGCCCCGATTATTGACAAAGGCTAGCCCCTGCCTCTTATTCTCCCCCTGAACCCTCCTCTCTTCTGCCTACCAACACTTTTCTACCCTTCCCTTGATCAAGCATTACCATCATGTCGGACGAAAAACCTATCGAACAAACGCCAGTCCCACTGGAGAAGGTCGAAGAAGCCGTCGAAGCTCCTGCAGCTGAAAAGCCTACAGAAACACCCGCGGACGCTGCTTTCAAAGCCGCGGAAGCCACCGACGCCGCGCCCAAAGCTGACGAGCCTGCTCAAGATGCTCCAGCTCCGGAGCAGGAATCTGTTCAAGAGGCTGCCCCTGCTGCGACCGCTGCTGCCCCCGAGGCTGAAGCAGCCAAGCCTGAGGAGCAGAAGCCCGAAAAACCGGCGTACCTGACCAACATTCCTTCGCTGAGTCAGTTCTTTGACGACCTGCCCAAAATTCTCAGCAGTACCGGACATGGTGAGATGTGGGGTGTGCCTCTCAAGGACAGCGACGATATCCCCACCGTCAATGTCCTGATAAAATTCTTGCGCGCGAATGAGGGCAATTTGCAGGCAGCCAAGGACCAGCTCCGCAAGGCTCTGGAGTGGCGTAAACAGACCGACCCGCTCGGGCTGGTTGAGTCAGGTCGCTACAGTACCACCAAGTACGGTGGTCTGGGATACTTGACCACCTACGAGCAGGATGGTCGACCACTGGTGTTTACCTGGAACATCTACGGAGCTGTCAAGGATGTCAATGCTACCTTTGCGGATTCTGATGAGTAAGGGATATCCTTCGTTGAACATGGTGGATGATATGCTGATATTGATACACTGCCAGATTTGTCAAGTGGCGCGCTGCCCTTATGGAACTCGCCGTTCAGGACCTCAAGATGAAAGATGCTATTACTGTGATTGATTATGACGGCGAGAAGGACCCCTATCAAATGATCCAGGTGCACGACTACCTGAATGTCAAGTTCTTCCGGATGGACCCCAGTGTTAGGGCGGCCACCAAGAAGACCATCGACGTTTTTTCCACCGCCTACCCTGAGCTACTTCGCGAGAAGTTCTTCGTCAACGTCCCTGCTATCATGGGCTGGATGTTTTCCGCCATGAAGCTTGTCTTGAGCCGCAACACCACACGCAAGTTCCATCCTATCACCAATGGTGCTAATCTGGCTCGCGAGTTCCCTGCTTCCGTGTCTGAGAAGATCCCGACGACCTACGGTGGAAAGGGGCCGGAGCTGAAGGAGGAGGCTCGGACTGTTCAGTTGATTGAGGATAAGGAAGAAAAGAAGAACGAGCCTAAGCCTGCTGAGGCCACTGCTGAAGTTCCCCCAGAAGTTCCCCCGAAGACCGAGGAACCCGCCGTGACGGAGCCCGCGAAGGAAGAGCCTGCGAAGGAAGAGCCTGCGAAGGAAGAGCCTGCGAAGGCTGAGGCCGTCAAGGAGGAATCTGCAGAGGAGCCCAAGGTTACGACTGAGAGCACCCCTGCGGAAGCCAAGTAAATGTGCGCTTGCTTTTCGAGCGTTCTGTTTTGATACCCGGAAGAGCAGGGCTTCCTTCTCCGCTCCATTGTTTTATCTGGGGCGATTCGCGCCTATTGTCTAGATTCAAACCCACACGTTTCATACATAGTTAATAATCATGCCCTTTTGAGAGTTATTGTCTCGAAAATGCCTTGGTCGCCTTCGTATGAATTAGTTGTCGGACCACGTGAGTTCGGACAACACATAGCTTGTACGGAAACCCACAAAACTACTTGCGCAACACTCCCGACCTTATCAAGCATCCTCCTTCTCTCCGCGCCGCAACTCTGAGGCGACGTCAACCCCGGCCTGCACGAGATTTCCCTTTCCTCATCTACAGCTCGCTTTCTGTTGCGCTCAGAATGCGATCCTCGCTTTGATCACGCTTCTCAATATACCCGACCGTCAATTCGTCTGGCCTCCACCCTGACCTCCATTCGCGTCTTCACCGGATCTGAACTCGGCCACAATGTCTGTCTGGAACCCGGACAACATCCGCGATGTTGCGGAATCTGTTGGAATCACAAATCTCAATCACGATGTGACTGAAAATCTCGCCCGCGATGTCGAATATCGAGTTGCGCAAGTGCTGGAGGAGGCGCTGAAGTCGATGCGCCACGGCAAGCGCACCTTGCTCACCACCCAGGATATCTCTCTGGCCCTGCGAAATCTGGACGTGGAACCTCTTTATGGCTATGAGTCTCTTCGTCCGTTGAAATTTGGTGAAGCATCATTAGGTCCCGGACAACCGCTATTCTACGTTGAGGACGAAGAGGTTGATTTTGAAAAGCTTATCAATGCGCCTTTGCCAAAGGTTCCTCGGGAGGTTTCGTTCACTGGTCAGTTTTTCACAGGAATCCATCTTGTAGATGACTCGTGGGGTTGATCTAACCAGTTTGATAGGTCACTGGTTGGCTGTTGAAGGCGTGCAACCATCTATTCCGCAGAACCCTACGGCTGCGGACTCTCGTAACCTCGAGCTGGTATCGAAGGGACCGAATGCCAATTCCACCCTGGCAGCGATGAGTGGTACAGGGGATGTGTCAGTCAGGCCATTGGTGAAGCACGTGCTTTCCAAAGAACTCCAACTATATTTCGAGAAGGTCTGCAGTGCATTTCTGGACGAGACAAGCGAGGATTATCGAACCTCGGGCTATGCCAGCCTACGAGAAGATCCCGGTTTACACCAACTGGTTCCATACTTCGTCCAGTTCATTGCTGAGAAGGTTACCCACAGCCTCAAGGATATCTTTGTACTCACTCAAGTAATGCATATGGCCGAAGCCCTGGTACAGAACCAATCACTCTACGTTGATCCTTATGTAAGTCTTTGTTCTACGCAAGCCTTTGCTCGGATCTGAGGCGCAGGTACTAACTTTCTGATTAGATTGCATCTCTTGTTCCTTCAATCCTGACCTGCCTGGTCGGCCGCCAGCTAGGTGGAACCGCTGATCTGGCCGAGCAGTTCGCGCTTCGTGATCTGGCTGCCTCACTTCTGGGTCTAATTGCGAAGAAATACTCTCATTCTTCCCACATGCTCAAACCACGCCTCGTCCGGTCCTGTCTGAAGAGCTTCCTCGATCCTTCTAAGCCCTTTGGGGCCCATTATGGCGCTATTATTGGTTTACAAGCCGTCGGCGGTGCGGAGGTCATCCGTGTGCTTGTTATCCCCAATCTTGGCGAGTATTCAAAGATTCTGAGTGATGGTATTGAGGATATCGCTCGTCGGCCTGCCGCAGAACGTGTGCTGGATGCACTTATGGCTGTCTTGAGGTCCCTCCGTGATAGCCAATCGTCTTTGACCAACGGTCACCCTGCCGCCGTTTCCGACGATCTCCGTAGCCAGTTAGCTGAGAAGGTCGGAGATCTTCTTGCCAATCGGATCGCGGATAATAAAGAGGTGCAGCTTGCTCGTCTGATCCTGGATGCTTGATGACTGGTACTCTGGGGTTTATTCCAATCTGCATCGTTTGAACTCACGCGGGATCGGGGACTGGCATGATCTGCATCTGGCATGGCGTTATGATCTGGCGTTGTAAAGGGAGAAGACAAGGGTTTCATTTGGCTTTGACCTTGTCATGATTGTTTTTTTTTTTTCATTTTTTTTAGTAAACATAGTTCACTAAGTTATTATTACATCATCGGCCATCTCCGAGGCGCCCTGATACCGGACTATAGTCCGCTTTACTTCGTATCGTTGGTTGGTCTCCATTAATTTCCCTGATTGGACCAGTACCTGCAGGAAAACGGTCGGCAACGAAGAGACATGGCAGTGATAGATATGCTGTGCGACAGAGGGTAAATGCGCACAACCCGAGCTAGCAGCCTCGCAGGAGGCAAGATTTAGGAATCAGATATTCCAGATCTTGTTCCAGTCAGGGGATAATTCAAAGAAAGATCCTCCAATAATGAGATTCTAGATCCGGTAGCGTAATCAAGAATAAGATTACCTAATACACGGAGTCCTCCGACTCCATGACAACCTGGACTGTAACTTGAACTATCAGCTGCAAGGAGTCCACGCTCAAAATTCAAAATCCCAGTTGCCCTCTTCTACAAAGTGCTCTTGTTTCGACTCTCGGAGCTACTGATCGCTGACATAAACTCCGTCCAGGCACCGGCCCCATTCTTGTCTATTCTGCCCGGTGTCACCGCTCGCGTGAGGATCAGGATTCTTGATCGGGCGCTTCATCGTTCTCAACTCCCTCAGAGCTATTGTGCCAGATAACCTGCACAGTCTAGAGAATTTGGCATCGTATTCCAGGTCAGTGAACCATCGTTGTCTGTCCAATTCTCGCATGTAATAACGTGGATGATGAGCCCAACTAACATGGAGTTGCCTTCCCTGATGTCAGACAGATTTTGACGGAGCGCCCCACACAGTCTGGGCCCACAGACAAAATCGCTCATCACCAACCAAATCGCCCATTACGGCAAACATTTTAGCTCGTCACCCCTCCTCTTGAGGTCCTGCTTTTCCACCTTTTCCTACTTGGCTTGAGCCAACGAAATTCCTGACAGAACGCCCTGCTCGCTCATTTCGCGACCAGCGCAATTCTACCACATCTCGGGCACTCATCGGGCCTCCGTCCGAAGTCTGACTGACTTTTCTGTGCCGCTTTCCACGCAACATCCTGCTGATGTTAACGATTGTGGCCTCGCGCGATATCGTGCAGCTTTAAGCCGAATTTCCTTTCCTGCCTTCCATGAGCCCGAAGGATCTTCTGCGATTCCTGTCTAAGCCTGCGAAGTAGGTGTACTTTTTTCCCTCTCGTTTCTCTTCTCCCACCACTACCCCTCATGGTAGCCGCCGAACTACAAGAACCCAGGAAATCATCTGGTTTGAAGCAATTGCTCAACATGACACTGTCACTTAACATGCCTGTGACGTGTTGTGTCTTCATGTTTTTTCACTGCACCTGTTTAGGCCGCTTGTAATCGAGAAGTGCAATATGCTAATCCTCTTGCTGTCTTCAGGCCTCGATAACGAGACTTTCATCCCCAACAACCGACTTTCCTCTTTACCTTTTCCAAAAAAAGCAGATACTCTCGTCTGCTAGACCCGATACTTTGACCGGTATCGGTATCTTCCAGCACGAGGGTACTGGACTGACAGTCACCATTCTTTGTAGCGTCTTTCTCCTCTCCTTCGCCTTTCTGCCTCCTTAGCAGCCCCTCGGGCCTGTTTGCATTATAACCTGCCTGGCCTGTTAGCCAGTTTTTCTCTTTCCCAAGGGCCTTCTCTTCTCAGACGGGCACTGCCCCCTTGTTCGTCTGGGTAAGTAGACAGTGCTTCTAAAGCCTTTTGTCTCCCTCAGAAAGTTCCTAGGGCGGTCCGACGTCACAGATCCTCCTTCTCCGCCGTTTATTGCACAAACTCACCAGCCTCGGCTGCATCAATCAACGGAAATGGTTTACGTCGGTATTCCAAAGAATTACACCCAGTCTCCGTCCTCGTTTGCCGGGACGCCGTCTCTGACCATCAACTATGAGGCCACTCAGGACCTCGACTCGTCCAATGCCTTTGAAGGTGCGCCAAATCTAATCTTCGGGTCCAAGGAATAACTGCTCATCGATTTCTCCAGGTCCTGAGAAGTTGCTCGAAGTATGGTTCGCTCCGTCTGCCAGCGAGCTCGGCGCTGCCGGCCCGGAGGGTCTGAAGAAGGTCCCCGGTGAGATTTGGAAGGATATGCTGGATTTGGTCAACTGCCAAGTCCTCTCTGTTGTCTCATCTGAGGATGTGGACGCTTACCTTCTTTCAGAGTCCAGCATGTTCGTCTGGCCACACAAGCTCATCCTTAAGACTTGTGGGACTACGACCCTTCTTTCCGGCCTGCCGCGCATCTTGGAGATTGCCACTCTGTTTGCAGGCTTTCTCCGTGCTACGGCTCCGCCTTCGCGCGGTATTACCGTGGCCGCAGCTCCCTATCGAGTCTTTTACAGTCGCAAGAACTTTTTGTTCCCTGACCGTCAGCGTGGCCCTCACCGTAGCTGGCGCGACGAGGTTCGCACCATGGACAGACTGTTCCTCAATGGCAGCGCATACATGATTGGCAAAATGAACGGCGAGCATTGGTACTTGTACTTGACCGATCCTCACACTCTGCTCACCCCGCCCGCCAGCCCAAAGGAGGAGGAGACCAATTTCACTGAGACAGAGACGAAGGTTCTCAGCTTCCCGCAGGCCTCCTCGATCGTCGACTGCGATGAACATGACGAGACTCTGGAGGTTCTCATGACCGATCTGGATGAGGAGAATGCCAAGCAGTTCTATTTGGACAACGCCTCCGCCGTGGCCGAGAAGCGCTACCGTAGCTTTGACAATGAAGACGGTGTTGAGCATATCGATGTCTTTGGCAATGGGTCTGACCCGGATGATCCTGATGCGGATCGTCTGCTTCCGCCGGAGCTGACCACTGAAGGTCACGCTTTAGGGACTGTGGTTTCCGACGCCTGTGGTCTTTCGGACGTCTATCCGAAGAGCAAGTTCCCTGACGCTCGTATTGACGCGTATCTCTTCACCCCCTGTGGCTTCTCGGCTAACGGTGTGGTGCCTGCTCCTGATGGCAAGGCTCCAACTCACTATTTTACCGTGCACGTCACTCCGGAACCCCACTGTTCCTATGCTTCATTTGAGACCAATGTTCCGCATTCTCAGAATGGCAAGACCACTGCCGACATTATCCAGCAGGTTGTCGAGATCTTCAAGCCAGGCCGTTTCAGCATTACTTTGTTCGAGACCAAACCGGCCATCGACGAGCTTGGCACTGATACCAACGGCTTCCACGAGGTGCACTCGCACCGCCAGGCTATGCGTCGAAACCACAAGATGGAGCATATTGAAGGTTACCGCCGCGTTGACCGCATCGTCCATGATCTGAACGGGTACGATCTAGTGTTCCGTTACTACGAGCGCAACGATTGGAAAGGGGGGCACCACGGATTGGAGAGAAGATGTAAGTGCATTGAGATTGGTGCACTGTCTATCTTCTCTCAATCCGACCTTTTTCAGTTGTTGATCTCTTAAGTCTCGGGCTTTTTCACTTTTTGGTTTTAAGACTGTCTGTTTTTGTGATTCTGTTTTATCGAGCCAACTCCAGGTGCATGATGATGTCTTGGTTTTTAGCCTCTATATCGTCTGCACCTTCGCATTTATATGCTCTAAGCGCCTCGATTCTTTCTCCGTCCCATTCCAGCTGTATTCCATCAGCGATTCCCTATTTTGAAGTGTTTGTCAATTATTGTGGAAGATTCATCTAGTCGCTCGTTTAGCATAATTGACTCATATTGACCGTTTCCTTGAATATTGATCTAAAATGTCTCGATCCAGAGCTCTTCCGCTCATAGAATGCGTAGTGTGTTTTTGATATGGGGAAGAGACCTCTGAATGCGGAAGGCGGTCTGATCAGAAGGCATCGTTTCCTGCTCAGCCATTCAGATTATCCTGCATTTGATCGCGTGTTACAGGCCACTTTCCTCTGGCACATTTCCTTGTGTCTGACACGGCATCGTGAGGGTCACTGAGCGTGAGATCTATTTTTGAGACTTTTCAGGACGGATTCGAGCCTAACGCCGCGCGCCGCGCTCTTGACATCGACATCAAGCCCGCACCGCATCACGACTCTAGAGAATCTCACAGATTGCGATCTCTTTCACCGAAACAACTTTATTCTATCGTCATAACCTCTTCCTATTCTTCCCATATGCACACTTCGTTGTCAGTTCTTTCAAACCACCCTCGTTAGTTCTTCAACATGTCGTCACCACCTCCTTACCAACCTCCAACCAATCCCCTCAAACGCCCTTCTATATCATCCTCCGCCTCGCAACCACTTGGGAAGAAACAGCGCATGCACCCTCTCCGACAGACATCATTCCCGACCGGCCTCGACACAGCAGATCGCAGCTTCGGTGCCGCGAGCGATGCAGGAAGCGTGACAGGCAGTTTCACAGGAAGCATAGGCGGAGCGAGCGCAGACGGTGTATTCGCCGGCGCAGCTCGAGGCAAGAAGCGCGGACGGAAAAGCAAAGCTGAGAAAGAACGTGAACGTGAGCGAGAGGATGCGCTTAGCTCTCGGGCTGGCGATGGGCGATTGGGATCCGTTGATGCTGAAGGCTCGGTAAGAGGCGGAATGGGCGGGGGTGCTGGGGGTGGTGATGATGTGGACGACGACGACGATGACGACGAGGGCGAGCTTTTAGGCAGGGAAGAAGGGACGACTGATACCGAGGCGGAGAAGAAGAATCTGGCGTATGTCGCGCGGTCTGCTCAAGATTCTATGGATTGAGGACTAACGTATTTCATTTCCCTACAACAGCATTCTAGTTGACGCATTCAATCCCCAGCAATCAGAACGATATGATTTATTCAAACGAGCGAAGCTTCGCAAGGAATCGCTGCGCCGTATCGTCAACCATGCCCTTTCACAGTCAGTGCCGGCTAGCGTGGTCACTACCGTCAACGGTTTCACCAAGGTTTTCGCTGGTGAGATGATTGAGAAGGCCCGAACTGTTCAGGCCGAATGGGCTGCCGCCCATGACCAGGCTGCCCGCGCCGCCTTCGAGGCTGAGGAAGCAGCCGCAGAGAAAGCGGCACAGGCCAGATCCCAAGCAGCAGCTACTCAGTCCAAGACCTCGACGCCTACCCCGTCGGGGACCCCTGTTCCCAATGGTATCAAGAAAGAGCCGTCAGATATGAAACCAACGTCCTCTTCCACCCCAATTAGCAACCTCAATCCAACCTCATCACCTGGCCCTACACAACGCATATCCCAATCCCCATCACAAATCCGCCAGACCGCCAGCCCTGTGCCCTCGTCTTCAAAACGCGAGTTCCGACCCCCACCTAATCCTCACAAAGGCCAACTTCTTCCTTCACACTTACGCGAGGCACTCCGCCGAACCAAGCGAGATGGTGAAGGGGGCGGCGTTGGCTTTTCTGGGTTGAGTATGGATAATCTGGGAGTCAAAGGATCAGTCGGCTGGAGCTCAGGTAGTGTTGGTGGACGACGGCTATTCCGTTGATCTGGGACTTTCTCTTTCTCCTAGATTATTTTTCAAGGGCGTCACGGTTTTATCCTTTTTTTATCCCTGCCTTTCGGGTCATGTCTAGCTGGAGTCTCTTGTATATAATGGTGGTGTTCTCGAATAGGTTACGCAACATAAAATCGATACCATGACTAGGGGTTTCAAGAAGCAAGAACCCATCGCATTCAGCGGTCATCTAGCCCACAGAAAATTGTATATAAATTCTTACTTTGATTGGTCAAGGGGTTTTTTTTTTCCGAATTGATGTTTATACTCTTGTTCGGATATCTCCCCAGTTATCCCCTCCATGTTATACTTTCCATCATACCTCGCCAATATATTCCCCAAACTGCTCAACAACTCATGTATCTCGAGAGAGGCAACCTACCATCAATTGCCAGAGTCGGCGTATCAAGGTTGTGTCGAACGTATACGAGGTCCTCGAAGGTCAACCGCGGTCTCGGTCAATATTACCGGCTGATAGCAGTGTTGTACTCCGTACATTCCGACCTATCTGATTCATCCGCCGATCAATGAGACCAAAAATCCTTGGCAGGGACTAGGCCAAAATTTGCTCTTTTCACTTGGTAGATTGCTGCTGCGCAAAAATGCAGACGCGTCTTCATTATTGATTTCCCAACCAGGACCAAAATAGTGTCATCATACCACGAATAATGGCGTTCCATATGGAGTATACAAGACCATGCCAATTACTGATAAATTTACTCTTCTCTTGATGCTCTTTTATATCCTGGCCATTCAAGTTCAAGAACCAACTGAATGATCGGATCGATGGCCCTATCACCTATCGAAGTAATGTTGTCTCACCAGCCGCTGCAAGGGTCCAGCCACCGGCACATCGCCCTTTTTAACTGGTCTGCATGACAGCTATTCTAGCCGCTCCTCACATACCTGGGATTTTTTGGGATCCGCGTCTTGATCGACGTTATGCAACACCCCTAGCCATGGCAAAGCATAGTCGGCAGCTGCTGGGACGGCCCTTTGTCGCCCTACCGGGTTCACAATCGCGCCATTGGATCGGAAATCGGCTCATGCAATTCATGAGCCCGTTCTGACTCTTTGTATACTTTATATCGCGTCAGTTTCTGGTTTGTGGCGGACAATCGTCCCCCCTTCTTTCTTGGCGTGGTCCTCGCCGGGGATACTATAGACTGGCGATTCCTAGCAGGCTCGACCTTGGGGTGGCCTCTCTTTCTCTCATTCTTGCTTCTTTCTTTATTTTTCGGTCCTTATTGTTATTCTATCATCTCGATGTTTTGATGTCTTGCATCGGTTTCTATTTTAGCGACTTCTACATTTGATACTCAGCCGAGTGTCTAGTGTCCATACACTCTTTTCATTCTTGCAATTCAATTTGTCCCCAAGTATCGAGAACAACTATGTCGGTCTTTCAAACATCTTCTCACATTTACACTCGATTGAAGGGTACAATTCCCTCGGTCATCTCATGGGGTCAAGGGGACGGGTCCACAAAAGGCGACCCCCGGAAAAGCGTGAAATGGATTGACGTATGGCTGTTAAATCCTAAAAGAAGCTATCCAGGCTAATGCATTTACTTATATTTAGGGTCTTCGTGGAATTGCCTCTTTCCTTGTGGTTCTCACCCACCTTGCTCGCGCCTGGGACTATGACCTCTTCTCACCCCGAGATTCAGAAGATGCTACACCGCGAATTCTACAATGGCCAATCCTCCGTATCCCTTGGCAAGGTCGCATCGGTGTGACCATCTTTGCATTTTTGACTGGCTATGTCTGTGCTCTCAAACCTCTCAAACTCTCTCGTGCCCACGATACAACGGCTGCCTTCACAACAATAGCCAAAAGCGCGTTTCGGAGACCGCCCCGCCTTATATTTCCCGCCACGATTGCGTTAATCATTTCATGGACCGTTGCTCAATTTGGAGGTTTCATAGTTGCAAATCGATCCGACTGCTGGTGGTGCCGGTATGCAGCGCCAGAATTAGAGGATTCTCTTTGGAAAGAAATCATTCGCCTAGGGCTGAATTTCTTGTCAACATGGACGACGGGTTATATGGCATACGATGACCACCAATGGGCGCTTCTGCCGTTACTCCAGGCCTCAATGCTGGTGTATATCAGTCTTTTTGCAACCATGTTCGTTCAATTCCGGTATCGCATGGTCTTTTATGTTGGCATGATCTTATATTTTCATCAAGATGCCTCAAAAGACGTCGGTTCGTGGACCATTTATATATCCCCCATAGTCACGCATAGAGGGGGATTTCACTTTGAGGTCTTGAATTCGCTAACTTATATTCAGAAACATTTCAAATGCAGGCCTTCTATGGCATGCTCTTGAGCGATCTTTCTTATTCTGCTACGCTAAAAAATTGGGTCGAAAACCATTCCTATGGCCGGAAAATGATTACCATCCCGCTCACAATTGCCGGTCTTTTCATAGCCTCCTACCCAGGCGAGCACCCTGAGTGGATGCCCTGGTCCGACTGGATGTTCAATCTTGCTCAGTATATCTTCCCGCCGGATGTGAATATCGGAAAACGTTATACAGCCATCGGCGTTGATATGATTATTCTTGCTATCTATCTCTCCCCATCGACTAAAGATTTCCTTTCCAACCGACTACTCCTCTGGTTCGGGAAGCAAAGTTTTGCAGTTTATCTGATCCACGGAACAATGCTGCGTGTCATTCTTTGCTGGATGCTATATGGAATCAGTGGCCAGCCATGGGAAGGGAGTGAGGCGAGCACCGATGATGACCGTGACTGGTTGCCACTACGCCCGCCTTGGGTTGTGGCCATCAGTATTCCTGTTTGGATTGGCCTCGTGTATGCCCTGGCGGCAGCCTGGACTGCTTACGTTGATACATTTTGTGCCTCTATGACGCAGAAACTAGAGCGTGCTGTTTTCAAGGAGGATGAGCAAGCGTCATTGCCGCTGCCTGCTGTTTCTATTCCCATGCAGACGACATGAATACCATGTTTTCTAATTTTTCTTCATTTCATTTCAGAACTTTCTCTCGCCCTCTCCCCACGCTAGATGGTCAATTAGGAACGAATGCACCTAGTCTACTCGGCCAGGAGAACATTTGGACCAGAGTTTACGGGAGTGGCGGCCATGACAATCCCAAGGGATCCTTGATCGAGTTAGATGTGCAATTGGATCGACTCTGAGTGCTTCGAAATACTACCCTGTCCCCCGTCACACATGAAGGCGAATTTGCCAGACCACCAGGAGACGACTTGAAGCGTTTCGAGTCTAACTTGCTCTCTTCCAAACCTATGGATTTCAGTTTTGAAGGAGATCAATATAGCCTAGAGTTACTAAATAGCTATGCACAATGGCATTTATACGTTGATAGGCAGAGCGTTACATAGATTGTGACGCTTATCATTGAGGGGGTATGAGCTTGTCATTGAGAGATGTTATGCCAAAACAACATAATAAATGATTTGGTATAAGCTGGTGGACGTACGATTGAAGAGTGTTAAAAAATAATTCTAATTCTGTAATACATGAAAACCAGAATGCAAAGTACAGCGCCATATTTTACACTTTATACACATGCGATGAAATTACTTCCGGGCAGCCTGGTATCTCTTCAGAGACTCCTCAGCCTTCCTTCTCTCATTGGCGAGTGTCCTCATTTGACCACTCCGGCGGGCGTGGTTCCGCTCCTCCCGGGCGTAAATCTCCCGCGCCTTCGCATTTGCTTCATACAGCTCGGCTTCACGCTTCTCGGCTGCCGTGAGACGGGGTGCGGCCACAGGCGAACCGTCTGCATTCTTGGTGACTTGGCCTGAGGCCTCACGCAGCTTCTCGTTAAGGTCTAACTTGGCCTGTTTGCCCCATTTGGCGGCGTTGTCATAGATTTGGTCGAACTTGCTGGTTTTCTGACTTCCTGATCCAGCACTTTGGGCCTGAATCTCCTTGTCCTCTATACCTGCCACCCGATCTTGCAAGCGTTCCAAATTGGACTTCGCTTCTTTCTTGCCTTGGTGATTGATGGGAACTGCCATACCCAGCTTTTCGCGGAAGGCGACGTTGTTGATAGCGTAAGATTGAAAGACTGCGAAAATGGCAGTGGTTGAAAAGTAGAGCTGAAGCGCGCTCGGCATGAATGCCATAAAAGCAAACGAGATTGCCGGAAGGCCGAACAGCATCGCTTTACCGGCAGAGGTCTTCATGATGTCCATAGTTCCAGTCTCTCCTCCTTTCTATTGCGCGCAATCGTTTTGTTAGTAGTAGCTCGATATTAAATATGCAGAGGAGTATCAAACCTTGAATGTCAAGTACATGCAAGCTCCTGAGATGGCTGGCAGGATGTACAGGGGGTCGGACACGGTCAGGTCATTCAGCCAGAGAATAGACTCGTCCAGCAAGGCCGGTACTGGCAAAGAGGTCATGCCACGGACGACCCGAAACACGCCGTAACCAAAGGGGATCTGCAACATAGGAACAAAAGATTTCCAGGGTTTGATGCCATAATCGGAATGAAGCTTGGACATCTCTAGCCTCTTCATTTGGAACTTGGCAGTCTCGCCATTCTTCTGGGCAACCATCATTTCGCGCCGGAGCGGATCAAGCAAAGGCCTAGAGTTGTGCATCCTGGCGCCATTGTCGGAAGCATCAATCATAGATTTCAAAAGGGCCACACGGATCGCTAGACCAACACCAACAATGCTAGCCCACCATGGAAGACCGGTCCACATGTGGAGATGCTCGACCGCATACTGAACCATTGACGATGTGCCCCAACCGTAATCCAGTCCAAGCTCCTTGAGATATCCGATCTTTTCCGGGATTTGGGAGATGTCAAAGCCGATGTCACTGACATCGGCCGGTGCGTTGGTTTCCGGAGAAGGAGCGGGAGTCGTATTGGAGGTCGAGTTGAAACGAACGGCAGCAGGGCCGACTGCAGTGGAAGCCGAGCGCCAGGAAGCGATTCCAGAGGAATTCAGCGTCAATTGGCTCTTCTGACCGGGAGTCTGGAAGCGTTGCGGCCGGAAAGTTGATATCTGCGGCAGTCAGTCAATGTTGGGGCTTGCAAGTATTGCAGATAGACCTACCGATCGAGTAGATCGAGAGGCCATATTTAGTCTTTGACGCGCAAAGACGGCGGCTCCACCGGGCCCTTTCAGGCCAGCAGCTCCCATCATGGTGTGTGCAACGATCGCGAGAGATTAAATAAAAGAGCGGAGAATACAGGAACGCCTCCTGCGCTCTCGGGGAGGCTTTTTTCTGCCGGGCGGAGGACAGGCGGGCCGAAGCCGCGACTGATACACAGGCAGGTACGTCGGGTAAAGCAATCTTCAACTTCGCAAACAATATCATGATTCTAGGTAATATGTAAAAAGGAAATTCCAATATCGCCAGGCGCCGATAGAGCAGTCTATGTACATGCACTACATCCTGATCTCAGGATAGGTATCACTCCAATCAGTCATTTACCGGGGCCATCTTTCCGGTACAAATGCAGGTCTCGATTTTTGGGGCAAGGTCGTGCTGTTTTGTTTTTTTTCTTGAAATTTGGCCATCCTTTAAGGAATCGACACAAGACTACTCAAGAGATGAAGTGTCTTTTAGTCCAGACTGAGAAGTAATACGCCGCCGCTCTGAAGGGAGCTCGCGCATTTCCACGCCAGGACCCACGGCGTGCGTTCGTCGATAAGTCGGGAAGATCTAGAGACAGGAACAAAGTCAGCCTTTATGCGCCCTATCATACGATATGAAGTGTCGCCATTGGACCTGCCTTCGTATTAGACCACCCAAGACGGAAGGCCGCTTCATGGGCGAACAGCTCGCCAAATCCCAGCATCAGCCCGTTCACAAAAGGCAAGACAAGGTTGATTGCCGCTCCGCGGAGAATACCCCAAATAGTTGGCGGCTTGTAAAGAATCATGGGAGAGCTGGAGGTTGAGGGGGGTGAAGACGAGATTTCGTGGTTTGTCGAGTAGTTTTCCGAGTCGGAGGGGACAGTCATGGTCGAGTCGTAGAGGTCGACCCGCGAGCTGGCGGCGTCAGAGGCCATGGGCACCGTGCAATGAAGATCAAAAGAATGGACAGAAAATCAGAGTGGTTTTTTTTAGATGATAAAGGGGAATTTCGGGTGAGAATGGGGTTCGGCCGTCTCGTCAATAGCTCCAGACGGGTCAAGATGCTCCTCCCTGGGGCGAGAGGTGGTGGATTGATTATGTCAGCGGATCGACGCCACACCCCCGTCGAGATGATTGAGAAGTGCATGGTATTTCCTTCATTGCTACTTTAAGGAGGTATCCGTGTGGAGAAGTCTTCATAGATGCTGTATATGCCTTTCTAGTGTGATCTAACGGCATTCACAGGACTCTTGAAAGCGAGCAGTTATGATCGACTTTCAAACATGTATTGCGGAGGTTCAGCGACCTGCGATTAGGCGCTCGAGACATGAGTATGTATATGAGCTCTGAGTTGATTATTTATGACCAAAACACCTATCCCTGGAACCTTTAATTCCATACTCCTCAGTGAAATTTGTCCCCTCCCAGAGAAATTGTGGATACCTACCCTCGAACGCGGGGCGAATTGATTGCCAAGGTGGTTGATGATGGTGAAAGATGGAGGGAAGTAGCAAAACTTCTCACAAACTTTCCAACTTTAGTGATGTTCATGAATCTTGCCAGGGAATGATGATTCTTGAGAACAGCGCAATACTCCGAAGTTCTGAAATATAGATCGGAGCAGAGCCTCAGGCGTCAAAGGGTCGGAAGATCCTCCGCTCCGGCTGACCAATGGTAGGTGACGTACCTGCCGCGGTGTTTAGCTGGCTCGTCCAGCTCAGCTTGGTTTACAACTCGAATCTACGGTTCTACGCCTGGTCATTCTCTTCACCATCCGAAATCGACCTCGCTTCTACCCCTAAAGAATTTCAGCCCTCGGAGTTCTCGTATACTGCTGCTCAGTGTCCGTCTATAACACTCAAGCATGGACAACAACCCCGCAGACCACGATGAGGTCGTCTCTCAGTTCTGTAACATGACAGGCACTCGGCCAGCAGAGGCAGGTACAGCTGGAAGTACATTATGTTACGCGTCACTAACAGTCAGATTTTATTTTCTAGGCTCAGGAGTACCTCGCTGCCAACGGATGGGATATGGAAGCGGCCGTGACGGAATTCTTTGCGGAGCAGGACGAAGCGCTACAGGACATGAATACCGGTGAAGGTCAACGGCTCGGCGCAGAAGAATCCACTGGAGCAACTGGAGGAGGCCGAAGTCTTGGTGAAAGTGATGCCGGAGTCTCATCTTCCGCCGGACCCCAGTCTTCGTCGAGTCGTCGCGCAGCCCCGAAAAAGAAGTTTGCGACTCTGGGCGACTTCGCTTCAGGGAGTGGTGGCGATTCGTCATCTGATGATGGAGATATGGACCAGGATTTCTTTGCTGGTGGTGAGAAGTCTGGATTGGCTGTGCAGAATCCCGACGATCTTAAGAGGAAGATTCTAGAAAAGGCTCGGAGGTAAGCTGCCCTAGCCATTGCCCTCGGCGCAACTGACATTGATATTAATAATCGCAAACCACAGGGCCCAGCCACCCCCCTCAGATGAGCCTCAGTCACGACAGTCCCATTTTACGGGCACCGCCCGCACCCTTGGTGGTGATGATGCCCCGAGTCGCGTGATTGAGGACCCCTCCGGCCCCACGGAGGAACGTCCTCAGCGCGTCCACCGAACCCTCCACTTCTGGGCCGATGGATTTTCGGTTGATGATGGGGAGCTGTATCGCTCAGACGACCCACGCAATGCCGAGATCCTGGATGGTATCCGTCAGGGTCGCGCTCCTCTTACAATCATGAATGTTCAAGCTGGCCAAGAAGTCGACGTAGAGCTGAAGCAGCACGATGAGAAATACGTGAAGCCCAAGCCTAAATATAAGCCATTTTCGGGCGCGGGCCAGCGCCTTGGCAGTCCGACTCCTGGTGTTCAGAGCCAGCCTTCCACACCCCCGGCAACCTCCACTCCAACGAGTTCTGGACCGGCCAAGCCTGAAGTGGATGAGTCGCAGCCAACTGTCACTCTCCAAATCCGTCTCGGAGACGGTACTCGCTTGACATCTCGTTTCAACACAACTGCTACTATTGGCGACGTCTATGCCTTTGTCGCAGCCTCGACCCCAGATGGCCGAAACCGGGCGTGGGTGTTGATGACGACGTTCCCCAGCAAGGAGCTTAACGACTGGGAGATCACCCTCGGCGACCTGCCTGAGTTTAATCGTGGCGGTGTGGTCATTCAGAAATGGAAATAGAGCAACCGTACACCGTCGTTTAATTTTGTTCCTCGTCTTCTCCTTTTCGTGGAGTTGTATTCAAAAGTCGATAGTGGCGAAGAGTAGACATTCTACACCAGGACTTGACATTAAACTCAATGGTGATTAGCGACACCATCATGGTGGGAAGGTAGACCAACGATGCTTAAGCAATGAAAAAATTCTACTTAATGGTCTACCAGACTTGAATCCCATGTAGAGGCATTCGTAGAGAGGGCTGGACTGCGGAACCACCCACTGCTGCATTGCGCTTTTAGTCAGGCGGCGATTGATAAGCATCCGGCCATCGGCTCCCCACTCCACCGGCCTGTCCGTCATTTTGTCTACATTCTCACTTGCCACTACACATTGCGCAAATATGCCCCTGGACGGTGTGAAAAACATTGTGCTGGTGAGTCCTTTCTGAGCGCTCAATGCCCCTGCGTGCCCCCAACGCAAGCGCTGTAGAGCCATGCCCCTCATCCGCCACCTTATCGATAACAAAATCACCCTTGCGAAGCGGATGAAGCTGTCAGCCCGCAGTGATTCTCTCCTTCAGAAATAGCTAACAAACCACTGTCGCAGGTGCTTTCCGGCAAGGGAGGCGTAGGCAAGTCCTCGGTCACTCTCCAATTAGCGTTAGCACTCTCCCTGCAGGGAAAATCCGTCGGGATTCTCGATATCGATTTGACGGGCCCCTCCATTCCCCGACTCGTTGGCCTCGAGGATGCAAAGATCACTCAATCGCCTAATGGCTGGCTCCCAGTACCAGTTCACGATGCTGTCTCTGCATCTTCAAACTCCATTTCTCCATCCTCTTCATCACCAAAGGCCCGTGGTTCTCTCCGCTGCATGTCCCTCGGCTTCCTTCTCCGCGACCGCGGAGACGCTGTCATCTGGCGTGGTCCCAAGAAGACCGCCATGATACGGCAGTTCCTATCAGATGTCTCGTGGGGTGAGACAGACTATCTTCTGGTGGATACGCCGCCAGGCACGAGCGACGAGCATATTGCGCTGGCTGAGCAACTCCTCACTCTTTCCAGTACAGATGCTGCTGTTGCGGCCCAGAGCAATGTGCCCCGGCTCACCGGCGCAGTGCTAGTTACAACCCCGCAGGCGGTGGCTACGTCTGATGTTCGCAAAGAAGCCAACTTCTGTGTCAAGACCAGCATTCCCGTTCTCGGTGTCATTGAGAATATGTCGGGCTATGCGTGTCCGTGCTGCGGAGAAGTGAGCAATCTCTTCTCCAGTGGTGGTGGAGAGGTCATGGCGCAACAGCTGAATATTCCCTTTATGGGACGCGTACCTGTGGACGTGAAGTTCGGGGAATTAGTTGAAGGGAAGATGGAGTCAGAAAGTGATGACGAAGACGAAGTCGAGGCACAGCAAGACAACCAAGTGGGAGAGCCCACGGAGCCGGACTCGAGACCTCTTGTTGAGCGGTATAGCGAAGGCTGGTCGTATCCTCGATTCCAAGAATTCGCGCAAAGTATAATCACAGGTGTCCAGACAACAAATGGTACGTCTCAGCAGTAGTCCGAGGCCATGATCCAAGTTCCCGACGGCGTTACAGGGGTTGATAAATACCTATATCTCTGTTATTTGGGCTGCATTGAATGGTGCATGGGTTGTATTTGAGCATGTTTATCATGAAAAGTCTCATATTTGAATGTTGGAGAGAGAATATATACCGATTCCACGAGCTATGTAGAATGCTCTCCTACCATAGACTGTCTTTGTTGGCAAAAGTGAACAATATCGCCGGTCAACCGGCTAAATAGTACATCATGAGAGATAGATACATAGCAAAGGCGTTGCCAGGGTCGTGAGAAGGGCTATAAAAAGTGCAGTGTATTGCGCTTAGACACTTGAAATATTCGAGTCATTACACACATTAAAATCGTAGTCGTTCGTTTCACATAGATCATTATAGAGCATGTTTTGCCCAAGTAGAGTCAGTCGCCAGCGGGCTATGGCGAAGGAGAGTAACTTCTATAACGATCTGGCCGCTCGAGCATAGCCCGTAGACGGTCTTCAGCAGACTGGACAACCGGTCGAGATTCCGGTCCCACGGCGCGAGTAGTCCACCTCAGCCAGCCAAGGAGCGATTGGACTACCTCCGGGTTCCACCACGCTTCGTTATCATAAGGATTAGGGGTGCCGGCGTTGAGTTGACAAGAACTGGAGGTCATTTGTTGGTCCCCTGTTCGTGCATTTAGATGAATTTCCGAAACAAGAGCAGGTGTTGCAACAGGCGATTGCTTGTTGGCAGGGTCAGAAATATCTTGCTTCGCAAGTAGATCTCGTCCCGACTGTTTTGGCCCGGAGGTAAGCTCTCGAGTCAGGGTAAAGGCTGGTTGCTCCATGCTTGTCGCTGAATCCAACTGAAGGCTACTGGAGGCAGGCTGAGCATCATTTGCAACTAATGTCGCTCTGGATGCTGAGGCGCCGCTGCGTTCCAGGGTAGAGGCGGTGTGTCGAAGATTTTCGAGATATCGATGAAATGAGAAGAGATGCATGTCACGACCAGTATCCATCAGGTCAGGTTCATCCTCAAAGATCTCTATGCCCTCATCAGCGCGCCGCTCGTCGGTCGAACTTGCCTCTTCAACGGGAACCAGCCCGCCAGGCGGAGCACGAATCTCTCCCAATGGAGCGATATGGCTGTCATATTCATTGGCAAGGCTCAATTTGCTGCGGCCGCAGATCTCGGCGATTGAGTCAAGTGTTGTGCGGATATCGGGGTCAATGGCCTGCAGTATGCTCGCTATACTGAAGTCCTTGTCCGACGGCATCGGCGGGCCCGATGGACAGGATGAAACTGAACCCTTCAGGCCAGAGGAGAACAGGCGACGCGAATACATGGCGGAGCGCCTACCATTCGCCTCCTCCGCATTGCCGGAATATGCTCTTACCAGGACCGGGTAAGTTGGGCGAGTGGTAGGCTGCCCTGAGACCGGGCTGGCTCCACGATCTCTTGGGGATGGGGGCTGAGGATCACTGTCAACTTGATACAGAGTCGATGGTTGATGCGATCGATCTCGGTCTGAATGGTCCCCGGCGGAGTTATAGGGCCGCCAGTTTGCGTGGAGTGAGGGGGCTGCATCTCCCGTGGGAGGCGTATAGGACGGCGATAGGCGGGACCAACCTTGTCGCGGGAAAGACGATGCAGACAGGCGATTTCCATCCCATCGTGGCGACTGTGTGTCTGGGTCCATTTTGCGTCAATGCGATTTTCCCCGAAGCTCGCGTTGATGCGGGACAGCGCAACTCAAGGGGAAACCCCGCTCGGGTAAGATCTGGATATGCGGGGGCAACACGTCGACAGCAGACTCACGAGGAGAGGTGCGTCCGAGTCGCATGCACGTATGCATATGAGGCGATGCGTTGGCAGTGTCTGAGCGGATGACCAGGAGACATCCTGGGAAGTGAGACCGTGAGACCGTGAGATCTAAGCTCTAAGGAGGAGCCCCCATCAACTGCCAGTCGACCAAACAAACGCCAAGACCGACACGTTCGGCATCAACGCTCCACCACTTAGCGGCATTTGTTCTGCTCCCACTCCCTGCCATCCGGCACATCATGAATCGTTTTCAGGTAAGCTCGCCTCGGCTCAGCTGGATTAATATTATCGAGTTGAGCTCAAGCTAATTGAGCTAGTTTGCCGACTCGGATGGGTCGGCCTCCGACTTCGACGATGATTCCTCCAGCTTGCCCTTCCCCGAGCCTCTCTCCCGCACTTCCTTCCTCGCCCCGGACTTTGACCCGGCCGTCTTTTTGTCCTCTTTGACGAATCGCCACCAAAGCCTTGAAGATTTGCGTCAAGAATTGCGAGGATTGGAGCAATTGTTGAACAAAGAGCTGTTGGACTTGGTCAACGAGAACTATCAGGACTTCCTCTCGCTAGGCACCGCTCTCCGCGGAGGTGAAGAGAAAATTGAAAGTGTCAAAGTGAGCCTTCTGTCCTTCCAGCGAGATGTGCAATCAATTCGGGATAAGATCGAGGCTCGCCGTCGAGAAGTCGAGGGGCTCTTGAATGAGAAGCGACAGTTGCGAACGCACTCGGACATCGGCAAAGATCTATTGGACTATGCAGAGCGAGTCGACGAACTGGAACATCGACTGATGATCGGGAACAACTCGGCCCCACAAAAGGATACTTCCGGGGCTGATCAATCCGATTCCGAGTCCGATCTCTATGACAGTGATAGCCATGATAGTGAGGACGAAGAGTTGGAAGATGACGCAGCACCGGTCTCCTTGAAGCGACTCGAACGTCATGTCCAAAAATTTGTGTTTCTCACTTCCATTGCCGAGCGAGTGGGTGAAAATCATCCCTTCCTAGTTGCTCAGCAGCCACGCTTGTCGAGGGTCAAGTCCACGGTTCTGTTAGACTTGAAGACTGCCCTGGAGCAGGATGGGCGGGCGGGCAACAAGCGTGATATCAGAACGATGGCCATCTTGCGCCTCTATAACTTGATGGGGGAGGATGTGAGTGCCGTTGCCGCTCTCAAGAATCTCAAGATATAGATTGCTATCGTCTATTCCACCAATGAGGGGATACGAGCTGGACTTATACATACTAGCGTCGGCGTTCAGGTTGGGGAGTCTCTATTGAACACAAATGATACCATGATACACCAGGTCCTTTTCCTAATAAAACAAAATCTGTACACGCCAAGATGAATATAAGACAAAAAAAGTATTTTACACGCCAGTCAAGGCAGAGGTTTCGGGGGAGTGGTCCGACTTGAACTCGCCATTCAAGCTAAATCCGGACCCGTGGCTGGAGCTTAACACCTATTGAAAAGTCAGTTGATTTTCCCGTAGAGATGATTGATGGAGCAACCCACCACTTCGTAGATCTCCTTGTTGATGCGATCATTGAGCCCAGAAGCATCCTTCTTGATCTGCTCGATTGTGGTACGCAGGTTGTCGCGCAGCTGCTCGGGGAGAAGCCCAATTGACCGATAGGGAGACGAATGACAGCATCACGCTCTCGGTAGGTAGTACCTCCACGCAACATCTCCACACGAGCAGCAACATCTTCCACAACGGTACCGGTCTTCACACTCGGCATCAGACCTCGAGGACCAAGGACGCGGCCCAGCGCAGCTTTGTTGAGCGCCGGTAAACTATCAGGATGGGCAAGGCATCGGTCGAATTCAATCTTGCCAGCTTTGACAGCCTCGAAAACCTCGTCTTCACCAACAAGAACAGCGCCTGCCGCAAGCGCCTCCTTTGCTTGCTTGGATTCGGGGGGACAGATGACACAAATACGGGATTCGGTTTGGACCGCATGGGGGAATCGGATCATGTTGCGGATGACTGGACCGTCTTTCTTTGTGCGAATACGAATGTGCACTTCGTACTTCGATGCTGTGGGCTCGCGACCGACTTCCATTGCCCGGAGATAGCTGTATTAAGAACCATGTCAGAACCCAGATCACGCATCTGCCGAGTTCACTTTCACGTAGAGGAAACATACCGCATTGCATCACACAGCGCATACTGTTCAATATCTTTCAGGTTCCTTTGTCGGAATTCACGAGGCCCTCTCCGATCGACCTTGGTCTCCTTCTTCCCCTTGCCCTTAGCCTGCGGGTTGCTCTTGACACCGCGAACCTGCTGAATGACAGATAGCGCCGGAACAATTGACTTTTCTCGGAGCGATGGGCGGCATGACAAGAAAAGGCCGCGGGCCGCTGTGGGCATTATGGCGCCGTAGGACGACATGGCTTGGGGACGATGGTTGAGTTCCACCACGGAATGCAATTGTTTTCTGCCGGGCAGCTCTCGGGGCCCGGAGAAACATGACGCCGATAAATGACTGCGATAAGTCACTGCCCCTCCGCTAGACTTCCGCTCGAGTCATCCCACTTTTCTGTGTGAACAAAAAGCACAATGACCCAGTTCGAATTGACTGTGGCTACCCGCAGCAACCATGCTGCTTTGCTGCCGGTGATTCTCATTGTTACCTCAATTAACGCAGCCCGCCCTTCTCCCGTGATCAACATCAACTATGAAGATACTGCGCTCCTCAGCGAGGGTGACAAGGCTGTTCTCCAGCTTTTCAATGGATCCAATTCCGTCTTTGGCACTATTGATGCCATTAAAGAGCTCTGTGCTCAGTTCCCCTACCTGAATGGCAAGGATAGCAAGCTGGTGAGAACTATTCCTCCTTCCAACACCTTGATTGAATTCCAGATGTGCTAACGCTATGGGTTTAGGAGGACGAATGGATCTCTCAGCTAGACAGCTTCACTACTTTTGACTTCAAGGCTCTCGACCCTCTACTCCAGCACCTCGACACTCACCTTCTCTTGCGCTCTTTCGTCGTCGGATACTCCCTCTCCACTGCCGACATTGCTTTGTGGGGTGCCCTCCGCGGGAACCGCGTCGCCGTTGCTGCCCTGAAGAAGGGATCCCTTGTCAACCTGACCCGCTGGTATCGGTTCTTGGAGGAGCTGTGCCCCTGGGCTACTGCTGCCTTGGAGTCACTGACCGCCGCTGCCCGGGAGAAGAAGAGTGCAAAGTCTAAGGAGGGAGCTAGCTACGACATTGCCCTTCGTAACACCGAGAACGGTGTCGTTACTCGCTTCCCCCCAGAGCCTTCGTTAGTTTCCTCCTACCATCCTTGAACATGGGTGCTAACAAATGGTCATAGTGGATATCTTCACATCGGACACGCGAAGGCCGCGCTCTTGAACGATTACTTCGCTCATGAGAAGTACAACGGCACCCTTCTTCTCCGGTATATTCCTCTTCTTACTCTGAGTCAAGTGCGTCTCAAAGGCTAACTTTTATCCAAGATTCGACGACACCAACCCGTCCAATGAGAAGCAGGAGTTCCAAGATGCTATCGTTGAGGACCTTGCCCTCATGGGTATTAAGCCCAACAAGGTGTCATACACCAGTGACTACTTTAATGAGCTTTACGATTACGGTCTCACAATGATCAAGACTGGTAAGGCCTATGCCGATGATACCGACAAGGAGACCATGGCCGCCCAGCGTTGGGACGGACTGCCCAGCCAGCGTCGTGAGCTCTCTCCCGAAGAGAGTCTGGCCCGCTTCGAGGAGATGAAGAAGGGCACTCCCGAGGGTCTTCGCTGGTGCATTCGTGCCAAGATTTCGGTTGATGATAAGAACAAGGCCATGCGAGATCCTGTCATCTACCGCTGCAACCCGGCTCCTCACCATCGTACCGGCACTAAATGGAAGATTTACCCTACTTACGACTTTGCTTGCCCTGTCGTTGACTCCATGGAAGGCGTCACCCACGCTCTCAGAACTATCGAGTTTGTCTCCTCTCCAAATTTTCCACGTCAATATGTCTTAACATTGTGTCCCTAGGTACCGTGATCGCAATCCACAGTATGAGTGGATGCTGAACGCTCTCAGCCTCCGTCACGTCCAGGTCTGGGACTTTGCCCGCATGAACTTCATTCGGACTCTTCTCTCCAAGCGTAAGCTGACCAAGCTTGTGGAGAGCGGTGTTGTTTGGGGCTGGGATGATCCTCGCTTCCCTACTATCCGCGGTATTCGCCGCCGTGGTATGACCATTCCTGCCCTGCGCGAGTTCATCCTCAAGCAGGGTCCTTCAAAGGCAGTTACCCTCTTCGACTGGGCTTTGATCTGGGCCACCAACAAGAAGTACATTGACCCCGTCGCCCCTCGCCACACCGCTGTTGTGGACAAGGATGTTGTTAAGGCTACTATTACCAACGGCCCTTCCACTCCCTACACTGAGGAGAAGGCCAAGCACGCCAAGAACGCCGCAGTTGGCATGAAGACAGTTGCCTTCAGCTCTGATGTTGTTCTTGAGCAGGCTGATGCTAAGCTGTTCAAGCAAGATGAGGAGATTACTCTTATGAACTGGGGCAATGCCTTCGTCCGCAAGATCACTGCTGATGCCAATGGCACCATCACCAACCTTGAGCTCGAGCTAAACCCTACTGGTGATGTGAAGAAGACGGAAAAGAAGGTCACTTGGTTGGCCACTGGCAGCCCTGAACTGATACCTGTTGAGCTTGTCGACTTCGATTACCTGCTCAAGAAGGACTCGCTCAGCGAGGATGACGTTCTTGAGGACGTTCTCAACTACAATACCGAGTTCCGTGACTCTGCCCTGGCTGATAACAATGTTGCCAAGCTCCAAGTTGGTGATATCATCCAGTTCGACCGCAAGGGCTTCTACCGCATGGACCGTGCCTTTGCACCTGGCAAGCCGGCTGTGTTCTTCAACATCCCTACTGGCAAGGCCAAATAGATGTCGGATGTTTTGATTCAAAATCGTCTTCAAAATCACGATTAAACTCTTTTCAGGTATTTTATCATATTTATGAAATGTTCAAATTCCTTAAGCATTGGTCGGGTATTTGGTAGAAAATACAGTGTTGAGGGTGCGTAGATCAGGTTGAGATATTTTTACATTGACTAGGAGCTCTGGATAATCTAGCCTCTGACTTTCACTACCGCTCTTAAAATGTCCTATATATACTTAAGTACGATTTTAGTATAGGATAAATTATAGTCTACAACGGGAAGGTTGCTAGTATCATTGAATAGGAATAGGCAGCCTTCATACTATTTCAACGAGCTGACAGGAAGGAAATGTTCTATGGCAATAGCTTTTTGAATTTTCGAGAAGGCTATGATAGGATTAGAGAGGGTCGGGTAGCGAGGCATAGACGGGACTCGGATTGCGCCAAAAATATGAGACTGTCACGGAAACCAAATAGAATGTTACAAAAGAGAGAGCTCAAAGGTGCATTGGGATACGGGTATCAATCATAGAAGCTCTTTCAATCGTGGAACTGGTAGCAAACAGAATCCAAGGGATAAGTGAATGGGGGAGAATCTGAAGAGAGGTTCAAGTTTAACCAATGCTAGCCAGAACGTCCACAGTGTCGTATTGAGCGGCATATCCAGCGAAATAAAAGAGGATATGCATTAGGCTAAGGGCTAAGACGCAGTGGTTAGTTAGGGCAAGATGCAAAGAACGAGGGTAGGAAAGAGAGGACAGGGCGAGGCCAGTTCTTTTATGTTCGGGCCATTTAGGTGAGACGTGATACAATTATCCATCCGATGCGAAAATTTTCAAAAATAGGTATATTCCAATTCCTGATTAAGAGTACTGGAAAGCAGACTGATGAAACATTAAGTTTAGGTTAACAATGAGACAACTCCGGCACAAACACCCTGTCTCAAAGAAACCAGCCATAATAACGTAAGATATCATTCATTGTGGGCCCAAAAGGAAAAATCTCAGTGCGGATGGATAAGCATGGCTTTCCTCACGATTCATTATTCCAATCATCCTTTTATGGGCGCACAGCACACATCACAAGCCACACGTCTTCACTCTACGTCTTCTTCTTCCTTGCTAGCCGAAAGGAAGAACCGACCAATGGGCTTGCCAGTTCCTGGTTCCTCATACTCGACCGATAGACGGGCCAAATGACCCAGCAAGTTCTCAATCTTGATATCGCCCTTGCTGCGCTTCGCACGGCCGAGATCGTCAAGCCACTTGATCTTGTTGAGAATAAAGTAGACGAGAGCAATGACAATCTCAACACCGAGGGAATAGCCCCAGATCCGCACAACAGTAACAATATCAGTCCAGCCATTCCTGGTCTCGACGAACTGGTCGGCAGGTATGGTGGGCATATCTTGATTGGTGAACCAACCGAACAAACAGAAAATGGTAGCAAGAATATCCACTCCCAGAATGGCGGTCACCAGGTGAATAGATGGCCAGGTGTCAATACCACGGGTCACGAAAATCAGCCAGTTTTCTGTGAGAGCAACCTCCAAAAACAGGACTTCTTGGATAGAGCCCCAGTTTTGAATGATACCACCAGACGGAAGGAACATGGAACCTCGCACAACCCATGTACCCAGAGCAAGTAGCACGCCCAAAAGTACGGAAATAAACCAGATCTTCGGAAGTTGCCATTCCACGGGACGCAATTCGAAAGATGCGTGGTCATAGGCCACAGCGACAGTAGCAAGATCAGCAAATAGGGCGAGGAAGACGATAAGCTCGACTCGAATACTCTCATTGAGAATAATCATCGATGTGACCAGGTATATCTCCAGGTGTAAGCAAAGCGCAATACGATACTGAATATACGCTTTCATACGGTGGAAAATCTGTCGTGCCACTTTGATGGAATCAATGATAGTCGACAGGCCAGGCTCGAGGAAAACGATATCTGAAGCCGATTGCGCGGCTTCAGAAGCACCCTCTACAGCAATTCCACAATCTGCCTTCTTCAGTGAGGGAGCATCGTTGACACCATCTCCGGTCATAGCGGTCAAATGGCCTCGTTCCTGAAGCATTTGAACCACCTGGTACTTATGTTCCGGAAAGACTTCCGCAAAGCCGTCCGCTTTCTCGACCAAGTCACCAGCCATAGCGCCGCTAAGACCACCGTGGATAAGCTTGTCTGAGTTGTACACCTTAGTGCCTAATGCTAGCATTTTGCAAGTTTCCTTTGCAATAGCAATAGCATCACCAGTAAGCATCTTCACACTGATCCCTAAGTTTTGAGCTTCGCTGATAGTCTGGGCGGTATCTTCTCGAGGAGGATCAAACATTGGAAGCATGCCGAGCAGGGTCCAGTCTTCCCCTTCCTTTTGAACAGCCACACCTAGAGAACGGAAGCCACGATGAGCAAACTCCTGTGCTTTAGATTTATACAGATCCGAAGTCTCTTTTGAACAATTAGTAAGTTGGAGTACTGCTTTCGGCGCGCCTTTAGTGCAAGTGTATCGAATTCCATCGCAAGTTGCAATAGTGACGATTCGCTTCGAGACCGGATCAAATGGAGTGAATTTTTCGGTGGTCCATCCGCGTCGAAGAATTTCTCTAGCTTTGGGATACTGTCGAAGAGTCAAGATGGTCACTTTGTCGATAGGATCAAGAGACTCAATGTTATGCGAAGATGCTAGGGCAGCAACAGCAAACATCCAGTCAACGTCGACGCCCTCGGCCACGTAAGGATCACGAATGCTCAATTTATTGGCAGTTAAAGTACCAGTCTTATCAGAGCAGAGAATATCCACACCCTAAAATCGTTTAGCTTGGGCCTCGTAACCACATGCTTTTCTAAAATAAAAACACTTACAGCAAGGGATTCGATCGCGGTGAGCTTCTGGACAATAGCTTTCTTTTTCGCCAGATACGCAGCACCCACTGCCATAGTGGTAGTAGTGACGACGGGAAGGCCGACAGGGACACCAATGATCAGTAATGAAAGAGTGTAGTGAAGCAATGTCTGTTGACCGGGAGATGCAATGGGGATATGGCGGAAGAAGCCACCAATCCAAGCAGCAAGAATCCAGGCCATGACCAGGATCAAAAGCGAGGTTCCGATGTTATCCATGACAATTTCGAAGTGTCCGGCACCTTTCGCGGATTGCACCATGCTGGCAGTACGTCCAACGAAGGAAGTCTTCGCAGTTGTTTGGACAACGGCATAGGCCTTTCCACGCTTGCAGCCCGTTGTGTAGAAGATGACATCACCCATATAGCGGTCCACCGCAAGGGACTCGCCAGTAATGGCAGAGTGATCGCAGGCAAGAATGGGATATCCGCGCTTGCGGGGGCGTTGAACTTGCTGTTCGTCCTCTCCCCCCTTCTTTAGCTTCATTGCCCTGTTCAGTGGACTCGACAGCCTGCTCATTCTTGTTCTCTTCATCCTCATCATCGGATTCGGAGCCGCCGCCAAGCATACCCTGCTCCTGCAGCTGATTAAATTCTTCCCAGCCATTAGGATCGTTGAATTCACAGATGATCTTGGCATCGGCTGGTACAACTTGGCCTTCACCAACGACAACCTGCAGAGCTCGTCAGAATGTGACACAACAGAGGGAAGTCAAGGATATGAAGTATGATATGTGAGGAAGACATACAACATCGCCGGGAACTAGTTCACGAGCTAGAATCTCTTGCTGGGAATTGTCACGCACAACTTGTGCACGCATAGCAATATCTCCTTTGAGACTTGCGACCACATCAGCCGCTTGCTTCTCCTGGTACCAACCAACAGCCGCGTTCAGACAGAGGATACCGATGATGACACCGAAATCAACCCAGTCCTCGAGACCAGCGGCAAGAAGCACAGCCAGCTCCATGACTATATCATGTAGTCAGAATTAATTCAACCTCAATTATTCCGGGGAACCAGATATTTTACCATAGAGAATAGGGCCTTGGAAGTAGGAGAGAATCTTTGCGATGGGATTCTCCTTCTCAGAAACGAGTTCATTCCAGCCAGAGCGGCGGCGACGGTGGTTCACTTCTTCACTGGACAGACCCTCGCGAATATCGGTGATGAGCCAGTCATCGGGGAAACTAGCAGTGTCGTCGAGCCTTCTCACACGGACCTTGCGCTTTTTCCATGGTGCATACCACACCCGCTTCTCCTCGAAATCGCCATCATCGGCGAGGTCTGCGTTGGCATCACGGAAAGTAGACACGTACTTTACCAGTTTGCCATATTCATCCAGGCTAGCGTAGTCCTCTTTCAGAGATGCGCGAGAGATGCGAGAGCCCCTACGGCCGTCCGCACGCTCAACATCGCCTTGACTCGCCATAATGACAGGTTGGAATCGAGTTGAACAATGAGATGAATTGATCAAGCGCACAATTCAGCCCGAGTTGTGAAAAATCACTCAGAAAGAGGGGGAATGAGGGAACGTGCAGGATGGAAGCAGAGCAGCAGCACGCGAAACAGCACAGATGATACAAAGAGGAAGGATGGCCCTTCCTGTCTTCAGCCCCTCAACACACCGTGTTCAAGCAAGTGTGAATATCCAGAGAATCCAAGTCACCCACAACAGCAGCAATTGTTTTTCTTCTAAGCATGAAGGATGAAAAGGCGACTCCAGAAGTTTCCCCTCATTCTGTCAATCATGCTGACGTCGAGACTAGGAAGCTCCCGGCAACCTCCAGCCGCCGCGACGAGTATAGAAGCATGCCCTCTGCCTTCTGGCTCAACAGCAGGACAGCCCGAGGGACCGGCGAGCGACGATTCGAGGAATGCTTGACAGGTCTTGACGTATGAGACATTGGATAGGGGTGGCCGGACGAACCTTCTCAGCAACGGGCCGTTTCCTTTTTACCGCCCGTATTGAGTTGGACTGCCCAATACGGGTCCGATGCTGGCGCGATACTGGAGCCTCGCCCACGGATGCCCGCGAGGGTGCCATCGGCAACGGTCCCGTGGGACAGCACGACAGTCTGGATTGACTGAAGAAAACAACGCGAACGTTGTACACTGTTGCACTGTCGCAGCTCCGGTGGAGATCAGCAGGCTGGATCGCCCTTTAGCGTGATTTAGCGTGATGGACCATGATGGGCCTACCCGGTTGCTTCCGCACAATTGGTTCAGCATCCGGAAGTTGCGTGTTTCTGTTACTCCCATCGAAGCTTCTCTCCACGACCACAGCAGGACAGTTGTCGACGATTGTTTTGTGATGCTCTTCATTGCGAGCGATTGAATAGTCCCACAATGCCCATCTATTCCGGTGGTGGGAAGCCCTGGCCTCTGTCATCCTCCGTTGAGCTCACTGGCGTGTTTGGTTCCTCCCGAGAATACTCGACGTCATGTTCACGGCGGTATTTCCGCTGACAGCCGACGCAGTGTGATCAACAGCAAGTCCTAGTCGCCGGTCTTCATGATTCATTGAATTTATTGTAAAGCTTAAAAAACCCTATCGAGTGCAGAACTTGAGGATGCAAAGGCAGACGAAGCGCAGGTCGTTGGCGTCGGTCATTCTCCCCTTCTCTCCCCCCCCCCACGTGATCCCTGCCCTTTCCAACCTCGTAACCAACTACAACCAATGAACATATCCAATTGAGCATGGAATAGAGCAGACTGACAGTGTCAACGCGATCGTATCATCATTCGCTGAAATGGTTCCCAAGTCCCGCGGTCTGTCTATTATCTACGGATCTGCCAGTTCTGGGGGTTCTACTCACCCTGAAACATATAGCTCAGTTGTAAGTAGGCTCTGTATGAAACATCCTTTATTGCGGTATCTAGGCCAGACTGACTGCTCATGCAGCAAATGACGAGTGTTGTGCGGAGATCAAGGTGAGTCTAGAGACTCGAGAACCATGGGCTCGAAGAGGTGGGAAGAAGCCTTTCATTTCTGGAAATGTCAACTTTTCGCCTTCGCGCTTTCTTGTTGTTCCCAATTTCTCCTATCTCGATTTGTTCTGGCCACCAAATTACTAGGCTTCAATTCGCAAGTACAGGATGGATGTTGGTTTCGTGTAAGTTCAGCTGTCTTGTATAATTTGACTACCACAAGAAATATTATAGATTATGGGTATCTAGAGAATCGAATAAAAAAGATACAGAAATGCAAAGGTAGGTCAAAGAATGTGATTGAAAAGAAAGTCAACAAAGACTCTTCTCACGGAATTTCTCGGTTCTCCATCATTCAGGGCAATCACTAATCACACAAGATTCTTCCAGCATAGATATTACGAGACTGTCCTGGAAATACGTATATTTCACGTTTTTAAGAGCGGATGCGATGAGCATGGCGGAGATTTTGAGTCAGACCGTGGGTGACGCCGGTCGTGACCTTGTTCGCTTTTCGCAGACCAGCAAGGAGGCCAAAGAGGTCCTGGCCAAGGAGCTCGAGCGGGCCCTTGGAGTCGTCTTGGTTCGGGGTGTCCTCATGGTTGACACCATTGGCATCGTGAGAGCCAGTATCGGCACTTGACGAGTCATCATGAGTCGGGGGTTTATCGGCGGCATTAGTGGTATCTTCATCGGGCGAGGGAGGCTTAGGCGATGGGTGAGCCGTCGGTGCCGAAGTGGTGGATGAGGAGGTGGTCGTGTGTGTCGAGTGTGTCGTGTGTGTCGTGTGTGTCGTGTGTGTCGTGTGTGTCGTGGTGGGCTTGGGCGCAGGTGCAGTGGCGGTGGAATGCTTATGACCACTGGACGATGAGGCAGATCCAGAGGATGAGGAAGAGGAGGACGAGGAGACGGGTGCATTGGAAGAGAGCGAGGTATTCGGTGAGTTAGTGGACGAAGGTGCAGACGACGCGGTCGACGCCGCGTTGGTGGACGGCGACGAACCGGAGTTTGGACCACCCAACGCCTTGCGCACACTGTCTAGGAACCCCTGGTTCGCATATGCCTGCGTGACATCCCACATCATCACGCCGCCGAAGCTTTCGAACTTCTTCGAGTACTCGATTACCTGGGCCAGCTTTGACGCCGGGATGTAACCGGTGCTGGCGGCAGTAGTGTCGGCCGGGACGCCGACCAAGACCTTGACGTTCTTGTTCTGGGACACCGTCTTGGCCCAGTTGTCCCATTCCTCGAAGTTATACTTCGAGTTCTTAGAGTCAGTGTCGAAGTTGTTCACGCCACAATAGTTGTTGTAGAACTGGACCCAGACCGCATCAATGGGGACGGGTCCGTTGAGAATGTCCTTATCAGACTGATCCGGATACGGGCACTGAGGAGCAGCAGTCAGGAAGTACTGTTTGCTATCGTCCGTGTCCATCAGGGCGCGAAGCTCGTTGGCAAACGGAGCCATATGCAACACATTGGCCTCAAAATCGAAGTCGAATCCGTCCAAGCTGGCATTACCAAAAGGACGCAAGGCCTTGGAGCCTTCTTGCACGGGGCCGAAGGTCTCCCACATCAGCTTAGCACCGGCTTTGGCATCGTCTTCGGACTTGAATCCGCCCTCGCTGTAGGTTGCGCCACCAATTGACAACAAGATGGTCTTACCCTTCTGTTGACATGTCTCAATGTCGTCGCTGTGAAGCGTCAGTTGGGATGTATCTCACATGTGGACGTCCAACTCACCCGATCTGCGGGCAGTTCTTCAGTTGCGTTCCCTCGAATACGTCGCACTCTTGACTGGTGACGGAGAAGTCGACTTCAGGGGCACCACCCGGTCCATTGACCATCATATCAAATGCTATTGGGATGACCTATAATTCAACGATCAGATGTCTTCCCCTTTGAGTATAACACAGATTCTGTTATTCATACATCAATGTCATCGTCTGGAAGAGTCTCTATTAGTACAATTCTCAGTCTTGTGCACAAAGAGCTCAATACTCACTCTCACAATAGTGAGCCAAAGGCTTCTGTTGGTCTCCACCTTTTCCTTGCAAGGAATTCTGACCTATCAACATAACATAAGACTTAGCATCAACTTCTATTCATGCCCTAGGTCAATAATAGGTCTTTTACCCCAGTAGATCGCAACATTGTTCGATGAGTCCAGGTCCAGCTTCGCATGAACTCCTCCCAAGGCGGCCAAAAGGACGGCGCCAGAAAGATACTTCTGGTAGCTAGACATGCTGTTATTGTTCCAGTGAAATGATTGGCACTGGTTCAAATCCGATTAGGTATTAAAGGGTTGTATAGAAACGACACCAAAAAAAAATAGAGACAAAAATTTTATCGCGGGATCACAGCCCGGAGAGTCGACGAAAGGAGGGAACGAATGTAGGAATAGCGCGCGTGGAACCCTCGCTGGAGAGATATCTTAAATAGAAATTTCCAAGATATTTTGCTTCCCAGTCTGCATGCCGTTTCCAAAAACAATACACTCGCTTGGTCCGTCATTTGGTGATCCAAATCAGCGGTATGATCCACCGTGTCCACGCCAGCAGCCCTTTTGACAGACTGACTTTCCGCTCAAACCGCGCTCGTGAGGAGTAAAACTCCCTGAGTTATTTCTCTCGGTGTATTTGATTGGACCGTAGCGCGTGGTCGGCAAGTTCGCCTGCATTCCATTACTGTTGTCAGGGAACCCGGTCGAGGATCTTGGAATGCAGCGCTGGAAGAGGGAAAATCGGCTATGGATCAGGTTCTAGGCCAAGGAAAAGAGCAACTCGAATTCAGTACTTTGTCTCTATCATTCATCCTCCAGGATATGTAGCAGCCCAAGAAAAGAAGATTTCATATCTAACGTGTTGGTGGCACGGTGTTTCTATCCCTTGTTTGTTAGGCGATGCCCTGAAGCCGCGTGGAATGGCACCCGCCCTATATTGTTAGAACCAAACAACGATACCTACACGGCTCACGTCGCCTGTTCCCTACAAAATCTCACTTGTTCTGTATGTATAACGGGACAATTTGTGATTGAGTTTTAGAAAGCCCTCATAGAAAAAGGCTAGATTAAAAGCTGCGCCTATTCGGCTTTGCTTCTACAAAACAAGATCCTGTCTCCCAAAATATATATTCTGCCAAAAGGGGAACAATTCAATCCGATGGCATGTGTTCAATATCCGTTCTCGATAGCCGATGGAAAAGAAAGCAATATAATTCGTGCAATACCACTGCTGATCTCTTCATCTTTAGCAGCTAACATACTCAATTCACAAATGAGGAGGCATGGAAATGAAATAACTCGATGGAAAAAAGTACTATCTTATCCATCAGGCCGCTCGGGAATAGTCAAAAAGGTATATGTCGGGCCACAAGCGCTTGCACATAGTATGCCTTCCTGTATGTGTGGCGAGCAAGTATCGCAAAAAGCGCTATTGTAACAAGATGTGCGAATTGGCAAGCCATCATGGGCTATTAGATTGCCACAGTCATAACAAGTTCCTGTAATATTTTGTCATATTACATTGATCAACATGTGGAAATTGTGATTGGGGTTTTTTCCTGCGATTTCATTGCGACCATCACCAACAGAACATAGAATTCTACTCAACTGATTGAACCAAGCTTGGCCATGAGAAAAATGGTTACCTCAGAGCTCGGGAATTGTCTCCAGTATGAGTTCTTTGAAACTGGACATTGTATCTTTCTGTCTCCCAAATAGCTGATAGTATTGGCCCATTTAGAGGCGTCCTATGAAGTTCACTGGCGCTGCTTCCTGAAAAGGTTTGGTGTCGAAAGTAGCATTTAATAAAGTGATCTGCCTATGGCAATACATTTTTATAGCTGACCATATCGTGCGCGTGGCGAATCACAACACTGAGTCGTCGAGCCTTTTCTTCGTGAAGGTTTCATACTCCTCAGTCACCCTGCTCCACAAAAGCCCAGCTTGGTCGGAGCTGGACATCGTAGATCTGTTGTGAATTCAATTTCCGCTTGCGATCACCCTGAAAGCTGATCTATGAGCCCAGGTTTAGCAGCGCCACATCAAGGCGGGACTTGAAGAACCAAAGCCCGTACTGTTAGCAACACTCAGAGATCCCCAATCAGTCGGTAAAAAATACCAGTCAGCTCAATTGATCTTTATTTCATGTACAGTCAATATTTGATCTAGAATATGTCACCTGGATGGGCCCCTCCGCATAGTAACGGATACATTATATTGGCTGTGTAGAAGGCCCTACCGTGGAACGCCAATCACTCGCTGGATAGCATCTTCGTTGGTCATGGTCGTGTCAATAACACCCGCTATTTTGAGCACATCTACCACCCCTTCAATTACCTTACGGTCCACTCCGCGGGTACTGCTGGTGAACTTAACATCCTTCAGCCACTCGGTTGCATCCTCCTCGATGTAGTTGCAGCCAAGTTCACCAGTGCCTAAGAGCTTCACGACATGCGCAGTATCGGATTCGAAATCCTTGATTCCCTGGTCCAGAGCTTCAAACAGCTTCTCTAGGCGCTGGTCGTTTTGGGGATTTGGGAACATAGCTGTAGATGCTACAATCATCCATGACGGCCAGGGTGTGAAAATCTCTCCGATATTCTTCAGCGGTGGCTCTGGCATCTCAGCTGTTGGGTGGAAGTATGGTTTTGTTGTGAAGTGTTCCCACATGAAGAATTCAGCAGTGGGATTGGGCTCTTGGGCCGCATCTCTCTCATCCTGGCCGGTGACTCCATTCCGCAGAGCTCCGAATGGTCCAAGAGGTATAGTGGTCAAAGAATCTGACTTCCAGCCTTGCTGTTGTGCAAGAACAAAGGACATGATATGAGAACCACTAGATCACCATAATTAGCCGTGTGTATCACGGTAGCTTGGTGAAGCTTAGTCGCGACGCCAAGCGCGAGTCAACAGTGTATATACCTTCCTAATCGGCTCACACCAACCCGCTGGTCTTTGAGGTCCTGCACGCCAGTAATATTGGCCCGGTTACGGCCTGTCACAATCGCCCACCGTAGGGGATTATCCACCCAGTGACCGATGACTTTGTAGCCTCCCTCGGCGGGGTCCTGGGGCTGAGTCTTGCCTGTTAGACCGGCCACCCAGCCCTCGCTCAATCCAATGGCAATATCAATCTCATTGCTCCGCAAAGATGTGATCATATGGCCTGTACCGGATGGAAATGGCGTGAGTGCGATCTTGTACGGGAGGGAAGACACCGCTGGGGAACGGAGTGCGAGATGAAGCGGAGTCAGATAGTGCTCTAAAGGTCAGTCTGTCAGTATATCAAGATGATCAGGTGGATCAATCCTCATGTCAACGAATGAATTACACCCGTTCAATTTTGCGATAGCTTCGAGGCGAGGGGTTGAGCTCGAGTTGGGGACATACCGGGCACATAGCCGATGCGAATAGTCTGTATGTCTGCCATTGTGACGATGTGCAGAACAAAGACCAAGTATTGAAGCTGCCGAGAGAGAAAATAATGGTCAAGACTATGGGTCCAACGTCGCGATGGCGATGTGTGAAGAATGGTCCGCGGATGACCGCATCGCGGGGCAGCGGGCTAGATTTCCCGAAGCGGCCAAACTTGGGTAGCGGGGTTCTTCACTCCATGCACTTGCCTCCAAGACAGGAGGGCTCAAGGGGATTTGTCAGACAGCATTAAAAAGGGATTCATTCGGAATTACAGTTCTATAGGTCGCTATGGCTCGGTGGATCTCTCTCATCCATCTATCTACAGCAAATGCAGGGGACGCGCTCGTAACAAGATCCTCGGCCCATCGCTTTTAGTTCATTCGGATATCTTTCTCGCCTTGTCCCCACCGGCCATCCTGGTCCTGAGAGCTGCCAGCAACTCGGCCGGTGCCGCGAGTGAACATCCAGTACTGAACACCCAGGTAGAGGTCACAAACGCACTGGAACATGCCACACAGCTTGAATGCCCAGGGAATGACCTCCTCGCTGCAGAAGAAGTAGCTCATCTTCATGGTGTCACCAATGATCCATGCAGCAAGAACAGATAATCGGAACCCCTTGCACGAGCCAGAACGGTGGTTGGCCAGGATTTGGGGGACGGGGAGAATGGCCTCGACGGCGAGACCGATGCAGCCGAGGATGCTAATGTAGGTTGCTGAGTCTGAAATAGGGGTGAGATGGACGACAGCCAGGATAGCAATGAAGTAGGCGAGGAACAGCCAGTACCTGCTCATCCAACGCATTTAGTCACTGTTACCGCCAGGAGAAGGATGGGAAGGTGGACGGGTTCAAGGTCAGACTTACGGTCTAGTGTTCTTCCATTGCCAGAAATCGTACGGCCGCTTGAATCCATCATCAGCACCACTAAAGGGCGCATGTTCGATGGAATTCTTCGCGCCAATCGCAGGTCGGTTGTCCAATGCGACCTTTAGCAGGGCCATCTGCACCAAGATCATCACCACGGCCTGGGCCAGCAGCGCCTTAGAGTAATATTCTCCGAACCAGTAAAAGACCCTACCACGCATGTGAGTTTCAAATCTCACGAGACTGCCTTCGACTGCCAGTGGAATCAAATAGACATTATATTTGCGAGCTCTTACTTGAGAATCGACGCGACGAGCATAATCAGAGGAATGTCCAAGGAAAACCCGGCCGAGCTCCTATTCCGCTGAATGCTCAGGATCTGATCCAGGTAGGACGTGAGAGGGGAGGAGATGAGGCTAGACCATCGTTAGGACGGGGCAACGTTCTTGAGCGGGAGAAATTCTTCGTCTCGGGACGTACAAAGGGGGGCGCCATATTCAATGGCTAGTTGGACCAGATACATCGTGCTGGTGAAGTTCTTCCGCGGGCTCCGGAGGGCATGCAATCGAACTCAAGTGAACGGAGGTCGTGCGGGAGGGAGTCGTGTCCAAGAAGGGTCGAGATGGCGTCGCGCTTCAGCAAAAGGGCCCAGGCGATCTCTCAACACGGAACAGGGGCAGCTTCGGGCGAACCAACGAACGACACGAGGAGGGCAAGGAACAAGACCCAACGCGGCCACGACGCATGCGGCTTTTTTCCTCTCCGTTGCGGGCTTATGTCAGCGTTGTCGATCATCATCATCGCTTGGGGCCGTCACAATTGCGCCTCGTGCTTGGCAGCGTCTAGGGGATTTTTGGGATTCCTGATTATTGTGTGAAACATTTTGAAGTCATGGTGTGTTGAATTTGGTCGTAATGGGAATTTGTTGTGAATGTGGGTTTCGGAGGGTGGGGAGTATATCTACATCTACAGTTAACATAGCGGTAACGCTGTCCCTCTGGGCCGGCGCGAAAATGCATGCAGAAACTACCCTACGTGAAATAGTATTCTCTTTTCCATACTTATCTACTGGCTAGTTGACTAAAAAGAAAAGAAATAACACGTATGATTCCAATTGCAATAAAAACCTCGACCTAAGAACCTTCCCTGTATTACTACCTAGGCATACCTATCAATATAGTGGGATACGGTATCAGCTAGGAAAGCTTGGATCCCATGGAACGAGACGCTCAATATGATGATGTATAACTAGTTGAATATATAGGTGGGGAAATATTGAATATGATTTAGCGCCACGCTCGGCGATGGCGATTGGAAGCTCTACAGTCAAAGTTCAACATCGACAGAGGTGTTCTAGACGTAAAGATAGATAGAAGTCACTTCCATAACCGCTTCCCACATCCAGGACATTTTGATGGTTCTCCAGCGAGTCCAGTACGGCGTCGAACTGGTCTCAAACCAGCCTCTCCGCCAAAGGGGCTCAAGGTCCCTCGCTCAGCGGATGTGACCCACGATATGAGGTCGGAAGAGAATATGGCCCCATAAGAGCATGATTCACAACCTTTCTGGCAACAACAAAATAGTGTTCCTGGGTTTCATGCTTGTATGGCTGCCATCCAGTAAAGGAGAAGAAATTCTTTAATTAAATTTCAAAAATAGCCTTTTGAAACAGATTCCGCCCGCCATCCATCTTCGGTGTATACAGTCCCAATTACCTTCCTCCCCATAAATGGGAGTTTCACATGCCGAAAGGCTGGTCTCGTGGAATTATAAAGAGTCAGATCCTTGACAAGGCTTGTGCTAGAGATGGTCCCCCGAACAAGAAGGCCACCGGGCCTCAGCCAGTCTGAAAACTTGAACATCATAGAATTGGTGTCAACGTGCGACAAATGGAACATGGAAAAGACTGAGAATATCGCAGAAAACTTTATTCTTGGCTCAAATTTTGACATGTCATATTTCTTAAACCGACCAGAGACTTCCCTGAAGGCTACGTGTAGAACTAATATTTCCCTACCGGAGATGCGGAGCTACATCTGTACAGACTGCGTGCTACGAGGTATATCCTCCAATCAGAGGCCACCTATCGTAGATCCTTTCAACACTAAAATATTTACTTTCCTAGAAGAGGTTTAGCCTAGGCGGTAATAGGTAGCAAAATACTTATATTCGTAGGAAGCTTAGGTTCTTTCTACTACCTTAACGAATATCACCGTTCTATTGCCAACTTTGTCTCTACTTTGTATTTCGTATATTTCTGAATCTTACTAACCTGGAGTGTCAGCTCCTTTCGCCATTTATTTCACCGCTCCGTGAGTCATTCTCATTATACCGTAGTACGTCATAGAATTGATGGATGACTCATTCAGTGTATAAATTCAAATCATTGCATTGGAATTGAGCCCTCATATTCACGGCAGTGGCAACCAAAAATGGCGCCAGGTAAATCTGTGTCTTTTGAAATAAAGTACGCCAATGCATCTGATCTAAGTGCACTCGTGAGCGTCGAAATTCGCTCTTTCCCCTCGTCCAACTATATGCGCAGCACATACAAGGGATGTGATCCAATGGCAGTTCACACATTCAAAACAGTCTCATCCCTTGAGTACTTCGCCAAACCTGAGTGCCATATTCTAGCGGGTATCGACTCTGAAACCGGCCATATCATCGCATACAGCCGCTGGAACATACCAGCTATTTACAAGTTCGAAAGAGCCGTGGACACAAGTCTGAGCAACAATGCGCAAGCGCAAATGCAGAATATGTGGGCGTATGCCCCAAAGTTGAACCACGGTACCTACACGTTCTACGAGGAAATGATTAAGCGTAGTAGGAACAGACATCTCAAGGAAACTGATATTGGTTCGTCAACCAATTTTGCCACTCTACATGAAAACTTTACGGTATTGACTGCTAAAAATACTACTAGTCCTTGAACTTCTATGTGTCTTACCAGAATACCAAAGAATTGGAATAGGAAGTGCATTTCTCAAATGGGGTATCGAGAAAGCAGACGCCAGTAACGCCCGGATATATCTGGAAGCTACGATGGAAGGAGTGCTAGCGTATTTGAAGTATGGGTGGAGGATCGTCGAGGAATTACGACTGGATTACACGGAGCGCGGTGGAGAGGGAAGTCAGAAATTCGCATTGATGATCAGAGAGCCTCAGGAAACAGGAGGAATTTATAAAGACACCACAGTTTTTTATTAATTGACAGCATATGACATACCCCCTTTAACTGGAATCTTCAATCTTTGGAATCTTCTTATTCTCAATAAAGAGGCTAGGAAGGATGGAAACCAGTCCCTGCGCCAGAAGAGAATAGAAAACATATCGAAGCGCAGTCATGTAAGCTTGAATAACAAATCCTTTCTGTTCTCCGGAGAGTGCCACAGTATCCAGGCCGGTGAGGTTGTCTAGTTGGACCTTCATACCAACTGTTTTCAGCTTTTGGTGCAGAGTATTTTGGAGTATGGCCGATCATACCGTCAAACCAATTACCACACCAACAGATCAAACTGCCCAAGAAGCGCTCTGAACTGTTGCCAAGTTTTCCTCCGACACGGACATTAGAATCCCCATAATATTTGTAACGTAAGTTCCTCCAACGCCAATACCAATGATGCCAAGGAACAGGTACGGTTTCCAAGAAGACGATGCTGGACCCAGTGAGCAGAGGAGACCGTAGCCGACTGTAGCAATGGATAACAGAAGAATGTTCAGATGATAGTATCGTCGTAAGCAAACAACAAGATAGCCAGCAGCTCCAGAACAGGCCCCGAAGGCAACTGCTAAAGGGATAAGTCGAAGGGAGGCCTCGAAGGCAGAGAGACCAAAGACCTGAACGTAGAGGGGCACACAGAACATAGAACTGACGAAACAGCCTGTGCTAAAAAAGGCAGTAATCTATATGAAGCCGACGCTGTGTTGCATCAATGCCCTTATAGGCATTATGGGGCTCTCGGTACGGTATGCGCTGCATAAAAACAGAAAGAAGCAGGGCACGACCAAGCACAGAGGGGCGAGGGTGCCGGCGTCGGCCCATGCGAAGGTGGTGCTTCCGTGATTGAGTCCGAATTGCGACAGCACAATTGTGACAATCAAGATCGTCATGCCAACAATATCAAGGCGCCGGTGGGCACCTGTGATTGCGCGTTAATCTGAAATTTCGACGTACCAGAACACCACGGTACCATCTAGGACTACGACAGGGACCTGGATCAAGAAGGCCCACCGCCAACCGATAGCGGCATTGATCGCAGCATCATATACCACCCCCCCCCCCAAATGACCATACACAAGCCATAGAGCATAGAGCCAAAGTCTCCAATGAGGGCACGTTGGTGGGCAGGAATAAGATCCGTCTCGATGTGATTGAAGCAATAGCGCCACCGCCAATACCCTGTAAGGCGCGGCCCGCCAAGAACAGAGGCAGATGCGTGGTTGCTAGACCGCAGAAAAACTTTCCCAGGGAAAAGAGAGCATAATTGACGGCGAGAGCCTTGCGGCGCCCGTACGCGTTGGCCAGGTGACCACTAATAGCCTGCAATAGGGTGCTGCCGATAAAATAGGCTGTTGTGATCCATGAAAAGCTTGATGCGGCCGATAGAGAGCTGGCAATAGGCGTCGCAATTGTAGCGATCATGGTTTCATCTTAGTATTTCTAGTTAGGCGTCAGTTCGAGAAGTTTCATTACCGATGTGCATAGTGCTGATAACATACCGAGTGCCATGAGCAGAGTCCCGAGCTTTCAGCTGTTAGTGCGCTTGCGACAGACTTGATGAGAGCTACTGACCCAGAGGCTGCCAAGGGTCACAACAAGACGTCGAACTTTTGCAGCGCTCATATCACAAGCCTTCCAGATGATTACCTGCACCGGCCGGCCGACAAGATCTTGCAAGCGGCAGCCGCTCAGCATGGCGACAGACTCAAGACTGCTTTTTTCTGCCCGTCAGACATCTATGGGCAGGGAAGGGGGCCTGGCAACATCCGCAGCCTGCTCATACCAGAGATATGCGAGAACATCATCGAGCTGGGATATTCCTTCTACGCGCTGACGGGCGCGAATCGGAAGTCCTGGATCCATGTCGACGATGTTGCTAACGTATACTTTAAACTTGTGGAAGCTGCTGTCGAAGGGGAGGAAATGCAGTGTGGGAGAAGGAGGTAAGCGACAAGCTCAGTCCTCCAGATAAAATCGTGCAGGGACTTTAATTGATATATTGATTGTCACACACAGATACTACTTCGTCACCAGCCAAGAACTGTCACAGCTCGATCTGGCCCGGGAGACTGGCAGGATCCTCTACACACATGGCCTTATTCCTACTAGCGAGCCGAAGAGTTTGTCTATCGAGACTGTGAGAGAGATGCGAGATGGCTCAAGTTGGGAGCCGATGGGAGTGTATACCTGGGCCTGTATTACACTTGTGCGTGCAGATCGGGCGAGATCTCTCTTGGGTTATGTGCCAAGTGCCCCTAGTGTGCAGAGCACCTTAGAGGGTGATCTTCTAGATGCTGTCGAGCATGTGAAGAAGATTGGGCCAACGTATTGTCCAGGTCTCCGACTTTAGGCAAGAAACTGTCCATATTTCCAATACGGACTCATAATGAATTGTGCGCACCGCTGAATATCGACACCTAGTTTAGGTGGTCCTTGGAGGTGCTCGATCGAGCATTGCGGAGGAGTGTCTGCAAAGCATCACCCATTGGACTCCAGTCAAATCGATATTTACATATCTTTTGAATCATTATCTGAGTTATTATATCGCCTTGACTGTCTACTCATTGCAGAGACCGTAAATCATTAGGTTATTCATATTATGTTAGGTATAAACATAGATCGAACCTAATAGATTCGCGATCTAGCTAGTTTGTGAATCTTGGCACGTGAGTTAACAAATGTCAAATTTGAAATTGCAACTTTTAAAACCTGTGTCGGACTATGATAAGGCCTACTAACACCTATAAATATGCTTCAGCTATCATGTCATAATCTACGGAGCCGGTCAGTCAGCGTGCCCCCAAATTAGTGAGGTGTATTATATGAAATTACTCTACCAAATGATACCTACCTATAGGGAGAAGGTAGTACTTAGAAGTGCTCATTAGGGCGGCTTTTCACGTTTGGGGCGGGATAAAGACTGTGTATAAAAGCTATAAAATAGGTAATTTATCTAATGGAAAGCTTTCTTGATGAAAACCTTCCAAAATATCTCTATTGTGAAAGTCCACATCTAAAAATTTGAATCAATTGCTCTATGGGGAATACTCAAAGAGTACATCCAAATATACAGGAAAAATGCAATTCACAGCAATCCGTATACTTGCAAGTTTTATAAAAGCGGAAATTCGAGTCAAAAATTATACATTTGACTCCGATAAGTTTTGGAAATGGATCATGATATCAATATTTTGGAACCTGATTCTGAGTCGAAGTGGCTTCGGATTGAATTTAACCGGAAAAATTGACTCCCCACAAGACCTATTCTCATACACTCAATGCACTCTATGGTAATCAATAGAGAAGTCCATCGACAGCAATATCCCCCCTTTCTACCATTAATTCCACGATGCGTTGATATAATGTCATAACAGCTTGTGCTTCATCATGAGTGAAAGCCCTATCGTCGTACTGCAGCTTGAGACGATGGCCATGCACATCCTTGAAAACTTCAAACATGATTGCATAGTTGACATACATGGTCACCTTGCTCATGGCCATCACGATCCAGCGCATATGATCCTGTTCACCGACCGCAGGCTCAAATGGCTGGAAGAGGAAGAGAGTTTTGGCTGCGTTGGCAGCACGATCAACTCCTAGGAAACTGTAAATCTCACCGAGACTGACGCTGCCGTTCTCAGTGATTTCCCAGAAGAGAGACTGTGTATCTTTCAAGAGGCTGTAAATATGCGTGTCGGAGTCGAACCAAGAGCGAAATGGCAAGAAATTAGCGCAGGTCCCATTGATGGCCTGAGGATCGTCCATGTCGACGTTTCGACCGGTCAGCAGATAGTCGTAGGTCACATCTCGGGACTTCGAGAGCTGTGACAGGAGAATTGTATAAGCTGTCTGAAAAACAATGGAAGGCGTAACACCGGCACTCTGGGCGTAGTGGTCAACAGTCACCTCGCATTTGGAAACGATCGAGCCTCGCACGCGGGGAGCGGAAAGTTGTGTGGGAAATGAGAAATAATTGTCCTTGAGCAGCCGCTTCCAGAAGGAGGCAGTGCGTCCACCGCCATTATGCTGAGAATATGCGACAAAATCTTTGAACGGAGTTGATTGCGGGGGAGATCGCCCCTCACGTAGAGCAGCGAATTGATCGTCAAAAATTCGCAGCAGAGTCCCATCGTACATGGCATGGTCCAGTTTGATGCAGAGATCCAAAGCACCATCATCGTATTGTAAGATAAGATATCTGACAAAGGGTTTGCCGAGCTTGAAGAGTTCATCCCAGTGAGCCTGGATCCGGGTGATTTTTTCGGCTTCAGTATGGCATTGAATGATCGTCAGGTCAAGGATTGGATCCTTGAGAATCACTTGAACCCAGCTAAGTGGATCATGCTCGTCCTGCCGCAGATACATAGCTCGAAGGATTTGGTTCTCCTTGGTTAACTTTGTTGTTAGGTCAATCCACCTCTCCAGGTCAAACCCACGAGGCAGACGTCTCACGGTCATGAGTTGCCAAAATTGGTCTTTTGTATGACCCTGGGTCAGGAACTCTACCTGCCCTGGAGAACATGGATAGATCTCCTCAACATATTCTGGATTGACTCCTGCATTCTGTAGCCTGCGATGAACAGACTCGCTCGCTACAAACTCAAGTGAGCGCACTTGGGATGTGACTGTTGGTTTAAGATGCTCGGCCTGTGCCTTTAGAGAAGGGTATGTGAGCACGTCATTTACAGAGAGTGCATAGTTTAGTTGTCGGAGCATGTTGCCCAAGTTGATGGCTGCGATGGAATCACCACCATAGTTGTAGAACAGATCGGAAAGCTGGATAGTCTCTGCATCGATGCTAAACAAATCGGCCCACGCATCTCGAAGGACTTGTTCCTCAACTGAGAGCTCTGTTGAGGAATAAACCGACTGTAACACGGCTGTTGAAGCATAACGTGCCAGGCTGCCAGGCTTGAGATTCTCAGCAAACTGCGCCAACTTCTTTCGATCGACCTTGCCTGACGCTAGGAGTGGAAACGACCAGAATGGCAAAAAGAGTTTTGGTAGCATATAAGAGGCAAGGGTTTGTAACCGCTCGGAAATCAGAGCAGGCTCTATGATGGCCTGTTGGCAGAGTATTTCGTCGCCTTCTTGTGAGAGAATTGGGCTCTCCATGGGCACATAATAGACGACGATTTGTTTCTTGCCAAGGACTAGTGCGACACCCACGGCGCACGCTTGGATCAAATCCTCAGCTTTGCTGCGGATCACATTCTCAATCTCTCCCAGCTCAATCCGAAAACCATTCAATTTGATCTGATTATCCTTACGCCCGAGGCATTCAATCTCTCCATTCGGCAACCAGCGTGCATAGTCACCGGTACGATACAGCACAGATTCGCCTGGGGCCCCGATGAAAGCTGAAGCGGTGACATCAGGGCGGTTGAGATATCCTCGAGCCACCTGGGCCCCGCTCACGCAGAGTTCTCCGACAGTGCCCCAGGGAACAGGGCTTAGGGAGTCTGGGTGAAGGATCGAAGCCTTGACGGCTTTGAGGGGATAGCCTATACTCTTGAGGCTCCCATCTGGTTTTACCTTGGATACAGTCATGAGAATGGTTGCTTCTGTGGGTCCTATATTGCTTTCAGTATACAAATCCATAAGAGAGGCTTGGGAGCAGAGCCAACCATATCCATTGTAAACATCCATCCTCGTTGCCCAGACTGATATCACGTCGGGTGTGATTGGCTCGCCACAGACCAAAAGAGTGCGCAGACTGGGCACGTCTTCCGGTGAAATCAGTTTGGAAATGGTAGGCGTGACCATAAGCTGAGTGACATTGAATTTATTAACGCACGTAGCCAGGTCGTTGATCATTGTATCCTGGTCGGCGACGGATATAGATCCTCCAACTCCGAGTACGGTGAACACGTCAAAGTAAGACGCATCAAACACATAATTGAGAAACCAAAGCACATTCCACTCCTTGTCAACCTTACAGGCTTCAATCATTCCCTGCGTTGAAGCAGAGACAGCCCTGTGGGATACCTGCACACCTTTCGGAAGACCAGTCGATCCGCTGGTGTATATAATATAGGCAAGGTTATCGGCACTAAATCCGGCAAGGGCCAGATTCTCAGCTGTATTGGCTCGAGTATTCAGATCCATCTGATCCATGTTAATGATCTCGCCAGAGAAAGAAGCGAATTTGCTTATGTTATAAGAGTCAGTAATTGCGAAATGCGCACCCACGTCGCGGATTATAAATTCGTTTCTGGCAGGAGGGTTTTTTGGGTCTAACGGTGTAAACGATGCTCCCGCCTTGAGCACACCAAACACGGCGATGAGGGTGTTGACAGACTTTTGGAGGCAGAGAGGAATTACATCTTCTGTTTTCACCCCTCTAGTCCGAAGATAAGACGCGAGATTGTTCACTGCCAACTGGAATTGTGCGTATGATAATCGCCTACCAGAAGCATCCTGTACAGCCAGTCGATCAGGGTATTGAACAGCCATTTGCTGGAGTAGTGAGTGTGCCAGCTGATCCGACTGAACCGGTCTTGTAAGTGATAGCGAGTCTAGGAAAGCTTCCTCTTCTTCTGAAGTAGGATTTATCTCCCTGATCGTTTTTAGAGGTGATTCAAGCACTGCGCTGAGGATCTGAGCAACGTTTCCAAGGATGAATGAGGCTCTCTGAGATGGTATGGAGGATAAAAGGCGCAACTCAAGACTTCCAGACACAGACTCGGCCTCAAGCATAGTCTGATTAAGATAGTTGGGCTCGTACGGTGGGGAAGGGTTGAGTATGTTGTATGTTTGAGTCAACTTCGATTCATTTTCCCGGGTCAAGACATTAACAACTGTGTCATAGAGAGTTGTTTTCTGACCTGAAGCGCGCAGGATATTTCTCAAGCCATAATGTGCCCGCGAGGAGATATTCCACATATCCTCTTGCATTCTTTTCGCCAACTCGACTACTGATATATCGGGGTCAACCTGTACTCTGAAAGGCACTGTCGTTATTGTTGGCCCTGAAATCTCGAGGATACCCTCCACGGGCACATCTCGACCAGATAGAGTGATACCGAAAACCAGATCTTGCTGGAAAGTATGCAAAGAGAGGACAATCGCCCATGCAGCGTAGATCAATGAACCGACAGAGACCTTGTTCATCGCCGCGAAGGATGAAAGATCGTGATTGATCTGCAAACGCACGGCGTTGTTCTCTTGTGCTCGGCCCCCGAGCAGAGATGGAGTGGCATCGCGCAAGCTTTCTTGCCAGAACTTCTCGAGCCCACCATCGTTCTGCTGGTCCCGGGTATATTGAATAAACTTGGCAAAACTTGGACGGCTCACCAGTGGTTGACCCAACACGGTGGCTACCAGGTCGTCCACAAAGAAGCTGTTGGACCAATAATCGAGCAGGGCATGATGCACGGTGATGGCAAGTACATCTCCCTGCAGTGCTGTAAAATCAATGAAGTTCCCGCCAAATTCTACGATATGTTTGGGTCTGCTAGAGAACTCTTGAGGAGTCATATCAAGGTTCTTCCAGGACAGCTGCACCTTTTTACGGATGACTTGGAGGTATGACGTTTTGTTGGCCACAAAGGTAGTGCGGAGGACCGGATGATGTGATGACAATTTCTCCAATGCAGCAAGAATATCACCCAGTTGCCTTCCCTGGATACGATAGTAGCGTCGGTAAACGTAGGTTGAGTTGCCCATTAGAGAATCCATTAGGAAGCCTTCTTGGAGGGAGGTTGTTGGGAAGGCGTCCTCCACATTATCTCGGCTGAACTTGGTATTATTAGGTAGGAGAGAAAAAGGAGCGATGCCGGCCGAGATCTCTGCAGCTTTGACATGTTTCTCACGCGGAGTGATATTACTCAGTGAAAGGCCAAGGATATCAGGGACAGATACTTCAAGTCCACCCCGATTGGCCTGAGAAGATGCTTGAATGGCATTCAAAGAGGTCCCTCCCAGAGACTGGAAGTTATCATGGGGAGATATGCGCTCTACTGGAAGAGACAAGACCGTGGCCCAGATTTGACGCAGAGTAGCCTGATTCTCTGTCAGTATGTCTGCTATGGGCGTCTCCAAGTCTCCATCGACATGTCCAGGGGTATGTCCATTACTGTGGCCATTGGTTTGAGGTTGATGATAGTGATCAGAGGAAAATCGCAACATATGGTCTCTTCCGAGGTTCTCGACGTACTTAGCCAACTTCGGAATGTCAACTTTACCGTTGATGTTGAGCGGAAGCTCCTTCTCCCACAGCCAGTAGGTCGGCATCATATAGGTGGGTATGTGCTTCTTGAGGAGTTCCTTGAGCTCCGAACGCAGCACAGGCCAATTTGGCTCCTCTTTTGGGACTACCACAGCCACCAGTACTCTCTGTTCCTCTATTTTTGCAGAGACAACGCTAGAGGTGTATATTGCGGCATGCGTCTGGATTATGGTGTTGGAGTCACCCGGCTCGACTCGCTGCCCATTAATCTTCACTTGGAAGTCGATCCGACCGACCATTTCGATAGAGCCATCCTCATGCGCAATTACCATATCTCCCGTGCGGTAGAGGCGGCCAGGGCCAAAAGGATTCTGGATAAATGCCTCGGCAGTCTTCTCGGGTCGGTTGATATAATGAACAGCAAGTTGATTACCACCCAGACACAACTCACCCGGAGTGAGCAATGGGGACAGCTTAGTGCTCCCAGGGATGAGAACGAATGCTGTAGTTGTATCACTGGGCCGACCAATGTTCTGTGGATTCTGACCCAGGACCATCTCACGTCGCCAATTTACTTGTGTGTTCTCGCTCAGGCCATATGCGTTGAGCAATTCGACTTCATTCACCCACATGGGAATCAGCGCTGGGTTGATCAGTTCTCCTGCTACAGTCATGCGTCGTAGGCAAGGAACCGTGCCGGGGGTAATTAGGAGTGCAGTGGATGGAGTCACGTCAATGACATTGATCTTCATCTGGTTGATGGTACGACCAATGTGCACTGTAAGATTTTCTTTGCCAGCGAGGCAAAGACAACCACCTTGTTTTAAAGTCGACCACACCGAACGCTGAGCTGCAGAGAAGACAGGATTATGAAAGAGGAGCTGGCGGAGGTTGGGGAGAGTTGGGAAGGCTGAGAGTCCGGATGTGGCCGAGGAGTGCCTCTATTTATAAGCATTAGAACTGTGATCATTAAAAATAAAAGAAGTCTGACTTACATGTAGAACGCCCTTCGGGTTTCCAGTTGAGCCAGATGTATAAATCACGTAAACTGCGTCGCTTGGCTCGCAGAAACGGGCCAGATTTGTGTCTTCGATAAGATGTGAGTTTTCTATGAGATCCTCTATAATCACTTCGTTCGCAAACCGGCCAGCTGAGAGCCGATCCACAATTGTAAATTGCGCCCCGACGTCCTTCTCAATGAACCTATTACGCTCATTGGGTGTCTCTGGGTCAAGCGTGACGTACGCCGCTCCTGTCTTCAAGATCGCCAGTAGGGAGATTACCAAGTTGATGGACCGGTGCAGACAGACGGGCACGAATGACCCCCGGCTAGAGGACAACTGTCTGGCAACCTGATTGGATACACGATTAAGGTGGTCATATGTCAATGGAGGATCCTGTTCGAACTGCGCAGCCGGTGCATCCGGAGTTTTCTCAACTTGGTATTCGAACAGTTTGTGGACGTTGTCCTGAACAGGTTCGGTGAGCGGTTTCCCCATCTCTAGAATGAATGCATGTTCTTCCGGAGATATAAGCTGAACTTCATCTAGTGGTGCTGTGGAATTGGTCACCAGACTCGCAAGAGCTGTTTTAAAATGATCAAGGATTACCCTCATCTTGTCCTCTGGAATTGCAGTATCATGTTGCGCTGAAATCAACACTGAGGGGCCCATCTGAACATTGACGGTAACGGGAAAGCCCCTGTCTCTCAGCTCGGGTGCCTCTCCTTGTTCTGATATTCGGACCTTAAAGTCACAGCGCGCGGAAGGGTGTATTGATTGGATCTCCTTGTGCCCAAGAAATGCGTGAGATGAAGATACGACATTCAGCGAGTTAGTTTGCTGAATCGCTTCAGATACTGAACCGCCGGTATTTAGGTCAAGCTTGAGTGGATATTCCTGGTCTGCAATTCCCACAACTGAGTCATGGCCCTCCACAGTACGATCTCGTCCTTCCACGGTAAACACAATCGTTTCACCACTCCCTTGGCAGTGCTGGGCCAAAGTAATACCAAAGGCCGTATATACCGCGGCTGTGGAATCGGGTAATGCAAGTCTGCTTGAAAGACTATTCAAGTCTGAGGTACGAATGCGGGTAGATGTACTTGACTCGGTGGTCCGAAATACGTGCTGTCGCTCTAGGGGAACACAATGAAGAGAAACTGGTGCAGCATTTTCCAAATTCTGCATCCAGAATTTTCGAGAGTCTTCTCGATTCCGGGAGTTGAGTATTTGTGAATAGCTTGAGAAGGGTAGCCGAGAAATGGAGGCGCCTCCACCCAGCATGGTTAAGAAGTCTTTCCATAGACATACCAGAGAAGTTCGATCCACTAGAGTAGGACGAAGGCAGATATATACCGTTGGGGCACCATTGTCCCATTCAAGCACCAGGGAAGCCCGCTCATGAAGTGGATCAGAATATTGACTCTCGTGGAGAAGTCCTATTCGCACCTGATTCGCCCTCTTAAGAACTCGTTGTCGGAATCGAGGGGGCTTAGTAGTCTCATCCTTGATGAAGATGGTTCGCAAGATATCGTGTTCCTGGGCAAGGGCATGCCACGTCTCCGAGAGATGCTCGTAGCTTCTCACGATGCCGGACGTCAGGTCCAAGCGGATGATGCTTTTGGTGGAAGAGTCCTTCTCGCGCTCGAGGAAACCCTGCTGTGTTGGCGTGCACTCGATCTCTCGTTCAATTTCCAATAAATTGGACACTTCCAGAGCGTCTGTCACTTGTCTGAGTGTGACATGGATTGATAGAGATTGCGTTTTGAGGACATTGAGTCCATTAGGTTCTGACCGGTTTAACTTTGTTGATACGAGCGTCTTCGCCTCCACAAAAGGCAGAAAATCCTGTCCGTTGGTGAACATCGTGTGTTCAATGAACATAGACAGGTCTATGCACAGACAAATTGATTCAGACAGGCATCTGTATAGATCGTCACCTCGATTACTTTACCTTATATCGTCGGGGCCCCCTCCTTGCCCGGCCCTTAGGAGGCGCGACGTCGCGTCACGATCTGTTTCTCATACACCATTTGAGTTACAGCGTCACAAAATCCATCACTGCTCGGTAGGTCCGAAGGGGTATTTCCAGATGGAGTGAAAATGACTGATTATCCAACGATTCGTCACGAGGGAGCCCGAGTGGGACGTAAGACTATGAAACGAAATGGTTGCCTGAAGCAGTAACGTGTTGCGAAAATTGATATTCAATTCTTGCACCATCAGGATCAATTACTCGTATAGTCTTGTGTAGCATCTTCTTTTTCGTCGGCTGTCCTCGGCTGGTGGACCTGGGCTCTATGGTTTTTTGCCTTCTCTAGCCCTTTCCGGCAAGTTGCAGCCACGTTCTTGATGTTCCAAAATGGGTGTAGTATAATTAGAATTTCTGCGCGAAGCATGCATGTCAGCTTCCCTCCGTAATGGCGCGATCCTCCCGTTGTTCCCATCAACGGCCGTCTACTAGCCAATGATCCACGCATCCACATGGTGTGGAACCGTCAGCCATGCGGGGTTATGCCACTCGACGTGATGTAAAATCGCCATGCTCCGCCCCTAGCGATCTGACCTGCGTCGCGGACTCGCAATTGACCTCTCCTGAAGACGACGGAATGTTCCCCGCTTGAACACTAATTTCCTCATCTGGCCGAGCGCTCAGAAAGTACCTGAGTAGTGCTGAATCCTCCTTTTTTGGCTTCTTGGAGAGACGGCGGACTGCTAGATGGGGAAGAACGGCGCCTCGTATTGCGGCCCCACCGTCTGTTTAGCTCGGTTGGCCACGAATTGGCCTAGAATGCCCGTAAAGGGGACTCGTCGTCGAAGTATGGGGTGGTAGACAGGTTGTGGACAGCACATTCTACGGATGTGGATCGCGCTGCGAATCCGGCCGATGATGAGCAATGGAAGACAACTCAATCAGGGAGTTAGTGGAAGGTGAAGCCAAACCAGAAAGAACGAGAAAAGAAATTGGAAAAACCCCCCATTTTTCAAGACGAAAAACATAAATATAGCTGAAAGTATCCGTGGATTTGCTAGAAATCACAATCGACTTGCACAGTATCATAATTCATACACTTCTCCCTCTCGCTTCAAAACAAACCTTCATTCAACCAACATGTTGGGCAGCGTGCTTCCCTTCAGTGAGGAAAATGCGGACCGCGTTAGCGAGTACTGCGAGGAGCGATCGACTCAGATCCCGAACGTCTTGGCCGATCACTGGGACTACACTCGGTCCAAGTTCACCGATGCTGACAAGATGTCTTCGCGCCTGCAGGGAGCATGGATGATCTTCACTGCTCGGGACCGCAAGCCCAAGCGAGGTATGAATGTTAAGTCCAGAAGAACATGGGGACGACCAGTCACTGACAGAAGTAGTCCTTGAGATTGGCACATACAGTGGATATAGTGCTATTGCATGGCACGAAGGCACCAAGGATACCAAAGCTGAGATCGTCACCCTGGAGCTCAGCCCCAAGATGATTGCCGCCTCTCGTGCTGCCTTTAAGAAGTTCAACGTTGAGGATCGCGTGAAGCTGATTGAGGGTCCTGCGGATCAATCGTAGGCCGTATTTGTCTTGAGACACCCGGTAGAGTGCTGGCTAACCAGAGCAGGTTACAAGCCCTGGATGGCGAGTTCGACCTCATCTTCGTTGATGCCAACAAGGACGGATATGCCACGTACGTCCAAACTATCTTGGATAGGAAGCTCCTGTCACCGAACGGAATCATCCTCTGTGATAACGGTAAGCAATTGAAGTTCCTTTAGCGATGCTCCGGATTGCGATCTAACTTAACAGTCTTTGCCCGTGGTCTCTCTGTCGGCCCCGATGTTGCTCCCTGGCTCAACGATCACGTTCGCCCATACTGGCTCAGCTGTGGCCAGGCTCTTGATGAGTTCAACACTCGCCTGGTCGATGACCCCCGTGTCGATGTCCTGATTCTGCCTGTTTTTGACGGCGTGACACAGATTAGATGGAAGGACCCCAGGTCCCGAGATATGCCGAATTAAGGGTGTTGGACTCGGGGAATGACCGTCTTAGATCGTGTGTTGCCAATTGGGTACTAGAGCGAGGTCCATGTAACTAAGCAGCTTGAAAATCCACAATCCTCATTTTCCATCTTAGCTGGATTCGGGCATACCCCCAAGATAGCATGAGTGGCTCGTCCTTGTTAAACTATAAATCCTGTGCATCCCTTTGAGCTAGAGTGCGTGGAACACAGCTCTCACAGATATCATTCAGGGATATAAAGGAATTCAGCATGGCCAAAAGCCTAATCCAATTGTCAAACGCTCATTCCCCCGTTGAAGTTATTGAGCATCCCATTCCATCCATCACCGGTGATGATCAGGTTCTTGTCCAGATGGCAGCATCTCCAGTCAATCGAGTCGACCTCATGACGCTGACGAATCTCTATCCCGTAAAACCACAGTACCATGTTGATGACAAACCCATTCCTGGGTTTGACGGGTGCGGAATCGTGCTTGACTCCTCTTCGCCTGCCTTTAAGAAGGATGACCTTGTTCTTCCTCGCATTCTAGGGCTGGGGACCTGGCGCACACACGCTGTCTGGCCAGCATCATCACTTTTAAAGCTGCCACGTCAAACGCCCCCCTTGTCTGGAGCATTGCTGCGGTCCGGGGCGTTAGTGGCCTGGCTTCTCTGCGAAGAAATTACCCCGCTGACGGCCGGAGACTGGGTCATCCTGTCGGCGGGCACGAGTTCAGTCGCCCAGTTCTTTATCCAGTTTGCCCGGTTAAAAAGAGTCAATACCATCCTCGTGGTCCGCGACAGGGCCAATATCGAAGAGACACGAGGGAAGCTGCTGTCCCTGGGAGCATCCTTGGTTCTCGCCGAGTCAGAATTGGCCCAAGCGACCGAGGAGACCCTCCCAGGGAAAGTAAAGCTGGCTCTGGATTCTGTGTTTGGTCAAGTCGGAGAGGACCTGGCTAGAGTGCTGTCTCCGGGAGGAAAGTTCGTGTTGGTTGGAATGCTAGCAGGGCCCAAGGCGAATATCTCCGTGACCACCGGCCACCTTTTCTACAAACAACTTTCCTTTCTCCCATTCCGTAGCTCGGAGATTCTCAAAAGTATGGGCGATGAGCGGGCTACTGCACTCATTCAACACGTTGCGACCCTCCTGGCTGGTGGCAGTGTGCAGTTGCCAGAACTTCATTGTGTCTCCTGGAATTCAATCAGTGATGAAGAGTCGAAGAAGGCCCTGGAAGCAGCACAGAGTAAAGAGGTTGGATATAAGAAGACAGTCTGGCTATTTTAGTCTGAGTTACTATAGACTGTGGAGGGAGGGGAACGGGAGGGCAACTGAATCTATTATCAGCACAATATTATCTGCATCTTACTAAAACCATTATATTGAGTGTCACCAGTCTATCACATGCATTAAAGCCACTAACACCCACTTGCTTTCCCCTCTCGGCATACCTGAATAGAGAAATATCCTGGGTATGCAGATATCACATTTTGTCTCTCACATTGGTATCTGCCAAATATACTTTCTCCCAACCTCCCCAAGCCCATACCAAAGAATAGAGAGAGATTGACAGAAAAACAAAGTCTGCTTAAGTTGAAATATACAGATTTAGTCAAACTCACTATGCTGCGATAGCCACAGCATCTTTGAATAGTTTCCGTTGCTAGAGTTCAACGTTAGTAAAAGCCGCAGTATCGAGCCAGGATGAATGGCACTCACAGTGAAAGAAACCGAAACCACCAAGCTCACGGCTGCCCCTACATACACAGGGATGAATACCTTCTGCAAAGCACTCACGATTACGGCAATGCAGCTCGTTCGCAACTCCTCTGGCAGGGAACGGAAGTAAGCGCCGCTGGTGCCCGAGATCGCCAGCTGTAGCTCAGAGCGAGACACGTCGGGAAGTAGGACCATGAGATTGCTGACAGCTTCGTTAATGAATACAGCACCGGCAATGGCCAGGCCGAAAGCAATGCCACCTAATTGTCCTGTTTACGGGTCAGCGGAACTCAGCTTATTTCATTCCCGGCTTGGGATGCCCTACCAAGCATCATGTAGCTAATACCATAAGCCATCTCGGCGGGGGGTACGACGGCTTGAATCACAGCATAGCCGGCCTGGATGAAACAGCCAGTTCCTATTCCTAGAATGACCTCAAATCCGTAGATATTCGCTTCGGGGGTATCGGGTTGAATGCGCGCTACACCAGGTTAGAATTGATGAATTCGTCGGGGAAAGAATATTGCACCGCCTGGAACTTACATAGCAAAACGCCACCGATAAGAGTCATAATACTGCCAAAGATATACCACGGTTGGAAGTAGCTGAAGCGAGACATGAGATGTCCATTGGCGAGAATAGAGGCGCTGAGCAAGAAGATTAGTGGCAACAAGCGAACAGCAGCCTTGATTGCGCTGTCCCCCCTTGTGAACTGGAAATACAAGGGTATGTAGTAGATGGGAATAAAACCGGCGGTGTTTACAGCTGCGGCACAGATAAAGAGGAAGACAGCATTGATGTTGCGCAGAAATTGGCAAGGGAAAATGCGATTGCTCAGGCTGGTGAAGATGGTCATGCCTTGCTGTATACCAAGTATGATGAACAGGACGCCCGACACGACAAATAGAGCGATGATCTGTCCGCTGTTCCATTCGTAGAGGGCACCGCCGAAGTTGATTGCCATAATCAGGGTGATTATGGCACCGATGCTGAGAATTGTTCCCACCAGGTCAAATTCCCGCAGCAGCGTTGAAATCTTGGTTCCGGCACGCGGTTTGAAGGACGGAAGGAGGAAGAAGTAGATAGGAGCGAAAAGACCGGATACGCAAAGGTTGATGTAGAACGCCCAACGCCATGTTGCCGACGATTCCACGAAAGCACCGCCAACCACAGGGCCCAGAACGGTTCCAATTCCCCAAACGAGACCTCTACAGCAACTGTCAGTATGCGGTAACAAAGTTGCTGGTCCTTGCTGAGGTTCACCTACACAAAGCTTAGATATCCTGGTCGCTCACGGTCGGAGGTGTTGACGGAAAGCAGAGTCATGACACCAAGATACATGCCATTGCCTCCCATCCCAGCCAGGACGCGCCCGACGATGAGAGCATCCATGCTAGGCGCGGCACCGCAGACTGCAGAGCCAATGTTGAAGACGGCAGACGAAATGATGTAGAGCCATTTAGCATCGAACAGACCGTAGAATTTTCCGAACGGAAGGACGACTGCAGAGCCACCGAGCAGGAATCTGTGATCACAATAAGCGGCGGCCTTGATTCTTGAGGAGAAATCTAGGGTCATACCCAACAGAAAGCCAGGGAAGCTTGACGACATCGCCAAACCGATTCACGGCAGTCTATAGTCCGGTTAGCTACCGCCCATCTGAATTACAGCTGGACATTCCTACCGGGGTGATGTCGGCCACTACTGTATTGTCTAGGGAGTACAGGAAGATGCTCGACAGAGTACTGATCACGACCAGAAACCACTGCGAGTTGTCAGCAACCTCGTGCGAGGTGAATGCTCCTCATTATATCTCACCAAAACTCCATGAATATTCCGAGGCGATGCATCTGGGTCGGCGGCTACATCGGCCTGTTTTTCCTCTCCCTGCGGATTTCCTTCCAAACTCGATAGCTGATGGTGATCATCGATGGGATCCGTCTCCTGAGGCTTTTCGAGGGATGAGGGTGTGGACGACATCGCGAATCGTAGTCGGTGGGAATCCCAATGTCTGGTCACCAAGAACAATATCTTGCAGTCTCAAAGCAATAAGTATAAGCTATGTAGCTGCAGCGAAGAGACGGACGCAAGAGCTATAAACCCAGCTACAGCTTAGAAATCAGAGCAGCTGAGTAATGTCAGGGGAATGCGTTGGTTTGCTTTCTTCTCTTCTCAAACAGTAGCATCTCTCTTCTGCATGAGCTTTGCTTTGTTTCCAAATCATGACTCGTTTACTGTCCATTGTGTAGGGGTGATTCTCGGGAAGTTCCCAAATAGGAAGTTCGCCGAGCCTCACTCAAGACGGACGCAGCAGAACATTAGCGCCTCCATCTCCCCCCAACCACAACGCGAATCACGAAGAACTGCCATGACTCTGAGAGCTCTGGTAATGAATTTGGTAATGGGATGTAGGAGATGTGAAAGAAGTTGACAATTTTATATAAATACACAAATATATATATCTATGCTTGGGTGAATTCCTAGTAGAGAGACACTATTACTGTCCCGATTCCCGCACGGAGGCCAAACATACGGCGCTCAGCAGGGTTGTTGCCACTCTTTTCTCGCCTTGTAAGGCTGAGGCTTGATGCATCTGGAAATCATCACGCCACTGGTCCACTGAGCAGATTCTGAACGGACTTCCTCAAGTGAAGCATTCATGGCTTGCAGATGGGGGATCTACGGTGGGTTCAAATACGGTTTAATGACAATGGTCAACACGGCTGCTTACGCGTGGTGCAGATAGTCAGATAACCAAGATAACGTTGAAAGTCCATCTATGTAGCGGTTATAAGTTATAGCTCTTCAGCTGCCTGTCACCACCTGCTTCAGATGTTCCTCCAAGCCCGGGATCTCCCCGTCAAGATCGATCCGCAATCCCTTGGTAATGCGCGCAATAAGTACATAAACCCCAAGCACCACATACACCTCGACGAGCTCCTCCACACTCAGAAGTTGTTTAGCTTGATTGACGGTGTCCTCCTCATTGTTGTACGTTGCAAGCTGCTCGTCAACTAGTTTGAGGATGACTCGATCGCGGGGAGTGAAGATCGGCTCGGCCTCCACGCCTTCCTCACCCCGCCCAGCCGATCGCTTGAGAGCGTCTAGTTTCTCCTCCGCCATGCCGTTAATGCGAGCTACGGGGGCATTCACATCCCATTCGTATTCCGCGTCTAGCACCGCCGAGATTCGGAGTACCACTAGTTGCCAGTCTAGGAGGGGAAGGATGCGCGTATTGCCGTTAAAGAATGCTGCGTAGACACCCATGAGACGCGGAAATGAGCCATGTGAGTGGCCGAGGAGGTGGAAAATGTTGCGCCGGTATGGGAGGTGGGTGATGGCCGCAGCCACTTCCTGGGGAGCATTTTCCAGCTCGATATAGGGAACGAGGCACTTTTGCGGATCGGTCATACTGACTCAGGGATCGGACAGCGAGAGAGAGATGATGCTAAACCCGGCATCTTGAGTGAGGCCTTTTGTAAGCTCCATGGTGGACAGCTCTCGGCGGGAGAGTATCCAAACGGTGCTTTCTACATAGGCCGCGATGGCTCGAGGCGGGTCCCGTTTGAGAGGGTTCGCACTTAATCGGGACTATGAGCACCTGAAAGGCAGTGGACACCTTGATCAGGACGACAAACCCGCTAGCACGTGAGTTGCTGCATCCCTTCTTGGGAATTTCCGTTTTGGGCCACCCCGAGCTGTCGCCCTGTAAGCAGGTCGATTTGTCAGCTGCTATTGAAACTGCCAAAAGTACGACTATGTTAAAGTAGTGGAAATCCATAGTAGACTAGCGGACTGGCGGCCAATTACCAAATAGGGAGCTGCATTGCTCAGCAACGCGATTCCCAATCAGGCAATGAGTTGCTCTTGTCGCCCAGACTCCCGAAATGGGAGACGCCCAGCGCTGCCAGTTGAGACTCCGCAATCTTCCCCGCACAAAAGGAGCAGCACTGGACACGGCATGCCGCCGTGCCACCTTATTCTGCCTCTCGGCCCGAGGCGAAAACAGGCTTGGATATGACATGACACCACTAGTCGAGTGGACCATGCACTATGAGGAGGGGAAGAGGAGTACCTAATTCAGACATGCCTCGTTGGATCATCAACCGCAGGCGACCGATCTCTGTGGCAGGGACCAGAAGGGCTGGCAAGAGGAGGCCAGATGGTGACGGTCGAAAGTCAAAAGGATGGCGACTTCGCCCATTTTATGGAGCGACACAAGTTCCAAGTGGGAGACTAAATAAAACTGGATTTCTTCTATTCGTATTGTTGATTGATTTGGTGTATATTCGTATTTCCAACGCAAAGAGAGACTTGAAGCTAGAGACGCGCACAAGCTTGATCCTCGGCCCACGAAACCAAGATGAGCTCGACCCCAGAAACAAGTATCCTGGCCGAAGGAGCCCTGGGGGCCTGGCGATATGTCCAGCTGCACCCATGGTGGACCGCTCTCGCCGTCCTAGTCACTCAGTTAGTGTTGACACGCTATCGAGATGGCTTGCGACAGATTCCCGGCCCGTTTGTGGCGAGTTTCTCGAATCTGTGGAAGCTGCGGGCAGTCTGGAATCAGAACATGCACCGGGAGAACGTGCGTGTCCACGAGGATTATGGCCCCATCGTGAGAATTGGGCCCAACCACGTTTCGGTAGCGGATGCTCAGAGCATGCGCGCGATTTACGGTGTCCAAAATGTGTTTCGAAAGGTACATCGCTGGAGTTCCCGTCAGTATGGGATTCAGCTGACCAACTGATCCTCTCTTTAGTCCGCATTCTACCCCCTCGCGGAAGCCATCTACCGTGGCCGATTCCTGCCGACGCTGTTCACCACAGAGAGCAATGAGTATCATATGAGACTCAAGCGCGGAGCCGTCAAGGCATTCTCTATGGATACCGTGGCGGGATTGGAGCCATACGTCGACAAGTGTATCGCCGTGCTCATCACTCGGTTGCGGGAGGTCACGCAGAACGGCAAGACACCAGTCAGTCCTGTGGCATGGCTCCAGTACTTTGCCTTTGACGTGCTGGGGGAAATCAACTTCTCCAAGGACCTCGGCTTTCTGGAAAAGGGCGTGGATGTCGACAATATCATTGCCGCGATTGGTGGCATTCTCACCTACGTCTCACTGGTGAGTACGCTGGCGTTGAGCTCCGTGACATGTTGGGGAGCGATGACTGAATCGTGGTAGATTGGGCAAATCCCATTGGCACATAAATTCCTCCTGGGAAATCCACTGTTACCGAAGCTGTTCCCCGCCATCGAGAAAACGAACCAAGTGCTGCAGTTCTCCTTGGCCCAGGTGGAGGAACGACAAAAGAACCCGGTAGAGCGCAAGGATCTCCTCAATCGGCTTCTAGATACGCATCGCACGGATCCCAATTCCTTGACTGTCGATGAAATCATTGCCATTACCACCACGAACGTGTGGGTTTTGCCCTCTTTCTCCCCCACCCTCACTCCCATTGGTATAGATGAGAATACAACGCAGCTTGGTTTCTGACCCCGTGTGAAATAGTATTGCCGGATCCGACACGACAGCAATCTCTCTTGCCTCCGTCTTGTATCATTTGAGCAAGTACCCCGAGACCCGAAAGAGACTGGAGACGGAGATTCAACAGGCCATTGACGAAGGACGAGCTTCAAACCCAATCACCTATGCCGAAGCTGTCGAACTTCCGTACCTGTAGGCTTTGTCCCTGCCTGAATTCCGGCGCCCTTCTGGTATTTGTTTTTTTAATGCCCATGCTAACTTCCACCATCAAGAACGGCCGTTATCAATGAGGCTATGAGAATTCATCCGGCAACGGGATTCATTCTCGAGAGACGTGTTCCTGCCGGTGGTATCACGCTTCACGGAGCCCATCTCCCAGAAAACACAGTCGTAGGAGTGAATTCATGGGCAATCCACCGGAACAAAGAGATCTTCGGCGAGGATGTGCATTCTTTCCGCCCCGAGAGATGGACCGAAGGCGACGAGGAGGCGATCAAGGAGATGAAGCGCAATTTGTTTACCGTGAGTAACTCTCCATCCCCGATGAATTCTCTTTTGCTTTATGGCTCTTGTACGGCACTGGGAGCTGACCAGAGAGATCAACAGTTCGGATATGGCCCTCGAAGCTGCATTGGCAAGAATATTTCCATCTTGGAGATGTGGAAGGTGATTTTCGAGCTGTATCGCCACTTTGACATTGATCTGGCGACCGATCAGGAGTGGACTGTGAATGGGACCTGGTTTACCACCCAGAGTCAGATTGAAGTCTATTTCAAACCCAAGGTTTGAAGTACCAAATATTACGAAAGATAATGGATGAAAGACAATGATGCACATGCATGTCAGTCTAGGTGTTTTCCAACATACAGATAGATGTACTGTCCGGATAGCAAGCCAGGATCTAAGATAGCCACTGCGCTGTTCCGTGGTGACTAGGGCAGAAGACAGACATAAGATAAAAAGGCACAAGAACGAACGGTAGACACAACAGAGGTACGTTGGTTTTTTTGGGGGGGGAAACCACATTAAAACGGGGTCATCACATCATAAATACGGATCTATCCAGACATCTATGGATGGCTAACAGCGAAAAGCTGCAAAACCGCCTGTAAGGAATTATCAATATCAGACGCAGCGCGGCCCAGCCGGATGATCATCGATTTGATCTTGGCCTGGCGGGCTTCGCTGCCGGTGATCTGGCTGGCGTTGCCGACGCGCATCAGCAGCGCCCGGAAATTCCTCACCTGCAGTTTTAAGAGCACACGGATCATGTGTACCTGCTCCTCTGTAGAGTACATGGCGGGGAAGTCCGCTGAAAATAACTCGGGGTTACAGTTGGCCTTGCCGGCCGCGACATGCGAGGACGTGCAGTATAGTTCACCCGATCGTTCCGTCGAAGATAGCGAGTCCGAGCTGGCCGAGGTTGACTGGTCACTAAAATCAGTGAGCCCCGAGATCCGCTGGTTGGCCTTTTTGATGCGCTTGTGGATGCACTCGAACATCTCGGTCAGGCGATCACAGATGATTACCAGGACGGTATGCACGGTGGGGAGAAACTTGCACGTCACACAGTCCAGGGGTTTGTAGCACTGGGAGATGATCCACTTCTGGAGCTGCAGCACTTGGCCCAGCGACAGCGTCGTGATATGGAAGTCGTCGTCGTCTAGCTGCTGCACCACGCGGACAGCGTTGTGCATGCAGGAACACCCGTCGCTTTTGGCTCCGGGGCCTGTGGAATCTGTTGCAGGATCCACCACGGGATCCGCCGGCGGTGCGCGGGGATTGGAATTGGGGAAATCCTCCATCCATAGATCGCGAATGACGGGTTCCGCCGCTGGCTCGTTGCGGGCCATCAGGGGGTCGAGCGCGAAGGCGCCTGATACATTGGGTCTGGGTCTGGACCCCGGGGGAAGTGTTGGAGATTTCTGAGTCGTATCGAGCACTAATTGTGTGTTTTTGCTTTCGTTAGCCGAGTGATTGACAGCCGCGGAGGACGCCGGTCCCTCACTGTATGTCCATCGATGGAGGTCGAGCCGGGTCGGTCCCGCCCCATATTGCTGATCATCCGGATTGGAAGAGTCGTACGAGTCAGCGGTTCGCGAGTTCAACCCGTTGGCCAAATTGGCCGTCTTGAGCTGAGTTGTTGACCCGCTGAGCTCCTCGATGTCCATCAGCAGATGCGACATTTCGCTATCCCAGTCCACTGCCGGGGGGTTAGCGCTTGCCCTGTCTGTCAGCGGAGACGGCAACATACTGTCGAACAAGGCCTCCCTCTGCGATGCAGGGGTTCGCATCTGGCTGGGCGCGTGGGGGTCCACCGCCTGCGGAGGACTGGGAGACTTGGAGAGAGCGGGTGGCTCTGGCACGGAGCCGGTTGCGCGGATCGCGGGCGGGCCGCGTCTTTGACTGGTCCGTGAAGTTGTACTGGAGATGGACCCGTTGTGATTGTGGGCGGCATGGCTCAGGGTCTCGGTGGAGGGAAACACGCAGGCGATCAATTTGGCCCGGCATCTGTCGCAGCCGCCTATGCGGCCCGTACATCGCAACTGCAGGGCGAAGGGAGTAGTGAGTAGAGAAATGTCGAGACGATGGAGAACCGATGTCAAACGTCGGTTCTCCATCCTGGGATCCGTTCACCATCTCAGATCTCGGGAGCGCTCACCTTGCGTGACTGACACTGTACACACGCTGGCCGTCGTCCCAGCCGCAACCGACTTGGCTCCTGTCCCGGACTGGCCCCGCGCGACGCGACCTGCTCCATCTCCGTATCACCATCACCACTGGGACATTTCAGCGTAATGAACATGGTGGGGGATTCGGGGATCGCAGGCGGGGAGCAGGCGGGGGAGATCTTCGAGGCAGCAGGACGCAGAACCAACAGATCCAACAGATCCAATAACTGGGAGAGTATACCCACTGCCTTTTGGTCTCTTTCGAGTAGTAATCATCGTGAGCCGCATGAAGCGGGGGACAGGGGATTTTGCCTTTCTTTTCTCTCCTCTTTCTTCAGATGAACAAGATGGAACCCAATCGGCGGGTGGCGTAATGCAACTTCGCTTACGGTTCTCGCATGATCGGGGCGGATCTGCCGATTGGATACGAGAAAGACAACACCACGGATCCTCCCAACGGTTCCCCCTTGTCTGACATTCTCCCCGTCGCTGTGAATCCTTTGGACGATCCTGGCCGGAAGGATGGATGGACACTGTCTAGCCCCAAAGCTTAACGCGGGAGCCCAACGGTGCGCCAGGTGTGTGGCTGCCGCCGCTGAGGAGCTGAGAGAAAGCTGGCGCATCAATGCTGCGATGGGAGGGGAGGAGAAGGCGAAGTGGGAAGACGAAGCAGCAGAGAAAAACTGCGGGACGAGACCAAAACAAAGAAAAAGACAGCCAGTCAATCGCCAAATGGGGAATTTGACGGGGAAAAGACGCCGTAGAAGAAGCCTTTACCCGCTCACGTAGACGATGAGCAACCACCACCGCCGGCTCTCCTTTTCCTCTCCTCTTCTCTTCCGTGACTCCTCCATGGAGATGCGAGTGACCAATATACAGTCCTAGCTGCATTGATGGTCTCTTTGCAGAAATCGGCCGGGAACGCACGATGACCAACCAGCCCCCCTCCCTGCCCGGCGACGGCCTCCAGGATGGTACCATTATCAATAGTCTGTACTAATGGCATGCACATCGCTCCTGCTTCACGGGCTGGTGCCGGGGAATCTCCAATTCAGGACAACCGTGATATTTGGATTCGCCCTGATGGTTCGCGCCTAGCTCCATATAGACCAAGCCGATCACACCATCGAAACCTGGTCAATGGCTGGGCGGCACACTAACCTCCTATATCGTGCCCCGCTGCGGGAATACCCCCGGTAGATCACTCACATAACCCACATTATACGAGGATGCAGATCTTTCTCGCGCTGCCCGAGGTTCGTCCTTTGGGGAGGCAAGAGGGGAGCGAGGGTAAGGGAAAGAGGAAACCATGAAGAATGCCCCGATCGCAGGGCTGAGAGTGAGGTCTAGAGCTCCCAAACGCGTCTGCAACCCTCCTGGCCTGAAATTCATTCCTTCTGATACCACTGACTCCACAAAGTTGCGTTGTACGCGGGGTCGGTTACCCCACCCGAGTCACAACCCAATCCGACACTATGACAGGACGTTTCCTAGCACCTGCGATTCCTCTCAAGGTGGTCTCCCACTGATCGAGAGGGTGTCTGGGCCACTTGGATTCACAAGATGCTTTATTTTGTAGAGATATTTAAAATGATACCATCCAGAAACCTAAACCCATACTCTTTGGAAAGGGCCACTGACTGGCAGGGGTGTTCTCAGTTAACTACTAAGCTAAGATCGGGACTCAATCTAGAAGGGACGAGGTACGAAGAGTATAGGAGTATAGGAGTATAGGAGAATCAACAACTCAATTGGGAAGAGACTCCCAATTTAGGATGATAGGATTTCCTTCGGATTGTGATATTATAAATGATAAGAATGGTAAGGATATCAGGTTGAATCGAAACACGGCGAAGAACTTGGTTCCCTCGAGGCCAAATTGAACAAGGAACGAGCGACGAGGAGAGAATCACCAAAGGGAAAAGCGGACTCAGACGGTGCCTGAAATGTTGGGGTCTTGAAGAAGAGGTCGAGGTTGAACCATACCGGGAAAGGGGAACCGATTGCGTGGCTCGATCCGCACCCTGCCTGTGCTCCATGTTTCGCGATCGATATATATAAATGGGCGTGGTTCCGCAGAGCGCAAACTTATAGGAGAGAAAACAACACAGGAATGTCATGACTAAGTGGAATGCGATCAAGGACTTCGGATAATCTGATATTCTACTACTATCACACACATGTTATGCCATATCTAAATGATCAAAACTCTATGCGCCATGTCTTGCCAATTCCAACGCTCGGGCTTTTGACAACGGCGTAGGGTGCCTTGCCACCCTTCTGCTCGTAGTACTCCAACGAGGCAGTGGAACCAGTCTTAGCCCCATCCTCAATGACGGTCACGGTGCGCTTACCTTTCCACGAGGCCGGAGGATCGACGATGATCAGGCGCTCTACAGTAACGCCAGCCATGGTCTTAAAGTAGTCGGCGGTCTTGGGCCCCTTCGTGCCGATATTCTCAGACGACAGCACCGAATCACGGTACTGGAAGCGGCGGTGAATGTACCCCCCGCGCTCATAGTCAAAGGTCTCGCCGTCGTCAATGTAGAGAGAGCCTTCGGCTTCGCCATTCTTATCGAGGGTCACGACTAAGGTGAAGGGATCCCATCGCATGAGAGCACTGCTGCGGCGAGGACGATCCCGACGAGGAAGGATGTGGCCACCCTGCATCAGAAGGGGAATCTTGTCTTCGGGAGCAGGGACGGTGTGTCGCTTGCCAGCACCATGATAGACGGTGAAATCAAAGTAGTCGTAGTATTTCTCATCGTCCGCGATATAGATGTCCGTGGTGAAGGTATTTTCCGAGACCACAGGCTTGGCAAGAAGACCAGTGTTGCCGAGGTATAATTGATCGTCAATAGCGAAGCCAGCCTCATCATCAGGGAAGACATAGTACTGGGGCCGCACAATCGGTGTACCATTGACTGAGGCCTCGTGGAAAGCGGTGTACCACGCAGGAAGAAGCTGATATCTCAGGCGGATAGCCTGGGAAATGATGGTGCGCTGGGGTTCACTGATCAGATACGGCTCGCGACGGCGAGTATCGATGTGGGCGTGAGCGCGGAAGAAAGGATACCAAATACCGGCTTGGTACCAGCGGGCCAAAAGTTCTTTGTCAGGGTTGTGGAAGAAACCACCAACATCGGCGCCAGCAAAGGGGAAGCCAGCAATGCCGTTGTTCAAAACCATAGGCAGCGAAGCAGCCAAGTGACCCCAAGTGGCTTGGTTATCTCCAGTCCACATAGCAGACATGCGCTGTGCTCCTGCATAGTAGGAACGGGTCAGGATGAAAGGTCGGCGCACCTCGCCCTTCTTGCGTTCAAGCAGAGCTTGGTAGGTAGCATTGACCAAGGTGATGCCATTCACATTGTGAACATCCCGGTGTTCCCAGTTGCCGTGGTGGATGTTGTCCTTGGGCATGGTGGTTTCCGGGCCGTTGAAAACAGAGGGTTCATTCATGTCGTTCCAGACGAACAGGTTGGACATCGAGCCCTTGAACTTGTCGTATTTATGGAGACTGTTCCACCATGAAAAAGCAGCCGGGTTAAAGCAGTCGACCCAGTGAGATGACCCAGGCCAGCACCATCCGTCATATACATCACCATCCTTATTCTGAACTGCAAGACCATTCTTATTCAGCTCCTGAGAAACAAAGTAGTTGTCCTTGTTTTTGATATGAGGATCAATAAGAACGACAAGTTTACGCTCAGACTCGTCAAGCTTCTCCTGCATTCCCTTCGGGTTGGGGAAGGTAAGCGGATCCCAAGTGAAGTACTTTCGATCGTCTGTGTATTCCAGATCAAGCCATATCACATCATAGGGAATCTGGTACTTGTCAAACTTAGCATCCACCTCCTTCACATCCTCGTCGGTGACATAGTTCCAGCGGCACTGGTGATACGCGATGGCGAAGTGCTGAGGCAATTGGGTGTAACCGGTAAGCTGACCATAGGTCTTGCTAAGATCCTGGGGAGTAGGACCAAGGAAGATGAAGAGATCAAGTCGACCAGCTTCCGAGAACCAGTGAGTTTGGGTATCAGTCTTCGACTTGGCGCTCATTGAGAGAGGGTTAGAAGATCCGCTCTTCTTAACAATATCAACCCAGGTTTCGGCAGCATTGAGCCAGAAGACGCCGACGGTAGAGCCTTTGCGGTGAGCTTGCATAAACGGAATGGATCCATATAATGTCATAGGGCTATCGAGCTCATACTCGAAGACGTCGGAGTTATACATCCGATAGGGGTTTTCATGGTTGCCAGGACCACCTCTAAACCCATTATTAGCCGGTACACGACCGAGGGCGATGGGGGTGAAGTTTAAAGGGTTCTTACCGAGTCTCCTTGAGTGACATAGAGTCTGCATGCTCGGGAATGCCGAAAACGTGATTATAGCCTGGGAAGGTGATATCCAGTCCAACGCTTTCGGGGCCACGAGGTTTGGAGTCGGTGTTTCCACCAAAAGACTCTTCCCACCAGGTGCTCTCATCTTCTTCAGACTCTCCCTCCTTGCCCTCGACCTTGGGTCGCCAGTGTTCCATATTTAAGAAGCCTTGGTTGTTCAATTGCACATGGGTTTGGCCATCTCTCTGGAACTCGACCTCAAAGGGAGCGTGGCGGATAATTGCCTCATATTTATCCTCGGGCCCATACAGAACCTTGGTGAAACCAGTCTCGGTTTGAGCGTCTAGAGTACTCAACTTGCTCAAGTCCAAGCCACCAACAATGACCCATTTTTCGGTTTCATCGTATCGCTTCTTGTTTACCTTGCTGCCATGTCGGATCTCAATGTCGCCCTTCATGCGCTTCTCCTCGTCGACTACCACACGGGCAGCACCCGACTCCAAGAAGGATACTGTGAGGGGTAGACGGATTTTCTCTTTGGTAGCTGTAGTTTTGATCAGGACACCAGTCAATTGACCGTCCTTGAAGTGGATAGTGGCGGGGTCAAGCTCGTAGGGGGAGTTCCACGCCGCGCCTTTGGTGGAGGCATCATCTGCGAGGGCTCGGTTTCGTTTGCAGAATCCAGATTGATCGCATGTTTTGAAATTCTCATGTTTGACAGCCACTACAAAGAGCCGATAAGTCAGTGATACTTTGCGAGAAGCCTTGTGAGCCTTGGGGAGGCAAGAGGTCAAGGGATCTCACATCCAGGAATCACAATGCATGCGATAAGGACAACCAAGGAGAGCAATAGCGTCCAACGGGACGCAGGCCGACTCCTGGCCATCATGAAGAGAATTAAAGACAATCAGAGAGCCTCAATCTCTGACCGGAAGCTTGGGAAGGTGTTAGATGTGGACCAGCATCCGGAGGGCGGTACACCTGTCAACAGGCAAGCTCCAGGCTGGCCTGACGGTGGAGAGCTGGGGTAAGACACCTTAGGCAATAAGGCAATCAGGCCACAAGGCCACAAGGCTGTTAACTATTTCCGTCCAAGCCACTTGGCGCCTGAGGCCACGGGTCACTGCTGCCCCACCAATCGCGGGCAAAAAAAGGCTCGCAGGTATTTATTCTCCTCCCTCCCCTCCTTGCTCCCTCTGCATCCTTCCACTTGCTGATCCTCAGATCTTCAATCCCAATCCATCAAAATGTCCGACGAGCAGACGTAAGTCCTCCATGCTATCCTCAATGCTTTCACATTTCGTTTCCCTCCATACATAGCTGTCATTGGCACACTCACCTTACCTCCCCTCATCTCTCTCTGGCGGTGAAGCTGATCAATTGCTGCAGTTTCATTGCCATCAAGCCCGATGGTGTCCAGGTACGAGAACACTAGGTCCCTGAAGCCGAATACTAGCCGCCTTATCGGCCCTACCATCAATTGATGGCCAATGGCTAACCCAACCTTTCCAGCGTGGTCTCGTTGGTCCCATCATCTCTCGCTTCGAGAACCGTGGCTACAAGCTCGTTGCCATGAAGCTGTGCCAGCCCGGCCAGGACCACCTCGAGAAGCACTACGCCGACCTCGCCGGCAAGGGTTTCTTCAAGGGCCTCATCTCCTGTGAGTTTCCGCCTCATCCGACCAGTCTTTTCTCCCGCGCGCGACCTAACTCCATTGCTAGACATGCTGAGCGGCCCCATCTGCGCCATGGTCTGGGAGGGCAAGGATGCCGTCAAGACCGGCCGTACCCTTCTGGGTGCCACCAACCCCCTGGCCTCTGCCCCCGGTACCATCCGCGGTGACTTCGCTATCGATGTCGGCCGCAACGTCTGCCACGGCTCTGACAGCGTCGAGAACGCCAAGAAGGAGATCGCCCTCTGGTTCACCCCCACCGAGGTCCTGAAGTGGAAGAACACTCAGGCCCAGTGGGTCTACGAGTAAATGGCTCGTCCCATGACGCTTGTGCATAACGAGTGCCTGCCCTCAGCTGCTTGCGGTATAGAATTGCAATAGTTTACAGAGAGAGAAGGCCCCCGGCATTGCAAAATCAATATACAATCATATGAATTATGAGAACTCGTGTCTCTGGTATCAGGAATGGTAGTCTACAATGCTGTTTTCAGCTCTTTCCCAGCAGTTTCCTCGCGCCGCGGGCGACGGGAGTCAGTATGGTCCTCGCAAACCACGGCGTGGCCCAGACACTGGTTGCCAGCCGCACCGGTAGCAAGGCTTTGGTAATTGCATAGGCTGTCGCGAATTCCAGCACCAGTCGTACTCCTGCTCCTTCCTTGTGTCCCCCTTGCGACACTCCGATCATCTCATGCTCGGCCACAATTGTGACGTCGGACTCGTCGACCCAGCCCTTCTTTCTTAGCCAGCGCCCAAACCGCTTAACCCCCTCGTCGAAGGCATTGCCTTCCCCAGATTCCGACGAGAGATCGGGCATCCAACCTCCGTAGTGAAAGGCCGCTACCAAGCCAAACAGCGGCACCACGGCAGTGATTTCGTGGAGGATTAAGAAAGAGGTGACATGGGTCACAGGGGCTCCCAATAACGGGGTAGTATAGCTTTGGAGGAAGCGAGGTAGGCGGTCATTGAATCGGCGCAACCGGGATTGAGCATCTGTAGAAGCTGTTTGCGCTGGCCGTGGAGGCTGCGAGGGAGTCGAGAGGTTTCGCCGTGACAGCGGGCCGGCCTGGTGAGTTGCTTGGGCGCGAAGTCGGCGAAAAACGGCCGGGAAACTCGACGGACGATGGGCAAACATGGCGTGAAGGGCGAGTATGGGAACAATCGGGCGTCAACGGCGTTTTGCAAGTGGGGAAATCATGCCTTGCTTTGGCAATCCCGCGCGGTCTTCCCTGTCGTGTTCCGCAACAGGCTGAATTGGGAAGCTTGGACACCACGATCTCTCGGGTCGCGCTGAGTAATCCCCGTTCTGGAATTTGAACAACGTTCAAGCTTCAAGTGACTGGTAGTCCATTATGAAAGGCCGAGCAAAAATTGACTCGCTTAAACAGGTAGAATTGTCGTCTCGTCTAGAATTGCCCCGAGTATAGGGCGTAGATCGGCACTGTGGCGGGCTGGCCGCCATCGGCAGCCGTCGACATCAGATTTCCCGGGTGCAGCCTGAGTCCTGAATCGGAGATCCATGATGGTCCACTTCAAAACCAAGACTGCGTTTTCTCTCTCCGCAACCCTCTCCCCTCCCCATTGCCATCGGCCATACAGTTTGCAATGGAGAAGATCACAGAGAAGATCGCGGCTCTGCCGCCCGACGCGAATTACTTCTCGCTGGAGTTTTTCCCTCCCAAGACCCGGATGGTGGGGTTACCCCGCTAGGACATCCCTCATGACGAGAAGAACGGCAACGGCTAACCAGCGGGTTTATATAGGGCTTTGCAAACCTGTCTGCGCGTCTGGAGCGGATGGCTCAGGCCCTGCGCCCCTTGTTCGTAACGGTGACTTGGGGTGCAGGCGGAAGCACCGCGGCCCGTTCCCTCGAGCTGGCAGAGGTCTGCCAGCGCCAGTTGCAGTTGACGACCGTGTTGCATCTGACATGCACCAACATGAGCCGCGCATTGGTGGATATGGCCCTGGAGGAGGCGAAGGTATTGGGCATCCGCAACATCCTGGCTCTTCGTGGAGATCCACCCCGCAGCGAGGAATATAATATGCATGGCGAAGATGACAGCAACAAGGACTTCACTTTTGCCGTGGATCTGGTCCGATACATCCGCAAGCAACACGGTGATTACTTCTGTATTGGTGTCGCCGCATATCCGGAGGGCCACCCGGCCGATTCCTTCCAGGATGTCCAGGATCCCGCCCGTGACCTCCCCTATCTGGTTGAGAAGACCGTTGCGGGGGCGGACTTCATCATGACCCAGCTCACATACGATCTGGAAGCCTACACTAAATTCGAAACCATGCTTCGGAATCACGAGTCTGGAGCCTTCAAGACCATTCCCATCATCCCAGGCCTGATGCCCATCCACAGCTACAAGATTCTCACCCGCGTGACAAAGCTCAGCCATGTGAAGATCCCAGAGCCGATTGCCAAGAAGATGGAGGAATTGAAGCATGACGATGACGCTGTGAAGCGTGCTGGTGTGGACATCGTCAGCGAAATCGCCGGAGGCATTAAGGAGCTGAAGTGCCCGGGTCCTCGTGGTTTCCATTTCTATACCTTGAACTTAGAAAAGACAGTCTCGTTCATCCTCGAGAGATGTGACCTCATCCCTCCTTCCACGGACATTCAGGATGATTCGGCTATTGATGACTTTGATGGCCCCGTCCCCATTGGCGTTCGATCATTGGCAAGGCGCCGCGCCTCCTCGATCAACTCGCAGCCGCACAACCGCGTAATTGTGGACAAGCTCTCCGCCAAAGAATCATCGCAGGACTCTGTCCATGAAGCACTCGCCAACAGTGTTGGTTTACCTGCCATGACGCCAAACCGTGGCACCACCCTCCAGATTTCTGAGGGTCTCGGGTCTCTTGGCAGAGAGGCGACATGGGATGACTTTCCCAACGGCCGTTGGGGTGATGCTCGCTCCCCAGCATTCGGCGAGATTGATGGATATGGCCCGTCTCTCCACGTCACATCTGCTGTTGCCCGTCGTCTGTGGGGCCACCCTGTCGAGCAGTCTGACATTAACACTCTCTTCCGCCGACTTGTTACCGGAGATCTGTATATGGTCCCCTGGTCCGAAGGTGGTGCCGAGGAAGGCACCGCTGGCTTGAACGCAGAGACAGATCTTATTCGCCCTGAATTGCTCAAGCTCATCGACGGCCGCGGCTGGTGGACCCTGGCCTCTCAGCCCGCAGTCAACGGTGTCCGTAGCGATGACCCAATCTTTGGCTGGGGCCCGCAGCGGGAAGGCTTTGTCTTCCAAAAGCCCTTCGTGGAGTTTTTCTGCTCCAACAAAGACTACACAACAATCCTGAAGCCTTTGTTTGAGAAGCACGGCCATGACAAGCTAACATGGTTCGCCACTAACATCACCGGCGCCTTCGAGTCTTCGCTCCCTGCACAGCCCGCAGACGTTGACCTCGATGACCTCAGCTCCAACCCCGAGAGCGTCAACGCTGTGACCTGGGGTGTCTTCCGTGGCAAGGAAATCGTGACACCCACCATCATCGAAGAAGTTAGCTTCCGCGCCTGGGGCGAGGAGGCCTTCCGTATCTGGGACGAATGGCGCCGCATCTACCCCCGTGGCTCGCCCACAGAGCGCTTCCTCGACTCTACCAAGAATGACGCCTGGCTAGTCTGTGTTGTGGGTCAGCAATTCGGCGCAGGCACCCCGCGGGGTAGCAAGGAGGAAGAAGACGAGGTCAAATGGATGTGGCGAGTGCTAGCGGGTGAGATTGAGTAGAACTCAACGCACACTTACTTCTACCTGATATATACCCAAACCTCGCTTTTTTTTACTCTCTATTTTTGATTTCGGCAGTGATGGTTGTGTTTTTTTCTCTCCTGAGGAATATTGGAAAAGTGAATAATGGTATCATGAGCGGTTGGATCCTGTACAGTACTTTCAAGCTTGTGCAAGATGGAATGATTATGAATTTAAACCAACATTATTTCCTCGGTGGGCTATCTGTCCAATGCTTCTGTCCAATGCTGAAAAGTGTCGCTATGTGAAAGTAGTCTTTCGACGAGGCTCTCGTATACATGCTTCCAAATCACCCAATATACGCCAGGTTGCAGGATATTCAATTCTTCCAAGATCTCTCCAAGCACTCACCAGGTCAAGAATTATATGATCTCTCAACCAACCGTGAAAATCACGCCTTCTCGGCAAATCCATGCTTCTCGAGCCCTTCTGCGTCGGTGTCGGGCGTGGCGATGGAAGACTGAGATTCCACGAATTTCTTTTGAACATCGTCAAGCCGACCGTAAATTTTCGGCATACGTCGAGGTTGATTAGGGCCTGCGGCGGGCAGCTGGTGACCACGAAGTCTGTCTGTTGTTAGGATATAACATCTTTTTAGAGCGAGGTAAAGCTTACCTAGGGCCTTCGCCTGTCGTCTCGGGCAGCATGGCCACATAAGCACGACCAAATGCCTGGACATCTGCCTCAAAAGTACCGCGTTGGATGCTATCTCGAACACCTGCAAAGAAGAGATCCATCACATGGTGGTTATGAATTTGGAGCAGCGCCCATGCAGCCATCTCCTTGGCAGCCAGGAGGTGGTTTAAGTAAGCGCGGTGATGATTCCGGCATGCATAACACTCGCAGCCCTCACTGAGGGGCACGGCATCTTTCTTATATTCCGGAGACCACAGGTCAATGCCCAATTGCTGGGGCTCGCCGCGCTCGTGAACCGAAGACGGGGCAGGGAAAGTGAAATCCAATGCGATTCCAGCATCCGAGGACTTCCCCATGAAGGGAACTGTCACAAGATCCGCGCCCAGGGTAACGTCACGTAGAACATCGTGGGGGCTAGACGGTTCACTGAGTACTAAACGAGGCAGGTCGCCCACAGACTCTGGGATGAAGGTCAAGGAGGCCGACTCGTAAAGAGCCAGTCCAGAAAGGCGATCGCGAAATTCACTTGCGAGGTCGTCTAGGTATAGCGATTGTTGCGTATTGTCTAGTGGGAGCACCGGCGCGAAATACGCAGCCTTTGACTTCTCTCCCTCTGCCACAGAGGCGCCGTACAATTTGTCCAGCGCATCACGAGTGTACGCATGGGTGCGATCCACCATCTTTCCTCGTCTCTTGACGCCTGGCGGGGCTCCGAGCACTAGATCTGCCAGGCCAATGATAATATCTGGCTTTAGCTTTAGGACTGCATCCAGATACTGATGTGCTTCGAGTTGTCGAAACCCGACTGAGGTCATGATCGAGATGGAGGTTTCGGTATTTGTTGTCGGACACGGGATCGAGGGGAACCGGCGTGCACCAAAGATCAATGGCATATCGTCTGGAGCACAGATGAATTTTCGTAAGGGCGATTCCTGTCCTGAGACAGGGGTACTATACAATGGGGCTGGGTGATTCCTTTCGATGACTGTCCTAAGCCCCGGAGGGCGTGTCGCATGTCAGGTTCAATGATCCCAGGTTGGCTGCCATCGCAGTAGTAAATTGTCTGGTAGGTGACACATACAATCTTCTAGACCGATATGTAGACTATTGATCGTAGTCTCTTTGCGCAACACATCGTGCGCAACATGCGGCACAGCACCCCGCGATGTGAGTGGGACGTAGTGCGGCGTGGATATCGAATTGCGGCCAACAAGGGCCAATTTGCCTACCCGCGGTGCCAGCACTGATGCTGTGCTGCTCAGGACGCTAAAGGCCATGTCGTGGGGCAGGGAGGGCTCAGTGTCCATGGTGATGGTGATTATTGCAAGGCCATGATGTGGTGCGTGTGATCTTTCGATCTTATCGGGGCCGGCAGAAAAAAGTGTCACCGATTAAACAAGGGACCCCATCATGTCTCTTCCCCTCTAAAACCAACCTCCACCTCGACCTTGCGACATTACACGAGATCCAGTATTCCAGATATTTCTTGGAAATTTCTTGGAGATTTTTTTCTTTAACTTTTGTCTGTGCTTCATTGATCCTTTGCTTTTGCCGTTCAAACAACCCACCAGAATGACATTCCCGTCGGAGCAAGTACCGACGCGACGCGGAGCGCTCATTGTCGTCGAGGGCCTCGACCGCGCTGGCAAATCGAGCCAGTGCGAGATGCTACAAAACTATCTCGCCGAACAAGGGCATACAGTGAAATACATTCGGTTTCCAGGTACAAGCGAACTATTTCCTGGGTATCGATGCCATTGGGTCTAATTTATGCTCTAGATAGGACCACGCCCATTGGGAAGCTCATAGATAGCTATCTACGTGGCTCTGCCAATCAAGACGACCACTCCATCCACCTCCTTTTCTCCGCGAACCGCTGGGAGATTGCCAAGAGTATCGAACAAGATATTGCCAGCGGCATCACTGTCATCGTGGACCGCTATTCATATTCAGGTGCCGTGTACTCGGCCGCCAAAGCCAACCCCACGCTCTCGCTGGAATGGGCGTGGCAGCCAGAGATCGGGCTACCCCAGCCCGATATCTGCTTGTTTCTCCGCATTTCGGCTGAGGTGGCTGCGAAGCGGGGAGGCTTCGGCGCGGAGAGGTATGAGAATGAGGCGATGCAAACTCGCGTGCGAGAACTGTTCCACTCGCTCTTTGACCGCCAAAAAGATGTGCGTGTGATCGATGCAGGCAGATCAATCGAGGAGGTATCAAAGGATATACAGGTTCTTGTTTCTGGTTGCGTGGCGCGATTGGACGTCATTGGGCCCTTGCGCACACTTGGGCAGCTTGCCAATTAGTCAAGAGGCAGTTGAGTTCATAGCTATAATATAACGCCGAGTCCTGGTGACTTGTGAATCATTCAATGAGTTCTGCATCATCCCATTCGCTGTCCTCGATTACGATCTCCAGTCTGGGCGGCGTCGAGGGGGACCGAATTGGCGGATGGACCCCATGTTCCGAGTCCGATTCCAGGTCTATGGCTTCATGCCAATTGTCGTCCAATAACGGGTCTTCTCGGACCAAAGGAGACATGGCATGCTCGGTAAGTCCTGATGGACCGCCCTGTGTAGGTTCAACTGAAGTCTGGCGGGTAGAGACCGCATTTCTCTTGCTGGAATTGCTCGTATTGTTGGTTTTGACAGAAGATACAGCTCCTGTTTCCTTGCGCTCACGCCGTTCCTTCTTGCGCAGGATGGCCCGGCATTCCTTTTGTGCTCGATTGCGGACACTAAGTTCTTGCATCATTAGTGGCCATGAGACGTACTTTTCGCATGTTGGACAAACTCCTCCCGCGGGGACAAGACAGTTCAAGTCGTTGGTTGCTTTGAGGAATCTGGCCGAAAGACACAATAGATGGTTGGTGCCCTGACAACGCGATTGAGGACATACAACGATCTGCTCCGCTGTTGGAATGACTGGAGCCTTGCAGACTTGGCACCGTAGGTCTTCAGGGTCATCTAAAAGAAACATGGACTTCTCTAGATAGTCTTCTAGCTTTGCATAGTCGAGTGGAAGTTGGTTGATACTTCCGACTGCCATAGTTGTATCACTCTGTTTCGGGCAATCTCCATCTAAAATGATCTTGGTCTCGGGGAGAGGTACGTCGACTCGGTCATTCCAGACCCTCCAGACGCGATTGACATCGGCGCGAAAGAAACGTATTCGTAGAGGCCAGCTCACGAAATAAGTTGATCGCAGCAGCGAATGCACATCCTCGAGATGCGCCTTCAGCGACCTCCTGGAGCGGGACTTTGGTTTCCCCGTCCGTGAACTTGAGAGAGGATCGGAGTGCGCTTCTACGTCGTTCCAATCCAGATGTCGTGACTGATCTGGATTTTGCCAAGCCCATCTGGCGAGAATAGAGGTGAGTAAATATGTCAAGGGTTCATATCCAATTCCGGGCACGCGACTTACTCGAACTGTAGGGCCCCGACTCGACTGGTAAAGCCCTCAACGACGAGAACCATTTCCCATGGCCGCAAATTGTCGCGCGACGTCCGTTTGGCCCCACCTTTGGCGCCTCCATTGTGCTGCGACAATCGTCTGATTGGGTTTGGCGTAGAGCCGATATAGAGCGAAGCGTGCCGGACAGTCGACCGGAGCAAATAGCAGCAGTAATAAGCCGGAATGGGCTTCGGCTCCTCCTGACCATCCATGCTTGACGATTGCCCTCTGTCTCTTCGGGCAAAACAATCCACGACGCTTTTCCAGCCCGGAATTATATCGGCGTGATTGGCAGGGTGGGCGCACCCATGTCCGTTTACTTTCTCGCATGGGCCCACCGCGTCCAAACAACATCACATGACGTAGGGTCCTTGGACCAGACGAAAAAATTCAGGGATCCATGGATTGCCAGGGTCTCGGACTGATATAAGTTCCAATTTGCATCAAATTATCCAATGCGATATTTTTTTTGCAATGGTCTGAGACGTCGAACCGCAGTCCTCCCGGGATGGGTTGAAGTTGACTTGGGATGACGACTCGAGACTAGGTCCCCATCCTCGGCAGATCTCGTCGATCTAGTTTGATACGACGTCGCCCCAATCCGCAGCGCAGTCCTTTTTCTTTCCCCCCTCTCGGGGAGTGGGAATTCATGGCGATGACCCAACGGAAGGAGTATTGAGCGATCATATCGAGGTTCTCCTGGATAGGAGAGGAGACATGTGATTTTTGATCCACGATCGTCGTTGATAGATTCCGTCTCCTGCTTGATTTGTATCCTTTTGATTGACCCGACCGCAAGGTATAGTGTGTTTGAGTATAAAGCCCAAATATGCCCAAATAGGCCCATCGATGATTATATAGGGGATAGAAGTAGATATTTTAGTTTTCTTTTGTTTTGGTCTTCCTTTTTCAATTGCGCGATGCAATTTGTTTTTGACTTTCGCACGGGAATGCATAAGGGATCTGTCACACAAGTCGCAACAGGATTACATAGTTGCTCCACAGGCCCAAGGCCCAAGGACCTAGCAAAATATGCAGCAATCAACATTCAACTCGCGAGCGCCCAACGCAACATCACACTACAAGGACCATTTCAGGGCCAGCCTGCATAGACCTCATAGGTACCAGGGGCAACCTTTTCTGGCCCTGTCCTGATGGCACGATGGAGGGACGTGAATCGTGATGCTGAGCCCCGTTTGCGGCGGCCAAAATTCGGTGACGGTATAATTACCACATATATTACATATACGTGGAGTCGGTCAGGCACCGAGACCTTTCGGTCTCCAATCTTCCCATGCTAGAACCACACCTCAAATACAATACGATACCATACCGTATCTTCCGCTTCCACTTGGGTCCCAGCAGGCCAAGTGAAATGTGGGCGATTGTTGGTTTTCAGTTTCCCCTATGCATCATAAGTAGTGTAATCTATCACCTACACAACAAATTGAAAAGAGCGGGGCTTATGAAGAAAGCAAAATCAAGTTCCTTGGAAGTTCCTCGGACGCGAACGGACCCCCAAAACTGCTCCCTCAGTCCACCTCTCCGGGTACAAGGGCATCGGAATACACGATACAGGAGCCCCCGGTAGGTCCCGTACGTCCCGTACGGGACGTACCCGGAGTAATGGCAACGGCCACGACTGGACGCTCTACTTCGTCCTCTGCACATAATCTCAGTTTCTCTCCACTATCAATTCCCAATCCTTCTTTCCTCTCGTCCTGCTCTTTTCCCCCCCCCCCATCCCCCCCCAATACCCCCCATACCACGTCAACCACTTATCCCCCACTCTCTTTTTTTTTCTTTCGCCCTTCTGACTCTTTCACCTACGTTTCATCAGTTTCTCCTACAGGAACTGGCTCATCTTATCTCCACTGGGGGAAGGACTTCTTACCTGGATCTTGCAGGACCGCACCAAACCCGCCCTTGTTCTCCAAACCCGTCGCCTTTCACACCTGCCCTCGTATCCTTCCAATGCGCCCGTCGCACGGCCTGCGACCTTGACTCTAGTACCCGATCGGTCGCGCGCAGGTCGCATTCTTCTCTCCAACTTATATCCAACAACTGTCGGCGATGGTGGCTCCGGCCTCGACCGCTGCGGCGAACTCGATGGCTGGTCAACCACCCATAGGCCGTCTGCCTACCCGCACCGCGAGCACGCACCCGTCGCATTCCCACAATGTTCCCTTGAGCGCTCGGAGATCAGCGCCCCTGGACCTGTCAACGGTTGAGCGGCGCGGTCAACCCAATGCTCCTCGCGAGCCGAGCAAGCGCGTGCGCCCGCATGGCTTGCCCGAAGCCCCGACCTTTCGTCCAACCGAGGAAGAGTTCAAGGATCCTGTGGCCTATATTCAGAAGATTGCACCGGAAGGCAAGAAATATGGAATCTGTCGAGTGATCCCTCCGGAAAACTGGCAGCCTCCCTTCGCCATTGATACAGAGGTAGATTTTCCTTGCCCACATTATCTGCTTGATGGGTGACGGCCAGCCCAAGGGAGCAAGTGTATTGCAGCGAATCTCGCTCACTGCACTATACCCCGCCGCTGTGTCGCCTTTCCTGCCGCCACTTGCTAGGGGCTCGTCGCTAACCTTTGGGATGTGCCCTCGTGTGTATACAGCGATTTCACTTCAAGACCCGTCGACAAGAACTCAATTCGGTCGAAGGAGGTATGGCCCCGCGTACAGCCGATGTTGCTGCCGGTGGAACCTCTCCGCATGGCGGTTCTAACCCGGACTCTAACCCAGGAAACCGCGCCAACATGAATTACATCGACGGGCTCGCCATGTTTCATAAACAACACGGGACGAATTACAGTCGTCTGCCCAGCGTTGACAAGCGCCCTTTGGACCTCTACAAGCTAAAGAAAGCGGTGGAGGTTCGGGGTGGTTTTGAATCGGTCTGCAAAACCAAGAAATGGGCTGAGATTGGTCGTGACCTTGGCTATAGTGGAAAGATCATGTCCTCCCTGTCAACCTCCCTCAAAAACTCGTACCAGCGTTACCTCCAGCCCTACGAGGAATATCTTGCTCGGGCAAAGCCTGGCGTTCAACAGCAACTGGAGTTGGAGCAGGGTGGTCCGTATACGCCGTCCCCTCGCCAGTCGCCTATGACCAAGAAGCCCACCCTCGAGGAAAATGGCACACCTTCGAAATCCCGTGATGAAACTCCGGCCATGCGTATGCCACCTGCTGCGAGCACGCCCATAATCGAAAAGTCCCGTGACCAAATTGCTCCATCAGTGGAGCCAACACCACCACCATTACCACGCCCAGCACCATCAGGATTCACCCCAGTCAATGCCGCCGCCGCCGGTTTCACAGCCGTCAATCACTCGCCCGCATTTACACCAGTGAATAGCGCGCCTGCCATCAAGCATGAAGGAGAGAATGGTGTTTCGACCCCCAAGAGTTTGGCTGATCATCCCTCTCATTCTACGCCTGTACCCAACGGTCAACCCGGACAACCTGTGAAGCGTGCTATCAGCCACGACAGTGGCTCTCAAGCTGACAATGGTGACGATGGCGGAAGTGGGCGACGAAGCAAGCGGCTCAAGAAAGGTATTATTCACTTAATTTTCGCTAATCGATGAGTGACTTTTAGTACGATCGATCTAACCCACCATTCTTAGATGGCGCCCCACCGACTGTGGCTGGCTCACACATGACTCTCCTCCGCCCTGCGCCGCCGAAGGCCCGCAAGGACGCTGTGGAGAGAACCGGAGATGTAAGTTTGATAGTGGAGGCTTCGGAAATCGAACATGGTGCTAATATACCACAGAAATGTGAAGTATGTGCGAAATCGGACAATCGTTCGTCCATTCTCGTTTGTGACAGCTGCGAGCTTGGCTACCACACAACCTGCCTTGATCCATCGACTTCGGCTCCTTCAGATCATGATTGGCACTGTCCCAAATGTCTGGTTGGCACCGGCGAATTTGGTTTCGAGGACGGTGGTGTATACTCTCTGAAGCAGTTCCAAGAAAAGGCCAACGAGTTCAAAAAGCGCTATTTCGCTTCGAAGATGCCATTTGACCCGGTTCTCAATACTCACCGACGCGAGACCGAGGATGACGTGGAGGCCGAATTTTGGAAATTGGTGGTAGACCTGCACGAGACTGTTGAAGTAGAGTATGGGGCCGATATCCACTCAACCACCCATGGCAGTGGCTTCCCCACCATTGAGCGCAACCCCCTTGACTCGTATTCGTCTGACCCGTGGAACTTGAACGTTCTTCCATTCTTTGGCGATTCGCTCTTCCGTCATATCAAGTCCGATATTTCCGGCATGACTGTGCCCTGGGTTTATGTTGGCATGTGTTTCTCTACTTTCTGCTGGCATAACGAAGATCATTATGCCTATTCGGCCAACTACCAGCATTTTGGTGCTACCAAAACCTGGTATGGCATTCCTGGTGCTGATGCAGAAGCATTTGAGTCCGCAATGAGAGAAGCAGTTCCTGAGCTGTTCGAAGGCCAGCCGGATCTCCTCTTTCAACTTGTTACCCTGATGCCCCCCGACAAGCTCCGCAAGGCCGGGGTCAATGTTTACGCAGTAGACCAGCGCGCTGGTCAGTTTGTGCTTACATTCCCTCAGGCTTATCACGCAGGCTTCAACCATGGCTTCAACTTCAACGAGGCCGTCAATTTTGCGCCCGCAGACTGGGAGCCATGGGGAGCCGCAGGGGTGGAGCGACTTCAGACCTTCCGCCGGCATCCATGCTTTTCCCATGATGAGCTGTTATTTACTGCCGCAGCCCGGGATACCTCTATCACGACAGCTAAATGGCTTGCGCCTGCTCTTGAGCGAACCTGCAATAGGGAAATTGCCGATCGAGCTACATTCCTAGCTAAACATCAGGAGGCTGCACCTCACCATTGCAGCATTGGCGCTGAAACCCCAACAGGAAATTGTCAACTCAAGTTCATAGTAGAGGAGGAAGATCTTCCGGAGGATGACTATCAATGTCAACACTGCAAAGCCTACACTTACCTCACCCAGTTCCGTTGCCACAAGTCAGGAAAGACCCTTTGTCTCCTGCATGCTGACATTTACGACTGCTGTGGTGAGTCCGTATCTCAAAAGCTTGGGGGATCCGGTCATACCTTGCGCTACCGGGCAAGTGACGACGAGCTCAAGTCGATGGTCCAAAGGGTTCAAGAACGATCCAGGATTCCGGAAATTTGGGGAGAGAAGCTCGACAAGACCTTGGAGGATGAGCCCAAGCCCCAGCTCAAGGCTCTCCACAACTTGCTCAGTGAAGGTGAGAAAATCCCATACCACCTACCTGGCCTCCAAGATCTTGCCGCCTTCGTCCAGCGTTGCGATAAATGGGTTGAGGAGGCGAACAACTACATTACCCGGAAGCAGCAGAACCGCAGAAAAAACGAGAAAGCCTGGCGCAAGACCGGTTCCAAGGCGGCGCAGCTGGACGATCGCGACCGGGAAGTTCGAAGAGTGGATCATATCTACGCCCTACTAGCAGAGGCTGATAAACTTTCCTTCGACTGTCCACAGATGGCCGCCCTGGAAGAGAAGACCCGCGAGATCGAGAAATTCCGCCAGGACGTTAACGCTGCCCTGATGAACCCGCATGTTCGCACAAGCCAGGAGATTGAAGAACTTGTTGAAAATGGTCGAAACTTCAATGTGGAGATACCGGAAGTGGAACACCTGGAACGCATCCATCGGCAAATGAAATGGACCGAAGACGCTTCTCGCAAACGGGACCAGTATCTTACACTCAAGGATTGCCAGGAACTCGTGGCCGCTGGAGAACAACTTGGTTTGAGCGACGACAACCAGCATCTTGCTCACTTCAAAGAATTTTCTCGACACGGTGAAGCTTGGGAAGCCAAGGCCAAGGAACTTATGTCCGTGGAAGCTGTTCACTACCAGCAACTTGAGGCACTCTCTGCCCAAGCCTCTCGATTCCCCGTTTCTCCGGAGACCCTCGGTGCCGTTGATGCTATTTTGACCAAGCAACGGGAGGCTCAAAAGCGAATCCAAACTCTTTATGACAAGAGCAAGGACCCTGATTTGCGTAATCGACCGAAGTACAAAGATGTCCGGGAGCTCACAGAGTCTTTGGAGCAGCTTAACAGTCGGCCTATTGGGGCAATTGACCTGGAACGTGAGCAAAAGCGACACGAGGACTGGATGAGAAAGGGCAAGAAACTCTTCGGCAAAGCTAATGCTCCATTGCATATTCTAAAATCACATATGGAGTATGTCGAGAAACGTAACTCATACTGCTTTGATTTGGAAGACAGCTACCGCCCCCTGTGGAACCTTCATCGCGGGATAACTCTCCGGACGGGCTCCTGGAGAACCCCACCACCAATGTGTGGGGCCCGAAATCAGGGAAGCGCGATGTGTTCTGCATTTGTCGGCGTTCGGAGGCAGGGATGATGATTGAATGTGAAGTCTGTCATGAATGGTAAGTCCTTATTCTTGGTGTCATTCTTATCCCACCCCAACTCCATGAGGATGAAGCCGGCTCTAACATTGTACAGGTACCATGGCAAGTGTTTGAAGATTGCTCGCGGCAAAGTCAAGGAATTTGACAAATATACTTGTCCTATCTGCGACTGGCGCCAGAAGATTCCTCGTGACGCTGCCCGACCCAAGCTAGAAGATCTTCAAGACTGGCAAGCCGAAATTGCCGGCCTCCCTTTCCAGCCAGATGAGGAAGAGGTCTTAGATAGAATTGTCGGTCAAGCTACGGCCTTCCGCGATTTCCTGCACGGGTTTACCAACGCTGCGTGCACCACCACGGAGGAGGTGCCCACTTTGATCTTCTATTTGCGCAAGATTGAGGGCGCCGAGGTTCTTCTAGCCTACGAGACCAACTTCTTCCGACAGGAGATTCACAAATGGGCGCCTGTTGCACCCGAACCACCACCAATTCTGGAACAGTCCCTGTCGACTCGCAAGCCGCGGCCAACGAAGCAGCAGAAGATTATGGCTCAACTTGGCGTGGATCGCCCCGAGGACCTTCCCGAGCATCTTCGTTCCAAGCACATCACTACAAGCAAACGAAAATCAGTGGATATTTCTATAACTCGCCCTACGTCCCTGCAGCCCGTGCCGCCAACTCCAACCAACAACGCGCCCACCAGTGCCGGGCCCACGCTGACTCCGATGTCTGACTCCAACCCTGCATCCTACCCTTTCTCTGCCAACTATTCGCTTCCTGCGAGTGATCCTACCCCAGCATTTGCGCCTACCTCCTCTTCCGCCTTCCTACCTGCCGCCGCCGCTTCCCAGTCTCCTTCATTCCTCCCTCGATCTCCCACTCCTCAGCAGAGTATTGAACCTTCTCTCTTCAGCCCGCCTCGCTTCGGCCGTGATCCTCCATTCGCCAGCAGTAGCCCTCGTCAAAACCTCGAAGATGTGTTTGCGGACCTCACGAATCAGGAAGATGCCGAGCCCGACGCGGAGCCCATGGAGAATCTTCACGCGACGGAGGCCCTGGAGGCTCTCAATGCTAGCAACGGCAGTAGCCGGGCACCGTCGCCACAGGATGAGCCAGCCCCGGGCGGTAATACGCAGAATGCCAGCACAATTGTAGGCGAGACCGAGAATCCTGAGTCGGAGCTTTGACCTCCCCCTTCTTCCCTGTATTGCTTACTGTGAAGTGATGTCTGGAATATGTTTTCTTGTTTTTCCTTTGTTTTTCTACCTAACATGGTCGAACTCTCTTCTCTTTTTTTTTCTCGAAGATCATTTATTTTCCTTGTTCAGTATGCTCTCCAATCTGGGTTGATTCTTGATTCTTGTCAACGGTGTACTACAAGGGAAACAGGGCGCGGCCAATGAGTCTGCGGAGTTTTTATCTCTTTTTCTTGTGTCCAGCGGGTTCCCTCTATTCTTCACTTCTTGTGTGTTGTGTTTTCTAGTTTTTATTCTCGATGCCTGTTCCGGCTATGTTCGTGATGACTGAGGCAGACTGGATTTGATTCGATCTTCGTCTCCCTCGTGCTGTTTGCCCACCATTGACGCCGTGTAATACTAGTTGAATGCAGCCGCTATTGCGGGCAATCCATGACCTCTACTATTATTTGATTTTTGTTGTTCCATCTTTCCTGCTCAGATGCTCGACCCTAGATCCGATCTACGTATGCTGCCATCGCCGCCTGTCCCCCGGTGTGGATGAACAAGACATTGACCTGATTCAAGCCCAGCTGCTGAGCATATTGTCGGATTTTGTCTTCGGCCATCCAAGTCCGCAATCCCTGCACCACCTTCGCCGTATAGACCGGGTCCAACACCACGCCATCGCGCTGTGCCATCGCCCGCAATGCATCCTCCGAACCCCCCTCGACAATTCCATACGCCTCACCCACAAACCGGTCCTCCAAACACACATCCGCCGTCGTGACATCCCCCTCCGCTAGCCCAATCATCGTCCCCGCCTGCCGCGCGAAGGCCAGCACGCGCGCCTCATGCCATTCACGCCTCTGCGTCGGCGAATTAATGACGCCCACCACCTTCCGCCCGATCTCCCGACGCGTCTTCTCCAGTAGCTTAAACCCAGCCACCAGTCCACCGACCGTACTGCCACTCCCACACGCCACAAACACCACATCGAACCGCCCACTCCCGCCCAGTTGCATCTCCGCCTCCTGCGCCGCGATCTCTATCGCCCCCCGCGCGTACCCCAGCCCGCCTCGCACATGTCGGCTCGCGCCCCCGGGAATCCAATATGGCCGTTCCCCGCGCCCCGCCAGCTCGTCCAGCACGCGGCCCGCGTCGCCGTCCTCGCTCTCGAGTACGTCCACCTCGGCGCCCAGAAGCCGGAGGATCTGCGCGTTGCCCGCGTGTGCGAAGAGAGCGGGCTCGCGGCTCGCACGGTACCCGCCGCCCGTGTCTTTGTTTAGCAGAACGAGCGCTTTGAGGCGCAGATGCGCGGCGAGCGCGGCGACTTGCACGGTGTGGTTGCTTTGCAAGGCACCTTCAGTGACGAGGGTGGTTGCGGGGCCGCGGAGAGGCGGGGGCGGGGTGGAGTCTAGAGCTTCGTGGTAGTGGTGAACTGGGGCCGGGGAAAGAATGTCGGGCACGATGTATTCAAGTTTGCGGTATTTGTTGCCAGCACAGGCGAGAGGGGCGGATTGGTCTTCGCGTTTGGCGTAGAGGTTGATTCGTGGGTGGTCGGGGTGGTGAGAGGGCGGATTAGGGAGGAAATTGGGGAGCGGGTGGATGGGCGATGGGTGAGGGTAGAGGATTGGGTGGCGTGGGATTTGGGCGAAGGGTGCAGGGAGTGTAAATGTAGTAGGCGGTTGGTGAGAATTGGAGAGATGGCTATAAGCCCTGCCTGGCCATATGGAAGTGGGATGTTTGTGCATTGTTGGCGCCGAGGTTGTTATGCTTGTCCTTGTGCTTGTTCTTGTAGGAGAGGAGGGAGTTGAAGGAGTGCAAGTCGATAAAGTATAGAGACTCGAAAAATTTGGTTGTGAAGGTCTTTTGTGTAAAATTCAGAGTGCTATGAGCACATTCGTCGACTACTTTGTTGCGAGTTTGAGGTGTGTGCGGAGGACAGTAGTCTTGGACAAGGTTTGGTGCCGGATGATGTCTCTCAAATGGCGATGAAAGATAAAGAACTCAAGCTGTACTCTCGTTACAGAAGATGTCGCCAGGAAGGATCACGACGGTTTGAATAGGTGTAGGATTGTCCGAGCTGATGGCCTTCGTAATCGCAATGTCCATTAGTCACCAGGCATTGAGCTTGCCAGTGCGAGAGAGTGGAGAAGCTAGAGTGAACAAGCCGGACTTTACCTTTTCATACCGGGGCAGGATGACTCTTTGGGCTGGAACATCCTCCAAGAACTACTTATACACCTTTGAGGCCCTCAGAAAATTTGGGATGGAAGAGGAGGATGTAGTAATACTACCTACCGTAGACACTGCTGGACCTTCGATACATAGGCGACTGGGGTCAAGGAACTGTACTTCGATGGAGCAAGCGAGGCAGGAAGAAGATACAGGAATACAACGTGATTGGAAGAGAGTTATCTAAGCTCCAGTGAGCTAAACTAAATTGGGAACCGAATCACCTTTTCTATCCAATTGCCCAAACATCAAGTTAGGGTTGGTAGGACCTTGAGAATGTCCTGATCAGACGATTCGAAATTACATTTCGTGTCTGTCGAGCCACTAGCGGAAAATGGATCATGATTGAGTTCGAAGCAAGGGGACACTGCGCTGTTTGATAGGTCCGATTCGCAAACAGTACGGAGTACAATACCTACAGTAGGACGGAGTTAGTAGCGCTACGTAACCGAGGGTCCCCCTCCCCCCACTGAGGTCTGGGGCACCCTCAATATTCTCAATGACCACATGCAAATGTGCATGGTAATTATTCGTTTTACTACGCTAAGCTATAGACACAATGCTTGCCGTGATTCTCCTTTTCATTGTGGTGGCCGTTCTTTACTGGTTCCGACCCGCCAGGATGGGTGCGGCGCGCGCTACACGGCCCGCGTGTGACGTCGAAAAACAGCCGCAACTCGACCTTCGATCCGAACCCTCCCCAACCACCATGACACTCCTCCAATTCCTGCGGCAGGCCCGCCAGGTACACTTACAATTTCTTGCGGGCACGCTGTCCGAGCCCCCTATCTACGTACTGGGCAATCCCTCCGCCGATCTCGACTCCATCATCTCGGCCATCGTGTACTCTTACTGTGCCTCCAACCGTCTCCCCACCACCACGCCCCGTCCCCATGTGCCACTCCTCAATCTCCCCAATGTGCCCGCTGGCTCCGAACTATACCGTCTACGCCCCGAGTTCGCGACGGCCCTATGGCTGTCGACCAATTTCCCCGCAGTCCGCCCCGAGGAGCGCTTCGAGTATACATCCGAGTCCGCTGGCAAGCTCCTGCGGGACCATCTCGTCACGGTGGCGGACTTTGCACAGAGTCTGAAAGAGTCTACGGCACGCTCAAGTCTGCTATTTGATGCGGTCATGGTCGATTGGAACGCGATGCAATCCCGAGTCGACGGGAAGCGAGGATATGGATCCATCGCCGGCTTGGAGGAAGTGACTTTCCGTACAGTGGGATGCATCGATCACCATGTCGACGAAGACTTCATGCCACGTCCCGAGGAAATCCCTGCTGGTCAGCCAATGATTGTCCTGCCCGGGCCGGGGTCTTGTTCGTCGCTCGTAACGAGTGAAATGCACAAACGCGCCTTTTGGCCCTCTGGCAAGGACTCCGCTCTGGCGATCGCACAGGTTGCCAAGCTTATCTTGGCTCCAGTTCTCGTCGATACTTCCAATCTTACGTCTGAGGACAAAGTGAAGGATGTCGATATCTGGGCGGTCGATTTTCTTCGGCATAAGGTCGATTCTGCACAGCACAATGACGCCAAGTGGGACATGGTGATGTTCTATGAAAAGGTGCTGGAGGCAAAGAAGAACAGTCTGGACTTGTTAACGCTGGAAGAAGTCCTAGATCGTGACTACAAAGACTGGACGGAGACGGCCCAGTCATCTGGACAAACCGTCAAGCTTGGCTTTTGCTCGTCGGTTAAGCCGATCCGCTGGATCATCCAGAAAGCCGGTGGGCCCCAACAATTTTTGGATGGCGTACGTCAATTTGCGGCCCGGGAAGATAAACAGCTGGATGTGGTGGTTGTGATGGCTTCGTTCACCTCGACCGAAGACGAGCATGCTCGCGAATTGTTTATCTGCGCCGATGGCGACTCGGGCGTGGCGGTCGACGGTATCAAGGCATTTGTCAATGACTCTTCTTCGTTGGGTCTTGTTGAGTGGATGCACTTAGATGGCGAGTGCGTGGATTTGGCTGACGAAGCGATTCGGTCCACCCTGAATGGGGCCTCGGGCGTCTGGAGACACATCTGGGTCCAGACAAATGCAAGTGCTAGTCGAAAGCTAGTCGCTCCGATGCTACGGGAAGCTGTTGCCAAATTATAGAATCTAGAATCCGGCTGTCACATTCGAATACAATGAAGATAGGAAGCATATCCAGCATGAACTCATATTGAATTTGCGAGGGAAAGAAAAGCTTATCATTTCGAGCCTCCAAACGCCAAAGCCCCGTAGGCCAAAATATGTCTGTGGAAACGAAAAGAACCAAAGAATTGGACCTCAATATATGCAATGCTCCAAACCGACCGCATGCAAATGCCAGTATGAGAGAGAGGTGGAAACGCAGTTTGCATCGCTGGTTAGAAAAACACGCAAAAGAAACATGGACAATGTAAATCACGGATCAATAGAAAAGCAAATCGCCGCTCTAGGAAAAGAAAAAAAAGATCTATGGTCGAATGGTCAAAAATTTCGAGCCCGATAAAATCAGACGCATTCCCATTCACAAAAGACGCACCAGCGGGCCACACGGTCTGCAAGGACCAAGCCACGCCAGGTGCCACGCTCACCAATCTTAATGACGGTCTCCCAAATGCTTCCCTCGGCGGCGGCATCCGTGACCGAGTCGTTGAATTTTGGAGAGCTCACCATGTGGTCTGCCTTGCGGGTAAGGCGTAGAATTTTGCCCGAGGGAGATTGTATTGCGAGTTTGGCGGGCTTGTCGCGGCCGGAACCCGACCTCGTGGATGAGATGGCGGACGTTGAGGCAGAAAACTCGTTGGAGTTACTGGACACAGTCGAGAGGCCTGCAGTACTGGAGACCATGCTGAGAGCACTTGATGGACGGTTAAACACCGCTGGAGAGGTGCGTCCATTAATTGAGTAGTCGTCTCTGGTCAGCGGCGGGGGAGCAGCAGGGTGTTGCCGGACAGCAAACACAAACGTGTTGTTGACTGCCAAGCGTGAGCATTGCGGCTGCATAATGTACAGATCATGGCGCGTGGCATGTGGCGTGGGGTGACGGAGCACGAAGTCGTACGGCGGGTTTTCTCCAGTGTGCATAATGGGAAGGGCGAGGGCAAGCGCATGTGGGATGTCTCGATTATTGACCATAAGTCCTTTCTTGCCCGCGTAGACCTTCAGCACACCTTGTCCTTCGTCTCCAGGAAGAACCGCCTTGATAGTAATCCGTCTCTGGCCATTGAACCAGTCTGGTTGAACCAAGGCACGCTTGCGCACAATATCACCGCTTTCGAAGAAATCACCGTCCGCATCCCGGGCAAACGCAGGAGATTCTACCTCGGCAGCACATTCGATATCCTGAGGAACGACCATACGAATTTGCATACACTCCAGCCCTTCAATGCGCATTAAACTAGTATCATAGTCGGGTAGCTGGGCCCCAACCTTGAAGAACTGCGGGCAGACCCCTGGAAGAGCCAGCAGGACATCAGGCGAGATAGGAGGGCATATGTGCTGCTCTTCTGGGTACAGAGGGATATGGGTGTAGCAAATGTCAAGCGGCCTGGCAAGGAAATACCAAGTCTCTGCAATAGATGAGTGCGAGGTAACAAAACGGCTCCGCTGGGGATTCGTTGGGTTTGCCAATGCACAGTCCATGATGCGCCATTCACCGTCAACCAAAACCGCATTCCACCAGTGATTAGGGCGGGAGAGACTATCAAGGTCGAGACTCTCACCAGGGCTCTTAAGATATCCACGGATGATTTCAGAGTGAAGCCCAACAGCTGCACACATCTCCTTGACCAGGAGCGCGATTTCATTAGGGCTTCCTCGTTTTGCCTGTAAAACTCGCTTCATGTCGACTTCCAGTCCATCGACGGGCTCTTCCCACGCGATCTTCTCGCTAACCCACGTGAATATAGCGCGTAGCCGCTGTACATCGCTCTTGTAGGGTCGACATATGTAACCTTGGGCCAAGCTCACAGGGTTAGTTAGTGGTGGGATACTATTAATAAACCGCGCACTTTTGTCAACTAGGGTGAGAGTTGCTGCATTGAAATTGGTAGGCTCCGAGATTGGCAGCCCATCAATACTCTCATCGCCTTCCGCAGTATCATAGAGCTCCTCGACCGAGTAAATGACTGGGTGGTCCATCATTTGACATCGCTCCGCCCTCTCGATTCGCTCGTTCCTACTAGGAGACGAGGCTCGGTTGACGTCACGCCGGACTTGCACCCAGTCAATAGAGCTCGCACTCAGGCCCAGGTCTCGAGCAGCATCACGCGTTGATTGTGCTGCAGTGAAAAGAGGGGACACTGCATCAACTACCCTGTTACCTTTCGTAGGGGATCGTGAACCGTCACCGCTGTGACCAACCGAGATGCTGCTTCTTGCGCTTGCAGCACCCGTCTTGGCGGACTCGAATATCTTCTTGAAGAACCCTTGCTTCTTGGTCTTTGGTGTAGACAGACCTCCAAATACTCCACCCGAGTCTCCAGCATCGTTTTCGGTGGATGACCAGGGAATTGCTGACGATGCTCCTTGCCGGGAGGTGTTGTGACTTGAGTGGTACGAGATGCCCGTCAGAGGCGACTCAGGCCGGTCGATGTTTTCTGCATCACTGAACCCTCGGGAACGAAAAGCATCCATGGCTGTATTGGGCCTTTCATAAGCCCTGTTTCTTCTGGCATAACTGCCGGCACTTGTTGCGCTTAATCCATCAGCGGAAACGCCACTCATCAAACTTTGGCTAGTCTTGTCGGTACTGGAGGTCATGGTAGTTCCAATGCTTTGCACGCCAGTGGAATTGGTGGCGCTCGACTTGTTGGTGAAAGATCTATTCAGTATATCTCCTCTGAGATCCTGACCAGACCGTCGTGATCTCAAATGCGGGAATTGTGCCGGGATGGAGTTATGTCTTGCGTGATAGGTGGCATGTTTGGGCGGCGGAGGCGGAGGTTGATCGCCATTCCGTGGGGCACCTGTCTCATCTTCTGGCAGTCGGTTTTGGTCCTCGAGTTGTCGAAGGCGGCTTTCCATCCTTTGTACGTAGTTGTTCAACTGAGGTGGACCATCCATGTAGTGGTCATGTGAATATACACTATTTCTATGAGCAGGTACCCCCCGAGCGAGATCCTTATGTCCATCAAAGCCGAGGGACGTGAGAGGTCGTCGCCGATTTCCTGGAGGTGTTCTACCATTGACGTCATCGTATGTATCTGCTGACCAGGGATTGTTGAATGTTGGCGGAGGGGGCGAGGGAGAAGGGGCTTGGCGAGGCATGCCCATGTCTTCAAGAGAGGTCATTACGTCTTCCATGGCATCGCGTAGCGGAGAAGGAGTATTTCCATTGGCATCTGAATGGGCGGAGACAGCCGAATGCGCAGAATGAGTCGAAACAGCACCTGGAGATGGAGTTCTCGCGAATATGACGTATCGGTCATTCATATTCAGAGGAGTCGGGGAGCGGGATGGCCGTGGTGGATGCATTGGAGGTTGCGGGGAGTGTAACAAACGCGACTGATGATGCATCGGGGGTTGTGGGGAACGAGGAGGTTGCGGAGAGCGTGAGGGTGCACGATTAAGACCAACTCTATGGGGAGGCGGAGGTGGCGGAGGAGGAGAATCTTCGCGCTCTTGAATATTCATTGGCGATACTTCACGGTCCTCGACGTACATGGGTGAATATTCACGATCATGGTTATACATCGGCGAGGGCTGTCGCTCTGGAGGAGGCATCGGTGAAACTGAACGCTGCGGTGTAGGCATCGGCGAAACCTGGCGTTCGGGCATGTACAATGGCGAAACCTCGCGGGAAGTGGGACGCGAAGACGAAATGCTTCCTCCAGGGACAATTACCGAAGGAGATCTTTCTGGTTCCATTGACGCTCGTGGAGAAATGGAAACTCCCCGTGATGAGGGTCTGGATGATATTGATGAAGGACGCGACAAAGATCCCTGATGTCCTTGGTTCTTTACCGCAGAAGCATGAGTTCGCAAGGGCTTCACACTCCTAGGGACACCGCTATCTCGAGGAGGAGTTTGAGGAATTGAACTCTTCACCGGAGTATTAGATCCGCTTCTCGCTAGTTCTGATGCCGGGGACAGTGCTTCCTTGTGTGCCTGGAACGGTTTTCGAAATACTGTTTTCTGTTTTTTCGGAGCAAACGTGGGGTTGTTGATGGGAGATGAGCCTGCTTGTATCATGGGGCTGGTGTCACGACTGACTGGAACAAAGTCATCGCTCATTAGCTCGACGAAGTTCGAAGGGAAGAGCCCAACTGCACGCCTGTCACGACGCAAGCGACCCATCCACCATTGTCCATCGCCTGCATTCAAACATTCGATGAGATCGCCTTCGATAAATCCTAAATCCCTTGTAGTTTCTCCACCCCATGAATAGACTGCGCGACACCAGCATGGAAACCGTGTTGGCAGTTGGGGTGCGCTGGGCGACATTGCGATCGATTGAATTTGGTTGGTTGGTCGCAAAGTAAATGGGGGAATCAAAATCAATAGAGCCGATTTTACAGCAGGCGATGATAATCAGGCGTTGAAAGATCTTCCTAGAGAGCCGGCTATCGATATATGAAGGTCGGAAATGGGTCGGGAGCAGCTCGAGGATGGTAGTCAGACGAGGTTGCTAGGTACGCACGGCCACAAAGCTGGTAGGCACTTAGGCGGAAATCATGGTTGACTTTGAAGGAATGGAAATCATCAATATGGAGATCTGGGGGAGGGGGAGAGTCTGTCAAGGGCACATGCGAACTGTGAGAGTGGGAGGAAGAGGGTTCAAACCAGTGCGGCGGTTCAGACGGTGAGGCCCGATTCGGGTTGTTTACGTGGTGGCCTAATCAGGACTAGCGGCGGAGAGCTGGCTTATCGATAAGCTTAATACTGTTATGTAAGCTTTCTGGTTTCCGGGGCACCCAGTGAAGATTGTATGAACTGCGCCATATCAAAGTCTATCTGCCTGAAAGTTGCCTAGGATGTGGATCACTTGAAGCAAGGAATTATCTATTCTTCGCTTAGGACAGAAAGTTGAAGTTTCTCTACTGGCTGCTGATTACCTAAAGTGTTTCTTTCGCAACAGGCCCTAGCAACATCCCACTACCGCCCACTATTTGGGGGCCATACGGGATAGTGACGGAAGCCACTAGAATTCGAAGTCACAGTAATTAGAAACCAGAGCCAATAATTTGGAAATAGGCGATATGGGCTTAGAGCCGGTCCTTATTGACTTGCAGCACCATTCCATGATCGCCCACCATACTCAAACAGAAGACATGTTGGTTGGAAAAATAACCACGACTCGATTATAACTGAGAACAACTGGAAGGAGCTTTAACATACCTTGGATAATATAGCACATGTTTGTTCGACTATCTTCATCATGAGAAGGCCTGAGTTATCCGCTTTGACTTCTTACATATGTGCTGATGCATTCATCAAATATTCTCTGCGCGTCCTTAGGTCAATCATTATCGATAAAAATTGGCTGTGCAGGTATCTGTAACTCGTCTGTTAGTCTATCGTGCTGGTAAATCCGCTACATTTCCGTTCTCGACCCAGTGAGTTGCGGTAACTACATTCCATTCGGCTCAAGAATGAACCAGCCACACGCAAATAGTTTACAACAGCCGGAAGCCCGAATTTCTCCCTTGTTTATCATTACCAGATTCCAACTATATTTTGCATCTGATAGGTTTGTTAGGAGGGAAATTCTTGAAGGAGTTCGGTTCAGACTCCGATTGGTCTCTTGGGCCTGTTCGATCACATCCACATACAGCTGAGAACGGACAATTTTCCCGTGCTTCTCTTCCCCAGCCACATGAGCATTCCCAATCCACCACATTCAATGAACTTTCTCGCTCGACTATGCAAATTCGTCAAACAGCAGAGTGTAATCAATGGCTCGTATTTCCCTAGTTTTGTCAAAAATGCAAACATGTTCCGGGCCCTAATCGGCTCTTGCTGTAAATAGATCGGCATGTCTTAAGATAATAGCCCCCTAAACTCTTAAATACCTCGCCCTAGGACCCCTCCGTCACTGCACTGGAGTTTAATGGACACTCAAATTTGATCATTCTCCGGCGGGATCACATTTCAAACTGTTACGAGAATACATTGTTCTGTGGAAGACCTCGATTGTGTTTAAATCCGAGAGACGCGGCATCATGGCGCCGTTAAGGGCACTTTTGGCCTTGGCTGGCTCTGGAATCATTCCTTTAGCCGTGGCAAAGCAGGTACATTTTGATCTGGATCTGACATGGCAACAGGGCGCACCAGACGGAAATGTACGCGATATGATTTTTATGAATGATCAGTTCCCTGGCCCTGAGCTTCGGATAGATCAAGGCGATGACGTTGAGGTACATCTGCTTCAGAATTTCCTTTACAAGTGTGCTGTACTAAATGAAAAATAGGTTGTTGTTCACAATAATTTGCCTTTCAATACGTCACTCCACTTCCACGGAATTGAGCAACATAATACACCATGGTCCGACGGTGTGCCTGGTCTTACTCAAAAGCCAATCCTGCCTGGGCACAGTTGGACATATCGATGGAAGGCTACCCAGTATGGAACCTATTGGTATCATGCACATGCTCGTTCCGAGGTTATGGACGGTCTTTATGGCCCCATCTGGATCAAGTAAGACTTGCACTTAATCCAGTGATTGAATATTAGGGCTAATTTATCAAAGCCCAGCACCTACTACCCCAACTCCGTTCCATTTTATTTCAAATGATCCATCCGATATTGCCGCAATGAAAAAAGCAGAGAAAAACCCTCAACTCATCATGGTATCTGACTGGGACCATTTGACGGCTGCACAATATCAAAAGGTGCAGGAAGACAGCCGATTGGATATTATGTAAGTCGAATTCTTTGGATTATTATCCGCTGAGACTAACAGTTATGAAGTTGTATGGACAGTGTCCTCGTCAACGGACGTGGAGCCGTTTATTGTCCAGGAACGTCAAACATCTCAAGCGTGGAGCTTCCCTATTTGAAAACTGCGCTCGACAATCAGCCTCTTACTGACAAGGGGTAAGTAAGACATTTTTTTATTCAAAATTACATTTGTTTCCGGTGCTAATTTAGAACATTTGTGTCTAGATGCTTACCCAACATTTACCAAACGCAAGGCAACTTTCCTCCAACCCACCCTGAAAATATTCCGGCTGGGCTCAACTCTGGTTGCACACCTACGGAAGGCTTGCATGAAATTATCGAAGTTGACCCCAATGATAAATGGGTTAGCCTTAAATTCATAAGCGCTGCCTCTTTGAAATCCTTGATGTTCTCCATTGACGAGCACTCAATGTACATCTACGAAGTGGATGGCTCTTACATTGAGCCACTACGTGCGGATAGCGCTGCAATCTATAGCGGTGAGCGATATGCTGCTATGGTAAAGCTTGACAAAGCATGGAAGGACTACACTATTCGAATCCCTGACACCCAAGGTGACCAGATCATCTCCGGGTTTGCCACCCTTCGGTATAAGGGATCTTCAGACAGCAGTCCTTCTATTCCCTATATCAATTATGGAGGACAGAACACGTCTGAATCTGTTGTTCCTTTGGATCCGAAGTCTATGAAGCCTTATCCTCCTGTCACGATTCCTGATTATGCTGATCAGTTGGTGAATCTGACTCTTGGCCGCTGGGGATCCGCTTACACATGGACTACCTCTGGAAACGCACTCTACGACGTCATGGCCAATTGGGACAACCCTATTCTCTACGACCTTAATGCCAGAGATAATCTGGCGGATCAGGTTACGATTCAAACCAAGAATGGCACTTGGGTTGATTTATTGCTGCAGCTAGGGGACATGCCCAATACTTCATCTACTCAACCCCCTCACGTGATGCACAAGCATTCCAATAAAGCTTACATTCTTGGTGTTGGACCGGGCTTCTTCCACTGGTCCAGCACAGAAGAAGCAGCAGCTGAGCATCCTGAGTTTTTCCAACTAGAAAATCCTCAGATGAGAGACACTTTTGTTACAAATAGCCCCGGCGGTCCAATTTGGATGATGATTCGTTACCAGGTCGTCAATCCTGGTCCATTTTTGTTTCACTGTCACGTTGAGACTCATTTGTCTAATGGTATGGCCGTTGCTTTGCTTGATGGGATTGATGCATGGCCTCAGGTTCCAGATGGCGAAGATCAAAGTCCTGATTTGTCAGAGCCATCTGCTCAGAGTAAGAGCTCAGCCCAAAGTTCACGCCTGTCATCTAGTCAAACACGGACCAGCAGCCAAAATGATGGATTCTGGACCCCCCCTCCGTCGAGTTCGATGACAAGTACATCTACCCGCAGCCAGAATGATGGGTTTTGGACCCCTCAACCAAGCTCTAGCTCTCTTACACCTACCCCCACCCCAACTGCATCTATCTCTGCTCCTATTCTATCAAGCTCTACTCCAGTTCGACCAAGCTCGGTTCCCACACCAGCTGCTTCGGTGCTTACTCAGGATACTCCGAATCCTTTGATTGAGCCCGAAACTTCTTGGATTCAATCTGAGGCTGACCTTTACTGAACGCGAGGCAGATTTTATTGAGAATGTTTAAGCAGAGATAAGACCGACATTATCTCACCATAAAACATCAAGTGCAAGTGGGTGCTATCTCTCTCGTCCCGGGTAGCCCTCCTCCCTTTCAAGCCGGGACCTTCTCATTTATTTCTTTAAATTTAATTTTCCGAATATTCAGCTACCTGTAACAATACGATGAAGTACTTGCTCGTTAATTTTTTGGTGTTCTTCTATGTATTAAAATTCCTCTGTCGTGACTTTTTCTCGCTCTGGTACCACAAATCAGGAAATCTTGGAACGCAGCCAACGACCCACCTTAGCTGAGGTCGATCTTGTTTGACCCACGATCGTCCATATAGAAACCGAAATCTCTGGGTTAGGGTTTAACTACATCCTACTCCACCTAAAAATTTGAGTTCAGTGACTTGGGATCATTTGGAGGAAGGCGACGAGGTAGCATCTAGAAGTTCAAAGTTTGATCATTTTTCATCGTTGCATGAGAACAATCTCCGAGACTTCGGGGCCATGGAGATCATCGTAAAAGACGATTCAATATAGCTGTCTATAATTGGGACTTAGCCCGCTTTCTAAAAACGGATTGACAGTAAGCACGCGCTCCTGAGGGCCGGAGATTTACAGGAAAATCGATCTTATTGTCATTTCAAAATTGGAATGTCCAAATTATGTAGTTGAAGTGATGACGTAGAACATGATCCTCGCTATGATACCTTGAAGAGATCAACAAGTGATTACTATTTCCGTGATGTACGGTAGTTTTTATTTTTTTAAAAATTGTGCGTCGTTGCATTCAGTATGAGGTGTCCAAAATATACTTTCTGTCTTCACTTTCTAGCAACATCAAGTTAGGATATTTTAGCTACAAGATCACTAAAAAAAAGAGAACAGTATAACTTAATAGCTTAGAAATAACCTATATTTTTTCCCTTTATATAATCCTCCCACTCTAGATGTGTGCAAGGGCGAGGTCAGGGGCATTCCAGATACTAGGGCACCCACATCACGTGACTGGACGCGAAGTATCGGGTGCAACCTTCTGAAAGCGGCCAGAGCTCCTCCTCAATTACAACTACTTCATGGTTTTTCTTCCACTCAATTCAGTTTCCGGAAGTTTTACCTAAGAAATGGTCATTTGTCATGTATCATGTACCTAAATTGCGGGATTTCACCACTTTGTGGATTGGATCGAGACTCTTCCATCCGCAAGCAGCTATCGGGCTGCCAGAAGTTGTCATCAGCTTCCCGGTACCTCAACCAACCGGTCGGCAAGATTGTGAGTCCTGCCAGGATTCCAAGGAACATCTCTGCCTTGACCCACACTGCCCTTGTCAGAACCCCATCAAGTAGAGACATACAGCAAGTTTTACTTTTAGCACTTATTCTTCTGTAGTAACGGTACCATTGGTCAAGCCCAGATATTCTAAATCCGCTGGACCGAAGTGGTATCATGTCAAAAGTACTGTAGAGAAGACCGTGGATAATTTGTAAAATCATGTTTTCCGTCCCAAAACTCATACTTGGTAATCAAAATAGGGCAATAAAGGACTTTGCGCTCTGTTTCCATGTGCCAAGAGCCTCCATGGAACGATGATGCTGATGGGTCTAGATTGACCCACAAAGTAAAAAGTTACACGTATAAAGTATTAACTCCATTATTTCGCACCGGCCCTGAACTTGTTCCTTTTTTCCTTTCTCTGTAGAGTTTCGAACCCCTGATTGATATCGGGCTTGAGTATGGAAGGCCCCAGTCGTGTGTATCTCTTCGGAGATCAGACTGCTGAGTTCGACTCGGGCCTCCGTCGCCTGCTACACGCCAAAAATGACTCGTTTGTGATAGCCTTCTTCCAGAAGTGCTACCATGCTCTTCGCTGGGAGATCAGCCAACTGCCGCCTTCCGAGCGCCAGATATTCCCTCGTTTTACGAGCATTGTGGATCTGCTTGCAAGGTACAAAGAGTTTGGACCTAACCCAGCTCTTGAAAGCGCGTTGACGACAATCTACCAATTGGGTTCCTTTATCCAGTAAGACTTTCTATATTATGAAATTTGAGAGAATATCGATTGCTGAAAATTCTTACCAGTCATTATGGAGACCTGGGATACGATTATCCATCAGCGGCTGACAGCTGCATTATTGGTCTCTGTACCGGTCAGCTTGCCTCAGCAGCTGTGAGTTCTTCAAAAAACATTGGAGAACTTATCCCAGCTGGCGTTGAAACGGTTGTTTTGGCGCTCAGGCTTGGAGTATGTGTTGTGAAAGTTCGAGAGTTGGTTGAGGCAGACGCACCGCCATCATCAAGCTGGTCTGTATTAGTTTCCGGAATTCGGGAGCCGGAGGCGGAAAACCTGATTTTTCAATTTGGACAAACCAATGTAAGTCAAAATTGAGCGCAGGTGTAAAAAAGGATAATGCAAAGAGCTAATCACTCGAAGACTCTCCCCCGTGTCTCGTGGCCGTATATTAGTGCGATCAGCCCTAATGGTCTTACGATTAGCGGACCTCCAAGCTTTCTAGAAAGATTTGTTGAAAGTTCTCTTTCTAGAGAACAGAAACCCACCAAGGTATCAATTCATGGTGCTTATCACGCTTCGCATCTTTATGACTCTAAGGATGTCAACCGCATTCTGGAGTCTTGGCCGAAAGATGACTTTGCCCATTATGTGCCTCAAATCCCCATTCTTTCGAGCGAGACAGGAGAGCTTCTCAGTGTGGAGAACATTTGGGATCTTCTGAAAATTTCATTGGAAGAAATTCTTCTGAGACAGCTTTGCTGGGACAAAGTCATTGACTCATGTGCGTTAGCTTTGAAGTCATCGGCTCCGAAATGCACCTTGCTACCAGTATCAAGTACCGCAACACAGAGCTTGTACAGTTCATTGAAGAAAGCAGATCTCTCGAATATCGAAGTCGATAACTCCATTGGCGATGTCAAGAAAGATCCAGAGGGAGTCAACCGTTCGGGCCGTGCTGAACAGTCTAAGATTGCTATCATTGGTCTATCTGGGCGGTTTCCCGAGGCTCCAGATACAGAAGCATTTTGGGATCTCTTGTATAAGGGACTTGATGTTCATCGTGAAGTTCCCCCTGAGCGCTGGGATGTTAAAGCCCACGTCGATATGGAGGGGAACACTCGAAACACCAGCAAAGTTCAATATGGATGCTGGATTAACGAGGCCGGCCTTTTTGATCCTCGTTTCTTCAACATGTCCCCTCGTGAAGCACTACAAGCCGACCCTGCCCAACGCCTTGCCCTGCTTACAGCATATGAAGCGTTTGAAATGGCAGGGTTTATCCCCGACAGCACTCCATCTACACAGAAGAACCGAGTTGGTGTGTTCTATGGGATGACAAGTGATGACTACCGTGAAATCAATAGCGGTCAGGACATTGACACTTACTTCATTCCTGGCGGCAATCGTGCCTTCACTCCTGGCCGCATCAACTACTATTTCAAGTTCAGCGGTCCTAGTGTGAGTGTTGATACCGCATGCTCCTCCAGCTTGGCAGCAATCCATGTCGCATGCAACTCTCTGTGGCGGAATGACTGTGACTCTGCTGTTGCCGGTGGGGTCAATATACTGACCAACCCGGACAATCACGCTGGTCTTGATCGTGGCCATTTCCTCTCGAGAACCGGAAATTGCAACACCTTTGACGATGGTGCTGATGGTTACTGCCGAGCGGATGGCATTGGCTCCGTTGTGTTGAAGAGACTCGAGGATGCTCAAGCTGACAATGATCCCATCTACGGTGTAATCTCCGGGGCGTATACCAATCATTCTGCGGAAGCCGTCTCAATCACCCGGCCCCATGTTGGCGCTCAGGCCTTTATCTTTGACAAGCTGTTGAACGAAGCCAATATTGATCCCAAGGATGTTAGCTATATCGAAATGCATGGTACAGGAACTCAAGCTGGCGATGCCGTCGAAATGCAATCTGTTCTGGATGTCTTCGCCCCTGACTACCGTCGCGGACCAACCCAGTCGCTTCATCTCGGCTCAGCAAAGGCAAACATAGGCCATGGAGAATCTGCATCTGGTGTTTCTGCTTTGGTTAAAGTCCTGATGATGATGCAAAAGAACATGATTCCTCCACACTGTGGAATTAAGAATAAGATCAATCATAACTTCCCGACGGATCTTCAAAAGCGAAATGTGCACATTGCGCTTGAACCAACTCCTTGGAACCGACCGGCTGATGGTAAGCGCAAGACTTTTATCAACAATTTCTCTGCTGCAGGTGGTAACACGGCGCTGTTGATGGAAGATGGCCCGTTGCGTGAAACTGTTGATACGGATCCTCGATCTGTTCACCCAGTCGTCGTTTCTGCGAGATCCCAGTCTGCTTTGAAGAACAATATTACAGCTTTGGTGCAGTATATTGACAATAATAAGAACTTATTCAATGTCAATGAGGCCAAGTTCCTTGCCAATCTGTCTTATACCACTACTGCACGACGCATCCATCATCCGTTCCGTGCTGCTGCTACCGGTTCGACCCTGGAAGAGATTCGGTCAACTTTGATTTCAAGCGCCAATCGTGAAAGCATCACTCCTGTTCCAGCCACTGCGCCGGGAGTTGGATTTGTTTTTACCGGACAGGGTGCTCAATACACAGGCATGGGTAGTCAACTCTATGAGAACAGCTCACAATTCCGATACCACATCGAGCATCTTGACCGCATTGTTCAGAGTCAGGGATTCCAGTCCATCTTACCTCTCATCGATGGAAGCATTCCTGTGGAAGAGCTTGGCCCAATAGTCACTCAGTTGGGAACTACGTGTATCCAAATGGCTCTGACAAAGCTCTGGATTTCAATGGGCGTTAGCCCCAGCTTTGTCCTTGGCCACAGCTTGGGTGAATATGCCGCGTTGAATGCTGCTGGTATTCTCACAACTAGCGATACAATTTATCTTGCTGGTCGCCGTGCTCAGCTGCTCACAGAGCAATGCAAGATGGGTACACATGCCATGTTGGCCGTGAAGTCATCGGTAGCACAAGTGAAGCAGTTTCTCCATGACGATGATGCTGCTGCTGAGATTGCCTGTATCAATGCTCCTAGCGAGACTGTCATTAGTGGAGACAATAACATGATCGATCAACTCGCGGACAAGCTTGCCAACGGAGGCTTCAAAGCTACCAAGCTCAAGGTACCTTTTGCTTTCCACTCTGCTCAGGTCGAACCTATTCTCAGCAGCCTTGCCGAGGTTGCCAAGGGCATTAAGTTCCATAAACCTGTGATTCCTTTTGTGTCCGCCCTACTTGGTGATGTTCTTCGGGAAGAGAACTCGGACGTGTTGGGACCCAATTATTTGACGAGACATTGCCGAGAGACTGTCAATTTCCTCGCCGCGCTGGAAGCTACTCGTCATGCCAAGTTGACGAATGACAAGACCATATGGGTTGAGATTGGCTCTCACCCAGTCTGCTCCGGAATGGTCAAATCAACTTTTGGTCCACAAGCTACGACAGCAGCCTCTCTACGTCGCCAGGAAGACACCTGGAAAGTGTTGTCCAACAGCCTTTCAGCTCTCCATATGGCCGGCCTGGACCTCCGCTGGAAGGAGTATCACCAAGACTTCAGCACCATGCATGAAGTCCTTGCCCTTCCATCTTACAAGTGGGACCTCAAGAACTACTGGATTCCTTACACCAATAACTTCTGCCTCCTTAAAGGTGCACCCGCTCCACCGGCGGCGGAGGCTACTCCGATCTCGACCTTCCTATCCACCTCTGCACAGAGGGTTTTGGAGACCACTGCCAATGAGGTTTCTGCAACTGTGGTCATTGAAAACGATATTGCAGACCCAGAGTTGAATCGTGTTATTCAAGGACATAAAGTCAATGGAGCGGCTCTTTGTCCATCGGTAAGTTCTTAAGTTGCCATCATGATATGACTAAAATTGACACCTTCCAGTCCTTATATGCAGATATTGCTCAGACTCTGGGCGAGTTCCTTGTCACAAAATACAAGCCTGAGTGGAGGGAGCGTGGCTTCGATGTTTGCAATGTGGTGGTTCCCAAGCCCCTCATTGCAAAGGGTGGCAAGCAGCTATTCCGAGTCTCTGCCACGGCCAATTGGGCCGAGGAGAGTGCACAGGTACAGGTCTGGTCTGTGACCACAGAAGGAAAGAAAATTCTCGATCACGCAACTTGTGAAATCAAGTTTTTCGAAACATCAGCAGCTGAAGTTGAATGGAAGCGAAATACCTATCTAATTAAGAGAAGTATCAAGCACCTCCAAGAGAGCACTGAATCTGGCCAGGCTCATCGCATGAAGCGTGGCATGGTGTACAAGCTATTCAGTGCTTTGGTCGAATATGATGACAACTATAAATCCATTCAGGAGGTCATTCTTGATAGTGACCAGCACGAGGCTACTGCACTGGTTAAATTCCAGGCACCCCAAGGGAATTTCCATCGCAATCCTTTCTGGATTGACAGCATTGGCCATCTTTCTGGCTTCATAATGAATGCTAGCGATGCCACGGATTCTAAGAACCAAGTGTTTGTGAACCACGGCTGGGACTCGATGCGTTGCTTGAAGAAGTTTGATCCTAATGTCACATATCGTACCTATGTACGCATGCAGCCCTGGCAAAACTCCATTTGGGCAGGTGATGTGTACCTGTTTGACGGCGATGATATTGTTGCAGTTTATGGCGGCGTCAAGGTATGACCCATCTCATAAGCTCAAAGACTTCTCATCCAATGACTAACAAATTCAATACAGTTTCAAGCATTGGCTCGGAAGATCCTTGACACTGTCCTTCCTCCTGCTGGTGCTTCTGCCGCTACAACTGCTGCCAAAGGAAAGCCTGCGCCCATCAACGTCGCGAAGTCAAGAGCGACCCCGGCTAAGAAGGCTGCCGTCCGTCCTGCTGCAACTTCACCTAAGTCTGCAGGACTGAGCATTGTGTCGCGTGCTCTTAGCATCCTTGCAGAAGAAGTTGGATTGTCGGCATCTGAGATGACTGATGATCTGAACTTTGCGGATTATGGAGTCGACTCCCTGCTCTCTCTGACCGTGACTGGCCGTTATCGTGAAGAGATGAGTATTGATCTAGAGTCCTCTGTCTTTGTGGACCAGCCTACAATCAAGGACTTCAAACAGTTACTTGCCCGGATGAGCCCTGCTGAAAGCAGTAGTGATGGATCGAGCAGCGAGCCTGATATTTCGTCCGCTGAATCTTCGACTGACATCTCCTCTCCGAATTCGAGCGGAATTCCCACGCCTACACACGAGAAGACTATGAACTTCCAACAGAATGATAGCATGAAGGAGATCTGCAAAATCCTGGCTGAGGAGATTGGCGTGGAGCCAGAGGAGCTTCAAGGAGATGCCAACCTGGGGGAGATGGGCTTGGATTCACTGATGTCTCTGACCGTTCTTGGTAAGATCCGGGAGACCCTCGACCTTGACCTTCCTGGAGAGTTCTTCATTGAGAATCAGACGATCGAAGACGTGGAAGTTGCTCTTGATCTCAAGCCAAAGGCCGTGGCACCAGAGCCTATCCGCCTTCCAGAGCAGATTGAAGTCAAGGCCCCTAAAGCTGTGTCTACTGCAATCCAACATCCCCCTGCAACTTCCATCCTCCTTCAGGGAAATCCCAAGACAGCCACGCAAAAGCTTTTCCTATTCCCTGACGGTTCTGGATCTGCCACTTCTTACGCCACAATTCCAGGCATCTCACCGGATGTTTGTGTTTACGGATTGAACTGTCCGTATATGCGGACTCCTGAGAATCTTAAGTTCCCACTGGAAGAACTCACGTACCCATACGTGGCGGAGATTAGACGTCGTCAGCCTCATGGTCCTTATAACTTTGGTGGCTGGTCGGCTGGCGGCATTTGTGCGTATGATGCGGCTCGCCATCTCATATTCGAGGAGGGTGAGCAGGTCGATCGTCTGCTTCTTCTTGACTCGCCATTCCCCATTGGACTTGAAAAACTCCCTCGTCGCTTATACAGGTTCTTTGACTCCATCGGCTTGTTTGGTGAAGGTAAAGCTCCCCCACCAAAGTGGCTTCTGCCACACTTCCTTGCTTTCATCGATTCATTAGATGCATACAAGGCGTCGCCGTTCCCATTTGATGATGAAAAACACGCCGAGAAGATTCCGAAGACTTTCATGGTATGGGCTAAGGATGGCGTTTGCAATAAGCCTGAAGATCCTCGCCCTGCTCCTGCTGAGGATGGAAGCCCCGATCCCCGGGAGATGCTTTGGCTTCTCAACAACCGAACTGATCTCGGACCCAATGGATGGGACACCCTTGTCGGACCTAAGAATGTCGGTGGGATCACGATCATGGAGGGCGCAAATCATTTTACCATGACGCAAGGGGAGAAGGCAAAGGATTTGGCCACGTTCATTGCCAACGCCATGTCTTCCGCCTAAACAAGTTGCATGGCTTTTGACATTTTATTCTTTTTTCATGTTAGTGCTGTGCAGGTCCTTTTAAGTCTGTATATGGTGTAGTGTTGGATGGGACTTATCCTTTTGCTTCTTTCCTTTGATCTTATTTTTCTCACTCATTGAAAAAGCCTTCTTTGGGCATTCAATTGTTGGCTGTCTTATTATCATGTTCATACACACTTTCGTGATATAGTTCCTAATTACTCAATGCAGAATGTTCTCAAATCACTCCAAGAAATCCTTTTAAAGTAGAAGAGCTATGACTAACCAAAGGAATAACATAAAGTCGTGGAAGTGATAAAGGGCGCCAGTTTGAGCCGTGAAATCGAAGATGTCGAATCGAAAGTTACAGATTTGATGAAAATTCCATGAAGACAGTCTAAGCGTCATAGAAGGAAATGAAGCATATATTTGCAAATTTTTATTTGCGGGCCTATTTTCTTCTACAGATTCTTGAGGGAAGATATGGTGTAATAAAATCTAACACCAATAACTAGCTTGCAAGTAAACCAAGCTGTGAAGACAAAAAAGCCTGTCGGAAACTATGGAGATCAATAAAGTGCAGAAATTGAGTCCAAGAGGCTTCCGAAGTCAGTCCTCCTGAAGACATTCCCGATCATGAAGCCTAAAATTGCACATGGGCGATAGCTGTAATTGCGTTCATGTGCAATCGTAAAATAAACGTCGTGTCATGTTATCGGATTGGAAATTTTACAAATGCAAGATCAAATATATACCTCGATTAATCATACTTAATCTCCTGTAAGAGAGCGGATATTAAGCGAAAAATGAAGCGCAGAGTGTTGTAAACTGAAGTTCTAATAAAAGAAAGGCTGACTCTCCCACCGCAACTCCTATTACATGCATGAGCCCCGAGATAGGGCTGGCTGAAAAAAAAAGCCTAATGAAATCAAAACGGCATCTCCGAGCTAAACCGCAAGGCACTTCCTCGACCGGCAAGGCCATTACCATTTCCATTATGATTGACACCGGGGCTCGTAGGGCGGCTACCGGCCCACTTGGGACTTCGAGGCTGAGTGCTTGTTGACCGTGTCGACGGACGGTTCTTTCGAATCTCACGTAGCTCCTCCTCTTTTTTGCGTAGAAGGTCATCTCGTGATGCCAGCATCAGCTCTAGCTCTGTAATCCGAGCGAGATGGCGAGCTGAATCATCCTTCATATTGATCTCACGAAGGCGAACGGCGTTGCCTGCCACCTTCCGGGCCAATGCCTCGTTTTCCTCTCGGACTTGACGAAGCTCATTGCCAGCCTGTGCAGCGACAGTGGAAGCAGTCTGGTACTGCTCGCGCGTATATTCCGCCTGATTCTTTTCGTAGTCAGCCTTCCGTTGTAGACTGTCTCGCTCCTGGGTAAGACGACGATTCTCTTCACGTGCTGCTTCAAGCGTGGCCAGGTCGCCGCCACCTGCTTTCAGTTCCTGTCGAGCTTCTTCAAGCTCGCGCTTCAAGCTTAAACGCTCGTCTCTTAATTTAGACAAGTCTTCTTTCTGTTTTCCGGTCCGTTGCTCCAGAGTGGTGACGTTCCCAGTCAAACGATCACGTTCTTGCCGGGTTTTGTGGAGATCGCTGGTCCGACTCTCGTAGCGATGCTGTAAATCACTCATGGCTGTCTCAACCCCCTGTAGGCGCAACTTTGTCTGAGCCAGCTCGGATTGCAATGTTTCCAGCTCCACTGCGTGCGTGGCTTTCAGCTGAATGAGACTTTTTTCCAGGGAGTGAAGATCGTGATCTAGCGTTTGACTTGGTGGCTTGGTGGATTGCGTCATTTCACTGATTTCTTCCATGTCAACCCGGGCACGCTTCGAAGATTTGTCTTCATTTTCCGCTTCCTGCTGTGAAATTGTCAGACCGAATGATCCCAAATTGGAAATAAAGAATAATCTTACCAGTGACCGCTTTTGAGTGCCTGGCACTGGTTCATCAGATGAAGGAGTTGAGGAATCAAATTCATGCACAGGGGGAAGCTGAAGAGGTTCAATGATGGGCAGTGGCCAACTGGAAAGGCTGTCTAATAGATAGCCAAGAATCTCCTCAACATCCTCATACACCCCCAGCGCATCATCTTGTAGGTCACCAACTTTGTCGCGAAGATGGTCGATGTTTTGAATCAGAAGTGCTACCCTTTCAAGTTCGGGGATATCCGGTAGACAACGTTCAATATGCTCACATGCATTGGAAACAAGCAGCCAAATGACAGGGAGAAGAGATCCATTACGGGTATAGGTGGTTCGAGTATGTTGGACAGACGGACTATTTGGGTTGAACGATGAGTCGAGAACAATGATGGCGGACGGCGCTTTGAAAAGTTCTTGTATCCCCTCGTTGGAGTGGATGCCGAAGCTTAGAGATCCCTTGACCATGGAAACCTCCAAATTACCCCCGAGATCTTCGCGCGGACGAGTGTATGCGAAACCTTTTCCCAAGCAAGTAACGTTCTAAAACTTGTTGTTTTTGATCACCTCGGACCGCCAGGATCAAATGCAGGTCGTAGATACTCGCCATTTGGATCCATAAGCCGAGGAATCGAAATTTTGAGCTCGAATACTCGGCCCAGTCAGCCTCTCGTGTCAGTTCCGAATCTTCATATGATAAATGCTGAGTGATATTCAGATCTGGATGAGTCGAAACGTTGTTCAACCTGGAAATAGCTTCATGCATTCGAGACAGGAGGTGCTCCCGCTATAAATCCGGGTTCAGACAGAAGTATATGGACGAGAAGGGGAAAAACGTACCCGAGGACCGGGCCCCTGTATGGAGCTGTCCAAGCTTTTCAGAAAGATTTCTGCATCATGGTTGTAGTTGGACCACACTCGATCGTAGTCATCTTTCACTCGAGAGTCCATGGGAAGAGTCACCGCAAACTCGGAGGCTCCCAGACGAATTGACCCTGGATATATCTCCCGGGTATTTTCGACTGCCAAGTCACTCGGCTGGATAGTTTGCATTGCAGACACGGAGTGTAGTGGGTTTGAATGCACATGGTGGATTGCAGTATGAGTATGGGAAATAGAATCCGTGTCAGATCGCACACTCAATGGAGCGGTTGTGTCGGGGATTGATGTCGGTACTGCTGCTTCAATGTCACCAAGGGAAGACGGCGTTGGTTTGTCTTCCATCATTTAGTTCACAAATTGTAGACAATAGGGCTGTCCAGGAAAGCAACAGATAGTAACGAAGCAAATCGGCAGAAATTATTTAGTAACGATCGGTCTTAGGAGATAAAGTAGTCCACACTTCGCAGCTCGGAGTTCTGCAGATTGGATCCCACATGTAGTCGGGCCAGTAATACCAGTCGATGGGCACGTCAGACACTGTATCAGAGACCGTACAGCAGGAAGGGGATGACTCTGGTGAACCAGGATAAAAAGTGGAAGAGATGTTGGTAATAGTGGAAGCAAGACTCGCTGTCCTGAGTTCTTTGGCACTCGGAAATGTGGCAATAATAGTGGATGGCCCTTTGGACCAAGGGACAAATAGTGGTGCCTGGCTTTTCTCGCTCCTTGTGCGCTTGGGGTATCGCTTCTCAAGCACAAAAAAAGCCTGTCTATGTTTTTCTGTAAATTCAGCTCGCTTGCGCTTGCGCAGTAATGATTCAAACTTGGCTTTGACTTGGTAGATGTGAGTTTCCTGGGCCACTTTTTCGCTCCAGCGAATAATGTAGGCGCTTGCTCGGTAGCCCCGGGATCTTCGATCAGCCTCAGAGCTGGGAGCAATAAGGTCCTCAAGGCCAACCACAGCGTCTGCGAGCCAGTCAGTTGCTTTGATCATTGTCAATCACGGGAACACGGAAGATTGGAACGGCTGGAAAGGTTGCAGAAGGTGAAATCAAGTCGGAGAATACAGACCTGGAATTTATGTCGGTGATGGTTTACAGATCGCGCACCAGATTACTGCCTAGCCTAAACTGGTGTTCATGGGTTCTATTGAGGAGGAAGCTTAGCTGTCTGGGCGACGAGGAGTGTAGATGAATAGAGGGAATGATGCCAGCGGGCGCGGAGATGTACCCGCCTTCACGTGATAGCTGCTTATCGATAGTCTTTCGGCCGCCACCAACATACTTTTAAGCATACTTAGGAATAATCGCGCATATGGGGCAATATATTGCTTGTCTGCCTGATGTCTAGAAAATTTGTTCTTCGTCGTTTCTATGGTCTTGTATTTTTTTTCTAGGCTACGATTCTATTTGTTAGTCGTGGAGAAACCCACTCAAGATTGCTCCTGTTTCCAGGCATCAAAGTTGAACCCCAACGACTCCAGGGTCTTGATTCCGCACCGCTGGTCCCCCTTCTGGACAAACGCTCTTTTAATGTCAGGGAACAGCGCCCGCATCCATCGTTCTCTCTCCCCCCAATGGGTTCCATACTCCCCATTTCCGCGGTTCGCTAGACCTGGCTGTGGTTTAGCCGACGCTGCCCAACCGTAAAGAAAATTCAAATAGTCAGCGTCGAGTGGGAATTGAAGTACATGGAAAGACTTTGCGTCACCCTTATGGGTAACTTCAGCCTTTTCCCATGCTTGCATTTCCTGCTTGGATGGCAGATGCAGGCGTTGTGACCAAACACGCGAGAAGACGGCCGCTTGATTCTCGGCGATGGGAAAGGGGATCACTTTTTGTGCCAGAGCCGGGAAAACAAGCGTAGGGTGTTCGATATAAAACAATTGTTGATAAATATTCCTTGTGCGCAACCCATCTGTTACCACAGGTGGACTGAGTGATGATAGGAAAGGATAGGAGTAGAAGTAGCCCGTGCAAAATACCACTGCGTCAATATTGCCCTCAATGCGTCCGTCAGCGAACCGGATACCCCGCTGATGCGTTGTTGGTGGCAGAAATTCCACGATCTCCGGGCAAATAATCTTGTCTGAGGGCGCTGATGCTGCCAGGTATGATTCGGAGCGCTGGGATACGATTATCTTGCCCTCGCTCACCTCATTGATTTGCGCTCCGATGTCAAGTCCCGACGCCGAATTTCCAACCACAACGACTTTCTTGCCGCAGAAGGGATTGGGTGAATCATACAATTTGGAATGGGATATAGACTCGGGGTAAGCTTTATCCCATGCGGCAATTCCGGCAATATCTGGAATATTGGGAACGGTGTAATGGCCGTTAGCCACTACCACAGCGTCGTATGTACGCGTCGTGTTAATGCCGTCATGAAGATTGGCTGTTGTCACCTTCCATGTGCTCAGCTTAGGATCATGGGGCCTCACATCGACCACCTGAGTCTCAAAATGGATGCGGTCCCTAATACTCTCGGCATACTCCTCCAAGTACTGCTGGACCATGTGGTGTTTTGGAAAGAGCTGAGCATCCAGCGGAAAAGGCTTGTCTGAAAATCGCATCAACTCTTTGGGAATATTGGTCTCAAGATATTCGTACACAGGAGACACAAATACCGCCTGGCGGATCCCATTCGGCTGGTCCATCCAGATCGGACCCTCAACTGGTTCATGGGGATTGAGATGTGGAACAGTGGTCGATGCTCCCGCTTTCAAGGGGCCCGGAGTATAGTTCCAGACTCCGCCCACCGAGCTCCGCTGCTCGAACACATCGATCTGGTCGAAATGCTTCTCCCCAACAAGATATCTACCCCAGAACGTCAGCCAACTTATGGTCCGCCACTGCAGCAGCTTCGTCTTGTGGTCTTCTTACTTCACAGCGGCCAGACCAGACGGTCCAGCTCCAATGACAGCTACGCGGCGAACTGAATTTGTAAGTGCCATTTCACGGCACTGGCGGGCAGCTGAGGGGTTGTTGACGGAGCGACTGAGGGTGCCAAGCACCGTCGCCATAGTGGAGTTGGTGCCTGAGCTTATCGGAACAAGTGCGCCAACCTCGGCCGAGATTGGGTCAATCTTCCCTTTTTGAAGACTTAGGTTGCAAGTTATAAAGCAGTATATGATCGCACTTGATCTTCCATGCTTCTCGTTGAGATTTGGAGTCCGGGAGACTTGAAAGCCCCATAGATGTGTTAATTGCGGAGTGTAAGATCTGTTTCACGATACAGGCCTCTCGCATACAATAGACGTATCAAAACCGCTGTAATACCGCTCATGATGCAAACGCACTGGCGATTTCGCAGTCGTACCGAACTCGCGTGTTCTGGCTTGTTTCAACACCTCTCCCACTCCCCAAGTCCCCTCCACACCTCGAACCGATTCATCTCATGGTGTACAAATGATCGCGAAATGGTAATTCTGGCAGTGGATTAGCGGGCGCAATCATGGATGCGACCCTTAAAGCTCCGGGCGCAACTGCGCGCCCACCTTTCACAAAGGTCCCAATCGCTCAGCTATCCCCTGCTCTCGACAAACTGGATGAGAAATGTATATATGGGACAGTTACACTCGTCTGGCCTTATTCGTCTTCCACAAAATCACTGAGTCTCCTGCTGGCGGAACCAGACTTCCGCTTACGTCGGTCAAATGGTCAGGTCAAGGCCGTCTTTCACGGGCGCGTCGCAGAAAAAGTTGCAGAATCACATATTGGAATCGGAGATAGTGTTCGCGTTTCTCTAAAAGGCCTCGAGCTCATAGGCAACGATACCTCCACACAGACACCGGGCCGGTCAATTTCGTGGGATATCCATATCAGCAATGGCGTGTGGCTTGAGGTATAATACCTGCAACATCATGGGATTCACATTCTAACAAGATAGCTATAGATTGATCGATCGGCGAAGAGAATGTCTACCATAATTATCGACCAAGATTTCCCCACGCCACACGAAAACGAACCACCGTCAACCCCTCGCGCGACTTCGCTGGATCTCGAGACACCCGCGACCACCGGCCAGGGCTCGTGGGGGTCTCCGGCCTTCTACCAGTCAGCACGAAAGTCAAGTAGTCATGCGCTGGACTCGGCATTTGACCCATTTACCGAGGAGGATGGATTTGTTCCAGGGAAAGGCCGAAAACGACCTCGGTACAGCTTGCGACGAGATGAGTGGCGCGTTGTGGATGAACCAGACAGTCCCAGAGAGCATGAAGCATCGCTAGACTGGGACAGCTTGATTGAAAATGAAATTGATGTCGAGCAGGATATAGACGGGTCCATCGATGATCAGCCTAATAAAGACTTGTCAGCGGAAGTCATCTCAGATGCCTTGGACCAGAACCATATTGACGATCCATTCCAAGATCATTCATCTGAATTTGTCAAACCAAGTTTGGAACTTGCTGGAGGTATCTTTGGCAGGCGTGCACTGCAATTGGATACCGCTGTGCCTGGATCGAGTAGATCAGATAGTTCCCTAGGGGCTGCCTACAATTTCCCTACAGACACGCCTCAACTCCGTCCCGTCCCGTCTCCGGGCCTTCCAATTCCATCGCCTCTGGTGTCTAATCAGAATAACGCTCATGGATATTTCTCGCCATTCCATGTGGCACCGCCACTAAATAATATTCATCCCAAAGAAGCCGAGACCGACCCAGGACCTCTGGACCATGTACATCCACTTTTCGGACGTGAACCGATTCCAAAGTTTGGTGAAGAATTGGAAAACGTCCAAAATGAACATCCTACATCAGCTCCGAAAACACCAATTACCCAGCCGCCTTCAACATTATTACCTGAAGTAATGTCTGGTGAAATCTTCGCAGGCCAGAGAGAGGACTTTGGGTCCGTTGAAGCTCTCCAAGATTCTTATCTCTTAGAGTTTCAAACTAGAGCCGAAACGACGCCGGAGGCTCAACGCACAGCGTCACTACTACCCGTACAGGATGATGATTACAGGCAAGATGATAAGCATGATGAACAGAATGGCGATGTTGCAATGGCATCTGGTTTTGGGTCGCAGCACAGAACTGAAATGTCCGTTGTAGGAACTCAGGACTTTGTCACTGCCGATGCCGACGTGGAAATAGCTGCCGGGCAAGTCGAAGGCTATGTGCAACAAGACTCGGGGAGTGAAGATGCGATCTCCCATGCGTCCCTGGCTTTGCAAGATCGCCCCTCACGTCAGGCAAGCTACAGTGGCGAGGAAAATGACACATCTGAACAGGATCACGTTTCTGATGGTATAATATCCTCTGATTCATCTGATGATGAGTCTAACGATGAGTTTGACTATGAAAACGAGGATGAAGATGATATTCATACCGGCGAAAGTGATGCTGAGGATGCCGAGGAAGAATACCGATCCCCGGCCCCAATCGTGCAGCCTGAGGTCATTATCTTGGACAGTGATAGTGAAGATGAGATTGCTTCGGAGCAGCCCACATCCCAGGACAGACAGTTTCATGAACCCGCGGTTTATATTGACCGCATGGGCTCTGCATCTGGAAGCCCTATTCTGGAGGAAGAAGAAGAGGAAGAAGGAGAGGACGAACAAGAGGACGAACAAGAGGACGAACAAGAGGACGAACAAGAGGACGAACAAGAGGACGAACAAGAGGAAGAAGAAGAAGAAGAAGAAGAAGAAGAAGAAGAAGAAAACGACTTTGATGAAAGAGGTAAAGTCCAGCCCGTGACTTACGACGAGGCGGACTTTGAGGTCATCGAACATGATAATAATGCTGAATGTTCAGGTCGGGATGACCGAGTACAGGACAGCGATTTGGACGACGAGTCTTCGGTGGATGTGTTGGCCCGCGATCATTACCACCTGGAAACCCCCAGTCGCAAGCCACACGGACGAGAACCAGAGGAAGAGCAACTTCAAAAGCTCGCTGAAGATCATAATGATTCTGAAGCTGGAAATGGCGCAAAATTAATCGTGAACTTGGAGTCCGACGATGACAAAATGCCTCAAGAAGCCGCAAAAGGAGCTTCTCCAACGCTTGAGGAGCAGCCTGATGATCGAAATCAGGGAGACTGGAACTTGTCTCTACGCGGACAACCCAGTAGAATACCGGAGACTCGTGACACTTTCGACGGCGTGGACGAGTATTCAGTCCACGAATCCTCGGCAATTGAAAAAGCAGATCATCAGATTAGTCTTGAACAAGATGTTGACGGCCCCGTCGACCTGAACCAAACGAATCTTGACTTCGAAAACAAGGAGAATCCTGATGCTTCAGTCGATCCTGAAACAGACCTTGCAACATCTCCTCAGAAGGGCGCAGAACAGCAACTTCTAACTCCTGATCCCACACAGGAGGTGACGTCTAGCCATCAACAACAACCCTCAATGAGCGAGGTATCAAAAACCCCGCTTGCCTCGGTCACTCCGACGCCTCCCACAGGCCTGGCCATATCGCTACGGGCAGCCAATGAACCACCAATGTCATTCAATGACTTAGAAGACGAGGTAGTCCCTGTCGGTGCTTCTGCTCAGCAAAAGGAGTCTGAAAAACAACCAAACGGCGATTATATCCTCTCAGAGGTAGCGGCCCGCGACACCACTCTTCGTCCTCCTCCACTCGACGTGGCCACAAAACACCGAGCACCAGATCGTCATGCTGCAGGGCTACGCAGCAAATTATCATATTTCGCTCCTCTAGCAACGCTTGTCGACCACTATGACACTCTGGTGGACACAATTTCAATCGTGCACCAGGTGTCTCTTGTTGCGAAGGCAACCTCCGGCTCCAAAGACTATTTTGTAACAGTCCACCTTACAGATCCTTCAATGGCTGGCACGACCCTGCAAGTGCAGATTTTCCGACGCTACAAATCTGCAATGCCAGACCTTGCCGAAGGCAACTCAATCTTGTTGCGAGATTTCAAAGTTCGAAGTTACAATAATGCTATCATGCTAGTCAGTGTCGATTCTAGCTCGTGGGCTGTATTCAATGAGTCCGGATCAGATGCCGAAATGACAGGCCCACCTGTTGAATATAGTTCGGAAGAACGAGACTTTGCGGCTGGACTACAAAAGTGGTACACGGACGATGGGGCAGCTATGGTCGCCGACAACCAACTCCAGGCCTCAATTGAAAGAGAAAGCAGGGAGGCAACTCCGAGCAGCATAGCGGATAGCGAAACTGGAAGCATGGAGTTGTCTTTTCGGGGTGATGCACCACGGTCTGCTCGAGGTTCGCGCCGCTCCCGGAGAAGAAGTCACCGGGTCACTATTCACGAACTACGAGACGGCACTCGTTACACCGAGGTTGGCTCTCCCAGTAGTAGGGAAAGCATCCATGAGTTGCGGGATGGTACAGTCTATGCCAATCTCTGAGAACTGATGATATTCATTCAACCTCGTGCAATAAATCGATTCCATAGAAAGCTCATCATGCAAATAAACTTTGATGTCTCTGTACATATGACCCACATTGCCAAGCTCTATTCTATCTATACAGGCAAGTCATACAAGTCTGTAAAGAAAGCCTATACACAATAAACTCACATCCTTGACCTCTCCGCCTGGAAATAATCAGCATTGACTGCGCAACGAATCAACTGGTTCGCAATTGCGGTCTCGGGAGGCAATCGCAATCCGCCTTTATACTCGGCGCCAGCACTAGCACTCAAATCACTGGTGCCAATGCGCAAAGCCTCTTCAACTTCCTCAATATCAAACCAACGTGCATCCTCCAGCTCAGGATCATGCTCGAGGTTGATCTTCTCGTGCGCTGGATCGCTCACCTGCGCAATTGCGCCAATCATCAAATTCGCAGGATACGGCCAAGGCTGAGATGAGTGGATAACAACACGAGACAAGGTCACACCCGCTTCCTCCCACACCTCTCGTCGCACCGCATCCTCAATAGACTCGGCCGGCTCAATAAAACCAGCCAAAGTTGAGTACCACTTGGGAGGAAAGCGCTTGCCACGACCCAATAAAATTCGCTTGCCATCTGCCGACACCACAGCCACAATGATTGTTGGATCGGTGCGGGGGAAAGAGAGATTTGAGAGCGTGGTGCGGGTATTACACTCCGGACGATCCTCTGACTGGCCCTCTGCAGTTCGCGCAGCATCAGTCGGCGGGCATGCACGCTTCGTGCCGGCATTCACACCTAGTGTGCGATGTCCACATGTACCGCAGAAGGTATTACGGGTATTCCAATCAACCAACGCACGAGCTTGGGCATAGATTGCAGCTGTTATAGAGCATTAGTGCGGATAGCCTTTTCAACCAGGACTGGCTACTGTTAAGCATCGACATACCTTCATCGGGGGTAAAAGTAGTGACAACTCTGGTTTGGAAGAAGGATAAGCCCTTCTCCTCCATAGTGCGAATAATATTCTTTGCCGCAGTCTGTTGCGCCTCAGAGCCCTTGGGAGTCACATCCAAAGCAAAAAATGGAACCCCCGAATAGATCTTGTGCGTCAAGCTACCTTCCTTGCGACTCTCATCCAATCCTAGGAAAATAAGATTTGCGGAGGTCTTTCGAGAATCGAACCCCTTGATCATCTCTTCTTCAGATTGGTCGAAGAAATCTTGAGGGACAAGACCGCGCACTTCGTCGTATTTCGCATAGTATAACTCTGCCGGGGACTGGGTAAGGGGAGCAAGGCTGTTCAGAAGTAGGAACTTGGTGGAAGGATGCTTCAGGGCCGAAGAAAGAAACGGGTGATCACCGCGCAAGAATGACAGTCGGTTGATTGGAGAGCCTGCTTGGATTTAGTCCTGCTATTTCTTTCTCGTCTCCTCTTCACCGCGGCAAACCATACTGGAGAAATAGTTCACCGTCTCTTTACCGAAGCGCCGCGACAACATGGATTCGGCGAGCATATGAGCCGGTGTAGGGATCTGAGAAGGCTTGGTCATTCTGATAACGAAGGTAGATTCGCCAAGAGATTATAACGCCGCTGAAGCCAATTGGAGGGTTAACAAAAGGATTTAAGAGTGGTTTTAGAGACGCCCAACGACCAAATGCCGAGGGCCCAAGTCCATTAATCAGCCATGATCCGGCGCGGCGAAGCCTGTATGTCAAATTCGAATCTTTCGTCGGACTTCGGCCGATCATTGTCTTATCGGGGGCACCTGACGGTAATACACAGACGACTGAGCGGGGAACCTTCCGTAAAGCGCGGCCTCCCCCACACACGTGACCAGTGATTCATTTTATTGAAGCACCGTGACAGAGTTCGAACCCCACGTCTTATCTGACACCAAGACAAGCACCTGGACTTCATTATGGGGCATCTGGTCACTCTTGCAACATGGTATGGGCATATGCCAGTTTCTCATAGCTGTTGGAAGCTTCATTGGCTAATCTCAGCAGCTCTCTAAACCAATGGGCCCTCGACTTTGAAGGAAATGCGGAACGCATCATAGAGAGCATCCGGCAAGCTAAGGCTGCTGGTGCCACCTTGCGCGTTGGTCCCGAGCTTGAAATTACCGGTAAGCTTTTGGATGTGAAGTTTATCCGGAGTTCTAGTTCACTGACTGATTGACTATGTCCGATAGGGTATGGCTGTCTGGATGCCTTTCTCGAAGGCGACACCTTTCTCCATTCGTGGGAGATGCTGGCCCGGATTATCGACCACCCCGACTGCCAGGATATTGTGTGTGATGTTGGAATGCCCGTCAGACACCGAAACACCCGCTATAACTGCCGGTGAGCAACAGAGACAGACTGGTACGCAGTCCGCACCTGACACAGACATACAGCATCATTTTCCATAACCGCAAGATCCTCTTGATCCGCCCAAAGATGTGGCTTGCCAACGGTATGTTCATATCATTTACATGCTTTCTTGGCTCTCTCCTCTGACCTGATGCGCTCTGAAGATGGAAATTATCGCGAATATAGACACTTCACACCGTGGCAACGACCCCAGGAGACCGAAGATTATTACCTTGAACAGATTGTCGGCAGGATTACTGGACAGTACAAGGTTCCATTTGGCGATGCGGTCATTAGCACCAGAGACACCTGTCTCGGTCTAGAGACTTGCGAGGAGCTTTTCACACCCAATGGGTATGGTCAAGTTATACCTTTCCTGCCTTAACATAACATTCACTGATAATAGTTCGCTTTCTTAGCCCTCACATTCCCTATGGACTTGCTGGTAAGTTATTAAATTTGACTTTGCACAACTCGAGTTAATGGCTTGTCCTTATAGGTGTGGAAATTATCTCGAATTCTTCTGGAAGCCATCATGAATTGCGAAAACTCGATACCCGCCTCAACCTGATTACACAGGCTACAAAGCTGGTTAGCGACCTTAATTTATGCTTGTGATGTAATATTGACTACTAACACCATTCAGAGTGGTGGTATCTACTTATATGCTAACCAGCAAGGCTGTGACGGCGACCGTCTCTATTATGATGGATGCGCAATGATTGTCATTAATGGCGATATTGTCGCCCAAGGATCCCAGTTCTCTTTGAACGATGTCGAAGTCGTCACTGCTACTGTCGATATCGAAGACGTGAGTTTCAATTTTTCAATGAGTTATCCATCCAGCAAACTGAATCATCTAGGTTCGAACATACCGGTCTAGCGTCAGCCGGGGAATGCAAGCAAGCAAGCAAACCCCTTTCCAGCGTATTGACCTTGATGTCAGACTTTCTCGACGTTCTGAAGATGCTGATCCTGGTCTTACTGTCTCCGAGCCCATCAAGCCTCGAATCCATGCCCCAGAGGAAGAGATTGCGCTGGGCCCTGCCTGCTGGTTATGGGACTACCTTCGACGATGTGGTGTTGCCGGCTTCTTCCTTGCGCTCAGTGGCGGTATTGATAGCTGTTCAACGGCGCTTCTCGTGCACTCCATGTGCTGCCAGGTTCTTAAGGCGGTAAATGAAGGCAACGAGCAAGTCATCAAGGATGTGCGCCGGCTATGCGCCAAACCAGAAGACTCAGATTGGCTCCCCACTAGTAGCCAGGAGATTTGCATGTATGTTGAAACATATGCAAGCTAAAACCCAGATTTTGTTGCTAAAACTGTCTTCTAGGTGCATCTTCCACACTTCCTATATGGGCACTCAGAATTCGAGCCAAGAGACAAGGGACCGAGCCAAGAAGCTCGCCCAGGATATTGGGTCCTATCATATTGATTTCAACTTCGACACTGTTGTCAATGCAATCATGAACGTTTTTACCGTTGTGACTAACTTCCAGCCTCGGTTTAAATTCCATGGAGGTTCCCCCGCCGAGAACTTGGCTTTGCAGAATGTACAGGCTCGCATGAGAATGGTTTTCTCATATCTATTTGCCTCGCTACTACCTACGGTTCGTCAGCGTCCTGGTGGCGGCGGTTTGCTGGTTCTTGCATCGTCCAACGTTGATGGTAAGTCTCTCATCGCATAGAAATGGTTTACTATCACTGACTTCGTTTAGAATGGTATGAACCTCACCTAAATTTCTCACATGCAGCTTCCTCTTTGGTTGAGAACGATGACCCACTGATATACTCTCTAGCTTACGCGGCTATCTGACCAAGTATGACGCCTCGTCCGCCGATGTAAGTTATAAATCGACTGTTAACTATTGCTCGTCAAGATTCAAACCTAACCATCTTTTCTTCAAAGCTGAATCCGATCGGAAGTATCAACAAGGTTGATCTCAAGCGATTTATTGCTTGGGGTGTTCGTGAATTCGATATGCCTTTACTTACCGAGTTCCTTGATGCTACTCCAACAGCCGAATTGGAGCCTCTTGCAGCAGCACAGTCGGATGAAGTCGATATGGGAGTCAAGTACTCGGAGCTGGGCACCTTCGGGTATATTGGATCCATCTGTCTACATGGTGAAGTGTCTAACCTTTCTCCGTAGATACCTCCGGAAGGTCTCAAAGCTTGGCCCGTGGTCGATGTACGAGAAGCTCCTTCACATCTGGGGCAACGAGCTCAGTCCGCGCGAAATTTACGAGAAGACGCGTCACTTCTTCTACTACTATTCTGTGAGCACTCATTATCCATCGGCGATCTGCAGATTTGACGCCACATCTTTTCGCATCTCTTCTGCTCTACTCTCGGGGATTCGGTTCCCACTCCGGATTGTCTCTGAACCCCACTGACTCTTTCTTAGATTAATCGTCACAAGATGACTGTCCTAACACCAAGCTAGTAAGTACCTCCAATGGCAAGTGGAAATATTTCAAGGTTAACTAGGATCTAGTCATGCCGAGCAATACTCGCCGGAGGACAATAGGCACGATCTTCGTCAATTCCTGTGTAGGTTTTTTATCATTCAAAGTTGCTACTCTGAACCTCAACGCTGATCCTTTCGACTCCAGACCCGCCATTCACCTGGGCATACAAGAAGATGGAGGAGAGCGTCAAGTTCTGGGAGTCCAAGGGCTGGACGACTGGAAAGGCACAGAAGAAGAGTGTCAAGGCCGATTAATCGTAATCCTTTCACGTACTAGATATATTGCTTTGAGTTTCAATTGTCAGCTCTACTTTACTGCAACTACCATATCTACATGAATACATCAGCGCTGTGTCAATCAATTTATATTGATCAATTGAATATGTACAACCCAAGGCGTTGACAAGTGAAGACGAAATAAGTGCCAAAAGAAAGAGTAAGAAAATACAGAGAGATCGCTAAAGTGGTAAAAAGAAATTATTGCCAGGTAGGCATATGGGGTTTTGTCATGCATCATGTAAGGTTCGCTGGTCCGCACAGGACAAAATTAGTCCTTCCAGAACCAACCGTTTTTGGATTTATCGCCATTCTCAGGCTCCAGCGACTCGTGTTCCGAGCGCGGGTGTGTCACCTCGACAGTCGAATCGGTCTCCTCACGGCCATCAGCAAAACGCTTCGTCTTGACTATCCTGATTTGGATGGATCCATCTGCCAGGCGTACACGTTCTGTTCGAGACATGGTAGACACGATTCGACCCGGCGGCATCTCCGATACTGAATCCTCCGTGGCAGCTCCGGCATCTGGAGTCGAGGTCACTGGGACATCCGGGACAGATTTCTTAATTCCACCAGACACGAGATTGAGCCAGCTCTGGGTCTCATCATCGTCCTGTCTCTCTTCGGGTTGAGGTAGGCCTGTGTGGAACCGTTCCAGCTCCGCTTGATTTCGTCGGCGCTCCTCTAACAAGAAGCGCAGGAGAGGACTCCCCAAAACTTCCTGTGAGAGTTCACGCTCGCGAGCTTCAATATCATGTAGGAAACGCTCGTATAACTCCAGTTCATTCTCGGCCTCTTTCTGCTCTGCTTCGACTTTTTCCTTGTCATCTTCTGATGTTTCTTTTCTCAACAACTCACGACCATTGTCCCGGTGACCAGTAAAGGTAATGCCAGACCAGGGCTGGTCCTTTGTACCACGCACGTAGTTCCAACGATCACCCAAGCTCCCACGCTTGACTAATCCTTGAAGCCAATCCCGTCCATCTTCGGCTTTCGTAGCGGCCAAGTCATCGTCATCAAGCATGGGTTTCCCATTTTCAAGCCGAAGAAGATCCTCAAAAGCCTCGCGCCACTGTGGCTCCATCGAGTCGTGGTCCGTGTCATGCCGAAGGGTGGACATTATCGAAGAGAAGACACCTTTTTCGCTATGCTGCTGGCGCTCCAGATGCAGTGGCGAATAAGGGCTGAACATGATATAAGAGATGGGCCACGTCGGGGCATTGCTATCATCAAAAAGCTCAGGGAAGAAAAACCGGCGCGGGTGGAAGGAGTTCATGGCGAAAGGAAAGATGTGATCCTCAAGGCGATCGAAGAGTGAATTGACGCCAAAGAAGTCGGATGGACGATTGCGCCAGCTCTGCTGCGATTGCGATTGCGAATTCCATTGATCGGTATCTTCTGCAAACCGGGATTTCAAAATCTGGGATGAAGACTTGCTATCTCCACTTGATGAGCCTGTCGCTGGTGAATTGCCCTCGGCGCCTTGGTCAGGCTTGGAGCTCTCTGCCGACTTATCCTGTTCCTCCGCATTTTGTGCGCTTGGGGCGGATCTTTGACGGTATTGCATGCTCTTGTAGCCCTTATCGTCGGTAAATATAGTCCAGTGGTCAGGCTGAGGAGGGGAGATCGAAGATGGGAGACCGGTGATCGACTGTAACACAGACGAGACCTGCTCGTCCGCGAACCGGCGGAACGCGACAAATGGGTTGCTCTCGCCCTCCCAGCCCGAGTCCTGGGGCATGCCGGAGGATTTGTGGTCGTTGTCCTTGTCTTCGGGCTCGCGGTCGTTTGGCATTATGTATGTGCAGGAAGCGCCAGAGATGAAAGAAGGAAGGGGAGAAGAGAAGTTGGACTTGAAGCTGAAGCTGTTGGGGAGCCCCACTAGCCCATTCGCCACGTGAGCCCCACCGAGTTTGGTTCTTTCGGATCGACGTCTTGCTTTTCTGTGGCTTGAACTCCGGAGTTGATTGTCTCATTTGCTGAGTTTTCGAAACAGTCGCGATGGGTTCCTTGCGCTCCCTACTCGCTGGGGGCTATTTGTGACTACGCCGAACATGCATCGGCACACGCCCGCTAGGAGAGATCGCGCGCGTCATAGGCCGAGACCCACTACAATCAGATCCTGAAACCCCCATACTTCAACAATTCAACATTGCGAAGGTCAATTTAGATTTAATCAATCCAGGGTACATAGATTAACAAGCGAAGCCGAACTTGACATCTTCTGGACTACACGTGGAAACTCCCTCCACAATCACCAATTACTCAAGGCATCGTTCGCGATCACAGCCGTGCGCGCCCAGCGACATGTTCCCATGCCTCATCAAAACCTGTGGAGCGGATCCACATAGACCGATTCTCATCCTCAACAGTGGAGTCGATAGCTGTTGAGCTGTCAGCAATGACCACATATAGACCACACACCTTCAAAGAGCGAAAAATGACATGCCGTTGACTTACCCATGTTTCCAATGCGAAGCCACATATCCCCAGACACCGGCATGACTTGGGATCCCTGGCTCTCGTAAGATCGGCACACCTGCTGCCCATGAGCCACGGCGCGGACAAACTTGACTAAGTGCCCGTCGTCGGCAGAGTATGCCACACTTCGGGAAAAGAGGGTTGGCCAGTCCTTTTGTGCCGGGTAGCGGGCGACTTCGTCTTGCAGAAGTTCGGGCGAGCCGCGCGACACGTACATCAACAGATCCATGCGGCCCTTCCATTCCATTAGGCGCAGCTTTGTCCGCTGATTCAAGAACTGGAGCTGTACAATCTTTGAGAAAAAGATAGATGAATTCACGCAGTGGATGAAGAAAAAGTCCAGGATAACGGCTTTCGTAGGCCGCTGGGAGGTGCTGGTATAATACACTTTTTTGAGATCGGTTAGGCATCCTGTGCTCTTTGACAGGCAGATACAGTACATCTGCTCTGCCACCGGGATCAGACTCACCAACGGCATTGATCATATCCGCCAACCGCTCCTGTACGTGGTCGACAGAGACTGTGTATTGGGCCGCGTATCCCAGCATCTCCTGCGGAGCACGATGCAGAACCCCGTCTCGGATCTTATTCACGTCTCGCCACTGCGCCGACTGGACTAGGGTCTTGTCCTGTCGAATATCACTTAGTAGTTGTAGAATCGACTTCGGCCCTGGCTTTCCAATTCCACCGGCCATCTGCTCCGCAGGCAAGAAGAAGGTGCGGCCCAACCAGTCATCATGGACTGCGGCCTGTGCCAGCGCCTGCGCCACGATGGCAGGCTGGTTAAACTCGAGGCCGAAGCCCAGATGGATGAGCGGGTGGAGGAGTCCTGTGCGAAAATTGTCAATACTTTATTTGTCCCTGGCAAATAGAAACACAATAGTTGAATTGGGGGAGAGGAATTCCAACGTACCACCAAAGAGCCGGCATAGCATACTCTCTGCCCTCTTGTCCTCTGCAAAGACATATTCATTCAGCACGGTCGCGACGCCCTTGACATCGAGCTCGCGCTGGAAGAACGATAGATAATTAGGGTAATGCTTTTCGTTACCCAGATATTCCTGGAACTTGGCCGAATCGGCCATCCCCTGAATAATACTCGAGTCGGTGGGCAGGACAGGCCTCTGATAGCTCTTGTTCCTCTTATACGCAGACTGGATGTTCTCAGGCGATGCGCCGAGAGCGTAGATGCTCAGGATATGGTGCACAATGTGATCTATCCATTCTGATCAGATCTTTCCGATCTTGGGAGACGTAAACGATGCCAGATCAACATACTATGGAAGCCTTCGTCATTGAAGAACACATGATGGCTGGTCATATCATCCTGCAGAATCTCGCTGGCCGTGCGCGCCGCGTCCTCCCTCACTCCCGAGCTATAGATGCCCGCGTCCGTCACAGGCGACAAGTGAATCTTCGTTGCGGTCGCCATGGAGACCCGCGTTAAATGGTGCGCAGAGCGGAAATTATATAGAAGCGTGCTCGACAACGGTCGCGAAGCGGCTACTCGCGGCAATGGCGTCCCACGAAAGACAGACACACTCAACCGACGATTAAAACCTGCAAGCGATCTCCAAGCTGGCGCCGTTGTGCCTGTGATAAACCTGATTTTCCGGATGAAGCGAAGTGGTTGTTGGAATCCGAAGAAGCGATCCGTCTGGGGAAACATGGTCCCATTTATCTGATGACCCCAGTATGACCCATTTCCAATCAGTGCGAACCTAGACCGAACGACCGGGAGCCAGGGTCGTGTTCCGAGACTGCTGCATCACCGAAGCTGGTGGACTTTTGCAGCAAAAGAAATACAAGCCTATCAGCTGCGTCCTGTTACTAGGCGATGCGGTGCTCACGGAAGCGGAGACATCGGCCTTTCGGGCTTCCGTCGCCACGACAAAAGACGTCATGCTGTTGTTTCGAGCGCGACTGGGCCCAGTTTGCTGACTGATGGGTGCAATTATACACCCCCCGCGTGGATTTGGCGGGGAAATCTCGTATTCTTCTGAGTAATGCGTGACAGTCTGGACCCGTGGGCGAATGCGGGGATAGCAAATGAGGTTATTTGGGGATTTAGATTGGCTAAGACACGATACGCGATTAGGCAGGTTACAATTGGCTATGATTGGGGCTACAATTGGTCAGGTTTGAATCATGTTTATTTCAAAATAAGGAGGAGTTCTCAGAGTACGAGGCTTCTTTTTCATAATCTTCGGATGCAAAAGGCTCGAGATGCAAGAACATACAATGCGAAATGAACAGGGCGGCCCGATTGCCAGTCTTCCGACCTCTGGAGTTCGTGATATAAACTAGAATGACCGGTAAAAGACAAGACCCATACCTGATCACTATATACGGTGCAGATAAATCTCATCTCGAAAGTGGGGGGCTGGTTGTGCGACAGAAAATGCTGAAGAAGAGTGGGGCCTTGTAATTACCTCGCACGTAAACAGGAATCCCTGCATACTTTATGCGTCCTTCCCAGACTCCCGCTCCTTCTTGCGGCGCTGACGATCCCGCTCAATCTTCTTAAACAGCGGGTGGTGACCCGCTTTATCCTTCAGTTGTTTGTTCCGGCTCTTGTTGTACTCAATGTACGCCATATCCTCGCCGCCCGCCAGGCCGCTGAGTGTCGCGGCGCTGCGCTTAGCTGTCGGCCTCTTCGCGCCCGTGCGCTGGCCCGAGCGCATTGAAAAGAGATCATCGGTGACTTGCTCCACGTCCGCGGAGGATTCGTTCTGGAGCATCACCTCCTGGAGAAGCTCGCGACGTTCTGCAGGGGTGGCATACGAGAGGCCCTCGTACTGATCAATACCTTGCAAATGAGTGATGACCTTGAAGGCGTAGCCCTGGTCGATCAGGAATGCCTGTCGCTTGGCGGAGTACACCATTTCATGGGTGTCCTTCGACACAAGGGAGTAGAAGAATGCGTTGAAACCTTCATCGTTACGACGCTTCGCACGGAGAATCCGGCCTAGCCGCTGTGCTTCCTGACGACGGGAACCGTAATGGGACGAAATTTGAATGAGACAGGTCGCCTCGGGCAGGTCGAGAGAGGTATCACCGATCTTCGAGAGGAAGATCGTATTGACTTGTTCGTTATGCTGGAAGTTCTCCAGAATACGCATTCGCTCGTTTTGTGGCGTTCCACCATAAATGTACGCCTTGTTAAGTTTCAGTGCATATCGTTCGAGAGCATATACATTGTCGGAGAAAACAATGATCTTGTCTCCGCGCTTCTCGTGGAAGTCGATCAGGAACTGACAAGCTTGGAACTTGCGAGGATTCATGATGTAGAGCAGAGCTTGTTTCCGTGAGCTTTCGCGCAAGTACTCAGAGTAGAACTCCGTAGTCATCGGACACCACACTTCCGCACACTGCACCTTGGCGATATGGCCCTGTGCGGCAAGCTCCATCCAATTCGCCTCGTACAGCTTGGGCCCGATCAGGAAGTTTAAATCCTTAATTTTGTCGTCCTCACGAAGCAAGGTTGCTGTAAGACCAAGCTTGCTCTGGGCAGCGATTGCGGAGGTGACTTTACGGAACATCGAAGCCGGCACGACGTGTACCTCGTCAAGAATCATCATACCCCATTCTCGTGATTGGAGCCAGTCCATCATTTTCTGGGCGTCATGAGACCGCGCTCGACTCTGTGATACCATGGAATAAGTTGACACAATGATACCCGTGGACCGCTTGAATTTCTCCTTGTGGTCGGATGTGAAGATAGCTATGTCCCCAGGGTCGATGGTGGTCCATCGCAAGAATTCATTGCGCCACTGGACCACCGACATGGAGCTGGTACACAGCACAATTGTGCCTTTCTTGATTGTGGCAGCAGCAGTGATGCCGACTAAAGTCTTACCGGCACCACAAGGGAGAACAATGATTCCACTCTTGGCTCGGCCGTTACCAAACATTTTACTCAGACTCTTCTCCTGGTACGAACGAATTCGCGCGGCCGGTTTCAAGTCCATGTCAAGGTTGGGATTCACCGTGTCACCTTGAAAGTCATACTCCTCCAAAGCGGGACAGCCGATCGCCTGGCATCGGGCTTTAACAACCTCGACGCCCGTGGGAGGTATTTCGAAGCTGTATGTGATAGCCTCCTCGGAGTCATCCTCGCCCACGTCATCAATACCATAATCCACAGCGCCCTCTTGATTATCATCCCGAGAGGGCGCCGCAGGCGCTTCTTGTTGTGTACCAGTCTCTCGGACGCCGGCGGCATCTTTTGTTCCAGGAATGACAAGGCCGCCCATCTTCGGAGCTGCACGCTCGATAATGCCTTCCTGGTTTTCAATTCTTTGCGGTCCGATAACCTCATCTTTCAGCAGCCGCTGCAGCATTTCCGGATCGGACGTTTCCACGTAGTAGTGATTGTGCCGCAAAACCATCTTGATCTTTCCATAGGATTTAGTGAATTCGATAATGAAAGATCGAATACTGTCGGGTAAGGGTGTTTTTGATAACCGATCCAAAAAGGCCACAATATCTTGTGGTTTCAGACCAACCGACACAGCAGCATACAAACTGTGACCTGTGAGGCGGTATTCGTGGAGATGAGTTGGCCGGGAAAGTGGTTCAGCGATGGTGGTCAAGAAATCCTGCGCTTGGGGCGCCAGTGGCGAGAAACTCTCGAGGGTGATCGTGCCTTTTACCGGCTCGATCCATAGCGGGCGGTTGTAGTGGTCAAGCTTGAGAGGCAGGTAGGACAAGTCTTTGTAGCCGAACCGGGGGTCGGTCTTCTCCACCTGGTTGCGCTTGCTGAAAGACTCCAGCGAGAATTTGTTGACGACCTCTTTATCCTCCAATTTTAGCATCCGAGCCACCTCATGTGCGCAGATTGCTATACGCTACCTTTCAGGTTTCCTTCCTCCGGCACATCATCCTGGTCCGAGTATTCGTCGCTGCTGGAGATCTCCGTGATGTCAGGGACTGGCGTGGATCGCTTCGAGGTACTGTTGGATCGACCAACTGGAGCCAGTGTCAGTCTTTTTCTCTTTCTGTGAGCCTTGAGGGGTGAATTACTATCAGTCGCCTTGCGCTTGGGAGGCATCGTGAAGAAACTTTCGGGTTATCGACCGGTGGGCTTGAATAAGTGGGAACGGCGGTATTTTCAAGAGTCGAATTCCGATGAGACGAAGCTCGCCTCTGACAGGATAGTTCAAGGCTGCATGCCAGATACACACAGTGACGGGCCGCAGGAGACAGGCGGCGTTATGCCGACTGATGCGACCAATATGGGGCTTAGGGATGGCGTATACCGTGAGTGTAAATGCGGAAGTCACCAAGGGAGCGGATGTGAGGATAAATAGATGGGACGAGGGTGCTGGAAGAGGTGAGAATGTGAGGAGAAGGACTGGGAAGAAGGCAACAGCTCTGATAATAATTCAAGGTTCCGGGCTAAAGAAGTTTGGCCTGAGGCACCAAGACTCCGATCGGCGGAGCTGCTATTACTGACGTAGTCATCGAAGCGTTCAACTTTCTCACTCCACCTCAACGCGGTCATTATCACAACCATGAACACAGTGAGTCTTCCCTTGTTGATATAAGGCAATTCAGTTGCTAAGTCTTCTCTTCTTTCTCAGATCCGGTCTACTTGGTGAGCATACATCCCGGCGTCCTGGCATGGACACTGCCCGAAATTCGACCAGCAACAAGCAAGCTAATAAAAGGATCTTTTCCCCTTGGATAGGATTGGCTGGGGTGCCCTTTGTGTCGGTATGTGTACTTTGAGCCTATACAGCCTTTACCCCTCAACCTATAAATGGCATGGGAAGCTTTTTCTCCCTCTAGGCCTAGACACTAATCCTCCTATGTTGTGCTCCAGCTGGCGGCGGGGCCTACTATTTTGCCAAACAATCCATCAATGCCGACCGTGCAGCCCGTTTTGAAGCCGAGTCCAAGCGCAAGGCAGAATTGAAGAACATGGAAGTCGAGCACCGACGACAGGCTGTCCTGGCGGGACCTACCCCGAACCCGAACGACGACGCCAGCCTGAAGCGTGCCAACATGACCCGCTTCCAGAACGCAGCAGACGATGTCGCGTCCCCTAGTGCAGAGGCTTCACACGACCCAGCCCCGACTCGGCACGAACCAATGACCGAAAATGACCGGGTGCTGGAGAAAGGGAAATATGAGGCCGCAGAGCCGTTCCGGCCGCCGCGGGGGAACCGGTTCAGCTAAGGAGCCACCTACTTCAAGGGGTTCAAAAATGTATATTTGACATGTAAAGATAAGAATTCGAATTCTAAAACACCGATGCGTTGAATTACTTGGCTTTGGGCCCCTTTCATGTAGTTCCGTCCGAGATGGACGTCCTCGAGTTGGGGAGGTCACATGGTAAGCTGGCTGGGTTGGGTTTTCTCTTTGATCCCAGCGTTCTGATTCGAAAAAACAACACCACTAGTATGGCCAGTGATCGCTCCGGCAAACGAGGAACTATTGGTTGCCTTTTTACAGCCACGTGGGCACATCGAAAGGAAATATGATTTAAGGTTAAGATTTGTACTATGGATGTACATTGGGGGAATCATATCCGAATCCTCTAGCTCGACATTCAAGCTGTTGTTACGGATGTTTCCTTGTCACACATGGAGATACCAGTTTGCGAAAGTAGGCAGACAGGCATATAATGTCTTTCAATCACCGCCGGGGGAAAAAAACGAAAAAGCAAGGCAAAGAAGAAACAAGAAATCAGCACAAGAACCGGGGAATAAGATAGAACGCCAGATCCCAAAACGCCCACTCGCCCGAATGCAGGGTGTCCAGAGGTCCCGTGTCGGCGCCCGCACCGAGAATCAGAACCCAATCAGAAGAAATAAAAGACAGAGATCAGGGTGCACCATAAATGAGGCTAAGCACCATTTTTGGTAGGCATTGTGCAGGCCACCAAAGCTGATGGGTTCTCTGTCTGTTCTAGCGAGCGTGGAAGCACAGTGGAGGGTGGGGCCTTGACAGAGTTAGAATCTGTGATCTCCACACCTCGGCAGGGAGGTATATTCTGTTTATATTGGATATTGGCCGGTCCTGAGGAACCGGCCGAGTGGGCACTCACTTCTTGAGATCAGGAGAGCCGGAGGTCCGTTGGCGAGAACTTTCGATGGCCGGAGGCACAAAGGGAAGGACCACGCCAGAGATCAGGCAGGACATGGCAATCGCGCGAGACGTGCGGCTGTCGGGACGCGGCCGGTGTGCGGAGAAGTGTCGGATGGACGGACGAGCGAGCTGGGCAGCGAGAACAGCGGCCATTGTGTGTGAGTTGGGGTGGTTGATGTAGTGGGTATTCTGGCTAGAGGCTACAGTCGGAGAACTGGGGCGAGACTCCTCGAAGGGACAGGTAGATCAGATGACAAATTTGGAGTATGCGGCTGAGCTTGGAATTGGAGTGGGCGGACGGTGATGACAAGGACAAGGGTAAGTGGTGGTTATAGCAGTTGTCTTGGAAAGGGCTAGAGGCTAAGTAGTTGGAACTGGGGTGGAGGGGGGGGGGCCATGGGCTGCTTTTATAGATGCGACGAGGCCATCAGGCCATCGGAAGGCGCAAGTGACCCGTGTGGGGGGGGCAGCAATGACGAGATGGAGGGATTGCGCGACGGACAAGGCGATCATTGGTGAGCTGCGGGGAGGGCGCGCTAAAACGTGGGAATGGGCTGATCAGGGAACATTCATCCGGAGTGATCAGACGTCGGGCAGCGGAGCCCGGAGACTCGGGAATAGAGGCGAGTCCCTGGGCAGGTGGGATCAATGGAATCGTGACCTCCTCGAGGGCATGTCGGGATCCCCCGTGAGGCAACTGCGGGCGGACGGCATTCCGTGGATGTATACGGAGTACGGGAGTATGAGAGTACGGACCGAAGATGGATCGAGTAGGGAGGGACGACGTGGGCAGGGTGGACGAAGACCAGAATACAAGAGGAGCTCTGGAGTCGTCGCTGTTCGTGCCGACAGCCCGATGCGCTGCTGATCCCCTGCAGCATGTCAGATGTACAAGATGCCTGGCCATAGCGGGACACCGCACTACGGGGAGTACATTTTCCAGAGGCCCCTCGGCCGAATATGTGGGGTCCGGGAAGGATCGAGGGGCAAGATGAGCTTGCCACTCCCAAGGGCACCAAGGGGCGCAGGTTAACCGCCGGGTATTTTGGGGAGGGAGGTTGGGGTTGTTTCCTCTTGCTATTAACTATTTGACCAGGATGATGAACAGTAGTACTACTCTACTGCGATTGTACTACCAGACTTGAGAGAAACCCCCTGGTCAAGAGGATATCTGATGGGAAACAAGATGATTTACTCGTATGGATGCAGGGAGACCTTCAATGAAATCGCATTAAATTATGATATTGAGTTATAGTGAGTCAATTAGCGAGTTACGTTGGTTAGTCTTGTGCGATTAGGAGCCCCGATGACGGGCGCCTGCTACCCGGCGGTGTTGCCGGCAAATAGTATCAGCGCATCGGCCGGAAGTGCGGCCCTGCCTCAGGTGCCGGCGCATCCATACTACATACTACTCCAGAGGACTCATAATGCTTATGATCAATAACATTTGAAAGGTTGTCCATGGGAACTCAGAGGAATAGACAAGGTGAATTCCGGCATATCCAGCCTGTTCATGGACTGTAAAGGTCAATCTTCGTCGGGGCACCTCGTAGGGCATTCCTCTCGTGACTTAAGAGACTCGAAGGCCCCATTGCCGGATTGGGAGCTCTCCACGAGAGCCACCGCCCAAGCCGCCGTATGTACCCAATCTGCAGATCATGTTCTACTGTAACACGACCGGGGCGGAGTATAGATGATACGTGACTCGGCTGCTCACCTGAGGAGCTCCGCCCGGATCACGTGTACATGCATTTTACTGCCTCAGGCTTGATATGTGGCTGATCTAAGCAGGCCTCACCGCCTCAGCGACGGCCCAATCATTGCCCGAACATGATCAAACCAACCAGAACCTCCTCTCTCATCGGCGCAGGTGCGATCCAACAAGACAGTCCGACAAGAGTGACAAGGGTCCATCTCCTAATTAAACCCCGCTTTCCTCATTCCTAGAGGAGCAGACCGATGCCCACGGCCTATCGCAATGGCCTCCCATCAGATTGCCATTGCGAAGGCCTCATTTTCCGCCGGCCTTTTGCGCCCCGACCCGGTCTCAGTTTCGCGCGATGAGATCACCGCCTTCCACGCCTCCCTTGAGCGCGTTTTATCCCACTGCTCCCCAGCAAATGTTCAGGTCTGATCCGTTGCAACCTTTTCCTCTAGCCTGCCACATCCCCGTCGTACTAAACTGCCCCTTGGTCCCACACAGACCTGTAAAACATGGCTACTCCACCATGTCGCCGCATCATCGAACCGCGTCGGAGGGTTGGCTAAATACCTCGTCACGCTGGCAGCCTCCTTCGAGGAGCCTGACGTGGCAGAGAATGGCGCTCGGTCCAAATCTTCGGTGAAGCGGCGACGGCTCCACATACTCTATCTGCTCAACGATCTGTTCCACCACAGCAAGTACCACCTAGACACCACCGCAACCTTCTCCACGGTGAGCGGATCTCTGCAGCCATTTATGGTGGACCTACTTGGGTATGCGGCCGCCTATGATCCACAGAATTACCCCAAGCATCATCGCCGACTCGAAGATCTCCTTGACCTATGGTCCGAGCACGGATACTTCGGTCCCGAGCTACTCCACAAGCTGCGTGAGCTCGTCCGGAACGCTGCATCGCTGGAAGCAGCCCCCTCTGTATCCAATGATCTTTTGGTCGGCGAAGTGGACGCGTCCAAGAAGCTGTCCGGAAAGGATGCACCTTTTATCATGCCATCGACCCACGGAGACTCCTCAACGCCTTACTACGACCTTCCTGCCGGAAACCTAATCCCGCACATCATTCCCAACTCAACCATTGCCCTTCGAACCGATGCCATCAAGCCGCTGCAGTTTCTAGCGGGCCCGGCGGATGAGTCTCTGGTGCGAGCGCTAAAAGGGTTTTTCCAAGAAGTAGATCAGATCTACGGCATTGAGGATGCTCTCGACGACAATGATGGGAATGCAGACGTGGACGAACTCGGCCAGAGAGTCATGCGGGACGAAATCACTGGCGATATTCTCGAGGGAGAAACCTACTACGGCTGGTCTCGCGCCTTCTGTCAGCAAATGAAAAAGCGACCCCGTGACTCTCGCAGTCGCAGCAGGAGCTGGAGCCCGGCTAACAATGACCTCAAACGGCGACGCTATAGTGACAGTTCCCTAAGCCGGGGCAGTAGGCAAGCTAACTCTCGGTCACGAAGTCGGTCTCGGCCGGATAGGCGCGACACCCGTCGTTATGGCACCCCATCACGCTCGCGTAGCCGATCCCATACCCGCGAGCGCTCCTACTCGCCACGGGAACCATCTCCACCGCGCTTCCCGCCTCCGCATCAACCTTCTTCTCACCACCCTCCTCCACCTCCACCTGCCAACCACCCTGCTGCTCCTTCTCACCCATATAATAAGGCCCCATATCCTCTTCCAGGCACCGGCTTCCCTCCCCCACCTCCACCTCACTACCACGGCGCCTGGCCACCTCCCCCACCCCCACTCATGCCGAACATGCCCTTCCCCCCGCCTGGCCCGGGACTCGATCCTCCTGCTTTCCCTCTTGCATTTCCTGGACACCCTCCGATGCCCATGCCTCCTGGTCAGCCGCTTCCTCCCGGACAGCACCGTTTCCCTCCTCCTCACCCTGGAACTCACCAGGGAGATGGCTGGAACCAGCAAGGCGGGCGCAATTGGCGATAAAAAACGCCATGTATTTTGTACGCGGAATCTCATGATTTAATACCTATAGCATCAAGAACAATGCAGCTTAATATGCATCAAATGAAATGTTTCAACGTGATTATTCCTGCGCTGATCGAAGAATCTTAAATTTGTACACCTTTTTGTCAGGAAATATAAAATGACATAAAAGCTTTTGTTTTTTCTATTCTGTCAAGCTGGAATGGAAATGATTTCACTATTTGCATTCCCCTCCTTGGATACTCATAGGGCATGATGCTTATCACTGGCATGGGCCCTCGAATCCATACTTAGCCCAGTCCCGTTCGACCTTGTCTTGAATTTCGACAGGGTAAGAACCCTGAAAAGATCCCACTCTCCACGGAAGCTCGTCTTCTTCGAACTCGCAAGGTAGCATGCAACACTTGACCACCTTTTTGTTATTACGCACGGGTTTGATGCCGTGCCCCACATACGGAATCAAAGGAATATTTCCGTACTCATCGAAAAGGAACTCGTTTGTTCCTGGCTCGCAACGTGTTGACTCAGCCCAAATCAGATCCCGAAGACTTGTAGGATCGACATCTTCCCCGACTAAAAAGACTTTCCCCATATACCAACCCGGCTTAGAGCTGAAAACCACATGCCCTAGTTTGATGCAGAAGGCAGCCATATCGAGTCCCATCTTAAGAAGCCTTTTGCGATCCACCTGCAAGACATACCATATGGCATGAGACTCGAAGGGACACCAGGCATTCTGGATAGGTAGACCAGCATCTTGACATATAGTAAGTATTTCGGCAGCAATCATCACGGCCCACACGGTATGGCTCTCTTCGGTTGCTCTGCCGGTAATACAAATCGGAAGGATTGGGTCTTCGCGGTAGGTGATTGCATTCACTTTGAAAAGAGGGCACTTCTTGGACTGATTCGGCCATACGAGACCATGGTACTCCATCATGGGGCCCTCATCGGCAGTCTCGGAGATTGACACTGTCCCTTCAAATACAATCTCAGCATTGGCCGGGACCCGTATGGCATTAGTCTCGCACTTGACAACTTCAATCGGCCTTCCGACAAGTGCACCGATGAATCCAGCTTCGTCGGTCCACTTCGGGATCGGCATGCCGCCAACCATGATGGCGGCCGGGGGAACGCCAAAACACAATGCCCATGGCATGTCCTGTCCCTTGTCTTTCCACATTTGGTAAATGACGCCAATGTCTTGTTTGGGGATGATAGGCCCAACAAGATTTCGCTTATCGTGGACCATTGCGCGGGTAATCGACCAATTCGTCCAACGTCCATCCGGTGTTTGAACGATATGCATGCCGAAAGTCTCGATAAATCGTCCTCCATCATGTTGATGTAAGAGAGGGGTTGGCAAAATTGTGAGATCTATATCGTCTCCGAACAGTTGATGCTCTTTCACAGGCCCAGAAGAGACTTCTTTTGGAGCCAACGGTGTGAGCTTCTTAGCTTCATTGATCTTAGCAATGATGTCTTTTCCCGACGCAGTCGACGACAAGCCCAGGGATTTCGCAATACGACCAAGTCTCTGGCCTGGGACTCGGCTCAATCCAACCGGTGCTCCAAGCACTCGAAAAAGACCGTTTCCTTGTCGACCTTTGATGTTCTCGAAAAGAGGGGCCCTGTCTTCAGTCTCATAGACCTTTCGTGTAATCGCTGCCAGCTCCATGGCAGGATCAACTTCTTCTTTGACAATGAGGAGATCACTTTCATCATGAAGTTCTTTGAGGAATTGGCGAAGATCCCCGGCCGCTGTCGGGACGTTGTTCTTATCAACAGCCATGGCGACGAACACACAGAATGAGAGACTTTTAACAGTGAAGCCGTAACAGATGATCGAGAATATTCACTTGAAATTCTTTTCAGGTATGGAGACTTAGATTTTAAGCTAATTTCATAGTTGTGTATAACTGAGTATACTCCAATTTGGGGTACGTGTCTCACAGTACTCCCCAAATTGGGGGTGGGCTTCAACGTTCTTCTGCACACCCCAAATTGGGGGATGGGATATTTACATAATTTTTATAGTTCTCTTCAAACTTATGAGACTGATTTTCCAAAAGAGAAAAAAAAAAATCATATACCTTCCGGGGTTTTCATCAACGTGACTTCTTGTTTTCTTCGCCGTCTTCATGGCTTTCTTTGCACCTCGGGACGATCGTTCCTCGCCCACCCAGACCAACGCCCAGCGAACCTCACCTAGGCGCAAGATAATTGTCGCAATTACAGGTGCAACGGGCTCTATTTTTGGAATCCAGACTCTGATAACTTTGCGCCGTCTGAATGTTGAGACTTACTTGGTCATCAGCAAATGGGCCGAGGCCACGATCAAATATGAGACTGACTACACCATTTCCAACATCCGTGCTCTGGCCGATCATGTTTATAACAGCAATGACATGGCTGCACCGATAGCAAGCGGATCCTTCCGAGTCGATGGAATGGTCGTTGTTCCGTGTAGCGTGAAAACGCTTGCATCGATCAACTCAGGCATCTGTGATGATCTCATATCTCGGGCAGCGGACGTTGTCTTGAAAGAGCGTCGCAGACTAGTTCTGGCAGTGCGAGAGACACCGCTGAGCACGATCCACCTGCAAAACATGCAATCTGTAACGCAGGCTGGAGCGATTATCTTCCCTCCTATGCCAGCGTTTTATATCAAGCCATCATCGCTGGAGGACTTGATTAATCATAGTGTGGGCCGAATGTTGGATTTATTCGATTTAGATACTGCGGAGTTTGAGAGATGGGAAGGTTGGAAGAAGAATTAGCGTGGTTGAGCTCCGTTCCTTTCCCATGTGAAGGAGGCGTTGAAGTGGAAATTATTAATGGATTGGGAGTCCGTGAATACTGGCAGTTTTGTGTATTTTAATTAAGAGCATCAGCATTCAGATCAAATGTAATAATTGATGACAGAATTTTGATCTTCAGAACCAGTGGCTATTTCGTGTAAAGACCTACCAAGTGAAGCCGGCCCTGGGTCATTTCAGCCATTCGAAAAAGCCGGATTTGAGGATATCTGAAGCAAACAGAAACAAGATCTAAACAGCAAAGGATAAGAACGCAGGTTTAGGTGCTGAACCACGGAGCTCGTATGCCGATCTGGCAAAGATGGTAGATCGACCGGTCGAGATGGATAAACCAATGATCAAATAACAACACAGCGCATCTGAAGAAGAAGCCCGAATATTAAGTCAATTATTGCTAGGGAAAAGGGGTTATACTACCTATCTTCTTATATCCCAGGAGAAACTATCATATGTGTAGTGACTGTAGATAGAAAAGACATCAACGCCTCTCCACCACATCTGACCCAAAACATTCAGCACATCGCTCTTCTAATGATTATCTTCCTATGACCTGAGATTGACAATTTTATTATTCTTCACTAGTACAGAAATTAGTCTGGTCGAAGGCCAACCCAAAGAGAATAATGAGAGACCTCTAGATATTACTGCGTGTCTCTAATATCCGTTTACAGTACGCCATGAACGAATAATTGACCTATCAAGTGCACCGTTTTCCAGTAGTAGAGCTACTTAAATTACACAATCACAACAGTACATGAATAGAGACAAATATGATGCGAAGCTTTATCAACCAAAGAAGAATAGAAATAGACCGTCAAATGCTTTGCCGCCGATGGGAAGACACATCGTTCCACCTCTATCATCATATCACCACCACTACCGTTTCTCCAACCATCCAATGACAGATCATGAGGATGGCTTATGATAAAACATCATTAATATAGTCAGCCTGGCTCTCGTCCTGGAATCCGAAGGAGCGGTAATATTCTTCCTTTGCCTGCGCAAAGGGCTTGCATGTGTTGACAGCGCCGCTCTGATAGCTATATGTTAGTTTCCCTGGGTCTTGTCGTTTCATTTGACATGGATGGACAATTTCATGTTGAAAAACATACCGAGCCACTGCTTGCGCAGCACATAGGTCCGTATCCTTCGTCATTGCATGCGTTGGGGGAAACGCTATCTTCCATAGGTTTGCCTGTATCATTGAGGGTTTGATAAGCATTCGATGACTTTTTCAAGATGGATCCCCTCTAACGAGCTCCACGAATACATGGTCTCGGGCTGTATCATTGAGGCACATACATTGGAATGAAATTGCGGAGCTGAGTTGGACTCCACTCAGGACAGGAACAAGCTCGCCTAGGCCGTGGACGATCGTCCGGGATGTCTGTTCGAGAGACATGCAGCATTGCTTGAATTGCTTTTGCGGGCATTGATAGGCTCCGACGGGGGTCATAGATGGAGTAGCAATGGATGAGAAGATTGGTGACGGTATAGCAGCTTTTGTAGGTGTGGGCCTTGGTGTAGTGTTTTGGGCTACTACGGGAACGGCAGCCGTAATGGTGAGCAGGGTCGCAAGGGAAGTGAAAACTGATGGAAGATGCATTTTGTTGTTATTTGAGTTCTTCTCCCGTTCTCGACTTCTTTCGTAGCTGATTTGTTGTAAAACGTATTGGAGTAGTGGTAAGGCAAGAGAGTGTGTTGCGTGGGCGAACCTCACGCGGTATGATTGCCTTAGAGTGCGATAGCGATTGATTTCGAAATTCAAATCTCGGATGGAGTAGTGTATTATCAAAGAATGAAAGAGCGTTTGACTGAGCCCAGTGAAGGAATGACAAGAGCTAGAAACAGGGCTTTCAATAGGCTGTCGAAGAGCTGCTGGTTGTCGACGAGATGGTGTTGAGGAGTAAAACTAAGCGAGGAGAGAAAGAGTCCCAGGACCCCCAGAGGTCCTCGCATGTCCAATCCTGTTCTACCGTCATAAATGGGCCCGGGAAGTCAAATTAGGATCTGTCTTCTGAAACTACCAAGTACATACAGGCTTCGCACCCTTGGTTGCTCCTTGAATCCCTATTGGGCGATTGGTACTCCGGTGCCTATAGATACCAGTCCAGGGGTTGCAGCCTGGTTGGTGTGTCAGTATTCATAGCTTGTTTTGTGCTCTTTTCAGGTATGCTGAGCCATTTGGAATGTTCAATGTCAGGTACGGGCTTCTCATTGGTGCCAATGCCCTGTGTGCCCGTTACGTTTTGAGATGACTTCTTAGCTGTCGTTGCCAGTAATCGCTTGAAATACTTTCCCATGAGTCAATGTTAGAATATATATTGACTAAGATATCTAGCTCGCCATTATTCCGGTGCGAAAGTACTGTAAAGCGATTGCATTGAGACGCACTGGGGTGTGCTAAATCCGTAATCCTTCGGAATGCAAGGGGGTTCCAATTTGAAGAATGCAAGACCTTGCCAAGAATGCCCTTTCCATCTAGGGGCATAGAGGTGCCTTGTATTACTCTGTTTTGAATCAGGGAGAAGTCACATTGCTGCTCGTTGATAATAAATGACTCGCGGTCGGGTTGACCGTCTCAGTCAAGAGGCATAAATTTAGAACGGAGAACTAATTTGAACGATATGGATTGGCCGTAATAGAAAGCGACATTTCTAAAATGAAGACTTTTGGATGATAGTAATCTCGCGATTCAAATATAGTTGGGAGCAAAGGCCGGTTGTGCGGTGGTGTTGGTAGGTCGATACCGATATATATCAAGGTCCAGCCGCAGGTCTCCCTTGTACTTGAGGTACAGTTGATACCACACCACAACCATAGTGGCACCCCATTTATTGCGAAAGAATGAAAATCGTGTAATTAAAAATATATTTGATTGAAATTACGGAAACTAAATAAAATAGAAAGGGGGGAATCTGATCGCAAAGCTACAACATCTGAGCATCTTCTACTGCATCAATTCTCAAAACAAGATCAGTGAACTCAGATACTCCTGGATAATTCAAACATGAATGTTATTGTACAGGTCATGATGCCAACAAGCGGCACGGAAGGTAGGGTGAGGGGTCATAGGTAAATGTACATGAGCCATTGCAATCATGAGGGTTTGTCTCGAGAGACGTCTTGCATCCACGCTCGAGCATATTGGTCATCACATGGGAAACATCCATGGCAAAACAGAGACAAAGGTCAAATAATACAGAACATGAAAGGAATCAGAAAAGGGGAACGGTTCGCTTGCTCGGTTGCTGGTAAAAATGACAGAAATGGCGTTTTCAAAGCTGTGGGGTTCTCGCAGAGGACCACAGCAACATGGGCGAGAGTGATACACAGGGCGCAATGCCCGAGAGGACTGGAGATATGGAAGAATTTGTGAATAGAACATCATTTGTAGACTGCTCTTATGTCGTGAGACGAATGCTGAAACAGCCACAAGCGTGCCAAATGTATGCGAGGCCATATCAAAAATGAGTGTAGAGAAGGGAATTGAAAGGGGTAAGGTGCAGGGGGCTAGTGAAGATCCTAAGTTGGATCTTACCTGTGCATTATAGGGATTTTCTTGCTGAAGCTGGTGAATGTGAATGGGGATAGGAACTGACAAACGATGTCCAATGAAACTTTGTCCGGCGATGTCACAAGGGGAAAGGTAAAAAGGCCAGAAAATAAGCAACGTGGGGGATAGGCAAAGGGATGAGCTTCACCATTGCTCGACTCGTATCGAGAATATAAGAAAGAATAAGGGCTCAGAAGATGCTGCGCCGCTGAGAAGGCAGAAAAAGCGCAAGCACTTCTCGCGCGACGCGTCAAAACTCCCCAGGAACTCCGCCTCTAGGCAAATAGGGATAAGAATCCAATGTAGCATGATGGGTAACTCTTTTCCGTATTACGCCATCGAACTCCATAAGAGCATCGAGGTTGAGGCATGATCACGGTCATTTCATAGCACATGAATGGACCGCTAAGACGGGTAATGTTTGTTGTCAGTAAAGAATACATAAATAAATGCCAGTGAGATCGACATGCCTTGATTCAATCTGTAACGCTAATATCTCGAGGGCTTGGCCTCATTGGGACTGCGTACTGGCCTGTGACCGTGCTGCCGAGTGCCGTGGCGCGTTGACACAGCAGAATTGGCTGAAGGTGGAGGGCCACTAGCTTGACGAACTAGAACACCATTGCTAGATACACCGCTGTTGCCGCTGCTCTGACTACTTCGGCTGCTGGTACCGCAGCTGCCGCTACCTTCATCAAGGTCGACGAAGGACGACATTTGTCGCTGGGTATATTCCAGCATGGTTCGGTTATAGTCCTCCAAAGAGGTATGCGGATCCAACGATCTTTGGGTCTCGACAAGATTTTCTGTAGGAGGCTGGCCTCCAGACTCTGGGGGAAACATGGAATGAAGGCTATTTGCAGGCTGTTGCATTTGATGGCCTTCGGTCATGGCGGGAGTTGTCTAGCAGGAAAACGAGGTCAGTAAGATTAACCCCCAGAGAGAGTACCGATAGGATGGCGATGGTGACCCTCCACGTGGATGCCTAAGCAAATTGTCGTTGGGTATGATAAGACAATATATTGTTAATAAGGACAGGACTTCACATTATCCCGTAAGACGGGTGTTTGAGGATCCATAGAAGTCATACGTGGAAGGAGGGGCGAGATCATCGTGAACAAGCTAACTTACCTTCTAACCAACAAACTGGGATCAACTTGGTAATTTGGGCGGGTGGAAAGGCAGAACCAAGGACGGGAAATTGTGCAAGTGTTGTACTGACAAGGAGCCTAGTAGAAATAGAAAGTGCTATGGGGCGGTGTCACAGGGTTAGGGCATGTACGAGGGAGCTAAATAGAAAATGGAAAGAATTGAGATCCGTTTTTGAGGACGAGGTATATATATGCTACCGGCGTTTGGGAGAGGGGAAGGGAATTCCACCTCCGAGTATGAAATCACAACGAGAAGATCGAGGATGGTAAAAGAACTCCGGGGTGACCACCACTGAGCGCTGCCGAAAATCAGCGTCTATGATCTCCTGGGAGGGGGAAAGGGGGTCCATGGGTCTCGTTCGGTAGAGGTCAGCCTCCATCGACGTACCCAGGCCAAGTGACATCATTGGCTGAGAGGAGGGGAAAGACCGAAGAAGGAACAGATGGCGGAGAGGATCCCTCGCCGTTGGCGAGGCTCACACAGCCGGGGGCGACATCATAAGAACGCTGCTGTCCTCCCTCAGTCTCGGCCTATTTGTGCTCCACGCGCCCCTCCCCCCTTTCCATCCCTCTGGGCTCGGTGGGTGGGGAGGGAGGGTACTGGAACCTGGCCGTGCGTGAGTGTGGGTTGTGGACGAAGGCTATCATCATGAAATAAGCCACCTCCACATCTTCACTGGGACTGGTGCAGCAGCTGCAGCGGTAGTATTAGTTGGCCACTGGCGGATAGGCTAGCGAGTCCCGATGAGGTCACTGGGGAATGCGTGAATGGACCAGCCAGAGGCGATGGCGTTTTGGGATCGGCAATCGCAGCAGACCGCGTCCCCTGCAGATCTTCGTCTGACGTTTAGACGACGAATCATAATCCCGCGAGACGGGGGTCCTTAGATCATCAAGGCCTCGTTATGCAGAACCCGCTGCATCGACAATGGGGGCGAGGGCGACGGAAAGCGCTCTGGGACATTTCCGGTGGAGCACTGCATCCGGCGAATGCCACGCTATTCCGAAAGAAATGATAGCCGGCAAAAAAAAGGAGAGGGACAGTAGCGAGCAAAGGCTTCTCTGGAGAACCTGGATCCATCGATGGTCTGAAATTGGGCCGAGGATCAGCCCTTCTGACGTCCCGTCTCTCCACCTTCACTGTCTTGTGCTGATCTGTGTTCGTTCTTTCTTTTTATTTTTGGTGCCCAGCCATTGCCGGCTGCTCTGGTTGCCGTTTATTTTCCCTTTTGCGTCGGATTTCAAGTCGGAGTCCAAGTTGGAATAGTGGAGAGCCAGAGGAGTGCTGGTTGGTGGTTGGTGGATGGTGGGTGTGGTTCAACAGAACTGAGGCTCGGAAAGGTGGAGCGCTACGTCATACCCCCAAATGTCGGGGCGATCCGAGCTTCGATTTGGCTTCGAGTCTCCCGAGGCGCTCGACATTATATACAATGTACACCTCTCTCCGTGAACAATCGGTCCATTAATGGACCTATTTGTTATTGACAGGACATACAGGGTCTGGCACACATCTTCGCGACTTTTTCCGGCCATGGTGGAACAATTCGAGCGCTACTATCCCTCAGTTCATCTTCGATCGCGAGAACCGAGTGACTGTTCTATTCATCTTAAAACATATTTCTTATATGTCAGATTACCGATTGGTATAATGTCTGTATGATGCCGCAGATACGTTCCTGTATCTTCTAGCTCTAGGCTTGCATTTATCATGAAGCTATGAAACTACGAACTTGTGGTATATAACGAATGACTCGTAACGTCCTCTCCTTCCATCCCACGTCACGATCGTACAGGGCGTGCTTCACGATCCAAACGCCCCAAAGCAAAAGAGCCACTGTGGGTCGTATTTGCACGACCGGAGATGTCCATTGGCCTGCGAGGGCGGAGTTTGTTGCCTCGCTCCTTTTATGCCTCAGGCAGAGATGACACCTGACGTCAGTAGCCCTGGGTCGCTTTGGTCTCATAGGTTCATACATTCAACCATTGCGAGCAATGGATCCATTCTGTACTCCCAATCTTAACAATTGACACTGCTTGTGATGACCGCATATATTTTCAATCGTTGCAGTCTTTAGCAGACTCACTAGCATCGGATAACTACGTCTCACTATCATAAACGCCACCGGGGAGACAAGGGAGAAGGGCCCGTAATGAATAAATGAGAAAAGATAAAAAGATGAAGCATTTTGTGCCCAGAGCATGCAGAACTTTTATGTACAGGGGAAAACTGAAAATTCAGACAAGCACCAAAGATATCTACTAGCCATGATAGCATAGCATATCTACATAACCAACAACTCACGCCCGTGGGGCTGGGAGGAGTGATGAGGATCAGGTCCACCCAAGTGTTGCTTCTACGAACTCCTCGTGACTGCAATTTTCGCAGATGAGGATCGTCCCAAGCGGAGATAACATATGGCAACCAGTCACAGCACGTCCGGCAAGACTACTCCATACATATAGGTACAGAGCGCCAGGGTCCGGACGATGAGTTTTCGCCATCATAGCGGGGGAGGCAAATGAAATCACACCCTATGGCACGTACGACCAGCCCCATACTTTGTCTTCTCCCGAGGTAATCTTCGCCTCGTATGCTCCAGGCTCCCAGTGGGGCTCCTGCGGCATTCTCAATAACCCACATGTACGGAAGCTTTGTCCTAGGTCTGTTACTCATGTACCTTTTAAGACTGTGAGACCTGGAAAGAGGACACAGCTCCCGATAATCGTATCGAAATAAAGTGCCTGCACTGTATTGACTATTGGAAAAGGGGAAGGGGGCCGGGAAGCAATGCCACGACGTCAGAGGCGGATGGCGCGCAGAGCTTCTTAGTGACAAAGGCTAAATTAAAGACCTAGAGCAAGACTTGCCAAAGATCCTATTTACTCTGTACGAAAATTGCTCGTTGGCCTTAGTTCCTTCTACAGGGACAATACTTTTGTCACTCCATACGGGCACGGGGCGATTTGATTCCACAAAAAAAAGAAAAAGAAAAAAACAGAGATGACGCTGAGTGAAATCACCTCAACACGGCCCTGTGCACTGAAAATCAAAAGAAAACTCGGAGTTCCACTGTTCTCTTGTACGTGGAGATGGTCTCGCTCTTGACTCTCGGGCGAAGCACCGAGTACCATCAGAGGTCTGATCGCAGACAAAAGTCATGAAATTCGCTAGTCGAGCCCAGGCGATGATAGACTTGGGCCCAGCCTCTTGCCCAACCATGCGTCATGCACGTCAGGCCGCATCCCTTCATTGAATAGAGTCCTGTAGTGCTGAGATGGCACCTGTGAAGGCCCCCGACATGGCAAGCCACGTAATCTATCCTGAGAAAGGCCGTTAGAGTGACCGGGGCTACTGCATTCTAAAGACAACGATCTCTCCTTGTCTTACCAGCTCGGTATCTTAAAGATCAACCTCGATACTCGGGTCTACTTGGAGATAACAGAGTTCAGCGTAGAAAAATCGTAGACTTCATAGCGCCCCCAGAGGTGATACTGACGGGGAGTGCCAATGCCTTCTCTGAACCACAATCGACTCCAATGATCTCATCCTCCACCGACCCAGCAAAGATGACATTACGAAGGTCGAAATCACCGATATTGCCTAGGACTCTACCCGAACCTGTCAGACGAGTCATACCCTATGAAGTCACTCAGTCGATCAAGCTGAAACAACGATGTGCTCGGTATGGAACACAAATATCAGACCACCATCGTTGCACTTCAACGTCATGGGTCCGGCAAACGTCATTTGCCGCCCCAGCGTTGAAGGGCCCGGCATGTTCTATGTAAAAGAACAATGAATAGGCGCGTTGATGAACGTGGTGGGTGCAGCACGCTTGTGGTGAATCTAAGCTCCAAAGTCTAGACTCGAAAGAAACCTGTTTTGGTTCCCACAACGTCCAACGCCCGTATAACACCTGTGGATTGCCTCTCAACAAATATGACGTGAACCGACCAATTCCTCCTCCTGTGCGACCCCTTGAACATTTCTCAAACCTGTGTTCTTTTCAGCGAGGCGAGATCTTTCCGTTGCTCATCGCCATCGGCGTTCGATCCACCATGGCTGGGAGTAGTTGGGGTCCTGGTCAGACACGACCGGGATTGTGAATTGCCATCCACTTTCGATCTCCGTCTGATTTAGTTGAGAACCAATATGCCCGACTCAACGTGTCTGGCGACCTCGATATGACGACGATTAGAGCAAATTTTGGGAGTTAATTCAGAGAATACAGCCAGAAAAACCGGTTGGATGTCGCTGGATACTCGTTGAGTTCTTGGATCCTGCCAATAAAAATCATCAGCAGGTGGGACACATACCACAATAGCTATCGGGGGCGTGAGCCATTGCCCCAAGTCCAATTGCCCGAACTTCCTGCTCTGCTACGACTCCATCCTGGGCACAGGGCATGGATGATTGGTTGGAGAACTAGCCGTTGCCAGTGAGGTATCAGGAAGGCAACACTGATGTTATTGCGTGCACGAATCCTGGTTTCGGACTCAATGGGATAGCATAATTCTAATAGCCTATTATAGCACACATGAGGGGTACACTAGAGTAGAGACGCCGGAAATTTTGCTCGGAAAGTAAAGGAGAAAAAGAACAAAAACGGGGAGGCAAATGCATCATATATTGACTTCATGTTCATCACACGTAACCTAGTAAAAGACGTTAGTACGAATTTTATCTCCAGGACAGACAAGTTCTTGTTGGCCAGCTTTCATCTGGCGAAATTGAACGCAAGATTGACACCTACCCTTCCGCGCGCCCTGGAAAAAGAAGCGCACCACAAAGACCTGCAACGCGGCCATAGAAACCATCATCAAGCTCTCGATCACGCTAAAATTAAAGATCCGGCGCTCAGTGCTGCGGACGGTACTGAAATTGCGGTTCTCACGAGTGCGGAAGTACTTCTGATTGCGAGAGATGGTCGACAATTGGGCAGAAAGCTTGTAGATGGACTCCTCGAGGTTGGTGGTTTGTTCGGGGCTAGCGCCTTGTCGGGAGGGGAGTTGGGCACGTTGCTCGTTCTCGACCTGTAAATGAAGTATGTTAGGGCGATGCAATAACCACAGGCAATTGGGATGTGGTGTGTTGAGTCCGGGTAGTAGGGGCTTATGGTAGGCTTGCGTGATGGGTGTAAACAACGTACGGCAATCTCGAAATCGACCATCTTCTCGGCAAACGTGGACATTTCATTGTTGAAGCAGAACTGGTACTCGCCAATACTCTGTGCTGTGAAGACAAAATCACCCTGGCGTTCCTTGGTTCCATCCATGACGATCTTTCCGCCCGGTGCGGTCACAGTGTAGTCAACATCGAAGGAGCCACCAGATTGGACCTGTAAGCACTCTCACCGTCAGGAATCAATCATTGCGGAGTCAAGGGGATCGCAATAAGATGCAATTGAGTGAGCAAAGCCGGAATTCTAAGTGTACTGACCGCAAAGTAGAAAGCCACTTTGGCGTTTGTCTGCTCAACGTTAGTGAAGAAGCATGCCTTCTCGTTCGCCTCAAGCCTGTAGGTCAAGGCAGTTGCGGAAACCGAGGAGGCCAAAGAAGCCAGGCCAGCGAGAAGAGCGAACCGCATTGTGTCGCAGAGAGAGGTTGAGGGTGACGAAGGGGAATCTCGAAGTCTCACGATCGCGTTTCAGGAGGTCTGGCCAGCTTGGAGGGTCTCAGGACGGACCCCGAAATGTTTGTTTTGTTTGCACCTAAACAAACAGCCTCGCCCGGGCTCGCCCTAGATTTGTAGGGCTGCTTGCATTTGCATTTGTATCGCCTTCTACTCCTACTTTGGAACTATGGAATGACGGGAAACGAACAAAAGAAATGAACCAAAACAGAGAGAAATGAAATATAAAGGGGGAAAGATATGATCATCGCATCAAAGCTGTCAACAGCCCAAATACCGGATTGCAGCATTTAGCCCGCCGCAAAAACCCCACAGCGCCCCGGAAATTACTTTATCGAATGAAAAAGCTCTCGCTCTTGCCCCAAAATCCTCTGCTTTTGCTTGCGTGGTCAAGGCCGAGGTAGTCATCGGGGCCAATTTCATCAGAGAGAATGTCATCTAGCATAATCCAGTTAGTATCTCCTTTTAGAAGTAAAAAAGGCGGCTCCGCCGGCAACAGTGGTACTCACCATCCTCAAGATACTTAGGGGTCGAGAAGGAGGCACGAGGGACAACGGCAAATTTGATCTTCTCAAATGGTTTCCCCTTGATGCTGGTCCTCTTGGAGAGTCGCTCCTTGGTCTCCTTGAAAATTTCACCCTGCACGGTTATCAGTACGCCGTACCCCCAGGAACAAATAAAAGCAAGCAGCACTTACTGGCTTTACGACGAACTTGAACGGGACTCCATGGGTCCGGTTGGGTTCGCGATCAAAGTTGAAGGCACTGATTAAGCGATCTTCACCCTCCAAGTTCACCTCCTCGGCCGGGATACGCTCAGCATACAGCGTCGAGTATTCGTTCACGGTCGAAATATTGGCGTCATCCAGAAGCTCTTTATAGATCTTTCCGCTGTGTGCCTCAAAGATCTTCACTTCTTTAATTGCCTTGTCATCGAGATTAGTCTTCTTTTGCAGTGCGGAAAGAAGCTCGGCCACGGTTCCGTTCCGAGCCACTAGGACCTCTATGACTTCCTGTAAAAATAATTAGCAGAAGCCAAAAGACAAGTTTAAGACATTGAATTTTTTTCCCCTTACCTCCTTTGTGATTCCCTCGGGAAGCAATGTCACCTTGAAGCACTTCTTGCTCTCATAGTCGCTCAAACTCATATCCAAAACCTCATAGTAGAGGGCATCCGGCCGGTGCATAGTATAGCCGTAAGCACCATATTGGCCATTGAGGATTTGAGCCAGAGTTGACGTGGTCGACCGCTTCAGGGGGACCTTGGCCTTGCCGTTACTGGCCATGACAGGAGCAAATCGAAGGTGAGTGGGCTCCACATTCAGGTGCTCCCCAACCTTTTTGGAGAATTGATCATAGGTCATCTTTCGGTTGAGGGGGAGAGTAAACTCATCGCCTTCGCCAACCTTAATGGGAGCAAAGGTAATATCCATGCGGTTCAACAGGTGATCATAGAATTGTCTGGCATCGGTATAAAGTGCCGTCGGTGGAAGCTCCGAATCCTTCACGGATCGTTGGAAAGTGATGATATCACCGTCTTGGATCTCAGATTGCTGGAAAGTTTGCTTGGGTTTCATCACATCGATCATGTTGTGCTTGATTTCTTCGTAGAGAGTAAATTCGGTACCTGCGGGCCACTTCATCATTGAAAGAATTGTTGGTGCAAGATCGGCCACTTTCTGATTCTTCCGAACGTAAACTGAACCAACACCTGACAATGTTTGAGCGACCACATCGAAATTCTTCAAGAAAATGAGGACGGATTCATTGTCAGACCAGTCTGTGGGTTGACCGTCGGGACCAACTGGAGCGACCTCCATCCAAAGACGGAAGAGGTTACCTCTGGTGCCGTACTTGGTACAGGCCTCTTCAACGGTCATCTCTGGATCTCTGATGACCTGGTCGGGACGAGTGGTCTTGTTCTGACGACTGACCATGACCCAAAAGCGGATTGAGTTCGCATTGAGATTACGCTCATCAGCAACCTCTTTCGCGAATTCACTGACCTTTTTCGTGCGAAGAACCCGATATTGTGCGGGCAAAGCAGGATCCTCTGCAGGAAGGTCGGTGCTGGTCAGATCAAAGCCATGGTGTTGCTGGAATGTTTGCTCGGTGAGGACGCCAATGTTCATATAGAGATGAGCCTCTTCTCTCTCCTTCTTGCGACGCAACATTTCTGCACGGTCCTCGACAAGGCGCTGTTCTGTACTTGTCGTGAGCAAGGGCACTAAATCGAAGGGTGTTGGGGTCCACAGGAGAGCTTACCGATGTGAGAGGGCACGTCGTCCGAGCCGATTGGGAGGAGAACATCGTCGCTCCGCGTCTTCCGAACATAAACCAACATGTAGGCATTCATGGATCGCTTCGTTGAAAGTGTTCGTGTATATGGTTGACGAACACCGGCGGCTCCATTTGCAAGTTCATACTCGCCTCCATAGTTCTCCTCCAAAACCTCCTTCTCGGTGGCGCGGTTGACTCGGTCATCATCGAATCGGTACCAGTGGCCATCCTTTGTAGGTTTCAGGAAAGCATAGTAATGACCGGCATCCAGGCCACCGCTGTGAACAAGAACACCGTGCAACTCATAGATCCAGGGCTCGGACTTGTCCGCATTTTCAGAGAGATAAGGAGCTGCGTCAAATTCCATCGGGAATACATGGCGATCGTTGACTTTCATCATGGTCAGGAGGTTCAGGTCATATTCAAAGCGCTTGAGGTGAAGGTGAAGCACGGGCGGGAAACTTTCAAAGATAACCCCCTTCTTGGCATCTTGAAGACCGTACGGAGGACCAGCATCATACTTGTTCTCGCCCTCCAGAGTCTCAACCTGAATATAGTCGCGGAAACTATCATCCAAGGTCTTATTTCCCCGGACATTCAGCTGGATATCCCAGAATTCCTCCACGCGGGAGGACTCGTAGTCGACGTTAATGCAAGAAATATAGGTTTTGGTCTTGCCCACAAATAGGTTGGGCAGATCTTTCTCGGCAACGGTGCCTTTCATCTTCTCTTCCAATCGTTCCATCAGCTTACGGGACAGTTCCTGAACATCTTGTTGCTCAAAGGCCTGTCTTGAGTCCCAGCCAAAGGAGTAGGTCAGCTCGGTGGTGGAAACAGCGGCGTCGTTTGTTTGCAGGTTATAAAACAGGCGCTGAAGAGTCCAAGCACTATTATCACGTGAAGCCTCCTCCTCAGTGGGGATTTGATATACAGCCTGTACTGAAGATTAGAAAAAATTTGGATGGAATAAGAAAAGAGTAGTTATCCATACTTTGCGGAAGGCATTGGTGAAATATAGAGACTGCAAAAGAGAGTTAAGGTAGCAGGTGGCGCCTTGGTTGCGAAGACCCACCATACCGGTCTCCTTCTTGGAATCATAGCTGGGACAGTTTATTAGTCGAGTCCATAATCTAATGTGATGCAAAAGGGTCACGGGTGTGTCATTACTTTTGGAAAGTGTGCCACAGAACGCCAGTAGGGTCCTTGACTACACGAACATAGGCCGTGACATTCGCCTCCTCGTCCTGGACCAAAGGCACATTTTTACCTTCCCACGCATCGTTGAACAGGCTGCGGATATCATAAAAACGGGTAAATCCCCAGTCACCTTCGTCGGCAGTGAAACGATGGGTTGCAACTGAATGAAGACGGTTTAGCACATTTGAGCACGATTTCCATAGATCAAGGGCTTCTATTTACCGTGAGAGACATAAATCGATGGATCTTTCACATTGGACAAGACCAAAGCAAATTGCACACAGGCATACCAGTTCTCCGGTGGTTCGCCCTCCCAAGCATGTTCCAGGTAGAATGACGCGTGCTCAGAGTGGTTGCCATAGGGAAAGAAGAGGATACGCCTATGCCGGGGTCAGACATTGAGCTGTGTTTGAGAAATTTGCAAGAAAATCACCCACCATGGGAAGCCGCCGCACTTGAAGACCGGACCATGGGACTTTTTGTCCATCTTCCGCCATCCTTCGATGTGCCATGTGTGGTAAGTTTCGTCTTCGGTTTCCAAATCGGTGTTTTTGGGCAGAACTCGCGCCATCATCGCCGCGTCTAAGATGCATTTGGTTGCCTTGGTCAGCCTCTGATCCTGATCAAGATGTCGAGTCCCGAATACTTGTTGTCCCCCACAGTCGTTCTCTGCAGGAATCCGTCGGGATACATCGATCGCATCCATGGCCTTCCCATCAATTCCCTGCTCTTTGTTCTGGCCTCGGTCTGACTTTGCAGGGAGGGATGAGAGTGGGGGGTTTGGGGGAGGGGGAGGAACAGCGCCGGTGAAAGAAACCTACGGTCAGCAGCGGATGGCGCAGGCTCGGGCTCATCGGAGCCAGAGCGAGAGACGACGACGACATCGGTCTTTTCACTGGGGTACTGATCGTAGTCGTCGACGAGCATATCATTCTCCGCGAGCTGGAGGGAGGGGAGACGGTTAGATCTGCAATGACGACACACGCGAGGGGCACGGTCGGCAACTCACGTTTTCCATAGCGAAAGGGGCCTTCCCGTCCAGCCGGAAGGCACCTGTCGGAATGGGAGGAAGGTTGGAATGGGGCGAAAGACGAAGAGCGTGCGGACGGACGTCGTTGTCGGAAGGAAATTCTTCTGAACCAGCAGAATGCGAGGGCCGAAGCTAGCGGTGGCGGAGCCGTCACGGACTCGGCAGAGCGATGGGCTTGTTTGCTCGCGGGGGAGAGCGAGGCGAAGTCGCCGGTCTCACTGCAGGGAGAACTTGGATGTGATAGAGACAGAGAGTTGGAGATGCTATCACGGAGACTCCAGACCAAAGTGTCGTGAAGGAGGTTGGAGGGTGTCGGTTGGTAAAAGCCGGTGTGGTGGTTGATCTACTTCCGATTTCCCTGCTCTTGCGGGCTCCAGACCCTAAGCGGCCTCTTGAACTGGGCGTAACAGCACGAAACAAACACAGGCCAGATGAACTCTGGCCCAGACAGGCGGACTAGAAAAATCGGTCGGAGGAATTGGACGGTTACAATCTTCGACTGCAGGCTACGACTGTGGATTTTCCCGCTCCTCGCTACTGTACAGTCTCGTGCGTTCAGACCCCGTGGTTCAATATCTTCCTCCAGGTATTGTGGTTTCCCCGGTCGGCGGGAGGACGGAGCTAGTGATCACAGGCGCACTCTTCAGGGCCAGCGTTCGAGCTCATTCGTCCAACGTCATAGTCAAAGCCACTGAGACGAAGACGAGCAACCCGGTCCCTTCGACGTATCCGAATCCAATGCATTGACTGGCTCGAATCCGATCAATCTGGACCCTTTCTCCATGTCACATGCTTCACCGCCCTCTGCCACATGCAAACAGCTCCTCATTTCCATTTTCCGACCAGCTCCCTTGGTTGTCCCGGACCTCCAGACGGACTTCCAGACAGACTGCATGGAGCATAATGCGGTCGAGTCGTCCAGCTCGATGCTGGTTCTCCTTTCGACGTGCTCCCCAGCAGCGCTTCTATTCCGGCGCGCAGCCACCACCATGGCGGCCGGTCTCGGCGGTGGATGAGTATGATTCACTCGCTCCTGTGCCGAGGATGGCGTTCTTTTCTCTCGTCCAGTGACTGACTTGTCGGCATCGTTCGCCGCCATTGTAGATGGGTGGAACGCCAGATTCGACCGATCAGTTTACGCCAGTTGACCTTCTTTGGCCGAACGTTGACCGAGCCTCGACTCATCAGCTCGGCGAACTATGTGCGGACCGAGTTACCGACGCGGTGTGTCCCTCCAGGATCACCGGGCCATTCCCGGAGCATCCTAGCAAATACTGACGGCAATGCTTTATAGGCTGGCGCACCGCCTTCGAGATATTCAGCAGTTGCCCTACGTGGTCGTCTCCAACCCGCATCTGTCTCTTGTGTACGAACTGTATTACAAGGCCTTTGAGCGATTTCGGGTCATCCCCGAGATCCGCAGCCTTGACGATAACGACCGATTTTGTGATGTCCTGCGGGAGATGCTGAAAGAGCATCTGGTGGTGATTCCCAATCTGGCGATGGGAGTTCTTGAGTGCCGCGATCTTGTGCCTCCCGAAGACATGGATCGGTTCATGAACACCCTCTTGCGTGCGGTATGTGTCTGACTATGACCCAATATGACCTTGTCCCCCCTCTTGAGTCTCAGTCTCTCCCTTAGCTAATCTCTTTTTGGTTTCCTGCAGCGAATCTCACGTCGTGTCATCGCAGAACAACACCTGGCCCTCACCGATACGTTTAATTCGCCATGGCATTTCCCCGACTCGCATGAGAGAACTGATATGAATGCCGACTTTGTAGGCGAAGTGTTTCTGAAATGCCAGGCCAAGGAGGTGGTTGAACGGTGCGGGAAGGTCGCGCAGGATCTGATGCGGCAGACGTCGCAGTCGGCCCAGCTGCCCGAGATCCGGGTTCAGGGTCATCTGGAGGCGACCTTCCCGTATATCCTCAGCCATCTCGAATACATCGTGGGTGAGCTACTGCGCAATTCGGTACAGGCCGTCCATGAGAAGTACCAGGGATCTTCGCAGGCCCCGCCGCCCATTGAGGTGCTCATCTGCGAAACCCCACAGCACGTGATCATGCGCATCTCCGATCAGGGCGGCGGCATCCCGCGAGAGATCTTGCCGTATCTATGGTCCTTCAGCAAGGGACCGCGCACGCAGTCTCGGCTGGAGAATCTCGGCCAAGTCCCCGCCATGGCGGCGACGATGCAGGAGTTGAAGGTGTCCGAGCGCAAGCATGAGGCATTCCATGAGGGCTCGTTGGATTCCCTCACGTCACGGCCGCCGAACCTGCGCCTGGGCATGGGACTTCCGATGAGCCGGGTCTATGCCGAGTACTGGGCTGGAAGTCTCGAGCTACACAGTCTGGAAGGGTATGGCGTGGATGCCTTCTTGCAGATTTCGAAGCTGGGGAACAAGAACGAGCAGGTGACAACGCGGGCGGCAATTGATGCAGTGTGATGGACATCTTCTCTCCTTCGTCATTTCCCCCCTCTCGCTTTCTGGGAGTTGATCCGTATCCATTGTCTCTCGTGCTGCCTGTGCTGTTCTAGAGTCCCTGGTCTGTACTGTGAAATCGAGTCTCGACTCCTAAGCAACCCGTAGACGCTAGCGGGATGACGTCACCGTCAGCCCTACCAACGAGCAACAACACCCAATGGCCCCCCACGAACCACATTGCATCCCTGCAAGACCTGTCATAGTCGTCGCGCTGACGTCTAGCGCCGATCATGAAACGCCTCAACTCCCCCAGGGATGATAACATTCCTATTTATATCTTCCTCCTCCTCTTCGCCATCCTCCTTCTCAGCTTCCTTGCCACCTCCGACTCAAAACGCGTTGCCAAACCCCCGCCTTCACAATAAATCGAATCGAAACTCGCTGTCCAAGCTGACTAGCAACTGAACGGAGAAAACAACCAACCCAACAACCTTGAAACTTTTGCCCATTATGGCCGGTGCCTGTTCGATGCTGTGTTTGATTCTCATCACTATCTTCAGTGAGTGCCGTCTTCTCGATCAGTTCACACTCTTGTCACCCGTGCTTTTATGGGAGATAATGCGCCCAGCCTAGTCCCCCGCTCCCTAGCCGCCCTCGGGTCCAGGCATCCAAATTCCAAAGCGCTCTAACACACCTTCCAGTTCCTCCACTCGGAGTATTCATGATCTCCGGTTGTAGCGGCGACTTCTGGATCAATGTTCTCCTCACAATTCTCGGGTATGTCCTTGCACCTTGATCCCTTTCACTATGTTGGAAACGCCTACACCACCGATCACCCCCCTGATCACGCTGTGCAGATACATCCCCGGCCACGTCCACGCCTTCTATCTTGAGTATGTATACTACGATCGCCGGAATCAAGACCCAGCGACGCGGGCCTACCTGCGGCCAGCACCCGGTGTCTATTCCAACCGCATTCAGAATGGTGGCCACAAGGCTCCCCGCCAGTATGGTACCATCTAAGACCTTAGCAACGTGGAGACGGATGGATGATGGCTTGTGATGATTGTGTAGTTTGTGTGCAAGCGATTGCGTTTCATGTGTCTTCCTGGGGTGTCTACTTATTCGAGAACCCCACTTTATTGTTCTGAAATCATCGAGTACCCCTTGATCGCGCACACCTATTGATATCCTCCTATTAACATCGTTTAATGAATAAACTTGATCCGGCTACTCTCTGTTACATCCGAATACTCAATAACACTGAACAGACGAGTACATTCTTTCTCTTTGTATACCGCAACTAAGTACTCTTTTAAGCAAAAAGCATGCGTCCCTGAAAAAAAAAGACATTCGATCAACTCCATCCAAAGGAGAAGGCAGAATGCCCTTTTTTAATCACTCTTCTGCTGCCCTTCGGTCTTCTTCGCCTTCAACGCTGGGAATTCAAACGCCGCACTCTGCACCACCGTCCCCTCTGTCCGTGGGACCGCTCCAGAGCCGGGCGACCACCACAGCGCGCCCACCCACGGCTGAACATTCCACCCTACAGACAGCGTCACGTTCTGCCGCTCCGCCAGCCGGCCCGTGACATCGCTAACCTGGTACTTGGCCTTCTGGCCGCGCAGCCGCAGTAGCCCTGGGGCCTCGACCTTCTTGGGCGCCTTGGCCGATTTGCTGGCGGAGGTTTTGGAGCGGCGCTTGGGGGAGGAGCCCTTGATGGTGGAAACGACTGAATCTGGGAGCAGCGCAGTGACTTTTTCGGTCATCGCCTCGAAAGAGTAGGGCGATGGCGCGGCGGGAATGATGATGTCCCAAAGGACGACCTCAGAGTACGGGACCTGGGAGCTGGGCACGTCGGAGGACGAGTAGGTCGCGTAGACGTAGACGAAGAGCTGCTTGGTATTCCAGTTGAAGAGGGGGGTTAGGTCCGCGTCAAGGTCGAAGCGAATCTGGGCATATTCTTCGCGCTTGGTCGAGTAGTAGTGCGGTCGGCCCTTGACGCTGGGGAGGAGCAAGTGCAATGTTAGCGGCGGGGGTCTCTTTCTAGAGGTCCAAAGGGTTTGGATTATGGAGCTCGATCTTCTTTCTGGCTAGGCGCGTGTCAGAGGAGCGAAGCGACACTTACACCTGGACATTCTTGAGCTGCACCGACGCTGTCGTGGCGTCTGTAGGGAATAGGAGCACCGAGAGCGCAGCCAGCCCGGCAACCACCAGGGCGACAGTGGTGAAGAAGCCGAAGACGGACTGCACGCGGTTCAGAGAGGAATGCATCACGCCGGAGTGAGAGATTGTCAGGGTCCGAGGTTGACAGGGCGCGGATGAAGCCAGCTGGGCGTGTTTGGGGCTTATCGGGGCCGCGATAAGCACGGCTCCTGTATATGCGGAGCCGTGGCTTTGATTTAATGCGCCAATTCCCGAGCTCATCCTGCTCTTCTTTTGATGCCCGTTTCGATCAAATTCAAAGCATAGTTTAATTCCAGAAAGAGTAATAGCTGGGTGAAATTTCACCGTCCATAGTCTGTCTCATCATGGGCGACCATGTCCTTTTCTTCTACGGTAATTAACCCGGCATATTCCTCCGCACCACACCAGCAATCTGTCGACCACATAGCTTACCAGAAGTCCAGGGACCCTCATGGCGCCCCAGATATTGCACCGTGTGGTTCATGGTCACCCAGACCCCGAACCTTGGCAAAAGGCCATGCTACGCTTCCAACCTGCGGTGTTGAACGGGTACCGGCGCCATCGTGTGCGGGGCGCAGACTATCCGGGGATTGTGCCAGCAACCGAGCCCTCCCCGCCAGGTTGTTCGTCTGTAGCATCCGTACTGGGTACTTTAGTATCTGGTCTGACAGACGGCGATATTCACCGTCTAGATATGTTCGAGGGCAGTGAATATACCCGAGAAACCGTCCATGTGCACACGCTGCCTGAACCGTCGCATCCAACCGATGAGACGGGTTCAAGTACAGACGGGCAGTTGAAAGACGCGCTGGATGCAGCTGGGTCTCAAGGTCAAATCGAAGGGGATAAGGTGGCTGCTGTCACGTATGTGTGGGCTGCAGGCGTGGAGAGGCTGGAAGAGGCAGCGTGGGATTTTGAGACATTCAAGCGCGAGAAGATGGCCTGGTGGGTCGAGGCGGATGAGCGTGAGTGGTAAACGGGGGTCAACGATAGATATAGACAATCTGAACTAATCAAGCAATGAATAGTGATGCTGTTTTCACAAAGAATATCATTTTACATGGCTGGACTCACGCCCGCATCTATGCTAGCATACTCGTAGTAAACAGGCCCTTTTGACCCGACCAACGCCTCTAATCCCCATGCTTGGAAAATGCAACATACACGCCGAGTTTGGACAACAATTTGGAAATATAGAAACCATAAAACCCGATAAATGCGACGAAACTCGCACGGAGAAATGCGGTACTCTCATGGTGACAGAGAATATAGTAATATGATTCATTATAACGATGACGCTGAAAACACAAGTAGGTATCAAGAACGACAAAGTGGTGCACAGCCTTAGCTTTTGCGCGCTTGCCACCGTGGGCTTTTCCGCGCTGGTTTTGGGGTACCAGGTGGTGGAGTAGCTCGGATCTGAACCTCGACTCTTCCAGATTTTCTGCTAGCGAGTCTCGCGTCTGTTTCTTTCGAGGGCTTTTTCTGCTCTCCGCGACTCCGCGGCTTTGGTTCTGTAGACGCCATGGGTGCCTCCTGGCTGTCGGGGACCTCAACGACTTCTGAATCACCGGGCGAGGCAGTCGGCTTTGGGAGCGCGGCTAGAGGTTTTCTTGATGGTTCGTCCTTTGGTGGGCGTACTGGACCCGAGTCTGTTGGCACCAGTTGAGGAGTATCTCCACTTGAGTCATTCGGCTCTGCGCTTTCTTCATTGAGAAGGCCATCATCCTTCTCATGAACCTCCTTGTCTACAGATTTGTTGTCGACCTTGGAAGAATTAGGGTAAGGTATCTCCACGGTATTTTGATCCTCGACCGCTTGAACTGGCGGTGGTGGCCCCAACAAAAACGAGACTGGCTGCTGATCGGCCATCAGACCCTTGTCGCTCTTCGTCTGTGCCTGCTCTTCATAAAGCCTATCAAGAAAATCCCGAAGACGCAGCCGAAGCAGACCAGATCCTAGCGGGGGCCAATCATCGTGCTCGTCCATCTCTTTCTGGAGAAGTTTTGCAATAAATTGGTCAGGGTTTTGAACGAACTTCTCCGTGTATGCCAGCAGATACAGCCCACAGTCGGAATAATTTGGCTGGAGGGGGATCGCACGAGCGCGCATGCCCTTTATGTTGGTGGGATTGACTTCAACGCCCCGTTTAGATGCAGCCTCCTGACAGATGTAGTCCCGCAACAGTTTGATCGTTGGCGAGCGGCCAAGGTCAAGAGAATCGAAGGTGATAATGGTGGGCTGGCTAGGGTCTAACCGGTGGCCTCCACGAGCTTTCTTCTTGGGCTGCCGAGCTAACTGCTTAGCAGCAGTGGTGGAAGCGACAGGCTCGGCCTGTACCGGCGGAGATAATTTGGCGGGAGTCGAAGTATTAGTCTCTTCGCCATCGGGCCAATCCTCGCTTGCGGAGGCGGGATCCTCTAGTTTATCTGCCTCATTAGATGCATTTGTGAAATCATCAAGGGACAAGGAAGCAAGCGATGCTCGCGTGGCCTGAGACTTGGGGGATTCAGACTGATCTTCCGCCTTCTTCGCAGTATTGTCTTTTGGATGCTCAGGGGAGGCTGGAATTGGCTCAGGCTCCGGAGATTCAACGATCTCTTGCACCTCGTTCTCCGCCGGATTCGACCGTTCTTCATCGCCTGCACGTATGGCAGGAGATTCAACGCGACTGGCAGACTCGAGTGGCAAGCTTGGCAGGTTGCAAATGATGGCGACATACCAGTGAGCATTTTGGTTAATGGGAACGACAATGTACTTGTAGCTGAACAAGTCGACGTTGCGGGTCCATTTCTCTACACCACTATAATTGATCTCACGGGCACCCTTATTGGTGAGAGTAGCAAAGAAGTAAGAGTTGAAAAAGTACACGTGCTTCGCAGCCTCCGAGTTGGTGCGCTCCAGGTGATCTTGCAAAAAGCGCATATAGAACCCGATAAGGTTGTCGTTAAGGAACTCATCATCACGAAGCCGGTCGCGGTCCTCGACGTTGACCTCGGCCTTTTTCTTGCCAACTCTTGGATACACCAGCGGTTTTTGCCATTTTTTCCGGAATGGATCTTTCTGGAGCAAGGATTTGAGTTTGCCCTGAGATATAACTTCGTCACTTTTCGTTTGGCCAGACAGTCGGGCTGTGCGCCTTGTAGTTTGTCGTGTTGTCCGTTCAAAAATGCCGTACGATTTCTTGACAGGAATATCAATCCCCTTGTCAGAGTCGTCTTCAATTTCTTTGGACGTATCTGCGACATCCATGACATGTGACAACGATTGGGGCTGTTTGAGTTGATTTTGACGGGAATTTCCTGTATCGTCCTGCAAAAGAGACGAAAGTTTCTTGCGAGTGATCGGAACAGTAGACTCTGGAGGGGATACTCTTTCAATAGAGTCGTCAGGGAGAGAGCGCTTAGAGGACAGAGCATAATTTGCCATCTCATGTTCATGCTTGGAGAATATCTGGTCCATTTGTTCTCTTCATCATTATTAGTTGACGTAGACATGGTTAAAAGATGCCGGAACACTTACGCTTCCTTGAACTGAAGGTTGATTGCAGCTTCAGCTTCTTTCACCATCTTCAAGAAACCAATCTTGTCCGATTGCCACAGGAAATCAATGTCGACAATTTTGCCAGGTGCGTCTTCATAGTGTGACAACTGCAAGCGGACCTTGCGATTCGCATGACATTCTGCTCGCAGAGCTGTCCTGATATAACGGAAGAAAATATCAACTTTCCTTGAACCGGTAATGTCTTGCCCAAGTTGAATTTTCTTGTCATCCAGAACAATGGCCACTTCTTCGCCTTTCTCAACTTTTTTGCTGATATTCCCGAATCTAATGGATGAGATAAAAAGTAGAGTAAGGTCTGAGCTCTCATGCTGATGTTTGACTTTCTTAGACCTCCGACGAGGGGATCTAACGAAATCGGTAGGTCGAATGTCAGTCGGTGAACGTTTGCGAGCCGGAGACAGGGGCTGTTCTCTGGCCACATTACGGTGACCTTGAATAGGCCTGTCATCAAGGTTCCTGGGTATTGGTTGAGTAGTAGCCTCTCCTTGGATTTCATCTGAGCTTTCTCTGGACCCACTCGCATTCCCAGACCCATTCAATAACATTGGAGATTGGGATAAGGCCTCAGGCTGAGGTTGGAGATTTTTAGATGTTTCTTTTCCGTGGTGTAACTCGATACTCTCGAGTAGATTGCACCTTGGCTGATTAGGGCTGCTGGAGTTTGTCTGTGGTGGATGTCTGTCCTCGTTGTGACTTAGAGAACGCCTTTGAGCGGCAGCCTGTACTGTGAATTGCTCGTCTTGGGAATTGATTGAGGGTAAACGACCCCTCTGGGATAGATGGGGGCTCCGATATATTTTGACCAAATCGTCTACATTGCGGTACTCATCGAGCCAACGAGGATGGCGCCCGCTGGACCTCGCTTTGCCGGAATATTGACTCGACCCAGGTGAGGCACGCGAGACATGATTTGCAGGCGGTGAGATCTCTGCATTCCAGATTGCTGGACCAGCCAGGCTATCCTCAGTTAGATCAACCGCGTTGCGACCTTCTTGGCGCCGTCGTTTGTTCGGCCGCCCGGATTCATCAAATACGGGCGCATCATCTAACTGTGGTTGGGTTCGTCGAGTAAGAACACCTGCTTTGGTAGTCTTTCCTTGGGCGCGAACAGGTCCACTTTCGCGAGAATTTTTAGAAATCCTGTCTGTTGGCTGGAACGCTGAAGAGGCCTGTCATTCCTTGGGGTTAGTCTCTCACGGTTGATCAACTGTACGACGTGATAATAAAAACACATACCCCTGGCTTGGTCTTCTTTCGAGTAGCGCCTGGGGTGATTGGCGTGGCATTACTGTCCCTGAGAAGGCAAAATTTAATCCGTCAACCTAATTCTTTCAACTTTTTTTGATTTTGCGCTCTGAATCTTCGCATTCACTCAGTAAACATACCCATACTTCTGCGCCCCGAACAATCGAGCCTCATCCTGGCGGTCCTTGCTCAACATCTGCGGATGGTCACCCAAACTGGACACGAGGGTTATCAGCACTTGCTTTTTGGCGGGGTGGCGGTACAGAGGCATATATACCGGGCACCGAGGTCTGGGTCTATGACGAACTGCGAAGGCGGGGACCGCAATTGTCGACTTGATGATGGAGATTCAGACGTGGTCGTAAAATCGTTGTCATAGTTTTGAGAGGTCTGCACAGCGCAATCAGTCTCCATATAAGGAATAATCGAGTGTTGGGAGAAAAAAAAACGGCCGAGGATGTAGATTGTAATAGGGAACAATACATGGTCTCGAATGAAACAAGTTGGATATCTGACTCGTTTGTACACAGAAAAAGGGAGAATGAGAGCAAATCGAAGAAAATCCTTGGCGCGATATGTGTGTTGGGAGAGCTCAGGTTGCTACGAACCTGTGAAGTCTTGGGATCGCCAGCCGAGAGGAAGTTGGAATCAGACGGTTGATCGAGGTCGGATTCGGAACCAAGGGAGAACTCGTTCTGGCGCTTCTTTATAGAAGACCTGGGGGCCACCTTCAAGGTGGGAGAGGGCGAGGGACAGCGAGTGGAGCGGGCGTTATGAGCGCGCTGCTGCGAGCGCGAATTGCGGCGGTACTGGGCCGGCCGTTGATGATCGTCGGCTCGGCGGCGCGGAGACAGGCTGGCAAAGATCTGGGCGAAGTTGCCAAAGAACGACATCCAGGCTGGGCCTTTGGCTAGGGCAGGATCATGTACGACACATGTCCCATCTTGCGGGGTTCTTTTTGCTCTGGATTCACACATTCGCGGTCTGCGGTTTCTGGTTCTCGTCGCCGGGCGGTCAGCTCGGACTGCCTTTTTTTGTCAGGCACTATACTTCCAACATCCAACATCCAACAGTTGGGAACCTGTAACATGGTATCCCAAGATGAAACTTCCTGGAGAATTGGTCCAAAGGCCTACGGAACACACTGTGGTGAACTTGACTCCTTCGAAAAGACCAAAATTCATTGAACCTGATAGTCAGAGATGGTTGATTTGGAGCCATCCACAAAACATCGGGTAGCTAGACTGGGTAACATCCAGGTATGACGTGGTGCAGGGCACAGCTGCAGGGTTTTTTTTGTTCGCACAGGAAGGGGTGGAAGAACAAAAGAAGAAGAGAAACATCACGCATGAGCTCGGAAGCAAAATAAGACAGAACAACATAAAAGTTCACTAAGACATAAAAATCAAATAAAACCGCTGAGTTCGCCTCGATGCCCCACCGTCCCCCCAGACCCAAACGCATCCCAATGAGTTAAGTTGTGCAGAATATCTTTTTTTTCGGTTTCGATGTCGGATGTACTATACAGGGCTCAAGGCCAGGAGTCCCGGGGGCCAGGAGCTTCACAAACTGGTTCCCTTGCCTTTGTCCGATTCCTCATGGCCAGTGCGTCGTCGTTCTGTTCCGATATGGCTTCCAGAGTTACCGGCCGTAGCCTTCTCGTGACGTGCTTGGTCAATGGCGGACCGTTGAGCAATGCTGTCATCATGGCTCTTCCAGACGATGTTGGTGTCCAGTGGGAAGGCGAGCAGGCGCTTTATCGTTTCTCTGCGGCGCAGGGTTAGTGTCTGTATAACCGGGAAAACAAAAAGCAAGATGTCTGCTGGATTTGGCGCCATACCTGATCTTAATGTTCCGACCGCCATCGATCTTAGTCCACACACTCAACACATCCTCGCCACCTCGTACGCTCAACACGGCACCACAGACCTCATCGCCAGCCTCCGCGAACTGATCGCCCACCATGGCCAGCAGCAGATCCTCCCAGTACCGGTCCGCGACACCCTTCTTCAACCGAACAATCCACTTTCCACCTCGCTTGTTAGCCTCATCTTCCCACACCGGGCGAATGCCCTTCTTGAAAATGTGGTAGTCAGACACTGTGGGCAGCTGCGATGGCCGCTTCAGATGAGAATACACCGCCCAAAAGCTCTCCACTGATGATATCGACGCCAGTGGCACCGTGGACTTCTCGTAATCGGAGTACTTGGGGGTCGGAGGGCGGTACCAGACAATCCAGGTAGCCTTGAGCGGGTGTTCCCCAGGACCGGAGGTTGGAGGGTTCGCCAGCGCTTTAGTCCCGGCCGCCTCCTCGTGATCACCGGATATATCCCGCTTCTCTCCAGGAGTTTTCATATCCGATGTGCCACCTGGGGTCTTCGGGGCGCCAAACGAGGCGAAAGCGCCAGATCCTAGACCGAAGGCGGACGACGCATTAGTGGACGGGGATGATACGCCGCCGGACAGCGGAGATATGGCGTTGAAAGGATTGGATCGCCCGTGAGAGCTGTCAGGGCCGAAACGTTTGGATGAGCGGGGCAGGTCGACTCGGGCACCATCCTTGCCGTCCGTCCCGGACATGGACAAGGATAATTTGGAGGAGCTGCATAGCGGGAGCAGGCGCACACGGTCAGCGATACCAACACACCCAGCGAACCAGAAACAAACAGAAGAACTTACTTTGCTCGGCGAGTCCACAAGTTGGCATTATCCATGACGGCGGGTTAGACTGCCCGAGACACGAGCGGTCATCCGGGACGAACAAAGAGGGCGCGAAAGGACGACAGGCACGCCAAAACACCGTTCGCACACTGGGTGAGACTAAACAGGGAGATGACGCGAGAGGAGAAACAGAGATTGGGCGACGAGATCGGAGAGGCGAGGGGAGCGAGGTGGGAGGAAGCGGGCGAGGTGGTGTGGCGGGGGGGGTATATGTCGGGAAGGTAGGGCTTTTGCAGTGTTCAAGGGAGGGGAGGAAGCAGTCTGAACGATGTGCAAGGGGATCAATGGAAGCAGGAGCGGGAGCAGCAAGGTCGGATGTGTACACGGGAGGGGATATCAAAGAAGCAGGAAGTAGTGAAGAGGTGAAAACGGTTGATCGCAGGCTCAACAGCCGAAGAAGTCATGGATTTGGAGACTCGATGGCAGCTCCACTCAGCCGCCAATCAGCGCGCGCCTCGCCTGCCGCCCGCACCGTCTTTTTTCCGGTCTTCTATTTCTTCGCGGCTTTTCTGCCTTTTCTCTTCTTTTCTTCCACAATAACCTAAGACCACCGACTCAAATCACCGCCGGAGTCTTCCTTTCTACTGCCCCGGCGTTTCCGATGTGTGTGTCGAGATTGAAATGTCGCATCTAAAACCATCATCACGAGGGCTCTCTGGAGCTTCCCAGGATGCGTTGATGACCTGACTGACGAGACATTCCTCTATCCCAGTACTGTGTGGACCACAACACAGTACTGACCCGCAATCACCCTTGCACTTCCGTAGGGTACGTTCACGATTAGTTTCAGTTTCAATGCAATTTTCAATTCCTTTTAAAATGAAGAAAACATCATGAGCTCTCTGGTAATCCGAGGTCTCAACCGCCTGTTATCACTGGGTGAGCCTTGCGGTGTCATCCCAGGCTGGTTGGGCGTGAGGTCAACTGGCAAAGTCTGAACCCTTTTAATGCCCGCTGTGTCTGGAGATCATTCTCGTATCTGCACATAACCTCCTGCACATGCTAACAAAAATGTACAGTAGTAAATAATCATCACCATTATCACAATCATTATCATCATCATCATCATCATCATCATCGTTGTTATTATATTAGTTGCATGGAGGTTGTGTCCCTGTTGCTAGCCATGCGAAGTTTGGAACCAATGGAGCCCTCACTTTCCCAATCGATGTAGGACAAAAGGACCCTTGAAACAATTGATGATAATCTTATTACATCGGCCAACAGCTTGAGGCCATGTATTATTGATCAGGAATGAAAGGGGAAAAAAGAGGTTTAAAAATTTCCTCCGATGATCCGTGGGCGATATTTGACAGAAAAAAAAAACAAGCCCGGGTATACCCAGATCATAAGGAACCCATGAAAATAGATAGATGCAAGCCAGTCCACCAAGCCATGCCCGATACCGTACAAAAACATGATGCCAGAAATGAATAGTCTCCCCTCCAAACTTCGAATATCCATGACCACATTACCCTTACGCAGTTTGGTCCGTGCCCTCGCCACGCGCCCTCTTACGATCTCGATCACTCGGTGGCACAGACGCCTCAGCCTTGCGCTTCTCTCGATCCTTTTGGCTCTGATATTCGGCGCGGCGAGCCTCCTTGCGGAGGGCCTTGGACTCAAACTCGTGCCAGTCACCTTCGATGTGCTCCAACCTAGGGACAAAGTTAGTATCATTATAAGAGTGCATACAGAGGACGGAGGAATAGAGTAACTTACTCGAGAGCTTGCTGAGGGGCGGGTTCCTCAGACACAAAGTACGGGTGTTGGAGCAATTCTTCGGCACTTGGTCGTTTGGCAGGGTCATAGCGGAAGACTTGTGAGATCAAGTCCAGCGCCGCTGGGGTCAGGATGTCACGGTACTGGTCCTCAAACACTCGCTTTTTGCGCTCGCTGGGTCGCATAAGCTGGAACCACGGCATCTCCACTAGATCAGGCCAGTCGCCTTTGGTAGGAGTGCCCAGGGAGTTATACAGCTTATCTAATTGGCTCAATTCGCCCCCATCGCCGGGGAACGCAGCCTTCTTGGTGAACATTTCGATGCAAACACAGGCAGCACTCCACACATCGACGGCTGGACCATACCGGGTCTCACCCAGGAGGAGCTCTGGCGGTCTGTACCAAATGGTAATCACCCGATTCGTATAATCCAGCTGGCGGCTCTTAGAAAAGAATCGGGCCAGGCCAAAATCAGCAAATTTCAAGAGTCCTTGGTTGCTGATCAAGATATTGGCCGCTTTGATATCGCGATGGAGTACCCCGCGATGGTGGAGATAGTTGAGCCCTTCGAACATTTGCTTGGCGAGATCTTTCTTGTGCGCAAGAGTGAGAGAAAAAGTAGGATGGTTGATGAGACCGGTCAGATCATGCGATAGGTATTCGAAGACCATGAAACATTCATTTCTTTCGACCATGACTTCCAGCAGGCTGACCACATTGTGGTTTCGCAAATGTTGCAGAAGTTTGATTTCGCGCACAGCAGTGACAGGAAACCCATCTTTCTCACCTTCCATTCGGATTTTCTTCAGAGCGACCTTACGCTGCGTATAGACGTGTATTCCCTTGAAAACTTTGCCATAGGTACCGGCACCAATAACAGACTCATTGCCGGGCTTCCTGTAATAGACCGAATCGGCGTCTGCAAACTCTTCCGGGAGCGTCGGGCGAGGTTTGGGACGAGTAAGAATCTTCTTCTGCTTTGGAGGCTGCTCTTTCGGCGGCTCTGGGGTACGGTCCCTGTGCCGATCCTGTCGAAAGTCGGCGCGCCGCTCGTTCCGCTCGTTCTTGCGACGGTCACGACGGTTTTCGAAACGCCGTTCATCTTTTCGGTCCCGTTGATCACGCTGATCTCGGTGGTCTCGGAACTCACGCGGGTCTCGTTGATCTCTGAACTCACGGCGATCCCAGTCTCGTTCTCTGTCCCGGCCACCACGATCCCGATCGCGACGATCCTGACGGGGTTCGGGTTGAAATTTGGGCATTGGACCGTTTGTTAACCTGTTACGTGGCGTTGGCGGGTCTGGTGCAGGCACACGAGAAGGTGGTTCGCGAATTTGCATCCGCTGTGCAAGATCCGGAACAGGCTTGGGGGTAGTAGTTGGTGTAGTCTTTGCTTTGAAGGTGAAACTGAATTTTCCACCTTTCTGAGCGGGCGTTGATTCTTTCACTTCGCGAGCTGGGGGTGCCATGTCAGACACATGAGCCTCCTCCGAGGTGGGCGGAGCATTGCCATCTTTTTGAAAACGGTCCCTACTCGAAGGCCTGAAATCATCCTCAGACTCCATCGCTCGAGGGGAACGCGCGTCATCTATAGAAGCTTCCCTTGTAGGAGTCCGTGAGCCGCGATTGTGGCCAGGCCTGGGGCTTTGTTGCCCACTCCGGCCGCCCCGAGATCCAGATGCAGTCCATTGCAGGTTGTTGAAATGTCCTCGGCCAACCCGGCTTGCGTGGCCATTATTGAATGAAGAAGCACCGGAGCCAGAGAATCGGCGGCCAGTGCCTGAGCTTGCTTGGTTTGCTCGGTAAGGATGATGACCGCCGCGGGAAGGACCATTGTATGGGGAATGGGGATGACTTGGTGGGTTTTTATGATGGCCTTGAGATGTATTCTGCGAGAAAAAGTCATCTTGGCGGTAAGGCGACCGGCTGTAATGATGGTTATAAAATTAGTATATCAATCCACGGGGCCAAATAGAGCCAAAGCAAAACATGAAAACCTACATGGAGCCTGAATAGGAAGGGGGGCCATTTCGCCCACCTCGTCCCCCACCTGAGTACGGGGAAGGGGGAAAGGGGGATCCATGGTGAGATCCTGTCGGCGACCCAAACCGGGGTGAGGTCGAGTACGACCCTATGCCAGCATGTGGTCGTGACGACCCTCGGTGTTGCTTTTTGTGATCATCTGAAGCCGGTTTGCCATGTGTTGAAAAATCATCTCGTATGTTAGCAGGTCCATCACTAGGACCGCTCATGTTGCTGCCATCAAAGCTTGTGACTCGCCGATGCATTGGAGACCGACCCCCATTGTCCACAGGCCGGTTCGAGCTTATACCATCGTCACCACGTGATTGAAAAGAAAATACAGACGCTCTTGAGCCTATAGATCGGCCAGAATGCCGTGATAAGGAACGGGATCGATAGCGAGAGTCTCTGTCACTATAGCCGGCGCTGGGTGACCGAGACCGTCGATCAGGTGATGGGTGGAATCCTCTATCCCGAACAGGAGATCTTGACTTGTCCGGTCGTGGAATATCAGAATGGCGATTATCTTTGCCACGGCGGTCTCGGCCTCGACGGGGGGATCGTCGTCGACCAGCACCGCGTCCCGGAAATCGCCCTCGGCTCTTATATGAGGGGCTTCGGTCGCGTCTTTCTCCGTGGCTGGCGAAAGAAGGGCGCCGATGAGAAAAATGGCCTCGCTGGCCACGAGGAGAAGGGCTGCGAGTCCTCTTGCGTTTTGACGAGGGTGGAAATGGAGACTCGTCCCTCCGAAAACCCTGACTCTCTTTGTTGTCCGCAGATCTAGATGGATTGGTGTTCCAGTCCGTGGAGGATGAAGGTCGCGGGTTGTCTGAGCGCCGATTTTCGTGGAAACCAACAGGGCCAGGGGAGCCACGCGGTGGAGGCGAGCGATCCAGAGGGTAATCAGCCGAGTCGTGAGACGAGTCAGGGCCGAAGCGAGATGCGCGAGCCGGTGGCGACCTGGCACGATAGTCGAAATGACGGTCGTTTGGGCGCGAATGACGACCTCCTCGATCCCGATAGCGTTGCCTGCCTCGATCACGATTCGACCCACGACCTCTGCGGCGGTCCCTATCACGAGGTTCGCGATCTGGGTCGCCGTTCCACTGATCTCTCAGCACCGGACTCCTACGGGACCCAGCCATGGAGACGATGCCAGCAGCATCTGGCGGCGCCGAGAAATGGATAGAGAGAGATGCACAAAATCTGATGGCGAGGAGGACAGCGTCGAAGTGACAGGGAAATCGCAGGGAGTGGAGCCGAGACTCAGTCGTGTCCGCGTTCTGAGACGGAAGTCTTTCGGGTTGGGGGGGGCAGCTCGGATGAGTAGTTTTTCCGGGCCACTGTGAAGCTGGTGAGCAAGGGGACACGCTGCTGGGGACATCATACGCACCCGTTCACTTTGCACGGTCGGCAATCTCGACCCTAGACTAGATCATAGAATGGAATCTACTGGGCTGAGTTCTGGCCGATGCTGGCTGAACAAAAATGCGAGCGGCCGATGGTGAAGTGAAAGTGGTCGGTTGTCCACCCCCGCGGCTCTACAACTGGATTCGTAGCAGTGAGCGCCGTCGGGTTAATCCCGCCAGCTGGCATCCGGTAATTTTTTTCCTCGTAGTTTCTCTGGATCACCGTCTGTGCCAGTCAATTCTTGCCTGGTGTTTGTAGAACAACGAAAGTCTGTTTCGACCTGCCGAGCAAGATGTGATCTGGTAGAAACCCCCGGGCCGATTTCTCTGTTCTTTGCCGTGCATCGCACAATGGTCTCTTTGAGACAGGATCACATGAATCTGTGTCCTCAACTGAATCAATCTATCTACGAACTGCATAAAGCCACGAGGGCGAAAACCTGGCAACGCCGGAACCACCAAGCGAGATCAGCAAAGCGGTCCGCTTTGATCGGCTGCAGGTTCAATCAAATATCCCGCCCTTCTCGACGTAGACGAGATCTTCAAGACGCCGAATGCACCGCAAGGATATTTGCCGATAGTCGTACCTCTCAGCTGGATCTCCAGTTACGGAGAGCCGGAGAGCCATGGAAATCTGCCATGTGGTTAGGGGTCCAGTGGGTTTCGGTGCGTCATGAATGGCAAGAGAGAAGTCACAGTAGAATGGGCAGTGCCGATGCCGTTGTTTACAGCAGAAAGACATCCAGAGGGCCATGGCTAAAGCACAGGAACCACCATCGCCGAGCTATAGGGCCTGAAGCGGAATCATGGGGAAGTTCTCCACGGGGCCGGTGGATCGCAACCTCGCATCTTATTTGAAACCTCTAGCACGCCATTTCATGTGTACCACATATCGTTGAGAACAGAATTCTCACAGGTGTCCAGGAGATCGCAAAATGAGTCTCTGAGGAAGTTGCCATGGGTGGGGCCAGGGGAAAGAAGACACTGAAGTAATCCAGCCCATCGTTCCAAGTGAAAATGAAGGTCAATGTCCAGATACTGTGTCCAGGTGGGAGAATCAGAAGTTGACAGGAGCCTGGACGTCGAGCACCGGGAAGCATATTCAGCCGTCGCAGCCCAGCACTTGTCCATCCTCTTCCATCACAATGGCTGCGCAAAATCACAAGAAGGTTTCTGATCCCTGGTGTGAATGCCAGGGATGATTATTTAAAGCAGAGACAGTGCCTCATGAGGTTGTGGGGAGCAAAGCCTCCCACCATCAGCTGAAACGCAGCGTAAGATCGGGCGAGATAGGTTGACATTATGTCTTAGACCACCGGCACCACCCGGTGGGAAAAGCTTGTCGACGAAGATGAAAACAATAGCAGGGGATGTGAGAGAGCGGAGATGAAATCTAGGGACAACCTCTTCAACAGTACGCCACATGGGGCCTGCACCATGACTAGGAAGCGGTGGTGTTGATGTCACGTCAGCCTGAGGTTGAGGCGGAGTGGAAGTGCATAGTCATGTGATGTTATCACGTGTGCGGTAGTGGGGCTGCGGGTTTGCATCTACGAGCCTAGCATATACCCACAACCGATTCGGTCTTGTTCGGATTTGTGAATGCATGCCCCGGAGCCAATTGGGTAAATGAGTCTCATTCTATATATCTAAATGAGACATAGTCCTCCTTTCTCTTTAGTCTTCTTTCATGAATAGGCTAGCTTATGATGACCGAGCCTTGTTCAGCTTGGCTATGCGCCCACCACACGGGATTCATAATTCGTGCCTACTGCTGATTTTCTTGTTAATGTATTGGACTGTTCATTCTTTAAAAGGCAAAGTCTCTTTCTAGATTCCTCATTGCCGTTTTCATGGCCAATTTTGTGAATGAGAAATGTTGAAAATCCACATACTGATGTGTAATAGAAAGGAATATTTTGATAGAAGTCAGCCAAGTCTAGAATCCTTTGATGGATGGAGAGTGTTTTTATTCAATCAAACAACAGTTTAGTAGAATGTGAAATGTAGTCATCGAAATATGGTTAGAATATCATGATACTATGTGTTACCATCACAGCATGCTTACGTCAGTAGTTTAGCTTATCATGACCTCTACTGAGGGAATAAATGATTATCTTTACACATAACACATTCGCTTGCACCACCAATCGAAATAAAGCACTTAACTCGCGGCTTTGAGTCTCCCGTCTTAGAGCACCATATGTTCGACGCCTCGCCCTCCACCTCGTCTACTAGATTATTTGCGCCGAGCCCGCTATTTGCAAATGAGCGGTCTCCGATGCTACCATAATCAAGGAAGGTTACAGCGGCATATGTCGCGAGAGCAGCTTGGCATATTGTCGCGCGTATATTTGGCTCGTGAGAGAGGCTAAAGCTTCGAAGGCGGATGATGTCCTTTGTATAGCGGTCGGTAGTGCAAACGAAGCTAGCTATGTTAGATATATCACCGTAATCAGAAACCTACTTACGTTCTGCATCCGCGTCTAGTGCGATCATTAAACATATTCTACTTGGATGCACTGCTATCCTCGACCACCTTTTAATCGCGCTCTCTAGCTTCGCCGAATCAAATCGGGCCGTCATATCTCCCTTGAAATTGACAGGGATTGACCTTAGCTTCTCGCTGAACACTGCCACGGCAAGATCGCTATATGTATCGATACAATTATCGACATCTATCTAGAGGTAGCCGAGCATAATCACGATAAGGCTTTGCTGATAGTTAGCGTGTCGCATTAAAATGGCAAGTCCACTTACCCACTATTACTTGTGCCCCCGATTAGGTCGAACACTTCGCACAGCTTCACTGGAGGGAGCTTTATCTGCCCCCGCGTATAATTTAGTCGGTCTATGATGCTCGTCAAGATGTGAAGTGACGAGAGACCTCGCACGCCGCCGCTATCTAGGGACAGTAGGTATAAGCCCGTCGTGTCAACTAGATCCGGCTCTCTGTCTTTCTTGAAAGGAGATTCTTGCTCTATGGTGGTTGCGGCACGTATTCTTGCTCTCTCTCACAAATTTTTTTCCCTCGTTCATAAGGTATAGTAATGATGCGTTGAGCAATAGGAGAATTAAAAGTGACCCCGGGAACGATACGATCGGATACTAATCTCGTACTAGCCTGTTAATTTGTGGGAACATGAGAGCAGGGAAGATATTATAAGATCTGGTCGTGAGATTACGGGTAGGAGGAAGGCGGGGATAGCGGGACTAGCGGGGCTTAGGCGAGGCTGACATACAGCTCTAGGCTTCTAGCAAGAGTTGGCGTGTCGTACTTGCATGTGCCCTACTTCGCCTATAGATCCTTACTGGTCAAAGCATAATCCTGTCTTCCTTTTCCTCAACATTGAACTTCATTTTTCCCACTTGTCACTGCACGCAGCACCATCGCCACAGGCACCACTGCCCGTACTATTTCCTAATGGCGGCTACCGAACATTCTGGTATCAGCCTTATGAGCCAATACAATATCGTTCTACCGAAAAGGGAGGCAACTGACTCCTCCGGCAAACCTATACCTGCATGCGACCCCGATCAATGTGCTGCGGCAATAAAGGGGGAGGATGTACCCGTCGCTCTAAGTTCGTTTTGGCATCGGAGAGCAGTCATTCGTGGGATTCGTGATTCACTTCAATTCGCAACAAGCCCGGCAATTAGTGAGCTATGCTCCGGCAACAATGCCCATCAATTTTCCCGGGCCCGCAATGCTCGCTTGATAATGAGTGATACAATCCCCGATATGCAAGATCCCGCCACTCAGCCGTACTGTATATGGTATCCCGACCTTGCATCAGAAGAAACATATCGCGAAATTGCCCGTCAGTATCCGTCTATGCGGTATCAAGTCGGCCGAGCGTGTGCTGCAGCATGCTACACAGATCTTTACAAAGAATTGGACCTTTTGCCTGACGTTTCTATTGCGGAAGAATCCCGCGAACTTAACAAAAACACAGACGCCGAAATCTACAAGATTATTATGTCTAGTTCCCAACAATATGTTGTCATGGAAGATTTCTCTCGATCCGTTCTTGAAAACCCACGGACACCTGCGTTTCTGAATGGCGATATGAAGCCCCGATGGGCTTTGGGGCAGCGAGTTTACCCTGGTAAAAATTTACCAGAGACAACTGCTGATGATATTGACATCGAGGAAGATGGATTTATCGGCTTGCAAGATATCAGCTTGGGGGATATCAGCGGAGTAGAGGACTACGCTAAACTGGGCCCAGGCCAGTCCGATCAATTGTGGATGCCTCTTCCGCTTGATCTCCCATTTCTCGAAAAACGCCTTCAGACACAGATGGCTGCGTGGGAGGGCAATGTGGATCGATACAGTCGACTAATGCATCCACGCAGGCTGAGAACCAAACTTGAATACAATTGTATTCTTCGTGGTATTTATCATAGTACAACTTTTGCTAGATGGTGGGCATATCAGCTGGAAACAAACCCTGGACGGGCTATCCTCCCCGGTAAATTGCTTGGCCAAGGCAATAAACAGGAGTGCAGAGAGATTCGTACTGCGATTAATGCCCGTATGATAATGAACAATGATATCTCTGGTATCGACAATGATTCGGACTGCCTCCCGTGGGTTATATGGGGGCCTGTGAAGCCCTCTGAGTTAACTTTGGCTGATTTGGTTCGAAAATGTCCGTCCATGGGACACCAAGTTGCGATCACTTGTATAATATGTGATTACGAATCAATATTCCGAAGTTTGAAACCACCCTACACCGAATCCTTGTATGTGGCTGCTAGGCGAAGTGAAAATCCATTCTACCTACAATACCTTGAGAAAATCATGAAGGAACGCAATAGAACCCCCCGGGTTTCCGCCACTTCAAGGACTTTGATCGCACTGCACCAGGCTTACAGACTGATCTGGAGCCTAGAGATGGTTACACTGATCATACTGTCAGCTACTATGACATGGAGATCGGGTATGGACAATATCAATGTGGAAATGAACACGAAGATACTCCAGGTACATATGGAGGCGGGCTAGCGAATGCGGGAATGGTGGAGAGATACATGTGGCTCTCAACTGAAACTGCACAGAAGTTAAAAAATGAACTTGACGTATCCTACCCAGGTGCGGATACTGGTCTTTTATATGGCGATGAGGAACTTCAGTCTATATTTTCACGCGGTATACAGCCTATGGAGTGGTAGTATGCAGGTTTCGATATGTCGAACACAGTCAGTCCCTTTGGTTTTCGAGTATTATCTGCCGGATATTCGCTAGCTTAGTTACCGATGACAATATTAGAATGTAGCACCGAAATGAATATCCAAAGTATAAAAATCGATGGGAACAAGGCGCTGTTTCATTCCATCCGTATCACCTAGAAGGTCCGAATAGAAGCTGCGTTGGCTTTTTCCCTGAATTGGGGGAAGGTGGCCTTCAGACTAAGTGAAGAGAATTTTGCCATGATTGGTACTGACGTCCGTCTTGTCATGCATATAAACAGACCATTTAAATGCTTGAGATCTCTTGGAGATCTTTAAAGCCAAAAGTGCCATCAGTTACGGTAATCAAGAGACAGCTCGCGGAGTTGAAAGAGACGCCGACGTATATCCCAAGCCACCAGGCTGTCACTGGCAAAGAAGATAACACGATGATTACTTATTTACTAGTAGTACTAACAGCTTAACTGGGGGCGGGTGTCAACTTCAAGTTGAAGACGCGGGTGTACATACTCGCTTCCATGGTCTACTACATGTTAGTATACATTATTACCCTGTTATCATCCGATATACACCCGCCTACTGCCCATGGATGTGCATGTACTGGCTAGTTAGTAATATAGTAGGTGACTACATCATGATGTATATGCGAATCTTGACTCTTGTATATTTCTGGTTATATCTTCTTTTTGCTCAAAGCCCTGGTGACGACTATTAACCGACAGGTTCATTTTTAATTGTTTTCGTTTTGAAAATCACCTATCACTTTCCCCTAAATTAAGATTAGCCAAGCCGTAACATCATACCTCGTGGAATAGCTCGTGGGAGCTTGTGGCATAGCTCTGGGGCTTAGTGGGGCAGTCAATGTCTTATTACTTCGTGCGGAGTACAGAGCAACCGCGGCCGTTGCTACTTTGGGCGTGGTGTTGCTTGACTGTGGAAAATGGAATTAGGTGTGGAGATGAGTGTCTTTCTTAGGGGCCTGCTATTTCCAGGATTGGGGGCTTCTAACTGGATAAGGGATTATGGTAGCTGACGTAAAGTATGCTTGCCCAGTCAATGCATGTATTTAGTTTCAATATTTGAAGGTTACAGCTAGATAGAGGAATTATGCTCTATGTCCAGGTGGCTTAGTACTCCCGGGTTAAATCTACGCTGGCATTGTTGGAACAATCTATAGGTCTAGAACGGACGTGCTGCTTACCGGTACTAATGTTACACGAGCATTTGGAGGCTATAGCCGCTCCATTCAGCACCTGGGCATTGATATTTTATGATTGAAAAGTAGTTATTTTTTTTTGGTAATAATGTGACCTGTGAATTAGTTGCTTCTTCTAATTAGTCTTGCTGTTCCTAGACTAGCACCCCGATACGCTGTTCCGTAGCCCTCTTTGCCATAGCTGAATACCAACTTGCCGCATCACTCTCTCCGCCTATGCACTATCCCTTCTACTTTGATGAAGATGCAGCTCTATCCTGACGCCTAGGAGCAGAATCACTATAATAACCTAGCCCAACGGCGTTTACTGACAGTTTGATATCAATATTCCTGCTCTACCCTTAAGTAAGGAACTATATTAATTTATCTTCAGTCTATTTGATTTCCTTCTATCTAGTCGATAAATCTTTGACAGCAGTGTAATCTGTAGCGTACGGATATAGTTGGTGTATATCGAGGATTCTGCTATCCGTCACCGCCTTTCCCTAAATAGGATTTCTAGGCGACTTCCATATCGACCACAATGTTTCTGTTAAACCTCGCCCTGTATAGGTCTTAAGGATGTTTTCGGCTAGAAACATTTAGAAGAGTAGCACTACTATAATTGCTTACACAAACTCGAGAGCCTCGTCCAGCAGATCTTTCGAGTAAAGGCTTATCATGTCTCTAATCCGACCGTAAATTCAATTACCGCTACAAGAATAGCTAGGTTTTTCTATTATTATAGGTCTTCATCTCGTCCACTAAGGAACGCCGGATCGAAGAGTCCCTCGCTCAAATATGCTGCAGGGGCCCCATTTTCAGGGGTGGGAGGGGGGCAGGTGGGGGGCAAGAAAAGATCCCCGGCCCTGAATGGACGTCTCAGCAAAGCCCTGTTCCTGTTTGCCCAGAACGAGAGCCCAACCTTGATTTTGTAGGCGTAAGTGATCCCACCAATGATCCCACCACACGCCACCGCGCCAGAAAAGGTTCGAAAGTCTGCCCTCCGCCCCCGTACGTACTCGCAGCGTCTGCGGTCAGGATTGGATTACTATGAAGAGAGCTATAAGGACGCATTGATTGTATGACCTTCGAGCCTTGATGCTCTGTGATTTCCAGATTATGACGCTTTTGTTGGTTCAGCCTGCTCCAGCAGCTGAACAATCGCCCATCCGGATTACCGAAGGCTCCTCCAGATAATCAGAGATATTAATCCCGGCTGTGGGGCTGCTGGCCCTGATACCGGTTCTTCTAGCCGACGGAGGCCCTCGAGGTGAACTAGGCCGAGCCTCTAGCGTCGCCTTCGAGATCTGGGATGCGCACGCCATTCCAGGAACGGACTCCACCTCGGAATCACCGAGTGAGTCCCTGAAAGCCACTGAGCCTCTACGGCTAACTTTGCCCAAGAGAGAGAGAGAGAGAGAGAGAGAGAGAAACTAGACCGAAAAATCAAAACAACAGAATATTAATATCTGACGATGACGCCTCTCTCCCTTTCCACGTCTGGAACTCCGTGCACTGCTAGCCATCTCGTATTCTGTCGTTTTTGTCCTATACCTCGAGATCATGGTGGTTGCCCCCCGAACGCTCCTGGCGACGGGCCTGCTCGCCGGCTTCCTGACCAACTCCGTGTATGCCACAGTGACCTGCACCACGGAAACAATCAATGCCTTTGCCAATCCGTCTTTTGAGTCGGGGGACCTGACTGACTGGATTGCGCAACGAGCCAACGCAGTTGCCTCCAACGGGGAGGTGGTGTCTGGCAATGCGGCGGATGGCAGTGATTACTAGTGAGTCGCGGCCTTCGTTTCTCCTCTCCTCCTCCTCCTCTTCCGAGTTGACCCTGTTCCAGCACCATTTTGGGAACCTCGACGTATACTTACCTCGAGCAAACATTGACCGGACTGGATACCTCCAAGATCTATTCGCTGTCGGTCAGCTACAAGGCCATTGCGACCACCACTGTCGCCTCGCAATATAACCATTGCTATCTCGGCTGGATGATGAATGGCTGGAGCAATTTCTTCGACCGGATTACCATTACTCCCTCTGCAGTCGGGGCGGACCCAGACTGGACTGTCTATACGGTCTCGTACCAACCGACCGCTGCCAGTCAGGCTCTGTTGTTCGTCTGGGGCTGTACGGAATCCGCTTTTACCCTCGACTTTGATGACTTCCAGTTGCCCCTGTCCACCACTCAAGTGTGCACCACGTCCACTCCCAGCTCGACCCCCGTCGCCAGTTCATCCGCTCTGTCGAGCGTGGCTGTCACCCCAAGCAGTACCCCGTCCAGTTCTCCGGCTCGAGTGCTGTCCAGCTCCGTCGTAGCCTCATCTGCGGCGTTGTCTTCTTCGTCTCCCGCTGCTCTCGCTTCGTCTACCAAAGTGGTCGTGAGTTCCTCGGCTGTAGTAGCTTCTGCCACGCCAGTTCGCACGCCATCGTCATCTCCCGTCAGCCTTGGGTCATCCAAGGTACCCGCGTCGTTGACCGTGATCTCCATCTCCATTCCCTCATCCAGCCCGTCTGCTGTCAAATCGAGCTCCCTTCCACCCGTCAAGCTCTCTACCGTCGCCTCCAGCTCCATCCTATCATCTCGTGCTCCCTCTTCTCGAACGGCTGGGTTCAGTTCCTTCGTATCCCCGTCTTCCTTCACTGGAATTCCATTAGGGTCGTCGGCATCAAGGGGCCAAATCCCTACTTCCGTCTCATCGTCTGGAGCTACCACGTCCAGCATCTCGAGTATGCCCGGAGTGCCTTTAAGTAGTATTCCTGATGCGCCATCTGGATCGATTCCACCACCACCACCACCCGCTCATCAGTCCACTACATCCACGATCCTGACCACTCGTACGACTACTATTACAGCCTGTCCCTCCACGGTGACAGATTGTCCGGCTCGACACCGAACTACATATCTGACCACAGAGACAGTGGTGGTTGGTACCACTGTGTGCCCCCTCACCGAGGGCTCGAGTCCCACTCATTTTCCCAAACCAGGCTCGCAACCGGGCAAGGATTCAGGAAGCAGCAGCAGTGATGGCTCGACAACATCAACCGTTTTTACCACTAGAACCTCAACGGTTACGGCTTGCCCATCATCGGTGAAAAATTGCCCGGCATCGGAGCACACTACATATGTCACAACAGAAACTTTGGTTGACTACACAACAATCTGCCCTGTGACAGCCACTCAGACAGGCGTTTCCACCATCCTTGACACCACAACAACAGGGACCACTGCCGGTGCTGTTGAGACTAGCTCTGGCTCATCTGGCTCATCTGGCTCATCTGGATCATCTGGCTCCTCTGGCTCCTCTGGCTCTTCTGGCTCCTCTGGCTCCTCTGGCTCCTCTGGCTCCTCTGGCTACTCTGGCTCCTCTGGCTCCTCTGGCTCCTCTGGCTCCTCTGGCTACTCTGGCTCCTCTGGCTCCTCTGGCTCTTCTGGCTCCTCTGGCTCCTCTGGCTACTCTGGCTACTCTAGCTCTTCTGGCTCCTCTGGCTCTTCTGGCTACTCTGGCTCCTTAAACGGTACCTATGCTAAGGGCTCCACGTCAGGCTTCTTCACATCCAGTGCTTCCTCCTCTGCTGCGCATAAGACCTCTGGCGCTGACGCTCATTCTTCTTTTTCTCCTTCTTCTTCTTCTTCTTCTTCTTCTTCTTCAACTATTAGCGCCGACAACTCTCTTTTCACCGGTGCAGCCTCTTCTATCTTGGTCTCCACGGGTGTTATATACACCGTGGCTGCCCTTATGCTCTCTCTTATAATCTAATTTCATTTTCTTTATGTATGATATCATAACTAGGTATCGGGATGAGGGGGCGAAGGGAGCGCTGAACACATGAGGTTTATTTTTGAGGGAATAATAATATCAGATTTAGCTCCACATCATCCAAATCGTTTGTTTTTATTCCTTTTGATTTGAAAGAGTACTTGTATGCCATTTTCTCAGTACACAGTTGCTACCAAAGTAGCCTCCCGTCTCAGATGGAGAGAGATATAACTTCTACGCACATTTCTCCAAATCGGCATCTGTTTCCACTTTAGGAGGTTGTCCTCCAATGTGCGTGTTGTGGCTTAGGGGCTTACATGATATTCTGCGGTCCTAAGCCCCTCGTCAACACGCTCATGGAGTTGACAAATGTATTGAGAAACTAGCAAAATAGAGGGATTCTTTCCTTGGTCATGGTTCAATATTCTCAAAGTTCTGCTCACTTTTCTTCGCCCAACAAGAAAGGGATCACGGGTGTTACAGTGCAAACCCAACAGACATACTATGAATGCGCGACTTACGGAGTCAGGCCACAGTTGAAATCGTGATCGACCATCACATGTCTTGCATCATCGATGGCAGACAATAGCGCCGGCGAATGCTCTATCACTCTTGCTCGAGCTATCATTACGAGCTCAACATGCAAGGGCCATTTTTCCTAGTATTTCAAGGAAGACAGTCTTTTGCGCATGCTGTAATATGGTTGCTTCGTGGCTATGGTCCTAACTCTATTGTTGCCTGGTATTTAATAACTTGCTGTCTACGCTGTGAATCCAGGGTTCTTCATGCTACCAGATGCTTAGCTCTGAAACATGTCTGATAGCCAAGCACTCTCACATAAGCGATGAAAAGATGCTATTAAAATGTCGTAAACGTATCCCATCTAACCATCTTTCTCTGCTACCGACTCGATTCCTGGCGCCTCCGGCAGCATCGATGTCGGCTCCAGTTCAGCAGGCGCAACCTGTCTTCTTGAATATTGCTCTGCAGGGTAGTACTCGTAATTAAGTTTCGCACCGCTTGATTTTGGGGCAGTTTTGCGGTGAATCCATGCGGCGACTTTGGTCCGGTTCCAAACTAGGACGAGGATGATGATTAAAGCGGCCACACCCACAACTTTGCCAACAGTAATGCCCGCAATGGCCCCAGTAGATAGATTATTTCCGTGAGATTCATATTCTCCGGATGTTGACTGAAGGGATGATGCTGAGCTAGTGGCTTTTTCGGCAGTTGTCACTGTCGGAGTACTGTGTGAGGTAGAGGTCGAAAGAGTACTTGAAAGGCTAGTACTTGTAGTGGTCATCTACGGGGAAAGAGTTTATGATTAGGTGATTTCAAAATCAGACCAACGCAAACTCTTGTGAGTAGATTTACCGGCACGTCTTCTATCCCAAAAGCGTTGACCGCATCGAAGCTTGGCGTGAAAACGACGGTTTGCGTTCCTGTCCCTTCGTTCGAGTCTTCAAAGACTGAAGTTGTTGTGACTAAGGCAGTATATGAACTTGAAAACTTTTGTAAACAGCTGAAGGTGGTCAAATTCCACATTTTTGGGCTCGTTTGCGCACAACTCAGGGGGCGTGCACTGTTCAGAGAAACGATTTCATCAGTATCACAAACAAGGAAGAGAAGGAAATGGATAGAGCAGGACTCACGTCGGGCAGCACACGGTTGTCGCGTCATCGACGCCATTCGCACAGGCTGAAGTATATCCAGTCGGACAGGAGGCAGCGCATAATAAGCTGAAGTCGGATCGTATCCTGAAGGTGCGCAGTCTGTGGTCGCGTCGAGATCACCGAGTAAGAAAAATACAGCACTTGTGTATATATAAATCTCCCAAATATCTGTTGAAGCTGGACAGCTTGCTGGGGAGCAAGTTTAAGCCAAAGTCAAAGTGCCAGTTGTACTTGACATGATTCGTGTCTGGCATATGCCCCATGAGCAGGAATCATTGAGCTTAGGAGCAGAGGGGAATCAACCGAAGCTAGTAGGGGCGGTTCGCGTTGGGGGTTGCCATCGGCCCCGCCCAATTGTTGATCAATTTCATGAAAATTTTAGCCTGAAAATTCATGATAATTCTAAATTCCGCGTATCCTGGGGGTTCTGCGTCTGTCAATTTCACCTGCATGGTTCACTCATGGCTCCCAATTCCAGAATCTTTCCCACTTCATCACGCCACTTCCAGCTTTACCCGACAAGATAGAGGGAATGCCGTTTTAGAAACCTATGAAGATAGTCATTGGTTGTCACATAGCATGTTTATGTGCAAAAAGGTCATATTGAATTGACTGCATTGTTAGTTGTCAGGTCTTTCTCTCCCATCACATCCAGTGTAGATGCTATGAGTTGTCTGGTCGAACCCCTAGACGATCCTTGGGGGTGGATCCACCTTAAAATCACGCTGATGACTCATCTGATTTGGCACGGTACAAGCCCGATAAGCATTAGAAAGAGGAAGCCTGAGCTTTTGTGCGCGGTTGTTTCTTTCCGGCTCACCAGTGTTGTTGACCCTTTCACGCTCTATCCAAACATGAACAAAAGACCGCTAGAGAGCTGTTTGATTGACTTTGCCGCCAGCTCTTGAGAGAATTTACAAGACTCGATTTCACAGGTCCCCATATTCTAGTTGTAATCCGTTACAAGCCCCCAGTCGCTTGTATGAAGAAAGAATAATCGCCTCTTCGAGACATGAAAAGAACGAAGCAAACTTAGATATCAACATCCACCTAAACCAGAGAATCGCAGATAGCCGGCTCCTGAGCGAGAACTCAGGCGTCTCAAAAACTAGTCTTACACAAATGGCCCAACCTCATGAATCCAGTATGTCAGAGCAACAATGCCTTCCTATTTCATGTCTTCTCTCGGAAACTAATGTGACAGGGGGCCAATTTCATTTCATATCTATTGAAAATCCAGGTCATATGAAGGCTCAAAGAACAACCCGGCAGGCCCGATCGCATGCTGTTGCACATGGCCTGGAGAAAAAGCGAAAGCTGGAACGAAGCTCAGGCCAGAATTTCCGTCCGGCGAAGATAAGAAATGATCGTATCCAACCTGAGAACACAATAAAACAAAGCCAAGCATTAGTTGAGTCACCATGTCGGTCAACATTTCATTGCGCCGATGGGCCGGATCCGTTTCAGATGCTGGCGGAGGGCTCTCCGAGGTTGCAGGCCTCATTTATTTACCGTGAGGGAAAAAAGAAATTACAAATTGAATCAGAATGATCCAGAGCATGCTAATAGCTCAAAACTATTTAGACAAGGCTAGGTATCCTAGAAAACCAGTCTTTGATATGGCCGAGGAGCTTGTACTCCAAGGCTTTGGCCCTGTTGTTGCAAACGGGCGAGATGACCATGCTCTTCTAAGTGCAGTCATGCTCACAATCATGCTTGCCACCAGCGCTGATAACATCGACAAGGTGTTTCTCAAATATCAAGTCGAGGCTCTGAGCGCCATTCGCCAAAGACTTGATGCTATAAATAGAGTAGCCTCGGAATCGACACTAGGCGCCATTCTACTCCTCGTGGGAATTGACGTTCGTACAATTCGGCTTTCTCCCCGTCCTTTTTAAGCTGGCAAATTTCACAAAAAAAATGTCTGATTATTGGAAGCTAAATATAGGCTCGACTTGGAATACCGCGCCAAGTCCAACTCCACATGGGTGCAATACGAAAAATACTTGAGCTATGCCAGTCAAAAGGGGTATACCTGAGTGATGGTATCAAACGTGCCATTTTCTGGTCAGTAAGAATACAGCAGAGCTTTTTCTTTACATCATATTCTGATATCTGTGATCGCATCATCAGGTCGGATTTGAACGCCTCGGTCATGACAGGATCAACTCGTGTCATTGATCACACCACCTTTCCAGAACTTCAATGGAAGAGAGATGCCTCGTCTTCAGACGTATTTATTCTACCTCCTGGATTCCGGGCTCAATCCCACTTGCTAGGAACGGATTTTATTGAGATACTCAAGGATATATATGCATTGCAATGTATCCGAGACTCTCCTATTCTCGGCAAAGAAGATGAAATGCCGATGGCCTTCATTGATAACCACCAGGCATCAATTCAATCTAGGCTAGTCAGCTTACCAGATGCGTCTGCTCTCACCGAATGTTGCCATTTGGCAGCTTACCTATGTTCCTCAATGATACGTTGCAAGATATGGCGCTCTTCGACGATTCCGGTAAGTTATATACCCGGGCGCTGTTAATTTCTCTGGCACGATGGTATGTATATTATCGAATCTGACAGTGGTTTTCACAGTCCCACCTTTCATTGCAGCTCATCTTAAAACTAGAAGAAGCAAATGGTGGTCTTTTCTGGAAGGATAATCCTGGCTTGATAGCCTGGCTATTGCACATTGGCGGAGCTTTTTCTCCAGCCGGGGCTATTCGTTCAAGTTACCTAAAGTTGCTGCACTTGAATCGCAGTACTGTTCTGAAAGATTTATATTCGTCATGGTCAGAATTACTCAAGGTCCTTGAACAGTTCATATGGTCGGAAAAGGCTTTCTCGTCACAAGTCAAGGCATTTTGGGAAGAGAGTCTGGTTTAGATGTGTCTAACTCTAGGTCATGGCGTGCAGAAGCATATTTATTACACGCTGACAGAAATTTTACATATGCTTTAATGATAATTCAAAATTAAAGGCAAATTCAATCGCAATGTAGCCCCTTCTATTTGTAATCAGCTGCTCCCTACCGAGTCAGAGCGGGAGCCACGAACTTGAAGTCCTCGAATCAGCAGATAGACTAATGGCTGGTTCACTTTCTTCCTCAAGCAATGATTGGCCCACAATATCAGCGGATATCCACCCTCCGAAAATGGAACTATGTCCTTTCCCTTCTAGGAAGTATCTTTCTTCCATAAAGAGTTGAAACAATCATTCTAGTAATTCAACTGACTAAAATGAAAATCGGATATTATGAATATAAATAAATCGACATTCTCAGCATCTGTTTATCGATTTTCTATACATCCCTCATCATCTGGAATCAATTTCGAATTTCTTTTGACCATGTCTCAATCGCAAACGCGTCTCTTCACTCCCATTCGTGTGGGCGATATGGAACTAGAGCATCGGATTGGGATGGCTCCGCTTACGCGCCTCCGGGCGACTGACGACAGAATTCCAACGCCGTTGATGAAAGAATACTACGTCCAGCGTGCCGCTGTTCCTGGTACATTAATTATTAGCGAAGGGACCTTCATATCAGAAAACTGCGGAGGCTTTCCAAACGGCCCGGGGCTCTGGAGTGAAAGTCAAGTTACTGCCTGGAAAAATATCACCACTGAAGTCCATGCTAGAGGCTGCTTTATGTTCTGCCAGCTCTTTGCAATGGGTCGTGCGGCGACTACCGAGGTAGCCAAAGCAGAGGGCTATTCAATTGTAGCACCCAGCGCAATTCCAAGCGACGACAGTGCTGCGATACCCCGCGCAATGACTGTTAAGGAGATCAAACAGACTGTCAAAGACTATGTTGACGCATCGAAGAATGCTATAAGAGCAGGATTCGATGGAGTAGAAGTTCATGGTGCGAACGGCTATCTCCTTGACCAGTTCATCCAAGACGTCAGCAACAATCGCTGCGACGAATATGGGGGAAGCATTGAGAACAGATCTCGCCTCGTTGACGAAATAGTCAAAGCTGTCGCCAATGCTATTGGCCCAGAACGGGTCGGACTCCGTCTGAGTCCATGGAGCACGTTCCAAGGTATGAGAATGGAGGATCCAATTCCTCAATTCACGGATGTCATTGAAAAGGCTAAGGAGGCGGATATCGTATATTTGCACCTTGTGGAATCGCGAATTTCAGGCTCCAGTGATTCGGATAGCCATGATTCACTGGAATTTGCATACAATTTATGGAACGGGCCTTTACTTGTCGCTGGTGGCTATACACCGCTAGAGGCCCGAAAGCTTGCGGAAGAAAAGTATCCAAATAAAGATATCATTGTGATATTTGGTAGACAGTTTCTCGCCAATCCAGATCTTGTCTACAGGATCAAAGAAGGTCTGGAGCTGAATCCATACAACCGGGAAACATTTTATGTCGCGAAGTCGGCTACGGGTTACCTGGATTATCCCTTTAGCAGCGAATATCTAAAACACAAGCTAAGCAGTGCTTGAATCTGGTTATTTGAAAATCGAGGAAATATGAAGCTTGATAATGTCTCATAAATTTGTTTTGAATATTGAAAAGGGGCAATTTCATTTTCATCCATCCTCGTGAGAGCTATTACAGCCTGTTCCTCGCAAGTTATCGGATCAAACCTCTCACCATGCAAAAAGAGCGATCGTTGGCCTCTAGCTAGGCAGTAATAGAATCCATGTTATCTGGAATAAGCTGTGATAATTATTCATTTCTACCACGAGCACAGAGCACTTGCTTAAATCTATGATATATCAAGTCTGACAGATCAAACTCAGGCCAGTAAGCTGCTCTCGTTTATTTCATGAAAAGATCTACTAGTGATCAATGTTGGAGCTGTGTAGGCAGCCAATATACTCCCTGTACAGTTGCATTGATGATGATGCGATATCAGTCTCGCCGGCTCGAGCACCCGATGCAAGTGACGGCCATGTTGATTTCGAAGTAACAATTCAAATTAGTCGCGATTTCTTTCTGTGATCACAGTCGTGCTCACGGGAAATATCGCCCCCGCAAAGCAGAATCATGGTCGATTTAGAGTTGCTTTTCTGGTCTCGTCTTCCTCCATCTCCCACAGTACCTTCACCCTCAATATATAGCCGAAGCCGCATTGGAGTTCACGTGATTGTCATCTGCCTGTTCCTGTCCTTTCTTATTTCTGGAGTGTAACGTAGCACCTAAGATAAGCTCTATTGCGTCTCGGTACAATTTGGTCATTTCGCTTGTGTAAACGTTTGCTAACGTTATCAATTTTCCCTTTCTTATCGGTGCCAACATCGGCTAAATCGTTCTTTTGGGGATCATTCTGTCCCCAACCATTAGGCATTTGGATTTCATCACTGGTCGTCATGCTGGCCTAGCAGTAGGAAGTTATCATCATGATCCATACAACATGTACCTAGAAGATGCGTATGCCCCCAATCTTGAAGATAGTAAACCAAATCTGAAAGTTTTTCGTATCGAATGAGCCCTATTTGCAGCATCTCGTTTCAGATGTTCGCTCTAACTGATGCTCTACTCTTTACCTCGAGCCTTGATTAAAAGTCCCCGAAACCCCTCCCCAAACGCCCGACCGTCTTCCGCGGGCAAATCAATTGCGCCATCGGAGGACGCGGGATTAAAACGGCAGGCGGTGGGGGCGGGAAAGGTGAGGGGAACTTTATTAAAACGGCTTAGCGGCCCGTGATTTCGAAGTGCATTTGCCAAAAAAAAGTAGAGTCATCATAGCGCTGACAATGTACTACTAGGATCAATTGTTCTTCTTTCTCCTGTGCTACCAGTGTCATTTTTGAATATTCCAAAGTCTACTGACCAACACACGTCCAACCATGGGTTCTGGGTCTCCTCCAGGCCCGGCTCCAAAGCCTTCTGCCATTCCGTCCCACATGCTGAACGGCAGCTCGCCCCTCCAGGCTTCCACGCCCGCTGGTTCTGGCACACGAGTTCGTGATGCCCGGGAGCGTGAGAGCCTCAATTCCTCGATTCGCTCTTCGTTTGCTCCTCGCATTCCTGCCGAGTTTACCCCCGTCGAGCCGGCATCTCACCCCGCGGAGGAGTCCACTGCCACCCACGATGAGTCGACTCTCGCCGAGCCCGCTTCTGTGCATGGCGCATTGACTCTACGGTACATACCAGAAACCCACAAGTATTGAATTTCAATGATCTCTGACCCTTTGCAGTGGCAGACCTACCCTGAACGACCCACCCCGCGACCCCCGGGATGAAGGCGGTCCATTGACCCCGCCGGCGACGGCGAGCCGCCCCGCCAGCCCCTATACCATGAACCCACCGATCGACTTTGATGGTCTTAGCTGGCCCTGTGAGTGACATTAATACTACTTCATCATCCAATTGGCCGTCTCTTTTTTTATCTCGCTAATACCTTTGCCACCCAGGCCCTGGCACTCGGCAGCGATTGGAGTCCACCCCGGAAGAGAATGAAGCGCGCATCCAGAAGCTTGCAGGAGCTGTTCGGACAATTCTTGAATGCGTTGGTGAAGATCCCGAGCGAGAAGGACTGCGTGAGACGCCAGAGCGATATGCCAAGGCTATGCTGTACTTCACCAAAGGTTATGAGGAAAATGTGCGGGATTTGGTGAATGGAGCAGTTTTCCATGAAGACCATGATGAGCTGGTAATCGTAAAGGATATCGACGTATTCTCGTTGTGTGAACACCACATGGTGCCTTTTACTGGAAAGGTGCGGACCCCCCCCCCCCCCCCCCTTCTCCCTCTATCTGCATATTCTCTTGTCACGTAGTTCTGACCATGTGGGGCAGATGCATATCGGCTACATTCCGGATCGCCGCGTGCTTGGGCTGTCGAAATTGGCCCGCCTGGCCGAAATGTTCTCTCGTCGGCTCCAGGTTCAAGAGCGCCTCACCAAGCAGGTTGCTTTGGCTATTTCGGAGGTTCTTAAGCCCCGAGGTGTTGGAGTTGTCATGGAATCATCTCATCTCTGCATGGTGATGCGTGGTGTACAAAAGGTTAGCAGCACCACGACCACCAGCTGCATGCTGGGATGCATGCGTTCCAGTGCCAAGACTCGCGAGGAGTTCCTGACGCTGCTTCACCGGCGATAAATGCCTCTTTCTCTGCTCACATCTTGTGCCATATTGCTCTGGCTTCATTTCGAGAGCCGGAATCCAGTTACGAATTTGGAGTTTTGGCGGTGACCTTTCAACAGGTTTATTTAATGTTGACTTTTTGCTTCAGCATCATGCTCTAGCGGCGGTTTCTGGTGTTTTGATTGTCCCTTTGTGAAAGTTTCTCTTTTTCTTCCTTTTCTTCTCTTGTTTCTACCTTGGCATCGATCTGCCTGGGCCTATACGCCATTTCAACCTTGGAACAATGCCGACCCCCTGCGATGATTCAACCCGCCATCTTCAGGGATCCTTATCAATTTCTTTTCTTTCTGTCTTGCTATACCATTTTTTTCCTGATCAACGATGACCACTTTCATTTCATGACGTCTAGATCGACACTGTCCCATACAGGGTTGAACCTCACAAGTTCCTGTTAAAACTTTGTTTCTTTAAAGACCCAACCAACATTCAGGCGGCGCGGGAGGGGCTGTTTCAACACTTGACGTTTCACAATGTACCTACTCTCTCAATCTTCAGAACGGATTTTGCCAGTCTACTTATCTCTATATTTGCTATATATATGCAATGGAGTATGTCTCGATTTTGATTTGAAACCGGGTGTCTTGGGCTGTAGGTCTTCCATAAAACAGGCCATTTTCTGTTGCCGTAACGAAAGACGTGCATTTTGGTGATGTCGAAAGGAACTCAGGCAGCCAAGCTTCTAATCATGTCCGAAAGAGGCTCGTGGGTCTGTTATTATTGTGACCAGCGTTTGAGGGTTCCTAGTAGGCTGCAATGGCACTAACTTCACTTGGGACCTGTTGCACGAATTTCATCGACATCAGCATAAATTCTCTCTCTTCCTGTCCTCTTCATCCTTCTTCTCTCTCCCTGATACCTAAAATCTTCATCTCAGGTTGACTAATTTTCCACCCCTCCTCTCCTCTTCTGATCTTGTAAGTGCTGACAATAAACAATAAGTGGCTTACATCTGTGCATGGCTGTTGTGGTCAGAATTATTTTTTCTGTCTTTGAGGCACTGTCTCCTCACAATGAGACCAGCATTCCAGCCTATTCCGTCCCTCGCAATGTTTAATCTATACTGGTCCACTTATTCTACAGACATCCTTTTTTGTAAAGGGTGTATTCGCTATTCTGAGAGTCCGTGACACTGATAGATTTATATAAGGTCTTCGGCATCATCTCTCGAGTACGAAGGTTCCCTCGAATTAGCCGTTTCAGGAAAAACTCGTGGGTTTTCAGAATGTTTTTACATGCGCCCTTGCACAGGACTGACTTCAAGAGCACTAGGCCTCCTGCTCACAATGCTCCCGCCCGAGAAGACCCTAAATGGTGCTGACCATTTTGACTCTGGCCTTCGGAACTCTGGACAAGAGCCTGACAACAATGTACCCAACGCTATTACTGCCAGCATTGATCCCAACCAACCTCTCTCTGAGCAAGCTCAGCTCCCACTGGATGAGGGAACAACTCCGAACACCTTCGACCTGGAGCTCCTCGGTCAATTTTCTGCCGTGAATGCCAACGTCTCATCGAGTATGGCTGCTGCTGTTGCTGAGTTCCTGGATTCGATATACCCCCTTCCTGCGGTCGATACTACACAGTATTCGCTCCAAGGCTACCTAGTTCAGCAACAAGTCATTTCTGGGGTCCCGGGAGATCAAATTCGGGCTATGCGTACCAGCCGTCCACCCCAAGTGAATTTTGCTCGCGATGGCAAGATGTCTTATGCTCCTCGCGAGCTATGTCAATGGATTGTGACACCAGCCGGGATTATGATGAATAATCTCAGACAAGCATGCTATCGCGGCAAGCTTGCCGAACTTCCTGTCGATATCTGGCTTCCAGTCCCACCGTCCTGGAGCAACAACGGCAGTAACGAGATTCGTGCACTGGACTCTCATCCTCCAAATACCCCTCCTTCTGCCTTGTCACCTTTTACATCTGTCCACGAACGCCAGAGTTTTATTAATTTCTACGTGGAACATTTTGCTACGCCTGCATACCTTGCCAATCTGAATGGTCTCCAAGATCAGCACGGAGCTGGGCATGACACTGCTGCAAGTGGATTGTTCAACCGCCAGGGATCTCCCGACAGCACTGATGACACTGATGACACTGATGTCACTGATGAGATGGATGAAGATGAGAACTGAGATATCTGCAAAATAGAAAATGGTGCTATTAATTTGGAAGAGATGGCAGTTTTCCATTACTTCCGATTTATACCAGTGCACAATTCACCAATTTTCAGATGCGCCAACAAGAGTTGAATGAACAAGGGGTCTAATGAAGCTGTTTCTTTCTAAAAGAATAGCATTCAAAGATGAGAATGTCCCATTGAAGGGCTAATCTTATCTTCCATCATATTCGTAGAGCTATAAGAACACAGCCCAGTGTATAAACATACATACTTCATGGGATCATACTATCTTGGAATTCTTGATAAGCTCATTTCTATTTTATGGCTCATATATATCTTAATGACCTGGTTCTCCTACTGCGCCTGATTTGAGCATCCTGGTTCTCTTATTGGGCAGATGTGTTGCTTGGCATGATTAGCTGCTATGAATAAAGAGCAGGCTACTCATCACTTTGACATCATTGGATATGATGTATTCTTTGGTAGTAGATGCTTTCTGAATCTGTGCATGGTTTAGATGAGTCAACTGGGTGTGTGGCGGAAAATTCCAGGTTTTCTCCGACCGCGTTGATATATATTCACAGGCGTGTACCTTTCTGCCTTGATGGACCATCCCGACCTACTTACCTGAATGGCAGTCTAGTACACCTATGACACGTGGCGTGTTTAAGGCATGATGTTTGTGAAATTATGTCTACGAGACTCCAAGAAATATATATAAATTTAACAGTCACACAAATTATGAAATTTCTTGAGCGCTTACTACAGAGGGGCATCTTCTCCCACTCATGCCGGCCGGCTACGGCGAGGGAACATAATTTTCGGAACACTGATTACGGGGGGTGATAGCGGGGTTTTTAGGTTCAAACAATCAGCCAACATTTGGATCCAATGATGTTATAGTAGTACCAAGTGTGGCCTCATAACTAAGAGAGCGCGTTTAGAAATTCAACCTCTACGAATACTTGGCGGCCAAAAAGTACACGGATTGTGACAAAACAATGAATACCCCTACTTCTGGACAAATCGTCTTTTTTTCTGGACATTTAGCAAGTTCTGGACATTTAGCAAGTTCTAACAAAAATTTTTTGGAATCTCTAAAGAGAGATGCTCCATTAAGTAGGTATCATCTAATGCTTCGAGGGACAGAAAAAAAAAAGAATTGAGCCAGACCCGATTTGAACGGATGACCTTGTGGACTGGAATCACACGCGCTACCTGTTATTAAATTAGCCGCTGAAACGTGGGAATGCACATGATGTGGGTGAATCTTACCGCTGCGCCACTAGCCCATTTGAATGGGAAATGTCTCATTGATCTCTGTTATATACATGAAATTAGATTTACAACATGGTCTTGGTTTATATTATCTAGCTAACTTCGATAATAGTTTACACTCACTGTAGTTTATTGCCTTGCATTTATAGTTCTTTTTGACATGCGGCGGCTTTGCTACAAAATCATATCTTTACTGCTTCCGATGACAAGGTTTGTCGCTGGGTAAGGCCAACAAGGCTGGTCGGTCACTACACGGTGTTGCCGGACCGGTGTGTGGGACTGCGGGGTAAGATTGACGACACATTCGATATAATCTAGCCGGGAGCCAAACAAACCCGAAATTCAAGATTTCAAGAGAAAACTGCCCTCTCTTCATCAAATACGAGGAGCCAATATCACAAAAAACCGATCAATTTGTTCAGTAGAAGCGATTTTCTTGATGTGTAAGTTGGAAGACACCAAATAGGCCGAGGGAGCCTTGCCAGCTAGACACTACTCAGCGTGCTCGACTAGCTAAGTGAGCCTTCATCACTATGATTTGGAATAGCCTTAACGAAAAGTGGAAAGAGTGAGGAAGTAAGAACATTTTTTTGTCCAACAAAAGAAAGCTATTGTAATTACGCTTCTTGAACAGTTATCTTCCGAAAAGTTAAGATCAATGAGAGTGGGAACTGAACGATCTTTGCCACTGTTAAACCTCTTTTACTCCTTGAGGACCAAATCAATATGTCTTTTAAGACTCCAATTATGACCTAGAGATTTGAGAGATGTAGAGATCGAGGCTTTCGAGAGATTGGCTGTGGTATTAAAAGCAACATGGTACAAACGAAGGTGTTATGTGATCTAGCTTAGAGTGTAACAATTTCGGACAAATTCAGGTGCTTTAAAGCATCCAACACGTTGACATCGCTCCAGATTTTTATTTATGCTTCAATTTTCTATTTATCGCTCTACTTACCGACCGCTGTACCATTCCAGTTGAAATTGAAGTTGCTTCATGTGCCTCTTGTAATTATTTCCATTTGCTCACCAGAGCTGGCGATGCCGTGACCGTAAGTGGAAAGTTTGCCTATTCGGGCAATTTACCTGAGCTGATAAGATAGCCCTGACCCCACTTCAAATAGACCTCAATTGACGTAGCTAGTCTTTTGGCCATTCTTGTCCAGAGCCTTTTCATCCCAACTTGCAGGTGATTCGATATATTTCGGTTGAGAATATAAGCCCTAAGCAACGTCATGTCTGAGGACTGGGCGCACATCGTCTTCGTCGCGCGGCTTTCAAGTGGAGAACGGGGTAAGGTGAACGCTGTCTTACGTGACAGCCTGAATCACACTATGAACTGTTACGAGCTCATATACGGGCCTATCGAATGCACTACGGAATTCTTGACTTTCGCACATCAGTCAAACTTGCCTCTAGCTCCCCAGGGCGAGGTTGACCGGTTCTTTACAAGAGCCATCAATTGCGCGAAGGCAACTAAAGACGGTAAGTTGCTGGTGGTTATGAATGGGTGGGACGGACTGACGACAGATCCGGGCTCGTTTATGAGCATATTTCGACCGGATGCTTCCCGAGTCACCATTCGCGTGTTCGCCGAGGTTCCCCGGTCTTTTTGGCATGTTAATGTCGAGCAGGCGATCAAGGTTCTCGATGGCACAATTCGCATCAACCCCTATATTGAGGGCCTGATGTCCCATGAAGCTTTCGATCAAGAAACAAAAGATCGATTTCTCGTTGCCGAGGCCCAGCTTGAGTACTCTACTGCTGACTTTTGCCGCAAGCTTACTTGTCTACAGGCTATCAAGATGAACTGGTCGGGTGTCAAGCAACAGCTGCAAAAGGTGAGTAGCCAACGAAACACAGACCCCGCCAGTACTCGGAATTTAGATAAATGGAAATGCCCCGAGCCAAACTGTGGGAAAGCATTTCCCGGGTACAATGTCTACTACGCTCATAGGCGTGTGCATCTAGGTGAAACCACCAAATTCCGCTGCAGGTATTGCGATCAGCCTTTTACACGCCATGACACGCGTGATCGCCACCAAGCTCAGACTTGCTCAAAGCGGACAGGGCAAGAGCTTGTGTCTTCTAGACCAAAGAGGCCGAAGGCCATCCGCGGAAGCCGGCCAGTGCAGACCCTTGCGGGCATGCCACGAAGTTCCGATAGCTCTGTCGACTACTACAGACTCAGCCCGGAACATATTAAAGATCTTCCTCGACTTGAGCTTGATCGGAGCGTTCTCGACACGCTGCCGCTTATCGACAAGCGCTGCGATGTCATATACAAGGGTGAACTTTACTGTCGGTGGCCAGAATGTGCGACTACAACTAGGTATACCAGCACCAGTAAGCTTCGAGTCCACTATAAAAATGCTCATGGTCACGAATTCCTCGGATTCAAAGCGGGCGTTTTGGATGCTGGTTCTCAGCAAAAGCACATACAGGGTCTCTTATGGCTTACGAAGGCTGCTCTTCATGGAAAAGAGAATGCAGGACATAAGCCCTACCCTCAGGCCCAGTAGGGGCAGATCTAGCCGCCACGAGACCGATTTGCAAAACTCCCAATCTGTACAGATGTTGTTCTATCTTGTTTGCTTCGCGTACCTGATAAGGTAGCTGTTCATAGGCCTCGGGAGAATGGCCTCTGCTTTCGTTCAGGCTTACATGTTTACTATAAAGTGGCTAAATGTAACGATGATCTGACCCCAGAAAGATGCCCCGCAAAATAGATATCAGTGTTCGAACATTAGAAATTACTGAAAAAAGAGAGAAAATTAGTTATCTTATTGTGAAGTGACTAAAGATGGGCCACGTTGAAGTGAAATCAATTACAAGGGGTGCAAACAGGATTCTGGATAGGAGAGTTGATTTTCTCATTCCGCGGTCTGGAGACCGAATAAGTCAGTTATGTTAAGTTAAAGTGTTTGACGCAATAAAATAGTGACGTTGACCCATCTATGGACTGATTCTTATAATTAGTCGACTTAAAGTCCGCTGGGACGAAAGCTCCGTGTCTGACTTTTGTGGGTAGTCTTCTGAAAAGTTTTTCGCGCCGTCCCTAATGGTCCAAAATTTCTGGCAGAGATTGATGAGAGGGGGCTTGTGGCCTTATACGGATCGATCCGAGGAGCATGCAGATCCTGAATGGTGGGTCTTGCGGGTCTGTATCAAATGAGACTTGATTTGAAAGGTATAAGGAACCCGAATGAGACACAAATAGGGCTTCATGATCTTGGGTTTGGACTGTGACCTAGACGTGTCTAATCTAGAATCCGTACAATGTAAATTTTATTTCCTTCATGAGTACTGTGATCGGGTATCCAATTCAGATCGACACATGTACGATCTAGAAGCTCTCAAAATGCGAAAGGGTCTAAAATCAGGGTCTCGGGACGTTTTTTTACTTGGTATGGATTGAGTTGCGTATTATTTAGCGATCCCTAGCTCGCCCCAGGAGGAGAATAGCTCAGGGTTCATGATGGAAAACCCGTGACCTGAGCTCCGATGAGGCACATGAGCACAATCTGAGAAAGGAAAACTGGCTGTTCCTTTCCCTTCCGGCGGTTATCGTTTATGATTCCCTGTGCGTCCTCAAAACTCCCTCAAAACGCCATGTCGACCAGTTCCAAAGCTGGTACTGATGCCGTTCTGCTCGTCGGCGAGAAGGATCGTGGTGGTCGTGGTGGTCGTGGTCGTAGGGGTCGTGGTGGGCGTGGTGGGCGTGGTGGGCGTGGCGGCCGCGGTGGACATCATGTCCTTAAGTTCAAGAATGTGAGCCAAGAATATCCACTCAAATCATGGCCTTGCTGCAATTATCTGCGTTTTCTATCAAGATCTGTTTTCCACATTGAATCAGCTTGAATAGAACTACACTGCTTGGACACAATATGTACAACTGAAACTCTACTTTATGCTGTTTCGAAGGTAGTGTGAGGGATATTGCTGACTACTGATAGTCTCGTTCCTGCGGTGCTTGTGCCGGTCGAGGCATACGTACGACGCTCAATTCAGCCTGTTAAAGCCATGAGATGGATACCTGACTAACGGAAATAGACCACAAGTATGACTGCCCCCAAAATCCCCGACTTGTTCGCCCTCCCTCCATTGGTGTCCAAGTCACTGGCAGTCATAACGTGGTGATGAACTTCGTGAGCATCTGAATTCGAAGCTTATGGGAAATCAATTCTAATTGAGGAGTAAACTAGCCGGAGCTGCCCTTGGGCCTGGGCTTCGGCCCAAATTTGACTACCACCGGGGGCTTCGCCCCCCAAAATTTCAACAACTGGGTAGGGGGTGCCCGTAATCTCGCCGTAAACCCGCTGGCTTTATACCAGCAGCAACAGCAATTGATGCAGCTATTGCTGCAAGGGGGCCCCACCCTTAATTTCCAAAATCTGTCTGCCGCCCTCCCAAACCATCCTAATATTGCGGAGGATGAGGAGAATGAAAGAGAAGAAGAAGAGGAGGAGGAGGAAGAGGAAGAGAAGATTGAGCAGATGGAGGAGTAAAAGGGTGGTCTGATTATTCTGATTATTCCCCTGCATATAGTTTCTCTCAGACCATTATGGGAGGTAAAAAAAATTATTCATAGATAAATTCCATTTCTGAAGGGTGAGCTCTTTCAATCTCCATTAATCAAGCCTCTACAAGGCAAATTATTTTGCCGAGTCAGTGCATTCAATATTACCCAGCACTCTATATGTGATTCCTGGGAAGAGATGGAGTCAATCTGCACTCAATACTCTCTTTTAAAGATACCGGATTCCCTTGAACACATACCGTTCAATGGTAGTAATTTTTACATAAATACCGTTGCTACTAGGCGGATGCTGCCATCAAGATCATAACCAGGTTGCTTATCATTGATAAAAATGGACAGTCAATAATAGACGATATCTTATTATATGCTGTGAGTAGGTTTGAACCGGACGATCATCAAAATCGTATAACATCAAGACACATCCGGCTCACTCAACCAGGAGATGCAAAAAATGACGCAAAAACGAAGTCTAAGCAGCGGCGATATACAGAGAGCAAGAATCGTGTGCCAAATTGACGACTAAACTAAAATCACGTAAAACAATCCCTATTGACCTGATAGAAACCAGCTGGTGGTGTAATAGGCAGGTGATTCCCCTAGCGGACGCAAGAGCTATCTCAACGCCAAGCCAAGCAGATAGAACATCACACGCGCTACCGCTGCGCCACTAGCCCAATTGTATATTCGAAAACTATTATAGATGGTCTATATAATAATATCAAGAAGTGGCCATGACAAGAAAAATCGAAAAGGGAAAACAAATCGAGCCAGATCCGATTTGAGTGGACGACCTGAACTAGTAGAAGTAGTATTATGGTGTACGGGTCTATGGATGTTCTTGTGGTTGTTCGTTTTTACTCTCTTGGTCGCAATTGAAGTCCCACAGGATAACAAGACCGCCCAGCACGCCTCTAGATTACCCTTACCCATACCAGTCCAATTACGAGCATACAATACAAGAGCCGTGCCTTGATCTATATTTGCAGGCCATTGCCATCAATATGCGACATGTCAATAGGGAACCATAATGCATTGTACATTTCCGTGTAGGTAGGAACGAATATGCTACGATCATGCGCCGCAATGGTACACCAAAAGGGCCCAGAGTCCTGATTCTTAGGTAGAATATCCTTTTTTTTTTTTCAGAGTCTCATTATGATCGACCGTAAGATTCGCCTGCAACCAGACCGGGAAAGAAACAACCTAACAAATAAGAAAAGAGATAGAGCACACCAATGGAAGATATCGCAGTATGATTACCATAACAGAAAGCGTGATCATGCCTCTAATTCCTCTGTGGGGACATCATCCAGATCTTTGCCCACAATTGCATCTGCCACCTTCCATACTTGCAACAAATTGTCCTCAGCAGCCGAGCAAAGGACCCAGGGGTCGTTAAGATTCCAGCTAAAGTCAGAAATGCGGTTGGTGTGTCCACCATGCATGAAAAGCCTAGAACAAAGTTAGAAAATCTGGATGGAAAACAATCAGAGGAAGATAAAGGAAACACACAGCTCTGGCGGTCCGTCCTGAGCGTCCTCGGGAGTCTGCTCCTCACCCGCTCGGCTGAGGTCCCAGAACATGATTTTGCGGTCGTAGCTGGAGCTAGCCAGTACGGACTCCTCGAAGGGATGCCACGAAAGTGACTGAACAGAATCAGTGTGGCCTTCAAGCGAGTGCAGCTTCGTCTTCAGGTTTCGCAAATCCCAGATTCCGATAGTCTTATCGGCAGATCCAGTGGCCAGAATTGTTTCGGCTGCGGGATTGAAGGAGATCGAGTTGATAGCATCGCGGTGCTGGCCTTCAGCGGAAGCAGCAGCGCGCGTGGAGTCTGCATTACGCACATCCAGAATTTGAAGCGTGATGTCGTCGGAAACACTACCAATAAGAGATGAATGAAGGGGGTGATGCTGAACGTCATTCACAATGGAGGAGTGGTGAGTGTAGGTGCGAGTGGGTTTGAGGGCTTTATTGCCCTTGGTATATGTGGTAAGGTCCCTAGTTTGTCTTAGCAATCGAGAGCATAGCGGCATAATTTGAAGGATAGCTGATTCTTACCAGAGGCGAACCGTCTTGTCTTCACTACCAGTTGCGAGATGGCCAGCTTCGTGAGGGTTCCAGCTTAAGCCAAAGCCCTCAGCCTCGTGGCCGAGAAGCTCCATCTGAGGGTTCACAATCCCATTTGGTATGCTAGGGTGCTTTGATCGGTCCCAAATCATCACTCGGCCATCGGTACACATTGTTGCAATGATATTGGGGTTTTGAGGTTGGTAGCGTGCCTTATTCACTTCTCCCTGGTGGTCAATTTTCTGCACAATGTTGAACTTGATTTCCATAGCAGGCTTCTTTGAGCCACCACCATAGCCCCCAATCTCACCCTTCTCCTCATCGTAATCCTCGGGATTTGGGGTATTGGCATTGGGGAGCTGGACATGGGCAATCTGGAGATAGTTTGGAGCATCACTGGCAGTATGGGTGCCAATGAGCAGGCGATGGGTGGAGTATGGTTTATCGGGGACTCTGTTGGAGGATTCTGTCAGATATGGTACAGAACTAGCAGATAATCTTGAAGAGAACTAACGCTTGCACGTCCGGTAGCCACTGGGTAGTCAGTGTGGGCCATTCCAGAGCTGTGCTGAGAATCATATCATAGAGAAACGGCGCGTTCTTCTTCCATGTCTTGTATTCTGTTATGGAAAACGATATGTAAGTCAAAACGACCAGATAGAGTAAACAGAAAATTGATCATTTCCGGTACCTTCATTGATAATCTTTTCATTGCTGTGCTCATGCTCTTTCTCCTGATCCTCCATCACAACTGCTCAGCGTTAGTTTGAGATTTCCCGTAGCTCCATAGAGCTCTATATGACGCACCATTCTCCTCTTCGAAGGCGTCCATGAGGTTGCAAATGAGAAATGGGTTCAATGCGACTGAGATGTGACGTTAGCGACCTATCAGCCCAGTGATGTGCCAGATGGAAGGGTAATGGAAGGGCGATGATCCGGCAAACGCGACATTCGGCTGGGAAGCCGCTGACCGCGTTAATGGGCGCCAGCTTAGCCGCTAAGCCGGAGTCGGTAATCATTGTCTTGGCGGTGACTCCCGCGGACCGCAATCTGGTCAAGCTTCATTTCTGCATCTACATTGCTCCTACCTCTCCCTTCCCTGCTTGGGGTTTTATTTACGACTTGTGTGGGATCTGTAGTGTTTGTGTTTGGCATTACGATCCCTTTTCTTCAATCCTTTCAGCTTCGGATGAGTCGTTTCCTTTTGTCGCAACTCTGTTCCTAACTCTGTGACGACTTCCCTCCACCTCACTTCACCTCAACACACCACGCTACGGCTGGACTTGCGTCTGAACGATAATAATTTTTTTCGAATCATTTGAGATCTCCAGGCTTTCATTATGGGTGTTCCAAAGTTTTTTTCGCTGGCTGAGTGAGCGGTATCCTGCGATCAGCATGCTGATCGCAGAGAGCCGCATCCCCGAGTTCGACAGTCTTTACCTTGATATGAACGGTATTATTCACAACTGCACACACAAAGATAGTGACTCCCCGACGTTTCGCATGACAGAGGAGCAGATGTTTATTGCGATTTTTAACTATATCGAGCATCTCTTCGGCAAGATCAAACCGAAAAAGTTGTTCTTCATGGCAGTGGATGGAGTCGCTCCCCGCGCTAAGATGAATCAGCAGCGTGCACGTCGTTTCAGAACGGCACTTGATGCCGAGAAGGCCAAAGACAAGGCCATCCAACAAGGCCTTGAGATGCCAAAAGAAGACCCCTTTGATAGCAACTGCATTACCCCCGGTACTGAGTTTATGGCAAAGTTGACCCAACAATTGAAGTATTTTATCAACAAAAAGATTTCCGAGGATACAGATTGGCAGGGCGTCGAGATTGTCCTATCAGGCCACGAAGTCCCCGGTGAGGGCGAGCATAAAATCATGGAATACATCCGGAACGCGAAAGCGCAACCCGATTACCATCCCAATGTTCGCCATTGTCTCTATGGTCTGGATGCGGATCTTATTATGTTGGGTCTTCTTAGTCATGACCCTCATTTCTGTTTGCTTCGGGAAGAAGTTACTTTTGGCCGTCAGGTTCAGAAAAAGCCCAAAGAACTCGAGCATCAGAATTTCTATCTCTTGCATTTAAGCATGGTTCGGGAGTATCTGGAATTGGAGTTTCAGGAACTAGAGCAAGAAGGTGCTCTGAATTTCCCGTTTGACATGGAACGAGTGATTGATGATTTCATTCTTATGGCATTCTTTGTTGGAAACGATTTCTTACCAAACTTGCCCAACTTGCATATCAACGAAGGTGCGCTGGCACTCATGTTCAAGATATACAAGAATGTGTTGCGAAAGATGGGTGGTTACATCAATGAGGAGGGTGTGATCAACGTGCAAAGACTGGGGGTTCTGGTGGAAGCATTGAGCCACGTTGAGTATCGGTTCTTTGAAGCTGAGTATTCTGATGCCCAGTGGATCAAATCCAAGAAGAACGGAGACGATGGCTCTATGGAGCTACAGCAGAAACCAAAGGAATTGACTATGACATCGGCTCAGAAGGATATTCTCAAAATGGTTAAAAAGTTTGTGTTGAACAGACCGGGAAAGGCATCCGAACGGAGGCCTTTGGATTTTCCGCCTACCTTACCAGCTCGGGATCGTGCGTTTGTGGAGCAACTTGCGGATGAGCTGCGGCTTCCCTGGTCAACCACAGAAAACGAGAGCGGCGATCGATTCATGCAGCTTCAACTGCCGCAATCGCAAAGCGACAATGACAATGATGATGACGACGAAGACGAAGACGAAGAAGCATCCATGGCTATTCAGCGTATTATTCGCAAATACGAGAAGGCGAAGATTCAGGAGATGTCACCTGAGGAAGCACAACAAGCCGCTGAGGCCAAATACGAAGCCAAGTTTCAGGAGTGGAAAGATAATTATTATCGGTCGAAATTCGGCTGGGGACTTGATAATGAAGAGGAGATGAAGCAGTTGACCGAGAACTACGTGCAAGGATTGCAGTGGGTTTTGTTCTACTATTACCGTGGAATTGCGTCGTGGCCCTGGTTCTTTAAGTACCACTATGCTCCTATGATTTCCGGTCAGTCCATACCTTCCGAGTGATCTACTTGAATTTTCAGTTACTCACCATTAGACAGACGTGAAGAAGGGTCTGGGTGCAGATATGAACTTCCGACTTGGACAGCCTTTCCGCCCTTATGATCAGCTCATGGGTGTCCTGCCTGACCGAAGTAAGAAGATCGTGCCTCCAGCTTATTGGGATCTTATGACGTCACCGGAATCTCCTATCATCGACTTCTACCCCCGTGACTTTGATTTGGATATGAATGGGAAAAAGATGGAGTGGGAAGCTGTGGTCAAAATTCCCTTCATTGACGAAAAGCGGCTTCTGGATGCTTTAAAAACGAAGGAGAAGTACCTCAGCCACGATGAAAAGGCCCGGAATGACTTTGGAGTCAGCTTGAAGTTTACCTACTCCCCAGAGGTAAACTTCATTTACCCTTCGTCTATGCCTGGAGTTTTCCCCGACCTCCCAAACTGCCACTGTGTTGAAAATGTCTTTGACCTTCCCGTGATGGATGGGCTTGAGCCCTATAATGGATTGATGACGGGTGTGCAATTGGGTAAGGCGGCCCTGGCCGGCTTCCCTAGTTTGCAAACACTGCCGCATGTCGGTCAACTGGGCTTCCATGGAGTCTGTGTTTTCCAACAAGAAAGTCGCAACGAGAGCCAGGTCATTACTCTCCTTGACCCGGGCAGCCGATCTAATATCGAATTGGCCAAGCAAAAGCTTGGAAAGCGAGTTCATGTCGGATATCCATTTTTGCAAGAAGCCCTTGTTGTTCGTGTCTCGGACGAGCTATTTGACTACATTCTCCCCCCGGGCGAGCAACACGTCGTGTCGATACCTCACACCCCTCAACAGATCGAACAATTCAAAAAAAAGCAGACAAAATCGAAAATTCCTACAGCAAGCGTCTCGGTATGATCATTGGAACCGTCGAATCATTGGTCCATATCCAGCTGCTTAAGGGCATGGTCAAGACCGATGAAGGCGCCACCATCAAAGAATTCGCAGACATTCCTGGTCAAGAAACCGATTATGCTCTTCAGGTTGTGGTTGATGAAGTTGTCAACCCTGACGAGCGTTTCATTGAGCGAGAAGCTCTTCCAATTGAAGAGGAGTTCCCGGAGAACTCTCGTGCCTTTTTCCTCGGGGATTTCAATTATGGTCGACCTGTCCATGTTACCGGACACGAAGGTGGCAAAGTTAATGGTCTGATCGCGGCTGTCAAAGGCAAGGAGCCCGAATTCGGCCAGGAACGCGTCAAGCAGTCCGAAAAGACGTCGCCGTATATGCCTTCGTATGCTATCGCTCGCTCTCTGCGTCTCAATCCACTGGTGCTAGCTAAGATCACGTCTTCCTTCTCTGTTGATATTGAGGGCTCCCGCGTCAATCTGGGATTGAACCTCAAGTTTGAAGCCCGAAAGCAGAAAGTCCTTGGATATTCTCGTCGTGGAGATTCCGGTTGGGAATTCAGCCAGAAAGCTATGGAATTGCTCCAGAATTACATGATCAATTTCCCCGAGTTTATTGCTGGTATCCAGCGCAATCCTCAGAAGGACCGTTATGCTCCAACCGACTTCTACCCAGAGGATATTGCGTCCGTGAAAATGAAAGAGATTCGTGACTGGCTCAAGTCTATTGAGGCAAAGAATTTCGAGAGAGTACCTCTTGAAGCTGAGCAGCTTGACTCAGATATTGTCAAGTTGATCGAACAGGATGCTGATAGCCTAAACACCTCACAACTACAAATGCAACCCAAGAAGGTCCGTGGGGTTCCTCGCAGCGCGCTGCTTCGCCCTGCCGATGTTGAGCACCGTCTGGGCAACCAGACATTCAAGCTCGGAGATCGAGTTGTGTATGCTCAAGACTCTGGAAAAGTGCCAATAGCTACTCGCGGAACCGTGGTTGGTTTGACAAGAACCCCGCGAACTCTTCTCCTGGACGTCGTTTTTGATGCATCATTCATGAGCGGTACCACCCTTGGTGAACGTTGCTCACCATTCCGTGGACAGACCGTCCTCGCATCATCTGTCCTTAATGTCTCCTATCGCCAGCTTATTGCCAGCTCTCGTGCCGCTACGAACCAGCAGACCCAGCAGCAAGCAACTCCTCTTACCGTTGCTGGCTACGGCGTCCCTACTGGTCCCAATGGTCAGGGCCAGCTGAAAAACGCCTCGGCCCCTCCGCCATTGAGAGGCTCCTTTCGAGGTGCTGTGACTGGCCAGGGGTCTCCCCGTGGTGGCCGTGGCGGTTTGAACAATGGGCAGACGACTGCACTTCCCTTCCGGCCACATACAAATGGTGGGCCCCCACGTGGCCCTCGCGGTCGCGGTAGAGGAGGATATCAAAACCGAGGTGGATACGTTACCGTTGACAACAGTGACCCAAGCGAGGGGATCATTCAGAACAATCCTGATTTCAGTCCTCAAAACTACACTCAGATGCCTCCACCACAAGGACTGGACCGTGGACGGGGGCGGGGACGTGGACGTGGTAATGGATCCCGTGGTCGCGGTCGCGGTCGAGGCGCCGTCAATGTAAATGGCCAGTGATTTTATTTAAGGAGGCAGAAGTGTTGTTGGGAAGGTCTGGAGCCATAGCTCTTGCTATTGTGTATATGGAGGCCTTTTTTGTAGGTGTCCGATATTTACTGGTGGTCTACATTGGCTGTCCACTGCACTGTAAACTACCGCGATTTGAAGATTCCCGCTTGTTTTTTCGCCGAAGAGAAGCTTTTATTTCAACGAAAATATGAAACATGGATTTGATGCCATCCCCAAAATTCCTTTCAACAATACACATTCGGTAAAGTCTTATCATAGCAAGTCGATGGGGGGACATGGCGAATTGAATTTCTACTACCACACGAATATTCTCATACCCTTCATAGTTCCATTGGCCTCTTCCGAAATAAGACAGGTGTGCTTGTGTTTGGAAAAATATGCTCCCCGATGCCAATATTAGCAGGCCTCCAGTTACCACGCTCCTCCTCGAACTTAAATTCATAGTCCATGATGATTCGACTGAAAATTGCTTTGATTGTACAGGAGGCAAAGAAGCGACCTGGACAAGCCTGGCGACCAAATCCAAAATGCATATTTGATGGACTTATACTAATGAAACTAGTAGACGTGGATGGAGCCGGCACCAGGTCATTTCTCTTCTGATTCTCTTTAAGATTTCCGTTAGAGATAGTGTTGGGAATAGTCAATATATCTCTATCTGCTGGATCTTGGCACCAACGGAATCCGTCAAATACATTTGGATTCGGGATAAAATTCGGATCTTTGCTAATTGGGCCCGACGGAAAGCAGATATGGGTTCCCTCAGGGAGGAAGAGGCCGTCTGATAGCGTGAAGGGCTCTTTAACGATACGATGGAAAGATACTGAATGGACTGAAAGTTAGAGAAGGTGAACTCTGAAACGGTGGTTGCGTAGACAGGAATGAAAAGGGAATTCCCACATTCACCAGGAGGCCCAAAGCGCTGTGACTCGCGCAGAAAGCTATCCAAACGGCGTTGAGAATCAAATGATGATTTCGTAGCATTATTCCATCCGCTGCTAAGGGTTTTTCTGATTTCCACGCGAAGTGGCTCTTGATACTCGGGCATGCATATCAAATCGTAAAGAGCATGGCACATAGCTATAGAGCTCGTGTGAACGACTGCCAAACTCATAAGTATCAACATATGATGTGCTAGAGCTTCGGGATCCATATCCTGCTCGTCTTCCGCCATGTCCATCATCCACTGCAGGAAATCATCCGGTTTAATGTAGTCGGAGGTCGCGGCAGCTTCAGCGGCGCGGCGCTCGTTGATCATTGGGATAAAAAGATCCTTAACAAATCGCAATTGCTGTTTCATCTGACGAACCGAGGGAAGAAAAAGAGCAACAAATGGTCGTAGAAATTTTGGAAATGGACGTAGCAGTAAGATAGTCACACCAACATTGACTGAATAACTACTCGCCGTGTTGAGCCATTCCTCATTACGGCGAAGGGAGTCCCCTGCAACGACCCGTGATGTTGCACGCGCGATAAGACGAACGAACACCTGATGTGGCATGGCACTAACCCAACGGTCTAAAGATAATATATGCAGTAAGTTTGTAGCGCATACTCGATGTGACAGGAGTCTATCTGACCTTCGCATTCAGGGAGAGCGGATTCAAAAGCATAGCGCAATTCATCGATGACCCAGGGAATCACTCGGCCTAATAAATACAATGTTAGTTTTCAAATCATCTACTGCAGTTTTATAGGCGTGATAGGCTTATACCAAGACTTGGTGTAAGGCGTTTTCGAACTGTCATTGAAGGCAAATAGCTATGGATTATGATGTTGGTATACTCTCCCAGCGCATTCTGTTCTACAGATTAGCTACCTCTTGCGTCCCCGGAGGCCTTGATCGAAGCAAATGGACCTTTTTCTATTACTCACTTCAAATTGCGCGTCTAACGAACTGATGCTTGATGGTGGTCGATGTTTAAGCTCGTCCACATACTTGATAGGCAAGACAACAACTTCGCCATCGCCAGTCAGCATGCGAAATGGCGTATCTTTGTACTAAAGCGGCGGTCAACATAATTCATCAGTCTGACTAGTCCATCATACTTGTGCATAGCCTTTATAAATCATTTGCTTTGCCTTTGGATAGAATATAAGTCTATTGAAAATATTTGGTAGAAAGTAAATGTATTTGACCACGGGAACTTTCGTGAGACCATTGTCTGTCTTTCGACGCAGAATATAGAGCACAAGAAGTACTCCGAGAAGAGACCATACGATTGAGCTAGCCATCGAAGTAGTTTGGGTTGTAAGTGAAGAAATTATGAAACAAAGGACACTAGAGACACCTAGGATTTCGGAGCGAGATTAAGGCAAATCCTTGTGTGAGGAAGTTTCCAGGGAGGGTGGCACAGACTGTCGGATAGTATTGAGCGGTGCTAAGCACTTTTCCAAAGTTAGAAATTCAACAACATCTACATACGATGATGAAAGGGGAAATAGCTGAAGAAAAAGAGCCAAAAGAGCAATTTTCAATTTGCCCTTTTGGGAGCTCGAACTGCACTCGAACTGCACCTGTTGCTCGAAAACAAGGAAAGGCCCTTGTATATACAAACTTTTGGGGGGGTGACTTCGTCTATCCTAATATACAAACGCCGGGCGCACATGCAAAGTAGATATTACAGAGTAAACCTTCACGAAATTCATTCCAGTCCGATCCATTCGCCTTCATTCTCATCACTATCAGCCATCTGGTCGTCCGCATCTTCAGCATCGCTGACTTCCATGGCCAGCAAAGCGGCGCTAGGCTTCTTGTCGGCAAGGACTGGCTTGGAAAGAAGATAGTTAAGATCGTAAAGGTTCTTCTCCGCCAGGCGCTTGAGGTTCTCTCGGATGTCGTCGACAGCGCGTTGGACCGCACGCAATTCGGGAGCGAATGTACCAGAGTTATCTTTGAAATACCGGCCGTGGCAGCTGAAAAGAGACTCAATCCACAGAAGGTTGAATTCCAAATGTGGCGTTTCGTCAGCAGCATGTGCAACGAAGCGCAGCAGACGGGGCAAGTAAACCGTGGGTACGGATCGAACCACGTGCGGAATATCCGATGGAGGGATCGCCTCGTACACGGCACGGAGGAGTTTTGACTCATTCAGCCGGAAAGCCATGATCAGAGCCTTCAAGAATGTGTTATCGTCATCCACACTGTTGAAAGCGGCAGCGGCCTTGGCAGCATCGAGCGTGGCCATGATGGTGGAGGGAGTGATGGTGATATCCAAATCATAAGGATCAAAAACAAAGTCCGTATCCAGGGCATAGATCAGAAGGCCTTCAGTGGAGGCAGCACAGAAAGAGCGCCCAGTGGGTGCAAAATCCACCGACGTCACTCGCACTTCGGGCCGGGTTGTGCGGGCACCGGCGTCGCCACGTTTGGCACCAGGCAAAGAACGATCGATACGATCTTCCTTATCGGAAGCTTCACCAGTCGTGTCAAGTAGCCCGCGGGGGCCGGCTTCGGTGAGATCGCGGCTGTTCAAGAACTCCTGAGTGCCGTCCAGGGACGTGTTGACTGAGACGGTGAACTTTTTGATCAGAGATCCCGTGTTAACATCATACAAGCAAATGTGCTTGCTATTACCAGCGGCAAGAATGCAGCTACCATCAGCACTGTAAGTAATACGATTAAAAGACTTCGTTCCTGCCGAATTGGCGGCGGTACGCCGATCGGAAATAGTCCGGCCTCCAGAAACATCACGGCGCCCGTCAATGCCGCTTTCCTGGATGGCATCGAAGACATTCCAGAATGAAAGCTGGCCATCAAGTGTAGAGGCAGCGATCTGTTTCCCGTCAGGACGAAAGGAGACACTGAGGACATCCGACATCAGTTGAAGTGGTTCGCTAGTCTGCGTTCGCCCAAAAATACTCCAAACTCGGACTGTGCTGTCCCAGCTGCCACTGACAAGGTGGTTCCCATCAGCGGCGAAGGCAAGGCTGGAGACTGGGCCCTCGTGGCCAGAGAGCTGATCCAGCAATTGACCGGTCTGCACAGACCAGACATGGATATCGAAAGAGTCGGGCGAACCGGCACAGACGACTTCACCGCTGGGGTCGACCGCCAGGGCAGAGAACGACAGACGGGTAGGTGCAGTGAAAGTGCGGAAATTACGGTACCGAATCAAGTCCCAGGCGCGGATCGACCCATCCAACGAGGCAGTGAACAGGACGTTGCCCTTCTTTGCAAACTCACACGCAGTTACTCCGCTTGAATGTTCAGTGAAAGTCACAATGCAGAAGCCTGATTTGACATCCCATACTTTGACTTTGCCGTCGTCAGCTGTTGTGACAATTTTCTGTCCATCAGGCGAGTAAGCAATGGCATTCATCGAATCAAGATGGCCCTGTTGCTTGAGAATATAAGATTCGGACTGCCATTCCCAAACCAGCAGTTGGCCATATCGAGATGAACCTAAAGCGAGCCACTCTCCGGATTCATTGATGGTTACAACATCAATGTTACTCTGGGAAACACTGCCAAGGGATTAGCTTTGAAGCTTCGAAGGGGGGTACGGACTGAACCACACATACCTTAACACATGGATTGTGTTAAACTCTGGGAGGTCATACAGCCCAAACAGCCCGTTTGAGAAGCCCACGACCAGCAAATTTGACTTCGCATGGAACGCCGCGCAGTTCACATTGGCTTCGTTTTGCATGAAGAAGTCTTTCTTAACGATTCTCCACCTGGCCTCTGCAATATCTTCATCTGTCTCCCGATCTTTCTTGGTGACATACTCCCAGCGGAAAAGGGCGCCATCGTCGCTGACAGTATAGATCTGATTGTGGTGTGTAAGAAGTAATTCTGGCAATAGGGACTTGTAGAAAAAGCTCGAAACACTCACTATATCTTGAGTCGCATTGAAGAATGCGGCTACTACACCTTGCCGGTGACCGGAGAGGGTAGTGGGTTCAAAGCCGTCCTCGGGGTTTAAACTCCATACCCGCGCTGTCAAATCCTTAGACGCGGTGAGTAAAAATCGGGAATCACTTGACCACTGGATGGTTTGAATGTCGTCAAAGTGTGCAGCTAGGTCGCGGTGGAGAACAAAGGGTGCAAATTCAATCTCGCCATTGGTCTCGGTACCAGGCGTGGAGGGGGTCTGCCACAGCTGGAGACGTCTTCCCACGCCTACCGCAAAATGGCGTCCCGATGGAGAGAATTTGAGGGCGGAGACACGAGATTTGAAGGAGAAATGGTGGATTGAAATGCGCCGTTGGAAATTGGTCAGAATGGCCCGGCCCGACTCGTCGACGGTCAAGAGCAAATTGCCTCGAGGGGATAGATCGAGGCGTTCAATGTTCTTGCGGTGGGCAAAGGGAAGGGTATAGGAGGTATTGCTAAGAGGGGTCAGATAACCAATCACACTCGCGTTCTATGGATATTCCACAACTTCAGGGATTGCTTACTGCACGAGGTCAAAGACGGTGACTCGATTGCCGACTGGCGAGAGCAAGCAAGTGCCGTCGGGCGTAAAGAGCAAATTGCCCTTACGATACACCGTCCCCAAGAGATTGGAGAACTATTTTCCGCGTCAGTCTGTACATTCCCCTAGCACACTTCTCGGGTGAAACCTGACTCAGGACCCACGAACCTTGAAATCCGTCTTCATTGTCTCTGCAACAGCTTGCGGCGCTCCGTCAAAAATTCGGACTTGAAGCATCGGACAAGCAAAAGATAAGACCCGGATCAGCCATAATCCGGTTCCGCGCCTGAACAGGCATAGTGTTGCCACTAACCCCAGATAGGCAAGGCCAGCTATACTCCAGAAAACGAAAGGAGATTCAGGGGGAAGCAGCCAACGAGCAGCTCATCGCCTTCCCCTTTTCCCCAAGGAACTCCGACCATCTTCCCACTTTAGCCCGGTCACTTCCTGAGGGGTCTCTCGTCGCAATTCTGCTTCCTTGACATCCCCTTGCACATCCCCCCCCCTTCCCAGCCATGTCGACCACAGAGACTGCCTCGCCTATTGGCATTGCCAATGTGAGTCCCCTTCCCCGAATCTCCGACACGGCGGGCTGGACCCATGATAGCTAATCTGCTGGTGTTTTTATAGCTCCCCAACCAGCGGTGGGTATTTCCACAGGCAATGCTGTGAATTGACCGAGAAGAAATATTCTAATGGGATAATATCCAGACACAAGATTGTTGCAAAGCGGGGTGCGGCATTCACAATTATGGTTTGTCTAAGCTTGGAATGTTTCGGCCGGGGCCTCGAAACTAATGACGCTGTTCACAGGTTGCCGGAGAGTCGGGATTGGGAAAGACCACCTTCATCAACACCTTGTTCTCTACCACCATTAAGAACTATGCCGACCACAAGCGCCGCCACCAGAAGCAGGTTGACCGCACCGTCGAGATCGAGATCACGAAGGCCGAGCTGGAGGAGAAATTTTTCAAAGGTGCGATATTAATGAACGCCTCGATAGTCGATGAGACCTGCGAGATGTGATGGCTGGGTCTGTTTGAATTAGTTTTGGGGACTAACGCCTCATCCATGTTTTGATTGTTTACAGTCCGTTTGACTGTCATCGACACCCCCGGCTTCGGCGACTATGTCAACAACCGCGACTCGTGGCAGCCGATTATCGAGTTCCTGGATGACCAGCACGAGTCTTATATGCTCCAGGAGCAGCAGCCCCGCCGTACCGATAAGATTGACATGCGTGTGCATGCCTGTTTGTATTTCATCAGACCCACCGGACACACCCTGAAGCCTCTCGATATCGAGGTGATGAAGCGCCTGAGCTCTCGTGTTAATTTGATCCCTGTTGTTGCCAAGGCCGACACCCTCAGCCACGCCGACCTGGCCAAGTACAAGGAGCGCGTGAGTGTCCTGAAGTTGTCTGATATGGTAGTTGTTGGGACTAACGGACCACCCAGATTCGTGCCGTGATTGAAGCCCAGGGCATCAAGATCTACACCCCCCGATCGAGGAGGATGACGAGCACGCCGCCACCCACGCCCGTAGCCTGATGGCCGCCATGCCTTTCGCCGTCATTGGTTCCGAGAAGGACGTCAAGGCCAACGATGGCCGTGTCGTGAAGGGCCGTCAGTACGCCTGGGGTGTTGCCGAGGTTGAGAACGAGGACCACTGCGATTTCAAGAAGCTTCGCTCCATCCTGATCCGTACCCACATGCTCGACCTCATCCACACCACCGAGGAGTCACACTACGAGGCCTATCGCGCCCAGCAGATGGAAACCCGCAAGTTCGGCGAGGCCCGACCCCGCAAGCTGGACAACCCCAAGTTCAAGGAGGAAGAAGAGAACCTGCGCAAGCGCTTCACCGAGCAGGTCAAGGTGGAAGAGCAGCGCTTTCGCCAGTGGGAGCAGAAGCTTATCTCCGAACGAGACAGACTCAACAAGGACCTCGAGGCCACTCATGCCGCGTATGTTTCGTCCTCATTTCCCACTACTTAGTCAGTCATCATAAGTACTAATCTTTCTGGCAGTATCAAATCCCTCGAGCAAGAGATCGAAAGCCTTCAGGGCTCTGGCACTCGCAGCCACGGTCGTCGCTAGGATGGCAATTCAAAAAGGGGGTAGACGAATTTTTGCTTGCTCTCTCCTTGTTTTTTTCTCTTGAGTACCCTATGTCTTGCCGTTCACGCGCTTCGGAGGGCGCACCTTCGCCTTGAGGGGCTGGTTCGTTTTGTTCTGTTATATCCATTTACCGCTGGTAGCTAGCGATGGTGTCTCTACATCCTTGATAATAACCCCTCCTGTATTCTGTAGCGCGGAAAATACAGTTAATCCTTTTGCTTGTTGCCCAAACTGATGATTGCCATTCAAATGTTCAAATATATCTTTGTAAAAAGGTGCATTCTTCGCTAGAATACCAAAAATGAACTAGTAAAATAGAATAGCTAGTCTTGTTTTGGAGGTTCGTTTGGACTAGAGTGGGCTCTGCTTGTTCGGGCCCAGTTTGGCCCAAGTCCAAAGTCCGCAACTTGCCAGCTTCACAAACATCACTCAACCCGCCCTTACACAGGGAAGCAGTTCTGCAACAAACGCCATGCGCTCGAGCAAATTCCCGACACGGCATCTTCACACCCTCAAAACACACAATGGTCGGTCGCATGCCCACCGTCTTCGCGGGGCCAGGAACTAACAGTTTCGTACGCGCCAGGCCCGATCAATGCAGTGACTTTTTCCAGTTCCCCCGGCACCTATGTCCTCACAGGCTCCACGGACCGTGCTGTCCATCTTTCGCGCGCGGTTCCTAGTAATGCCGAAAACTCTACGATAGCGATAGAAACTTCCACCCCTATCCAGCGCTACGAGGCTCACGGCTACGCGGTACTCGATGTTGCAGTTGCCACAGACAACGCGCGCTTCGCCAGCGTAGGAGGCGACCGACAAGTCTTTCTATGGGATGTTGAACAAGGCAATACTACCAGGCGATGGAGTGGACACAACAGCAGGGTAGAGGCGGTCCAATTTGCGGGCGAGGGAGACTCAGTTGTTGTTTCTGGTATAGTCAATGGATCCGAAGACTCGCCCTGTTGGCAGGAGCCTTGCTAACTATTTGCTGGGTTTTTTTTGCATTTAGGTAGTGCAGATACGACCATCAATCTCTGGGATACTCGCTCGAAAGACTACAAGCCCATCCAGACTCTCTCAGAAGCAACTGATACGGTCTCATGTCTGCATGTGCACATGTCCACCTACTCTATTGCTAGCGGTAGCTACGACGGTCATGTGCGCGTTTACGATGTCCGCATGGGTAAGACAACCGTGGACGTTCTCGCACATCCGGTCACCAGCGTGCGGTGCTCTGCAGACGGCAATGCACTGCTAGCTTCTACCCTTGACAGCCACATTCGTATGCTGGACCGCGCGGATGGAAAACTCCTCGCAGCCTTTGCTGGATCGCCCAAGAAACATGACCAGTCTGATCGGACTCTCCTCGGTTCACGGCCGCAACATACCTATCGGAATTCCGAGCTTCGGGTTCGTTCTGTGTTTGCGCAGAACGACGCCATTGTCCTGAGTGGCTCAGAAGCTGCCAAGGGCGACGGATCAGAAGTCGGGGCTGCGGTTTTTGCGTGGGATGTGCTCAGCAGAGAGGTTGTTGCGACAGTGCCTATGGGGGGCCAAGTCAAAGCTGTCAGTAGCGTTGCATGGAATGAGAAAGGAAATTGGGCTGCCGGATGCTCAGATGGTAAGAGGCTTCGCAAGAGAACAATTTGATCCTTGAACCTCTGATTAACGTGGTCATGCTCATTTAGGTACTGTCCGAGTCTTTGGCTGAGCCAACGGGCGATCTTCTCCACAGAACGTGGCTCCCGTGGCCTCCGCTCCATCTTCTCTCAGCTTGGCCCAGGCAGTTTACGGTATCGTCAATAACATCATGCTTGGCACAACACAAAGCTACATTTACCTTTGAGTCGGGGATCTCAAGCCCATGATCTGGATTCCACTGCTGCGCCTGAGGTCCATAGAAATCCAGCACCTTCGTTGAAGGCTTAAGATGCCAAAAAAAGCCCGAGACAATCAAGTCGCTAACGCACCTCAAGATGAATCCTTCTTTGACCTTGCCCTGTCTGTAATGACTGCCGCCGTCATAGCGTCAATGTCTCGGTGAACCCTTATGGCAAATTTCCCCAATCACATGCCTCTTTTGACGGAGCATCGATTGTGAACCCACCCCATCAACGGGAGAGATCGCACCCCTGGTGCTGGATCTGCATATATCCTCATCAAGGATGGGCAAGGCAGACTCATTAACGTGACGATGATCGGCGGCATCGATTATGATGGCCAGTACCTGTGGGCGAAAGCTTTGCAGTATCGGCCAAGCACAATCGCAAGGTGTCAAAATTGTCCGCCTCACTTTAAAACCCGCTTTCTTCCGCATGCTGACCACAATGGTGGAATCGTTCATGGCACGGTCACCGATGGTCTTGTCACTTTGAGCTAGGTCGGCCGCAATGCCACAGCCTGATCACCAAAAGACTACCCAGAAGCTTTTACTCCTCTTCCCGACCTCGTAACTCCACAATCCTTGGTGGCCGATACCTCCGTTTTTGTTGACTACCAAGACTGCGAATTCCTCGGCCATCATGCTCTGCCTTACCCCACTGCGGCTAGGATTGGCGATCAGGGATCTGCACGGCCCATCGTGTTCTGCAGCGAATGGCCTCCATTGGATCTTCAATGAACCTCAGTGGTATCGCATTGATTAACCTGACAATCTGATACCGCGTTGAGAAGTACCAATTGCTCTGACTAGCGACCTTGGGATATCGCTGATTTGAAGCCCCATTGACGTTGCTGTTGTGGATAGCAGGTTGAGTATATATCTTCTCCCTAATTAACTGAACTCAGCTTTGTACGTCTACGAAACAAATCAAATAATTACAGAACACATGGTATGGTGAGGATTGTAAAACAGTGACAATGCCTTGTAAGATCCCAAGTGCATTGAAATATTGACAGGGATCTCGGGTAATTCGTTAGCTTTTGCGAAATAATCATATCATTGATGAGTTCTGTCGTATTCCATGTCGTAAAGCAGCCATTAACCCATGAACAAAACGCCCGGCAAGATACAGTCAATTGTGCTATCCACAAGGCTCAATGCCAATTTTGGCACTGGATAGAAAAGGAGCATCAATAATCTTGTAATCATACAGGCGATGCCTGGCAGCCAACGAAAACAATCACATAACTTTTCCCTGATTCCGAGATTAGGAGAAGCATCCATCAGATTGTGCTATCTTCCGTAGCAGTCAGGATATGAGAATCATTCTTCACCGGATCACCAGGAGAATCCTGCGCCTTCTCCGCTTCCAAAGCATCAATGGCTCTTCGCAGTTCGTCTTCGCCAACAATGATCGTGCCTGCACGTGCTGTACTCAAGAAACTGATCTCCACCGCGTCCGCGGACGGATCTACGTCAGGCTTGAGATGGTGTGTCGTGGGCGCCAGCTGATGCTGCAGAGTGGACTTCTTATGTGCACCGAAAGCCAGCTGAGTGCCGAAGGTATCGAAAAGCTTTGGCACGGACCCGATTACGCCGTCGTTGCTGCTGACCCGACTCGCATCACCACTGCCGCCGCGTGCTGTGCTATTTGTCGCATCAGCGAGCCTGCCCGCCACGCCACAGACAATGCCCGAAGCCTCGAGAGACAAATCTCGCAGGTCCAGCGTAATCGGAATCAGGTAATCCTCCTTGGACCCGAGAAGCAGCCCGGAGCCGTCCTCGAAGTCTCGGGATGCGGACTGGCGGGCAAAGCGAGGCAGTAGCCGTTTCTCCAAGAGCAGTGAGGCTGCCGGATCTAGTGCTGCAAGGGTTAGGGAGAGGAAACGGGGCTCATCGACCAGGAGAACTGTTGTCAAGGCGTCACGTAGGATGCACATGGAGCTTTCTTGGGCGTTGTACTGGTGATGTGCTGCGCATTGGACCAGACGAAGACTGTCATCAACAGATGGGAGTATTTGGCGCTTGCGGAGATTTTCAAATGTGCGAGTCTGGAGCTCTGCGAGAGTTGAGGGCGGGGGAGTGACAGGGGGAACCATGTCGCTGAGCTTGCGCTCAGTACATGGAGATGTTGGGCTCAGCGGAGTGACAAAGGCTGCTGTGGCATTTTCAAACTGAAAGCCACGATTTTCGAGAGCAGAAATCACGCTTGCCTTGCTGTGAAGGGGTACAATGATGTAGTCTGAAAAGTAAGTCGAGATGAAGAAAATGGAGCTGGAGGCGATGTTAGTTTTTTAGGTCCGCACTTGGAGGGGTTTCCTCTATTCTTCAAGTATATGTATCTTCCACGCAGGAAGATTCATGGGATCAAGATACATACATTCCTGCCATGGCCAGCGGACTAGTCAGCTCGAGAACCCGCTTACCAGCTTCCAAACCTTGACCCAGAACCTGCATAGCAATGTAGTCATTCTCACTCACGTCTAGACGAGAGCGGAGCGAGGTGTCGACCTGGCTTAGCTGATTCATCAGGGGCTCGAAGTACTTCTCAGCAAGTCGCCGGGGACAGATCACGGAGACTTCAACAGGGGTGATGGAGACATTTAGGAATGCAGGTTGCCGGTAATCGGTCCCTGGGTCGGACGCATCCTCGATGTCTTGCAGCAGGCCATCATCATCAACATCATTTTCATCATCTTCTCCTTTCTCGGACTCTTCTAAGGGAGCGATTTCATCAAAGATGAGTCTCAGGACTGGTTTGAAGAAATATGGATAGAGCTCCAGCGGAATATGAACAAGCACTAGACGCTCTTCCTAGGACATTAGAAATATATGTCAGCACTTTGAATGATGCTCGCTTGACCAGGACCACTAATGATGTCTCACTCACCAGAAAATGGACCTGGGCGTCAATCATAGTCATTGATTGATCCATTCTGATCCTTCGTCCGGTTATGTAGGTTTAAGGTTCATACGTTCCTGGGAGCCTCAGAAGATATTAGAGCGACTCCGGCAGAATATCCGATGAAAGCCGTCGGTTTCGAGGTTGTGTAATCAAAGAACAATGGGTTCAGCTGCTCTCGCCCGACTGTGCTTTGAATATTCTTTGGAGCGCCAGATGTGCGGCTACTAGCATGGTGATTTGCGGAGGGGCTCATCAATTACGCCATTGACGTGATGCTGCACCTAGGGAGGATGGCGACAGGGCAAGTTGGCCGGGATGGCGTCAGTGGGAATTGGGAGCACGAGAGAGAAGAAGGAGAGAGAGAGAGAGAGAGAGAGAGAGAGCTCAGGTGAGAAGCAAAAGTGACAGGAGTAGAAAAAATAGGATACGAGGCGAATGACTCAAGAAGATTTTAGGAATCACCCTTGGGTCTGGTCAACAGGTCAACAGGTGATAGCAGGTGACTTGGCGACTTGCAAGAAAAAAAGGGTTGAGCCAACGTCCTCTCGAACTTTCACTACCTACTAATCCCAATAAGTCCACGATTTAAGAAAAGGACCGTTCGTAAGCAGTCTTTGATCTTTTTTGCACGCCTTTATCGCTCTGTTCTCGGTTTACCAAATCCCTTCATGCAACCTTTATCTTTCGCACTAACCCACGTCCGCTTAGTCGAGCCGGTTCAGCTCCACTGCTTATCGCTGCTCCCACCCCCGCGCTAGGCGCCGGTTCGCACGGACGTGTGTCATGCATGGCCCATGCTGTGGGCGCATTTGGTACCTGAGCTTCTGGTGCTTCTCAGCTCCGTGTCTGCGGGGGAAGAACCCCTGTGACAAACTATCGTGCCCAGGGCCGCATCTTCAAATCCCACTCTGAATTGCCAATCGGACAGGGGCAATTTATCAATCAACATCTGCGGACCCCGCGCTGGCCGCAGGATCGACCGGGTGCTAACCGGGTCGAGTTGCCTGGGGAAAATATATTGTGCATGCCCAGCATCTCTAGCTGGTCCAAACTCCGTGTTACTGCAAACCCAGCACATATCACCGAAAAATATACGTGAAAAAAAAGACCCGATACAAACTTAACTTTGGGCACATCTGACTACCCCCGCTTTTCCCTTACACTGATACACAGCACACAGACTCTTGAATGGCAACCATGGTACCACTCGGTCAAATGGCGATCGTCCGATAAGAGGCCATGGCCGCTGGAAGTGGAGCCTGTGTGCTGGATGACGGAGGACTGCCAGCTGATACGACCTCGAGATGTTCATTCGCTTGATAGCAATAGACAGCGCTCACGTCTTTGGCTCAGTATCGAAGAATATGACTACGCAAATGTATCTCCGACCAGCTGAAAAGCCCTTGTTGCCCGAGGCCCAGGCCTCCCAATATGAGAATGATACTTAGCCGTACATCGGGTGAATCTATCCAGCTAAATTGACACTGCCGCTGAACACTCCAATGGTAGATACCACGACTGGACATGCTATTACGCCTAGCAGAGGATGAAAATTTCAAAATGTGATATAATGTACTATATCCCTACAACCATGTCGGGTATCCGTCCGTGGGACGTTTGTTTACAGTGTTTTGGAGGGTGGCCGACCCGGTATGCATCCCTTGCGCGCAACTGCCCGATCCGACGCCGAGTCGGGCTATTCATCTGCATGCCAGCCGACCAAGCCCACAGACGGAATGCTTCAAGAGAAAACAAACGTAACCCCAGAACAGAGTGTGCTTGGAGAGCCACGGTATAGGTGGCTATTGTTCTGCTCCTTGAATGTCCGCACTAGGACTGGCATTACAGAAAGCATGGCGATGGATCGAGGAGCCAACAACAGTCTCCCCCTACTGTCGATCGATATTATCTCGATTGTTAAAGGAAGCCGATTTCCGTTTCGCGCGTCTTGGAACCTTTCGAACAACATCGCGGCCATCGACATTCGCTACGCTTCTTTTCATCGACACCCTCGTTTTGTCTTTTATAATAATTCTTAATTTCAACTGCCCCCAACATTGATCCACCAGCCTCATTGTTCGGAGTCGGAGGATTTAATTATCTTTCTGATATTTGGGCCGATCGCCACTGGATTGTTGAATGACTATCTACTATGGGCAAATTTAATCTGCTTCTTCTGGCTGGCGTGGCCGCAAAATTGGCTGCCGCGAAAGATGTATACCTCAATTGGAACGTGACATGGGTCAATGCGGCGCCGGATGGGTTTGAGCGCCCTGTAATTGGTATTAACAACCAATGGCCCTGCCCCCAGGTCGACGTGGAGCTGGGCGATCGAGTCATTGTCGATGTATACAATGGTCTCGGGAACCAGTCTACTGGCATTCACTGGCACGGGTTTCATCAATACCACACTGGCATTATGGATGGTGATAGCTCGGTGACCCAGTGCCCACTTCCGCCAGGACACCACATGCAGTATCATTTTGAGGTGAGGAAGATTGAAATTCCATATTGATTGACTTTTTGCTAATCGAAGGATCGACTAGGCCAACCAAACTGGAACGTACTGGTATCATTCTCATAATATGGGCCAGTACCCCGATGGTTTTCGTGGAGCATTCATTGTTCATGATCCCAAGCCGCCATTCCATTACGATGATGAGTTCACAATCACTCTCAGCGATTGGTATCACCGAGAGATGGCCGACTTGCTCCATGAATACCAGTCTCAAGAGAACATGGCTGCCTTTGGCGGCCACGAGCCTGTTCCCAACTCCGCGCTGATCAATGACTCGAACAAGAGTAAAATCAAAGTCTTGCCCAACAAGACTTACCTTGTTCACATTGTCTGCATGGGAAATTGGCCCGGTCATACTTGGGTCTTTGACGGACATGAGATGACCGTTGTTGAAGTCGATGGAGTGTATATTGAACCGTACGCTGTGGGCAAAAAGATGCTTCGTGTGGCTACCGGGCAGAGGATGGGCGTATTGATCCACACAAAGCCTGATACAACCAAGAATTTTGCCATTTGGGATACCATGGATATCAACATGATGTTTATCTACGAGAATCGCCCTATTCCAGCTAACTACAATCCCAACGTGACTGCTTGGCTTGTGTACGATGAGGCTAAAGCCCTTCCTCCGCCACCCGTCCTCACCGAATTTGACTTTGCGGACGATCTCGCATTTGTTCCTCTTGACCGTCAGGCTCTGCTACAGCCGGTGAACCACCAGATCATCCTTGATACTTTTGACACCGAGATCAATGGGATCATGCGCTTCACTGTTAATAACAAGACCTATCTGCCCCAGAAGGTTCCCACGTTGTACACTGCCAATACCATTGGCAAGGACCTTGCTTCTAACCCCGAGGTATATGGACAGGTCAACCCATTTGTTGTTAAGTACGGCGAGGTTGTTGAGATCGTGATTAACAATCATCACAACAACCTGCACCCTTGGCATTTGCATGGTCACCAATTTCAAGTCCTCCAGCGCTCTGACGTCAATGGTGGCTTCTTCACCGGTGCCTACTATCAGAATGTTTCCCAAACTCCTGTTCGTCGCGACACGATTATGGTGCAGAACAACGGCCATGTTGTTCTGCGGTTTCGCGCCGATAATCCTGGTGTCTGGCTTCTCCACTGTCATATCGAATGGCATGTCGAAGCTGGTCTGATGGCCACCATAATCGAGGCACCAGAGACTTTCCCCCAGTCTGAGGCTGCTCCTCCTCAGAGTCACTATGATGCTTGCGCCGCTTATCCCGACCCTACTAATGGTAATGCTGCTGGTAAACATGGCCTGGACATGACTGGAGCGAATACGGAGGTTTCTATCGACAATCATGGCGCTATGTACGAATCGAAACCTGTTCAATCTGCTCCTCCGGCGCCTGCTTCTACTCCAAAGCAGCCCGAGACTTCGTCAGCACCACCTTCACCTCCTGCTCCCCAAACAACCACTTCCGCTTCGCCTCCGGAGCAGCCTCCTGTACCGAAGCCCACCCACACCCATCAGCCTCCGCCCCACCAGGCACCTGCTCCTGAAGCACCGGCTCCCCAGCCACCGAAGTCTGGTCAGTCGGCTCCTAAGCCCCAATCGCCTAAGCCTGTAGCACCAGCTCCTGAACAGCCTGCGCAACAGGCACCGACTCCTCAACAGCCTGCTCCACAGGCGCCGGCTGCTCAGGAGCCAGCGCCCCAGCCTGTTCCTGATGTGACTCCTGAGTATCCTGCCCCTCAACCGGTTGAAATCGTCCCAGTTTATCCTGTCCCTGTGGCCCCGCCACCACATGACCAGCCCATCTATGTTCATGAGCATGATAGCAATGGCCCGTGGCCTCACCCTCACACCGACAAGGGCCATGCACAAGTTGGCGATGGGCCTCATGCGGCATTCGCCGACTCACAGGATACCAAAGGCCTGTGGCCTCATCCTCATGAGAACAAGGGTCATGCACAAGTCGGCCAGGGGCCAGCGGCCGACTTTGCTCACTCTGAAGATAGCAACGGCCCGTGGCCGCGCCCTCACACCGACAAGTCCGATGCTCAGATCGGTGATGGACCTAACAATCAGCCCATCATTGCTCACACTGAGGATACCAAGGGCCCGTGGCCCAACCCACACAATAATAACGGCTATGTTAAGGAGGGTGGTCATATAATTAAGAATCCTGATGACGGGTAGGTCGCTCGCATTTGATAGTCAGAAGTAAGGATAATTGCTAACGAAATACTCAGACCTCACGACCTCCCGAAGGACTACCAGTACTGGGAGCAGTATGAGCATCAGCAGTAATTCATTGCACTTCAAAAAAGCTGGTATATATAAGCTTTATATGTTTAATGTCTAGAAAAAACCTAGTCGAGCTCTATTTGAGACAATCCTTTTTCGTTCTTCATCAGTTCACCGTAAAATCCGAGTAACTTGGTACCCTTGTATTTTTGCAAGTTAGCTACGAGCCGTTCGACCAAGATCGTCACTGTTTCCCCATGTTCTCGGAAGACATGAAGAGCAGTCCAGCCTGTGGGGCTGAGCGCCTTTTCCGCATTCGGCAATCAGTGTAGTTTCCAACCACGCCTCGCCACGTACCACAACGCAGATGTCTAATATTAAACGAATCTCATCTATTCCCTAGTTTCCCGACTTCTAGGCGACTTCTGAGATCATTCGCACCTGTGATCAACGCCCCAACAATGTGTTTCTGCCGTTTATCGACTGCTAGCTGATCTCGCGACCTGGGACATTCCACGATCGACAGGCCCGAACCCGCATAGTTCAGGCGCACTAAGCAATCCAGCACCGGGTTTGGAAGCCCATGAGCCGTAACTCCGCATCGGGCATAAATGTCATCCCCCTTCCCAGCACCTTATGGATATGCATTTCTTCCGATTGACTTCCGTGTCTGTCAGGGTCTCCACTGCCTTGGGCCCACGACAGGTTCGGCCTGTCGTCGGCAAGGACTATCCACATGCTGTTTTCATGCACATCCATATCACCAGGTTCGTGTTCCGATCCGGACTGTTCTGCAATCAGCCTGTTGTTCTAGGGCTTATAATTGAGAATAAAATAGAATGTCGCTCTGCGTAGCTTTTTCATTGGGGATCTTTTTTCTTCGGCTTATTCCTTATTCCAAGTGTATAAACACTTTATAGTTCGAAACAACCTTGTCGCCCATCATGACGCCGTGGATTCTCGGAGATCGATTCAATACAGTTTATCCTCACAAGGGCTCGATCAAGGCTCTCTGGGAGACTAAGTGGAAGTTCTGCGTAAGTGCCGGTTTGCTCTCGCGGTTAACTCGAGTAGAATTGAAAGCGCATCGAGACCACAGATGCTAATCTTAATTTATTACAGTGCCAGAAGTCCATCTACCCCTTCCACGATGGCTCGATTGAGGATTTCGAGCCCATCTTTGACACTCTTATTGCCGTGAGCCCCCTCCAATCCTCTCTTTCAGAGAACACGAGAACACACCAGCTGACCCTCGCCCAAGGGAAACATCAACGACGCCTTCTCCGACGCCTACACGAACGCCTTTCTTCCCATCGCCGACAGCCTGGAAACCCGAGCTGCCGAAGCCCTTGGCTATGGCCACCCCGACCGCGCTGCCGACCTGTACCGCCGCGCTGCCGTCGTCCTCCGCATTTCGCGCTTTCCCTACGTCAGCCATGCCAGCCGCCCAGAGTCCTCTGCCAAGCGGGCAGCCTTCGAGCGCCAGAAGGATGTGTATCTGAAAGCCGCCGCGCTCTGGAAGCCTATCCTCACGGAGGTTGTCATTCCGCACACGCACGCCGCCGGTGCCGACGGCGCTCACATCCCGCTGTACATCCGCCTGCCAGAGGAGGCGTCCGCAGAGCACCGCGTGCCTGTCGTCCTGATAATGACGGGGTTGGACGGCTACCGGCCCGACAACAGCCAGCGCACGCACGAAATTATCGATCGCGGCTGGGCAACGGTCATCGTCGAGATCCCCGGCACCGCCGACAGCCCGGCAGACCCGGCGGACCCAGACAGCCCGGATCGGCTGTGGTCCAGCGTACTGGACTACATGGCGACACGGCCGGAGCTTGACATGAGCCGCGTTGCGGTGTGGGGACTGAGCGCTGGCGGATTCTATGCGATCCGGGCGGCGTGTACGCACCGCGAGCGTCTGGCGGGCAGCGTGGCGCATGGGCCTGGCTCGCATCATTTCCTGGGGAAGGAGTGGTTGAGCCGGGTGAACGATCACGAATACCCGTTTACGTGAGTAGATTCATTGGTCTTGTCTGGGGCAGATTCGCGATCGAAATGGCTGACTTGTATATCTAGCATCACGCCATGCTGGGCCGAGAAATACGGCTACTCCAGCACGGAGGAGTTCGAGGAGAACGCGCAAAAGAAGTTCTCGCTCATCGAGACTGGCGTCATGGACCAGCCTAACTGCCGCCTTCTTCTCTTGAATGTAAGTTTTGCCAGCGGCCGTTAATGTGAGGTGAGGGAGAAGAGTTGCTGACAGTCTCCCCCAATTCTAGGGCGTGGACGATGGCGTTGTTCCAATCGAAGATTCATTGGTGCTCTTCAACCATGGCGGGCCTAAGGAAGGACGCTTCTTCGAGGGAACGGTGCACATGGGTTATCCGCACACCTTGCCCGTGGCGTACAAGTGGCTGGAAGAAGTCTTGTCGCCGAACAAGACAGCGTTGAAGAACTAGATGGAGTTGACTAACAGTTGGCGGGTCGGATAGCATGGCCTTGCCTTTCTAGGTGCTTGATTTGGTTCTATAAAGTTAAATGAAATTGAAATATTCTCTGCTGATAAGTCATGGCGTATAGCAGAGGGCAAAATGTAGTCATAAAATTGCCGTATGGTCGATTCTCACTCGAGGAGGTAAAAGTACACAACTGACTTTTCGGTCGAAATGAAACAAGATGGTCCAAGAAAAACTTTGGCGGAGAACATAGGAAAGGGGGTAAAGTGTTGCCAGAACGCCCGCAATGCATAAACAACAGCCGGACCCACGCTCCCAGGGGCGTGGTGTGAAATCAAAACGTGATGTACTGCATAGATAAGGCACAAATCGCTTAGTCGTCTTCAACTCTCGCGCGCTTCGAACCCCGGTCATCGTGCTCGGCTTCTTGAATACCGTATCGCTTTTGCCCGGAAGTCACATCCGCAATCATGCTATCGATGCCGAAAGGATCGGCGGTGTCCTTCTCGAACTGAACAGGGCCTTGACGTTCCTATATCAGTTGTTAATAAATTGTGAAAGAAAGTCAAGTTCCAAGTACTCAGCTGACTTACCTCAGCATCAGCAGCACCCCTGAAGCCCTCTTTCGCTCGTCCAAGAACCTCGAAGCGGCTGGTCTTCTGTATCTTGCTCATTTCACCATCACCACCCTCATCGTCATCGGCATCGGCTTGAGCACGAGGACGGTAGATACTGTTGATGGCATCCTGCGCAGCAAATAGCGGCTTGTCATAAGGATTATCTTCGTTGAAGCCACTGTGCATGCCGCTGGTCTGGTTGAATAAACGCGAATCCCACATCGTCTCAGAGCTCTGCGTTGGCTTGGCCAGACCCAGGGCCACCTTCTCGGAGATATCACGGTTCTGCTCGCGGGCCATAGCCTGGATGCGGCGTTCTGTACCCATACGAGACTGGCGCAACTGCCGCTCATTGTCCTGTCGGCGTTCGCGGCGCTCGCGCTCGCGTTCACGGGCAGCTTCCTCGTCCTCGCTCGGAGAACCAGACCTGGAGGAGTAAGGAGAGGCACTGCGGCTGTCACTGCGGGAGCGGGCACGAGAGTCGCGCCGACTAGGCCCGGCACGTTCCTCGCGTGCCTTCTGAGCGAGCTGGCGCAAATGTTCTTCCTTCTGGGCTTTCTCCTTCTCGGCCAGCTTCTGCTGCATCTGAGCACGGAGCTGCACTTCCTCACGAGCATGTCGGTCGGCGGTGAACAGAGCCTCCGCAAATTGGGCGAACTTGTCGTTGATCGTCACGTCCTGCAACCCACGGCCATCCGCAGCCAGACGCTTATCCAGAGGAACAGTGTAACCCTTCGGATTCTTCCAATTCGAAACGGGCGGGGGAATTCTCCAAGCTTCTTGATCCTCGGCTGTGAGCTTTCGGGGCGGCGAATGCATCACAGGGGGTGGAGGGGAGGGCGGGCCACGGGGGATCTTCTTGTGCTTGAACTTAGGCGGCTCCATGGGATCTTGCTGTCGCTCGACAATCTTCATAATACGATCGTTCTTCTTCTCGTTATCACCCATCTGGTTGGCAGGTGTATATCGGACAAAAGTAGGCTCTGCTCTGCGACCGCCCTTGACGTTCTTTGGTTTCTGGGCCGCCACGGCTCCATCCACCAGACTCGCCAGCGCATTCTTCGTCTTCTCCATCTGCGCCTGCACCTCTTCCTCTGATGGACGGTCGAGGGATACTTCTCCCATATCCACCCGTTGTCGGAGCGGAATCAAATCCTTGAAGGAGGCATGGACGATGCGATTGTCGCCATGTCCGCGGCGTGCGATCGCGTCGTACTTGACTTTACCCTCCGCATCTACCTGCACCGCAAGCGCATTCGAGGTCGATGAGGTTCCCTTCCGGCCCATATCGAGGGGGTATTGGGCAACCAGAATCTCGGGGAACGCGCCGCCGTCGCCAAAATCTTCGGGGGCTCGCGGGCGCCATCCTGCTCGGTTTCCATAGGGCGGAGGACCAGTTCTCTGGAGGGAGAGAGTATATAGTCAGTTATTCAATCCAACATAATATCGGATACAGAACTTACCCGTAGGACAACCTGGGTTTCATCGAGCTGGTCGGCGCCCACTACACGCGGGCCACGGGGCTGGGCATGCTGTGGCAACTCTTCCTCCTCGCCTGTGTATTTGGGTTTGGGGAGGGACTTGAAGAGCCCAGACGCAAGAGAAGCCATGGTAAAACTTGATCGCTGGGGCACAAGCGGTCAAGTTGGGGTTGTTCGATGAAGGGAACTCAAGCTAGAATGTGAATGATGCGCTTGGCTTTTGCGGTACTGCACAAGTAGTTTATGTGCGAGACCGTAGCCCGAGTTTGCCAAGACTTTGTATATCGTCGCGCTCCTGTTTAAAGTGGCGGCCAGCTTTTGCCTCGTCACCACCAAAATGCTCCTATTTTCACTCATGGACAGGGTAGCCCAGTACCTCATTTGCCCTGTGATCTAGCATTTTAGCACCAGAATGGCTCCCTCGTTGACTCACTGGCATCCTCGAGCCTATCTTCGGAATCCCCTGCTTGATGTACTTGGGGTTCAAAATTCCCAAGGTGAGCGGAGGAAACAGAAGTTTGCTTAAAAACAGCAAAAAAAACACCAGTTTCTTCTACTTCACTTACTGTGCCTAATATTGTTGCTGGACACGGGAAATTGCGAGAAATGGAAAGGGATGTAAATACTGCATGGTGACAGATTGTCACCTGATGATTATATCATTCTTAGCTTGGCATTGGTTCATAAGCAACCCAGCTCGCCGAAAGGAACTTCGACTTTACATCTACTCAGGTCCTCCATGATAGCCAGGTTTTTTGCTACCAACGATGATCGTATATACTGTCCAAATCTGGAAGCATACCTCGTGTCTTCGCAAATGAGAAGCACCTTCGTCTAATACTACAGGTCGTCCTACGAATGAGTATGAAGTGCATCCAAGAATTGGATTTGCAATCTATTACCGGGGGTTCATCAAGGCATTCGAACATGGTGCCCACAGCGAGAAATCGACGAGGAGTTCCCTCAGCTTCCGCGTCGGCTTCTCGCGGTGGGCACTATGTTTGAATCCTTTGATGAGCCGTCAGTCATAGGTTACTAATCCTTGCGTATGTCGGCTAATGTTACTGCCATCCGGGATTGGCTTAACTTGCCCATCTCCGATATATTTCCACACAAGTCTAGTTCTAGGATGCATTGGATGCCTGTCTTGGGTCAAACTAGATATGAGGATAGATTGGGTTTCATTAGGCGTCGGGCCAATTATTGGTTTCAATGGCCGGAAAATGCTAAAAATACATGGCGATTACCTAGATTCTTAAAGATCGCAAGCTGGGTATCGAATAGATAGACGCATATGTAAATCTCAAATCATGTGAGCGCGCTGTGGGCAGGCAATGCTCTCCTTATCACCAACTTCAACGAGATGGTCACGACCCTGGAAGCGGTACCAAATCTTGAGCTGCTTCTTCAGCAGCGGTGCTGGGTCATGGAATCCGATGATTTGGAACTGGAAGGTTAAAAAAGGTGAGTATACTAGTTAAAAAAAGGCACAGGATCAAAAGGAATTGTAATTACCTTCACCGTGTTCTCACGAATCACCAGCTGGCCACGGTCCACAAGGGCCGCCACAGGGATGGTCACGTTGATGACACGAGGCTCTTCGAATCCAGGGCGAGCCTTTTTGCCTGCAGGCGGATAGTAGCCATATTCAGCCTTTACAATAACCAAGCCATTCTGAGAGACCTCGCGAGCCTGTCGTCGCTGGACTTGGTCTGCCATCAGCTCGATAGCCTGCTCGCTTTCCGCTCGCTTCTTCGGGATGAGCTTCTTCAGCTCCTTGTGACGCCGTGCAATAGCTTGGCGACGCTTCTTCTTGTCACGGGGCCGAATATAACCAAACTCAATAGCAAGATAGGCCGCCCAAGTAAAGACATTGACCAAAACCGCGGCATCATGAGTGGCTTCGTCTTTAGAGCAAAGAACGATGGGCACATTAAGACCTTGGCCAAGTCGGTTCCAGCCAATAGTCATGAGGATACCCTGTTCGGTGAAGCCAACACCGAGGGCAAATTTGGAATATTCGCCAACTCGACGGGTACCCTTGATGGTCCAGCCCAAGGAAAGGGCAGGACTGACGGTAGTGGAGATCTCGACACGCACTGCACGGGCGTCCTCCATCTTTGTCATTGGAGAGTAGCCTTCATCTGTCCATTCTGTCTTCACTGGATCGTTGGATGGCGAGCCCGAGAAAAGATTGCGGGCATAAGTCAGACCAAGGCCGCCCCCTCCCGGAGAAGCCTGGATAAAGGCCTGCCACGACTCAGCAGCGTTATCGATGTCTTTCTTTTTTCGAAGTAGTCGGCGTAACTCTTCATGCTCATCTTCTTCGTCATCATCGCCAAGTTCAATAGCATTTGAAGGCACCTTAGGGAGGGCGACCATGCCGACCTGAAAACTGCTGAGATCGCCACTGGAGGCATACATGTCTTCCAAACTCATTCCAAGGGAGCTGCAACGTTCAAGGAGGAGTTCAGGCCAGTACCAAAGGCCACTGGACCAGGCGCAGAAGGCAAGTTTTCTCTCGGCAACCTCCTTTGTCACATGAACTTCAAATGCAGGCGGGGATTCCAAAAGAGATCGTTGGATGGAGCTGGAGGCAGTGACCTGAAAAGGCTTGATACCTGGAATTGGTTGGAAGGACCGGGCAACTGTAGTCTTCAAAAGCGGAATAGGGAACACGTTTGCCTCAAGCAAAATGGTTGAATCTCTCAGAACCGACAGTGGACGTTTACCCCAGATACCTGTGGCACCTACTAGTTCCCTTAGATCAGGTCTCACAGTAGCACCTAGACTGATGTTCTTGGCCATCAGAATATATGGCAGAATGACCTATAATGTCATTAGTAAATAGCATAGCGCCCAACAAAGTCGGTGTTTCTTCATTAGTGAGCTTACCTTCGAGTCCTGAGTGGTCCCATCCTCATATTCAACACTAATCGGCTGCGAAGGACGCACGAGATTACCAGAAATACCAGCATTAATCGTCACCTGCACGGGCTCGGTTTCCTCCTCCTCCTGCACATTCGCCTCGACAGAGCTTTCCTTCTCTTCTGCTCCCTCCTCGGTATCATCCCCAAACTTGGGCAAAGGTAACGGTGCGTTGAAAGAAAATTGCGCCCCATATGAAACTGGTTTTGCATCTGAAGGAAATTGAAAGCGAACATCGTCGTCGTCTACAACATGGATAGTTGATGCCGCATTAATACCGAGGGTGATAGAGCCCTGGAGAAGAGAAGCGAATGTACAAGTCAGCAACCACCTGCCACACACTGCAAGCACTCCAAGCTTGGATAGAAGAAACCTACCCGACTGCTAACCAGGCTCTCCACAGCTTTCCGTTCGCGTTTTTTCATTGTCTTCACAAACCAACGACGAAACTGGTCGGGTGACATCGCCTTGACGCCCACCTGCTGTTTCTGAGCCTCCCCACCAACGCCCATCGCACCCAGTCGACCCCATTCTCGTCGCACACCCTCTGCACCGAGGATATCATAGACTGTGCGTTTTTTTGAGTCGATGAGGGTCTCGTATGCCTCTTGAATGCGATTGAAGTGCTGTTCGGCCGGCTCGCGGAGGTGCGCTGGTTGTTTGTCCGGATGAAAGCTCAAGGTCAGGTTGCGGTACGCGGAACGAATCTCGGTATCGGTCGGAGGTGGCTTCTGCGATAGACCCAGCAGGGCATAATAATCCGCTTCCTCGGGGTAATCGGCAATCATGCTGAACTCGCCTTCTAGGCCGTCGTCGTTCTCCAAGTCGGCCCCAAAGTCCCGTGCTGCGGCCGCTGCGGCGGTCCGGTTGAAGGGCTCGGACATTGATGCGTGCTTTGGGCAACCTCGTGGCCTATAAGGCAACTCAGTCCATGCTATGGAGGCTGGAGAGCAGCAATGTGGAGGCGGAAAGATGCGCCTGGCTGAAGTTCTCTCGGAGGAAGTGTCCCGTGTCTCCGCAGTCTCCGCTCCGCTCTCACTCTTCACCCCGCCGAAAACGAATACATCGTGGTCAATTCGACATCCGACAACATGTGACCGGGGTTAGGTCCATAAAAAGGCTCACCATGGCCATGGATCTCTTCAGGAGCTAAAGCAATAGGTTCTAATGACCATGGGAATATCATTTTCCCCTGCGATCAACCACCGCACTCTGATTTTTTGGCCCGAGGCAGCGACATTACATTTTATTCTGCAACATATGTGTGCCAAGAGCTCTAGGTTGAATTAATCCAGGCTGTCAAATATCCCACTAGTTTATTTTAGATATTTTGTGAATTTTCCTTGAAAAAATGCACGATATAATGCAGCTGGTAAACGATCCAGCCTCCACGACTAATGTTTGTTTCAGCCAATCTATACAAAGGAGAGACTCCAATGGGTCTTCCAGGAACCCCATGAACCAAACTTCAGACACTGCACAATTCCAACCCGTCAACTGCAATTTTGGGAAGAGAGTACCAGGTTTACGTTTGTTTGCCGAAAGGAGCGACTGGACGGTGGCTTGAATACCCTGAAGTGGTGAAGCTCTTGCTTGATGCGCTACATGTGAGCCGTGAGTAGTCAGCTTCCAGGCAGCCACCGGCCATCTTGCTCTCCCGAAACAACTCCCTAAAGCCCACCAAGATTGGACATTTCAGGGCCATGGAGAGCTTCACAGATGCCTCGGAAGCAGGCACTACACCCCCCATTTTTCAGATTGACCTTGCTTTACCTCCAGCAGAGCGATATGTGGCCCTGGCAACAATCTATCGGGAGAGAATGCGTGCCTTGCGTGGGATGTTCGACGAGCTGGTGACAAGCGTTTCTCCCAAAATCCCAGTCAAGGGCATCCATTGGCTGGCGCGAATGTCTTTGCGGAGACTCTATACCGATGAAGAAACCGCCGAGCTGCAAGGAATCAGCCGTACAACGGACATCGATCTCTACCTCCTCATTTGCCTGAATACAGTCCTTGATCTCTTAATGGGCTGCACCAGTGGTGGCGTTCGAACCATAAACGGATCTGAGAATCCCAAAATGCTTCACTTCCGAACGCTCGACTGGGGTATGGACCCGCTTCGGAATTTGATTGTCCAGTTGGAATTTGTACACGGTGATAACCCGAGAAAAGTGCTCGCGACAAGCATCACATACGTTGGTTTTGTCGGTGTCCTCACCGGCGTGAGGCAAGGCCTCAGCGCCTCTCTTAATTTTCGACCAGTTCACGATACTTCGCGAAACTGGGCCTTTTATTTCAACCATCTTCTTGTTCTTTTGGGACAGAGGCAATCCATCTCGTCGTTGCTTCGAGAATGTATCCTCTCCCGTCCATCCGAGCCCAAGTATAAGCGACCAGTATCTACACTAGACGAGATCATTGCCAATGTGCCAAGTATGCCGACCACAGCCGCCTATCTCATCTTCAGTGACGGAGAACGGACAGCGGTCATGGAGAAAGACCACCGAACGGCAGTAGTCCGCTCTTCCACCTCATTTATAGTTGTCACAAACAATGATCAGCACCCAGATTCAACTTCGCCCAAAACCATCGCGGCAGACAAGAGAAAGAATCACGCCGGCCTCTCAATAGTCGCTTCGAATGTGCAAGCGATGGCAGATTTGATTGAAGACAGCAACGAGCGACGGGAGTGTCTGCAGGAAAAATGGACTAAGAGGGTACAAGAGGCTGCACGAGCCAAAGAACTCAATGGCCAATTGCAGAAAAAGAACATAGTAGAATCAAAGCCGGCTACTCGGTCACCATCCACCCGATCATCGGTACGCCTTCGGAAGAAGCGAGAGGAAGCAGAAGCGGGGGTTGAAACGCATCGAACATCGGAACGTAATGATTCCAATTTCGATTCCGAGGTGGCTATTAAACCAAAAGAAGCCATTTCATGGCTCACCACATACCCAATAGTGAACGAAGAAACCCACTACGCGACTGTTATGGATCCGCTAAGGGGAAAGATTAAGTGGGCCCGAATGTACTTCCCCGACGACTGGGTCGAAGTCGAGGAACTGGAGACCAGGGCTTGAGATAATTTAGTGGTCGTTTTCGGAACCAGCAGGCGTGTCATAAAACATCACACCTTATAGCTATTCTGAAATGTGTTTAATCAATCCAATCACCACTGCCTCCAACTCGCTCCGATATCATGTGTCTCATTTGGTTGCTATTATACATAAGCCAAGTGCTCAACGGCTCGCTTAAAGAGAACTCAAAGTGAATGAAAAGTCAGACAAGAATCATTTAGTATAATACAGGGGTAGACGACCAGATTCGCCTACCCAGAGGAGGTAAAGAACCCCCAATCCTGGATCTCATGCGGGCGTGTGGGTACATATGCAAATCAAATAACCTGCCCATTATCGACATCAATACCGTCACGTCGTAAAAAGAACAGTCAAGAACTGAATATGAGAAAATGATAATTTTGTTCTTCGCTTGGGACTGTTCTTTCATCCAAACAAAGCCAAAAAAAACTGTAGCAAAGACAAGAGAGTCGGAAATGGAAGTGAAAAAGAAAAATATGCAAATGCAAAGTACATGCAAAGATATTGGCTTCTATGCTGCTCAAAATGTTGCCATCCGTTTTTGTTTTCAGGAAGAGGGAGAACCTGTCATCTTGAAGTAAGTTCAAGTCGTTGAAAGGCTAGAATATGGAATTCATCGGTCTTTCAACCTGACTATATGCGTCTCAGATAAGGGAATATCGTCAGGGCACATGGCACGTAGAAGTATATCCCGTGGTATGGATCCGTAGAACAAATCCTCCTCAAGAGCGCCCGGTGGGTGAGTTGAGGGCGTAGCAGCAGGGACCTTGGTCTCGAGCGATGGACCTTCCACAGTAAATCCCACCTTATCCTGGATGCGAAGGCGGTCATGCAGACAGTCAATTATGAGGTCCAGACGATTTTTGATCGCATTTGCCAAGCTTAGAGAGCTATCCCAGTGGCGGCCAAGAACCTGTACCATGCCTAGGGCGGCATTGATGTAGGATATGCAGTCAGAAATCTCCGTAATTAAGCCTGCTGAGCTGAGTACGTCAACTGCAGATAGGACTACGTAGCCCAAAAATGGACTGGGGAGAATCATATCAGGGAGTTGGGAGTCGGCACTGGACCGGGATGACTGGATCTCGCTGGAAAAGTGAATGATTGCGTGGCCGATACGGAGTATTTCCACGGCATGGTACCTAGCTCGGTGAATGTATTGAGTCAGAACCTCAGATCGTAGACTCTGGTATCGTGCGTGTCTGTAGAGCTTCATCAATGTGGCATGGTAAAACATGTGGATCGAAATAAAAGAATCCGCCCTCTTGGACTCAATAGCTCTCTCCATATTGACTGGAGAAAACGAAAGATAACCGGGCAATCGACCTTTCCAGTGATCTGTATTGCGAATAATATTGGCATGAAGCTCCTCCGCTAGTCGTGCATATGCGTCGGTCGGAGTATGCGACAGTCGGAAAATCTGAAGTGAGACATCGCCCCATATTGACAGAATTTGAATGAGGAAAGCCATGGGGCTGAGAGTTGAGCGCTCATCTTCGGTGGAGACGGCGTTCTGGTTCAAAATTGGCTGAAAATAAGGAGCTGTTGCATATTGTTGTGCTTCATAAATATCCTCACGGCATGGCAGTCGAATTAGAGCTAATTCCGATGAGATGGAAGTGGAAGACCCTGAGAAGAAACTCGAGATTCGCTTCAATATTGTCAAATACGTCTCTTAGCAAAGGAGAGCGGAGATCCGATTCTTACATCGAGAATGAAGGCAACCCAGAAGGTTCGCCGACGACATTCAATTAAAGCTTGTGGATGCAATCCATAGTTGCAAACTTGCTTCTGGTCAACGATGACGCCACCTGATTCCACGTTAAACCGGAGCCCGCCCACAGCCCTGCCAGCTGCCCCAATGGAATCCCAAGATCCAATCAGGGATCCAGTGGCATAATACCAGAGGCTCATTATAAGATGGCTCTGGGCAAGCTGTAGAGAGAGTGTATGCTGGCTTTTCTGGATAGCGAAGCGTGCAATTTGTGAGTACCGTCTCAATGCGATAAATCTATCTGATCTGTCGGAGAACATCGACCCTAATGCCATCATCGAGTAGAGAAGCATTTTATCCTCAGCCGACTTAGTGTCACAGGATTTCAACCACAAAATGAACCGGGTGTGAGGGAAAATTTGGTATAATCCATTGTTCACATGGGAGAAATAGGCTTCGACGTAATGAACAGCCTTCTCGGGATCGCTCTCATAAGGATCAACGTTCCAAGAGCCTGCCAACGGATCATCGGGATTGAGGTCTCTGAGCTCTCCCAGGATTTCGGAATACACCGGGTGGCGATTCGCCTCTGCGTGGTCTTTTAGTCTCAGCGTGGAGTCATTGGTTAGAGGGCGTGGGACTTGATATGTTCTTGATCTGTATGCCGGATCTGCATCCACCAAGGGATCATACGCAGATTGAGTACCTGTGGGAATCAGCATAGGGCTCTCGGACATGGGTGAGTGTCCGCTGGTTCCGGGAAGAGAGGTGGCACTATCCGATGCACGGGCAATATTGTAAATAGAAGGAGAAACATCCGAAGCAGCATGGTCAGAGGGTCCTGCGGAGTGAGAACCCCTTGAGCGATTTCCACGGGGACTGAAAATGTCTCAGCAGGTCGTTCAAAAGAAATGAGGGAGGCTTGTTGTAGCTCGGCGCGCTCTTTCTCACTTACGCACTCTCGAAGCGGCATTCACGTCCAGACTTCTGACATTGATCACACTTAGGACGGTTGGGCTGGCATTTGATCTTCTTCTCGCGACATGTCAAACATGCCTGCGCAAGCCTCTTCCGTGGCTTGCCTGCTTTTGTTACGCCCCAGTTCGGATTCACTGGTTTTCCATCGACAATTTTCGGCTGGTGCGATCCATCTGCGTAGACAAAGCAAAGTTCACCATCGATATAACGTTCGTCCACCACATGAGGCAGCAAAGGCGGTACTTTCGACCAGGATGCACTTTCTGGGGATGAAAGCTCACCGCTTGCACCTGCTTCATGATATGGAGTACCGAGATAAGGCAATTGGCTAGACTGTAAATTGGTTGTCGACGGATCGCTTCGGGTCGCAGTGTGATGGTTGATGTCTCTAGGGCTATGCAGGGCCACGTGCGACAAGGGCGGGAGGCTGGCAGGTTGAGACTGTGGCAGAGATTCCGAGCGACCTCTCGCTCTGTCTTGACCAGCGACCGGGGGTATTTGAGGAGGAGCAGGTGGATCATGGTGCCGGAATGGATATGATAATTCTCGGTGTTCTGCGTTTGGCGTGGGGGTTCCATACGGTTGGTGGAAAGAAGGCGAGGAGTTCGGGTCGTTGACCGGTGTCAGTAATGACCGGACAGATGGGAGCTGTTCCGTCCTTGGGCGCTGTGCAGTAGACTCTGCTGACAATGGTCCTCTGCCGGGTTCTTGATTCTCTCCCTGTTGGCGTTGTCGCAAAAATGGGTCCGTTCCAAATTGCAGATTCGGTGGCGCACGGGGAGGTGGAAGCTGGTATGGGTTATCCCCGGACTCTGATTGATTAGCTCGACGCTCCGGTGGCTGCTCGGACGATGGGTCGTCTGTAATGGGTAACATACGACCGAAGGGGCCAACAAAATAGCCCGACATGGCAGGCGTTGGGGGTCGTGTGTTAGATGGTGTGAATCCGTTCTTCGAAGTATAACCATCTACATGACACGTCCGAGAAATTTTGACAGCCAGTAAGCTTCCTTTGGCCAAATAAAGAGCCCAGGGTCTCCACAGATACACTACGCAGTCAAAACTTTGGATGATTCCGTGAAAAGAAGATGAGAAAAGAGAATCAGAGTATTCAGTCTCTCTCTCTCATAGACGGTGTGGATCGAAGGAAGGTTGAGGCCCGGCAAAGGAATCTAGTAGACAATATCCTTATTTAGCAACAGCGTTCGGTCTCTGTCAAGAGATCGTTCGCGGTTTCAATTTACTTACCAATTCCACTTTCCAAACTTCGAAGAGGTAATTGGGGTGAAAAGTAGGAGATATCCAAACTTGAAGTCCAAACTCCTCGGGGGAGGAAAAGAGTTGACTTTATAGTCTCGGTCTGCTCAGAAGAACAACACGACAATGACCGGCCCTGATGCGACTGATATGGAAGAGTTAAAGGTGTGGTGAAGATGTTAGAGGCAGACCCCCGACATGTGAAGTCTGCAGTTTCTGCGCAGTTGCGTCTATCTGGGTTAGGTGGAGAGAGATTGAATCAAAGAGAAATCGAGAGTGGTTCAAAAGACCAACATGTCGCAAACGGCCCCGGCAGTCAAGGTCTTAGTTGCAGATTTACCATACCAGGGTTTGCTGCGGGATCCCAGTGGTTTGCATGCGCTTCGAAGATGGTACGGCTCGCAGGATTTCAGACGAGGGTCAGACGGGCGAGTCGCAAACATTCAACCCCAAGAAGTCGCGGGCGCCGGGCCGAAACGTTTTCAAAAAGAAGAGGCAAACACTTTGATGTTATCGGGAATAAATCCAGTACATAAGATCTGGAGATTTAATAACCAAATCCCCACCAGCAACTAGGTTGATGGATGGGGGATGACGATTTTCCGGATCTAGATGGCGGACGAGCGAGGGACAACGGCACCAACATTTGCCGGATGTTGTAAAGGAGGAGTGCCGCCGGCCGATCCCAGGTAGATGAAAGGATCAAACCCGGGTGTCCCTGACGAGAATGCTGGCGACGAGAATGAGGTCGGAAACGATCGATCCCAGAAGCCGATGGTGGCACACGGCTTGACTATAGAGGGAAAAGTAGCCTGGTCGGAAGCGTCTCCCTGTCACTGGCCCGCTTCCAGGGATCCTTGGACGAATAGCTAAAAGTAGCGTCCCCGCGGTAAATCTAATCAATTAAAAAGAGGTCCTCGCGGTTTTGCCCCGCGAGCTGCCAACACGTCCAACGGGACTCTCCTGGGTCGAGGTCGATTGCGAGCCTCCGCCGACAGCACGCTCCCCCTCTCGTCCAACCGAATCAAATCCTGCTGAAAGCCGGTGAGGCAGACGGGGCTGGATTAATCGGGGGCTAAGCCCGAGGGAAGAAATCAAAGCAGGACAGAGACGTGAAGAAGAAAGAAGGAAAAGAACCTCCGGGCCAGCGCACGGGAAAGGAAGGAAAGGGAAAAGAACCCGGGGCTCGAAAATTCGATACGAGCCACCCAATACAACCAATATGAGGGCGATAGAAGAGGGAGGAGGGGTTCACCGTCCAGGCTTCAGAAAAGGGCCAGCAGATCCTGTATTTTCTGGGGGTACAAAGTTGCAGGTGAGTGATAATAATTACCGTTCAAAAGTACCTCCGAGGCTTACTAGCAGGAAAATACTACTAAGAGCCATCATAATCACGAGCTGGGATTTTTCAATAATGTAATTATCCACCATCGACTTCTTGGGTTTTCTTATTTTATTTAATTTAACTATTTCCGACTCATGGCAACCATACGATCGACGAAGAGGTGGGATTGACCTATACTCTTCTGGGTTCGCCCCGTCCGCACATGTGTAGCACTGGGCCCCCCCCCCCCCCCCCTCGAGATTAGGCAGTGTACTGGAATTTCTCGAAGGACCACAATCCAAGACCAAGGACCCAAGACACTAGAACGCTTGGAAAAAATTCAGTATGAGACAATGCCCCCATAACCATGCTTTGGTGGCCACTGTTTGCTGGAAAATGAGTCCTTTTTACCGAATCACCCTGCACGCGGCGCCTGGGCTGGTTAAGAGAAAATTACCCCCGGGCTGCCCGTTCAACGGCCCTTCACAGCCCCCTCGAAAATCCAAGGAATGAAAAAAAAAATAATACGAAATAAAAAGAGCCAATCCACTATACCTGCATCGGATAGTCTCCATCGGGAAATCGAAAATTTGAGGTCATATACACCATATTCGCAGTGGATCCCTGACGATGGCCATGTTCTCTCCCCATCCAGTGTTCCAGTCCGATCAATGGGCAGTTTCGGCATTCGGGTGTCCTGAGCCTTGTCCCCCTCCCCCTTCCCGAACCCCAATTATGGGGGTTATGGGGGTGGTTAAGCTGGCGTAATCTTGGACTTGACAAACGGCAATTGAGCCAGACTGCCGTTGACTCTTTCCATGGATATGGAGGGCGGAGGGCACATCTTCATCCGACCTTGACATCAATTCTTGTTTATGTTCAGCCATTTTTATTTTTATTTTTATTTTTATTTTTTTTGCCTTCGGGCAACTATACGCAGGAATTTGTACCCGCGAAAGAACCATGGATGAAGAACAGTTATAATTATTTATCCGGAAGGATCGTGATGATAATAAAACTTCATTGTACTACGCCTGGTGCCAAATCAATAGTATGAATCTTGAGCAGAGGAAGAGGGGGGAGGGGCACACAACGACTGGAGCACAGTGCCCCTGGTTCATCCGAGTCTCCATGCTAGCTCCAGCCTTCTGCATCTTGATATTAATCACGAATCCTCCGCAAGGATCAAGGATGTATGTGTATTATTGCGGGTGGGAAACGTACCAATCCACCTTAGTACCTCGGAACCTCCGCGCTCTGTATGGTTTCCCGGAGAGAGGCAATCCAACGGCCGCCTCTCTTGCTCCTCCTGATGACCCTTCTCTGGATTCCCAGGCATTGTATCCAATCCATTCGAAACAATTTCACGATGACTACTTCATCCTCGGGTATCGAGCTAGGGAACTAACTATGTACCAAGCTAAGTACGAAGTACTAGAGCATTCTACGCTTTGTCCCACCTTCTTCGGCACATGCAACCCCATGAACCACCAAAACGTTTTGGTTCGGGATTTGGCGCTCGAGCTCTCAACCTGTACGGATCTTGTTCTCGGCGATGCCAACCATTTCCCATGTATTATTTCCACCAGGGGTGACGGGGTCATACAGTATTTACGTCCGAATGAGGCGCCAAACCTTCGATCGGCTGAAGAAACGCGGCGCGGCTGGGGCCCGGAGAGAAGGCCCTGCCTCTCTTTCCTCCCCTACCGTCCACTCCGTTCGGACTGAAGGTTGAGCTTGTTTTGGATCCGGAATGATGGCCGCGAATACCCTCACCAGTGGGTCATTGGTACCTTCGGCCGGTGGCGCGGGCGACTAGATGCCTAGTCGGGCAAATCCTCCTGGATCCAGTGTCGGGGCCGCAGGGCTTATCTCTCTTTTGGACGGAACTTTTTGCGAAGATCGCTGGATCGCGTGGTGCTCTTGGTGGATTAGGTGGGCTCCGATGGGATCCAATTTTTGCGCAGGACCCTCGGTCGGGCACGGATAGGTTTTTCTTTTTTTTTGTCTACCCCTTTAGTGCATTTCTTGTCTCCAGACTCCATAGTTTTTCTTCTGGTACTCGAATTCCGAATGGTCGAGAAGCATAGATGGCTTAACTCAATGGAGAGCCGAAGCCGAGACCGTTTCCACCTCGGTTGCTTTGAATCTAATCCTGCATCAAGTAATAGTAATAGTAATTCGGCATCTATCTTGGTCCGGACACTGGCCGGATTGCTCGAATCATGATCGCTGAATATGATCTAGTCACATCATGGCGACATTATGGGGAATGGGGGAGACGATATCTGCATCCCTCTCTCCCAACCAGCCAACCTCGCCAACCTCCGCCTCCCTTAACGCTCGGTGTAAAATGCCTAGGCTGGCATGTGCAGATTCTTCGCATGAGAAAAGCAGAAAAAAGAAGGGCCTCGCCAGTCTACTTCAGAGAGATTAGATTAGAATGACAAGTGTACCACCACTGACGTATGGTTGAATGACAATTTGGTAGTAAGAAAAAAAATTCAAATAGATTTGATGGGTTGACTGGAGCGGTCAAGCGTCCATATAGAGGTCGACACGATACCTCCGCTCTGTTCTGCCCTGGTCTTTGCTTTTCAGAGCCCGTGCAAAGTCCTCTGGAGGCACGATCGAGGATGTGCTCCGACGTCGAGCGATGCCACTACAGGGAACCCTGGCCTTCTCGTACGAAGCCACGGTCCAATGGGCCCGGCGTGAGACACTCCACCGAGCCCACTTGACTTCTTACCCCAACGGCGATGCACTCCGGAGTTGACCACGTATGGTGTCTCAAAAGCACGGCGATCCGATCTGCAAGCCGTCATTCGGGATCGCCGCCTATTTGGTCTCAGCCCCCCCTGGTGCGTTTTCTGTTCCGGGTTACGCTGGAAAGTAAAACCAAAGCCGCAGAGAAATTGTCTGCGCGCTAACTCCATCCATCGAGGTCGATATCCGGCGCCGACGGCGGACGGAGACTAAGAGTCTCCTCAAGATATGTATCTAATTTCACCGTCGAGGAGCTAGTCCGATGGGAACCCGGACATCGGGATTCGTCGATTTTAGTGCTCTGGTCTCTTCTGCTCTTCCCACCATCGGCACTTGGACATCGAACTCGCTCTCCATGCGGTATTTCGACCCGAGAATTCGCAAGCCTGGCTCAGCGTGGTTTAGGGCACGGATCACGCCATTGGCCGATTCACACACGGACCCAATTTTCCTCCGAACAAATACCGACTACGACGCTGGTTTAACGGGCTATAAGCCCGAATGATTGTGGGTTGTGATGGCGAGGGACGGAGGAAAAACCTGACAAGAAATAATTATCGGT